CTAACACCCTAACACCCTAACACCCTAACACCCTAACACCCTAACACCCTAACACCCTAACACCCTAACACCCTAACACCCACACCCTAACACCCTAACACCCTAACACCCTAACACCCTAACACCCTAACACCCTAACACCCTAACACCCTAACACCCTAACACCCTAACACCCTAACACCCTAACACCCTAACACCCTAACACCCTAACACCCTAACACCCTAACACCCTAACACCCTAACACCCTAACACCCTAACACCCTAACACCCTAACACCCTAACACCCTAACACCCTAACACCCTAACACCCTAACACCCTAACACCCTAACACCCTAACACCCTAACACCCTAACACCCTAACACCCTAACACCCTAACACCCTAACACCCTAACACCCTAACACCCTAACACCCTAACACCCTAACACCCTAACACCCTAACACCCTAACACCCTAACACCCTAACACCCTAACACCCTAACACCCTAACACCCTAACACCCTAACACCCTAACACCCTAACACCCTAACACCCTAACACCCTAACACCCTAACACCCTAACACCCTAACACCCAACACCCTAACACCCTAACACCCTAACACCCAACACCCTAACACCCTAACACCCTAACACCCTAACACCCTAACACCCTAACACCCTAACACCCTAACACCCTAACACCCTAACACCCTAACACCCTAACACCCTAACACCCTAACACCCTAACACCCTAACACCCTAACACCCTAACACCCTAACACCCTAACACCCTAACACCCTAACACCCTAACACCCTAACACCCTAACACCCTAACACCCTAACACCCTAACACCCTAACACCCTAACACCCTAACACCCTAACACCCTAACACCCTAACACCCTAACACCCTAACACCCTAACACCCTAACACCCTAACACCCTAACACCCTAACACCCTAACACCCTAACACCCTAACACCCTAACACCCTAACACCCTAACACCCTAACACCCTAACACCCTAACACCCTAACACCCTAACACCCTAACACCCTAACACCCTAACACCCTAACACCCTAACACCCTAACACCCTAACACCCTAACACCCTAACACCCTAACACCCTAACACCCTAACACCCTAACACCCTAACACCCTAACACCCTAACACCCTAACACCCTAACACCCTAACACCCTAACACCCTAACACCCTAACACCCTAACACCCTAACACCCTAACACCCTAACACCCTAACACCCTAACACCCTAACACCCTAACACCCTAACACCCTAACACCCTAACACCCTAACACCCTAACACCCTAACACCCTAACACCCTAACACCCTAACACCCTAACACCCTAACACCCTAACACCCTAACACCCTAACACCCTAACACCCTAACACCCTAACACCCTAACACCCTAACACCCTAACACCCTAACACCCTAACACCCTAACACCCTAACACCCTAACACCCTAACACCCTAACACCCTAACACCCTAACACCCTAACACCCTAACACCCTAACACCCTAACACCCTAACACCCTAACACCCTAACACCCTAACACCCTAACACCCTAACACCCTAACACCCTAACACCCTAACACCCTAACACCCTAACACCCTAACACCCTAACACCCTAACACCCTAACACCCTAACACCCTAACACCCTAACACCCTAACACCCTAACACCCTAACACCCTAACACCCTAACACCCTAACACCCTAACACCCTAACACCCTAACACCCTAACACCCTAACACCCTAACACCCTAACACCCTAACACCCTAACACCCTAACACCCTAACACCCTAACACCCTAACACCCTAACACCCTAACACCCTAACACCCTAACACCCTAACACCCTAACACCCTAACACCCTAACACCCTAACACCCTAACACCCTAACACCCTAACACCCTAACACCCTAACACCCTAACACCCTAACACCCTAACACCCTAACACCCTAACACCCTAACACCCTAACACCCTAACACCCTAACACCCTAACACCCTAACACCCTAACACCCTAACACCCTAACACCCTAACACCCTAACACCCTAACACCCTAACACCCTAACACCCTAACACCCTAACACCCTAACACCCTAACACCCTAACACCCTAACACCCTAACACCCTAACACCCTAACACCCTAACACCCTAACACCCTAACACCCTAACACCCTAACACCCTAACACCCTAACACCCTAACACCCTAACACCCTAACACCCTAACACCCTAACACCCTAACACCCTAACACCCTAACACCCTAACACCCTAACACCCTAACACCCTAACACCCTAACACCCTAACACCCTAACACCCTAACACCCTAACACCCTAACACCCTAACACCCTAACACCCTAACACCCTAACACCCTAACACCCTAACACCCTAACACCCTAACACCCTAACACCCTAACACCCTAACACCCTAACACCCTAACACCCTAACACCCTAACACCCTAACACCCTAACACCCTAACACCCTAACACCCTAACACCCTAACACCCTAACACCCTAACACCCTAACACCCTAACACCCTAACACCCTAACACCCTAACACCCTAACACCCTAACACCCTAACACCCTAACACCCTAACACCCTAACACCCTAACACCCTAACACCCTAACACCCTAACACCCTAACACCCTAACACCCTAACACCCTAACACCCTAACACCCTAACACCCTAACACCCTAACACCCTAACACCCTAACACCCTAACACCCTAACACCCTAACACCCTAACACCCTAACACCCTAACACCCTAACACCCTAACACCCTAACACCCTAACACCCTAACACCCTAACACCCTAACACCCTAACACCCTAACACCCTAACACCCTAACACCCTAACACCCTAACACCCTAACACCCTAACACCCTAACACCCTAACACCCTAACACCCTAACACCCTAACACCCTAACACCCTAACACCCTAACACCCTAACACCCTAACACCCTAACACCCTAACACCCTAACACCCTAACACCCTAACACCCTAACACCCTAACACCCTAACACCCTAACACCCTAACACCCTAACACCCTAACACCCTAACACCCTAACACCCTAACACCCTAACACCCTAACACCCTAACATTAATTTAATAAAATATAAAATTACTAATACTAAATGGAAGGCATAATCACATTTAGATAAGCATAGATAGTAGTAGTAGAGTCTTCAGAAGTTAAAAAGACTTTCTAAAAATTTTAAAGACATGATTCTAATTCAGCCTTACAACAATGGAAATCTAAATAAACTTTATTTAAAAACCCAAGCATACTAGCTAAAGATTTGATCTTAATTTTTTAAAGAGAAGCACGAGCTCTGACTAAAATGCGTACTATAAAGAAAGATGCGACTATGTATCTGCCCTTGCCTTTATCGAATGAAATATTGAAACGATTGATAAAAGTATACTGAAGGGGTATTTTGGAGATAGATTTTTGATTAAAGGGGCAAGACTTTGGAGTTCTGAAAAAGTATATTTGGAAATGATAACTGGATTAAAGAATTAAATATTATAGATTTCGTAAAAAATTACCAAACTAGAATAGCTTATTTTTTTGTTTTTGTATATAATATCTTTATGTCTACTCTTAGATAAAATAAGCATTTGTATATTTTTAAATATTAAAAAATGTAAAAAATCAATTAAAATTCAAATAGTAAATTTATTAAAAATTACCCAAAGGGGAAGGAGAATAATATTTATATTTTCTGTTCATTTGGCGATAAAAATATATTTAAAAAAATTTAGTTGTGAGATCTGACTGTCAATTTCTTTAGGACCTTTGTAATCCCATTTATCAGAATCGATAAATATCCCTTGAATTTTTAATTTTTTCTTTTCAAAAACGCTTATAGGCATCCTTCTATAAATCTATAATGTCTTAAATAGAAAGAAGACTTAAATGGGTGATTAAATAACATTTAAAGACACATATCCTATCAAATATAACATTCCTAAACAATAATACGTCTTACAGAGCTTATATAAAATTTATTGTATTTATTATTGCAATAGAGCTTTTAAAGCATAAAATAATTAATTCTATTATTCATAGATATAAATGCAATTTTAATTTTTTCTTTTTGGTGAGAAGCATATATTTAGTTTCAATTAAAATCAAATTTATATCAACAGCTCTTAAGGAGCGCGATGCTTCAGTCTAAAAGCCCGAAAAGAGCAATAAGTCTGACCTGAAATATGTGGAATTCTCGAAAGTGTGAAAAATCAAAAAAATCTGAAAATTTATTTTTAGGTAGATTAAAGACCTATTCTTACTGCGCATTTAAAATACTTCATCCTTATATGCTTTATTTCTCCAATTTTGAGAAATTTCCCAATATATTTAAAATGAATGGAATTAATATAATCTTTATTAAGAGTGTAAAAATTTAAATATCAAAATCTTATTCTAAATTAAAAGCTTAGATTTTAGAATTTAATTATGCTTTTCTTGTTAAGGTCAAACTTATATCAATAATTTTTAACATCACTGCACTCAGACTTATCATAAGGCTTATTATAACTATATGTAGTTATGAATTTTAAATAAAGTGCTCCATCATTATACACACTATATTTTAAATGCATCCACTCTTTCGGTGTTTTTCCAATTTTAAATCAATTATATTCATTATTTTCCTCACATTCAAAAATTGATCCAAATAATTCGAATATATATACTCTGGAGCCATAAGAAACTAGGTATCTTGATCCTGAAAAATATAAATCTGAATATAGGATCAAGGAGAAACTGTCTATTAATAAATCAAACTTCATTATTATTCTTCAGTAATTTGTGGAGTATATAATGCTTTTATTGAATAAAATCATATTACTATAACACATTTCTGATTGTATTTTATATTTATTCATAGTATTTTTTAATAAATTATGTTTGCATAAAACCCATGATCTTGGTTCATTTTTAGGATTTTGAAGGGAATAAACCGTACTGTCATAATACACAAATGAGCATGGTGGAATTAATTTATTAGTAGGGTTTTTCAATATCGGCATAAATTGTGAATTTGCGAAAATTTCTTCATCGTAGCTTTTAATTTTTTTCTCTGAGAGATAAAAACGATTTCGTAATAAAAATAAATTAGTTAGGGAATTCGAAATCTGACTGTCTATTAAAATCGATAATAAACAATTCTGAATATAATCTAGATTGAAAAAGGAATAATTCATTAAAATTTTATATCCCTTACGAATTGGCAATAAAAATTTCCTTAATGCTTTTTCTAGCTGAGACATACAATTTTGCAATCAATCAACCCATATACTTTCAATCCGTAATGACTCTAAGCAGCCAATTGTTTTATTATAAATATTAGTGGATTCCTCAACATACCCCTCATATTTTGATTTAAATCAGCTGCTTATTAGACAGAATCTATTTATTTCGTTAATAGTGCCAATCCCTAGTTGAAAGGGTAGAAGGTATTTTTGGATTTTTTGCTTAATTTCTTCAAATGTAGAGTCGTATTTAAGCTCACAAAGCTTATTATCTTGAATAAATTGAAATTCATTTTTTACTTGAATTGGAATTTCAGAGATTATTTTATTTATTTTATCGAGCAAGAAATTAATTCTGAAATAAGCCCAGCAGTAATTTGTGCATTTTTCTCTTATTTTCTGAGTTTTCTCCATTATATCTCATATAAGTAAATCTAAATTTCTCACACTTTTAGCTTCTAAAGCTGATTGAAACATTTCCTTAATTTTTTCTATTCCTTTGTCAATTTCCTTAGGACCGTTGTAATCCCATTTATCTGGGTCTATAGTGATTCCTTGAATTTTTAGTTTTTTCTTTTCAAGCTCATTTTTTTCATTCAGAAGGACTTCAAGGACTGCATTGATTTCATGCAGACTTTCGTGTTCTTTATTACAATCCTTGAGATGAGAATCGAAATGAGTAGCACAGAAAAAACTACCTGATGATAAATAATTGCAAATATATATAACTTTAGAGCGGCAGGTTGGGATAAAACACTTATAAGCTTCCATTCTACAAATATATAAAATGTCTTAATATCAAGAAAACTTAATAGATAATAAAATCTCACATAAATTTATATTGTTCATCAAAATTTACATTCCTAAACAATAAAGCGACTACATTTAGTAGCATTTCAAAACCTATACTATTACAAATAATGATGAAACCAGAATAAAGCTGGCTAATTTATCAGGGCTAAAGCGCATCAAGCTTTTTAAAATTCAAAACTCATAGTTTTCTTAAGATTCAAAAATGATCCAAAGCTTTCTCATATATATGATATGGAATTATGAGAAACAAGAAATTTTGCATCAAATATTTAGATCCCATTTCCCCAAGCTCTCCAAGCCCTCTCAAAAACCCTACTTATGATTGATAGAAAGAAATACTGAAGATACTGCAGTATATTAATTTCTGCATCATTCTAGAGCAATTTGTAGTATAGTTTCTGATAAAAACTCTATCTCTTGGCAGTGGAATAAGATACTTTTGGGAAAAATTAACTATTTTATCAAGTTTTGCTTATATTTTGTATTAATAATTAAATGAATTTATTAGATTTATATAAAAATGAATTATTAAGAATTTTAAAACTGCTAGGCATGCTAATTGATCATAATTAATGCTTAAATATATCTTTACGGCTATTCAATTCTTTGACTTTATTTACGAATGACCCATTCAATTTGACTAATCAGATATTACTTGGTATATTCATGTTTAAGAGTGAGACCTATTAATCTAGATCCACATATACTTTATTAACAAATGAAAGCTCTCTTTTGACTAAAAATGATTTTACTTTGTATATTTGCTTAAGGGATGGAATTATTCATTAAGGGTTATTGAGCATAATTATAAACTTTATTAGATTAATAAATCTCGATATAATTATTAAAAAAAATATAAATATTAAAATTCTAAATTTTATGTTCTAAAATAAACGCTTCATTATAATTTAATTAAGCTTTTCTTGCTAAGGTCAAATTTAAACCAATCACTTTTCTTGATTTTATAATCTATTCTTTCTCCACTATAATAAAAGTATATACCCTTCTTATCGAGAATACTTGGGATATCCTCGTCATCAAATAGAGTATCGATTTTGAAATAAAATGCTCCTTCATGATAGACACTACATTTCAAAATATTTCAATTATTATTTGTTTTCCCAATTTCGGACCAAATATATTCATTATTTTCCTCACACTCAAAAATTGATCCACAATTTTCTATTATATATGCTCTGGTATCATAAGAAACTAAGATTATTTTCGACCATACGTGAAAAGTCAATGGCAACTCTAATGCTTTGTCTCCATAACGTTGGCCAACTCAAATTTCATATGCAGAAGTGTAAATACTGTACGGGAGAGCTGAAATTCAGTCACCTTAGCTTCTGGCAAAATTGCCTCAGCATAAGAACCCAGTATCAAGATAGGAGTATAAGACAAAATCTAATTCACAAGAAAACCTCCGTGGGAGAGCTAAACTTTCTGTTTCAGCAAACTTTCCACTGAGCTGGTATATTTGTTTTAGAGTGACGACTCCATAAAATTTTTTGGTCCACCCACTCTATCAGGAGTGCATCTCAAAGCCACTATTCCATGAATGCCGCCATTTATTTTATAAGAAACTAAAATCTTCCACCCCTGGAGTTCAGAATCTGAGTATGTAATCGTAGAGCAACTGTTTATTAATAAATCGAATTTCACTATTTTTCTTTTATTTTCTAAGAAGGCAATAATGCTTTTATTGAAAAAAGCCAATTGATTATTTCAATTATTAACTCACATAAATTCATATTTATTCAGTGTATTTTTTACCAAATCATACCTGCATAGAAAATCTAATCAACATTTATTTTTATTATAATCGTAAGTACCTTTTTTAATAAAATAAATAGCATTTTCATAGTACAAAAACTGGCCATTCATAAGTTTATTATTCGGACTTTTCAATAATGACATCAACTGAGAATTTGCAATAATTTCTTCATAATCCTTAATTTTGTCATAAATTTGATTGAAAAACGACTTAAGATCTCTATATAAAATATATGAATTTGTTAACTCACGTAAAATATTATCAAAAATATTGAACTCAGTTTTTCAAAAGTATTCGTATTGCTCATTCTTAGTATAAATTCTGCTTTGTAAATATTTACTAAAAATTGAATTTTTATCTTTTACTAAAATAACTGATAAAAAATACATAGCATTAGTAAATAAGGGACTTGATGAAGAGAATGAAATTTTTAACAATCCTTGCAAGGTTTGCAGCATAGGCATGCAATTTTCTAAAAAATCGATCAATTTGATTTCATTTTGTAATAACTCTAAGCGCTCAATCGCTTTCTTATAAATTTTATTGCATTCCTCAACATACTCCTCATATTTTGATTTAAGTCAGCTGCTTATTAGACAGAATCTATTTATTTCGTTAATAGTGCCAATCCCTAGTTGAAAGGGTAGAAGGTATTTTTGGATTTTTTGCTTAATTTCTTCAAATGTAAAGTCATTTTTTAGCTCATAAAACTTATTATCTTGAATAAATTGGATTTCATTTTCTACTTGAATTGGAATTTCAGACATTATTTTATTTATTTTTTCAAACAAAAAATCAATCCTGAAATAAGCCCAGCAGTAATTTGTGCATTTTTCTCTTATTTTCTGAGTTTTCTTCATAATATCTCATATAAAAAGACAGAAAAGTTAATCAGAGTCATTAAAGAAAATGCTTTGCTAATATTTTGTAGGATACCTGCAAAGATTAATATTTTGCCAGAGATAGGCTTATTATAATTATTATGCAAAACATAATTACTTATTTGATATCTATGCTATGCTTATTACTAATAATAAAAACCGCTCTAATTTGGAATTTAGAAAAATATCATAAGTAGCACATATATTTTACTCTTGAATTGACTCAATTTTGCAAGCAATATGAGCATGCTTTCTAAGAAATTAATTTTGTATATATACATTTTGCCTAATTAAATTACACTAAATAACTTTGGCATTTTACTAAAGCTTATAAGTTGTTAGAAATGCTTTATTAAATTTATTTAAATTAAAAGTAAGATGGTGATACTCTCAGCATTATCAGTCAAAGGATATTTAATTCAATTTAATAATTTGGCTATCCTTTTCATTACTAAAATTAGCTTCTAATTTGAAAACTATAAATCGAAGCTTTAAAGTATATTGAGCATCATTATAAACTTTATTAGATTAATAAAACTCAATATAATTATTAGCAGAAATAAAGAATATAAATATTAAAATTCTAAATTTTATGTTCTAAAATAAATGCTGCATTTCGAATTTAATTAAACTTTTCTTGTTAAGGTCAAATTTATATCATTCTTCTTTGATTTCGTAGGATGTTCAACTCTCATAAATATTATCCTCCATATCAATAATATCCTTATGACTATTATAAAAATAAACACCCTTCATATCAAATTTAATTTTACTATGGATTTTGAAATAAAATGCTCCATCATTATACACACTGCATTCCAAATTATCTCAGTGATAATTTGTTTTCCCTATTTCAGACCAAATATATTCATTATTTTCCTCACACTCAAAAATGGATCCATAATTTTCAAATATATATGCTCTGGTACCATAAGAAACTAACTAACCATCGGCGAACGTACAAACATATTGAAAAATCCTATTTTTTGCAGAAAATTTTTATAATAAATAGTTGATATATAGTTAATAATTAGTATAATGAAATCTCTAGCTAATTCTGTTAATTTTAGACAGCTTGCGTTTTAAAACATAAATTTTACAAATTAAATAAATATTACTTTACAATTTTTACGATTTGGGATTTTTTTAAATTTCGAAAAAAAATTGGACAATTTTTTTTAAAAAAAGGAGGCGGAGTAATGCTGGCCAACTCAAACTTCATATACCGAAGTTTAAATACTGCAAGGGGAGCTAAAATTCAATCATCTTAAGCTTCTTGCAAAATTCCCTCTGCTAAGGAAACAGATAATCATGATAAGACAAAACCTAATTCACAAGAAAACCTCCGTGGGAGAGCTAAACTTTCAGTTTCAGCAAGCTTTCCATTGAGCTGGTCTATTTGTTTAAAAGCGATTTTACCAAAAATCTTTCTAGTCTATCCTCTCCATAAGGAGTGCACCTCAAAACAACTATTCCATGAATGCCATCATTAATTTTATAAGAAACTAAAAACTTTCACCCCTTGAATTTATTATCTGAATATGTAATCATAGAGTAACTGTCTATTAATAAATCGAATGTCACTATTTTTCTTTCATTTTCTACCAAAGCAATAATGCTTTTATTGAAAAAAGCCAATTTATTTTCTATTTTATTAATTCTCATAAATCAATATTTATTCAAGGTATTTTTTACCAAATCGTATCTGCATAGAAAATCTAGTGAATCTTTATTTTTATCGAAAGTAGCATCTTTATAAAAATAAATAGCATTTTCATAGTACAAAAATTCGTCATTAATGAGTTTATTATTTGGGCTTTTCAATAATGACATCAATTGCGAATTTGCAATAATTTCTTCAAAATAGTTAATTTTGTCCAGTTTCAAATACTTTTCATTAAAAAACCGCTTACTCTCAGATGAATAAAAAATCAAAGCTAAGATATTTCAAATATAAAAAAATGTTGCAACCTCTTTAAATTCAAAAATTATTGAAAAATTCTACTGCTGCATAACAAAACTTTGTCCATTAGAGAAGGAGAATTATATTTTCTATAAAAATCCTTATGTAAACTATATGTTCCCTCTTGTAATAAAAAATTATCAAAAACATTGACTTCAGGAATCTTGCCACTTAAAAAAAATCTGTTTTGCTCAGTTTCAGTATAAAAGCTTTGCAAATACTTTTGTTTAATATTACTAAAGATTGAATTTTTTTCTTTTACTAAAATCAATGACCAAAAATACAGGATAAATTTTTCAGTATAGTAATCAATAGAAAATTTATTTGAACCTAATTCTAACAATTCTAGTAAGGGTTGCAGTTTAGACATGCAATTTTCTAATCAATCTATCCGTATGCTATCATTTTGTAATAACTCTAATCGCTCAATCGTTTTCTTATAAATTTTATTGCGATCCTCAACATAACATTCTGATATTATAAAATTTTTATTTTTTGCATTATTTTTTATAGAATAAATAATAAGCCATCAACATACTCCTCATATTTTGATTTAAATCAGCTGCTTACTAGACAGAGCCTATTTATTTCATTAATAATGCCAATCTCTCTCTGTAAGGGCAAAATGCATTTTTGAAAATTTTGCTTAATTTCTTCAAATGTAGACTCGTTTTTAAGGTCATAAAACTTATTATCTCGAATAAATTGAAATTTATTTTCTACTTTAACTGAAATTTCTTTATTTATTTTTTCATACCAGAGATTAATCCTGTAATAAACCCAGCAGTAATTCGTACATTTTTCTCTTATTTTCTGAGTTTTCTTCATCATATCTCATATAAAAAGGAAGAAAAATTAACCAGAGTCATAGAAACAAACAGCTTCCTAGTTATTTAGATCAATATTTTTTATGATACCTGTTTAAAGATGCTTAATTAATTGAACATAAATATTTGTCAGAGATAAGTTTATTATAAATATTATGTAAAAAATAGACATTGGATAATATAAAACCTTTCTTGTTCTACTTCTTTTACATTATACATATTTAACAGTCGATAAAAAGGGGTGTTTACCGATTATAAAAGACTGTATAATAATTATAATTTTCTGAATATGGGCATGAGTCAATATTCTGTCAGACTTTAAATATCTTTATTAAAAGCATAAAAATACCTTCAAAACTTTTTATAATAAATAATAATTAGGATTATCTCATATAAGTAATTCTAAATTTTTTGCACTTTTAGCCTGAAGTGCTAAAAGGAATATTTTGCTAATTTTCTCTATTCCTTTGTCAATTTCTTTAGGACCGTTGTAATTTCACTTATCTGGGTCGATAATTATTTCTTGAATTTTTAGTTTTTTCTTTTCAAGCTCAATTTTTTCATCCAAAAGCATTTCAAGGATTGCAATTATTTCATGAAGACTCCTGTGCTCTTTATTACAATCTTTGAGATGAGAATCGAAATGGGTGGCACAGAAAAAATTGCCTGATGATAAATAATTGCACATATATAAAACTTGAAAGGGGCAGGCTGGGATAAAACACTTATAAGCTTCCATTCTACAAATATAGAAAATGTCTTAAATAGCAAAAAACTTAAATAGATAAGAAATAACTCATAAATTTAGATTTCATTATCACATAGATAGCAATTTTTTTAATATTAAAAAAATTCGTTTACTCACAGAGGAAAATTTTACTTCTTTTTTTGGTTGAAATTAACTAAAGTCAATATTTAATGTCGTAAAATCGAATGATAATGCATGGATTTTTCATTTTACTAGAACCTCAATTTATAGGATATTTATTTTATAATAATCTCTTTATTCCCAATTTTTTGGCCTAATTTTCAGACATTAGCAGAAAGAAAATTTCAATGAAGAGATATTAATCTTTAATAGATAATAAACTTTTATAAAATAGTCTTCATCTAGATATGCAAATTAAGACATCCGAAGCTCTACGTTTTGAATAAATTCAATTATATAAATTAAATAAGACTAAAAAAATAATGAATTTATTTAAACCCATTTTAAACCTTGTAATAGCTAGCAACCCTTCAATCTCTTAAAGGCAACGATACGGCAATTGTTAACAAGCCCTAACTGTTCTAAAGTAAATCCAATTTCTTCTGACAAATGTCGATTTTTATAAATCACATCAAGTTCAAGTTCGTTGCTCCCAAGCATCTCCGCTAAAATGCTTCGAAAGTGAGCAAGTTTCCACAATCTGTTTACTTGTATTTTTGCGCTTTTAATAATAAAATGCATAAGAAAGGAATCTGCTCTCTCTAAGAGTGATATGGAGGTTAAGATCAACTAATAAAATTTCTTTCAATTATCGAATTTCAGAATTTAAAGTGATTAAATGAAGGTGCTCTGGATAATAAAATATCCCAAAAAGTATGAAAACTAAAAGCTTATTGGAAAGGGCATTGATATCAATATTTTGAAAATTAATTAATATCTTGACCATATAACACCACTATAAATCATAATTAAGAGTTTTTTAATTATTTATGAGAGATCACGTAAAAAGCTAGATATGCATGTGACATGTCAATAGATTGTAAGCTAGCATTTCTTGTTATGAGATCATTATATTCAGTCCAATTATTCGTATCCCATGTATATGCTATAAAATGTCTTCTATAATCGCATATTAAGCCATACAGCTTGTAAGTATAATATTCTGTATGTGTTCACGAATGCTTGCAGGTCATTTATATTCTGTTTTAATTAACTATAGATCAACGACCATGAATAATAGGTAGCAATTATTTTCTCGCGATTTTTCCCTGAAGACTATTCTTGGGAACTATTTGGCTCAGTAAAAAGCTTTTTATCGAATAATGTCTAATAAGAAAAATCTTAGCCAAATGTCGCAGATGGAGAGTTAGAAAGAGAAAATGTCGTGGAGGAAAAGACATACAGCCAAATAAAAGTAATCTTATTGAATAAAATAGCTATAATCCCTTCAATATTTAATTCTTCATTAATCTCTATTCTTCTATTATTATGAGATGGGAAATAAAAGGAAATTGTAGATGGCCAATCAATACCCTCAGTCTCAATAGTAATATCTCTAGGTTGATCGCACCTTTCACAATATAATTTATTATCGCCATAGAAAATTTTTGGCTCTCTAAGATTTTCTAAAGTATCTTGTATCGAATTGCAGTTATTCCTTGGGACTACAATAGATTCTGATATTTCATTGCATTTTGTAATGCTCGAACAAGCATGGCAGATAAAATGGTTTTCAAAAGTTATTGAAAATGAAGTATCATTACATAAACCATTTACAAGAATCAAAAATATTTTATTAAAGAAAATGTCTTTGCTGTAATAAATAAATAATATAAGATAAATTATTTTTATTGAAATGATGCCTTTTGTTAACTAAAAATGTATAAATCTGATAACTTACCCATAATAACTGCCATCACTTCTTTAGGGTCGTTAAAATTGGGAATACTAAACTATGTAAACATTACCATTGGGAATTCTGCGTTAACCTGGTTTATAAATAATCTCACAAGTTGCTTTATATTGCCAGACCCAGGATTTCTAATACTAGATAATAGTGATGATAGAGTAGACAATAATCTATTTTCCGTATGCTGAATTTTCTCACAAAATTCATTATTGCTTGCAAGAATTTGCAAAAATGAATTAAGATAGCATGTATTTTCTATGTTTGGAATCCCTGATTTTATTCTATCATATATCAGCGAACGATTTATAGATATCATTATAATTTTTATAGATTTGAGTTTTATTTCATGAATCTATAAATCGCTAAAGTTAAAATATGGCAGATCTCTATGTTTAAATTTAGAAACCTTTTGAAACTAATATCTTGTGAGAAAAATCAATACCACTTGCAATTTTACTAGTAAAGCTAAATTTTCCTATGAAATAGATTCAATAAATTATTTCACAAAATCCAATTATTAATTTTAAACATAATTAAGCTTAAGATGTTCTCTTTATCTCTATGAAAGCATGAATAACGCAGTTATTAGCCAATCCCAATTGCTCTAAAATAGAAGTTTCTTAAGCATTCATACTCAAAAACTTGCCCGAAAACTGCAATTAATCCGTAGCAAGCTATGGACTTATACAAGTCACTAATGATACAAATTAAGAAGCGTTAATCACGGCCTTACCCGCCCGAATATAATAAAATGGTGGCGTTGACAGTAGATGAACTCCAAGGAGTACAGCCTATGAGTAGGACGATCCCATCGAGCTGTCTTAGGCACCAGGGTCGTTTAATTAGACCTTTGGATTGAGGATGTTAGACATGAAAAAAACCAACTGGTGGGTTTCATGACATTTTGTGCGACTCAGTCATTACCATAATAATTTCAAAATATCGAGATTCCATAAAAGTTCCATAAATAAATATAGTAATTGCCCGAAAATGGCGCTATCTTGCGCCATCCTCGGGCAATTCAAAAATGGTCCCACACCGCGAATTGAACCCACGTGTGGGGGCCATTTTTGGTGTGTGGCCAACATCGACTTACACGCACCAAAAATGGCCCCACACGTGGGTTCGATTCCCGGTGTGGGGCAATTCCTATAACTCTGAAGATGAAGATTTGAGATGAGTGAAATTGCTGGAACTGCCCCCAAACTTTCTATAATAGATAAAAATAATTATATAAATAAAACTTTTGTTGACATCAAAGAGGTTAAAAACAAAAAATTCTCTCACAAAAATCGACGAGGAGATAAAACGACGAGAATTAGCTGAAAATAAATAAAAGCAAAGCAGAAAACCTCTTATTGATGAAATAAATTGATGATTTTCATAATTTGAATAATTATAATATCAATGTATTATAGCATATTAAAAAAATTGATTTCATATTTAAAATGTCATTAATCTTCATCAAAAACAATATCTTTATCATGCTTCGGTACCACAAAATAACTGTTCAGCGATCTCCCTGTCGGCTCATATTTTACCACTTTATTGAAATCATAATCAAACCTCCCAGGTGCCTGTCCTTCAATAATTGCCTTACTCTTCCCCTTTAAATTAGAACCAAAAAATTTTTAATGGTGTTCATTTTTAAAAGAAAATAAATAATTTTCATTAAAAATTAATTTATAAAAACTTATCAATTCAAAGTTTTTTTTGTAGTATCCTAATTTGGTATCTCTTGAAATAGAGAAAAGCTATAATTAAATTTACTTTCAAAGCTTATTTGCATAGAAATTATTATTTTCTCCTATAAAATTTTGATCTTATTTAAAAAGTTTAATTGGAAATTTTACCAATATTTGTTCAAATTTAAATGGCTATTTAGCTATTTCACTTACATTAATTTTCCCAGCAAACCCATTGCTTTCCATTTTGTTCGCGATATCATTATCTGGCCCATAAATATCATATCTCACTATATTTGTCCCCGTAATCCCAGCTATAACTTCTCCCGTATGAATCCCAATTCTCATATTTAAATTTATTTTTTTGCTTTTATTTACCCTTTTGATAGCTTTTATCATATCCAAAGCCATTTCTAGGACATTAAGACACTCTGAAGGTGGGTCTCTATTTTCTCCATCTGTAAAGCCTAAGATTACATAGCAGTCTCCTATTGTATGAACTTTATATACATTGTGTCGGACACAGAGGTGGTCAAAAATAGAAAAAAGCTTAGAAAGCATAGAGACTACGTCGATTGGGTCTTTATCAGAAGACCACATTGTAAATCCTACAATATCAGCATAAAGAATGGTAACATCATAATACCTATCAGTAGTTGTGACATCGTTGTGTAGGTTTCTTAAAACTTGAGGAGGGATCATTTGATTTAAGAGCTTTTCTGTGTTCTTTATTTCTCTTTGAGCACGCTTGTTTAGATTATAAGCTTTTCTTGATTGTCATTCTGTTATAAAGCTAATTATAGCGTTATTCCAACTTAAAATAATTAAAATTTATTATAAGAAAAAATTAGCTAAATTTTATATAAATTAAAATATTTATTCCATAAATAATAAAACACTATTTGATTTTAAAGAATAATAGCAAAAAATGCTAAAATAAGCAAAGTTGACTGGACAGCCATAAATTCATCCACATTGCTCATAGACACAATACAAATCCAATGCCCTGCATTAATAACAGTTGCAAACAAAATATACCCAAATGGCAGCCCACTAATATGGTTAATCACTAAATTTGTATACATAATCTCCAACGCCACCACATTTATAAAATAGCTCGGCATTGTTGCAATGGAAACTGCACTCAGCAAGCTCTCAATTATATAAAGCAACATAACAGCCCATGGAAATAATGAAGATTTATAAACGTTTTTAAATACCGAAACCAAATAAAACATAGTCGCCAAACATGCAAATCTCAGAACAATTTCTGGGATAGACCCTTGGTTCCTATCAAGAATAAAAGCTGTAATAAAAATAATGGTCCGAATGGTATATGTGGTAATAGTCAGTCACAGCCCATAAATTAGTCCTTTTAGGTCTCTTTCAATGCCAGACAGTCTGAAATCTTTTTGGATATCAGTTTCTTTAAAGCTGCAAACTAGCCATTCTACAGGCCCGACAAGCTCTAAATCACTGTCTTCTTGTGAGGTTAAATCAGCAAGCTCGAATTTTTGGGCTGCTTTTGTGGTCTCATCTTCTATAGTGATTTGTTGGGTTTGCATTCTTTTGTCCTCAGCCATTAATGGCTCTATACTTTTGTCGATAGCGTCTATGGAGTCTTCACCGTTCCATTTGCTACTGCTTCCTCCTAAATATACAGCCCGCCTTGTTTTCCGTCTAGCTTTTTGATTGTCTACTATAAAAGTGTTTAAAAGCCCTTTGCCTTTGGCTTCAACTTTATTAGGAATAAAATTATATTTGGTGTGGTCTCTGATAAAATTATAAGTTTCTGATGAAATTTGTATGGAATCGGGGGTTTTTAAGGTAGAGCACATTCTTGAGGCGGTATTTACAGTGTCTCCGACTAAGGAAAACTGAGGTTTATGCTCTCCTACGACTCCAGCAATAACTGAGCCAGTGTTTATTCCGATTTTCACTTGCAGTTTGTGCCCATTTTTAAGTGAAACTGGTTCAAGTTTTTGTAAAATTTTGATAGCAGCTTCTAAGCACCTTTCAGCATGATTAAGTTTCAGCTGTTTTGTAGAGAGACTAGCTTCACTATCAGCTAAGCCTCCACAGATCACATAAGTTTTATTAACAGTTTCTATTTTGGTAACACCTAATTTTTCGCATAGCCCATCCAGCATAACAAAAAATTTGTCAAGAAGTTCTAATAGCTCATTAGGTGATAATGATGAACAAATTTTATAGAAAATAAGCTGAATATTTTCAATTATTTTTTATTTTAAAAAATCAATATATTCAGTTTAATATATATATCAAAATCATATATATCACAAAATACCACAGTGACGCTGCTTTGTTTTTCAGCAATATATCTCACTCCTTCTTTTACTCTATCTTTTACAAAATTTGGCAATAAATTACTCAAGATGTCTTGGCCTTTTTGGAATTGAAATTCCAGCTTTCGCTGAAACACAAATTCTTCACGGGCAAACTTTTCTAGTAAATACCCTACATATGTACTGACTAAAAAAATCCCTATAGAAAGCACTGCATAATTAAATAAAATAATCAAAGCATCCCTGACGTCTTCATCTAAGGAATACATAATAGCCATATACACCAAATAAGCAAATAAGAAAATTGCATTTATGATACAAATTTTGTAGTTCCCCACGTTGAATATAAAGAAATTTAAGGTTATAACCAGAGCTGTGCTTAATGAGGAATCATAATGATAGAAAACTTCATGGACAAACTTAAACAGCAGATAAGATGCTACAAATGCAAGGATTCATACATCAAATTGCCTTATAAACGATTTTCTAGTGGAAAACCATAAAATAAAAAAGCATAGGCATAGTAAAACACTGTAAGAGACGACAACTCCAATATTCCCTGTATTTGAGATAATTACATACAATTCGAAGGCAATACCTAATATAATGATAAGTCTTGCGAGAGCTGTCATAAATTTTGTGATTCTTTGAATTATATGAGTTTTGTAGGTTTTTTCGACGTAGGGGTGCTTGAATTGGAGGAAAATGTTGTGGAAGGCATAGTAGTCGTGGTCTTCGTCTTCATTAGCACCCATATCGACATTTTTGGGGATGAAAACTTTGTTGAGACAGTCTGCATATTCTTTGACCCTCATAAGGACGAGCTTAGTTCTGTTTTTGGACCTCATTTGGTATCTTTTACTGGGGGCAACTTTGGAATTTTTCACTATGCTGTTATCATTAATATTCATTATTATTGTTGCATAAATAGCTTAATTTTTTAAAAAAAAAATGCTATTTATTTTATATTTTTCCTTCAGTATACTACATTAATCAGCATATTAAAGAATCAGCCTTGGTGGGGTACCACAACATTCCTATATACTTAACAGTAATATAATGAATGGCGTTAATAGCTGATATATGTTAAAATGGCGTGGCGAATCTTCACTCTCTTAATTCCTGTAGATGGAAGCAGCAATGTCGAACTAAGCAGACCAAGTTGATCCTGCAACAGATTTCTCTTAACTCCCCCCCCCCCCTCCGTGAGCGAACAAAAAAATTTTGTTCACTCACGGAGGGGGGTTAATTTTTTTTTTTAAAAAAAAATTTATATATAATTTTATAAAAAAATATTTTTTTCGAAATTTAAAAAAATCCTAATTTGCAAAAATTGGGAAGCAAATATTAATTTAATTTGCAAAATTTATGTTTTAAAACGCAATTTGTTTAAAATTAAACAGAATTAGCTCTAGATTTCATTATACTAATTATCACTTATATATCAAAATTTTTTTCCATTAAAATTTTTTCTATTAAAAAAAATTTTTGTTCGCTCACGGAGGGTGGATTTTTGGTCAAAAAATGGTGATTTTTCTAATGGTTTTGTTCGCTCACGGAGGGGGGGGGGGGGAGTAAGAAAATTGGAGACAGAGTTGGAAATTAAATTAAGAATCTTAATGTCTTCCAGATTTGATGCCTCACACACTTTCGACTAACGCCAACCTGCTTGCGGGCGGAAATTCAGCAGCAGCTATTTGGAACAGTGATCTTCTCTAGGAGCAGGGCTTGCACTGCGACCTTCAAGAGTGTCGACGGGTTAGAAAGACGCCTGTCAGTACGCCATCGTATGCTATGGATGTAAAGGTTAGCCGATACCTCCTGTCGGCCACCTTCGGTGGAGGTGACACACAGGAAAAAAGAACTATGGCCTTCCGGAACAGAAAGGAAAAGCCCGTAGCCCAAAAATCATTTGATAACTAATACCTGAACTGGTCACCAGCTGACTCCCAAGGTTTACCCCCATGCAGTAGCGATTACGCATACTAAGGGTTAGAATTAAAGAACCTGAACCTTGGTTTAGGCTATAAAACCATTTTAGCGCCCAAAGTGGTGCGACCTCTGTAAGGACATATTTCGTCGCCACCACCATATTAATTATCAAAGTTGGAATGGGAGCCCAGAGGTGATAGAAGTTAGTCTGTTGGACAATAGAGATTATTTCAAAGCGCGATATCAGGCTTTGCTTTTTGGGCTTGGAGTTTCCTTTTTTTCCTTGAGTCGGCAAGAAAATTCGACCTTTTGAATTTTCAATGACATTCTATACTGACGCAGGGAGCATGGCATACATTTTTCGAGTTCGGGTACGAGCTCAGGCCCAGCCAGAAGAAGCAATCTTCTCGATTTTGTGAACCACGAACTCGCAAACAGGCAGGAAAAGGAATAAGAGCCTTAAGTAGCATCTCACAGTTAGCTTATCAATAACCTTAGCTAGTGCCAACGCATTAATAACTGGAACCATCATCATACTCACAATATAATACGGATGGTTGACTACAAATGCAACCCAGGGACACTCCTTCAAAAGCAAACTCCATTGATAATAAACAATATATGTATTATTGCAGTATATTCATTTCTGTATTACTTTAATGTTATTTTTTAACGTATTTTCTAATATATTGATACTTTATTTCATATCCCTAATACATAAAGAAGTTCTAATTTTATGGCTTTTTCATATGAAAATTATGGTGAAATTTATAATAATGGCATTTTCCATTCGTGTGGTTTTTTTAATGTTAAATAAGATTTTCGAAAATTTCAATTATTTTTATCAGTAAAAATTTTACCATTCCATGACAACTAAGTGAGGGTCCTTAGGTCCAACCTGTGCTTGACCATACGGAAAATAAAATGTCTTTGTTGAAATTCCCCACATAATATAATTTCCATACCCACTATAATCATACCAAAAAATCAGTGGATAAAACAATAGGATGCTCACCCCAGAAGTCCAAAAAAACAGTCAAGTCCAATCATAAGATTCCACTGTAATTACATAATTGACCGTTTTTATAGCTATTGCAAATGCTACAACTCCTGTAATATCTAAAGACTGTGGAAACCCATCAACAGTAATCGCATTTACAACAGCCCCATACATGAACCCAAATAGTATTCCACTATGTACAACAGCGAACATAGACCACCTTATAAATCACCGAAGATTGAATTTTCGCTTATAAATGCCATCTGTATAGAGGACTGGGCGATTTATTATTACTTCTTTACTAAGATCTCTGTCAAGACTGCCTACAATTACGATAGGAAGAGAAGTGAAAACGACGTTGTAGAGAGTCATAAGGAAGGAGTCATAAAAGGAGGTGCCGCTGAAGAGATTTATAAAGCTGAAGTAGAAGTTGGGGAGAACTAGCATAAAATTTTTGTAAAATGAGTATAAGATAACCTTGGAAACTCTGTTATAGTTTCATCTGCCGTGAATAAGTAGCAAGGGGACTAAATAAGCAAATCTTGCGATTACATACTCGCTAGCATTTGCAGCCTGCATACCTTCTTTGCCACAGATCCCAACACCTATATGAGCTTCTTGGATCATAGAAACGTCATTAGCCCCATCTCCTATAGCAAGAGTCATAGGCTTAAATGCTAATCTTTTTTTGACTATTTTTACAAGCTCTGATTTCTGTAATGGGGTAACTCGGCACAAAATGACTGCATGGCATAAGCTAGCAAGCATCATAAAGTATTTTACAGTAATGGGGTCATTAATTATAAACCCCAAAGCTCGGCCGTCAACTACTAAGCCTATGTTCAGGCTTTCTAAATTTTTTACCTTTAAGTCCCCTTCAAACATCTCTCCATCATCAGGAATTACTTGATACCTTGTGTTTTTCCTTGTATGATTGTGGTTGATGGTATTTCCAGGTGTATTATCAGTGACACACCTTATTTTATTAAGTACGCTGTTATGACGGTTTTTCTCACCTTTTACATATCTTGCTAAATGTGCCTTAATAAGCCCTCTTGATTCCTCTAGGGTATATAGTTAAATATGGCTATTCGGCGCAGAGCAGCAGCAGAAGTCCATAGCCGCCCACTAATACTGAGTTGTAAGCAATGACGAGGCTCAGGAGGAACTAAGGATGTCCAATGGCAATAGGGGCCGAAGGAGGAGCATGATGATGTCGAGCATTTTTTCGCTTGGGGAGACATCTCAAATGACCTAACTTAACCGATGGCATCACAAAGCAGATGAACCCTCGAGGTAGTCTTTGGTGACTTATTAACAATAGGCGGAAACTATCTATAATTAAGACTAAGATTAAGATTCCTCTATTCTCCCCGTGAGAAAACAAAACTATCAGGAAATCCCTATTTTTAGAGTAAAAACACTCTCAGAAGCAAACAAAACTTTTTAATATAAAAATCCCCTTCGTGAACGAACAATTTTTTTTTCTCTCATGTGGGATAAGGTATTTGCAGCAATTTTAATAATATCCATATCAGGCTGCAATAATTTGCATGAATAGCCTATATTTACAGCTGTTTCTGTCCTATCTCCTGTTAACACCCATACTTTGATTCCTCCCTCCATAAGTGTTTCTATAGCTTCTGGGACTCCTTCTTGAATTTTATCTTCAACAGCCGCAGCCCCTATCAAATCCATATCTTTTTCAAACTCTTCAGCAAGCTCATAAAGCCTTGCTGCCTTATCAGAAAGGGCATTTTTAGCTGTATTATATCGGATTTGATAGTCATTGGCTTGCTCCATCGTTAGTTCACGGCGTCCTAATACAAAAGTCCTAAGACCAGATAAAGAAAATTCATCAAGATGCTTATTAATAGTAATAATGTCTTGAGAAGACCCTAAGCAGCGCTCAAGCATGACACTATCCGCACCTTTACAAAGCAAAATCACGTTTCTATTCCTTTCACTCATAGGCTCTACTACAATTGACATACGTTTTCGTTCTGAACTAAATTCATTTATCCCTAAAATCCTGTATTCTAAGGTTTCTCCATTGATTCTTACTCCCTCTCATTTTTTAACAAAAAACCACATATAAATTTTAAAAAAAAAAATTAAACGCTCCTGTAGCCAACAAATATTTTTTAATCGCTTACGGAGGAGAGTAAAGAAATTGAGCTGTCTTTGTAGCCTATTAAAGAATAACCAAAACAATGTGCAGCTATAGTGTTTTAATTAAATGAATGGAAATCGAATTATTAATAAAAATAAATTTAATTATGTATAGGAAGGTATATTACTAATGCCTCTTCATCAGGAGAAGCAGCCTGATATATTGGCTCCCCATCAAAATCAAAATCTGGGGTAACCGTATTACAGAGCGCTAAAAGTTCAAAGAAATCTCCAATTTCTTTTTTCCCTTTGGTTTGCATATCTTCTAACAAATCTGGGTCCCAAAATTCAAATTTTTTGTGAGGATTTACTTGACATTTTTGAAATCTTTCGTTTTCTTGGTTAAATCCATAAGATTTTCCTTTAATAGAGCACATTTTAAATTCCATAACATTTTCTGTCAAAGTCCCAGTTTTATCAGTAAAAATATACTCGATTTGTCCTAAATCCTCATTTAAATCCCCAGTTTTTACTGAAGCAGGCATATCTGTTTCATGGATTCCTCCCTTTTTTATTAATTTTTTTTTTAAAAATAACACCTAATAATTTTTTCTTTTCCCATTTCATCATCATAATACATCGAATTATCTCACTGGATAAGCTTTGATTGGACTGCTTTTACAATATCAAGAGTAATATATAAAGAAATAGGAATCAAGCTATTATAAAGAATCAAAAAAGTAATAAATGATATTGGTGATAATTCATATGTAGACCCTGAAAAGTAGCTGAATTGGTCTGAGTTTGAATATGACTGGGTCATATAAATTGCGGTGTCGAGGAATGCAATTGCAAAGAGAAAAGTGAAAATTATTGTAAGATAACTGTTTATTTTTTTCTCAAGGTTGCTCACTTTATTAGATTAGATTAGATTTAAATATGTATTTCAAGTCCCTGCTTCGTCGTCGAGACGTTCCACGGGTTTACCCCGTGGGGTGGCAGAGGCGCTATCGCTTCAAGCCCGGGTCGAAATCCCCGGTTTCTCGTAGAGGTAAAGGTCAAGGGATGTCTTATACAGTCTTCGCTGACCGCCTCCATTTCCAACTTGCCACGTCGCCCAATTTTTACGCCAACCCTGTTCGCACCGATCGCCGGATCCGCTCGCTGAGAGCGATTTAACCAAAGAGACCCTCGTTGAGATGTCTAGTTTGCCTTCCCCTCTTTTCCGGTCATCCCGAAAAAAGAACTCAACAGCTTTGGCCATTCGGGGCAAACCATAAAAGCAGCTTAGGCAGGTAAGTCACCCTGCCTCATTTCGGGCACCCACTGGGCGGGGCGCTGCTGGCAAAAAGAAGTCGTGAATAAATGCCCAAGGGTTTGGTCGCAAAAACAGCGGTCTTCGCGCTTAGGCCTCTTGCCTCAAGGTCTCAAACATTGCTGGGCTAATTCCCGACTCCAAAAACCATGCCCGGATATGCACGGGTAATCACCCATGAGAGGGTGGGTCGGACGTCGTCCGCCATTTTATGTATGTGATTGCTCATAAATAAAATGGCATTTCGGTTCGAGAGAAATTAGCTTTGCTAATTTTCTCTCCCTCATGGAATTTTATTTATGGGGTTAGGTTTTCACTCGAGAACTTCTGGAGCAATAGCGGTTTTAACTCTGGGGATAACCAGAGGAACTGCTCCTCAGTCCTCTCAAGATTTCGGGCTTTTACCTCTCAGCACATCTCCAAGGGAAGATGACCCTCAGGCGGAACACGCGCAGGAGCTGAGTCTAGACAAGGGCGACGGCAACGCGCCGGGTGAGACGTGCAGCAAGGCTGGTGTAGCAGGAGTTGATAGAAGGCTTGGCCAGGGCTGACCTGTACCAAGATGGCTCGCCTACGTCACTAGTTTTGCCATAGGTCCATTTTGGGGCTGCGGCACTAGACACCTTAAAAACCAGATAATTAAGTTAAGTAAGTATGTGATTGCTCACTTTATGAGGAGGATGCTTTGAGTTTTTCATTAATTTTGTGTCATTTCCAGTAAAAACGACCAAACCAATTATTCATGGAGTGTTTTTTAGTGTGCTGCTTTGCAAAATCATATTTCCTAAATATACAGGAGTTGCTCGGGGATAGCCTTTTAGCTTAAGCCACCCTTCAAAAGAGTGCAGCCTATTATTTGGCTGTTCAGTTTTTATAGCAAAACTTGCCAATTTCCTTTTCCATTTATCCACCATTATCTATTTTTCTACAAAAATATTATTCTATAAAAAATTTTCTTCCTTAACTTTAATATAAAACCGCATAAAACCCCATCTTCAATTATATGCATATTTTTCATAGCCTCAATCGGTGTGGTTCCTTCCATTACGCTCGAAATTTCATTCAAGCATTTTTTAAGTTTCAAACTTTCTTCTCCATCCAGACTTGTCGTTTCTACATAACATACTTTTTCTCTATGCCCTGAAGCCAATAACATTATATCAGCAGGGACATGGACTTCTCCTTCCAGCAGCACAATATTCCCCACTCTCAAATCCATTCATTTCACATCCTCAAATTTCCCAGTTGTGTGCTCCCATTTCTTAGTAATTCTATTATTGATTTTCCTATCCATTGCGTGTCTTCGGTAATCCAAATACCCATCTTTGAATAGTGAGACGGATAAGATAAAAGAAAGAGGCGCAATTGTAGCCCAATTTGCAGTAGGAGATAAATTAAAGGGTAAAAGCTGGCAAATTGAGACTATTAAAAATCAAATATTCGCGACTCTGTTGAACTGCTCGAATAAGTTTTTTGGGACTCAGGACAAAATTGTGTATTTTCCTGATGAAATAAAATTGTTGGGGAATGCTGTGGGCTCACAAGCTAGGCCGCTTTCGATTTTTATTTGTCGGAATTCTGCAGAGGAACTGTCAATAAATGCTGCATCTGCCATCTATTTTCAATTTTATTTTTATGAGGGAATTTAATTTGTTATAGAGTTATATATAAAGGATTTTTTGGTAAATGCAAGGGGTTTGGAAGGGAATGATAATTAATTGAAGAATTTATTATAAAAACTTGGAAAATATCACTTATTTATTCATTATATATTTAAAAAAAATATATAAAAAAGAAAATTATTTAATTAGGATTATTATGGAGAAAAACGCTATATAAAATATAGGTATATAAATATAAATTTGCTTTGGAAAAATCAGAAAAAGTGTACAAGAATATCATGATTTTTAATTTTTGTTATATCAAATTTATTTTTGAAACTCTGATATATAACTCTTGAAAAACTATAGGTAATGCCTTTGAGTAGCGCGCTAGCGCCCGAGGCTTCCCGACGAAGTCTGGGCGGTGGTTTGACCAGCTGATGTTGGTCAAACCAATATCCAAAATGACAAACTCTTCTCATATAGAAGATTTGTCAAATTGGATGCTGGTTTGACCAACATCAGCTGGTCAAACCACCGCCCAGACTTCGTCGGGAAGTCTCGGGCGCTTAGCGCACTACTGAAAGGAATTGCCTATAATATGGCCCTTCACTATTGAAATAGGCTTTTATGATTATTAATAAGAATTTATGCACTTTTATAAATTTCATACGATTTTGCATCTAAATAAAAATTACAATTTCTAATATCAATATTCCTTCTTTCTTTGCCAAACGATTCTACTAAAGTTTTTCTTTTATAATCTTTGAAGTCAGAATCATAGCTTCCTGGGCCAGGCGACAAGTTATATTCTACCTTAAAATTACTTTCATATGCATCCCTTCCAACCTTTGAAAAAATCCCTCCTCTTTGCTTAGGTTTTGCACTAACTTTATACTCAGCTGGGCCTGGTGTATCAGTTAGCTGCATAAAGGACTCAAATCTTCCTTTCAGCACCTTTTCTGGCTTTTTAAAAGCAAATCCTGAAGAGTTCGGGAAATATTTTGGGTTATATGAACCTGGCGGAGGAGCTTCATTATTATTGGGTTTATCTCTTGTTGCCTTGGGAAACGCTATACTTGTAGATAAACTATGAGGATAGTTATAAATAGGTCCAGGAGACCTGTCCATTAAGATGTTTAAAAAGTCAAATTTTCTTTTAGATTTCGGAAACTTCGTCGATCCTTCTGATTTAGCGACTGATTTTATGTCAGGAAAATAAGCGCTTGATCCAGGCGATTGGCTGCCTTTTAATTGCTTTGTCAGTTGTCTGCCATAGTACAATTTATCAGTAGATTTTGCCTTGGAAAAAGTTATTTGTGGTGAATTATGATAACGGACGGACTCTTTTCCGAATAAATTACTCCCCCCCCTCCGTGAGTGAACAAAAAAATTTTGTTCACTCACGGAGGGGGTTAATTTTTTTTTTTCAAAATTTAAAAAAATCCTAATTTGCAAAAATTGGGAAGCAAATATTAATTTAATTTATAAAATTTATGTTTTTTAAAACGCAATTTGTTTAAAATTAAACAGAATTAGCTCTAGATTTCATTATAATAATTATCACTTATATATCAAATTTTTTTTTCATTAAAAATTTTTTCTATTAAAAAAATTTTTGTTCACTCACGGAGGGTGGGTTTTTTGGGCAAAAAATAGGGGATTTTTCTAATGGTTTTGTTCACTTACGGAGGGGGGGAGTTAGGAATTTCGTAGCTGCCAGGGCCAGCTTCAGTGTCTAGTGGAAAGTCGTCATCAAGAAGAATTTGTGAGGAGCTGCGTTCTTTTTTGGATGTATTGGATTTCATAAGGTGAATATTTTATTTATTAATATGGATTTTACGATTATTATTCAGGAGTTTCATATACTGTAATGTAATTGGGAATTAACGATTTTCTGGCAATTTAAATTGGTGAAAAATATTTTAATTAAGATTTAAGTATTGTAGCTTAAGTTGGAGATTTTTATTATAAATAATGAATCAAATTCTTATGAATTGCAATTTTAATGCAATTTAACTTAAAATTTATAAGCAAAAATAATAAACCAATTGATTATCATTAATCTTAATTTAAAATCGTAATTATTTATATTAAAAACTATAAGCAGTTCAAAAGTATTATTGATTATCATATTTTATGATTTTCAGGCTTACTATTCTTGCAAATTTCTCTATTATTTATTCTGTTTTTTTATTGCTTGCAAGTACGCCATTTCGTTAAAATAATTTTAAATGGAGAGATACCTTAACCCACAGCATCGGAACACTTCTTCTGATCGAAAGCCAAAATTCCTCCCAAAACCTCCACAAACAGAAGAAACAAAAAAACACTGTGAGCAGCACGCAAACCAAATGCACATAGGAGTCCTTAAATCTTTCAACGATTCCGACAAATTAAAAAAGCTTACAACAGAGCTTCAAGAACATAGAGAAAAAGAATTAAAATACTTAAAAATCATTAATGAGCTAAAGCATATAGTTTCCAGACAAAATGAGCAGCTGACCAAGCTTACAAAAGAAAATGATAAATATCGCAGAAAGTTAGAATCCTCTCGAAGAGAAGAACTTGAGCTGCAAATGGCTATGAGACTATCAGCCATGGAAGGAATTGACCCAGAAGTGGCTCAGTCTGCCCTTATGAGTGGGGAAAATTTATTTGGGCTTGGAATGCAGCAGGCTATGTGAAGCTATCAAGACCCTACAGATCCTGATAATATGACTTATGAGCAGCTGCTAGAATTAGGGGAACAGATAGGAACTGTCAATGTGGGGTTGAGTAATGAAGAAATTGAGGGAATTAAAGTTGTAGAAAATGCGAATGGGTGCTGCTCGATTTGCCAAAATGATTTTATTAGAGAAGATGTGAAAGAATTGAGGTGTGGGCATCAATATCATATTGAATGTATTTCAAAGTGGCTGATAAAGAAAAAGAAATGCCCTATGTGTTTTGAAAATGCTATAGAAGAATAATTTAAATTTTTCTTAATCTCCCCACTACGAGCAGGGAACAAATTGGGCTTTTGTGAGGGTAGTTAATTGTTTTTTAAATTCTATATATAGGTTTCATAGAAAACTGCTTTTATCAGAAATTTAAAAAAATCCAATTCACAAAAGTAATAGTGAAAATTAATTTAATATGAAAATTATATTTTAGAATGTAAGTTGTTTAAAATTCAAAAGAATTAGCTAGAGATTTCATTATAATAATCATCATTTATATATCAAAAAAAGTTTTGATTGTTCATAGTGGGATTTTCCAAGGTTTTGATCGTTCATGGAGGGGAGTTAAGAATTTTGAGATTTTATATTTAGGGCATTGGGTTTATTGAAAAATTAAGTTTAATAGGAAAATAATAAAAATATCAAAAAATATATATTAAATCAATTTAGTTAAATAAGCCTGTACGATTGCAAGATAAGTTTTGGTAAAATTTGCTTATATTAAAATAAAATAGCCTAATGATAATAATTTAATTAAGTAGGAAAAATCATTAAAACATTTAAGTAATTAATAAATTTTTATATATTTCATTTAACCATGAAAACTAAATGTATCTCGTACCCTCTCAGCATTTACCTTTCCATTATTGCTATTCAGAAATTATAATAAAGGAATATTGGAAAAATATTTGCCATAAATGGCAATACAATTACACATATTAAAAATTCAAATGATTAAGTCAATTAATCTTTCATAAAATTCAATTAATTTATTGATTAAAACGCCAAAGATTTTTATTGCAAAATTCACTATTTCTCTTTAATTATCCTAACCTTAATCATATATAAAATGGTGGTGTTGACGGAAGATGGATTCCGAGCCACAGTAGCAGATAGATTTTGTCCGATGAAACTATATAATGCCTATTCCACTCTCAAGTATGCCTTATTCCTGCCAGAGAGGGAAATTCTAACTCCCCCCCCTCCGTGAGTGAACAAAACCATTAGAAAAATCCCTATTTTTTGCCCAAAAACCCACCCTCCGTGAGTGAACACAATTTTTTTAATAGAAAAATTTTTTATGGAAATAATTTTTGATATATAAATGATAATTAGTATAATGAAATCTAGAGCTAATTCTATTTAATTTTTAAACGAATTGCTCTTTAAAACATAAATTTTATAAATTAAATTATTATATATTTTTCCAATTTTTGCGAATTAGGATTTTTTTAAATTTAGAAAAAAATATTTTTTATAAAATTTATATATAAATTTTTTTTAAAAAAAAAAATTAACCCCCCCTCCGTGAGTGAACAAAATTTTTTTGTTCACTCACAGAGGGGGGGGGAGTAAAGGTTTTCCTGTTACTGCCTAGGCTAGACGGTTGCTCCAGCCACCATAGTCTTGTCTTAGACAGCCTTCCATTACCTTATTGAGTTTTGATATTTGGAGACTGTCTTTTTTAAACCAAGACAAGGCGAACACTAGTATTTTACCGCTTATGGCTGAAAACCTTAATCTTAGCCTTAATCCATTTTAATTGGCTAATTGCTAGATTTATAAATCCCTTCTATTTTAGCAAAATCTTTATAAAAATTTCTTCTAAGTTTTCCTCATAAAGTATTTAAATTATTAACTTTGGTGAAATAGTTATTTTATTAAGGGGATTTATTACAATAAAGATCAATGGACGAACCTGAATTAAGAAGACCAAAGCCTTATAAGATACTCGAACAAGTGATGGTAGAGTTGTCAAAACTTGACTATTTTAACTATTTCAGAATCCCATATGGCCGAAAGCCAATCCTTATCCCTGATTCTTTTACCGCAAATATAAACTCACGTTGCTACTTAGATTGCGCCAATACCAGCCCTTCTATTTCTATCGTCATCTCAAACAAAAAGTCAGACAAGCCTTACAAGAAGCTAAAATTAAGTTATGATGTCGACGATTTTCTTACTCCAGCCAAAAAAAAAAATTGTAAATTAAGATTGGAATGAAATTCATAAGTGAGAAAAAAAATTATGTTTATATAAAAATAATATTCTAATTATGCTTATAATGAAATTTCAGCTAAGTTTTTACTTTAGCAGTATAAAAAAAATATTTTTTATTGATTAAATGAGTCAAAAGATCGCAAATTAAAAAGTATAATAGGCCAAAAACACAAAACCTGTTGCTTACTATTGAGGGAGCTAGCATTAAGTCTTTTAAGCTAGAAGATGACCCAATTTATGTGTCTAATTATTTAGAGTATGAGGAATGCCATTTACAAAGTCTAGATGACCTTTATTTCAATGTTATCACAAATTGTTATTTTTCCATTTCTCAGCTGAAAAATGACTTCGTGAAACTAATGCTGAAAAAATTATTCACATTATAATCACAATGAATTAGCTATAAATGCCTTTTATCTAATTTTTTATAAAAAACAGGGATTTAATTATAAAAACAAGCAATTAAAATAGTCATAGAGAATAAAATCAGCTAGGAATATAGGTGAGAAAAAGTATAAATAAAACATAATGAACTTTATTTGATAAATAAACAGATATAATATATTTATATAGTTAATAAATATGGTATATATTAATGAATTCTGAAACGAAGCAAGTATAAGGTTTAAAAGGTATGAAAAAGATTTAAAAATCCTTCTAAAAGATGAATGGAAAAGCTTAATTAGCGACAATCCCAACCCCAAAGTAACTGGAAACTGGCATCGGGCACCTTATAAAACTCGTGAATATAAAGAAATTTCTGATTATGAGCCTGTTGCTGGAGGCTCCACCACTGATAGGTTAAAAACTGACAAAAAGGGCTGCTGTAATGGGAAACATTGCTCATCCTTAGAAGCTTTAGGCCCATTTGACTTAGTCACCGGAACCTGGAAAACTTTAAACAAGGACCGGCTTGCCCGCACAGAATGTTCTGAGACCTGCCCATGCGTAAAAAATGGCATCTGCATGAACCGCCAAATTTCTGACCATCAAGAAAAGCAGCTCTGACTTGACGTCGTTGAAACCCCCACCTGGGGCTTTGACACCTACACCTATCGCAACATTTTCGTCTATCTCCGGGTGCCATTTGACCCTTATTCCTATTGTTTCATTGACAAAGCTCTGCCAAAAGCTATCAATTCTGTAAAATGAAACTCATGGGACATACGCGAAGCCTTAGATTTGATACTAAAAGACACCAGAGGAACTTTTAATTTACTAGACATGAAGTACGCGCATGGGCTTTTAAATGCAATAAATGCGTTAATTGGGGTTTATGGAGCTGATGCTGTGCTTAATGAATTTAAAATTCACCCAAAAGGCACTGGGGTGGTATGCATTAATAGAGCAGGGATCCCAGCCAATTCTTTAGTGGTAGAATACTCAGGGGAACTATATACGCCTGCATTGTGGTTTGAAAAACAGGACGCTTTAAAAAACGCGAATAATACAATGAAAAGGAGGGCAAATGATGCTGGGGAGTGTTTACCGGATTTTTATAATATTATGATAGAGAGGCATATGGACGACCCTGCAGGGTATGATGTGATGGTGGTTGATCCGATTTTGAAAGGAAAATATGGAAGCAGACTGAGCCATTCTTGTGCACCGAACTGTGGGACTGTAACTACAGTAGCTAACGGAAGATATACAATAGGGATGTATGCGCTTAAGCCAATTTCTTATTTAGAAGAGCTTACTTTTGATTATAACTCGTTCACGGAAAGCAGGGACGAGCATTTCAGCAGCATCTGCTTGTGTGGGAGCTCTTATTGCCGCCGGTATTATCTTTCTTTATCTAAAAACTCTACAAATTTCCACCCTTCCCATAATTTTGTCCATCGCATTGGGCTTATTTTGCGTTCCTGCTATACCCCGCGGTCAGATAAACATATAGAGATTTGCAATAAATTTTCAATTAAATCTGCATTGCTTGATGGCTGCCCTGATTGGCTGGTCGTGTGAGTCGCTTTGGTGCTAGAAGTAGTCCAAGAAGAGCTGAATTCGAAGCCAAATGAAATTGAGAAAAAAATTGTCCTGGATTCCAGGATACAGAATTTGGCAATTACAATAGATATACTTTATATAGAAGAATAGCTGATAATTTTTAATTGAAAAATAGGGGATTTTATATGAGAAAAAATGTATATTTTATATAAAAAGACATAAAATAAAATATTGTATGAGCAATTCAAATGATCACCCTCCTATGCAGCTGCTAAGTAAAAAGGATGCATTAGATTATATATGAGGAAACGAAGAGTACTCACTCCCCCCCCCCCCCTTTAAATTGGAACTAAAAATTTTGTTCCAATTTAAAGGGGGGTTAATTTTTTTTTTTAAAAAAAAAATATCAATATAAAATTTTTTATAAAAATATATAAAAATTAAATAAAGCAAGGAATAAGTAAATTTTGAAATTTTATAAAGAATTCCTATTGAATTTATATCAAAACTATCCAAATAAAAAATATCATTTTTACCAAAAAAACAAAAAAAAATTTTTAAAAAAAAAAACATTAATTTTTTTTTTAAAATTTACCAATTAAGGATAATAAATTTATTCAAATAAGATGCTCTTTATACTTTTTCTTTAAAACAGAGCAAGATATAACTAAATTTTTAAGTTTAGTTAAGAAGAAGCATTTAACTTATATCAAAACTTTTTAGATAAAAATTATATATAATTTTTTATTATAAAATTAAATTTTGTTCCAATTTAAAGGGGGTTAATTTACCAAAAAAGTGGAAATTTTACCGATATTTTGTTCCAATTTAAAGGGGGGGGGAGTCAGTAAAACAAAGCTTGATGAAGCTGACCCACGAGTTTCCAGGTCTAAACAGCCTTTTAGGAAAAGCGAACTCATTAAATCAAGCTAGAAAACAGTTACTAAAAATCCGTGATCTCCTCAGAGCACATGCCCCAAGCCGCTGAATTGGCGCAGGGATTGCTGATATTCTCCACCTTATCGCTTATACCCAGCTTTTCTTCAGAGACATCCCTTACGCTTCTTTTGAGTCGCAAGAAATCCACATCCGCCCAGGCGAAATTTCTCGAAATTCTAAATTTGACTCAGAAAAACTGACCAAAAAATATTCTCCATTGCATATCCAAGGGATTATGGCAGGCTGGTTCAAGCAATCTGTAGAGAAGCCACACGCGTCCCTTTCTGCTGACAAGCGAGGAGCAATTACACTGTCATCACTAGAAAGTTTGCCTGAAATGGAATATAATGAGGAGCTTAGGGGAAAATTAATAAAGCATCTGCAAGAGAAGCCAGCGTCGCCGTGGCCTGCAAAACATAGTGAAAGATATCCGTGGGGGACTTTTGTGAATTCTGCAAGGGTGATGGGGTCTCCGATGTTTGATACGTTCCATAATGATGAAGAAGCTATAACTAGGTGCTTGAAATATTTAGATGTCCCGGCTGAGAGCTGTGATATCCCACCTTATTATGATCTTCCTTAAGTTTTAAATATTAAGATGATTATTCTTTTAAGTTAGAAATTTTTAGCGATTTTTGATAAAGCAAGCCATTTTTTAATTAATTTACTATTATAAGAGGAGAAGAAATAATTTGGTATACAGAAAAGTGCCTGCTTAAGATAATATGCACTTACTAATTGAATAGCTATTTTAAATTAATAAATAAGCCAACTATATAATTAATATAGAGTAGCATAATCAATTATTAGTAACTTATAATAATTTTATATTAAAATTTCAATTTAATTTTTTAGTTTTTATTCAAATAATTAAGCACACCATGGAAAATTATTGACATAATATTTTTCACAAATCGCTTTCTTCTTCTTTTCAAATCCTGATGAGCTCAGTTATTTAATATATTAATTTATATTAAAACTGCTAAATCTATAGCTAAAACCTCCCTATTTTGCACATAATTTAATTTTTTTCTAATATAAAATCAAGTCATTATTAAATTATTTTTTTATTAAAAACATTCATCACAAAACCATGAAAATTGTTACGTCACTATAATATAAGAAATGTCATTAGATGGCAAGATCCTTTCTTTCCTAAGAGCTCTTGTGTCTTCTCGTGAAAGAAAGGCTGCTACAACTGGCATTATAATAGGCATCCTTTACCTTTTGCATTGAAGCCAACAAAGGACTTCAGCAAAAATTTCTCTTCAGAGGAGTAGAAAAGCGAATAAAGGCAGCGTTGACCTGGACTTTTTCAAGAGGACTGTGGAACTTCTGAAAATTGTTGTCCCAAGCTGAAAATCCTTAGAAATGCTTAACCTTGTATTGTTAAGCGGCTTGTTAGTTGCAAGAACGCTTCTCAGTATTTCTATTTCAAGTGTTAATGGGAGAATTGTTAAATCAATCGTTACAAGAGACTTGAATTTGTTTATGAAGAGGGTATTTTTTATTTAAAATTAATAACATTGAATAATAAAAGTTTTTTTTTAAAAAAAATAAAGCCAGCTTATTATGATTCAGCATAGATCATTCAATTAGCTATGTTCGCCATCCCAGCCTCAATGGTAAACAGTGGACTTGACTATTTAAGTCATAAGCTTGCAATACAGTTTAGAGCAAGAATGGCTTATTATTTCAACCAAAAATATTTGTCAGGGTTGATTTATTATCAAATGAGCAACCTAGATAACAGAATTGCAAACCCTGATCAAAGATTTACACAAGATATCGACAAATGGGCATCATGCCTCAGCAATCTTTATTCGAATATTACTAAGCCATGCTTAGATATATTTTTATTCAGCAGAAAGCTATCTGATCTTGTAGGCGCTCAAGGCCCTATAATAATTATAGGCTGGTATTTCCTTTCAGGAATTATCATAAAATTCATTACCCCTCCTTTCGGACTTCTAACAGCCCAAGAGCAGCAAAATGAAGGCCTGTACAGAGCTTGCCAAAGTGATATCGTAAATCATGCTGAAGAAATTGCATTTTACCGTGGAAATGACTGGGAAAAGCGAAGAATTAATGGGACTCTTGGCACCATTGTAAAGCATATCAACAATATTTTGGCCAAAAGGTTCTTTATGGGAACATTCGACAGCATGCTTGTGAAATATGGAGCGACTATGACAGCTTATGGAGTTCTCGGACTACCAGTTTTTGGGCCGAATAAAGAAAAATATTTCGCAAGGATAGGAAATGATCCGAGCTCTATTACAAGAGATTATATAAGAAATTCAAGCTTACTCATAAACTTGGCAAAAGCTATAGGCAGACTTGTGGTTTCTTACAAAGACTTACAAGCATTAGCTGGTTACACAACCCTTATTCACGAAGCCAAAGTTGTCTTAGAAGACTTATCAAGAGGAAAGTATCAAAGGACTATGATAGAAGGATCTTCATATGACCAAAAATCACGAGGAAATTTTATAATTGCCGATTATCCCTATTTCTGCTAAATAAACGATTAAAGTTGTATTATTCAAAATTTATTAGATAAAAGTATATATAAAATTCGAAAATGTCCCGGTTGTTTCACCAAATGGAGATCTTCTGATAGATAAGCTTTCTTTTACGATCAAACCTGGAATGCATACTTTTATCCAAGGCCCAAATGGCTGCGGAAAATCTTCACTTTTTAGAATCTTAGGTGAGCTATGGCCACTTTTTGCTGGAACAGTGTATAAGCCGCCTATGGAACAGCTGTTTTATATTCCTCAGAGACCATATTTGCCTCATGGCAGCTTAAGAGAGCAGATAATTTATCCACATTCTAACTCCTCCCTTTTAAATTGGATCAAAATTTCTGTTCCAATTTAAAGGGAGTTCATTATTTTTTTTAAAAAAAAATCATATATTTACATTTTTCTATTTTCATCTTTTAAAAAAATTCTTTAAAATTATAAAATAATATAAAATTAATCACAATACTTTGAATTTTAAATTATTTTCTTAAGAATTGAATAAAAAAATAACTATTTAATAGCATTCTATTTGCACTTTTTCTATTAAATTGGATCAAAAATAATTTATAAAAAATTATAAATCTGAGTAAATAGTTTTATTTTTAATTTTTTTTGTATAAAAATTAGATAAAAAAATTAATTGGTCAGTTTGGAAACTGTGTAAATAACATTCTACTTGCATTATGTCTATTAACTTAAGTTAAAAACAATATTATAAAATTTCTTTAATTTTTTTTAAAAAAAATATGAATTGATTGCAATACCTTAAATTTTAATTTATTTTTATGAAGAAACAATTAAAAAACTTAATCTAAAACTATTAAATAATACTCTACTTGCATTATTTCTATTAAATTATTTAAAAAGTTATTTTATAAAAATTAGTATTTTGATCGTTAAATTTTCCTATTTAATAAAAAATTGTTCCCAAAAAAATGTAAATTATGCCGATGCTTGCTCCAATTTAAAGGGGGGATTAAGGAGCAAATGGAAAAGTCAGGTATTTCAGATGCCCATTTAGAAAATTTGATGAGAATTGTAAGGCTTGAAGACATCATTGAAAAAAGAGGAGGATTTGACCAAATAGAAGACTGGAATGATACCTTAAGCGGAGGTCAAAAGCAAAAAATCGCTATGTGCAGACTGTTATATCATAAGCCTAAATTTGCGATCCTTGATGAATGCACTAGTGCTGTCAGTATAGATGTAGAAGGAAGCATTTACCAGCATTATAAAGATAATGGGATTACTTTGATTACTGTGTCACATAGAGAAAGTTTATTGAAGTACCATAATCACGTATTGAAATTCGATGGAGAAGGTGGATGGAATTTCTATACAATTTTAGCTGATTCTTACATCTCCATCTATGCCAATTAAGCATATCCTTTCTCTTATCAAAATAAATTATTTATTAAAATTCTTTTTCAGAAAATAAGGCTAGATATACTGTTTTTAATTATATTCCCTATTAAATTTGTTTTATATCTAATAATATTTAAAAGAAATAAAATTTAGGCTGCTTCATTTTAAAATAGGATAATTTAATTTAAAACTTATTAAAAAGTATTTAAAATTAAAAATAACCTTAATGTACATTAAACCTCAAATTGGTCGTTGCATAGGTATGAATAATGCTGCTGCAGCGCATCAAGCAGCTCTTGGTAGTTATCTTCTTTATAATGAGTGACAAACATTGAGTAATACCTAATCTGCGGAATCCTCGTCTTTACCAAGCATCTTTCAGGTTTTTTCAAAAATGCCAAGGTATCAGTTGACGTTTGAATCATGTCATTAAAAATATCTTCGAGTTCTTCTAGTGTTAATAATCTCCTATCCTCAATCGATTTTCTGCCTAAATTTCTGCTTTGTGGAGTTTTTTTCTTGATCAGTACATCTTTGGATACCCAGCAGTCAATTTTTCGCTCGACTTTTCATTCTAATTTTTGGGGTTTAATGCTTTGAGATTTTCGCTTGAGGAAAGTTTTAGCTCGAGCTTCTTCTTGACGCTTTTCTTCTTGTTGAGAAGGCTCGTTTAGAGGATGCTGCTTTGGCTCACAAATTTCTTTTTGCTGCTCATTTTCTTCAGATTTTTTTATGTCAAGTTTTAGCTCAAACCTTGGAGTTTTTTCTTCAGATCGGGCCGCGAATGATTTTTTGGGCGTTTTGTCTCCAATTTTCGGAGTTTTTTCTTCATTTCTGGATACCTTTTCTTCAGTTCTAGCTGTTTTTTCTTCATTTCTGGCTGTTTTTTCATCAACCTTAGCTATCTTTTCTTCATTTCTTGCTGTTTTTTCTTCGCCTACAACTTTATCTTCATTTATTGTTTGTTCTTCAGTATTACTTTCAGATGATTTATTTGGCTTAGGAGCATATGAATTTCTAGTCCCTCTCTTTAAAAAATTAGAAAATTTTTTCTGAGGAGCTTTAGCCTGCTGCACTGGTATTTCTTCCAGTGCTTCCATAAATGTATTTTGCATAGGTTTTATTGGCAAGTCCTCAAAATTTTTTACTTTTAGTGGCATCTCGTCATAATTTCTTGCTCTTATTGGGATATCATCATAGTTTTTGTTATTTGGGCTTAGAAATGGAGAATTTCTATATGATTCTCTTTTTGGTGTCAAATTTACTAGACTGTCATGGAAACTTCTGGGTGACGTCAGAGTTGAGTTAATTTGAGTCCTTTTCATCCCAACCCATTCTCCAGTCCAAAACAATGACTTAAAATCCTGCATAAATCTATGTCTCAGTGTCGGCAATTGATTTGAAATTTGGCTTAATAATAGATTGTTTTCTTTAGAGCTCAATAAATCTTTTTGCAAAGCTAAAGCATCATGAATCCCTGTTTTATGATTTTTTATCATTTTTAACTTGAGGATTTCCCTGGTTTTCCAGCCTAAAACGAGACTTTTTATTTTATTTATTGATGATTTTCTTTTTCTAAGAATCTCTCCAAATTTTGCTCTGATTTTGTACCCTTTCCAGTTTCTCTGAATAAAAATTGCTGAATAATTTACAAATGATTGTCTTAGTTTTTCTTTTTCAGCTTTTATTTTGGAATTTCATTTTTTTAAAGCTCTTATACCATTTTCCTATAAATATTAATAAATATATTTTTATTAATAAATATTCATATATGTAGGAGATAATATTTTATGGCCATTTCATGAAAACCTTATAGCCAGCAGCGCATTTCTTAGTCTGATTTCTCTTTGATATTCTAATAAATACCTAAAAGAAGCAGCAATTCTTCTCCTTGTAAGCCAGCCTCTTACCAGAGCTTGGATTTTTATTGATGAAAACTCCTTGTCTGTTGGCCTTAAAACAGGTGTTTTTGGTGTAATTTTAATTTTGATTTCTTCTTCGTCCTTATCAAAAATTGGGTCAGAGAATGAAACTTGTGAAGAAGTGTTAGAAAACTCGCTTTGAGGTGTCAGCGGGGCTTCTGAATTTTGTGATTTTTCGATGATTGGAGGCTCGTCGTGAAAATCAATAGAATAAGAAGAATCAAGAAATGGAGAATAGCGGTTTTGTGATGGTAAAAGGCCTGGAACTGGAGTTACTGCACTGAAAAATTGGGAAAGGTCAGATTGAACTTCTATTGTGGATAACAAATTTTGATGGTCTGGGTATATAGAAATTGGCTCTGTTTGTAAAGCTTGACTGGTTAGGATTTTAATATTTTTTTCTGAAATTTCGGTGCTGATTTCACGAGTGAAAATTTGTTTTTTATCTGATTTGGGGATGGGTGGACAGCTCATAGGTTTTATGTCGAGTACAGGCTGAATGATAGGTTTTCCTTCAAAAATCCAGTATTCTTTGGTTTCTACTTTTATTTCCTTATTACGCATTGCTATTGAAGGTCTTATTCTAGACTCCAAAATATTCACAATTGGCTTATAAAACAGTCCAAATTCTACATATTCGTCAATCCACAATTCTGCATGAGAATTATTCATCCCCAACAGTGAATTTTCCATCCCTAGCTGTAAATTCTCTATCTGTGAATTATCCATCTCTATCTGCGAGTCATCCATCTCTATTTGCGAATTATACCCCTCCATCTGTGAATTATTCATTCCTATCTGTGAGCTATCAAGCTCTTTTGGATACTCCAAATCCTCTTCTTGAAAAAAACTTTCATCAATCCTCATAAGTGGTGTCGTCATATACCTAATTTCCTTCTCTTTGCTTATATCCCAGTCTTCTTCCACAAAATTCATGACCTTTTGCACCATTATTTTACTTTCCGCTTTGGCATAATGCTCTTCAGTCCGAAATCGCAATTTTTCTTCAGCGTAATAACTTGTTATATTTTTATTACAAAAATACGGCTCTACACTAAATTTTTCAAAAATTTCATATTGGGTTCATGATAAAATTTCTATTTGGATTCTATTAGGATTTTTTTCTGTAAGGACTGAAGCTTCTTTTTTAAATGCTGCTAAGTCTGCTTCGATTTTTTCTAATTCTCCTCCTGCTTTAAGTGAATAAAACCATTGAAATAATTACTATTTTATGGTAAAAACTCACCCTCTGTAAGCGAACAAAAATTTTTATGAAAAATATTTGGATATATAAGTGGCAATTAGTATAGTGAAATCTCAAGCAAAGTCTGCTAAATTTAAACACAGCTTGCATTTTAAAACATAAAACCAATTTATTTTTCTTTCCAATTTTTGCGAATTTAAAAAAATTAACTCCCTCCAGCAAAATTATTTGTTCCCTCAGAGATAAGGGAGTAAGCTATTAGCAATTCTTACTTCAAACACACTCTTTGATTCTTCATTTTCAATTTCTGTTAAGGGGTAATTTGAATCTGGATCTGACTTCTCAGTAACAGTTTGTGACTTTGCTCTATGAGTAAGTCGTTGTAAGCCTAAGTCCGAGCTAGAATTACTTTTGTTAATTCCAGTAAAAGTTGAGTGGAATTTTACATATTGTTCTAATATGATATAGATTGGTAAAATAAATATCATAAGCTTGCTAGTATAAATAAAGGATTTACTTTATAAAAAAATTGAAATTTTAAGGATACTTAAATAGAAAGAAATATCTTTAGATGATGGGGTGGCTGATCCATTGCCTGCTTTTTGACGAAACTCAGCTCTTCGACGAGATTGCAAAATGGGGCGGATTTGTTTCCTTGTGTCTTGAAGCTTTGAGAGGTAGCTTGCATAGCTTCGAAGTGGAGTTGACATTTTTAGATTAAAATGCTGATGAATTATTTTTCAAAGGCTCTCAAAATAATTAATTTAAGTAATTATCCTATATAAAGAATTTCTTTTGCTAATTCTCTTTTAGTATGAATTCTTTAGCTCATTATATTATAAAAAAATTATAAAGACTATTTTTTATTACACAAATAAAATTTTATGAGACTTATTTCAAGAACCTTTAGTACTCATCCTTTTAAGATCCTTGGAATTCAACAAATTGCGCTTGGCCACTTAGATAAAGTTGTTTTAAGAAAATTTTGGTGCATTATACTTGGAATTCCTAGGGTAGGGAGCTACTATAGTAAATTTGACAATGTTAATCAAGATATTTTGAGGATCGGAGAAGGAGAAAACGCTGTAGAGCTACACCTAATGCAGCCAGTTGACCCTCGAAGCTATCCTAATATCCAGGATAATGCTTTTCACCATTTCGCATTATGGGTTGACAATCTGGAAGAGTGCTATCAATATTTGGAAGGCCAAGGATCACAAATGACACCAGGAGGAATAAGGAAAAATACATCAGGTTTAGGTGTAATCTTTGCTAATCCTAAAGTGACAGGAGGTATTTTGCTTGAGCTTGTCCAGCATCCTGATTATCTTAAAAAATAAATTTTCTATTGAAAAATAATGTAAAACTTAAAAATCGAAATTTTTACTTCTTTATAATGAAAAAGACGTTTTTTAAATAATAAAAATTTTTATATATTAAATTAATAGCGACTTTTGCTTTGTAAAATATTAAGAATCCTGCTATAGTGCCCATAAAGTCCAAGCTTTAAATAGTAGCTTGAGCATGATGCTTATCCAAAAATGATTAGGTTAGATTCTTACATTGAATTAAAAAATAAAGACTTACTCCCTTTTATGGCTCGCTATCTGGTGATATCATATTATCTGGCCATCCCTCCATTTCCTGGTCTCTATTCAATTTTTCACTAACCCTTCTTTTTGATTTTTTCCTTACTCTCATAAAGCTAGGGATATATTCTACACATCTTGATGAGTGAGTGCTTTTGCTTGAAGGAGTATTTGGCCTTGTTGATCTCCCTCCAGATCTAGATCTGGGGGTATTCGATCTCGACTTTCTTTTTTTATTCCTTTTACTATTGATTTTCATTTATCATTCTATACAATAATTTATTATTAATTAATCAAATAATTTAAACATAGGTGTCCTCTGATAAGCTCTTCCGCCTATAGCAGAATTAGATCTAGACGAATTAAGCCTCGAGCTGCTCAGGAACTGGTCTTCCACCACAAAATTTAAATTCAGCTCTTTAACTGCATTCGCAATCACTTTTTGTATTATCTGTACATTATTAGTCTTGTATATATTTTCAATCAAATTTTCACAATAATTGAATTTTTTGCTTAATTCTTCATTTTCTGCTACAACTTGTTCAATCTGAGGCTCAATTTGTAGCCTCATATGCTGCTCGTCTTCTAATTGGGTTTCTAGCTTAGGGATGACTTCTCTTCTTAAATGCAAATTTTCTTTTTTGAGGATTTTGTATTCTTCTTTGAGGTCTTCTATTTCTTCGTTTTCGTCAAGTGCTTTGGATTCGTATTTTATTAAAATTTTTTTCATTTCTTTGTATTTCTCTTGTAAAAGTTCTTTATCGTTTTCAAGCTCAGTGATTTTTACCTCCATTTCGCTTAATTTGTCAATATAAAAGTGGTTTTTACGGAGGAGGGCGTCTCTCTCAAGTTTAAGCTGCTTGTATTCTAGGTAGTCTCTGTAGGAAGATTGTGTAAGATATGACTCTTCTGTAGGATTTTCAGACATTTTGGTGATTGAGATTTATAGTCATATGGGTGTATTTAAATTTAGTGAATTATTTTACAGCTATTCTATGCTTAGAATTTACTTTATATTAGAAAATTTGCAATTATTTACAATTTTTAAGATAAATCATTAGAAAATAATGACTTTTGATAGTTATAATAAATCAACCATAGAATTAATTATTCACATCCGCTATTTCATATCCTTGCATTTCTGCCATCTGTTTTCTAAGCTCCTGGATTTCTTTTTCTTTTTTATCTATAAGTGCTTTATATAGCTGCATTCCTTCGCATGCAGATCTCATCAATACTTCTTTATGATCTTGTGGTCCTAGCAGTTTAACGACAGGATAATAAAAATCTGCATGCCACTTCGAAAAAATATCATGTCAAATTTGGAACCTCCTCTGTGAAGCCACTGGCGATAAAATATCTTCTTGTCCCTGGACATAAAATGAATTTGTATATTATTTATTTAATAGAACAAAATTAGTCCCAGTAATAAAATTTTTTCATTTTTATATAAAATAATAATTGGCTACAAATATTGGCTATGGCTTAAGATATTTTGTAATATTTATCTAAATTTTCAAATACATAAGTCCATACTGAGGACGTATTGTTAATGACTCCAAATTCTTTTCTCTCCTTCATATTGTTACACATAAAAGTCCCAAATCTTCCTGAGTAAGAAAAATATGTAAGATCGTGCAGCAATAATGAGTTAAATTCAAAATGTGTAGGAAACTGCACAGTTAATTGATAAACACAGTCTAAAAATTGAATAAAAATGGGCGATCTTTTATCATCATTTTGATTTTCTGAAGCATGGCCGAGTCTAATTTCAAATTGATGACCAAAGCTTACCCAGTCTTTTTCTATAATAATTTAAATAGTAATGCACAAATTTTTAACCTTCAAATGCTAAATTTCTCCATAAAATAGAAAATTATTTTCATTAATTTTTAATATCTCAATTATTTAGAATATTAGCTGCGCAAATCCTCTGAGGCTTCTATAATGAGCTTCTAATATAAGTTGCGAAAGCGAACAAAGCTGAGATGTCCTGTCTCATCCGTCACTACAATGAACTAGCACAGAAATCCCTGAGTTCAAGCTTTCTGTAATAGAAACGGCCCCTTGTAAAATCGATGACAAATGATCAAGCCATTCAGATTTCTCTATAGAGCTAAAATATTTGCTAGGTGGAGAGTTATAAGTGTAGTTAAACATATTAAACCAACTTTCTCTGACTGCATGAATATTTTCAATATTTAAAAAATGAAGCTCAGAGTTTTCATAATAAGCTGTATTTTCAACACCACCACCTATGGCTCGTTGGGCGTGGGCGTTAATAAAAGGTCTAGCGTCAAAAATATGCAACTTTGGCTCTCTATGAGAAGTTTTTGCAATATAATTTAAATAAACTTCATCTTCAATACACCTTGAAGTCCTAATACCAGTTTTAGGTTGGCTTGATCTTCATAAAGTAGCTTTTCTTCTTTTATTTAGCCAAACTAGTACTGGAAACCTGCTTTTGCTTCGAAATTTTGCTGAAGCTTTTATATCGGTGATTAATAATTCTTTTGGCACAACAAGAATTTCAGGGTAACTTTTGCAAAATTCTCAGTTTGAGTTGTCAAGAAATGTCCATTTTGAGCCTGGAATATCAGCGACGCCAAGTCTCCCATAATCTGAATGAGGATTATATAATTTCCATCCATCGATTTGTCCGAAAAACCTATGAAAGAATGCAAATCTATTGGTAACTCCATTAGAAAAGATATAAGATGATAGTGTTTCATACACATTGTACTCAAATTGAGCATTTTTATTTATATCAACCCGCAATGAACGTCCATCTTTGGTAAAAATCTCAAAGCGACTGTAAACTTTATCGAAAGACATGTCGAATTTTTCAATCATCATTAGCGGGATATTCCCTCTCTATATTAATAGTCCATAAAATTAAAATAAATAAAAAATTGACTATTTATATATAGGAAATATATCAAAAAATTCTGGTCTGATTTTATTTTCATAGCAAAAGTGAATATTATCAGGCTCTAACGAAATCTAAATAGAAAATACTCTATAATTCGTCGCACAGAACTGTGCTGAAATCCCTGACTGAGGAGTTAAATAAATAAAGCTTGGGATAGCTTCAATAGCCTTTTTGTTTTGTACTATAACGAATCGTTCGCCAGATAATAATTTTAGGTTGGATTGCTGAGATGATGCTTGATTTTCTAAAAAACTCTCTGAAATTGAGAACTGAGCAATATTGATAGATTCTGAAGAATCTGAAGAGACAGAAACAACAGCTCTCAAAGGGTCAGCGTCAGCAGATTCTATATTCAATAGCCCAGATCTCATTTTTGTCAACTGGGTACTTAGTTTTATGATAAAGAAAATTAAATATGAAGGAGTAAAGTATAGGAAAAAAACTTATTAATTAAGCTTTATAATATTTAAAGAATGATTAATATAATAAATTCAACTTGTCAACAAAATTTGGGATTATTTTACTTGCTAATAGGGAAAAAATGTATTTGAATCTCAATTTTCTTTTTAAATTTTTATGGATATTTGAACCACTAGGCACATCGCGTTTCAGCAAGTAGTAAGAAAATATGAAAAATTATAAATTTGACTGAATATGGTGAGAATTAAAGAATTTCTTGGACTTTAAATTTGTAAAAATCAGATTTACTAAAATAATCATTATTTTTATGTGTACATTAAATTTGTAAAATTTGAAAGATCTTTTATTTAACTGCGACAATAGGCTTAATTAAGCAATAATATTTAAAAATTTCAAATTAAATCCATAGCTGAGTCTTTCAGATATTAAAACTTAATTATATTATGATTATTATGGCACCATATTTATAATTTTATTATGCTTATGCTGTTGAGTTAAAAGGCTCTTTATTTTATAAAAATAATGAAGCGAGTAAACAAGTTATTATAAGTATATTTATATATAACTAAAATATAGCTTAATCACTGGTTTTGCTGCTAAATAAACTGTAATTAAACTTATTTGGGATTAAAAATTTCCCACGAAAAAAAGTTTCAAACTTGCCTTTGTTTTCTTATTCCATCTTCTAGAAAAAGCAAATATAGGAGAAATTCTAAATTTTGAAGAAATTAACTATTCCTTGGGTGAATTTTTAGTATATTCTATTATACCTAATTTAATGAATAAAAGCATGCCTGCTGATAAACTTTATCTATTTTCATATATATATATATATACCTGTCTGCCAAGAATAGCCCACTAAGGAGCATTTTTTGATTCGACATTCTTAAATTTGGTTAGCCTGAAAACATGTCATGCCAACGAATTTGTCAAGCTAGCTATTGTCCGGCCAACAAAAAAATGCTCCTTAGTGGGCTATTCTAGTAAATAAGTATATATATAATAATATAACAGCTAGCCAATATGAATATTCATTCATTATAATTAGGCACATATAAATGCTGATTTTTATTAAAATTCTAGCCACAATAGTCTGGTAATATATCAATGTATAAATTTAAGAAAAAATTGCCTTAAAAAGAAAAAAGACGAAAAGTGAAATAATAAAATATCCAGAAAATTTTCTTTTTCAGCCTGGAAAACTAGTAAGCTTGAAATTTCATTCCACTATTTTTATATATGTCAGTAGCCTTGCCCATAAAGTTCATAAGTGGGTTTCGTTGCCTAAGAAAACAAAAAATTAATCATGGCTTATATAAAATTAAAATGTCAGAGCTTATTCAAACAAATCTTCTCTCAAGAGCTGAAAAAGACCCTTCAATAATTTCTCCAAAGCCAAAAAGATTGTCAATGGTTCCTTCCCAGTCCACTATCAGCAACCCATTTATTTCCTTGCTGGAAAATCAATGCCAAAACGAAGAGGATTCAATTTTGAATGAATTGCAGTTTATTCTTACACAGCCTGAAGCACCAAAGCTTAAATGGCCTACCACAGTGAAGTCTCCTGCATTTTGCAGAGCACAACGGCCAATGTCACGTCATACAAGTAATCCAATAATCAACGACGCTTTATTCCAAGAATTAAACTGTTCTTAGACATAGAGCAAAATATGTTTATACTTAATTAAAATTTTCAATTTATATTATAACTCTGTAGGCTCTTAAGCAGAAGTTTCGTTGGAGAGAATCTATGCTATTTAAATTAAATTTTAAAAAAATTTTATATATAAATTAGAGATTTTATAATGTTTTTGTATATAATTTATATAGATTAAAGTATAGCTATTTTATTGGAAAATGGTGGAAGCAATAAAAAAGTATTCTTAAAAATAATGTGAAGGGATTTTGATATTAATTAAATGTGAGCAAATTTTGAGAAATTCAGGTCTTAAATATCGTGATTCTAGAAATAAAAGTTACGATTTTTCTTATCTGATAAAAATGAAGAATTTATTCTTATTTTTTATTATTTGAAAAACCGTTCAAAAAATGTATACTGAATACCATTTTTCCTAATTGTTTTTTATTTAATTTTTTCTTGCTACTTTTACTTCTACTTATTCCACTTTGGATTAATTTCGATATATCAGAAAGATTCTATTTAAAAAAAATTATCTTTGAATTTAAATAGCACTTAATCCTATAAATCATATAAATATCTATATGAAATTATTTCCTTATGTTACTTGAACAGAATTCCAGCTTGGTAAAAACTCTTTACAGGCTTGTGTTATTTCTATCGGGTTTGCGCCAATTTTTGCTTTAATCCAAACCATCGCGATATGCTGATCTCCTGCCAAATTTGTATAAGCGACCTTTTCAATAGTCTCCACTCCTTCAATTTCAGCTATTTTTGACCTGATTTTCTTTGATTTTCCATCAATATCTTGCTCCAGCAGCATTTGAATTGATCGTTTTATCAATCCACCTACACTTAAAAATATTAGACTAGAAATAATAAGAGAGCAAATCGGATCTGCGATATACCACTGCCAATTGTGCACAAAAATAGACGAAATAATCACCCCGACGCTTCCCAATGTGTCAGCCAAAATATGTAAGAAAACTCCTTCTAGATTGCTGTTGTCGCCTTCATGGTCATGGAAAAAGAAAAGTCCTATCATATTAACGAGTAGACCTAGCACAGAAACGAGGATAAGCATTTCTGTTTGGATTTCTGGAGGCTCCATAATTCTCTCAATGCTTTCGATAAAAATATTCATATCAAATTTTAACTAAATATGGATTTTTTTAGTATATTGCCTCAAAATAATGAAAATTTAGTAAAAGAGAATACCTACAAATATTAAAAATATTGCATTGATATAGCCTGATAGCACTTCATAACGCACGTAGCCATAAGGATTTTCTGCGTCTGGGGGCAGTTTTGATACATAAGAAGCATATAAACCTATAGCTAAAGCTGTGCAGTCAAAGCACATGTGAATTGAGTCAGAAATCAAGCCTAATGAGTTGCACCAGTATCCATATGCTGCTTCTACAAACATAAATAATAAATTGATCCTGTGTAAATTTTACATTAAAAATAAAGATAATCGTCTTGAATCACGCTGTGAACAAATGTGCATAATTAAGCCTGACTGAGAATCGGTCATTAAAGGAAGATTTTCTTGAGTCTGATAACGATGGAGGAATATTTTTTATTAATTGGATCTATTTATCATAAAAACAGCATATATTTTATTTTTTTATTTATTTTAGGCTATAATTTATACCAAAATATAACCTATTTAATTAAAATTAGTATAAAATAATTTGATTTATAATGAGATACACAATGTAAAACCCATTAAACACAAAAACTGAAAAAGCACCTATAAAGATCGCTAAGTAGCCTAACTGTAAAATATGCTCAGTTGGCTGTCTGTGTAATAAAGAACTAGGCAAAAATACCACAAAATACGCCGCGGCCGCACTAAAAATAAAAGTTTGCAGCATGCATCCAGTGCAGTGTTCAGCAGCCTCTGCTTCAGAAGGTATCACAAATTTAATAGCATAATACCCTGCTGCAGCAAAAGTTGCGATTATATTGGAGTATGAGTTGTATTTTATTTGGTTTTTCTGCATTGATGAGGCTAAATTGTGTTGGAAATTTCGAATAAGTGACCAGGAAATTGCCATTAGGCCTTGCAGAACTGAAAATTGAAAACAAATTCCTATGGCACTAATAAAAAATAGCAAAAACGCAGTCGCCGTAATTTCTGTCAAAGGTCTGATGTGTTGGATTACAGCTAAAAGGCCATTAAATGAAATGTATGCAGGCTGTGACGCTAATGCACTGAATAAGTGTTACAGAACTGGAGAGTCTGAAGCGATTTGGATAAGAAGGATAATAGAAGAAAGCTTGAAAAAGGCACCAATAAAAATCTTAAAAATCTGAGTAGAAAATACTGAGGATGTGGTGAATGTTTCACTTGGAATTTCCCAAGCTTTTTCTTTTATCACGAAATAGAGGGTGCTAAAAATTAAAACTAGAAACGCCCCATATGATTGAATGCTACTTAGGAGAACAAGCCCAAGACCTTCACCCATCCCAATCAGAAATTGTCCAAGGTTATTCTTTCCCATCTTTATAGTGAAAAATTGAATTTCATGATTTTAATTAATTTTTGTATTTGCTGAGAGTTCTAATATATTAATTTAAATGCATATTATTACTTTTCTTTATAAAAGACTAAATGCTTTATTTTGTATTGGTTTGTATAGTGATCAGATGCAACCGACTAATCGATTTAATTTAATCCTAATGCTTTGGATTAGAATAAATTAAATATATACAGAATAATTAGATATTTAAAAATAATCAAATTGATTTATCATAAATTTACCGAGATCAAAATATGGGGTTTTATAAAATAAGCTCAATTTAATGAGTAGAGTAAAGAAGATTTTTGGCTTTTAAAGACTTTTGAAGTGCGTGTACAATTTCAACGAGGAGGAAGATGATAACAGAATTTTATCGGCGTTCTACATAAGGGTTACTTCAAAAAAAATTACCCCCATTTTATGATTCTTTGAACTGATTCTGTTTATTGATAAACGATAATTTAGGCCGTGACGCTTTAACCTTTTGCTATGAATTTTCTAATCTTTTGTTTGGTAATCCCCTACTTATCATGCATTTTCTTCAAGAAATCCCTTTTAATGGCAGAATCCTTAATTCTGTGGTATGTCTTGATCACAACTATATATTTATCTTTCATTTATGAGCATCTTGACAGTGTTCGCATAATCTTTCTTATAGAATTAAAATTAGACATCCAGTATATTTTATCATTTTCTCTCAGGATTAGTTCATTATTGTATAAAATTATGTTTACATCTGAGAAAATGGATTGCCAGATAATATGAAAAGCGCTTCAGCATATCGTGAAATTATATAATTTAAGTAGAAAATTAATATTTTCTAACAATAATTGCTTTATTTACTAGCCTAAATATTTAAGCATCCCTCAAATACTGAATATATCTCGATACAACTGGATCAACAGTAACTCCAGGGTTTTGCAAGCACCCTTCAAGCGCATCAGGCCCTCCATGCTCTTTAAACAATGCAAAGTTATCCTCATGATTTGCAACCAAAATATTAATCGCCATTATAATTGCTTTAATAATTTCAGCATTAGGACTTTCTATGATTCTTTTAATAAGCCTTTCAATAACTCCCCCTCGTTAATCGTGAAAAATTTATAAAGGGGATTTTTTTATTTTTTTAAAAAATATTATGCATAATATAGCTTTTTGTTATCAAATTTGCAAATATAGAAAAATGTAATTTAATTTATAAAATTTAATAGAATTAGTAGATATCTTGCATAATAATTATTAATTATAAAAATTTTATATAAACATTTTTATATTTAATATTTTTTTCACAATCTGAAAGGGAAATCTTCAAAATAAATAGGTATTATTTAATGATTTTCTACTCTTAAAAGGGGCGTAAGTAACTTCCCAATAAAAGTCTTACTAAATGGATTTTTTTCTGCCATATTTTCAATCAAAATTAGCATTTTTTCTTCACTTTCGTCACCATAGCCTATAAATCCTCCTAATGAAGTGATTAGTTTTTCATCAGCACATAGCTGCTCATTAGTAGAATGGTCCTTGCTTAATACTGTAATTGCTTGCAGACATCTAGACAGCACTTCCGCATTATATTTATTTCCTAATGCTCCATTTCCCATTAAAATCCCTTTTAATATCCCTAAAATTTCTCTAGATATATTTCTCCTTCTTGATGATTCAGTAGCTAAATTTAAAATCATTAATATTGAATATGCCAATAATTTTTGGATGAGGAAATTTATACATATTTTTTTTAAATAAATTAAATAGTATCTTTTATAAATTGATTGTGAAAAATACATTAATTTCTGGTCTTTTGTAGACAGCCTTTTTACTATTGTAGCACGTGCCTGATATAAAGTCTGCTTATTTTCTCTATTATTGTAAGATAGATTTACTAGAGAAATCACAATTTAAAAATGGAGGCGTCCTGGGAGGGTAGTTCTCTTACCTTTGGCTCAGTGAAGTGGAACCTCAGTTTTCTGAGAGTTTTGCCTATATAGGCACTATCTACTGGCACTGGATAGTGGAAGAAGAAGTTGGATGCGATTAGAAGCTCTAACGAGCATGTAGCTGCCGATCTGTTGCTTAGAGCGAAAGTCTTATCTTACGTAAAGGGCTTCAGAAAACAGAAAACAAATTATTTTAGAGTTATTTTACTAGCTAGAGAAATTGCAGCTTGTGTAGCTAAAGTATAATTTCTCCCCGCATAAACTTCAAGCAAATGCGGGATAAGAATTTTCAGCATCTGCAAGTCTTGAGCTTCAGTAACCCCAACCGTAACTCTACATATAGCACTTTTTAGGTCTATCGATGATCCTGGCCTTTCTAATAAATAAATCAGAAGTTTAGGATAAGCTGATAAATCCCCACTGATTTCAAGCTCTCTTTGTAGGTATCCACATTCTATAAGACCAATCATAACTTTTTCATTGAACATCCAGTAATTATTAGGAGCATAGGAGCCACCTTTCACTTTTCCTGCATCTTCTAGCATTCTGTTTACCAGTGGATAAATATCGTCACCTTTATCTTCATCCTCATCTTTTTCATTGGACCGTTTTTTTATCGCAAGCATTTCTTTTATAGCGATTTTCAGCTTATTTAAACTTTTTGTGTCTTTTAAGGTACCCTTCATGATGGGCTCAATAACATCTTCTAATGTGAATCTACTCTGAAGTAGCCCACCATCTACACAATAAGCTAAATATCGGTTCTTCATTTTATTATTTTAAATTATTTTATATTTAAATATTCCTATTTATACTTATTAATTAAATCGATAAGTAAAAATATTTTTTTCTTATAAATATCTGCAAACTTTTTCACATCATTTTTTATACCCAATTGTATCTCTTTCTGATGCAGTTGAATTTTGAAACTCAATAATGATCCTCTCTGGAGAGTTTAATTGGTCAAGCGATCTTTGTGTAATTTTTGCTTCGTGCATACCTTCAACTTCTTTAATTAAATTTTTTATATGAGGGTCATTTGAATCTTTTTCAATAAGCCTCATTATGCTGTACATGAATTGGTAGGCATAATAAATCCTTTCTGGCTTTATATTTAAATGAATTTGGTAAAAATTTGCAGCTTCTTCATCAAAGATTAAGGCATCACAGCGAGGCTTTATAATATTGTAATAAAATTCATTAGAAATTGATGTAGAGTATATAGAGTCTGCAGGCTCCAATGCAATTTGTCTAGCATTTGGGCCGCCTTTACATATAAATACAATATCCTGCCCTGAGTCCATAAGCGGTGGTATAAATTTCCTTCTCATTAAAACAACTGCAATATACCTATTCGGAGTTACCAATAAAATTTCTCAGCCTCTCCAGCTTGCTAAATCCATAACCAAATTCATTCTTTTCATATAAGGGTTATTTTTCAAATACCAAAAATCCTCACCAGGATTCAGCAAGCCTTCAGCTATTTCTTCGGCTTTAGATCTTATATCATCTTTAATAAACTCTAATTGAATTGCGTCTTCTACATTTACAGTCAAAACATAATGACCTCCTTTTTCATCTTGTCCTTCATATTCTCCCATAACTCTATGGTTGACATTTAAATAGTTAGGGACGAAATACCCGAAACCTTTAAGTGTCGATTGTCTTGAAGATGTCGAAGGGTATAAGTATCGTTCCTTGCTAGCTGATTCTTTAGCTTTGGCTTTATATCGCTTTAAATCAATCTTTTCTTTGTCGATTCACATGTTTCCGATTTTTCCGAGCCTTCACATATAGTCAGTTTCCCAATAGCATTTTATATGTCTGACAAGTACATCTTTTTCTGAAGAAAATTATATACCTTTTATATGAGATTTTGCCTATTTAAATTAAAATATGCTATAAATATTGACGAGGCTTTTAATGTATCAAATTATAGTCATTTTCGCAGGAATTCCTCTAGGCCGCTCATCGCTAATTTCTAGTCTAAGGACATCTTGAGGGCCATGCTTGTCTCGCTGCTCTATAAGTCTGGTGATATGAGCATAAAAAATTTCACCTAAAAGGATTGTCATTTGATCGTTTAGAACAAACATAGAATGCTCACCAAGGCACAAGATAACTGGGTCTTTAAAAGGCTGCTCGTTAATTCCTATATGCAAAATCTGGCAAAAATAACGGACTCGAGCTTTAAGTTTTTGTCGTAGTGCTTCTAATAAGGCATAAGACTGCATTTTTAAGTAGTTTTAGATGAATTAAATAGCTTTAAAACGTATAATTTTCTTATAGAAAGCTTAAATTATCAAGAAAACTCTGCCAAACGCATAAATTACTTGTAAATTTAAATAAAATTAATTATATTTTTACTATGGAGACATCTCAGTTTTACTATAAACAAGTAGCAGTTATCCAAGGGCGATTTTTTTCTATTTATGACAGAAAAACTGAATATCAAATCGGAAAAACCCTTCACCAAGAAGCAGCCCCAAACCATCAATCCGGATACTATGTTTACAAAACTCCATATCAAGCTTTAATATCAAATATTCCTTATAAAGAAGGAGGGAATTTCGTTGCACCAAGAACAATACTAAAAGTCATAGCCTGAGGCGAATGCATTGAATACCCAAACCATAAATTCTCATTTTCTTATCCCCTTACAAATTTTATTGCTCTAATCATTAATTTATCAATCTTCTGCCTAATTAATAGAAATTAGTATACATTTTACCTGTAGAGGATATTGGGCTACCTTTTGGGTATATATCAACGCAATATGCCAGAAATTATGATAGAAAAAATGCAAAATTAAAACCCAAAACTTCTAGTATGAAAGAAGAAACTAAAAAACTTGAAGAAGAGGTAAAAAAATTAGAAGATTTAGCAATAAGAATGGGAATAAATATTTAATGCTATAAATAAAAAAAGTATAAGTAGGTATGGTAATAATAACAAAGAATTGATTATTAGTAAACCTATTTTAATTAAATATCAATAGGATAGACAACCCAAGTAGAATCCAAACGCTCCCATCGCTGTCACTACCCTTTACACTTATCCGACTCATCGACGCATAATTAATATTGTGGCGGCGATAAAATATCTCCTTACTGACAAAGCATATTTAGGCGAAAAAATAGCTTTATAGCCAAAGCAAGGCTCATGCTCTTGATTCTAACCCTGAATACGCTGTATAGCTCCCGTATGGGGTGGATGGCTTTGAAGTCATCTAGTATCGTTAGTTGCTTGTTTTTGAACATTGCAACTACATGTGGGATCTTTTCAACGTATGAAAAGATAATTCCACATGTGAAAATCAAAAGGGCTTCACATGTAGAATCATCTTTTCACACGTGGAAAAGATCCCACATGTAGGGTTGCAATGTTCGAAAACAAGCAACTAACGATAGCCACTCAAGTAAGTATTAGTTTATCGGATGGCTTTTGTGTCACGAGTTCTTTTCACTGCCATCTCCAGAGGACCGTGGTTCGTTTTTATTGGGTATTTCTATTCTCAAGGTGACCGAAAGGAGGTTTTGGGCTAACATTTACCTCTATAGCACCCTCAAGCATTGACTCCCTCCTATCCTTGATCGAACGGCTCGCCATCGTTCGATCAAGGATGGGGGGTTAAAACTTTGGGAAAAAAATTTTATATATAAAATAAAATATATATATATATATATATTTTTTTTATTTACTTTTAAATAAGAGGGTTAAGAGTGTTTAATAATTATTTTTACAGCAAAAAAATTAAATTAATTTCATAAAAATACCAATTTTTAATATTTTGATTTATTAGTTACCTTTTTAAACTGTATAAAATTTAGTTTGTTCCTTATTAAATTAAAATTTTTTTTTTTTAAATTTTAAAGAATCTCTATTTTATTAGAATATTGAGTTTTTAAGCCAAGGTTGATGACTAAATCACTTCGAATAGTTGATTCCGTAGCTTTTTGTTGTCTTAAAGTCTCTGAAAACAACTTCATTATGTACATTTTCCCAAGCTTTTGATAAATAATATATTTTTATATATATAAAAATTTGCATATGAAAATCGTTTGATCAAGGATGGGGGTTGATTTCCCCAATTTTTAGGAATTTTTACAGTCAATCGTTCGATCAAGGATGGGGGGAGTGAGGAGTATTTCTAACCTGTCAGGAATCAAAAGAGAGACTAGTGTAGGCTCTAGTTCCTGAGACGACTACTGCTGTTGGGGTTCGGGATACCACTGCTACTCCTGGTGATCAGTGATCCGGAGGTCAAAAGCATTCAAAGGACTCAAGTCTGGACTCTTTATTTAATTTATACATCGACGTATATTGGGAGTCTCCACCATACTCCATACACGTCGGCCACATAGGGTAGTTATTGCAAAGAGTAAGATAGCAATAATACGTAGTTCCTTCTTGAAGCCCTGATATACTCAGTAATTGAGGCACATGTGCTGTCACATCTATAGAACTGACTCTCCCTTTATTGTTTCTCGCATCTAGTCCATCCATTACTTGCCAAGCAGCTGGATTATCATTACTCCCACTCTTGATTAGTAAGCAGGTTTTTTCTGTTCTTTTAATTAATACTAAATTGTAAATAATTGATATGAAAATTTATGTTTTAAAAAATGCAGGCTTAAAAAATTAATATCTATAGATTTTCAAAATTCCTATATTTTTAAAAAGTTTTAAGTTTATTTGAAATTTCCCAATGGTTTTTCTGGAAATTAGTAGAATTTATCCCACATGATACATAGGCTTTTCCATTTATTGAAGAGGTCAAGTTGAATCTTTGCATATCGTCTTTTTGCTTTATTAGCACAGGAAGTAATTCCCAAGCTGGGTTTGTGCTTGGAATTACATCACTGAATGTATATGAAGGAGCTGAGCTTAAGTATAAAGTTGATTTGAGCTCTGACATGGCGTTGGCTTGATTTTTATTGAAATTCTCAAGGATTTTTGAAGATGAGTATCCTGGGAAACTTCTATCATATATGACATAATAGCTGAAAGTCGTAGCTGTTCCATAAGCTTGAACTCTTCTATTAGAAGGCTGGCTTGTGCTAATATAATAAAGCCAGGATGGATTGATTCCGCTGTATTTTGCAAGTGTGCTCGCTACTTTGGAGGAATATAGACTCAAATCCCCAGTTGAAGTGCAGGTTACGAAAAGCGTCATGATTGGTTGGAGAGGCGATGTAGTGAAATTAATCACCTTAGGCTGATCGTACGAATGATCACTTAATAGTTTATGATCACCGTAAGCTGCAAATGTATAGTCAGTCCCACCCATAAGGAAGTCAAGATTTATGATGGTTGTAGTTTTGGCATAGACTACTTGTGAAGAAATATAATAATCGTCACAATGCTCAGCATGCTGTCTACTGAAGAATTCATAAATATCTTTGTCTTTAGAAGTGTCAATGTCAGTCTCCTTATTAGCATATTCATCACTCCCCCATCAAAATATAGTGAAAACGTTTGTTTAGGAAAATAATTTTAATGGATTTCTTTAAGCAAAATGCTTGATATAAATAATAATTATAATTTGCCTAAAGAAATTCATTTAAAAATAATTTAAATTTTAAAAGAAAAAATAATTTCTATTTTTTAAAATCATTTATAGACTAATTTTATCACTGTAAGGGGATTTAGCAAGTTGGTCACTTAGTGTATAAGAATTTGGATCTGTGAGCACTGGCGCATTGTCAACCATAGTTTTAAAAGGCAAAATATCTGCCCCTTTGCAAGTAAGAGACCAGTACAGAATAACATCGTAATCTGATGCCACTGAAATTGACACAGTACTTCCATCTTTTACAGTGCTTTGTAGCTGTAGGTTGGCTTGCATAAGACTTGAAGAAAGCTGACCTACTGAAAGAATAATGCTGGCTGGTGCCTTGTAAATATTTGAGTTATCCCCAGAAAGTGCAAGGGACATGGTTGTAGTGCTATTAGATGATGCATAATTTTGTGCAACATCAATAGTAAAGCACAATGAGTTTATGTCAGGAGCAAATTGCAGTCATGCTGGATTAGCAGCTATTCCTATGGAGTCTGAGTTAAAAGTTGGAGTTACCATTAAATTGTTTGCAGGAGCATAGGTCATCGTGACACAGACTGGAACACTACTGTATCCTACACACTATTTAAAAATATATTTTTGAGTATTTCAGAGAGTTTTCTTTTTTATATAAAAAATAGTAATAAAAGCTATAATTTCAAAAAAGTTTGGCAGTAATTATGTTTACATATATAGAAAAATTCCTGGGGATAGCGCGGAATACGCTATCCCCAGGACCAACCGGGATCGGATCCCACATGGAACGAGGGTTCCATGTGTGGATCCATTTTTGACACGTGAAAGTAACTATCTCACATGTCAAAAATGGATCCACACATGGAACCCCCGTTCCATGTGTGGATCCGATCCCGGTTGGTCCTGGGGATAGCGTATTCCGCGCTATCCCCAGGAATTTAGTATAGCTTAGGAATTTTGGAGATATTGATTGACAGATGCTTGTCTGGATTTGTATGGACTTCTATCAATGTGCTTGAAGGGGCATTATACATGCTGACATTAGGGTCTTGAGAGTTTTCATTCAATGTCCAGTCGATATAATAAATTCCATTAGGTGTTTCTCGCAGAGCAGCTACTCTGAACACAATTTCTGAATGCATTTGTTTTAGCACCCAACCGTGGAATTGCGAGGAAAGTTTGAGATAGCTTGATCCAGTCCCACTTATTGTTGGGATAAATTTAATGGATTTGTCTACTGATGGCCAACTGTTAGAAATTTTCATATGAATATCATCACTTTGCTGCCCTGGGATTAAAGCAATTCGGCCACTTGGTTCTGAATAATCAACCCCTAATGAGGATGCCTCTTGGGTATAGCCTTTATAGCCACTATTTAAGAGCCCATAGCTTTTGCTAACCTCCCCTATAGCGGGTAACCAAAAAATTTTGCTTGCTCATAGAGTTTTTTATTCTTCAAAATTTAAAAAACTTATTTGTAAAAATTGAGAAGAAGAAAAAAATTAATTTAATTTACAAAATTTATTTTTTAAAATGCAAGCTGTTTAAAATTAAACAGAATTACCTAGAGATTTCATTATAATAATTATCACTTGCATATTACAATTTTTTTTATAAAAAATGTTGTTCACTAACGGAAGTTGGTTTTTGGCCAAAAAGTATGGATTCCCCCCGATGGTTTTGTTGGGGGAGTAAGAGTAAGCTTGACTGTATTCCAAACACCGACCTCGAATTTACTTGACCAGAAATTAAAGCTCCCGAACGTGCTAGTATCCATTGTGTCCCATCCAGATCCCTTTTCTCTTTTCAACCCACTGCCTGGATTCTGAATATTTGGAATTGTCAATACTATTCTTGATGCTTCAGTTAATCTTATGGAATTATCGGATTGAATGCTCAGCATTACTTTAGACCCATTTACAGAGCACAGTTGATTAGGATTCCAGGACTTGTCACAGTTATAAGCGTCAGTAGTATTTTGGCAAAGGGCTGAGCTGCATGCTATTGAATTTGATTTCCACATATTATAGTTAAACTGCTCCGGGAAATTAATGTAAAACACTGTGTCTGATGTAAATATATCAGACGTGTTTGTAGGATAAAATTCAAAGGTATAGTCAGCCATCGTAGATTGAGCGTCGTCATCTGTGTCCATTGACTTAAGCATGACTTTGCTTTTGCTTGGATTTACGGTCTGGGTGTATTGGATTGAGCTTCCAAATGCTTTGGCATATCCAGTTGAATTATAATGCCAAATTGAAAATTTCCCATCAGTAACCATATATGGGTTTCTGACATTGTAGACGCTCACGTCAATATTGGTTTCAGCTGTTACTAGCGTGCTAATATCAGTGACAGTCAGATACCAGTGGTTAGGACTGCAAGAAATGGTTCCCAGAGCAGACGAACTGCACTTTAGTTCATATTGGTCTGGCATGAGCACTGAAAATGGGTTGGTGGCGTCGCCTATATATGGATCAAACCCTGATCCAGTGTCTGATCTTGGGAATTGAATTATGCGAAATAGGCTAAATATTAAATAAATATGACTAATAAATATAAAACATTGCTTTATTATTAAAATACAATCATATAGAAAAATATACAATAAAATCATCAGCCTCAACGTCAACACTTCCAAATGTAAACTTATACGTCGCGCTTTCTCCCACATTCGCTATATCTGTAATAGCAATGCTGCTTATTTGGATTGTTGAGTCTATTTTTTGGCCAATATCTAGTAGTGCACCCGAAGTAGAGTCTTTAACAAGTACTGTTCCTGCCCAATTTCCTTGGACTTTAATACCAGATGACGTTTTTCCAGGGACTTTCGGAAGCACAAAAGCACTGTCTATATATATTTCAACAATAGACTCAGCAACCAAATCTTGGCTTAAAGTAAGTACTACGTTAAAATTTTCGATTTTGCAGGCCAAGTAGGGAACATTGCTCCAGCAGAAGTCTTGGATAGTCCCTAATGGATAATTCCATGATGAAGCTATACCCTGAGATATAACGATTTTTCCTTTAGCTGGAATTGTTCTGGACATTGAGAATGCCATATAAAGGTCAGCTAGCATTCCTGCATTATTAGGATACACCTCAGTGGTAAGATAAGTAGGAATACCAATTGAGCTTGAGCCACCATCTACCACAACAGGAACACTTCCTGAGTAAGAATCAATGTATTTCCCTGCAGAAGCTTGTGTCGTCACCAAGGTAAAGCAAACTAAATTCGACGAAGAAGACGGAAGGACGTGTTTTACAAAAATGCTAATAGAAGTTCCAGAAGAAACTGGGTTGAAGCTTGTCAACAGCATGCTTCCTGATGCAGAAACTTTGCAAGAAATTGAACTTCCATCAGAAGGGGTTAAAGTTGTAGATGAGCATGCCGAAATTCCATCAGTGTCAGACCACCCAAAACTTGTGCCCATAGTAACTTCGATTAGCCCACCTGCAGGAATGTCATGGGATATAGTAAAACTTAGCTCTAATGTGACATCAACAAGCCCTGACCCAGATGATGTCGTCATGCTACAGGTTGGGGAATTAATTTTTCCAGTACTTATAGAAACAGAACTATCTGAGCTTGTGATCGTTTTTGTTCACTTGCAGCCATTTCCAGGACTACTACCATCTGCAATCCATACACTGTAATTAGTTTCTACTTTTCCTGAAGTTTTGTCAACTTGGTTAGGTGGATAAACATTTGTTATTTTCAAGGTGAAAGTTGTAGAACTACTAATAGAAGTGCCAGAGTAGCCAGAAAAACCATAGGTCATGACAAAAGCTCCTTCTGTGGTATCAGTGACTGAGCTTCCACTATATGGGTTTGTCGATGTATAAGTATTTGAGCTAATTAGGAGGCTCATAACTGGTTCCTGCTGAGTTGTACCTTTAGTCATCCCAACTCCAATTATATCAGTGTTAGCTATAGAACCACTTGCAATTGTTGGAGAAATAGTCAAAGTTGCAGCCTCTCCGACAGTAAAAATCCCAGACGATGTTGCAGCTGTAAATGTGCTTGTGGGACTAACAATAGACCAGGTGCTGGAGCTCTCATAGAGCTCCATTTTAGTCTTAGGGTCGTCTGGGACTGTGTAATAGATCATTGTTTTTGTGTTATAGGTGCCAGTAGCTGTAAAATGCTGTGGGAGATATGTTTTAACTATTGTATTGCCGCTAGTTGGATTATAAGTCAATTTTCCAAGTGACATTAAAGTTATAACTGCATGGTTCTTCGTCGCTCCATCACTGTCTATCAGCTTGTAATATGAAACAATGGCCCTTGCACCTGGGGCATCAGATGCGAACTTACTTGAGTCCATTTCTCCTGTCATGATTCCTGTATGCAAAAAGCCATCACTTGAATCATAACCGCTCTCGATGTCTATGTCAATATAAAGACTGTAACTAGGGTCATCGAAATCTAAGCTCATAGAAATAGGCTCTATATAATTTACTATAGGAATCCCAAATACTGCAGCTGTACAAAGAGGCACTGAGTACAGTTTTGATGAGCTTACCAATGGCATAACTGAAAATACATTGCTGCCTATCTCGCGTAAAGTCTCGCTTGAATACTCGACCTTTGCCCACATCTCGTAAAAAGTGGCGACATTTGAAGCCACAGATGGAAGACTTGTAGTAGATGTTGAGCTGTAGGCAAATAAATAATAATTGGTAGGAGACACTTTCTTTGAAGAGCTTGCTGGAATGCTTACATAAATCCCACTAGACTGAGTTCCAAAATATGGTGAATAAATAGCATTACCTTCAGGTATAGTTGTTGAAGATGTTAAAGCGCCAATTGTTTCTGAAGTGGTTGCCTTTGAATCGATATATACTTTAGTGAAAGAAGGACTGGTGCTATAATTTATGTTGAAAACTATAGTGACACCTGCAGTATCTCCCCATGTATATTCTCCTCCTGGCTTGACCCTGAAATACAGTTTTTTTCCTAATTCTCCACCTTGAATATGGCCAGCAGTAAGTTTATTTGCACCTTCATAGGTAAGACTATTACCGCCATGGAAAGTACAGTCAGAAAGTAAGATATTGGAGATCGTTAATTCAAAGTCATAAGAACTTGACAAGGAGTCAATAACGTACAAATCTTCAGTTTTTGACTCAATTTTTGAGATTTGGGGACTGTCTGAGTTGAAGTTGGTAAGGACAGTTATAGTAAATGTTTTGGGTGTCTGGTAGTTATCAAATTTGATGGTCACTTTTTGGGTTGTGTCAACAGAGCATGATGTCCCATTAATGTAAGGCGATAAATAGCAAAGCCCATTCGCTGCCTTTGTGCCGTCAAGCTCTTTCCACCAGCTGGGATAATAAATGTCAACACCATAAAATGTAACTGACAAAGTCCCAGATGCCGGAATATTATTCTCAGTCACGATCGTCAAGTCTGTAAAGATTGTCATGCCTTGCATTATTTCTGTATTTGGTATTGTGCTTCTTGGTAACCATGAAAGAATTCGTGGAGTCCCAGGAGTCATCGAAAAAGTGCCTGAGCCAGTTGCATGCCGTATAAGGTTATTAGTGCCGAACCTCCAAAGCTTTACTTCCCATGAGTTTTTGCTTGAGCTTGTAGATACCACATATGACGGCAAATAGAACTCAGAAACTGTAAATGCAATGTCAGTTTTGGTGGTTATATAAGCATCATAAGCTACCCCATAAATGTAGACAGAATTTTTGGAGGATTCAGAAGAAGAGGTCGTTGTAAGTCCAGTCAAACCACTGCTTTTCGTAGCAACTGCACAAGGAAGAGATGATGATCCAGATGGGCCTACTAAAACACCATTGGATGATGAGCAGGTAGGGTTGCTAGATGGAGACCAATCTTTTGGAGGGATGATTTCAATGATGTCGTTTTTCCAAATGCTCTTGTTTATTGGAAAATGGAAGACAAAACTGTCCGAGCTTCCAATTTGTTTAGCTTGTGAAACCGAATATACAGACAAGTTATTATCTGGGATATCTGGTTCTGATATGGCAATGCAGCCAAAGACAAAATTGGCATCAGTAATTTGACCTGTTTGGCTTGATCTTGTGATTATCCCAAATGGCCCCACAAAGCCTGGGTTTGATGGTAAAGTTGCGGTTGTGGTGACTGACATGTCTGTCCCTGCTTGAATTTCTGAAGATCCCAAATTTGCATTGACTGGGTTTATGATACTAGGGAAAGTTGATGGGAAAATTATTTGAACGATGCCGCCTTTTAATGTAGTCGTAGGCCTGAAGTTAAAGGTAAGAGTTACTAGCGTTCCTGCGTTTGTTTGAGACAAGTCGATTGGGTTGTTGTATCAATCTTCTTTTGGCCATGTGATTCTTCCAGGGTCCAAGGAACCGTTCTTGGTAGTAAAGTCTTTGCAAGCTACTAGACTTATAGTCCAAAGAAACATAGTTCAGGCTTTCATTATATTATTATGACATGTAAAATTTTTTGATAAAGAAATCTTTAAAATAATAGTAAAAATTAAGAGTTTTGGCATATAATTAGATAATTAAGCTTATATTTAGTTTAACTTTCTTTTAAGTCTTTGATAGCTCGGGATTGGCTTTAAAAAAATTGTAGAAAGAATTGATTTTTTGACTTGAGGCAAATGTCGAGATTCTTTCTATATTTTTTATAAGTAATGCGACCCATCTTTTTGCCAATTTTTCTGGTTTTTGCTTCAATTCCTATACATTTCGAGTACTTTGGCCAAGCAGAAAGGAAAATCCTTAAGTATCCTTTCATTGATCTTTTTAATTCAAAAAGATTTTTATCCCAGACAAACATAACAAACCTTGGAGATGTAATCAGTATTTAGAACCAATATTACGTTGAAGCTGCCATAGGAACTCCTAAACAAGCTGTTACTCTCTTAATCTCGTCAATTTCTCCATGAATATGGGTCGACGATATAAACTGTTCAAAGTGCAGGCAAAAAAACAATAAGTTCGACTCAAGCCTAAGCTCGACATTTAGCACTTCAGGGTCTACCAAAGACTTGGAATCCGTCGCAGAGGTATCAGGAAAAGTCTGTACAGAAAAAATAGAAATTGGGGCATCTCAAATCGAAGTTTCAGAGCAGTCATTCCTTTTGGTAGATACCGAAAAAAACAGCGATTCGATGATGACTGATGGAGTCTTTGGGCTAGGATTTGACGAAGGCGATTGTAAATCATTTATTTCAAGCTTAAAAGCTGAGAAAAAAATCGTGAATAGAAGGTTCGCGGTTTATTTGAACTATTATGAGACTTCACCAGATGTGAAAAACTACGGGAAACCAAGCATTGTTATAGACGGGTATGATAACCGTCTAAGTTCTGTTGTGTCCTCAGGCTTCTCATACATAAATATAAACACTTCAGAGCAAAAATGAGAAGTAAAATGCAATTATGTCGCTTTTGGAAGTAAAAAGTTAACCCGAGGCTCTAAAGCTGAGATAAGCTTAGGAACTAGCTGAATTTTGGGCCCAAACGATGATATCGCAATTATAATGAAAAGTTTTCTTGACGATTATGACTGTGATAGTGACACTGATGGCTTTTTTAAATGTAATTGTGATAAGGAATACCCTAAATTAGTTTTTCAGCTAGATGGGTATAATTTTACAGTAAATCCAAGCGGGTATTTCGAAAAATACAACGACTTTTGCTATCCTTCGTTAGGCTACGCTCAAAATAGTGACACTTGAATTTTAGGGGATACCTTTCTTAGAAGATTTTATACAAGTTTTGACATGGATAACAATAGAATTGGGTTTGCTAAGCTTGAAATTAATCAAACAATTCCAAACCCTCCACCTAATCCTCCAGATCCTCCAACTCCGCCAACTCCTCAGCCAAATACGACCGATAACCAAACAATTTCAAATCCATTACTCAGCCATTCCAGTTCTTCCTCTAAAAGCTTGGCAATTATTATTGTTATACCTTTATTATTTGTGTTTATAGCAATACCAAGTGCAATTTACATCTATATCAAATCTAAAAAACTAGAAGCAAAAAAGCAAATGGATAAGGAAACTAATAAGAAAGTAAAGCCTGATGATCCAGCTTTTTCTGAAATCATTATAGAAGATCTCGAAGAAGCCAAGTTAGCAAAAACCCCTAGCAATGCTCTTACAAGAGAGCCCACAGCTCAGTACGAATCAAATAAAGATAATGAAAAAAATGCTAGTCTATATCCTTCACTAAAGGAAATTTGAAACTAATTTGAAAATCATTTTCATAAGTGCTAATAAAATTGACTATTAATATATTTTTATTAGCTATTAGAGTGCTTCATTTTTAGGCTTATAATAAATCTTTAGAGTTAAAATTTTATTTTTATTATAAAGTCTTAAATTTTGGGTATTTAATGAATTATCAATAGATGAGCTTATTGATAGCAGAAAGGGATAAATGAGAAACTGAAATCACTTTTGAAGTTATTTAGAATTTCCTTAAACTTAATAATCTTGATGCTCTTAAAATAAGGAACATTCTTTAAAAAGACTTTGCATGCTTGATAATGCTCTAATGACAAAATTTATTGTAAAAATAAAAGATCAGGCAAAAGTGGCTAGATCCCAAGTTATAAAATCATCTGAGCTCAAAAATATTTCGTCTAAATAAAATATTCCACTCTATTAAATTCTTGATTAGCTTTAGATAGAAATTAATACCTAGTGAGAGTAAACTGATAGGTTTTTTGTTTCTAAACAACTAGTAAGATTAGAATATCCTAAATAAAGTTTACAGCAAATTTATTTTCTTTAATCCCTTTAAGTTAGAAAGTAATGGTATTTTAACTTTTAATCGTAGGTCTGTTTAGATTTTTTGACGTGTGCTCATTCTTTATTTAGATAATTTATTATCAATTTTCCATTTTCTCTTAGGAATAAATAATTCAAATTTAGTTTTCCATTTTCCTTTTAATTTTATGACAATTATAGATAAATTATTTTAAGTCCAGGCCATCTTAAAATTAACCAAAGCCTTATTATGAAATTTAGCTACTATTAATAGAGTTCTATTAGAATCTTTCGTTTAAAAGACTTTAAACTTTTTATAAGGAATTTTGATATTATCATTAAAGATTGATTTATTTTTAAATATCTGACAATTTCAAATATCGAAAATAATAAGTTTATTTTAATTTTTCTCCATCAGCATCAACACATAAGTATGCTAAAATTCAAAGGGGAAAATTAAGACCATATTTAAGTAGAGATAATAATTAAAGGTTTGATTAGAGAAATATTTACAAAAGTTGAATTTCATAGAAAAGTTTATTCTTTACAAAAAGAATCGCTGCTATGCTTACATAATAATTAGAATTAATGCATCCACTTAAGCTCATTTTTAATGTCGACTATACTTAATATGGATAGCATTTTACAACAAGTGGAGGATGTTGCAGCTAAAGCAAGAGCCTTAAATGAAAAATTCAAGCTTACAGCTGTTGGGTGCCTTATTAATTTTCTAAGAGATAATGGGCCTGCTACTCTAGAATCCCTTGTAGATTATATAAGCCTCAAAAGAGATGTGCTCTTGACAGCTAAAGGAGAAAAATTCACTAAATCGGCGGCTGGCATTGTAAAATACGTATTGAGCTGGCATCCAAAAATCTTTTTAATTGACAGTTGCTTTAATTACTATTTAAGTGTAACTTTCATATAGGAAGAAGAAGCCGCAAAGTGTGAACTAGAATACAAAAATAAAGAAGAAAATAGACACGAAAATGAAAACTTATTTAGAATCTGCACCAAAAGAGAAACAGAAACAAAAAGACAGAAGAGAATGGCACTGAAAAGAATAAGGCTTACTATAGAAAGTGACTTAAAAAAGCCTCCTCAAGAATACTCTCCGATAACAAAAGCCTATTTAGTTCTGACATCTGGGGATATTGAAGTAGCTGCTGGTCTAAGGCAATTGGTGAGAAAAACTTACACTGAACTCGTAGAGCTTAAGCAATTATAATAATATCATTGAAACTCATTGACATTTTTTATAAATTTTAACTCTATATTTTCCTATCATATATAGATATAAATATTATAATCCATTTTTAAGTAATTCTTTATAAATTAAATAATAAAGATATTTCAAAATTAATGTGTGTTTTGCATCTAATTTAAAGTAAAAATAAATGAAATATAGATATAGTTTGATGAAATATGCAAGAAATTATAAAATTCCATTTATTTTTTGAAATATTAAAAGCTAAATTTATAGTGGATGACTGCTAATTTTATTTATTCAAATTTTATAAATTGTTTTATATAATTAATCACCTCAGCATTTTATAAGGCGCAAATAATTGAGTTTGTAAAGTTTAAAAATATCTTAAAGAAATCTAGACACGTTGCATCCCACATAACGTCAAGTACAGAGTGGAAGCCTAGAGCTTTCGCGTTTTAACACGTGTCGGACCTGCATGCCGCTGGGCTGACCTAATTTAATTAGCAAGAAACGCTTGGAAATGGTGTTTCAACCTCAAAGGTTCAAGAGTAAGTTGCTTCTGTCTTCCTTGGCACTGTGATATGGCTATATCTTCTTTGCTGCCGCAGCATGAAAATTTAAAGTCATGGGCCTTTCAAATTCCCTCGGAGTAGGCCAAAGTTCAGGTGCCTACTTTCAAATTCTCTAATGTCTTGGCTGGGATAGAAATCCCATATAAAGCCAAGCCTCATAATAGCAAAATGCAAAATAGTGGGTACCGATCAGTAAATCGGTGCCTTGGGAATGTTTCCATTTTATGAATTTGAAAATATCAATTTATAAATTTTAAAATTTAGTCTAATTGATGAAATTATCTTTAAAGGCTTATAACTCATAATCTATTTTTTGGCAAATACTATTCCTTAAAGTTTGCTATTCTGGCTTAAAAATAAGTCAGAATCAAAAAATATAGCTATTTTTGAAATTAAATCAAATCATGTAATTTATAAGTCCAAAGCCTAAATATTATTTGTCTAAGTGATGGTAATAAACGTCTTGAGCCTTGAAAATTAGTAGGTATGTGAGTATTCTTAACCTGTGTCGAAAAATATGCACTCTATTGCTATTATTGCCATTATATCACATGCAAATTCTGTTCAATATTAAAAAATATTTTCGCATATTGACCTGTATTTTACTCGATTCCGCATAGGCAAAGTTATTCAAAACACATGAATTTTAATTCTCGATGGCTCCAATTATCGATAATATCAATGATTAAGCAGATAATAAGCTAAACATAAAAGAATTAAAATCTTTATCAATAATTTTATATATTTTTGAAATTTATAAGAGTATTTTGCTCTCTTAAATTTGATCCACATTAAAAATACAAAATTATTATATCTTTATCTAGCATATAAAAATTATTATTTCAATAAAACTATTAGAGGCCTGATCATTATATCTTAACGTGATATTTTTGCATTTTTTTAGAGTTTCTGGAACATCTCATGCTCGATACCAAATTTTCATGCTTTTATTCACATTAATTAGAATTCAAGAGCCGGACACTACATATGGGTGTAGATTGAACTGAGAAACTGTAAATGATATACATTGAATATATACCTTATGAATAAAAGTTTGTTAGACTCTCGCGATAAGATACTCGATATATCAATTTAGTAGATGTATTAATATCTTAAGACGCATATATACAGAATTTTTGAATTAGCAGAAGACGGGGCTGTTAAAACCAATATAGCCCCTGCTTTTAGCTGGAATTGTGCAATGAAAATATGTTGATCCTTGGGACATATTAAAATGCCGTTGTTAGATGAGTATAAAGGGCTCCTGGATGGAGACAAATCTTTAAGGGGAATTATTTCAATCATATCGTTTTTCCAAAAACTCTTGTTGATTTGACAATTTTCCCAAGTAAATTATGATAGAATGTGCTGAAAAAGCTTTTTAAATATCTTTATAAGAATAAATTCAATTTAGAATAGCATTAAAGACAAAAGTGCCTGAACTGATATATTTTTATCTTGTGAGACTGAATAGATAGATAGCATTTTTTCTTGGATATCTGGGTTTTATATGGCTATAGAACCAAACATATAGTTGGCATCAATAATTTGTCCTGTTTAGATTGATCTTTTTATTATCCCGAATGCCCTACAAAGGGTAAAGTCGCAGTTGTAGTGGCTGACATCTAAGCTTCATAAGGATTTTTGAAACCCAAATTTGCATTCACTGGGTTTATAATGCTGGACCTCTAAATCATTATAAAAGATTCATAGCATCATAAAGTTTCTAATGATTGAGAATTATATATTTATCTCTCTAGCAGCTTAGTATGAAATATTTGCCATAGAATAAACAGCTTTATATCAGATCCTGCAATTAAAGAATATATAAGGGTGAAAAGTAAATATCTTTTAAACGATCCCTGAAGAATTAAAGAATTGACTACTTAATTGTCTAATTTTAAATTATTTCTTAAACTAGGTAAGTCAATAATCTTAGCGTTGTTATAACTATATTAAATCAAAAAATATTTTTAAAAGTCTAATAGCTATTTATTTAAGTTAAAGGGATCATTAATTTTGATATTTTATTTTACTCTTTATTTTGGCTTTTAAATTAAGGAATTTACTCAATAATCTCTTTATTTTTCCTTATGGAATCCTTATACGAAAATTTTTTATTTCCTTTTACAATTGAAACCATTTTAGCCTATAAGTCTTTTATGTCTAAATCATAAAAAATAAACTCTAAAATTTTTTAGGATTATATTTCTGAAATGTGAATCATCTCAGATTTTTTTTTCAATCTAGATTTCGAAAATTATTGCAAACAATTTATCATAATTATAAAATACCATTTTTTTTGAGGGAATTCCATAATTAACAAATTTTATTGTTAACTCAAAGCAGATGCTAAATAAAAATTTGAAAATATGTCAAACTTGATTTATAAATTAATTAAAGTCTAATAGCAGAATAAAGTGATTTGGATAATTGTTATAATGATATCGTATTTTAGTTCATTGAATTAAAAATGACATTGAAAGCTCATTTTCTACTTAGGCTATACACTATCTATTTATTTTGCTCAAGTTTATACAATTATTTACTTTCCATTTTTCTGATCTTTAAGAATTGAAAAGATAAAAAGTTGATTTTCCATTTTACTTTCAATTTTTCAATAATTATAGATAGATAGTAATTAAACCTAAAGTTTAATGAAAAATGAAATTTAAGATTAATTTAGAAAACAATTTAGAAAAATAATAAATTTTAGCATAAATAAACGAAGTTTTTAAAAAATTACCCAAATATCGAATTTCTTTTATTTTAAATGCTCGTTGATGTAGTATATAGAGCTTAATAATAAATAACTTTTATTTCCATCTATATAGTCGTCAATTTATTAAGGAATCATATTGGAGAAAATTTTAATGTTTGCAATTTTTGCAATAATGATAATCCGAAAAGATGAAATTTAAGTCCTGAGACTTTAATTTGAAAAAGCATCAATAATGATTTTATGAGAATTCATAAGTGAGCCTTAAGATATGTCCATTTTAGCTGGTCGTTTAATGTTGACTATATTTATTATGGACAATATTCTTCAAAGCCCAGCCAACATTACTGATAAAGCAAGAATTCTCGACGAAAAATACAAACTTTCAGCTGTAGGGTGCCTCGTACACTTTTTAAAAACTAATGGTCACTCAACTTTCGAGTCTCTTGTTGACTACATAAAATTAAAAAAAGATGAGCTCTTGACTACCAAGGGAGGAAAATTCTCTAAGCCAGCGTCTGGCATTGCGAATTATGTCTTAGGTTGGTATCCTAAAATATTCTTAGTCAATAGCCAATTACGCTATTATTTAGATGTAACCACCATATAGGAAGAAGAAGCAGCAAAACATGAATTAGAGTTCAAAAATAAAGAGGCGAATAAGCAAGAAAATGATAACTTTTTCCCAATACATTCTAAAAGAGAAGATGAAGCGAGTATACAAAGGAGAAAAGCAATGAAGAGGATAAGGTTTACAATTGAAAGCGATTTAAAAAAAAGTCGAGAAGAGTATTCTCCAATTACAAAAGCCTATTTAGTCCTGACGTCTTACGATAATGAAGCGATTACTGACCTTAAAAAGCTCATAAGGAAAACATATACTGAGCTAATATTATCTAAAAACTTTTAAAAAAATAATTTACATTTTTAGTGATTTTCTCTATATTTTTAACTTTATGTGTATAAGCGATATTTGAGTTAATGCTATCTAAAAATTATAAAAAAAAGTAAAATTAAAACATTTACAACGTTATTGACCCTCTCTATATATTACCTTTATATGTAGATCAAATGATAAATTACCATTTTATTTTATTGTTTAAATTTTAATTTTATTAATTTTAAAAAATTTTGAGAAAGATAAAACAATTTCAAACTAATGTGATTTTGGTGGGTTTTATAAGAAATATCACTATTCACCCCAGCATCTATTTGAAGTAGGATTATAAAATATAAAATTAAGCCTTATCTTATTAAATAGCAAAGCACCTTTAAAAATAATCGATAATTAACTCAAGATAATGCGAAATGTCTAGAGTCTTCGAATTATTAATTTGCTTAAGTAATTTATCATAAAATATAACATTAAAATATTGCATAATTTATTATTAAATTCAATTAGACCCCATAAGATTTAATAAATAATTATACAATAATCATCTCAAGTTGTTGGAAGTGGCTCAACCCCAATTACCTTTGACTGGCTTATGGGTGGAACTACCTATACAATAACAGCATTTGCTGACAACAAATTGATCAATGATACTTCATCATATAAAGCAATGACTGTCAATATCTCAACTAGTGATCTCCCACAAATCCAATCCACATCAGTTACTTTTTCAGGAAGTATTCCAACAAGCACTGGTGATAGCATCAGACAAAAGCTCGCAAAGAATATGGGTGTTAATCCATTATGGTTAACTGGCCAAAGTGTTACCCCATCAACCAGAATGCTCGCAGATGGCACAGGGACAACAACCACAACTACATTCGCTTATAATGTGATTTATGATAGAAGCAAACCAAGCTATACACCTTCAGGCATCATTGGAAACCTTGATAGTGCAACTGCTACAAGTGAATTAACGACATTGGTTGGAACTGCGCCTACTTATGGAGCCACTAATGCTGTTCAAACTGGCACTGCACCATCTTTGACAAGCCCATCAGTAACCACTAAAACTGACACCTCTGTAACATTGAGTGCAACTTCTAGTCAAGTAGGAACTATTTATGCAGCTTGCAGCACTTCTTCAGGATATACAGCATACTCATGGCAAGTTGTAGATGGGCTGGATGGTACTTCTTCAGCTGTCCCACATGGCTCGGCAACTGTTGCAACAGCAGCTACAGCTGTGACATTAACAGTGTCAAACATGAGTGCAGGCAGGAGTTATAGTTGCTACCTTACAGCATGCAACAGCTATCCATTGTGGTCGACATGCAGTGACGTAACTACATCAACAACTGTCACAGTTACAACAAGCGGTTCAAGCTCAACTGATAGTAGTGCAGTTGTCATGGGAACAGGAGTTTTAGCAGCACTCTTCTTAATCTTTAACTAAGTCTTTTCAATCTAACTCTTGTTTTAATAATTCTTTTTGCCATTTTCATATAAATCTTATAGATTTCCAATAGAAAGAAAGGTTTTCTCGTTAATACTGAGCTCCTTATCTATTCAATTAGAATTGTTTTCGTGAAAACCTTACACTTAAAAAAAGCATTTTTGTAGCTTGGAGTATAGAAAAAAAGCCTTTAATTGAAAATGGGTACTCAACCTGGCTTAATTTTATGATTTATAATCAAATGATATCCCTCGTTGAGTAAATTTTAAGATTTTTTAAAAAGAGGAGATTTGCTGCTAAAATTAAAGTTGGTGAAATCAAGGCACCTAATAAAAATAACTTATTTTCTATTTTAAGATATCACATTCCTAAATAATTCCTTATAAAGTGCTTTAAATCTTTAGCTCTATCTGCTTTATCATGAATTTTCCAAAAAATCTAATGTTGCGACTCCATTTTGCATAAATCTAGCTTAATCCCTTCCCAGGCTGAATTTCTCTCAACTAAATCTAATATTTATCTTTTCTTCAATCTAAGCAAGCTTCCTCATTTATCTCCCTAATAACCTTAATTTCATTCATCCTCATAATTTCTCAAATTTAATATGAGCACAACATGGACAATTGGGAGTCAAAACCAAACCTCAGAACTAAAAAATTACAGTCTCCCCGGCGTCATCTCATTCTTAGGCGAGCACTGTAAACAAATAGAAATCGAGCGCACCCATTGGCTAGTCGAAAAAAAGCAGCTGACCGAAAGAATCGCACAGCTGGAAGGCGAAAACAAATCTCAAGACAACATCGTCAAAGATCTGACCAGAAGAATAAAAATGCTTGAATATTCTTTAAGACAAGAACGCATAAAATACGCAAAACTGACAGGAGGCCATCACAGGGTAAATTCAGATGTGATAACAAGCATTTTATCACGGGATGACAAAAATGGGGAAAATTCTGGAAATTCATTGCCTAAGCGACGGACACGGGCACACAGACAGCTTTTATCGAAATATTTACAAGAGCTAGGACTTGACGATATTTTTACTGGGGACTTGCCACCAAGGCCATCTGCACATCATAGGCCTAGTAAAAGTTATGGAAGCGGAATTCAAGCTTTAATTGAAGCCCCAGAGGTAGAAACTAAGCCAATTCCGAAGCCAGACGTCATAAAAAGCAATTCTTTAACAGAAGAAAAAATAAAAAGGTCATGGGAATTAAAAGCAACCCTAAAATCGCATATGGATGGTGTCAGAAGTGTATATTTCGCCCCGAAAAATGGAATTTTGGCGACTTCTTCTGAAGACTGTGTGATCAAGCTGTGGGATATTTCAAATTATGAGACACTTAATGAAAGCAGCTTTTTTGAGCCTTATTTTACATTAAGAGGCCATAAAGGCCCAATTTTTTGTAGTACCGGAAATCAAATAGGGAATGAGCAGCTTTTGTATACAGCAGGAAAAGAAGGGAACATCAGGGTGTGGGATTTAAGGCCACCTAGTGAAATTGACACTTATAACCCTGGGCCTGACAGAGGCTGCTGTGTAGGTGTATGAGCAAGTCATTCAGAACCTATTTGGGATTTGCAGCACCATCCTTTAGATAATTTATTACTATCAGTAAGTTCTGATGGTGTCACAAAGCTATGGAAAACCATGGATACAAGAGCTTCTATTGAAAACTGGGAACTAGGTAGGGCAAGCTCAAATTTGCTTAAAAATTACACATTTCCTACCAATGACGGTGACGAGTTCCACATCCCAACTTGTTGTGCTTGGGTTATGACAGAGCTAAACTCTTTCGTTGTAGGCTACACAAGCCCATTTTTGAACATTTTTGACAAGCAGACAGGAAAACCTACGATCATAAAATTCGTAAAAGACCAGAATGCACCATCAGTGACATATCAGATAAATTCTATAGTAACAGATCCGAACCACAGCTTGGCAGTTTCAGGGCACGAAGACAAGCACTTAAGATTTTTCGATTTAAATAGCTGCACTTGTGTAAAAGATTTGGTAGGACATACTGAATCAGTCAGTTCTTTACTTATGGACAAATATGGAAATTATGTGATTTCTGGAGGACATGACGGAAGTTTGAGGTTCTGGGATATGAGAAATTATCAATGTTTGCATGAAATTCCTGCTCATAGGAAGAAATACGATGAAGGGGTATTTTCGATTGCTCAGCATCAAAATTTGCCAATTTTGGCCTCTGGAGGTGCTGATTCTTTGGTCAAGTTTTATCATGCGTCTGATGATTAGATAATGATTGTTTATAATTAAGGGTTATTAAAATTAATTTAAAGAAAAAAATAAAAGAGTTCCGCATCCGGGACTTGAACCCGGGTCTACAGGGTGAGAGCCTGTTATCCTAACCAGCTAGACTAATGCGGAGATATTCATAAAAAATAAATTAACTATAAATACAATTCAGAACAAAAGAAATAAGCATGAATTTTTCGAATTCTTTAAGTTAGGATAAATAAATTAATAAATTTCGATTATTTTGATAATTTAATATTTATAAGGTTATGATAAGTTCTTTTGCTTTTTATTTTGCGGCTTTTTGATTAAGGATTCTCATATTTGAGCTTTATTTCTAGCTTTATGTGGTGTAAATTTTGCAAGCGAAAATTAATAATTAAAAAGTTAAGAATAGATTTTATAATTCATATAAACATTGCAGCATTGATAAAGAAAATTTAAGTTAAATAATCTTATTTCAAAAAGCCTTTAAGCATAATTATTATTTAAATTTTAATTTTTCTTATATCAAAGCATTTACATTTTAAATCATGAAGCCTTCTTGAAAAATTTTTTAAATACTAATATATATATCTAACTCCCCCCATCCTTGATCGAACGATTGTCCTCCTAAAATTTCGGGAAATTAACCCCCATCCTTGATTTTCATATCATGACAATTTTTATATATATAAAAATATATTAGTTATCAAAAGCTTGGGAAGATATACATAATGAAGTCGTTTTCAGAGACTTTAAGACGACAGAAAGCTTCGGAATCAACTATCCGAAGTGATTTAGTCATCAACCTAGGCTTTAAAAACTCAATAGTCTAATAAAATCGAGATTTTTTAAATTTTTTTAAAAAAAAAATTTAATTTAATAAGGAACAAATTAAAATTTATACAGTTTAAAAAGGGGTAACTAATAAATCAAAATATTAAAATTGGTATTTTTATGAAATTAATTCAAATTTTTGCTGTAAAAATAATTATTAAATACTCTTTAACCCTCTTATTTAAAAGTAAATAAAAAAAAATATATAACATATTTTTTATTTTAATATAAAATTTTTTTCCAAAAAATTTTTTTTTTAACCCCCATCCTTGATCGAACGATGGCGAGTCGTTCGATCAAAGATGGGGGGGGAGTAAGTAATTAAAGAGAAGAGCTTCATAAAGCGAATGAATAATTGAGAAGCAAGGACGAGTATTTAAGAGAATTTGCTTATTTAATTGTGCGCCGTGGTAGCTCAGCTGGGAGTAGCGTAAGACTGAAGATCTTAAGGTCCCCGGTTCAATCCCGGGTCACGGCACTTTTTACACATTATTGTTTTAATTATTTTAAAATAAATCTAGTGCCGAATTATATGCCCTATCTAGATCTATTTGTTATTAGAAATAATAAATTCGCTAAAAGTAAAATATAAGCTTAAACCCACAAAAACTTGCTATTATATAAAACGATTATAAATATTAATGAAGCTTGAACCTTTTCAATAATAGCTTATATCTCTTAAACTCACAATTAATAATTTTTAATATAACTAAACATGAAATTATTTTAACAAAGCTTTTTTGTGAGTGTTGGCGTCATTGTATTGATTTCATAGATTGGAATCATTTTGCACGTTTCACAGCTGATATATCGATATAGAAATTCTTCATTTAGCTCAATTTTTATTAAGCGATTAGAACTATTTTCCACATCTCCGGTGGTGGAGATCTAGCTTTGGCTTGGGGAACTTTTAGAATTATGTTTTGGTGAATGCTCGAAATGGGCTTGGGCTAAAAATTTTTTTCTAGACCGACAGTGAGAAGACTGACTGAGCAATGCCAGGCTTCATAAGGAAAGTTATATACTGCCTGCAAAAGGTAGAGCTCACTTTCTAACTTCCCCCTTCCGTGAGTGAACAAAAATTTTTTTAATAGAAAAAATTTTTTATGAAAAAAAAATTTGATATATAAATGATAATTAGTATAATGAAATCTATAATTAATTCTGTTTAATTTAAACGAATTGCTTTTTAAAACATAAATTTTATAAATTAAATTAATATTTGTTTCCAATTTTTTGCGAATTAGGATTTTTTTAAATTTCGAAACAAAAATTTTTTATAAAATGTATATATAATTTTTTTTAAAATAACCCCCCTCGTGAGTGAACAAAATGAATCTTCAATAAAACATCGACTAAACATTTTTTCAATGGTCAAAACAAAAAGGTATAGGAGCAAATGATTTTAAGGCCCGCCTCATACCTGAAGCCAGCAAAACATATAGAAGGCTGGAATAATCCTGCTAAACCCACTCTAACTTATGGTAATCATTAAGCTCACGATATGATCATATTTGGAGGGGCATCTTCTGCAAATGGGATTTATCCAAGCTTTCATATTAGGCCATGAGGATTGTAGCGAGCAAAGTGTTTTAGCTCAATGAATAGCATGCTTTCATCTCATTGGTCTAGGAATAGAGCTCACTGCCAGATTTTTGCACCTATCTGCTCATTCAATGCTTCAGATTTACACTTGAAATGATTAATCATTTGATTATTGAAGAAATAGCGAAGATGATGGCTAAATTAAAGGAAGAGCTAGAAAAAGAAGAAAAAAAGGGAAAATCGAAGTATAAGGAGGAGAGCAAATCTGAGTAATTTAAGTGAAGATAAATTATCAATGCTTGATACAGCTTATTTACTGAATTAGATTGCTGTGGTCCTTATGTTTAAAGTTAATACTGCATTTCCCTGTATACTTTTTTGGCAGATTTCTGAAAGCCAAAATTGGAGATTTGTCGTTTTGTTTTTATTTTTCTAAAAAATTGGAAAAGCTAAACACCATATTGATATAAAAGCTGATTGTTGATTATTACTCTATTACTCATACCATAGAAGAGATCGAAGGAAAACTAAAAGAAAAATTCATGGAATAGCATGAGTGGTTTGACTTTTGAAAAAGAAGGAAACTTAGGTCAATATTTTAGGGAAAATTCAAAGAAAAAGAAGATAAACGGAAGGAGATAATTTTATAAAGAAAATGGAACTCAATGATAATGAAATAAGATCTTATGAAGTTGAAGGAATTAAAACGGTGACTTTCAGAGATGAGCGCATCTCCAAAAGAAATGAAGATCACATTCAATTTCAAAACTCAAAAACGAATTATCATAGATTACTTACTCCCCCCCCCTCCGTGAGTGAACAAAACCATTAGAAAAATCCCTATTTTTTGCCCAAAAACCCACCCTCCGTGAGTGAATTTTTTTAATAGAAAAATTTTTTATGGAAAAAAATTTTGATATATAAATGATAATTAATATAATGAAATCTAGAGCTAATTCTTCTCAATTTTAAACGAATTGCTATTTAAAACATAAATTTTATAAATTAAATTAATATCTGCGTTCCAATTTTTGCGAATTAGGATTTTTTTAAATTTTTTAAAAAAAATATTTTTTTATAAAATTTATATATAAATTTTTTTAAAAAAAAAAAATTAACCCCCCTCCGTGAGTGAACAAAATTTTTTTGTTCACTCACGGAGGGGGGGGGAGTTAGTTACATTCTGTAGCAAAAAATCAGATGCTTGAAGCAGACAAGTTTATAAAAGGATTTTTACCGAGTAATTTTTTTGGATTTAGAAGAATAGCAAGGCTTTACTATAGAGAGAGATTTCTAAATATAATATTTAATTGTTCATTAATCCGGAGCTGCTTAAAAAATTAGTTAATCCCTTTTTTTAAAAATCTGTTTACATCCTCCAATTAACAGCGATCAAGTTATTTTCTTGCTCTTAAGGAAATCAAATTTTTAAGAATATTTTATATTAAATTTATTAATAAGGAGATTTTATTACTGATTTAGAAAATCCAATTTGTGATTTGAAAATTAAATTAATATAATTAGTGAGAAATCTTGCTATGAAAATTTTAATTATAAATAAAAATTTTTGTCGATTATACTTAAAGTTAAATTTCCCTAAAAAAATCGCAGAATTAGAAACATTTTTAGAAGACTAAAATCCATTTTAATATGTGAAATTAATGCGCTAGCTTATGGAATTAGGAATAAAATACAATAAAAATGAAGATGCTTGCTGTTTGATGATTAAACAACAACAAAATTTAAGAAGTGTGGGCTCATAGCTTTTTGCTCAAGACTTAATGGATTGTTATAAAGCTAAAATTTCGAGATTTAATATCCAGTTACCTTTGAAATTTTTGTAGGAGTGATTTTAAAAGACAATGCTTCATTAACTATATGTTTTCTTAATTTTGAGTTTATTTATGAAAATTAAAACGATTGATTCTCTTTGAGTTCACCTAATCTGAATTATTTATAATTATTTTCATTTATGAGCTCTTTATTACAGCAAACAATTTCGCCTTTCTATATACCATATTCTTTAAATTTTCGCTTGCTTGGAATTTTTTAATTATTAAATAAATATGTATTATATATTGTAACTATTATATAAGTTAAATTACAGTGGTTGCTATTCTTATAAAAATTATGTCAATATAATTGCGTTTAAAATTTTATCAATGTTAATATTTCTCATATTATGAGCAAATTTGATTACCATTAAACAAAAAATAGAAAATTTATATCTAATTATCTGCTATCTTTTATTCTTTGCTTATTTAATCAATAAATCTCTATATCTGAACTTTGAAACATAAATTAAGTTTAAGTTTACTTGCATAGGATTATAGAAAACACACTATTAGGAATTCAAAGTCTTTATTCCCTTTTAAACACTCTACTGCTTGCTCGCAGTTCCCACATCATGATCCTGCGCTGTGTTACTGCTTCCGACAAGTACCTGTATTTTGCAGAAGTCGGGAAAACTAAGCCACTGTGTTATGCGTCAACAAAGGCTTCCCATAGTAATGTTCTCCCTCTTTCTTTATAAAAATATAATGGAACAAGAATTAGTAAGTCTCACAAAAGACAACCCAGAGTTAGGCACTTTGGAGCGTCGAATCTCAACTTTTGTCTCAAAGCACCATGGCATGGATAAGCTTTGTTTTGCTTGGCTCTACTGTACATATAACGGAGACTATGACCTTCTGAAACGAACAATTAAATTTTATCATAAAACAGGAATAAAGACATTTTTTGGATTATTCGGACCGAAAGTTGTATATGGCTCTTTATATTATCCTTCAGATGATGCTGGGCTAAAGCTTATAATAGAAATTGTTCCTCGCGATCTTATTATTTCAGCCCTCAGAGCTGGTCAATATTACGTTTTAAAGCTATTTATGATGAATATGGCGTTGGATGTGAGTGAAAATAAATTGACAGATGATAAAATTTATTGGAATTTTAGAAAGTTAGAACTTTTAATCAACTTGAGGCCGGAGGAAGTTGTGGTAGCGATTAAGGCTGGCATTGAGCAAAAGGCAATAAGTGAAACGGTCAAGGAGAAAATAGTAACCTCTTTGAAGCTTCATATTGAAAGTGAATAAGCTGTAAAAACTTCAAAATACGCTAAGAGAATTTTTATCAAAGCATTGAAACTAATTAATACGATGCTTGGATTATTCGTGCGAGTAAATAATAGTTATGGGCATTTCATACAAATATAGAAAATTTATTAATATGAAATAAATATACTTCATAATTTCAATAAGTGGATTTGAAATTCCTGATTAACTTATGAGCAAGGACCAAAAAGAGATTAGTAAGTATTAAAGATAAAAAACTCTTATTTAGATGATAGAAATTTACCATCTTAAAAATTCAATATTTATCTCATCCAGTAATCCATATAAATATAATCTTATTCAGGAATAACAATAAATTAAAATTGAGTTAATCGCATTTAGAATTTCTTATTTGTTTAAATCCATCCTATGTTTAGTTTAATTTCAGATAAGACTTGAATAAGTCTTCAACAGAATGAGAATAAATGACTATAGGGTCACTTCTGCTGATAGCGAGCAAGAATTATTTAATTGCTAGCAACTAGTGCTTTAAGATAAAGAGACTCACATAAATAAAATAAATATATTCATTAGAAACTTTCACTTTAATGAAGATTGCTCTAAAGACATTTATTTGCTATTTAATTTTGTCAAAATGCTGAGTTTAAGTCTCTATTAAATATCGCTGTAATCCACAACATTTCTTTTTCCTTTATGATGCTTTGTAGGATCATCTAGATCTTCATAAGGTTCATCAGGCGCTGGCCTTTTTCTTGGAAAATTCATTTCCCTATCCCCTGCATCGCTTCTTTCTCTATGCTCTCCCCTATCACTTCTTTCTCCTCTTCCTCTTCCTCTGTATCTTTCTCCAGCAAACTGTATTTGATTTTGTAACTTATCAGGATCCGCTAAATAATTTTCAAGAGTAATAGCTTTAATTCTTTCCTTCACAACCAATTGATAATCCTCCAAGTGTTTCGTCTTCAAATGCTTTTTTACAAATTCGCTGCTTCTGAATAATTTTTTGCATAGATTGCATCTTACTTTTTTTTCTTCTTCTTCAGTTGTGTTTTTGTTTTCGAATTCCATTATCAACTCTTGCTATAAATAGATTCTCATTGCTAAATATAAAATATTTTAATATAAAATTTTAATAAAATAAGACTGTTTTACAACTTAAACAAAGGAGATATATCATTTTTTTGCAGTTCGGGGTCGTTCTATATAATTTTTACATCTTTATCGTACTTTTTCACAGGATTTTTTTTTAAAATTCTTTCTTCAATCTTCTGGTCGAACTCTATAGGGCGGGCTGCAGATTCATCATAATTAGTCCTTATGTGAGCTGGGCCGCATTTTGCAGCGAGCATTCTTTCATCTTCATACTCTTCTTGGCAATAATAGCAATATGCATGAACTCTTCTTAAATAGAGCAGCTGTAAATCTAATTGCATTTCTTTTTCTTCTTCTGATAGCGTTGCAAACATTTCTTCAGAAATTAAAAGCTGGTTTTCCATGATTCCTTTTTCTCTATCAATAAACGAAATTAATCTTGAGCTCTGTTTCCAGTCTAATTCAATCGAATTTGGATGCTGTGGAGCTTGAAGGCGCAATTCTTTCCTAGACACACTTTGGGACTTTACAGGTGAAAGTTTAAAATCAGGAGTCACAACTCTTCCAGTCAGAAGTTCCAAGCTTTCATTACAATGGTCTTCAGTATCATAAAGGACCCATGCGAATCTTGAAAACCCTTGAGTTTTCAATGGCTCTGACATTGATAAAGAAACGAACCCCGGAGAAGTTTTAACGACGTTCAGTACATCTCATCTTGATATATTAACTGGGATATTTTTCAAAAACAGCGTCATCGAATTTGGATCAAATCCATAATAAGGCGGCCCTGAAATTTTTTCGACTGGCTTGTCCTGTATTTTTAATCGCAGGCCTGAGAACCCATTGTGCTTTGTAAGCTCAATAAAAGCTGTGTGTGAGACCTTCGCGTCCAAATGCCTCTCCTCTTGCCATTTTTGTGAGAAAATTGGGTCATATTTTTCAATGAACCAATGCTCATTGTTATGCTCACTAAAGAAAATCTCTAAATGCTTGCGCTCGTATTTAGATTTATATTCGTCGTAAATTTGTTGGGCCTCATGAGGTGGGATGTGCTCGTGCTGCATTTCCATGAATTGTTTAAAGGTTAATAAGCCACCTGCTAGACTTGGGCGAATTACGTGAGATTTTCCATCTTGGTTGCGAGGGAAACGAGGACGATTTTGGTTTTCGTCATTATCTCGGAATCGTCTACGGGGCTCGCCTTGTGGAGGAGGAATGAATGGGTCAGCTTTGACTTCTTCTTCTGGTGGCCAATTCATCTATGCTGCGACATACCTTTTTATTATAACTAAAACATAGATCAAAAATATATAATGCTTTACTTTGAATATACTGACTCCCCCCCTCCGTGAGTGAACAAAACCATTAGAAAAATCCCTATTTTTTGCCCAAAAACCCACCCTCGTGAGTGAACAAAAAATTTTTTTTAATAGAAAAATTTTTTATGGAAAAAAAATTGATATATAAATGATAATTAGTATAATGAAATCTAGAGCTAATTCTGTTTAATTTTAAACGAATTGCTTTTTTAAAACATGAATTTTATAAATTAAATTAATATTTGCTTTCCAATTTTTGTCAATTAGGATTTTTTTAAATTTCGAAAAAAAAATATTTTTTATAAAAATTTATATATAAATTTTTTAAAAAAAAAAATTAACCCCCCTCCGTGGTGAACAAAATTTTTTGTTCACTCACGGAGGGGAGGGGAGTGAGAAATTTTTTACTCCCCGAACAAAACCATTGAAAAAATCACTATTTTGCCTAAAAAATCATCCTCCGTGAGCTTTCTGCTTATCATGCCTTTTTGTTGGTTTCCAATTAGATTTCTCAATAATTATACTCCAAGCTAATCTACTTTCGGAGCGATTTATATCAATTTTTTTGACGAGCTCATAATGCATAATATTAACAAAAGAGCTTAAGCCTAATATGACTATATCTCAAGCCTGAATATGGAGTTTCGCCTGCTTTTGGAACCAATAGCTGCCAAATCAATTTCATAAATTGGGAATCTATTAGTATAGGTACGGTTTGGCAACTTTTATATTGAGTATCGAAAAAAATTATTTTATTGAAATGGATGCATTTTTGAAAAAGCTTTAAGACTTGAGGAACTGGGGTTTAACTTGGAAATTGCAAGAAAGATGCTGACTCAGCATGGAGAAGGTTGCTAATCAGTTTTCTGCCTATTGTTGGATGGGGGATGGTTAGATTCAGAAGATTTTAGCGAGGATGCTGCTGAAGGGAGTCCGGATTGCGGCAGAGATTATAAATTTGAAGATACAGAATATGAAGACGAAACCTAGATAAAACAGGAAACGATATGGGTGAAGAATTTGGCGAAAAAGGTGAAGATGAAAGTGTCCGCGAAAAAATGAAAATTGAAATCGTGAATCAGGCATGATAAAAGAAATAACTAGATCAAGAAGAAAGTCAGGTGGAGACAACTGGGATTACAGATGAAGCTATTTGACTTCTTGAATATCTGAAAATAGGAATTTGGGATCGGAAGGAAGGAAGCAAAGAGAACCATTAAGTATAAAATATAATTGGAATCAGTATATTACAAGAATTGGGAGAGAAGTTCATAAGGCGATATTGCTGTTTGTTATACTAAATGAAGGGAACGGTTTCCATATATCTAACAAAACTCACAAAGATCTCGCGATTGACTATATTTTTAGGCTTAAGGGCTGGATTGAACTCAATTGCATATTCTCGGAGCCTAAGGCATCTAACCCAAGCAAGTGTATGCGAGGGTGATGGATGGTGAAGGGAGGATGAAGTTCATATTATTGATGATTGCTGCTCATGTGAAAGTTATAGATTAGACTTTCTATTGGATTTGCAGTGATGGGGAGTATTGGATTAAGTTGTTAAAAAAGGATTCAAAATTTACTAGAGACCAAAAAAGAGAAGAATGCTGATATCGATCACTGGTAAAGTCTTAATAAATAAATAATATTGAGCTGCTCCTCCACAATTAAGCTAATAAACCACAGCTATAAATTTTCCTAAGCAAGAGCACTATAGCTTATAATAGCTTGCTAGATAATTGAGCTTATTTATTGACTAAAGTATACTAAACTACTTCAAAATCTCGCAACTCAATTAGATTCCTTCTCCAACTTAAACAACAATTTCAGCTAAATTTATTAAATGGAAAGCAACACTGCTTTATGGATACTTTTTTGGTTTATCAGCAGCTCAGCTTGTTATCTCTATGGTATGTATGTTGAATCTAAATTAAATCCAAAGCAAAAACCAAATTATTCAGAATTAAAACTAGAAGAAGAAAAATCAGAAATTCACGACACAAATGATGATAAATTATATAAAGAGGAACTAGACAAAGAAAGAGCAAGCAAGAGAAAAATGACCCAGGAATATGAAAAAGAAATAGACAGCTTAAAAGCTCAAATTGCATTCATACAAGCCCAAACTAAAGAAAAGCTTGCAATTAATAATCAGAAATATAATCAGCAAGAAGAATTATTTGATGAAGCTCCAGGATTTAGTGCACCCATTGTGCAAATAGTTGATGGAAGCTATGATAATTTTGATGAAGATCTTAATAAAGAATTAAATAATGAAATTTAACTATTTTTAGTAATTTTTTTACAATAATTAGCAAATTAATATTAAAAACTAATAAATTAGATATTCCATAATTAAAGCAGATCAGGCATCATATAGCATTAATGCTAAATTTATTCAGTGCCCCACCCATTTATATCCACAATATTAAAAATTAAATGGCATCAAGTTCAACATGTCTGGTCCTCGGATCTCCAGGATCAGGAAAAACAAGCTTTATCACCCGATACCTCTACTCTTTCCACACTCCTACGTATTTTCCATCACAGCATCCTAAGCACTACCGCTACACGCTTTCGTACCCCCCTCCGTCCTCTACCCTAGAGATCGTCGAAAGTTGCAGTATCCCTGAAAACTTGCCATTTTCCTCAGTGCTTTTGGTGTATGATCCTTCAAATCCAAGCTCTTTAGATCATATAAGAGATTTATTAGTTGAGCTTAAAAAATCTAGTAAGCATCAGTTTGGGTGCTTGATAGTGGCTATAGTAAGAAACAAAGAAAGCGTGGCTTCTGGAATAAAACTAGCCAATGAATATCACTTAAAATTGATTTCAACTGACATAAAAAATAGATTGACAGTGAAGAGATGCTTCCAGATGTGCTGGCAGTGGATCAAAAAGAACTTGACCTGGGAAGACAGAAAAGGAGCAATCTCAATCAGAGAAAAAGTGAAAAAATATCGACTTGCTTAAAATTTATTATTTAAAAAGTTTCTTTATAGATTAATTTTAAAAAGGGCGTTAAAAATGCGCAATTTCAGTCAGTTTAATCAAAAATCATTTAATTATTAGACTAAATCAATTTTCCTTTCTTCAGTTATCAGTGGCTTTACCAAATTGTATGGAATAAAGAAAATATCCCCTTTTTCTAAATATATATCAGCAGAATTTTCAGTCTGGACTCTTCCCACATCGTCAATTACTTTAATAAATACATGCTTATCAAGCTGTGGGCTTACTTCAATCACTCTCTGCCCCTTTCGTGATTCGAGTGACCTGAGATCGTTCGGCAAACCCAGCAAAAACGTCTTTTTAAAGTGATTTGTTTTTATTGAATAATATTTTGTTAAAAAATCGATTTCTTGTGGAGATAAAAAATTAACATCATCTTGTCGTACGACTCATAAAGCATAGGCTTGAATTTTTACTAATCTTGACCTTAAATAGCTTGAAAGTAAATATTTAACGCGGTCTAGGTCCATTTGGTAGAGTAAACCTCGAAATTGCTCTTCTGGAGTTATAGGATCTATTCTTACTCCCATCCTTTAAAATTGAACAAAACATTTTAAATTAGCATTTTTTTGTACTTTAAACCCTCTTTAAAAACAAAATTTATTTTTCAATAGAAAATACTTGTTTTTGTAAATTATTTTATCTAGTTTAATAACGAAAATTAATGTAGAAATTATTTAAACAGTTTCCGCACTAAATCGATTATTTATTCCATAAAAATAAATTAAAATTAAACTATTGTGCACATTTTATTTAAAATATTTTTTTTTAAAGCAATTAAAAGTAAAAAGCACTAAATATTTATAAAATTAATTTGGCTAGTTTGATAGAAAAAGTGCAAGTAGAATTTTATTCAGTCAGTTTGATTCTAAATCGATTACTTTATTTAATTATATCTTTTTAAAAATAAATTAAATTTAAAGTACAGTACTCAATTTATTTCTAGAAGAAAACTTAAATATGATTTTTTTTAAAGAAAATAACCCCCCTTAAAGGATTTTTGTTTTAATTTAAATGGGATTTGTTAGAGCTTTTTCTCGTGATTCAACCTGTCCAATTAGGCTCTCTATAAGGTCGCTTTCGTACATTAAAATCTCAGGACATGCTTTTTCCCGCCTTACAGCGGCTTCTAGCTCCAATACTTCTTCTGCTAAACCCATTTTTATATATCGATTATTCATTTTAGATATAAGCTCCTTCGAAGATTTTAAGCCGATTTTGATCTTCTATATATAGCATAAACTGCAATAAACACTTACAATATAATTCAATATAAGACATATTGTGAAATTTATGGGTTTTGCTTCAAAATTTTGTTTGCCATGCTATCACACTTTTTAGGTAGGATTTTGACTTTAGCCGAATTCAAATAACGCTTACCTTAATATATTTTGCATCATTTAATATATAAAATTCTATACAATTAGGCTATTCAATAGCAAGAATTAATTCTCTAATTGTCATGACAACGCCAGTCACTGGTCTTAGCAATTCAAAGCTTTTCATAGTACTTATACTAATAATTTCCTTATTTTTCAGCTAATTAAAAGTCTATCTAGAGGCTTTAGATTAAGTTTGGTATGAATGATGTCTTCTAGCTTGGAACTCGACATTTTTAGTCTTATATTCATATCTTCCAATGAATGCTTTATCCTTGAAGAGATCATAAGAAAATTCAGCATCTTCTCTTGCTTTTGATTCATACATCCCATAAAACAGAACACCTGCTCCAATTAAGTAATAAACCAAGAAGTATCTTTGAGCTTTCATGTTTTCTATACTCATTTATAGCTCTATATTATCCTATAATAATAATCATTTTTAATTAATATTAGAAAATAGAATAACGTTCTTATAGGTTTTTTAAAAAAAAATAGAAGCGGTATATGATTTCTGGATGAATTTCTCTGAATCTGGGAGTTCTGTTTATAAATCTTCTGCCTTCTTGGAATCCCTTGAGGACGTCGGAAGTAGTATACTGAAACCCATATCTTTTTGGGTCATAGAGTAGTTTTGAAGCATCAAGGAGGGTGGGGTTATCTGAAAGGTTTTGGAGATTCTGGACTTGCTTGAGAATCGCACTCCTGCGGAAAGCCATATTATTATTGGCATCCTTCAAAAGTTGCTTATTAAAATTCTTTTAAATTTCAAAGATATATATATGATTTAAATAATATTTGAGGAAGACCAAGGAATATTATTGAATTATAGCTTATGCTTCAAAAAAGTTAAGAAAATACGATTTTTGGGAATAAACTAAGCTTATTAAGCCTTTCTATTTCTTCTTGTTATTGTCTTTTTAACTTGTTCACTGTGATGAAGCTTTGTCATTCTTTCTGCAGCTGCTTTAGCAAGACTTGAGTTTCTATTATCGACCAGAGAAACAAAAGCAGATTTCGCTCTTCCTAGATATCCACCTTTCTTTATAGTAATCTTGTCCTCATGCTGAGTTTTGCCTTTGACTCCGTATTTTCTAAGCTTTTTTGCTTTAAGAGTGACTGGCTCACTTTTTTTTCTGCTTGCTAATCCAATAGCACTTGTGCTAGCAATTCCTGCGAATTTTTGGCTGTGGATGTTAACTAAATTGTAAGGGTCAGTTGAGAAATCTGTGTTGTTGCGTCTGATGATATATTTGTTGTTACCTCTAAGAAGTTCCCAGAGAAGATCTGATGAGACGGTTGCCATAGACTTTTATTAAATGGAAAATTATGTAATTAGGTGAGCAAATTTGTCTAATACATACAAAAATTAATTAATCATTACCAATGCTAGGAATTTGCAGCTGGATAGTAGAAGCTTCTTCAGATCTTTTGCTTTCATCCCCTAAGCCAGAATTTTTTCTTTGGAATGAGTGGATTTTTGTTGTACGCAATGTATTTCCCCTTCTAACTACAGTTTTCTTTAATTCTTTGGCCTTTATTTCTTTCAAAAGCTTATTAGTTTTTTCTACTGTTGAACCATTTGGAATTTCAACTTCCAAAAATTTGAAAATTGGTGCTAAATTTGGTCTTGGAGTCAATCCTTCGTATCCTACAGCTGCTCTATCAGAAAGGATAGAATTCGTTTTCATTAAATCAGAAATTTGTCTTTCTAGTTCTTCTTGGACTTCATATGACTGTTTAAGTTTACATAAAATTGTGGAATAGCCATTAGTCATGCTGTCATTTTTCTGCTTTAATTCATAAAAATTGCGATTTAAAAAATTATAATCGCTAGTCGATTTTTGTAGCGTTTCTTCATAATTTTTGAGCTTTTTTTGAAGTCCAATAATATTTTTATTGTCTTCGTCTCCACATGTGCGTAAATTTATGACCTCTCGCTCTAATACAGAAACTTTATTTAGTAATATAAAATTCTCTTTTGTTTTTTGCTGAATCTCTTGCTTATATTTACTAGTTTCTTCTGATAATTTTTTATTGTCTTTCTCTTTTGATTGAAAAAGCTCAGTAAATTTTGCGACCTCTTCTTTAAGTGTATTAATCTCTGATGCATAATTTTCTTTCATTTTATTAACTGTCTCAATAGAGCAATAATCTTCAGAGTCTTTTCTCTTAAAATTCAGTGGGTATAAATAATAAAACGGAATTAATCCATCTAAATCTGTCAATGTCTCTGGGTATTTTTCATAGATATGCTCAAGTACCTCTGCTTCTATTTCTTCTTTTGCTATAAATACTGAGTTTCTTATTTCTTGCACAATATTTCTTAGCTCGTCCTTATATCTTCCATCTTCATTTGACAAAATTTCTAGTGCTTTTATAATCATTTTTGTCCTATTTAATGAACGTGATTTTTCTTTTTCCTTTCTATCATCAACCAAACTTCTGAGGGCTAAAACAAGGTCTAATTTTGTTTTTAGCACTGCTGAATTGAAGCTTTGTGAAGAACTTCTATCAGATAAGCATTCGGATTTGGTGGACTTTTGTAAGGATTTCCTGAAGGTTTGGGAATCAGAAATATCTGTAGGCACTGGAGTTCTGCTTTGTGAGCTTCCTGCGGTAAGTAAGAAAATATTTTTTCTTAGCTCTGGCTTGCTACTGTAGGCGAGTAAGGATGGAGATTGACATGAACTTGGATTTAATGTTTCAACGCCACTAAAAGTTGATGAATGATGGTGAAGTGACGGCAATAGCTGCTTGTTCAAAGATTTTTTATTGTGCTTCATTTTAAAATATTTTTCTTTTTTATATTTTTGATATGAAGATCAGTAAACACTGTTACTATTTTCTTTTTCTTACAGAATATTTAAATATTTTTTAGAATTAAGTCTGTTAGTGCCACTTTCTATGGGAAGATACGAATTTATCAAATTTAAATGAAAAGTTATTGTAAAATCGTTCTTTGAGTTTTTATTAAAGGAGATAATTAGTTTATTATTAAATTTGGGCATTTTTATAAAGATGCTTTATAATTTTAAAGAAAATTTTCAGAAATAACCCTATAAATTGTTATCTAATTAATTTTTAGTTATTGATAAACTTTTAGATAATAAAATTGCTATATACTACTCGTTATCCAATTTAGGTATCTCCATCTGTATAACAGGAGGATCATTTTTTTGATCTCCACCAAAATCTGTTTCTGTAATTTTTCTAGAAATTAACTGACGAATTCCAGAGTTCAGCAAATTTTTTCTCGTCAGAGTTCTCTTTCTAATTTTGTTTTTAACTTCTTTTAAAATTTCATTAGTTTTTTCGATTGTTGAACCTTTTGGAATTTCGACCTCCAAGAAGCTAAAAATCGGTTCTAAGTTTGGCCTTGGAGTTAATTCTTCATATCCAGCAGCAGCTCTAACAGAAAGAGCTGAATTTTTTTCGATTAATTCAGAAATTTGCCTCTCAAGATCTTCTTGGGTTTCATATGATTGTTTAAGCTTATATAAAATCGTAGCATACCCATGAGTCATCGTGTCGTGTGTCTTTTTAAGCTCATCATAGTTGCGATTTAGAGCACTGTAGTCGCTATTTAATTTCTGCATTAGTTCGTCTGATATTTTGCTTTTTTTTTGGTAGTCAACGATTATTCTATTGTCTTCGTCAGCGTTATAACGTAATCCTATGATATCATGCTGTAAAACCGAAACTTTATTGAGTAAAATAAAATTTTCTTTTGTTTTTTGATCAAGCTCTGCTTTGTATTTGCTATTTTCTTCTAATATTTTTTCATTTTCTTTATCATGAAGTTCAATTTTTCCATTTAATTTTTCTATTTCCTCTTTTAATTTATCAATTTCAAGCTTACAATTTTCTTTAATTTTATTGACGGTTTCAATTGTGAAGTATTCTTTAGTGTCTTTTTTCTTTAGTTTCAAAGGATATAGGTAAAAGAACGGAATAAGCCCATCTAAATCAGTTATTGTTTCTGGGTAACTTTCATAAACATATTCAAGCACATCTTCTTCCACTTCTCCTTTATTAATGAAAATAGCATTTCTTATTTCTTCAACAATCCTTTTAAGCTCATCTTTATATTTCCCATCTTCATTAGACAAAATTTCAAGAGCTTTTATAATCATTTTTATTCTATTTAATGTACGTTTAGGCTCTTTATCATCGTCAAAAAGGTTTCTAAGTGCCAAAACGAGGTCTAATTTTGTTTTTAAAACAGTAGAGCTGAAGCTTTTTGTGGAATTCCTATCAGATAAGCACTCAGTTTTGCTATTTTTATATGATAGCTTTCGGTATGTTTGAGAATCGAGAATATCGGATGGTATTGGTGTCCTGCTTAGTGTTTCTCCTGTGTTTAGAAGTAAAATACTGTTTCTCCTTTCGGATTTAGTATTAGGAAATAAGAAGCCTGAGGATGTATAAGTTAGTGGAGTTAGAGAACCTGAGCTATTGTACGTTGGAGTTTGATGATGAATAACTGGCAGCGGCGTTCGAGAAACCTTTTTACTTTGCTTCATTTTTGTAATATTCAATTATTTTCCAACAATTGTTGAGTTTAAATTTTAAAGGATAGTTAATGCAAGATAATAATTTAGGTAATTTTGATTAATTTTTGTTTTTTTTGAATTTATTACTTAGTATTGAATGATTTTGACCTCTTATGCAGGATGCCCAGGCATTAATGTCAGGCTTTTAATAAGTGACAATAATTTTTTGAATTTATTAGTAAACATTTAAATAATTTTAAAAAGCATTAGATATTTTTATTGAAAATTGATGTTTAAGATGAAATTAGGTGTCATTCAGTAAGATTTTCTGTAATTCTTCCTCCAGCTTGTTTCTTTTGGTAAAAGCATAATTATACTTCAATTTTAATAATTTTATTATTTTTTGACAATTAAACCATGCAATTCGGCATATAAGATGCTACGCAAGTCTTTATGTTGTCAGATCTTCTCTATTCTTCTTATTGGCTTTATGGAATTCGAAAAGCTCGCTGAATTCTATCGTTTTTTCCTTAATTATTTGGCTGATGATATCTTGATTAATTCTAGATCCATATTATTATGAGATTTGGAGAATTTTGCAATATTTTGGACTTGGAAAAATATTATTCCAGACCGAAACGGATACCAAATTCAAGGTTAATTATATAGTTGATCATCATAATGAACTAATGCTAACCCTTGAGAATTATACTCCTATTCTGTGATCAGCTATAAGTTAATTAATATACACTATATTGTATCTGTCTTGAGAAAGATTATCTTTTAGAATTTTACCTCAGTAGCAGCTTGCTGATGGAAGTTACTTTTATTTTTTATCATTTTCATAGCTACGAATTCTTTGTCTTTATAAATATGCTTTAAATAATTGCCCAACATATGTGGTCACCTAAAGAAAATCTATATTTAATGTATAACAATTATTTTAAGTATTTGAATTATTTTAAAAATATTACACCCTCTGTGAGTGAGTTAAGAGAATTTTACTCGCTAGAGAGAGGTTATTTTTTTTAAAAATTTTTGTAAAATTTATGTTTTAGTATGAAAGCAGAATTTTTTAGAGATTCTAATGTAATATTGTTATATAAAAAATTTAAAATTAAAAAAATTTGTTACTCGCTCATCAAGAGTGGCTTGCTTTACCAATAAATAAGAATCTTTCAATGGTTTTATTCGTTTGGAATAGGAGTTACGAAAATATTTTACCACTTTATTAGGTTTAATTTTTGCTATACCTAATTACAGAATCTGTGCTAGTAAATAGTTGTCCTGATTTTGCATATAGAAAATTTTAGTCTCTTTTAATTAGATATATTTTGAAAAAAGAATATAAAATATAAAAACAGTTTTACTTCCCCCCCTTTTTAAATAGGAAACAAAATTCAGTTCCACAAAAAATTATATGAAACTTTTCATTAACTAGATTTATATAAAATTTTTTTATTTTACAAAATTTTTTGTTTTGCTATATCAATTTTGTTTAAATAGTATTCTACTTGTACTCCCCCATTTAAATAGAACCAGCTATGGTAAATCCTTAATTTTGGCAATATTATGTTGAGTATCAAAGTTATTATCATGATTATTTTTACCTATAAAAAATAAAACTTTGTTCCGATTTAATGAGATTGAATTTACTCAAAAAAATTGAAATTGATCCATTAAAGAGGGAAAGCTAATCATTAGAAATAATTTTAATATTTTTTCTTAAGTCTTTAAATTATATTTCAAAGTTAATTTCTTTTGGTTTATTAGAGATCTTGCATGGATTTAGTTAATAAAATATAAGAATTGTCCCGTTAAAGGACAAAGATATTCAGAATTTCATAATGATTTAATCTTAAACAAGTTCAATAAAAAGCAAAGAAAAATTATGCAATAAGCCCAGAGTTCTCTTACCTAAATAAGCTTTAAACATAAATATTATGCTTTACAAATATTCAGCTATAATAAATATAAAAATAGTAAAATGAAGGAGTTTTAAAGCATTTTCATGACCCCTTGTTTTGCATAAAATTTATTACTCTAAAATTTTTTAAATTAAACAGCGGTTTTATCACAGCTGCTTTTAATTTGACGATTATAAATTTTTGCTTAATACTAAGATACACACTTCCAATTAAGATAAAAATTATTTGCATTAGCAGAGTTAGCAAAGAACCTACAAACAAAATATTAAGAAAATATTTGAAGTATAAGACCTTAATTAAATCTATCCAAGCTCTTACATACTTCTGGGTGCTTGCAATGTGCGCATCTCGGTATTTTACTATGTTTTTTATGTAAAATATGCTCTTTTACTATAGTTGCCAGTGCACTAATAAATAGCGGATTGTCATTTGGCCCAGGTGTGCGCTTAACATTCATTCCTTTTCCATTGCATTCTTCTATGTATAGTTTATCAAGCTCATATAAAGTTTCTAAATGATCTTGAGTAAATGCAATTGGAATAATCAGCACATCTTTTTTCCCTTGTTCTCCAAGTGATAGCAACGCTTTGTGAGTATTTGGCTCAAGCCATTGCTGAAACCCTACTTTGCTTTGCCAGAATAAGTGGCTTTCGTTTCCGAAATAGCTGGAAATTAGATTGACTGAGGTCGAAATTTCAATAGGATATCGATCTCCACTCCACGCAACCTTTGCAGGAATTGAATGAGCTGTGAAAGCCAAAACCACCTTTTCAGGGTTTGCAAAGCTTGCTAACTCCCCCGTTCGTGAGTGAACAAAACCATTAGAAAAATCCCTATTTTTTGCCCAAAATCCCCCTCAGTAAGCGAACAAAAACTTTTTTATGAAAAAAATTTGATATATAAGTGATAATTATTATAATGAAATCTATAGCTAATTCTATTTAATTTTTAAAAAAATTTGCGTTTTAAAACATAAATTTTATAAATTAAATTAATATTTGCTTTCCAAGTTTTGCGAATTAGGATTTATTTAAAATTTCGAAAAAAAATTAGCCCCTCCGTGAGCGAACAAGATTTTTTTGTTCACTCACGGAGGGGAGGAGTAAGTGGCTTTTGATTGTCTCGACCCAGAAGTTGATAAATGCTGGATGATCTCCCCATCTAGAAATTGTTGACAATTCCATATCGGGCGAAACGTGATTTAAAACTTCACGTAAAGCATTTCCAGTAGTAGCGCAGCTATAATGAGGGTACTGGGTGAATGCTATGACCTGCTTTACTTTATCATTTTTCAGTTCTGAAATAGCTTCATCTGTAAGAGGAGAGCTATAGCGGAAGCATTTGTAAAATTTATGAGGAGCTGATTCAGGCAAAGTTTTGTCTAAAATTGAGACCAACTGTTGACCTTGAATATTTGTCCACTTGGATAAAGGAGAAAAGCCTATAGCTGAGTATTGCTTTTGGACAGAAGTTCGTGCACGGATTCTTGCGATTTTCGGACCAAGGTTAAAAGGAATAGGAATGAAGGATTTATCAGAGAACATTCGGACTAGAAACGGCTCCACTTCAGCAAGCGTTGTAGGACCGCCTAAGTTCATAAGAAGAATCCCTGTTTTCACTGTCATTAAATTTACTGAAGATATCAGCAGAAGTGAATAAATAAATAAAATAAAATAAAAAAACAAAAGATATTTGGATATAAAGATATAACTTTTGAAAACTTTGGTTGGTTTTGATAAAGGATTGTGGATGTTAATCAATTTTTTTATATTAACTTACTAGGCTATCTAGGGTCCAATTTTTCTTTAATTTAATTCCTGGTGATTTTCTAAAAATTTAACAATTTTTTCAACTTTTCTTTTGTCTCCTAATTTCTCTAGTCCACCTCTAATTTCTTTCATTATTTGGAGAGCTTGTGGCAAATCAAAAGACATTTCTAATAAAAATCCTTTCCAGAAAAGTGCTTTTAGCCTAAAAATTTCTTTCTTTTTATTGCTGTGGCTAAATTTTAGTAACGTCAGAAAATCTTCTATTGCACACAAGCCATCCTCAATGCTCTGTCTGTGCATAACTGAAATTTTTCCGATTTTATATAAAAATTTCGGATCAGAACACAGTGAAAATAACACAGAATTTGTCTGTTTTGGGACTTCTAAAGGCATTTTTCTGCTACTTCTGTTTTCTTCAATTTTGTGGCTTAGTGATTTTAACCAATTTTCATTTGTCGACAATCTTCTTTCTAATGGACTGATCTCTTCCCCAGCTTCGTCTTCTACTATTTTTGCAGCCAATTCTCCTTCTTGTGATATTCCAGGCTGAACCTGCTCTTTAAGAAAAGACTCAAAATACTCCCCTGATAGAATATTTGCCTGGGAATTTCTGTAGTTTGTATAATTATAAGACCTTGATGTTTCTATTGCAGTTGCTGACGCATTGGCAAGATCGTCTACAGTTTTAGCTTTTTTAAGAGTCTTTGTATAAGGGACTTCCGCAAATGGTAAAGGAGGAAAAACTTTGGCTAAGCATTTAAGTAAATTTATAGCTTTTGCAGCTTGGTTGTTTATTGCTAAAATATCTGCATATAAAATATGCGCTTCCATCCATACAGAAACAGGTATATCAGGACTGCTACATCTAATAATCATAGCTTTTCCTAACTTTTTCATTAGTCTATACTCTCTTTTAATTTTCAGTGATTTAAACATTTGGGAGTAAATTTTTATGCTGAATTCCCCATTATTTGATGCTTCTTCAAGCTGCGCAATTGCTTCATCTTCATCTCCTTCAAGGTAAATAATTTTGGAATACATAATATCTCCAATATCTTTTTGGAAATTTTTTATTTCTGCACATGCTTTTTTGCATCTTTCAAATTCCTGTGGGGTCAGATTTTTGCTTAATTCTTTTTCTACTGAAATTTTCATGTCAATTTTTGGTTTAAGTTCTTCGAGTTTTGTAGTCATTTCACTGAGTTTTTGGGATGGAGAATTTCCAAGATGCTTGATAGCTTTTTTTATAGTTGAAAAAGCATCAAAGAGCTTGTTTTGGTTAATATAGGCGAGGGAAAGCCAATAATAAATTTTGCCGAATCTTGATTTTTTGCAAAGTCTTAAACATTCGTGCAAAGCGTCAATAGCAGAATTTATATAACTTTTGTCGCCTGATTTTGAGCTTAGCCTTCCGTAATGGTATAAAAATGATGTATAAGTAGGATGCTCAGTATATTTTTGCAGCAGAAGCCCTAAGCAGTTATTAAGCTTCTTATTGCGAAAATAGCTTTTTGCATAGCGGAAACAGAAATATATATAATATTGATGATAATCATAGTCAATAATCCTTAAAAATGCCTCAGCAGAAATTCCTTCACAAAGTTCATAATCTTTTGTAGTATAATAAGTGTATTCCCATAATATCACATAAGCTTCAGGCCTATCCTGGTTGCTCTTAATTAACTCTTGTAAAATCAGCAATGCCTTATTAGTCTCTTTATTTTTCAAGAAAAACTTGCTCCAAGCCAAATATCCATAGTAAGTGTCAATTTCTTTTATATGGCTTGCATAATATTGAGGCAATTCTATGTCCACGCTATGTTTAAGGCCGCTATCCATAGCCATTTCAAACAACCCCCATAGAATTTCTAATTGATTGGGTAACTGCGTCAGCAAAATTTCCATCATTCTTTTAGTATTTTGCAGCTCTGGTTTATTATTTATTGAGGTTTTTAATTGTAAAAACGCATACCATGTATTATAAAGTGCATCTTTGGGCATATATTTTAAAGCTTCTTTTATATGGCTTAGTGCTTTAGGATAATCTCTCTCATAAATATATAGTCGCCCCAGACCAAAATGAGCTTCATAACAGCCTGGCATTTTGTCAATTGTGCCTTGGAAAACGTCTTTACAAGAGCTTATTTCGTAGTCAGGAATAATATCACATAAGGTTTTTTCTCTCATTAAATATCACATAAAGCAAGATCCTGATTCAATTAAGATTTTTCTTTCAATTTGAAATATAGAAATTGCCCGAGGATGGCGCTATATTGCGCCATCCTCGGGCAATTGGAGACACGGCTCCACACGGGAATTGTGTTCCACGTGTGGAGCCATTTTTCCACGTGGGAAAATGTGGATTCCACACGTGGAAAAATGGCTCCACACGTGGAATACGGTTCCCGTGTGGAGCCAATTTTCGCTTGCCCTAGGATGGCGCCATATAGCGCCATCCTAGGGCAAATCCTATAGCAAGGACGAGCCCATCTTAAAGCCCTTGTATTGTTTTCGGCGCTGCTCAAGCTGCTCTTGGACCATCATATCAACACGCTCTGTTGAATATAGAGAAAGCCTTGGTGAGTATAATGGGTCTTGAGATTCTTCTTCCTCTTTAAGTTTTTCTTTGACAATTCTGTTCCTTTGAGAAATTCTGATGCGGGATTTGATTGATTCATAAAAATCGTCGCCTATTCTGCTTTCGTCGACTTCTTGGATCTTGTAAGTGTCCATTTAATTAGTCAACTATTTAGAGAGGAAAAGGATTTTTATGATTTTTATGTTAAGAATATTTATTTCGCTTGGAGTTTGTCTGCCGTTTGTAATACTTGTAGAGGAAAAACAAAGCAGCGAACGTTAAAAAGGATATTAGGATGTATTCTAGAAATTTGAATGTTTCGGTGTTTTCTTGAGCATTTTCGAGTTTTACAAGCTTTATTTTGCTTTTTTGAGAGTGCTTATCAGCTGTGCTGTCATTTCCTATGATTTTTGGAGTTTGCTTGCCTTCATTGCTTTCCTCTTTTATATCAGATAAATTATTGATTATTCTAAAAGTTGCAATTTCCATACTGCCTAGCATTAGCGTACCCCATGCATCATTATATTTTCCTCCTAGCTTCTGCGCCATCCCATTGCCTTCATTTCGATAAAATTCGATTTCTTTAACAGTTTTTAATTTTTCATTAATTTTATAGTCCATAAACCCTCCAAGCAGTTTTCTTTCTTTAACATCAACACCTTTTATATTTAAACTCTGTGATCCTTTATTGAAATTCCAAACCCTTATTACAGTATTCTCATTCTTCACGACTCCGCTCAGCAAATAAAATCTTTGATCATTTATTCCTATATTGTAATGTGTTTTATATTTCCATTTCTCTTTTAATTCTTGGCCAAAATATAGCCCAGGAGCGATTTTTGATCGCCCTGGGCTATGATAAAGCTCAGAAACTCCCCGAGTTGGTTTTTCAACTCAAGTTGACAAACCAACTCGGGGATTTGGCAAATACCTTTTATGAGAGGCGTTTGTCAAGACCCCGAGCTGGTTTGTCAACTTGAGTTGAAAAACCAACTCGGGGGAGTTTTGAGCCTTATCATAGCCCAGGGCGATCAAAAATCGCTCCTGGGCTATACCATTTATTTTCACTTATCGTTAGACTTTTTTCATCAATTATTGGAAATATTATTGGATCATTTTTAGATTCAAGAGAAGATTTCCAGTATTCTGTATGGTCCAAAGTTCCAAACTCAAAATCAAATACATGCTCAGCAAGCTCTTGGTCGTTTAAGCCTTGCAGAAGGCCAAAACCATCATCATTATTTAAATTTCTTTGTAGCAAAAGCTCAAAAGCACTATTGCTTACAATTCCGAGCCCAAGTGTAAATTTTGGAAAAGCAGCCATATAAATATTCTCTAACTTTACCATAAAACCTCCAGGGATAGGATACATGTTCATTCCTTTTCTAGATGGGCGGTTTTCACTGATATATTTTCTTATAAATAAAATGGCATTCGGTTCGAGAGAAATTAGCTTTGCTAATTTTCTCTCCCTCATGGAATTTTATTTATAGGGTTAGGTTTTCACTCGAGAACTTCTGGACAGCAATAGCGGTTTAACTCTGGGGATAACCAGAGGAACCACTCCTCAGTCCACTCAAGATTTCGGGCTTTTACCTCTCAGCACATCCCACGGGAGGGATGACCCTTAGGCGGAACACGCGCAGGAGCTGAGTCGAGCGACAAGGGCGACGGCAACGCGCCGGGTGAGACGTGCAGCAGGGCTGGTGAAGCAGGAGTTGATAGAAGGCTTGGACGGGGCTGACCCGTGCCAAGATGGCTCGCCTACGTCATCAGTTTTGCCATAGGCCCTTTGGGCTGCGGCACTAGACACCTTAAACACCAGATAATTAAGTAAGTAAGTAAGATATATTTTCTTAACCTTAAATCCCCAGTATTAGAAGTGCCTAGCCATGCTGCATCTTTTATATTGATACTGGAAAAGCGAACAGTGATTTCTTCGTTAGAATAAGCATAAGCGCCATATTTTCATATAAACTTAGGCTCATTGTACAAAATTACTGTTTGATAGTAATAATTTAGCCCGGCTATCTCTTTTGTTCTTTTATATAAAAATTGAGCGACACTCACGATAGGACCATGAGATATCATGAATGAGCTTAATTTTAAATCAGAAACTTCTTCTCCTGAATCTTTTGGCTGAAAAGCATAAGCACCGCTGGCTTCACCATAGTAGCTTCAAAATTGCTGTTTCCAGTCTGTCTTAATATCTTTATATTGGATATAATCAGACATTCCATATTCATTGAATTTTATAGTGTAAAATGAGTCAGAAATTTTTAGCTGCTCATTGCTGCTTGATCCTTTGGAACAATAATGGCAATTTTCTGAATTTTCAATAATAAATTTATTTATGGAAATTGCTTAAATTATTATCAGTATCTAATAGCCTAGTCTTTATAGAAAATAGTTTTTTTACATATAATTATTTTTGAATTTAATTTTTGAAAAGTATAAACATTGTTTGGTAGGAAAGTGCAGGCAATTCAATTTTGAAATAAATTGTATAATTCGAGTCCAAAATATTTTTGACTGACTGCGATTTTATAGCATTCAGATTTCAGTCATAAATTTCTAAATAATTAAATTTTGAGGTTAAAGAAATCAACTTTTTAGCATTTCAGTTCAATGGATTGTGAACAATAATGGTCCTATAAGGCTTGAAAAATTCAATTTTGTCAGGGTTTTTACCTGCATCAATTAGCATAATCCTCAAAGCATCATTTATAGCACTAACAGCTTTCGATTTTTCTTTATCTAGCCTAGACTTAAAATCTGCATACACATGGTCTTTACAAGTACCTGTTATAATGTCATGGTGTAGACTTAAGCTAGCCTGATCCGAATCATATTGCTTGTCTTCAATAAAAGCCTTTGAAATTTCTGCTGATCTTGTAAGCTTGTGTGTGTTAAATATTAATTTTTTGAGATTTGGCCTTGATGTGTAAAAGCCTGTCCAATATGTAGGTCTTCCACCTTTTAAAGTGACATATGGGAAAAAGTCACCTTTATAATAAGAAAATGCGTTGAAACTTTGTTGAACTGCTTCAAAGTATTCACTCGGCGTAGCGATTCGTAAGGAAAACTTTAGTTTCTTGAATTTTGGAGAAGCGTTAATATAATCTCTTAAGTTTTCTATATATGAAAATAGCCCTCTTGCTTTATTTATCTCATTATATGAGAAATCTTCACCATATAAAAAGAAATTACGCCTTCATGATGGCGAAGGCCGCAGTCCGACAGAAAAAGAAAAAGTTCCAGAATTCGGGGTCACTTAACAAAATGGTGGCCCCGAAGGGCCACGGGGTCGGATGGGGTGTGGTTTCCGGGGTGGGAGCAGGTTTGGGCTGACTGAGCCTCTCCTCGACCTACAGACGAAAGACCGACGGCGCAATACCAAGTAGGCACTTCTGGAGGAGCATTATGCTGCTTGTAAATGGCGGAGGTAGTTTCAGAAGGAGGCTTTGGACGTGCCCCTCATACCCTGAGCACTGCCAGGGATTAAGAGAGTCCTTTGCTGAAGTTTTTTTGGTCCAAGCAGGCTCTCGGGTGAGTTTCCCTGAAAGATGTCGATGTCACCATTTTTGATGACGTGGACAGAAAAGGGCTTTAGGTGGCTTTAGTGGCTAGCGCCACATTGAGCGTGAAGCTGAGCTCGACTGGATTAGGGGCTGAAATAAACCCCGCTTTTACCCTCGATAATTAACTCTCTCTCACCATATAAAAGCATGATTTTATCTGTTTTATATGCAGATTTTCTATCAATAGCAAAATCATATAATTCTTCAGAGCTACATTAATGTTACCAAGTATCTAAATCTTTGGTTGCATTACAGTAATCATTGGAATTTATATTAAAAAGGCTTGGATAATCATAATGATCATATAAAAGATGTGTAAAAATCATATGATTATCTCCAATTTCTGAGCCTTTTCATATAAATTCCAAGTTCCCATCTTCAATCAATTGCTCTTTATAGCGATAATTAACTCGATTTATAACCAAAAACTCATACCCAAAATTCGCAAGTATAGCAGGAGTTAGTGCTGAGTGCCCAAACGGATCAATTTGCCAGGCAACCCTAACTTTCTCTATCCCAAAGTTCTCATACAAATAGTTATGCCCAGTTTCGATTTGCCTAATAACCATTTCAATATCAGGGTTTGCCTCATCACTTTGAACAAATCCTCCACCTACAATTTCAAGTCTCCCTTCACTTATGAACCTTTTTATTACTTCTTTATCGTCTGCTTCAGCTTCATCCATAAACATTTTGAGGAATGATGTTTCAGATCATACGAATTTCCTATCATGATTTTCTGATAGTAAAGTAATTATGTTTTGAAAAATGCTTCTCACTTGTTTTTTGTAGTAGTCCTCAATTGTTTCTACTCAGCCCAGGTCGCAGTGACTGTGTGGGATGATAAAAAACTCAATTGCAAAACAAATCGGAAGAAAAATAAGCCAAATCATAATTAATAGTTAAAAAAGTATTATCTTAATTAAATTAATAATTATTAATGACACTAAATATTTAAAAAAACATACCTCCACATTATAAATTTAGAAATATTAAATATTGGAAATACTATTAGGAGTCCTAAATTCTGCTTCGCATCAGCTTGTAAATACATTTTCAGCAGAGTAGATTGTGTTTACTATACTGTTTATGTAAAACTCTTGAATAGCTTTTTCTTCTTTCTCCTTCAGCTTTATAGGCTTATGCGGTTGGGCTGCATTATACCAGCTAAAATTTTGTTGTGCTAAAGCTAAGCCTTCTGCAGGGGCTAAGGGTAATTCAATTAGAGGCTCTTTAAAAGATTCTTCAATAATCCCTTTATCAAACTTTCCTAATAAAATGCCTAAAGAAGTTCCAAGCATTTTTCTTATTTGATGATATACAAAACTTTGTCCAGTGATATTAAATTTGATAAAATCAATCCCTTTATAATGCAAAGGATCGTTGTGTGCTTCAAATTTTATTATATATGCTGTCTACTCTGACTAAGCCATTAAGCAATATAAGCCAATATTTTATTTATTCAAAAAGATCTTATATCGTTTGGATTCTGGTAAATCACTTGTAAGTCTCTTTGAATAGTTATGGAACAAATGGGTGCCTTCCAATAGCCTTGTATACCCGTTCAGCTCATTTATTTTGTCAGTGCTGAATCTTTCTCCTGGAAATAAGCTATGATAAGGAAATAGATATTCATAGACTCTGAAATCTGCGTACTTTTTTGCATTGAAGCTTTTTGTGACCTGCCTTATTCCAAAAATCCTTACATCTTCTGGTAAATATTGGTTGATTGTTTCAATCATATCATCGTCACAGCGATTGTCCCACATAATTTTTACCCCTGCAATCGTCAAAATTGCATGAACTCCTTTATCAGTCCTTGATACCCTGCTTCATTTGATTTTCTCAAGGTCGTGACGATTGGACTCTGATATGCATCCAGCCTGAAATAGGGCTTGCTCCATAACTCCTTCTACAGTTCTTAAATTTTTTTCGACCGCTTGCATTTGGCTGCCTTTAAATTGGCTTCCATTATATGCGAAAAGAAGCGCGACTTTTCTTTTGCATGCTTCTTCCTTAATTATTCTATTCAAGGACCTTATCATATAAATGGTAAAAGAGAAAATTAGTTTACTAAACCTTCAAATAAATTAATTTTTGAAGCTTAGTCATAGAAATCTTGCTTTCAAATAGACTTTTAAAGTCCTAGAAATATTTGCCTAAATTAGAAAACTTTACTTAAAATTTATAAACTCTTATAAATTAAAAATAATGAGCTCAGATGGCCCTCAAATAACTTTAGTCGCAAAAGATAGCGTCAAAGTAAAAGTGAGTGTAGAATTCAGGAACATCAGCCACTTAATCAAGAGTATTTTAGAAGATTCCTCACCTAACGAAGAAATTTCAGTTGAGTTTATCCAAGAGCCTGTGCTTGCCAAAATCATAGAGTTTGCAGAACATCACCATTATCGTCCCCCTGCTTCCCCAAAATGCCCACTTACTAGTAATATTTTAAGTGACGCTTTAAGTGATGATTGGGACATAAATTTTGTCAAAAATCTTACTCGAGAACAGCTAATTGATTTAATTCAAGCAGCAAGATATTTAGATGTAAAATCACTGCTAGATATTTGTATAGCAACACTTGCAGCAAGCTTCAAAGGGAAAGAAATTGATGATATAAATAGAGAGTTCAATATAATAGAAGATTTTACTTTTGAAGAAGAAGAAAAATTAAAAAATGATTTCCCATGGGTGATGGATATGGATGTTAAATCGATATTTCATAAATAGGCTAAATAATCAATTATTACAAATAAGCGGCTTTATATTATTCACAAGAGTAAAACAATTCTGATTTAATATTCTCTTATTCATATTTTATAAGGCTAATATGGAAGTCAAGTCTCCTTCTTTATTTAGCAAAACTCTTATTCTCACCTACAAGAATTTTAAAATTCTCTTAGGCTCCAAAATATCAGCCTCCTTTTATTTGATTTCACCAGTTTTGCTCTGCATAATGATGCTTTACCAACAAACTATTGCAACTAATTATGTGAATTCAGAAGAGATAATTAATCCGAAAATCTATAACGTCAATAAAATCCCGAAGTGCACTGAGCCTGATTGTTCAACACTAGCATTTGGGTTTACTCATGGCACAACAAATTGAACAAACTATACAATTAATCATATCTCGAAAACTAGCAATTTTGCCATAGGGTCTGATATTATTTCTTACCCAAATCTTAATCAGACTGAATTTGTGGATATACTGAATAAGCAAGAGAGAAGGTCTCAGATAGGGGTGCTATTTTGTACAAATACAATAAAAATAGGAGAAAATGAAGTATATATGGGATTTGGTTGAAATAAATTTCTGGATTAAAACTCTATGACATAATTATATAGGAAAAAAATTACTATAAAGGAAGAATATTGTAAAATTAAGGTAAAATTGATTACCTTGCGGAACACCTAATACTAATTCAACAAGTCTAATCTATGCAATTATCTACAATTTCACAGGAGCAAACCCTTTCTTTATGCTTTATAATATTAATGAGTATAATATCCAGCAAGAAATTATAGCAACAAAATTAGCTTTAGACCAAGGGTTATTATCATTTGCATCATATGATCATTCTAACGAAAATAGTGAGATTGAGCTTTCTATTCAGCCTTTTCCTTCAACAGCCCACAGATTTTTACAAAAATATAATGTCGTTGCTAGTGTTGGGTCACTCTATCTTTTACTCCCTGGAGTGTTTATAATGTCCCTTATAGTCCAAGAAGTCGTCAAGGAAAAATCGCAATATTTGAAAATTTATTTGCATTTATATGGAGCCTCCTCTATTTCTTATTGGCTTTCTTGAAGCTCAATAGGAGTCATCCTTTCTCTGATATCAGGAAATTTATTTGTGATTTTTGGGAAAATTTGTGGGTTTGACGAGTTTACAAAAACTCCATACATGCTGCTTGCTATTGTTATTGCATCTTTAAATATTGATATGATGCTTATGGGATGCTGGGCTTCTACAATGATTAAAACGAGAAATATGGCTTATTCTGCGATTTTTGCATTTTTATTAGTAGGGTTCTGTTTGCAGGTGATAGTTAGTAGCCCAATTCTAATAATGTATTTGAATTTGAATGATTCCGCAGCATGGGTAACTTGCATAAAATATGCTCTGTATATGTATCCTCCATTTCATATGGCTATGATATTTGTTAGGATAACTAAAACAGCTGGTAGTCACTGAGATAAAGAGCTCTTAACTTGGGTCGAAGGGACTTCCTACACCTGGGATGATCTATATAAACAATTTCAAGGCCAATATAAGGATTTGCATTTTACTTTAACATCGCCATGGTTTTCTCTAGTATTCTTATGGGGATTATTTTTATTTTATTCAATATTGACTTTATATTTTGATTCCATCATAAAACACAATAAACCCAAAACACAGTAAAATCTATATAGACACCCCTTATTTTTTCTCAATTTTTTAAAATGCTGTACTAAAAACAACACTAAAGAAAGACTAAGAAAATCCCTATTATATGACTCAGATAAATTGAGAATTATAAATTTGTCAAAAACTTACCATTCCTACTGGAGCAAAAATCATATAAAAGCTGTTGATAATTTTTGTTTAGATTTAAATAAAGATGAAATTGTGGGAATTATTGGCCAAAATGGAGCAGGAAAATCAACTCTGCTTTCTATGCTAATTGGATGCTTAGTTCCTACCTCTGGGACTGCTGCTTTAGGAGATCTGGATTTGTTAGAAAATGGCCTTGGATTTATCGGATATTGCCCTCAACAGAATATTTTGTGGGACAATTTATCAGGAGAAGAGCATATTTATATTTTTAGCTGGCTTAGAGGTGTTGAGTATAGCCACAATATCCTAAAAAGTGTTAATTTAGAAGAAAGCAAAGACGTGACAGCAAATTGCTATAGTGGCGGCATGAAACGGAGACTTTCCCTCGCTATTTCAAGTTTAGGGAGCCCAAAAATTATTCTAATGGACGAGCCTACAACTGGTTTAGACCCAATCAATAAAAGGCAAGTCTGAAAAATTATTTGCAATTTAAAGCAAGGCCGCATAGTAGCCATGACTACACATTCAATGGAAGAAGCTGAAAATTTATCAGATAGAGTTGTGGTTATGTCAAAAGGCAAATTAAAAGCTGAGGGAACTCCTATGCTTTTAAAATCGACTTATTCGACTGAATATACATTTCATGTGACTTCCAGCCATCAAGACACTCTTACACAAATAATTCGGCAGAAATTTCCCAGTGTAAAAATTAAGACGTCATCTATGAAAATTATTGTGTCTATTTATGAAGGATCTCCAGAAGTTAAAAATATGGTAAAGTTTATAGAAAATTCTGAATTGGTGACTTCATGATCTATTTCACAGGATAGCCTAGATAAAATACTTTCTATGCTTTCTCATGAAAGTTTGGAAAATAATTTTGAGTTAAAAGAAAAAATTAATTAAATTAATTCTTGCTTTTTATGAAATATTTCTTAATCATACCTTAATATAGTTAGGAGGAAAAGCCCGAAAGCGGTTCCTAGTGATATAAGCCATTTTCTTTTGTTTTCAAGTTTTTCTTCTTTTAAAGTTTTAACTTTTATTAAAGATTCATAATCGTCCTGTGCTTTAATGGCTTGCTCTTCAATTATTTTAAGTTCGTTTTCTAAATTTTCTAATTCTTTATTTTCATTTTCATATTTTTTAACTCTTTCTTCAACTAAAAGCAGCTCTTCTCTTATAGAACCACTAACTGATAATTCCTTTTTTGGGGATTCCGCTTCGAAATTTCTCTCAAATCTTTTCAGTTTTTCCTCATATATTTTTTCTTCCTTTTCAAGATTGCCCATCATTTTTTCAAGTTTTTCAATTTTTCTCTTTAAACCACCTAATTCTGTCTTATAAAACTCAATTTTCTTTTGAATAATACTTATATCATTTTTCAGCTCCCTTACCCTAATTTCTTTCTCACAAGTCTCAGTTTTTATATCTATATCCCTACTCTTTTCTTTTATTTTATTTGACTTAACTGTGTTTTCATAATTTTTTTGTTCTAAACTCTCAATGCGCTCTTTAGCTTTATTCAATTGAGCAATAATCCTATGCTTTTGCTTTAAAGTTCTATTAAAAAAATCCTCCAAATCCTTTATTTCATCATTCAGCCTATTAGAAAAATATTTTTCATTGATTTGCTCTAATCTTTTTTCTTTAGGCTTAACACAATCATAATTGATTTTATAAAAAATTTCTTTTAATTCCTCAATTTTCTCCTTTTTAAAGCTCTTTTTCATATCAAGATTCGCTATTTCTTTTAATGATTTTTCTTTTGTTTCTTCTAATTCTCTGACGACTCTGCAATAGTCTGCATAGTCCTTTTTGTAAAAAGGAAGTATTCCTGGATTATCCATTTATTTTTATAATTTTAAACAAAGAATTTGGTTCTTTTTCTCTCTAATGGAATTGAATACGGGCTTTTCTTCAGTGCAGCGTCACTTGAACTCCTTCCCATGACTGTTGGAGCTTTACTTTTTTGAGCTGATATTGACTTTTTACGTTGTAAAGGCTTCTTTACTTCAGGCTTATTTAAAAAAATCGGTTTTGCTTCATCAATAGATGACCTTCGCTTTATGTTTGGCTTTAAGTTTCCAGCAGGAAGACTTTTTCTCATTGGTGGAGGAGCATCGCGAATTATGATTCTTTTATTTACAAAAGTTTTTTTTGCTTCTTCTTTTCTAATTAAGAAGCATTGCCACCATGGCAACTAGTTGCCTTTGGAGCGACAAAAAACCAGAATTTGGACCAAAAAATCAAAAGGTGGCCCCCTTGGCCATGGATTCACAGTGATTTCCGAGTGGGGTGCAGACTTGGGCTGGCTCACTCCCTCGACCTACAGAAAAGAGAGCCAAGGGCACAGCACCAATCGGGCACTTCTGGAGGGGTATATGTTGCCTTTAATGGCAGAGATAGTTTCAGAAAGGCATCGGACGCGTCCCTCATACCGTTAGCATTACCAGGGGTTAAGAGAGTCCTGTGCTGCAAAATTTTTGTCTATTCAGGTTCGAGTGAGCCTCCCCGTTTGGCTGACAGCGTCACAATTTTTGGTGGCCGGGAAGAAAAAGGCGTTAGATGGTTTTCATACTTAGCTCCATATGAGCGCGATTCTAAGCCCCGACTGGATAGGGGCTGAAATAAACTCCATTTTAACCCTCTCGTAATCTCTCTCTTTTCTAATTACATGAATCTCTTCATCGCTGCTTATCCGAATATTTTCATCTGGCCCTCCATACCTATATTTATCAATATGATTTGATATTTTTATCATATTTCATCGCTTTTCTGGATTTTTTTGAAAAATATTTGTGAGTAAATGCCTCCAATGAGGAGAAACTGAGTCAGGCAGTGGTGGATAAGTTACATTAATAATATTTTGGACTACTTGAGCTACTGTGTTGCCTTGGAATGGGAGGTTTCCAGTCAGCAATGCATATAAAATGCAACCTAAGCTTCATATATCAAGCGCTGGGGATGCTCTGTTATCACTCCTCGAAATCACTTCTGGAGCTGTGTACAATAAGCTTCCCGAATCTGACTTTTCTCCTTTCCCACTAATGCTAAACATCCCTGCAATTCCGAAATCCACAATTTTTATGGTATTTTTATTCTGGTTTGAAAAAAGAACGTTTTCTAGCTTCAAGTCTCTATGTATAACTTTATTGTTATGGCAGTACCTTACTGCGTCAATTATTTGTGAGCCTAAATTAAAAACTTCTTCTTCCTTTAGCGCTCCTTTGTCTTCGACATATTTTTGCAGCTCTCCTCCACTGCAGTATTCCATCACAAAACAAAGCTGCTGGTCCAAAGGAAATGCATCAATTAATTTAACGATATTTGGATGTCTTAGACTTCTTAATAAGACCATCTCTGCGTAAACTCTACTTACATCTTCATGTGAGACCAAAGTTTTATAGCTAACAAACTTTATTGCTACTTCTTCTTTCGTTAATTTGTTCTTATAAAGGACCACCGATCCAAAACCGCCTTCTCCTAATTTTTTAATTTCATCATAAATAGCCATACTTGACTGGCGCAAGAATTCTTCTCCACGAGATAAGAATAATGGCTCATCTGGGTTCAGCATTTCCATATCGTCATCTGATATCTCTTCTCCTGTTGAATCAAAAATTTTGAAAGATCTTTTAGTGCGAAGGCTTAATTTTTCAGATGATTCTGCGATTAAATCGGTTACATTCATGTTTGATCGAATAGGAACTTTACATTTTTGTGTCAAGTGGCCATTGAGAAATACTGTTATCTCAATCTTTTCCATTATTTTTTTAATCGATGATTTTAAGACAGGTTATGAATTAAAATGCTGGCTTTTAAACTACTTTATTATAAAGAAACGAATTATGCTTTATTTATAGTATGTAACAGATTTTTTGTGAAAGCAAAATACCTTAATTTGTATTAAAATATATTTAATAGGCTGCAATATATTCAAATTTAGCCTGAAAAACATGTATTTTATTGCATAAAAATTTGCATAATATGGACTTAGACTTTAAAATTCTAAAGCAATCACCGCTATCTTCATGGGACTCAGAGTCCACAACCAAGGTCGCCCGCACCTTTGATTTAAGAAAAAGAAGCACATCAGAAAAAGCTTTAAAAACTGCTGAAGCAACTGCAAAAGATAATCGACGTGACAAAAGATATGGATTTCAAAGGGACACTTTCACAAGTAGCATTGCCAGTGAGTTCACCACTTCTATGAACGATTTTCTGAAAAGTTCAGCTGAGCTTCAAAGCGAATTCCACCGCTTGTCTGATGCAAGTCGAAATGCGACATCAAGAAAATCAAATCCTTCGTTAAATATAGTAAATCGCAACTTTTACCCTAGTATATCAGAAGGATCAATTGAAAGCCCGAGATATCCGATAAAAGATGACCTTAGAATTATCCAGCCCAGCAATTTAGCTAGTAAAATCAGCAGCCCAAGGATGGAAGGTGGTTATGACAGTGTTGCTGAAAAACTTTTAACTGTTTTAGCAGAGCCAAAAAGACCGTCACCTGTCCCAAAACTTAACCAAGTCTGCAACTCAGCAAGAAATTCCACACCAGTCCAATATAAAGATGATGGAGTCCTACCGACCCCACGCACAACTGTCAAAATGTGGGAACAAGCCAAATTATCCCATGAAGAAGAAATTTTCGGGTCATTTTTAAAGCGAAATTTTGACTCAAATTCAGAAGAAGACGTTTTGATTTTGGGAATCATTTTTATGTATGAAGAGCAAAAAAAGATTTTGCAGAGGGAGATCAGAAGACATCAAAATGAATTAGTCAATAAAGAACCAAGCAGCTGTGAAGCCCATGAAAAGAAAATAAAAAGACTGGAAAACCAGAACCAAGACTTGAAACAGGAAAATATGAGGCTAAAATATGATCTGACTCAGCATAAGGATGAAAGCAGATCTTTAGAAACTACTTTGACGCAAAGCAAGGAAAAAGATATTTTACAAAAACTGACAGATATTTTGGAGACTGGGGCAGAGCACCTGCCTGAGCAAGCAGCAAAGCTGAAGTCACAAATTAAAAATGCAGAACTGGTAACGTACTCAATAATGAGAATGGCAAATGAATTATCGCTGCATGGGGATCCAAATGAGCTGAGCTCAGTTATTGAGGAAATTCAGTGCTTTGTGTATTCTTTGCAAAATGAGCATAAAGAAATAGAAAAATTTGTACATGAAATTTCAAAGACCTTAAATGTAAGCCAAGATCTTAATCAAATTTTAAATGCGTGCAGAGCAGTGCCTTATATGAAAAAATTATTTAATTTCCAAGATGATCTTATTACCAGTATAGATTCGCTATTTTTGAGGACGCATGAGATACAGTCTTTCTCGCAGTTTATGAAGAGAAAACTGAAAATGCATCCTTCTGCTTCTTTAAGTGAAGTTCTTGAAAAATTACGAGACTGTGTGCATTAAAACTTAATATTTGCAAATTTGAAAGATAAAAATTAATGAATCATATTTTAATTATTATTTATTGTAATGTTTCGTATAAGATGCTTTTTGATTATTAATATTTTAAGATAATTTTAATAGAATGAATATTTAAAGAAAATTTTAAAAATATTTTTCAACAATTAGATTGATAACTAATGGAGACCAGATCAGAGACACTGATTTATGCTACTCAACAGAAGAAAAAACGACTTCTATCTTCTAAAGCTAGCCTAAGCCTTTTTACTGTCACATCATCAGTAAAAATCACAAAGCTATTTATTGCCAAAGTACTTGCAAGAGATATTCCTAGCTCACCTTTTGGCTAGTGAGATAAGAAATTGTTAAAATCTCACTTCTTTTTGGGGAAAAAAAATATTTTATTATATTTTTCCTATATTGCTTATATAGGCTGGCACACCAAAATTTTCTCCAACGTTTGAAGAAAATTCGATATGTGCATTCTCTATATTTTCACGTGTGAATATTTTCTCCATGTTAGAGAAAATTTTAACATGGTAGCAATTTAGGCTACGAATAATAATTTTTTTTGTATAAAATTATTTTCATATATAATTAATTATGCTTTTATAGCTTGCGAAATGGGCTTGATTGTCCTTTAGATGCCCTTGATTTTTTTGGTAATTTATTGACAATTTCGCCCATTTTTGCCTCGTCAAATGATTTGACAAGTCAACTCAAGTTTGCCTGGAATGCAAAATAAATTTAGCTAATCTAAAGCATTTGAAATCAATAAAAAATCGATTGAGAAATGATAAATTAGCTCTATGGGAAGCTCTAAGAGTGGATAAAGTATAATGATTATAAATTTTTGATAGCTTGCATTATAAGCATATATTTTCTATATTCTTTTAGTATTTTACTTTTAAATATTAAAAACTTGATATTCTTATAATTTTTATATAAAATTTTATAAACAAATCAACCAAGAACAAATTAGAAATGAGAATAGTAAGCTAAAAACTGTCAATTTAATAGAGAACAACTATTACAATAAAATCAACTTTATGCAAGATATAGAAATTATCACAATTCTTATACCGCTTTTGACATATAATTTACAAGAAGATTTATGTTTTATCATTAAAATGTCAAATAAGTCAAATTTAATAAATTTGGCTGCATCTAACTCAATTTTTATATTAAATAGAGCAGGTTTTGAATTCAGGAATTTAGATTTTAGAGGGATTAATATTCAAGGAGTAAATTTATCAGAAAGCTTGTTTTTTAACGTTAACTTTGAAGGAAGCTGCCTTGAGAAAGCTAATTTTAGTCAAGCAAAGCTATACAGTTGCAATTTTAAAAACTGCAACTTTGCAGGCGCGATATTTACTCCCCTCATTTCCATAAGCAAAAAAAATATGTTTATTCATGATGCAAACTAAATTTTAATTATATTTTTAAAAAAAATCCCAATTACGCAAAATTTAAATTAAAAATATAATTTAATTTATGAAATTTATTCGAATTTACGAAAGATTCATTATAAATTATTATTAATTTATTATAATATTCTGGAATTAAGCGTTTTGATAATTGCTGAGAGAGTCAGCAATTTTCAAACAATAAGGGAACATGAAAGTTCAATTAAAAATGTCATAGTTTCAAAAAATGGCGAATTTTGGCTTATATGTAGCTTTAAAGATACAATATTATGAGATGTAAATAAAAATACTCAGCTCTTTTCATTTGATTTTGTATGTGAGAGTGCTGCCTTTTCACCATGCAACAATTTAATCGTTCTTATGGATTATATAAGTAAGAGATTTATAAATTGAGATGGAAAATCGATAAAAATATGTGAAAAAGAAGATAAAATTTTTAATATTGGAAAGCATTTATGTAATGTGGCGTTTTCTCCTTGTGGAAAATATATTGCTTTTAGAGGTATGGAATTTATTGAATTGAATGATTCAGTTAATTATAATATTTATAAAGGGTGAGTAACACACACTAATAGTTCGATTGCATTTACTAAATGCGGGAAATTTATCGTTTTTGGGAGTTATAATTGAATTAAGCAGATATCAGTCGAGAATGGAAGATGTGATGATATATTCAAAGTAAATGGTGTACCAAATATTCTTGAATTTTCGCCAAATTATAAATATTTATGCTGCAATGGCGATTTTCTTTACATAATAAACTTTGAAACTAAAGAGTTAATATTTAGAGAAGACTGGATACAATTAACATTTCGTAGCTTGATTTGTTGGTCGCCATGCGAAGATATGGTGGCGTTTTCCGATTGAAGTGGATTGCGTTTATTTGATATTGAAAAACAAGCAATTATTGCTCAATTAAGAGTAAACTCCAGCATCTTTAGATCTATTTGCTATTCTAAGAATAGCAAAAGTGTATTGATAAGTTATCAAGATGGATGATTGAAACTATGAGACTTGGAAAGCCAAAAAGATCAAAAGCAAATTGATGTAATTGAAAATTATGTGATTGCAGTTGCATTCTCTCGGTGTGAACAGTATTTATATAGAGTTACGAGTGAGTCAGCAATTGATAAGTACAATATAGACAGTAAATCCTTTGAAACAATAATTAAAGGCAATAAAAAGAAAAAAATCTCTTGTGCTGCGTTTTCTAATTGCAAAACATATTGTGCTCTAGGGCTTGATGGTAACTCAATAGAATTATGAAATCTGGATACAGGGCAGCTATACATAGCTTTTAAAGAAAACACAAAATTTATTTATTCATTGACTTTTTCTTCATCAGGAGTATTTTTATTTTCAGTACATAATTTTTCTATTATTATATGAAACCTTGAGCAAAGAAAATCCATAGCAAAGCTTGAACATGATACAAAGATTTTAGCTATTTCTCCAAACGAAAAATATTTTGCATCTTCGCATAACGAAGTTACACTTATATGAAAAAAAGACCGACGCTATAATATGATTAACCACTTTCGGCATAATCGTTGATCAGTAACTGCATTAGCGTTTTCTTATTGCAGCAATTTTTTATTTACCGGAAATGCTAAAGGATATATTATTATGTGGGATTTTATAAATAAGAAAAAATTAAATGAATTTTCTGCTCACAAGACATCTGTAGAATACTTAATTACTACTCCTAAAGGCTTGGTGATAGGAATGAATACCCAAATAGTGTTGTGGGATGATAAAACTAATGAAAAAATTAATGAAATTGAAATAAAACTCGAAAGCGTGAATAATTTTGCGACGACAAAGTCTGGGGATTGAGTTGCTTTCGGAGGTTTGCATAATACTGTTAAGATGTGTAGGCTATCAGAAAAAAATTAATTTTATTAAGATGCCTTCTTCGAAGGTTTTAGAACTCTATTAATATAAATATTTTATGCCACAATTAAATTAAAATTAATGAAATTTAAAGTGCAACAGCAAGCAGCACATATTATTTCTCAGAAAAATAAATCTTTTTTAGTCTAGAGGTAAAATTTAGCATACTAGCTTCATCTATCTCTAAAAATAATGTGAAATTATTTATTGCTAGAGTCATCATAAGAAGTATTCCTAAATAGTTTTCCATAATTAATGGATACCAGATCAAAAACACCGATTTATGCTACTCAACTGAAGAAAAAAGACTTTTATCTTCTAAAGCTAGCCTAAGCCTTTTTACTGCCACATCATCAGTAAAAAACATAAAGCTATTTATTGCCAAAGTACTTGAAAGAGATATTCCTAGCTCCCCTTTGACTAGTTAGTAAGCAAATTCATAAAATCTCAGCAATTTTCAAACAATAAAGAAACATGAAAATTCTGTCAAAAATATAATAGTTTCAAAAAATGGTGAATTTTGACTTATAAGTAGTTTTAAAGATACAATACTGTGAGATGTAAGCAAAAAAACTCAGCTCTTTTCATTTGATTTTTCATGTGAGAGTGCTGCCTTTTCACCATGCAAAAATTTAATCGTTCTTATGAGTTATAGAAGTAAGAGATTTATTAATTGAGATGGAAAATCGGTAAAATTATGTGAAAAAGAAGATAAAGCTTTGAACATTGAAAATCATTTATATAGTGTGAAATTTTCTCCATGTGGAAAATATATAGCTTTTAGAGGTATAAATTTTATTGAATTGAATGATTCAGTTAATTATAATATTTATAAAAGGTGAGAAACAAACACTATAGGTTCGATGACATTTACTAAATGCGGAAAATTTATCATTTTTGGGATTCGTAATTGGATTAAGCAGATATCAGTCGAGAATGGAAGATGCGATAATATATTCAAAATAGATGATGCACCAACTATTCTTGAATTTTCTCCAAATTATAAATATTTATGCTGCAATGGCGATTTTCTTTACATAATAAACTTTGAAACTAAAGAGTTAATATTTAGAGAAAACTGGAATCGATTAAATTTTCGTGGATTGATTTGTTGGTTGTCATGTGAAGATAAAATGGCAATTGCCGATTGAAGTGGATTGCGTTTATTTGATGTTGAAAAACAAGCAATTATCGGTCAAATAAGACTAAACTTCAGCATCTTTAAATCTATTTGCTATTCTGATAAACATAGAAGTGTATTGGTAAATTATAAAGATGGACGATTGAGACTATGAGACTTGGAAAGCCAAAAAGACCAAAAGCAAATTGATGTAATTGAAAATTATGTGATTGCAGTTGCATTCTCTCGGTGTGAGCAGTATTTATATAGAGTTACGAATGAGTCAGCAATTGATAAGTACAATATAGACAGTAAATCCTTTGAAACAATAATTAAAGGTAATAAAAAGAAAAAAATCTCTTGTGCTGCGTTTTCTAATTGCAAAACATATTGTGCTCTAGGGCTTGATGGTAACTCAATAGAATTATGAAATCTTGATACAAGGCAGCTATACATAGCTTTTAAAGAAGGCACCAAATTTATTCATTCATTGGCTTTTTCTTCATCAGGAGTATTTTTATTTTCAGTACATAATTTTTCTATTATTATATGAAACCTTGAGCAAAGAAAATCCATGGCAAAGCTTGAACATGATACAAAGATTTTAGCCGTTTCTCCTAACGAAAAATATTTTGCATCGTCGCATAACGAAGTTACACTTATATGAAAAAATGACCGTCACTATAATATGATTAACCACTTGCAGCATAATCTTTGGTGAGTAACTGCATTAGCGTTTTCTAATTGTAGCAATTTTTTGTTTACAGGGAATGCTAAAGGATATATTATTATGTGGGATTTTATAAATAAGAAAAAATTAAAAGAATTTTCTGATGATAAGACATCTATATGATACTTAATTATTACTCCTAGAGGCTTAATAGCAGGAATGAGTACCCAAATAGTGTTGTGGGATGACAAAACTAGTGAAAAAATTAATGAAATTGAAATAAAACTCGAAGGCGTGAATAATTTTGCGACGACAAAGTCTGGGGATTGAATTGCTTTCGGAAGTTTGCATAATACTGTTAAGATGTGTAGGCTATTAGAAAAAAATTAAGTTTATTAAGATGCTTTCTTTGAAGACTTTAGAAATCTATTAATATAAACATTTTATGTCACAATTAAATTAAAAATTAATGAAATTTAAAATGCAACAGCAAGCAGCACATACTATTTCTCAGAAAAATAAATCTTTCCTTGGTCTAGAGGTAAAATTTAGCATACTAGCTTCATCTATCTCTAAAAAACATGTGAAATTATTTATTGCTAGAGTCATCATAAGAAGTATTCCTAAATGAAAAAGCTTAGACTCTATAGAAATCAGCTATTTCAATAAAATCAATTTTATGCAAGATAAAGAATTAATTGATCTTCTTATTCCGTTATTATGCCCAAAAATGTATGAAGATTTATGCATTGTCATCAAATTGTCAAATAAATCTAATTCCATCAGCTTAGCTGCTGCTAATGCAATTTCTATATTAAATAGGACAAATTTTGAATTCAGAAATTTAGATTTTAGAGGGATAAATATATCAAATTCCTGCTTATCAAAAAATGCATTTATTAACGTTAATTTTAAAGGAAGCTGTCTCAAAGGAGTAAATTTTTGCCAGTCAAAGCTATATGATTGTAATTTCAGAAATTGTGATTTTACAGAAGCTTTATTCTCTCGCTTAAAAATAATTGAAAAATTTGAAGGCTCTATTAAAAAGGTCATTATTTCTAAAGATGGAAAGCTTTTACTTTTATGCTGCGCTAGGAATACAATATTATGAGATTTAAACCTAAAAATGCAGCTTCATTCATCTAATTTTATAAGTAAGAGTGCTGCCTTTTCACCATGTGGAAATTTGATTATCTTGGTAGATGAAGGAATAAAGGTATTTATTAAATGAGATAGAAAATTAGGGATTATCACAGAAAAAGCAAATACTAAATTAGTAAGGAGTCAAAAAATATATAACGTATGTTTTTCTCCTTGTGGAAAATATATACTTTTTTGAGGGAGTAATTTTATTGAATTGGAAGATTCGGTTTCTTTAAATATTTATAAAAAATGAAAAGCTTATCCTTATACGTTGCTTAATTTTACTAAATGTGGTAAATATATAATTTTTGGTGATAAAGGCTGAATAAAACAGATATCAATTGAAAGCGACAGAGTTGAAAAACTTATTCATATAAGTTGAATGGCGAAAGAACTTACTTTTTCTCCGAGCCATAAGCATCTGAGCTGCAACGGTGGTATACCTTGTGAGTAACTATAACCCGATATTTGGTTACGCCTTCCCCTCCTGGAGGTTTCATTTTAAATGAAGCAGGCCAAATTGAATTTCTAAACTGAAACCGTCAGGAGAGTTAAGGCCGATCTATGCTGTGCTTGTGGTATAATCTTTTTATAATAAAATTTGAAACTCAAGAGCTAATTTTTGCAGAAGACATGAGTCGGAAAGGCTTCAATTACTCGACTTCTTGATCACCTTATAATGATAAAATTGTAGTTTCTGATGGAAATGGATTTTGCTTGTTTGATATAGAGAAGCAGGCTCCTGTAGCTCATATGAGAGAAAATTATAACAAAAATGACTCTATTTGTTATTCAAAATGCGGCAGATATGTTTTTATTGGTAAAAGTAATGGATTACTAAAACTATGGGATTTGGAAAACATAGGATAAAAAAAGCCTGGGCTGATTGATGTTATTATAATTTCATTTACAGTGAATAAAATCACAATCTAATTAAATATTACTGACTCCCCCCCCTTTAAATTGAAACAAAAAATTTTGTTTCAATTTAAAGGGGGGTTAAGAAAATTTTTTTATAAAAAAATTTATATATAAAAATTTTTTCAGAGATAAAATTTTATAGAAAATAAATTATATAAATTTAAAGAATTTCATGAAAAATTAATTCATAAATTTCTCAATCTCAAAGTGTAAACTTTCTGAAATGGTATTCTTCTAACTCTCCCCATAACAATTGGACAAAATAGAGTTTAATTTCTAAATCTTATATGTTTGAAGCATATTAAATAGGGTATTAACGTATTTTAATATAAAATAATGATTTTTACTATAATAAAATTTTGTTTCATTTAAAGGGGGGGTAATTTCCCAAAAAAGTAGGAATTTTACCTATATTTTGCTTCAATTTAAAAGGGGGGGGGAGTGAGAAAAAAAGTAGATGAGAATATTTATTGATCTTGATGACATATTTATCATGGTTAAAAATTTAATTTCGGAAAAAGCGAGTGATAGCTGTGAATTTATACTGCCGTTTTAGTCTAAAATTCTAGAGAAAAGGCTTAAATAGAAATAAGCTTCAAGCTATATGAACAGACAACTACTGCTTATCTACTCTAAAAGATGAATCTTTGGTTAAAATCAAGCTAAGCAATTACAGAAATATTCTATTCCTTGATGGAATGAGAAAATAAAACAAAATGTATTCTTGGTTGGTCCATGAAAGCCTTATATCAAGAATATGCATTCATTCAATTATGAAATTCCCCATTCAAGATAGAGTAAGCAGACTTAACGGGTAGGGCTTAACCCTTAATTAAAAGATTAAGTTTGCTTTTTTTCTTCTATTTTATTTTTTATCAGATTTATTCCCGTCAGAATTCATATTCATTCCATCTATAGCGTATTAGCAGTTCAGTTCGGCATTTTACAAATTCAAGGAGCTATACTTTCAGACTTCGAGCAGATCCAAGCCATAGAAAAATGTTCTTTAGCGAAGAGATATAAATGGATTTCTCGCGATTGAATTTCGGTTTGACTATTAGAGTTTTGTGTAATTTTTAGAAAAAGCCTACTTAAAATTGATAAAATTCCTTTATTATTTTTAAAATTGTTTAAAATATTAAGTTTAGCAATTGAACCCATTCAGAAACCATCAAATCTTTCTTTTAAAAAATATGCTTATTTTATTTCAATAATTAAATTATTAAATTTGTTATTGAAGACTTGCTTTGATTAAAGTAATCATCATTTGCCTCCTATATGTGTCTATAGAAGACTGGCTTGTAGCAAGCTGCTTTCCAATTGCTAGAGATTCTGCAATATTACATATAATAACCCCACTATCAACTCCACTTCCTCTAAAGCACTCACTCCCAGTTTAAATTAAAAAAAAAAAAACCTGTTTTATATTTTATTAAAAAAATAAATTGAACACAATATTTTTGAACTTTAATATTTTGTGGATAATTAATTTAAAATTTATTCGATTTAGTATGAAAAATGTTTAAATAATATTTTATATGCACTTTTGCCATTAAATTAGGTCAAAACTTATTTTATAGGAATTTTTGAAAAAATATGTTTAAAATAACTAAAAAATAAATATTTTGTATTTTTTCCTAATTAAAAGGAGATGAGTCAGAAGCTCTGTACTTATATTCCGGTATGTGTTCAGTCGTCAGTTTTTGAGCTCTTACTGCTCTGTGAATAAATTTATTTATAACTTTTGTAAAAATTTCAGTATCTGTGACATTTGTAAACGGATCAAAATACGTAATTGTATTTAAATTCATATTCACTACTAGAAGTGACCAATAATTTGTGTATACCGGGAACATCAATAAATCATAGTTCAAAATATTAACTTTCGGTTGAATAATTGATCTCCCTTTAAGAATTAAAGCTTCTGAGAATTGGGAATCTGCAACCATCACCTTTGCAGCTACTTTGTTATAATTCAATAAATTGCGGTTCATTTGTACAATAATCGACATATAGCAGTTAAGGATTTCTTCGCTAATGTTAAACCCTTCCCTGAATATTAAGAATTTGTCTGAGAGGATTTTTCTGTGGCCAATTTTAAATACTTTTCTTTCTTCACCAAACCTTGGGTCAAAAATCCAAAGAAAAGCGTCTTTAATTTTCCCCAGCTCAATTGAGTTGATTTTATTTGAAGGTTCCAGCTCTCTAAGTCTTTGGATTATTTCATGCTCAAGCTCTGAGTATTGTGGCTCATCATGAACAGAAGGAGTTGGAGAGCTGAAAAGGATCTCTGCACAGCACCCTAATTTAAATTTCGACAAATTTCCTTGTGTTAAGTTGCTTTTGTTTGCACCTTTTCTTAAGAAGGTGGGCAAAAGATTGGATTTTTGGTTTTGCTTGCTGAAAATTCGAGAGTAGGCAGAAGAGTGGCAAGGAAGAGACATCATTGCATCACTATCTGAGTCTACTAATGATCGGACAGAAGCGTCGTTATCACTAGAGTTACCCTTTGGGTACCACTTCATTGCAGATACTGAACGCATATATATTTATTTTAAGATTTCATTATCAGGTGTAAAAAATTAATTTTAGAAAATATCAATAACTAATAGTTAGGAATAATTATGACCTTAATTTTAGATAAAATGGTCAGGTTTATTTTGTTATCTAATCTTTAATATAATGTCGAACTCTGATCATAAACGTCAAAAATTGAGAGTTTTATTGGACGACCCATATCTCGAAAACTTTAGCAGTCATATAAAATCCCGATACGAACACTACCTATCCAAAAAACAAGAAATCGAAAATACTGAGGGATCTCTTTTGCAATTCGCCTTAGGTTACAATATTTTCGGAATCCACAAAACCCCTACAGGAATCATGTATAAAGAATGAGCTCCAGATGCCGTTCTAGTCTGTCTATTTGGAGATTTCAATAATTGGCAACGAAATCAATATATAGGAAAACGTGATCAATATGGTGTATGGACTATTTTTATTCCCAACGAAAATAATCATTGTCCTATGCATGGCCAGAAATTAAAAGCTGGGCTGAAATTGAAAGACGGTAAATGGGTAGATAGAATTCCTGCCTGGGCAACTTATTGTGTTCAAGACGAAGCTTCTAAAGGTTTTGATGCTGTCTTTTGGGATCCTGATGAGCCTTATAAATGGCAACATCCCCGACCAGAAACATTAAGAGCTTTAAAAATCTATGAAGCTCATATAGGAATGAGCTCTGAGCATGGAATTATAAATACTTACAATGATTTCACTGAAAATGTGCTACCAAAAATAGTGGAAACTGGGTATAATGCAATACAACTTATGGCAATTATGGAGCATTCTTATTATGGGAGTTTTGGATACCATGTGACGAATTTTTTTGCAGTCAGCAGTCGATATGGAACCCCAGATGAGCTAAAACGCTTGGTAGATACAGCACATTCATATGGAGTTTATGTATTTTTGGATTTAATACATAGCCATGCTAGTTCAAATGTTTTGGATGGTATAAATCGATTTGATGGGTCAGACCATTACTATTTTCATGCAGGAAGAAAAGGGAGACATGAACTGTGGGATTCAAGATTATTTAATTATAAAAACTGGGAAACCTTAATCCACTTTTAAGATTAGCAACACTTTTCTGCTCTCTATTAAAAGGAGATTAGTTTTTTTTAATTTTTGTGTTAGTAAAGAAAATCTCATTTAATTTATATAAAATATTTTAATAAAACAATTTATATAAAAAATATTTTTGATCTCTCGTAAAAGAGTTTAATTTCTAAAAATTGGCATTGCTCCAATCTATTGTCACTCTTAAAGGAGCGAATTAAGATTTTTATTATCCAATCTTCGATGGTATATAGATGAATATCATTTTGATGGTTTCAGATTTGATGGAGTTACTTCAATGCTCTATAAACATCATGGGATAAGATTTTCTTTTTCAGGCGACTATCATGAATATTTCAATGAAAACATGGTTGACGCTGATGCTCATACATATAAATGCTAATAAGATTAGGCTTGTTCAAGCCCAGATTCTTGTGGTCTTGGCTTGAATGACAGCTCTAAATAGTAGGTAAGACTGCCTAGCTGTCAAACTATCCATGTTCCCAAGTCCCTTAGGACCTCTCTGCCCACACCAGCCTCAGTTTGGATCACTTCTCTTGACGCTAAAACTTCAAAAAGGTGTAAATTTCTCTCATCGAGTTCAGCTGTAGGACCTTGGATCTCCCTAACTGCCATTTAAATTTGTGCTCATAAATATAGGCAATGCCTTTGAGTAGCGCGCTAGCGCCCGAGGCTTCCCGACGAAGTCTGGACGGTGATTTGACCAACATCAGCTGGTCAAACCACCGCCCAGACTTCGTCGGGAAGCCTCGGGCGCTAGCGCACTACTGAAAGGCATTGCCTATATATTATGCTTGCCAATGACTTAATTCACAAGCTAAATCCGAACGCAATTACTATAGCAGAAGATGTGTCAGGGATGCCTACACTTGGAAGACCAATCCCAGATGGAGGGTTTGGGTTTGATTACAGACTTAATATGTCAGTACCTGATAAATGGATAAAATTATTAAAAGAAGAAAAAGACGATCACTGAAATATGGGAGACATAGTATTTACTCTCACAAATAGAAGGTGGAATGAAAAATGTATCGCTTATGCTGAAAGCCATGACCAAAGTATCGTAGGGGATAACACAATTGCTATGAAGCTATTTGGACCTGAGATTTATACAAATATGTCAATAGAAACTGAATATACGCTTGGAATTGATAGAGGAATTGCTCTTCATAAATTAATTAGGCTTATAACTCACGCGATGGGAGGAGAAGGATATTTAAATTTTATGGGGAATGAGTTTGGACATCCTGAATGGGTTGATTTTCCAAGAGAAGGAAATGGATGGTCTTACCATTACTGCCGCCGACAATGACATTTGAGAGACGACCCTCATCTTTATTATCATTATTTATGGGAATTCGACCGTGCTATGAATTTCTTACTCCCTTTTAAGTGTGAGTATATTTTTTAGATTTTAAAAAATCCCGATTTGTGACTGTTTAAAAAGAAAATCTAAAATAATTTAATTTCTATAAAAATTTTATATTTAAAAATTTATCTTTTTTCTGCTCGCAAAGTGTGCTTAATTTAATCTTAAAGGAGGGAGCTAGAAGAAGAAGTTCATTGGCTTACTTCTGATGAGCAGTACTATACTGTTCATGAAAAAGACAAAATCATCACTTTTGAGCGAGGAAGCAGGCTTTTTGTATTCAATTTTCATCCTACACACAGTTTTGAGCATTATAGAATTGGAACTAAATGGCCATATGAGCATATAATTGAAATGGATACTGATGAAAGAAAGTTTTATGGTCATGGAAGGCTTCAACATGGACATGAAAATCCTTTCCCTATTATGAAGACTTCTTGGAACGGCAGACCAAATTATATCCAGATGTACTTACCGAGCAGAACTGGTATTGTTGTAAAACCCTTAATAAATGATGAAGAAAGGTTTAAATATGGACTAAAAACTGTGCAAGAGCTAAAAGAAATTGAAGCTAAAAATGAAAAAGAGAGGAGCTATGAAGCGTTAGTAACGGCAACTGTCGATATCTTAATTTTAGATGAAAAAGAAGAAAAAATCAGAATTAAAACAAAAGAAATCGAGCCAAAAGAGAAAGCTGAGACTTTATAAAGAGCAATAAGATTAAATTAAAATAAAATACTGCTATATTAAAGATGGATGCAGCACTCTCTGAATCTGGACTATTTCCCCAATATTTGGTTACAGCTGATAGAAATCCAGAAAAAGAAAAAGTTCCTTATAGAGACAGTGAAATACCGAAAACTCAAAGAAAATCTGTAATCAATCGCATTTTAAGCAATAAAGAAAAACGAATGCCTATATCTGTTGATAAAGTTGGAAATATACTAACCCCATCAGAATTATTGGAAAAATGCCTATTTTTGGGAAAATTAACACCCTTTAAGAGCGAGTTAAAATTTTATTATTTATAATTTTTGTATAAAACATTTTAAATCTAATTCTATAAAATTTTTAAATATAAATTTCTAAATAGATTAAATTTTTCTTTACAAGCAGGGACTCTTAAGAAAAAAAAATATTTAAGATAGGGGTGGGGTGTAAGGGCCGGAAGAGTTGTTAGGCTAAATTCTCCTACTAAAGGCTATGAACTTACAAAAAGCGTTAACGATGTAAATTCTGAAGAAAAAAGAAGTAAAAGTCCAAGAGAAAATAGTGTTTTAATGCCTGAAGAGGTAAAAATTGATACAATCACGAATTTCCTTCAAAAAACGTCTGAGTTGAGAAAAAAGAGCAGAGTTCCTGAAGTTGATTTAATGAAGAAGCAAGAATCTATAGAAGAAGAAAAAGAAGAAATAATAAAAGCTATAAATATACCTCCTCCAAAGCTGGATCATTTAAGAAGATCAGTCTCAGTTGCATGTATTAGTAAAATCAAACAAAGAAGCCACAGCAAAACTACAAGCTCAGGGTTAGAATCAGCTGTTTCTTTTAGTAAAACTGAGAAATTGGATTTAAATCAGTTCAAAAAGGAAAATGAAAAGATAAGAAGATCGTCAACCGGAAATTTTATGAAGCCAACATTTTCATCAACTTTGGCTTATGCAAAATTAAAAGAGAGATTACTGCCGCAAATTGGAAGAACGCTATCTAAAGAAGAATTAATTGGCAAATTGTCGCAAACAATGCCTAAGAAAAAGGGTTATTCAAGAATGAAATCGATAGAGTTATTGAGAACTTTGAAAATGGTTCGTGTTTATAAAGGCGAGAACGATAAAATTTTTGAAGAAAATTCAAATCTTAAAGATTAATTAATGGTAATAATTTCTTGATATAAAAATTAATTAGCAAATAGATATATAGAAAATAATTTTTCAGCCTTATCGAATAATCGGGATAACTAAAATGTGATTTTTAAGAGCAAAATTATTGCTATGTACTTAATTTAAAAATCTATTTAATTTTATCTACTTTGAATTGGAAGGGCTATGGAGTGTTTATTCAACAATAATTTTATTTTGGGACAAAACATCACTCAAAAATTATCACTTCTATAAAATATTAAATTAGCTATATTCTTATAAATTCTTCATGGCATGAATGAGGTATCATTATTTAAAATAAATTAATACATAACGTTGATTAACAAATAATCTAATTTTTTGGCCTACGATTCAAATGGATTTTTTTCTTTGACTTCTGCCCAGAGTCAATTATCCATGGGTGCTCCATAGCTTCAACTGGGGTGATTCTTGTCTCTGGATCGAAATCCAAACATTTCTTAATGAAATCAAAAAACTGCTCATTCGAACAATTCAATAACTGCTCTAAATTTTTGGTTCCCGGATATCTCATAACTCCATGCTTATTTTGGATGATTTTAGGCTCATTATTTTCACTAAAAAACATATCGAATTTCGTACTTTGCTCTAACACGTTAGCAGGAGGTACTCCACAGACTTCCATGATCAAAATAAGCTGTTCATGCTCACTTTCGCCAGGGAATAAAGGCTGCCCTGTATACAGCTCAAACATAATGCAGCCAAACGATCACATATCGATTGCCATCGTATAAGGGATTCCTAATATTATTTCAGGTGCTCTGTAGAAGCGGCTTTGAATATAGGTATAAACTCTTTCGTTTAAAAAGCATGATGATCCGAAATCAATCACTTTGATAAAAGCTTTATCATTGCTGCGCAATAGGATGTTTTCTGGTTTTAAGTCGCAATGAACTATATTCTCATCTTTAATGTACTTTAAGGCAACTAATAGCTGAATTGCAAATTTTCTAATGAGGGTTAGTGATAAGCCTTCATATTTATTATTCTTCAAAAGCTCGTATAAATTGAAACCCAAAAGTTCAAAAGTCATGCATATGTGATTTCGAAAAATAAAGTAATTTCGAATCCTCACAATATTGTTTTTATCTTCTATGTCATTTTCTAGCAAAGTCTTTAAAACTCTGATTTCCACTGTTGCTTGCTGATGAAATTTTTTTTTATTTCTGATTATCTTTAAAGCTGTTTGTTCATGCCTTTTCCAATCATAACACAAGCAAACTTGCCCAAAGCTGCCTTTTCCTAACAAGCTTACAATTTCGTAACGGTAGGCAATGTGGTCTCCTTTGATCAAGTAATAATCAGCTCTATCATCATCGTATCCTCTATTTCTTCCTAGAGGATTTGGCTGAATTTTGCAGTTTCCTCTTCCAAAATAGTAAATATCAGGGTATTCCAATATTTCCCCTTTTTCGTATTCACTTAATTCTGATAAAAATTGAGTTAAAGCGACCTTTGGGGTAATTGGAAATACTGTTTCCTGCTTTGGGGATAATATTACTGAGTTTTTTAAGGAAAAATTCAAGTGGCTTAAGGATGCTGCTGAGTTATTATGGGTTGCTGATTGAACTCCTGCTCCTCTCACATTTTTTTTTAATTCTGTGCGCGAGGAATAAACTTTTATCAGACTTTGAATTGATGACGGTGATCCTAATTTCAAGCTGGCTTTTGAGGTGTTTTGGGGATTTTTGGCTTTTAATTTAAAACTAGGATTGTCAAGTGGTCTTAAAGTTTTTTCAGACGAATGAGCGCTTTTTTCTAAGTTCTTAGTGCCTCTAGACGAACTTACAAGATTCTTTTTAAGTAAACTAATCGCTGTTTTAGGCGATGCAAGGCCAATATTTTCTTTCTTGTAAGTTTTAGATGCTGATTGGTTCATTTGTAATTTTGTTTTAATGTCCATATAGATTATTCGGCATTATGTTAACATTCTAATGAAAAAATAATTTGCGCTATTTAGTAAGTAATGTTATTTAAATACATAATACATTATTTGTATTTCTTTATACAATTTTGAGTAAGAATATCAAAATCATTGATGTGGTTTAGCAATATTTTCCTTGAAATGGGTTGCAAATGAGTACCATAAAAAATAAGGCCTTCAAAATATAAAATTCTTACTCCCTCCCTCCATGAGTGAAAAACCATTAGAAAAATACCTATTTTTTGCCCAAGAACCCACCCTCCATGAGTGAACAAAATTTTTTTTATGAAAAATGTTGATATATAAGTGATAATTAATATAATGAAATCCCAACTAATTCTGTGTAATTTTAAACAAATTGCATTTAAAACATAAATTTTACAAATTAAATTAATTTTGAAAAAACAAATTTCTATAAAGATTTTTTTAAAATAAAAAATTAACCCCCCTGCTAACAAGTTTTGTTGTTCGCTCACGGAAGAGGGGGAGTTAGGATTTTTCCTATTTCACATCTTGAGTCTTGAGACAAAGAGGGTAAAATTCTAATTAAATTTTCAGGTGAAATCATTTTTCTTATTTCTTCTTGGAGATTTTCTATATCAGAAAGTTGATTTAATGCTTTTACACCCCATCATTTTTCTGCATCATCTCCATCTTGTATTAGATTTATAGCCCATAGCACTATATAGATTTCTTTATCGAGCAAGATATAATAGAAAGCCTAATGGCCAAAACAGACTCTATCGCTATAGCAGGAAGGGTTAAAAAATGGCATGTCAAAAATTTTTTGACAATTAAACTAGTCAATTTTCAAAATATCTTTATTGTAAATATTAATTTTTTTTAATTTAAGATACCCTTTTGGACTGAAACTGATAAGCATATTAACTAATATTCCCTGTTTTCTATAAAATTTAGGTTCAATCAACTAAATCATATTAAATTCCGTCTGCATAATCATTATACAAAGGTTCTTTTGAAAACGATGCAAATATTTTAATTATTTCATATTCACATAAAATTGAACACTGATTGTTCTTTATGAGGTTTTTAATGGCTATATGGTGTGCATTAGAAAATTTAAATAGAATTAATAATTAAAAATTTATTAATCGAGTTGTGTTTTGATATTCGTCGTTCAACTGTCAAATTATATTTTACTCGTTAAAGAAATCTATATAGGCATATGGACAATATAATAAAACTATAAATGTTTTTTTCGACCAAAACCCCATCGACATATTTCTCTGTATATTCTCCTCAATAAAATATTGTTGCTGCTACTTTAGCTTCGATTGTTTTTGGAAATAAATAGTCTCATTTACATATTTTTGATAATTCCTTCTGTGAAATTATTCTATTTCTTATATATTTCAAATTCATCATTAATAATTTTGACTGAAGTCTTGGGCTATTCATTGAAAAATCTGAGTCAAAAGAACTCAAAATGTCATTTTTATCATAAACTGCATCGCTTTCAGTGTAATTACGTTTATGGGATATATTCTGTCAAGATTTTATTTTGCTCTTTTGCTCACTCGTATGAGACGATGAAGATAAACCCATAATAAAATTGCAAATTTAATGAATTTCTTGCATACCAAGCATTATTTTAAAAAATAATTTTAAATTATATGAATTTTATGTGTGGTATGATCTAACTTTATCCTTAAATGCTTATAATGGTTAAGCCTTTTAACCAGTTTCATTTTTAAAAAATATAAAGTAATTCAAAAAAGTTAATAATTGCAACTTTATATAAATAGATTCTAATGTATTAATAAACGATATACTTTATAAAAGAGGTCGCAGACCACCAGATTTATAATCAAGTTATCAGGAGTCAAATATTGAATGCCTTTAACTGTGAAAGTTAAGAGGCTAAGGGATCATCGGGTCCTCAGTGCAGAAACGCACGTGGAACACAAGAAACCTCTTCAACCTGACACCATCCTCCCCGAGAATGATCCAGCTTGCGCCCTCAATATTCTAGTTCTCAAAGCAATAAATACTCAGCCATTTTTGTAAATTTTATTTAACTCCCCTAACCGGCCAAATAACACCATTGAAATTGCCTTGGGAAAATTACCGTCCATGTGATCGAACGATATTCATATGATCCCTCTCTCTCTATCTGCTTTAAATATAGCTATATATATTACTGTGATTTGCCCAATAAGGGCGAGAATGGAGAGTTGGCAAATGAGCATCTCTAAGTAGGTTTAACCAAGTTGAGTTGGTGCAACTCACTGGAGAGCTCCAACTCCATTATCCTGCCCTTTATTGAGCAAAACATCGGAATTCCTATCTAGCTATCTATCTTTATATAATGAATATTAGAAATTATACTGTATAATTACTTATAAATAAGTTGAATGCGACTTTTAGCATATTTGCTCATATATTAATGCTCTATCTCTTGTGGCTATCGAATAAATTTTTGCATAAAAAAATTAATTTAAAATTTTTTATATAATTATTTAATAAAATCATAGATCAAGATGAAGAGAGTAAGGGATTTAATATTAAATCTTCATCAAAATTAAATTCCTTATAATTTTTTCTTTATTTTAATGCTTGGATGAAAATAGAATCTTGAATAATAAGGAATGAAATATGATACTCTCTCAAATCCTCTGCTGCATTTAAATCTTATCTTATATCTTATGTTACTTAATGTTAACGTATTAGTCTCTTCCGCAGGGTATAACCCTTTTAACTCAAAAAAAGTGATGAAGTCAGCTAGCATTTATACGTAACGCCATATTTCAGCCAACTTTGCATCAAAAAAAAGTGTAAACTCCACTTGGCCAGAAGTCTCACAGTGCGTGCTGCACTCACTTCCCTTTATTCAGCTCCTGAAGGTGTTCTGCCTGAGGGTCACTATCCTCGGGTGCATTGACAAAAAAAACCTTAAGCGTCTTAATGCGCTTAGAGCAGTTCCTCAGCTTTATACCAGAGTTTAACCGCTATCTGTGAAGAAATTCTCTAGAAAAACGTCAACCTGATAATAAAATTCCATAGGGAGAGAAAAATTAGCAAAGCTAATTTTTTCTCGAACCAGTACCATTTTTAAAATCTTACAAGTTCAAATTAATTTTTTCAACATTTGTGTAATATCAGATTAAAATTTTTATTTTTTCTGATTAAAACGATATTCACGCACAATTTATCGAAAAAATAAGAATTCCCTGAACTTTATCTAATTTTCAACCCAGCTTATGATATTTTTTATTTCTGTATATCTTTATCAACGCTAATGTCAGAATTTTACATTGAGATTTATGCAAGATATTAATATTTATTGGCTGCAATATGTCAAGCTATTTAGGTAAACAACCTAAAAGAAAGAGACTTAAAGTGTTTGAGTCTTTGACTGATGCTCATGATGAACCTGTGGCAGTTACTCGAATGCTGGAAGTTTCCAATGTCCCTTGCATCTCTACTTTACTTGCCCATTCTAGAACATTTGGTGAAATTCAACTTTTCGATTCATCCAGAGCTGCTTGCGGAATCTTCAGAATTGCCTATTACGATATCCGCGACGCAGAAAAGGCTAAAAACGAATTAGAATCCTCATATGACATCTCATATGCTTCCCCAGGCTCTGATTCAAAATTTTCTGACTATATATAATATATACGTATTTTTGCATTTATTTATATGGATTTAGAGCATGTTAATCATGCCAACATATATAATGCAAGCAAAAAATCTAAAAAGCTATAATTGTTCCTCAAGCAAATTTTATCTATCATGCTTATCTTCGGTACGGAGAAATCATGAGCACAGAAGTAATAGGCGCTTATATAATAGTTCGGTATTTTGATGTAAGAGCTTCTAAACGAACTTATTCAGAACCATATGAATTCGAAGAAGATCAATTCTTCGAAAATGAGTTTCACGACACTCCCCTTCTCTCTTCGCAGCTTGATCTAAGCATAAGCTCAGAGTCCACATCTCCAAGTCCTTACTTTTTCTTCGGTTCTGAAAGTTCAAGCCGAGAAAGCCCTTACGATGACCGCAAAAAGCCTCGGAAAAAGCCTCTCGATGAAGAAGAAAAAATGTTTTTTATTATTAGGCTAGAAACACTTCTATCTGGAGAAGAAACTAGGACAACGGTGATGATCAAAAACATCCCTAACAAATACACCCAGCAGATGCTGCTAGATATAGCGCTTTCCCGAGGATGGCGCGGAATGGCGCCATCCTCGGGAAAGCCAACTAAGCATCCACACGGGAACTGGGGGAGTTCCACGTGTGGATGCCATTTTTGACATGTTGAAGTTTGGATCCCACATGTCAAAAATGGCATCCACACGTGGAACTCCCAGTTCCCGTGTGGATGCTTAGTTGACTTTCCCGAGGATGGCGCCATTCCGCGCCATCCTCGGGAAAGCGCTATAGCATTGATAAGCACTTTTCTAAGACTTACGACTTCTTCTACCTGCCAATTGACTTTAAAAACAAGTGCAATGTAGGGTACGCGTTTATTAACTTCTTGGAGCCTGTTACCATTGTCAAGTTCTATGAAGAGTACAATGGAAAGCGCTGGGAAAGGTTTAACAGTGAAAAAATCTGTGCTCTTGCCTATGCACGCATACAAGGAAGGCAAGGATTAATCCAGCACTTTCAATGCTCATCTGTGATGAACCAAGACGACACCAAGGTAAAGCCTCTTATTCTCCAAATTAATCCTCAATTTTAATCAATTTTTTTAGAAAATGGGCTGTTGTAGTAGTGCAGCATCTAGAAAAAATAATGAAAAACTGCCTCCTATGTCTACAAGTTTACGAGAATATCCTAGAAAGAATGTCCTGAACATAAAATCGTGCCGCCAATCAGCTTCAAAAAAGCAGAAAAGATGTGATGTTGAATTTACTGTCACGAATCCTGTCTTTGCATACTCAAAGCGGTTTAATATTGATAATAAAACATTGTGGGCGTCTGCTTGTGTGCTGCCTGGGTTCGACCCAAAGGGAGAAATTCCGAAAACTTGCCAAGACAGCTGCACATTTTTGAATGATGAGAACAGTGTTTTACTGGCACTGTTTGATGGGCATGGACCTGAAGGAGACAAAGTAGCGAAAAGATGTGGAGAAGTGACAGAGAAATTTTTCTTGACCAGAAAATCAAGGTTTGAGGTAAAAAAAAAATAGGATGATCCGATGAGATTGCTGACTCTTTCATTTTTTTTATATTTTATAAAAATAAATATTAAATATTATTTTAATGAATGTTTTTATTTTTTCAGATGGAGTAAATGAAATCACGAAGAGATGCGATGATGACGTCCAAGGTTCCACAAAACTTGACGCCTATTATTCAGGAGCTACAGAAGTCTTAGTTTATTATCATAATGAAAGCCTTTATTGCGCAAGCTTACTCCATTTAGAGCAAAAGCAAAGCTGCTTAAAATTTAGTATAATTAATTGAAAATCGCATTAGTTATATGCTTTTTTGCCTTGAGTGGCGTGGTACGGGCGCCACTTCGGCAAGCTCCTTCTTCCAGTTGGCCGAGCCAACTCAGGTTGGTTCGGCCAACTAGAATTGACAAGTCTCCCCAAAAGGCCTCACTTGTCAATTCTCCAGTTGGTCGAACCAACCTGAGTTGGCTCGACCAACTGGAAGAAGGAGCTTGCCGAAGTGGCGCCCATACCGCGCCACTCAAGGCAAAAAGCTATATATCTAATTACTATTTGTAAAAATTTATAAAAAAAAATTTTTGCTAGCTATCCAAAGGTATTATTTTTCCCAAAATATATATTTTCGAATGGTTTTGCTGAGCTAGGAGACTCAAGAGCAATTCTTGCAACCACTGAGCCTCCTGAAACCAGCCCGGCTCCTACAGCTTTGTGGGGAGAAGAAAAAAAAGTTTTAGACGAAGTAAAAATTCGAAGAAATAGCGAAGTAAACTCAAAAATCAAAGCAATCCAGCTCACAAAGGACCAAAAACCAGAAGACCCTGAAGAGCACGCAAGAATTATCAAAAGTGGCGGCAGGGTCCAAAGAACGCGTGACCAAAACGGCAACCAAATTGGTCCTTTCAGAGTATGAGAATCAACAGTAAACGCCCCAGGGCTCGCAATGAGTCGGTCAATAGGCGACGGCATGGGCACCAGAATAGGTGTCATCTCAACGCCTATTTGTACAGAGTATCAGCTAAAAGCAGAATCTGACTATTTTATTGTAGTTGCTTCAGATGGTATATGAGATGCTCTCGACAATCAAGACGTAGTAAATTTTGTGGAGTATCATAGAAACAAATGTAGGAGAGAAATTATGGAAATCCCAACCGATGAAGTAATTTCACAGGAAAATGCATGCATTGCACAACTTTTATGCGAAGAAGCAAGAGCAAGATGGTTTACTATTGTAGAGGAAGAAGATGTGATGATTGACGATATTTCTTGCGTGATTTTGGAAATGAATGAAAGCCAATTTTTTATTGGAAAAAGCGAGATAAATAAACTTCCAGATATAGAGCCTGCGGTTAAGCGGCTAGATAGTAAAAAGCATAAAGTACCATCTTTAGATGAAGTAAACCTATTGGATCCAAGAAGAAGCTCAATTGTGCAAGAAAGCATGGATATCTTATTAACTGACTCCCCCCCCCCTCCGTGAGTGAACAAAAAAATTTTGTTCACTCACGGAGGGGGGTTAATTTTTTTTTTTTTAAAAAAATTTATATATAAATTTTATAAAAAATATTTTTTTTCGAAATTTAAAAAAATCCTAATTCACAAAAATTTGAAAGCAAATATTAATTTAATTTATAAAATTTTATTTTTAAAAAGCAGTTCGTTAAAAATTAAACAGAATTAGCTCTAGATTTCATTATACTAATTATCATTTATACATCAAAATTTTTTTCCATAAAAATTTTTTCTATTAAAAAAATTTTTGTTCACTCACAGAGGGTGGGGTTTTTGGGCAAAAAATAGGGATTTTTCTAATGGTTTTGTTTACTCACGGAGGGGGGGGGGAGTGAGTAATTGAAGGTAGATACTAATTTGTAAATAATTTTACTTACTCCCCCCATCCTTGATTGAACGATTGACTGTAAAAATTTCTAAAAAATTGGGAAAATTAACCCTCATCTTGATCGAACAATTTTCATATCATGAAATTTTTATATATATAGTCAGTGTCACTAACTATAAAAATATATTAGTTATCATTAGTTTATTTTATGGAAAATAAGAAGGTTCAATTTATATAGAGGGCGCCTAATGAATTATTGTCAGAGGCTTTAAGATGACAGGAAGCTACGGAATCAAGCATCCGAAGTGCTTTATCATCAACCTGGGCTAAAAACTCAATAATCTAAAAAATAGAGATTCTTTAAAATTTAAAATTTTTAATTCAATAAGGAACAAATTAAAATTTATACAGTTTAAAGGGTAATCAAAAGATCAAAATATTAAAAATTGGTATTTTTATGAAATTAATTCAATTTTTTGCTATAAAAATAATTATTAAATATTCTTAAACCTCTTATTTAAAAGTATATCAAAAACATATATATTTTTTATTTTATATATAAATTTGTTTCCTAAAAAAATTTTTTTTTTAACCCCCATCCTTGATCGAACGATGGCGAGCCGTTTGGTCAAGCATAGGTAGCAACCAGACACCCCCACCCCCCAAATAAGGGAACACCAACCCCCCCTAAAAATGGTACCCCACCCCCCTAAAAATGGTACCCCCACCCCCCTTTCACAGACGGCATCCCCACCCCCCTCTCGGGTTTATCCTATAGAAGTAATTGATAGAAATAAGCAGAATAAATTAAATATAACCCAATTAAAACACTATATTGTTAAATTAAGTCCACAAATTACTTTATATTTATGGTTAATTAATAAATTTAAATTAATTAGCAATTAATTAGAAAATATATTAAATTTGTTTTTTTATATTTATAAATATAATGCCAAAGATATAGTTAATGGCATTAATTATTAAATCAGCACAATACAAAAACTTGCATTAAATTTATTGATTTATAAAATTAAAGCTAATCTGATGACAATTGTACAAGGATTGCAGGACTGAATTGGTAACAGGATTCAATAGTGCTAATAAAAATAGTATTTGCTATTGTCAGTTTTACTTTTGGATCTCTAATTCGACTTTTAGCCATTGTTCCACAAAGTTCATAAATATATGCAGGACACATTGCTAATTAACACCAAAGATCATTATTATGCTTGCTAACAAATTTTTTTCATATGTAGTGTGCTTACTAGCTATATGAAATTATCACCCCATTCCACCTACTCCTTCATCGATTGTGCTAAGCTATGTGGATATTGTATAAATCAGTAATTTTGAATATTTAAAATAATAATTTATTTATTACGTATGCTCAAATTTGGCATTTGTCATATATTTATGCTATATTAAGGGGGGGGTGGGCGCCATCTGTGAAAGGGGGGGTGGGGAGATGGGGGTGCCATTTTTTAGGGGGGTGGGGGGTACCACTTTTAGGGGGGTGGGGGTGTAGGGTTGCGACCTATGCTTGACCAGCCGTTCAATCAAGGATGGGTGGGGGAGTTAGATTTATTATTAAAATCGTTTATCTAGAGTTAATTAAATTAGAATTCGTCTACATTTTATTTTTTTTGTATTTATAAATTTTCATAAATAACGGAATTCATTTTAGAAAATTCAAAAATGAAAATTTTGTATGGTAGAGTTTCTCGCAAAAACAGTCAGTTTCATCATATATAAGCTCTATGGATTTGCAAATATTAACAATTCTATCAGATTCGATGATGTTTGTTTCAGTTCATTTATTGAATAGGGTCCTTAAATCTTTTATTTTCTTTCTTAGGTTATACATTTTCAGATTATCGGAAAAATCAAGATTTTTATTTCCAAAAAAGTGCTCATGAACACTACAAACTGCCAAAAATTCTTCTTTATCAAAATTTTCTTTATTTATAATTGCAAAAGTCCTAATTATTATACTGGCTTTATGGCTATACTCTTCAATATTTACTTTCATATTTTCATCATTATTCCAGGGTTCTAATAGACAATCGCTAAATCCTAAATTATCTGAGGAGAGATAATCAATTAAAATTTGCTTGTTCACTTTATCTGCATCGTCTGCATTGATCAATTCATAAATCTTTTCATACTTTGAGTTGACTTTGCTATGGAAGTATTCTATTTCATCCATCATTGAAATTTGAGGCATTTTTGGTATTATGGCTTTTATTTTAGGAAGCTTAATAGCCCTAGATTGACTTAGTTCGTCGTTAATAATGTATGAATTTCCTAGCTCCTCAAGCCTTAAATAGCGAACATGATTTTTAAATTAATTTTTCAAAAATAAATTCTTATCTATTGAGAATTTATTTTATAATAATATATTTAATGATGAAGATGCCTAATATAATATAATTAGCTAAAGATCTTATTATTATAGTAAAGATTATTGATATCAAAATATTATATATAAAAAATTAATTATTATTTTTATTCACGAAGGAAGAGTGTTAATTTCCAAGTAAGATAATGATTAGGTTTATCAATTATAGAGAAGTAAGTAAATTGATTTTTCATGGCCATGGGTTATATCAAATGATGAATGGAGAGGATTTGGAGCCTCTTTATATTTCATTTTCAATAGTGGAGACTTCGATTTGCTAAATTTGTTCGATAGAGATATGTTCGGGCTACAGGGTAGCATTCCTTGGAAGCTCATGTTTTTATCTTTTTTATGAGTATAACTGAATTTTTGGTGATTTTTTTGGTTCTTTTGCTTAAGAGTAATATGACTTCCTAAATCATCAATTTTTGCTGGTGTTAATAATTGATAGTGTTTTATTTTATTTTCCACAGATTCGGAGCTTCTATGCACTTTTACTCTTTTTTTATACGAAGAAGGATAGAATTTTCCTGTTAAACTTGGATCCAAAAAACTCTTATAGCTGAACATTTTTTACCTGAAAATCTTAATCTGAATTTTATGAGATAAACAAGTTGATTCTTTCTAAAAGTGATTATATTAGATTAGCTAAAGTTTGAGCAGGGAGTACGAAATTATTCCAGCCCTTTTCCAGTCGAGATCTTGCTTTGCTATCGTTGCTATCGATAACTCTACCTAACTCCACCTAACGCCTTCTAATCCATCCTAGCCACCAAAACATGGTGACGTAGTAGGTCTGTCGAGGCACTTATCTAGGAGATATGGCCCCTCTGCCTAGCGCTCCCAATTTTCCTTTTAGCTGGGTGGACTACAGATGATCAGCTGGTGGTTCTTCTCCCACGCTTTCCTATTTAAAGTCCTAGAGCAGCCCTTTGCCTTGAGAAGTGTGCGTGGGGCATTGCGTTTTGCCTTAGTAAAAAATGGTATTATTCTGCACTAGGTCACCCAAAAAATGCCCCCAGATACCTAGTTCTATGGGTTTCTTCTTACTTGGTCAACCAACAGGACACCAATGACCTATATTTGCATGCCATTTAATTAAATATTAAAAGTGAATATATTATTTCTAACAATAAACTAGTATTCTTTCTAAATTGATATAATAAATTTCAATTAAATCATTATTGTGAAAATCAATATTTATAAAATCTTATTTATAGTCAAAATAATGAAAAAGGTGAATAGTCTAAAAACTTTTGATAGAAGAGTAGGTCCTTCTCATGATATCACCCCAGAAGAAACCGCAAGAAGCAGCACACCTGTTAACATCAGTAAACTTCCTCTTTCCCCAACCCTTGGAAATCCTTTAAGCTCAAAAGTTCTTCCTAATAAATTTAAGTACACTACCTTAAGCAAGCTTGACTTATCCAAATCAAAAGGCTTAACTACAAATAGAACCCTAGATCCTCTTACCTCAATCAGCAATATTTCTTATATTAATAAAAGTAACACATTTAATGAATCCGTGAAGCCTACCACAATAAATTATCTCGAAAAATATACTCATAAATTACAAGGACTTAAGCTTTCTCAAGCCAACACAAGAGCGTCCTTCTTAATCGAATCCGAAAAAGCTAAAGATATTGACTCCCAATTTGATGGATTAAGAGAACAATCAAAAGTAACTTACAGTTAGGATTTGTTGAAAGGCAAAAAAGACTTAATTTCTTTATCAAATCTACAAATAGCAGTAGAATATTTATCTAAAACAGTCAGGATTATTTAGGTTATCCATTGCGATTGATTTAATCAGGAAGGGAAAATGCTAGCTCTTAAAGAATGCCATCATTTAGAGAAAATCCTTTCAGACACTATCAGCTCAGTCGTAAGAATTCACGACTCTTGAATACAGTTTAAGGAAAGAGTTGAAAATTATGAGAAAAATAGCAACGAGGCTGCAAAAGATGCACTGAAATATAAGAAAAAGTATAATGATTTAAAAGAAAGATTAAAAGAATGGCAAAGAAAAAGCAGAATAGAAGTCGAAAAATATGAAGCAAAAGAAAAAAATTGGAATATGGAAAAAGCGATTCTAGAAAATCATCTTCAAGCTAACCTAAGAACACCTGAACCAGTTAGAAATAATGATGAATTAGCTAAAGCAATTAAATCGATAACCCAGGAAAAAATGAATTTAGAAGAAGCTATAGGGCTGCATAAAAAGATTATTGAGGCCAATAGAATTAGTATGAGTAAGTTACAGCATGAGCTAGGCCTGTCTAAAGATGTGATTTCTGATAAAAATCAAGAAATTGAAAGACTCACAAATGAAAGTCATGATTATATGCATAGACTTGAAGCTGCTCAAGATTTAAATAAAAAGCTGAAACATTCTTTAGATAGGCAGGTCAATAGAATGCTGATGATTTCTGAAGACCTTGATGCCGTCATCATTGCAAAAACAGCTGTAAAAAGAAGTTATGACACTTTGAAATCAGACTATGAAATGCTGACTCCCCGTTTAAATTGGAACGAAAAATCCTGCCCAATTTAAAGGGGAGTTAATTTTTTGTTAAAAAATATAAATTGAACTTAATATTTTAAAATTTTATGAAGAATTAATCAAAAATTAATCAATTCAGTGAGAAAATTGTTTAAATAATATTCAGAATTTTACTTTAAACCAAAACTAATTTTTATAATATCCAATTTAAAGGGGGTTAAAGTACCCAAAAATGAAAGCTTTACCTATATTTTGTTTCCATTTTTAAGGGGGGAGTGAAATACGCTGTAATAGAAGGCAAAGATACTTCTCATTTTGAGCTAGAAGTTATGGTCCCGCTCACAGACCCTCTTTTTGATCTTGCTAGATCTACTTTAGGAACATTTAACAAAAACACTAATACTCCATCAGTTTTCAATAAAGAGGACATTAACGAAATTGATTTAACCAAGTTCAAATATGCGCGTCCTACTTTTACACAAATGGTTGGGGTTCCGAGCTCGAGTCAGGCTTTATTTTCTCCGCCTTTTCAAAATTGAATATATATATGCTATCTTAAAGTGAATTAGTATACTTAATTATTGAAAACTATGCTTATTTCTTAATATAAACACTAATCCACCAGCAAAGATTTAGCCATTAACGAATAGTTATAAGAGCTATTTACGATTCAAAATACTTTGAGCATCTAATGTGTGGAGCTTCTCCATACCGAACACCTTCAAGATTCACTGATTTTGTATATAATTGACTAGGGCAATTTACAATTGATGAAACTTCTCGAACAGTCAAAGAGCTAGAATGGTGGAAAAAAAACCAAGCTGATGAAATCAGATTTACCTTACTGCTTGGGATCACTCAAGAATCAGCAAAAAAGCTATGAGAATTAAACACTTTTCGAGAGTTTTTAAATGAAGATTTAATGCTTGATGAACTTGGATTTTATATGCACTGCCGATATATGCTGTTTAAAGGGCCTGAACTAAACCAAACTTCTGCTAAATACGTAGCCTTGCATTATATAAATTTAGCCAGGGCTATTGAAACTGTTCAAATCACGATGAAAAATCTCCCAGAAAACAACCTCAGAGAACTCATAGGAATTCTCGAAAGCAAGTCAACAGAAAACCAAGGCGCAAAATCAATAGAATGCTCTTTAGCATTAAGAGTGATGCTAGAATATTATCGGCAAGAAAAAAAACATAGGTACGCTGCTATTGTTGATCTTTTTGAAGAAGCCAAAAAAGTTGGCAAAGGGAAGGAAATTAGTTATAAGGCCTTTCATTCTATATGCAAAAATATTTCTCATAATATACCTGAAAGTATGATGATCAAAATGTATCGGGATTGCTGGAACATTTCTAATGAGTGCATAACAGCTGACGACTTCTTCTTAATTGCTAATGAGAATGGGCTATTTTATAATATTTTGCTTCTGAAAGGGCAATGAGAGAAACCAGAACTAAAAGCTGATGGAGAGATCGATATTTTTGCTGGAAAATATTCATATAAAATGGGACAAATCCACAAGGATTATAAAGAAGATGCAAGAAATCTTGAATATGTCAAAGACTGCATGAATTCTATGGGAATTTGTGAACTTAAAGAACAGATAAATAAGCTTGAGCATCTGATACTCCATAAATACGAAATGCCAATAGAGGAGTACTGGGTGTGGAATTTAGAAGATATTTATAACCATTTATGGTGCTTATTTTTACAAGGACAACATGCATTTTTAGAGTACAACTCCCATGATATCAGATATCTGGGGTATAAATTAACACTGGAAGAAAAAGATATAGGAAGACCGACGATGAGCAACATTAAAACTGCGTGCGAAAAATTCATTGAAATTTTGAGGAGTATGGAAATAAAGAAATTCCATTCAAAAATAGCTGCAACTAAGATTCAAAGGCTGTGGAGATCTAAGCCAGAAAAGAATGTAGCGTTTATAGCTACCGTTGTAAAAAGCGTTACGAAATTTAAAGAGGGTATTAAAAAGAAAGAACACCATAAATAAAGGCTGTTAATTTAACATAAGAATTAATAAAAAATAAAAATTAAATTAGATGATTTATAATAAAAATCTCTGTGCAGGAAATTAAAAATTATAAAACTGTTATTATCTAAAAGAGATCTTACCTAATAAAGCTTCAAAATTTTTTATATAAGTTGACAATGAGTCATAGTGAAGAATATTAATAATTAATAAATTCAAAAAATAAATTTGTTTCTGTGGATGGATTTATTTTAAAGCTTACTTAATTGATACTTGCAATGGTAAGTATGATTGCGTTACATATTCCGCAAAAGTTAGTAATTCTAAAATAATTGGAATAGTAGTATACTTTCAAAATTCAATCAATCTAATATAAAATGGGTTGCACTGGAGGGAAAGTAAAAGATATTGCTGTGCCTATTCGCCCTAAATCCTTACGTCCTAATAATGAGGAGAAAAAGCTAAAAGATGATACTCTATCAGAGAGCCAATCTATTAAATCTCCTAATAACTTCACTCTCATACAAAACGAAAGGAAAATTTTTGTTTCAGGAGAGTCTTTTCTAGACATTTACGATGTCCAAGAAGTGATCGCTATGTTTCCCTATGCTGAATACCGAAAATGCATTCATAAAAAAACTGGCCTGATCAGATCTGTTAAGATTGTCCCAATTCCAAAATCTAACGAAAGCTACTTTGATGAAAAGAGCTTAAGGCGTGAAGTCAAGGCTTTATCAAAGCTAGATCATCCTAATATATTAAAAATCTTTGATATCCTTGCTGATGATAAAAGATTTTATATCGTTATGGAGTGTTGAGACGGAGGATTGTTACTAGACAAGTTAAAAGAAGAAAGAGTTTTAACCGAAGTGCAAGTGAGCTCACTTATTGAGCAATTATTGTCTGCCGTTGCATATGCTCATGATCATAAAGTTCTGCATCGAGACCTATCTCCAAACTCTATTTGCCTTATGAAAAAAGGAAATGATTTAATTATAAAAATAATTGATTTTGGGGTATCTGCATTTGTTGATATGAGTCGTCATTATCAAGAAAAGCTTGGAAACTCATTTTATACAGCCCCAGAAGTATCTGATGAATTTTATAATGAAAAATGCGACCTTTGGAGCATAGGGTGTATCATGTATTTATTATTAACCGGGAAAGCTCCATTTAAAAATAGAACCCAAAAAGAGCTTGAACTAAGCCTTAAACAAGATCTTGTTGATGTATCCATCCTTGAAAATTTATCAATTTCTGGTAATGCTATATTATTACTCAAAGATTTACTCAATAAAGATTTTTCCACAAGAATTAGTGCGCTAGCAGCTCTGCAAAACCCTTGGGTCAAAAATTTTCGTGAAAATATAAATATAAACCCAAATATCCTTCAAAAATCTATGGAAAATTTAATTTCATTTCACTGCTCATCAAAGCTGAAAGATGGAATCCAAGCCTTTATTGCTTCCCAAATAATGACCCATGATGACTCAGAAGAACTCTTAAAAGCTTTCAAAAATATTGACAAAAATGGCGACGGGAAGCTGAGCAAAGTTGAGCTTATTAAATTTTATTCCAGTGTAATGGGCGATCATGTAGGCAGGGATTTTGCCAAAGAAACGCTAAATAATGTCGATATTGATGGGAATGGGTCTTTAGAATTTACTGAATTTTTAAGGGCAAGTGCTGAGCATCAGCTTTTATTGTCAAAAAAAAATTTAGAAGTAACTTTTTCAATGCTTGATAAGGACGCAAGTGGGAAAATTTCTGTGTCTGAGCTCCAAGAAATGCTAGAAAATACAATTTTAATAAATAACCAAACATGGCAAGAAATAATTCGAGAAGCAGACCAAAATCTGGATGGTGAAATTGACATGAAGGAATTTTACTCTCTCCTTATTAATAAATTTTAACCTAATTTTATAGAATTTTAACTAATTTCGCTCTCAACAAACTCAGTGATATTGAATCCTTCAGTTTCTTTACCCGTTTTTTCTTCTTTCTTTTCTTTTTGTTTTTTCGGCCTCTTATTCATTCCCATAAACATTTTAGCATGGTTTGCGTGCTCAATATCATTATCATCAAGCAGAAGCTCAGTTAGCTCTGATGGCCTAAAAATGTCAGCTTTAAATGCACCTCCTGCGTAGACTGTAGATTGTACCGTTTGCTTTTGTTTGGCTCTTTTAAGGATATTTTCTTCAACAGTATGAGAAGTGATGAGCCTATACACATCAACTGGCTTTGTTTGGCCGATTCTATGCACTCTATCTGTAGCCTGAGCATCCATTGTAGGATTCCAATCAATATCATAAAAAATGACGGTATCAGCTGCAGTTAAATTTACACCTAGGCCTCCAGCTCTTGTAGAAAGGATAAATACAAAAACATCAGTATGGTTTTGAAATTCATCTATCAAGTCTCTACGCTCTGATATATTTGTAGACCCATCCATGCGCAAAAATGAGTACTTTCTGAAATACAAAAAGTCTTCTAAAATGTCAAGCATTTTGGTCATTTGGCAGAAAATTAAGACTCTGTGGTTTTCGTCATATAGCTTTTTAAGGAGCCTATCAAGGATTTTTAGCTTGGCACTGTCGTGCAAAAGCTTTTCTATGCTTGGTAAATCTACATAACAAGGGGTTGGGATATTGAAACCTTGAGGGAATAATAAATCAATATGCTGGCCTTGACACTCATGGAAATAGCTGGGCTTAAAGGAGTTTCCTAATAAAATCCTTTTGAGAGATGGAGACTGCTTTACAAATTGCCAATTCAATGCAAAGTGAATTGTGGAGCATGAAAATTCTATTGGAGATGCTATAGCAACTGGAGTCACTAAGTCTTTCAATATGTGAGGGATTATTTCATCTGAAATCCTGATTGGGGCTTTAGAGTGTCTGTATAGCAGTAAAGGCAGCTTAGCACCTTCATATTTTAATAGACGTGAATACCTTTTGATATAATGCAATGCTATGATTCCTCTTATCAGCTGTGGAGACTCAATGATGTTAATTCCTTCATTATAAGTTAGCCCTAGAAGTCTGAAAAACCAAAAATAGTCTGTGTCATATATAGAAGGCAACTTTTTGATGTCAAGAAACAGCTCATTGTAAATTATCCTGGGAATATGGAAGCATATAGGATTTTTATTGCCAATACGAACTTCGGTAAGTTGATTAAAGCCTGGTTTTGGCTGGCAGTTTTGGAGAAGAGGGTCATGGAATGAAATTGGTGTGTGCTCAGGGCGTCTTTCAAATAGATCAGGATGGTTGCAGACTTTTCGGAACTGCATCATTAAGTTCATTAGATTCTCCACTTTTGCTTTACTGTCTGTCATAGAAAATAGCTCACTTATGTTTAACTTCCTTTTAATCATACTATAAAGCATCTTTTGTCTGTTTGTGAGGTCACAGAAATACTCATGCTCAGTTTTCTTGCCGATCTCACTTTCGACATCTTTTTTTACTCTTCTAAGCATAAAAGGTTTCAGAATCGCATGCAACCTTTGGAGCTGGTGCTGATTTAGTGAGCCAGCATCCACTGAATGAGCTTCTATGTCTTTAGAAAACCACTCTTCAAAATGCTCATGAGAATCAAAAAGCTTTGGCATGATAAAATGCAGCAAAGCCCATAGCTCAGCCATTGAATTTTGGATAGGAGTCCCAGTCAATAAAAGTTTGTTCCTTGCGTTAAATCCTAATAAAACATTTCATCTTTGAGTCGAAGTATTTTTAATGGCATGGGCTTCATCTAAAATCATATACTTCCACATAACTTTTTGAAAACTTTTCTCATCTGCTAAAACTAGCTGATAAGAAGTAACACAGACATGGAATGCGGAATCATCATTACCTAGTTTTTTATTTTGCATGTATCTTCTTACTCCCCCCTCCGTGAGCGAACAAAACCAATAGAAAAAATCCCTATTTTTTGCCCAAAAACCCACCCTCCGTGAACGAACAAAAATTTTTATGAAAAAAATCGATATATAAGTGATAATTAGTATAATGAAATCTCTAGCAAATTCTGTTTAATTTTAAACAAATTGCGTTTTAAAACATAAATTTTACAAATTAAATTAATATTTGCTTTCCAATTTTTGCGAATTCGGATTTTTTTAATTTCGAAAAAAAAATTTCTTAAAATTTCTATAAAATTTTTTAAAAAAAAAATTAACCCCCCTCCTTGAGCTAACAAAAAAATTTTTTCGCTTACGGAGGGAGGACTTAGAGATTTTCTTTCTTTCATTTGTCCCCAGTATGGGAGCGTTTTTAAAGTTGGGCAAAATTTATTTAACTCTGCAAGCCAGTTGTGTAAAGTCGAAGCTGGGCAAACAATTAAAAAAGGTCCCCAAATATTTTTGGTGTATGCTAAATGTGCAAGTAAAGCAATAGTTTGAATCGTTTTTCCAAGACCCATTTCATCAGCTAAAATCCCATTGATTCCTTGATCATAAAGATTATCAAGCCACCTTAACCCTTTCATCTGATAATCTTTTAAGTACCCTGTAAAAATTGGTGGGGTTTCTTCAATCCTCGAAAATATTTTTGTTTCATCAACTCTATCAAGTCCCATAAGTCCGACATCTTTCAAGTCTTCATTATTCGCATCTGAGTCATCTCCAAACTTCTTTAAATGGTCTCTGTGCTCTTTTATCATAGTTTTCACACTTTCTCTTGCCTGGTCTTCATCGACTCCAATGCTTGATACATGGGAAGTCACAGTAGGCATGATCCCCAGCTTCTGTGCCATAAAAATTGCATAAATATCAGACTGTCTCATGATATACTCTAGCTTCTTCCTCTGTTTTAATGATTCTTCCTCTTCTTCTCTTTTCTTCCTAATTTCGTTTTCTTCCCTTTCCCTTTTTCTCCTCATATCAGCCGTTTCTCTTTCTTTTCTTTTCCAATAGCTGACCATTTCTCTCTGCAATCTTTTCGCCCTCACTGTGGACTCTTTTGCCTCTCTTTGCATTTTGTTAGCTTTTTTGGCTACTTCTTTTGAGCAAAGCTGGCTGATCCTTTTGCAGTTATTCCTGAGGTCTCCTCTTTGTTTTTGCATGCCTTTAAAAGCTTTAGGAAGGTCTCGCTTTATGAGGAAACTTAATGCTTTTTTGATTAAAATGCTTTCCACTTTTTCTGATACACTTTTATTTGTGGAGCGAGGCTTTTGAGTTTTTGTGGGCGCACGCGGGAGCTCTTTTGAAGCCGTAATTTTGCGTATTGATGGATTGTGGATCTTTAAAGTAGAGGTAGGTTTGACTCTGGCAAGCAGCGCGCTAAGTTGTTCTGGTCGGAAATTTTCAAAGCTGAAGCTTTAATTGCAGGATACTAAATGTTTAAGATCTCAGCTTCCACAAGCAGCATTCTGCACAAAATTTGTAGAAGCTTCATATCTGACTCATCTGAGCCTAAGTGGAAATCCTTGATTTTTGGTTGTGAGTGCTTTGGGTCTCCAGGCCATTGTTGAGATCAATCATTTCCAACTAAATCCTTTCGTCCTTATTACGCAATCTCCTGCTTCAAGCTCCTGGCCAGATCGCTCCATTAAAGAGACCCTTTTCTGGAGGACCGCTTTAAACTCGTCTGATTTGCTTCCCTTTTTAGAATTACCCCGAAAACTCTTAACACTTATGCGATTCGGAGCAAAGCAGAGCAGCAGCTTGAGCAGGTAATTAGTTCTGCTCCATTTAGGGCGCTCACTAGCTTGGGTGCTGCTGCTTGAAAAGAAGTCTCAAGTATCTGCCAATTGATCAAGCAACAAACAACGGATTAGTGCTTAAGCTCCTCACTTTAGTACACCATATATTTCTGGGAAAACTTGTGATTCCAAAAACCATGCTCCGATATACATGGGTAACCGTCTCCGAGAGCACGGGTCGGACATCTCCCATTTTATATATATCAAAGGTGAAGCTTAATTTAGGTAATTTATTTGGATCAATTCGATATACCAATTTAATATAATTTGCCATAATTTTTAAGACAATTAGTCTCTTATTAATAAAAATAAAAGCTTTTTGCTAAATATTGTCATTATAATATTTTATCATAAAAGTATATTTTTGAATGGCCATAATATCGCTTCTTCTTAAGCCTGAATATCTTTCCTGATCTAGTGAAAAATCTTGTTCATATGCTTTTTTGAGGAGAATTTCTTCTTCTGCTCTTTCTTCTTCGTCTGTGTCTGATAGCTCACAACATTTTCTGAGATAATGTTCGATTTTGTGCGCCCTGTTATTGAGCTTGAGGACCTTATAAGGGAACATTCCTTGTTCACATGAGCTTTCCTGCTCTGAATCAAGGGATTTTCTGATCTCTACTTCATAGCGTTGGCGTTTGTGAGGGAGGAGAGGCGTTCCTGCAATGGGAAGAGATGGAAGGCTTAAAAGTGAAGACTGAGGATGTGTCTCAGAGGACACTGAGGGTTGAGATTGATCCTCATATATACTAAACTCTACTGATCTCTGTGTGAATGTTACCTCTAAGGTGTTTCTGAGTAGATAGGCGAGCATCGATAAATCTCGTCCACTGGTTGACATATTTCGTGCAAGATTCTCTTGAGATGACTTCCATCTTTCGGAAGGGGTTCTACTTAGGCATTAACGAAGATAATTTAATTTTAAAAAATGATTACTTTATATAGGAAGAAAAATTTTTATTTGAAGAATTTAAGGATATATTGATCTTGCTAACTCCCCCCCCCCCCTCCGTGAGCGAACAAAAAAAATTTTGTTCGCTCACGGAGGGGGGGTTAATTTTTTTTTTTAAAAAAAATTTATATATAAATTTTATAAAAAATATTTTTTTCGAAATTTAAAAAAATCCTAATTTGCAAAAATTGGGAAGCAAATATTAATTTAATTTGCAAAATTTATGTTTTAAAACGCAATTTGTTTAAAATTAAACAGAATTAGCTCTAGATTTCATTATACTAATTATCACTTATATATCAAAATTTTTTTCCATTAAAATTTTTTCTATTAAAAAAATTTTTGTTCACTCACGGAGGGGTGGGTTTTTGGTCAAAAAATGGCGATTTTTCTAATGGTTTTTGTTCGCTCACGGAGGGGGGGGGGGAGTAAGTATATTGCTGGTTAAGTATTTTATAATTTTACTTTTAAAATGAAAATATATTGAGATATTTCTTCATTTCACTGCCTCATACGATATTTTCGTCCTTGAAAAATGCCAGACATTTAATAGCAATCAATAAAATCTTAACACTTTTAGCAGCAACAAAAAACTCATTTTAGCTCGTTTCTTCAAAAATGCTATCATCAATCTTTTACTAGAAAATAAAATAACATATATCTGCGATATTTATCAATGCTAAAAATCGAAATTATCAGTTTTTAAGCGAGGATGTCATATTCGATTTTTAAATTTGCTTCTTCTCTTCTCCTCTAAATTATCCGAATCATTTCTTTAAAAATCAGAAAAGATTTATATTTTTTTAAAATTTATGAATTCATATAAATACGAACAAAAAGATAAGAGAAGTTGTGGTTTTATAGTTAATTTAAATATTCTAAAAATTTTAAATACTCCTTTTTTATTGCATTTCTGGTATTTGTCTCATTTTTTAAACTTTTCTAATATTATTAGACTTTATTTCACAAAGTTCTATATCAATACCTGTCTTTATGTTTATATCATTTGCATCATGAAATGCCAGCTTGGCTCAATTTGTATTCCCGCCGTTAAACCCCGTAGCGAATACTTTCTTATTCGTTTCTATCCATTTTTAAAGGATTAATACCTTATCAATTTCGATAATCTGCTCACAAAAATACCGAGATTTAAACTAACCATATCATTTTATTTAAAAAATAGCTTCAATTTATTTATAAATTTATGGGAAACTGGTGTATAAATGCGTCGCAAAAAATTCAAAGTATTCAAGACTTGCAATATTTTAACTCCGTATTACTCAAAGTAACAGACCGAGATCATCACGTCAGGCACTCATCTGAAGAAATTCACCTTCCAGGTCCAATCCATCAGCAAAGTCTTCTTACAACTGTATATAAATTACCTTTAAGAATATGTGGCAGTGTCCTTCCAAATCTCGATCACCTAGATGGCAAAGCAAACCCCTCAATGGACACTTACGCTTTTCTTTCCAAAAATGGCTCGCTTTTTTGCATTCTTTTCGATGGACATGGAACAGAAGGTGACAAAATAATTGCCTACTGTAAAAAGTTTATGCTGAATTACTTCTCAGAAAACACTGAAAAATTTGAAAATAGCCCAAAAGAATCAATAACTGAGATGGTTATTCAGTGTGATGAAAAGTTAAGTGAGAGCGGGATCAGTTACTCCTTATCAGGATGTACAGCGGTAGTACTTGTTATAAACTCTACAGGAATCCATATCGGGAGTGTAGGCCATCCCCAAGCTGTTTTAGCGACTCTGCCAAGTGATGATTCACCTACACTGAATGATGAAGCGCTTGAAGAATCTGATGGTGGGATGGAGGCAGGGCCGTATGTGAGAAGTATCGAACCGTCTCGAATTTTGGTACCAATACCGCTGACTGTGAAACAGAAACCTAATCATGAGGTAGAATATAAGAGAATAACAGAAGCTGGTGGAATAGTGGAAAGAATGGTAGATGAGCTAGGCCAGCCTATTGGGCCTTACAGAGTTTGATTGAATCCTGGCAACTTGCCTGGACTTACAACATCAAGAACTATCGGGGATGCGCTTGCTAAAGAAATCGGGGTGATTTCGACCCCAGTGTGCAATTCTTTTGAAATTTACCCTGAAGCTGATCAATTCATTGTAATTGCCAGCAATGGAATTTGGGATGTTATGGATCAGCTTGATGTCATCAATTTTGTGGAAAAATTCAGAACGTTTTGTAAAGGAAAATCATCTGAATACCCTGCTAACGCTAATAATTCTTCAATAGCTCGGCTTTTGTGCGAAGAAGCGAGATATTGTAAATTCCCATTAATAGCCCCATAAGCGGATGAATTACCCGCTGACTTTCAAATTGGTCCGACTAAAACTAGTAATTTTGGTCAGACCAAATTGCAATTTTAGCAGTTAATTCACCCGCTTATGGGACTAATCATAGGAAATAAGTATATAGGTGATTTGGAATAGTCGAAAAACAAAATGCTATGATAGATGATATATCTTGTATTATTATTGAGTTAAGTAATGTAGTACCAACCATGTCATTGGGAGAGTCTGCCAAAGCTAGAGCCTCAAGAGTATTAGAGCCTTGGAAAAGTCTTGCTATTGATAGTGAAGTTTATTTTGGGAATAAGCATGCAATAAGGAATGATCCTGCCAGAGGAAGCATGACGACAGGAGAAATACAAAATGAAGTGATTGAAGCAGCTATGGAATTGCTGAAAAAAGAAGAAGAAGATGGGGAATCAAACCAAAACGTGCTGGAACTACTCTAGATATAATATATAAAAATAAGGTTATTTAATTTGTCTGAATTGCCATTAATTACGGCTTAAATATTATTGGTTTGACATTATGAAAATAATCCAATAAATTAACAAAGAAAAAAATGGATCAAACTAAAAAATTTACTTGGGCTGACGAAAGCGAAGAAGAACTATCTGAAAGCGAAGAGCCTTTCGAAGTAAAGATAGAACCGACAATATCCAAAGAAAAGGCTATAGAGAAACACCCTTACAGCAAACTTGCCTACAAAATAAAAGAAACAAAGCCCCCTTATACTTTCAAGCTAACCAATATAAACTACAATGCTAGTGAAAAATGAGAAATTTATGATTTCTTAGGTCTAAGATTTTCTGAAGCAAAGCTAGAACTGCTGACAAGCAGGAATAGGTTCAATGGTATCGTTATAGCTACTGCTTATAGCCAAGCAATAGGGATTAAAATTGCTAAAAGACATGACGAAGAGTTTAGGGGAAGAAGGGTAAAAATCAGTTTAGAAGAAAATGGATGTAAGATAAGTGAGCCTGATAAATTTATTGCTCCAAACCCTAAACCATTAATAAGATCTAAAATTGAAGCATCCGAAAATAACAGAACGGAAAATCAGAAAATTGAGATTATAAAAGATAGAAAAATAGTAATTGCACCTGATCGGTCTAGGCAAGAAAATGTTGAGCATCCTGAATCGATTCGCAAAGGTGAGAAAGTTGCAGTGAAGATGCATTCATTGAATACTGGGCAGAATATGCAGACTGAATATAAGAGGAATCCTTTCGGCAATGCTCGGCCAATTGATCGGCTAGAAAAAGATTTGAGATTTGATCAAGAGCACTTGCTTGTGACTTCATCAACTGATATAAGCAAAGCCTATAAGTAGCCCGATATGTTCTTAGGGATTAAACCCACTATTCAGTTGGTCGGACCAACTCAGGTTGGTCAAGCCAGCTCTTAAAGAGGCTATTAGCCTCTTATGGTCCATTCCAGCAGCTCAGCCAACCTAAGCTGACTGAAAAACTTGAGAGAGGAGCTCCATCCTAAGTTCTTATTAGGCTATTAATAAGCTTTGCTTATAGCTCTTTATCACATCCTAGAGATGAAAAACTTGAATACCAAATATACCCAGAAAATTCTTCTAAAATCACCATGCATGATAACAAAACAAAAAACATTGATTTTTTTGATAAGAATAAAGAGTCTAACGGAAATAATTCCAAGTCAACTGAAGAGAATAATGAGAGCAATAATGCTTTGAAAGAAAATAAAAAGCCTAAAGCTAACCCCTTTGGATCCGCAAAGCCTGTTGATACTCTTTCAAAAGATATCGAATTCGAAAAAACAATCATTGAAAGGGCATCTCATGCTCAAGAAAAAAACTTGCATAGCTTTAAGCATTCTGCATTTCATACAAGGAAAAATGATCCTGATCAGAAAGTTCATTTACAGGGCAAATCTAAACCTATAAAAGAGTTCACTCACAATAATTAATAAATAATATAATCATATTTAATGCTAATCATTATTTGCTATTTATTTTGTAACCTTTAAATACCCTAAATATGAAGATAAATACTCGATCATTTTCTGACGATTTGAAACATTTAAAACTTCTTCACATTGCTGAATTGATGTGATTGCATCCAAAAATTCTTCACCTGATTTAATTTTTCTTAAAATTAAAGAGGCCATTCTTAACAAAGATAGCTGGCTTTGCAAACAGTCTTTGACTCCTATTCTATATATTAGCTATATATTACCTACTGCAAAATAGTGCCTATGCGATTTTGGTGCATTCAATATACCTAAATCCTCATCAAGTGTTGTAGGAAACTCGTCAAGGCAATTCCGTACAATGCTAATGGCTTGTTGAAAAATAATTTCTTCATTCTCAATTGAAGTTGGATTAAAGAAAGCCATGGGAGTATCCTTATTTATATCTCACAGTAAGCATCTTAAAACTGACAATAAATCATCGCATATCTTGCTTTTCTTAATTTTGAAAGCAACAAGAGCTTCACTGCTATAAGTTTCCTCCATTTTAGCTCACTGCTGCTCAGTCAATAAATTCCTTACTCCCCCCTCCGTGAGCGAACAAAAAAATTTTGTTCGCTCACGGAGGGGGGTTAATTTTTTTTTTTTAAAAAAAATTTATATATAAATTTTATAAAAAATATTTTTTTCGAAATTTAAAAAAATCCTAATTTGCAAAAATTGGGAAGCAAATATTAATTTAATTTGCAAAATTTATGTTTTAAAACGCAATTTGTTTTAAAATTAAACAGAATTAGCTCTAGATTTCATTATACTAATTATCACTTATATATCAAAATTTTTTTTCCATTAAAATTTTTTCTATTAAAAAAATTTTTGTTCACTCACGGAGGGTGGGTTTTTGGTCAAAAAATGGCGATTTTTCTAATGGTTTTGTTCGCTCACGGAGGGGGGGGGGGAGTTAAAGGTATTTTAATTCTTGCATAGTTATATTTATTGATTTTGTTTGCAAATCCATAGCTCATCAATAGGTTTCGATTTGAATAATTTCCATATGAAATAAGAATTTCTGCTCCTCCTTCAAATCTTTCATTTTTGCCTGTCACCATTCTAAACCTTTTATTTGGGTCTTCAGTTATCTGGCTTATGCTTAATGACTCAGAGAAATTCATATCTGTATTATTTTTACCTAAAACAAATCTATTTGCATCTTTAATAGTTGCTTCACTAAGAATTTTCTTTGAAATATTTGTTTTTTCTTCATCTAGTTGCTCTCCATATGCAGAAAAGTTTATTTTATGCAAATTTTGATAATTAAGCAAAATTGGCTCAGGGTCTTCATAAAGATCTTCATCTGAATCACTATCTGTATCTCTTATATCAAATCCTAAAGCTAAATCAGGTGGTAAGTCATCATCCGTCCCATAGTAATAATTCGTAAGCACGTTGTCATGGTTTATCAAATCAGCAACAGGAATCAGCGAAGAATATGGTATGCATTTTCCAAAAGCTCTTGTTGACACTATTTTTCAGCTCCAATGCACCTTTTCTACGTTGATTGTTCCTCCGAATTTTTCAGGGTACTTTTGTAGCACACTGATAAGTGTATCTATTCAAATTTCATATCGAGCTTGTCTATCCAGGACGTCAGTGACAACATCTGAATCTTGAAGCTCAATTAATTCAATTTCTTTCCAATCAGTTAAATTCTCAGGATTTTTAGGAAGGGAATTAAGATAAGGGTATCAATATGAGGAAGGCCCTTTGGAGAATTCTAATAATAGGTAAGTAATCATTAAATAGTCCACTGATGTTGTAGAAGTGCTATCTAAAAATAAATCAGGATGGCTTTCATATATTTCAGATAGTTCAGGAGTTTTAGCGATTTGTGTAGATAATAATGCATTGTTTGGGACAGTAATTAAAGTTTCACTTGGGGGAATTTGCAGCTGCGTTTTCATCCCGAAGTATCCTGGAGGATATTTGACAGGATATTGAAGTTTAGGGTTTATTTGGATTCCAACCTGCTCAGCTCACTTAAAAAGAAGCTCGATTTCACTAGAGTCTACAAGTTCTCCTTGTTTGCGTGGGTAGCTGATTTTCATGATTATTTTGCTTTTTCATTTAGATTAGTTGCATGCAAAATCAATAAAAAACTTGATAAAATTTGCGACGAAGCTCTTTGAGCACGGCATAATATGCAAAGGATTTCCTGATTCTTTCAAAAATAATACTGACTTAAAATATTTATAACACTTTTTTTTCTATTTTGCAATAAATTTTCATAAACTTGTTCTAATTTAAAAAGCAGAATATATTTGCATGAGCATTATTGCTCCATATGATTTTAATATGTCTTTCTGTCTATTTAAAATACTTAATAGCGTTTTTACCATTTATTTTATCTTCTTATTATAAATTGCCTTAAATTTCTAACTATTCTTTATAATATCTTTTCAAATTTCATATTAGATAGGATATTTTCACCTCCCTGCCATATTAATTTATATGCTATTACCTAAAATTGCCCGAAAAGGGTGTAAGGATGGAAAGCTCTAATCTCCAGTTGGTCTGACCAACTCAGGTTGGTTTGCCTGACTGGAGGGTTGGTAATTGAACCACAAGAGGCTCATTTGCCAACTCTTTTGTTGGTTTGACCAGCTTAAATTGGCCAAACCAACTGGAGATTAGAGCTCTCTCCATCCTTGCGCCCTTGTCGGGCAATTTTAGGTAATTATCTATAATCTATAACATGTTTCAGCACGCTTTCCAAAATGGCCCAGCAGTCGAAGTCATAAACTCAGGCGAAAAAACACCTCAATGGGTCATCAACAAGTCCAAATGAAAATCCTTCGATAAATCTGTAAAAGGTTACATCATTACCTTAGATTCCCATACAGCAAAACTCCAATTTCCAAGTAATGAAAGGCAATCTCTATCTCTCGTGCAGCCTTATCTTGTTCTTCAAATCTTTTTAATCCCAGTGCAGTCATTTACACTTGAATTAGGATTAACAGATATCAGCGGCTCCAAGAGGCGGCTAATGTTCTCTTCTGCTTCAAAAGAAATCATATCTACACCTTTGCATGCAAGAATCCCAAATGGACCTTTTTTAAGAGGGGTCTGGGCTAATATTTCTATTGATCTTGTAGGGTTTGTGAATGCTTGCTTTCCTGGAAGTACTTTTAGGTCATTAGATTCAATTACTATACATTCATTCTGTAAAATCAGAAAAGTTTTCACGATGAAAAATCCGATTTTCGATACAAGTGATGCAGGAACTCATATGGATGGAGCTGAAATGCCACCTAAAAATTTTGAGTTTCCTCCAGGAGTGCAATATGTGAACCAGCTGATTGTTCCTGCTATGGTTGTGGCAATGGAGCTTGAAGCGCCAATTGAAACACCAATTAAATCAATTCCTAAGAAAACTTGCTCCGAGGCGCACTCATTATGGAGCAGATAGGACCTATCCTGAAAAACGGGGCCTCTGTCCCTTTTGGAAGTAGGCCTTAAGGTTTGGGCATGCCTTGCCGAAGAGGGAAATTTTGTTTCTCCCCGGGGGTTTCCCTGTCCCTGCCAGATGAGCTAGACAGGCTTTGCCTAAAACATGGCCCTTTCTTGCAGGGACCAGCGGGACACTCTTCAGTAGTGGCTCTGCCCCATGGAGCTAATCCCCTGGACTGGTGGTTCAGGTCGGAAATTCAAGATGGTGGCCTTCCATTTTCTAATTTGAACTCCAAGGTCTCTCTTTTGGAGCCGAGATAGGCAAAGGCTAGTAGGTTGCCCGCTTATGGCTAATTAGCCATTTAATTTAAGAAAACTTGCTTACTCTCCTTCCACCCCTTTAAGAGCAAGCCAAAAATTTTTTGATGTAAGTTTTATATACATTAATATATTTAATTAACAATTTTTGTAACGAGATCTCTAATTAATTGTAAGATAGCTTGCATTCTAAAACTTAAATTTGATAAATTAAATTAGATTATTCTTTTAAATTAGGATTTTTTAAAATCTGAAAATTTTTAATAATGTATATAAAAATCGTTTTTTAAAAAAAATTATTCCCTTTTTTAAAGGGGGTGAGCTAGCATTTGGGACGAAAATTCCAGCAAATACAGCGCCGACCTTAAAGCAAATTCCAAAGAAAGAGCCTCGAACTGCTTCACCTCAACGGAAACAAACATCAAACACTTCAACCTCATTTTTTTCAAAACGTGACAACAATACAGCTAAATTAATCCCAGACACTCGCAGCCCATCTAAAATTTCAGGCACCTTTGAGCGTGTTACCACCGAGAGTTTTGCTAGCAAAAACTACAACAGAATCGGTTCAGCTGCTTCAACTCGATATGATGCTAAAGAAGACATAATAGAACAAGAAGAAATTCTAGAAGCCAATGAAGAAGAAAAAAAATCCAATAAATCTCCCAGTCCAGCGCTTAAAAACAGTTCTCAGCGATTTTCTGATTTTTCTGAATCTTTTAAATCAGATGAAATTGAATCAGAATATTCAAAGCAGCTATCCTTTTCAAACCCCTTAGACGATATGGGCGACGAAGAAATAAAAGAAGACCCTAGCACTACTGAAAATTCTATATTAAAATCAGCTCAGAGAAAATTGACTAATTATAATCAGCCTTCATATGGGGCTGCAGCACAATCCATTGAAGAAGAAATTGATGAGGAGAGATATAATCCTAATATTTATACTCAAAACTCAATTGACCATAACTTCTATCCATTTGCAAAAGAAAACAACAGAGAAAGTGATTCTCCAGTGCCTCATCCTACCTTTTATGCTCAAGGTTTAAACGAAGCAACACAGGTAAGGCCTTTTACTCCACCTTTCGCTGGGCTATCTTCAATGAGAAATATAAAAGCTTCATATGAAGAAGAACAACAAGCTGAAATTGAAGGTGAAGGCGAAGGCGAAGAAGAAGCAGTGGAGCTTGTGTATGATCCTGTGCTCAAATGCTACTATGACCCTAGCACACATGAGTATTATGAGGTAAATGATTAGTTATGTAGTTTTTAACTATTATTTATAAATAGTCTGCTTAAAATGTATGGCTTAACGCAATCAAACCGGTCTTCAGAAGAAGGGATTGATGGAAATTTGGAGTTCAGTGAAACCCCCAGTAAGATAAAACTTCAAAAATTGTCAAGTAAACTTATAAGCTACCAAACTGGAATTGAGTCAGAAAAACAAGCGCAAGTTGAATCATTCAAATATCGAATGAAGCAGCTGGAAGAGAAAATTTCGAAGATCGAACTTGCTGATGAATCTAAGTTTTCAGTAATTTTTACTTACTTTGATTATCAATTAAATAAATAATTATTTGACTCTAATAATGGACGGTCTCTTAGGAGGCAAAAGTAATTTATAATTTTAAATTCTAAATATTTAATTTAAAACAAAGATTTAGGTACTCAAAGACCAACTTAGCAAAGCTCAAGAAAACCTCTCAACTGAGCATTTAGCATTAGAAATCTTAGACGAGCGCAAAGTCAAAGAACTTAAGTTATGTGAAAACAACATCCATATCAACATCTCACTTGAGCGGCAAGGCAGAAAAGAGCAAGAAGTAAAAATAATTAAAAATATCGACGACAAATTTTTTGGAATCAAAATCGAAGTATCAAAAGAACGAAAAATCAGAGAAGACACAGAAGAAGAAAAAAATGTGGAGTTTGGAGAACAGCTTGACTCCCTACAAGAGCAACTAGAAAACGAAATGAGAACTAGAGAAGATGGCTATGATAAAATCATAAAAACTATTGGAAGCGAGCTTCAAAGATGCTATGGCTCATTAGAATCTGATAGAAAGAAGAGAGAAGAAGAGCATGCCATGTATGCTAAGTTTATTGATGAGATGAAAATGAGGGTCCAAACTGAAATAAATTTAGAAAGAAAGGAAAGAGAAGCAACAGAAGAAACCTTAATCAGACTATTAGAAGAGACCTGCCAAAAAGTAGAAACTGGCATAGGACCAAAACAATATTTCTAATTTAACTTCAAATAATTTAATTAAGTATGGAAGACTTAACTCCCCCTTTAAATTAGGACAAAAATTGGTAAAATTTGCATTTTTTGGGTACTTAATTCCAATAAAATTTTTCAATGGGAAAATTTTACCAATTAAAATACTAATTTTAAAAATTAGTTTTGACCTAATTTAATGTAATAGACAAAATGCAAGTAGAATGTTATTTAAACAATTTCTACACTGAATCGATTTATTATTTTATTTAATTGTTTTTATAAAATAAACTAAAACTCAAAGTATTGAGCTCAATTTATAATTTTTGAAAATAAATTAAAGACGAAAAAACTAGTTTTTATAAAATTAGTTTTTTGCCTTCTTAATAGACAAAAACCAAGTAAATGTTATTTAAACAGTCTTCACATGAATCGATTAATTTTTTTTATAAAAAAAATGTAAAATTTAAAGTATTGTGCTCAATTTATATTAAAAATAACTTATAAAAATTAGTTTTTTTAACCCATTTAATAGAATGTTATCTAAATGGTTTTCACACTGAATCGATGAATTCTTCCTTAAAATAACATAAAATTCAAAGTATTATGCTTATTTATATTATTTATCAATGCAATTTTTTTTTAAAGATAAAAATACTAATTTTTATATAGTTTTTTCAAATAATTTAACGGAAAAATTGCAAGAGGATGTTATTTAAATTTTTAATTATTTCTTCATAAAAATTATTAAAATTCAGAGTATCGCGCTCTATTTATATATTTATATAAGACTTTAAAAATTTTAAAAAGCAAATGAACCTCCCTTTAAATTGGGCAGATTTTTTCCAATTTAAGGGAGGGAGGAGTAAGTAATAGATCGCGCGAGAAAAGCTTTGAAGAAGGGTTTGACTACATTTCTGAAGGCGAAATCATTATAAAACTTCAAGAAAAAGTGAAATCTCAAGCGCAAAGACTGAGGGCCTTGGAGGGTTACAAAACATTATGCGAAACAAGGATTGCTGAATTGTTTCCAAGTCATCCATTCCCAGTAAAAAATGAGCATCTAGGGGTTTTTAATTCTCAGGATAGCCAAGAGCTTCATGCAGCCAAACAAAAGATTATCCGTTTAGAACAGCAACTGTCTAAGCAGGCATCATTGACACCAAGAAGTGGGACTCCTCTTTCAGGAACACCGAAAAACGCTCAGAAACTCGATGAAATGTATTCAGTGCTGCATCATAAATATAATGAACTTGTCAAAGATAAGTCCCTTGTGGAAGAAACTCTGCGAGCTGAAATGCTGGCATCTGAAGAACAAAGAACGTATATTGAAATACTAAAGCAAGCTTTAGAAGTTAACGTTGAAGAGTTAGGGCTTGGAGGTATAGAAGCTGATACCTTTGTCGAATTTGTCCAAAATAAGACGAACATTGAAAACACAAGAAAAAATACAGCGAAACTGCAAAGTGCTGTTTTGGACCAAGAAATCCAGATAAAGAAATTAGATTAGATTAACGAATAATATTTTTAAGTCCCTACTTCCACGAGTGGCATCTTGCGCAGCCGTCAGGCTGCGTAGTGGCCCAAGAAATTGGGTGGACTTCCACCTCTGGTACCTCGAGCCCAGGCTGAATCCCCTGGCTTCTCGGTAATGGTTACCCTATTTGGGTCCGCAGACCAAACTGAGCACCACCATTTCCAACTCAGTCCCCTTGCCCTTATTACGCCACTCCTGCCTCGTACTCCTGGCCCAGATCGCCCCTTTTACGGGACCCTTTCAACTGCAGAGGCCGCCGTGTAAGTGATATCTAGTTTACCTCCCCTTCTCCCAGATCAGCTCTTGGAGAAACTCAACCGCTTCCGCGATTCGGGGCAGACCACAATAGCAGCTTGAGCAGGTAATTCACCCTGCTCCATTTCGGGCACCCACTGGCCTGGGCGCTGCTGGCAAAAAGGAGACGCAAGACACTGCCCAAGGGTTCAGTCACAGGAGCAGCGGCTTCTGCACTTAGGCATCTCGCTTCGACGTCCTGAACGTTGATGGGCCATCTTCCTGCTCCAAAAACCATGCCCGGATATACATGGGTAACCACCACTCGGAGGGTGGGTCGGTCGCCATACGCCATTTTATGTATATCCAAATAAAGAAATTAAATGAAGAAATTGAGGCAAGAATTCAAGACTGCAATGAGATGGCAGAAGCTAAAGAAAAAATGGAAAAGCAACTCAGTGAAGTTGTGACAGCTTTAGAGTTCGCAGAAGGAGAAGCCTCAAGATTTGAAATTGAAAGAAATTCACTTATTGATTATATTGAAGAGCACAAGAAAAAAGGAGACTTAGTAGCTGAAAATTTAAATGAGGTCGAAGAAAAGCATGCAGAGTTAAACGAACAATACCAAAAAATTGCTGACGAACATGAAAACCTGCATTTGACTAAAAAAGAAATAGAAGCTGAGTTAGAAAATAAAAAAAAAGAAATTGAAGACTATCTAAAAAAACTTGAGGAATTGCAGGAAAAATATATTAACTCAAAAGCAAAAATTGAGGAAAAAGATAAACAAATAATCCAGTTGAAAGATAATTTAAATAAGCAAACAGCTCGTAATAAGGAGCTTGAAGAAAGTAATTCAGATTTAAACAAGAAATTGAGAGAAAATGAACAAGAAATGGAAGACACCCTTGCAGAGCTTGAAGAAATAAAAAATCATGAAGCTCAGCTGGGAACTGAATTGAGCGAACTTAATGAGGACTTAAACAAAGCAGAGTCTGAGCTTAGAGAAGGTGAAGAGATAATAAAAGACTTAAGGAAAGAACTCGAAGACCAACTCACTCAAAACACAAACTTAAATTCAAATCTTGACTCAAACTCTAAACAAATCGAAGAATTAAACTCAGAAATTACAAAAGCCTGGACTACTCAAAAAGAAGCCTACCAAAGAGAGCAAAATCTCGTCAAAACCAATAACGAGCTATGCTCAAAACTCAGCGAAACTCAACAGAAAACTGAGCTTTTACAAGCAGAAATAGAAGAACTGAACTATGAGATAACTGAACTTAAAGAAAAATATGAAGAAGCATCAGTAGATTTAATTAATTTAAGAGAAATAAGAACCAAGCTAGAGCAAGAGCTTCAAAAAACAGAGCTTGAGCTTTCGAATGAAAAGTGCAATTCAAAATATTTCCAAGACGAAGTTGTTGCATTAAAAATCCGAATTGAAGATTTAAATTTAGCCTTGAAAATTGCTAATGAAAACTATCAAGACCGTGATGATAAATTGAGGATTTCTGGGTATAAAAATGATGAACTGAATGAAGAAATCAATAGAATCAAAGAAGAAGTCAAAGAAGAAAAAAGAGAAAAGCAAGGGGTTGAGGAGGCATTGAGAAAAGCACTGATTGATAATGAAAGGATTATTCAAGAAAAAACTATATTAGAAGAACAAATTGCTGAGTGTTGCAGATCATCTGGAGAGCTAATAGAGAAACTAAAAGAATGCGAATTTTCTAAAGATTTTAACGATTTCATATCATCGTGAAGCAAAATTCCATCAGATGTCCTTTCATTACAAAGACTAATTCAACTCTCTCTTATAAATCTCTTCCAGCTATATCAGCAAAATTCTAAATATTCTGAAGATTTACTAGTCATTAGCAGCAAGCTCCAATCATCTCTATCTGACTGTGATAATCTCGCAAAAGAAGAATCCTCCTTAAGGTCCCGAGAAGCATTCTTACGCAACCAAATCGAGCAAATTTATCAAGAAAATAGCAGAATCCGTGAAAGCTTGAACTCCCAAATCACAAGCCTTCACCAAGAAGTGATTTTCTTAAGATCTGAAATTCACAAGCTGCACGACGAAAACGAGTATTTAAATACTGAATTGCGCTCCAAGTCTCTCGAGTATTCCAAAGCCAAGCAGGCAGAGGAATATTATAAACACACTTTAGAAGAAAAAACTCGACTATATAATAAGCATAAAATAGACTTTGAAGAAATCATCAGGGAAATATGAAAGGCTAAAAGCATTGAATCTCAAAGGGTTTTCGAACAAATAATGAGAGTGAAAACTGAGCTAGAACACGCTGAAAATGACAAGTCAAGAATTTTGGAACAGATTTTGAAACTTACTGAAGACGGGGATGCACAGATAAGAGAAACTTTGAAAAAACAGGTAAATAGCTGTGATGAGCAGATTGAGACGAGAAAAGGTCTTATTAAAAGACTTGAAGATGAAATAAGAGGGTTAGAGTCTAAAAGTGGCAGCATAAAGCTTAATGGAGATAGAAGTAGAAGCTATATTCGTATAGAAGGCGAGATAGAGCCTTCTGAAATTAATCCAAAATCAAATGGCTCTACCTTTAGATCTCAAAGCAGTGAAGAGCAGGTAATTTAAATACTTAAAAAAAATTGAAGTAAATTAAAATTCTTTTTTAAAATAATATACTTAAACTTGACTAAAAAGAGAGTTAAGACATTTAGAGATATCTTAAAGATTTTAAAATATCTAATTTGAAGCCTATATAGCAAATCATACAAATGATGATTAAATTGAGACAATCAATATAATAATAAAATGGCATTTGGTTCGAGAGAAATTAGCTTTGCTAATTTTCTCTCCCTCATGGAATTTTATTATTAGGGTTAGGTTTTCACTCGCGAACTTCTGGACAGCAATAGCGGTTTAACTTTGGGGATAACCAAAGGAACCACTCCTCAGTCCACTCAAGATCTCGGGGCTTTTACCTCTCAGCACATCCCCACGGAGGATGACCCTTAGGAGGAACACGCGCAGGAGCTGAGTCGAGCGACAAAGGGCGACGGCAACGCGCCGGGTGAGACGTGCAGCAAGGCCGGTGAAGCAGGAGTTGATAGAAGGCTTGGACGGGGCTGACCCGTGCCAAGATGGCTCGCCTACGTCATCAGTTTTTGCCATAGGCCCTTTTGGGCTGCGGCACTAGACACCTTAAACATCAGATAATTAAGTAAGTAAGTAAGAGACAATCAATATAATCCCGATAAAGAAAATAATTTTAGATATAAAAACTTCAAATCGATTTTATTCTCAAGTGTCTTAATTCTTAAAGTTTGAGTAAAATTAAAGTCTTTGAATTAAAGCATTTCTACTGATTGTTGAGCTAGTCTTCTAACTCTTCTCCAATAATTAGCTCTATCATCTCTAAACTGGATTGCAGCATCCATATTAGCAGGACTGTCTAAATTAGGGTCATTCAGCATTGAAATGACTGATAGCAATATAGATTCCACTCCAAGAATAGGCCGCCATCTTTCAGCAGAACTTTCAAGAGAGTTAAAAACATCTTCCCCTGGAGGGTGCAATATCGAAATGCATACTCTTCCGTCCTTAAATATGTTTGGGTGCCACATTTCGCTTTTAAAAATCATTTCAGGCGGAGAGTTGGGGTAATCTTCTGGAAATCTCAAATTTGCCATGTAAAAGCCGCCTTCCCAAGGAGTATCTGTGGGGCCTGAAAAGCAGACTGTCCATATAAACCAATTATCGTCGACTAAGCCTACTGAAAACCCGCTGTCTTCATTTTGTGTGAGATCTCGGAATTCTCGCTGAAGACGGGCAATTGCAAAGGATTCTACCATTTATTAAATTTATTTTGGAAGAAATCAGGATAGAAATAGCTGCTGTGTGCTTGGAATAAATAGTTCTCAATAAAAAATGCGGCATATTGAAAATGAAGCAATAAAAATAATATTCTGGATAAATGCAATCAATTTTCTTTATATTAAATTTTACTGAATGTATTTTAAATTGACTTTAATATAAAACATTAAATGTCTATGGATGACTTCTGGCAGAAGGTTATTAAGGTACTTTCAGGCTCTGAAAAAGAAAGAAAAGATGCTATAGATGAGTTAGTGGTCCCTCCAGCTGAAGAATGGCAGAAACAAGTTGAGGATTGAAGAAATGAAATTCTTAAAGGGAGGAAAAAATTCCTTTTGGATTATTCATTAGAGCAAAGAAATGCTATATTCTTCTGCAGTGCAGCAGCAGTTTTTCTATTTTCAGGGGGAATATTTAGGAGATTTAGGAAAACGATAAGCTTTAGCATTATTGGAGGAATTTTTATTGTGCCTGAGCATTTTAGGCCTTATATTTAATGTTTAGTCTTACTTTATTTAAATAATTTAATGATTAAATATATTTTATGTATTTAAAGCCATGGCTTTATTATTTCTAGTATATAGATACATAAAAATGGTGATACAGGCCACCAGATCTCCTGACCCCTTTTCTGAACGCCAGCAGGCAGCGACTTAGTGTGAAGAAGAAGGTCAAAAAAGGCCGTAATCCTTTGTGTATGTCAGGCTAGGTTTTCTTCGCTAATCCCCAGGACTCTGAGTTTTTAACTCCTAGACTCGAATAGGGCCCAAGAGGTTACATCTGCCTAACGAGAAGAAACTGGAAGTTTCAACCCAGGTGAAGGGCGGTCCATAGATTTCGTGAATCATGGAAGTCAAGATCTGTTGTACTAATTCTTTTGCCCCGCGACGAGGAAGGGTCTGCCAGGATCCCTCTGGACAATGAGCATGCAGGGGTGGAAATCCCCGGCCTTTCTAAAACGAACTGCTACTTAATTAATAACTTCTAGTAGTAATTATCTAAAAAAATTATTATAAAGCTTTCTTATATAAATATTAATATTAACGATACCATAACTGCAAATTCAATCATAAAATGAAAATTTGGGTTTATTTATATATAAAATAAGTTTAATTACTGCGCGCTTGGCATATTATTTTATGGCTGATACAGACGAGCCCTCAAATCTTCGTGCAAATTCTTTTCTCCCCTCTCATTCCATATTTCAATTATGCTGTATTTGATTAACATAAAACCAGACACAAAGCCCCCAAATGATAGGTTTTATATAAGAGTTTAAAATATTTGATATATTTTAAAACCATTCAATCTAAAGCTCTATAGAAGTTTTTTTGCATCTTCAGAGTTCAATTCCAAGGCTTTTTCAGTTAGATTTGTAAGCCAGTCTAAATTATTTGCTTCTTGGGCTTTATGTATGTTAATAACGAGCCATGCGTTATTATCCGCGTTTGCTGGCGAAAACATTATGTTTGGGCTATTATAAATTTCATCACTGCTGTCTAAGCCTTCCTTTCATCCTTTGCCAAGCTTATTATACAGTTTTTCCATTTCTAAGTCGTCAATTCCTATCTGTCGCTTTCCAACTCCTTTCCCAATATAATTAAAACCAGAATTAAACGGTGTTGTATTGTATCTGCCTAAAATCCATCTCAAAATATACAATTTAAGCAGAATTCTTCGTTTTACAGGACTCATTAATATTTGTTCTTTCCATCTTCGATTTATTACAGTGACTAATAAGCCATAGTTTTCTTCTAATCTTTTGCAAGGAAGAAGTGTCTGATTCACCACTTTTTGTTTCAGGAAATCCAGAATATCAAGCTGCTCTAAGACAGTATATTGTAATGGGTGATTTTCATTATAAAGTAAGTTGTAATGCTCTCTCAATATTTTTATCATCCCATTTATAGGTTCAGTTTTAACGAACTGGTAGTTTGATTTTGCTCGTAAAATTAAAATCATTTTTTGGGCATTTCTTAAGTCTGCTAAAAGAAATCTATACCCCAAAGCGAGATTTTTGACAGTTTTCAGGTGGACTGGCCATTGAAACCTGAATAAAATAAATAGTCCCATTAAGAAGGCAAGGAGAATTGCTGATGTTACGTTGACTGCGATCATTAGAGAAGTCATATTCGAGTCCACAAGTGCTTCTGCGTCATAATTTGCAGCTTTGAGGTATCCTAAGAACATATTTGCTGAAATAATCCACAGACCCAGAAAATAAAGGAAGCTTGAACTCATACAACGGTAAACTGGGAAAATTGTTGTATACAAAGCAAAAATAGCACATATTAGTGTTAGGACCAGCATTTTTGTTCCTTGATAAGAGTTTAAGATCCCATGAACAATCACCAAAGACAGCACAAAAAGCTCATAAATCGGTCTATGGTAAACTCTCAATCGATTTCTTCTATAAGAACTAAATAAATATTGTCTTTCAGTCAGCCAGGCATGGGAAATTTGCAAAACATATTCCATTTCTTTTTGTTTCACAAAATCTTCGTGGGCTTCCGGATCATCTGTAATTAAATGCTTTTGAATATAAAATGCCATATATATAGGCATCCCAAGCAAAAAAAGAACAGTTACACAAAAGCTTAAAATGCTCATGATAAGTTGGGAAACGGCACTAGTGTCCCAGCAGTTATCATATTGGCAAAAAGCAGCTGGTAAGAGCCCCAGAGCTATTGGGAGATAAAGAACATGTGCCAATATAAGGTAATACCTTTCAAATCATATTCTCCAGAGCACTGGCAATGGAATGACAAATTTGAAAAGAAAATATAAGCCGATCAAGCTGCCTGAAACAATCAACCATAAATATGAATAAATTACCCTTGTAGTTGAATCTTCTATAATATCACTGTAAAACAATGTTCCGAAATCAGCTGCAAATATTACAGAGATCAGGCTGTCATTTATCATGCCTTGCCAATGAAGAGGCCAGACCTCATAGTTTGCAGCGAAAGAGAATACAAAAAGTTGAGCAATTTCTAACCAAATCATGAGCTTTTCACCCCAAAAGTTCGATATTACTAATCCGCCTCTCCCCCTCTGTGAGCGACAAAAAAATCTTGTTCGCTCACAGATTTTTATTTAAAAAAAAAATTTATATATATATATATAATTTTAAAAGAATTTGTTTTTTTTTCGAAAATTGGAAGGCAAATATTAATTTAATTTTGTAAAGCGCAATTTGTCTAAAATTAAACAGAATTAGCTCGAAATTTCATGATACTAGTTATCACTTATATATCAAAATTTTTTCCCATAAAAAATTTTTGTTTGCTCGCGGAGGATGGGTTTTTGGGCAAAAATAAGGATTTTTTCTAATGGTTTTGTTCACTCACTGAGGGTGGGAGTAAAGATTTATACCAGGCTTTGGTTTCTCCAAGATCGAATAGTAGCTTGAAGACTTCGAGTGCCTCCTTATCTGAGGTTTCTGCTTGTTTTGACATTAAAAAATGGAAACAACTGAGAAATTTGGCAAGGAATTTTATCAAGTTGAAGGGAAAAAAATAAAAACAAAAATTTTTCAAAAGCAAGAAGCTTAAAATTAATTCAAGAAAATCATCAGATTAAGATAAAAATAGCTAAATAGGTTACTTGAAACTGCTATGAAATTTTAGGTTTTAGACATCTCATTTCAAAAAAATATGAAAAACCTTCATTTTTTGAAAATTTGTATAAACAATAGAATTTTCAAGGACTATAAATTGAAGTATTGACTATAGATTTTGAATTTGTTTGAAAGAACTTTCATAATACCGAATAATTTTCCAATTCAAAACTATTTCATAAAGTATAAGCAAAAAATATTTAGATAAAGAGAAGTCCAAAGCCAATATTTTCTCTCCTGCAATAATCTGGTTTTTAATGCATCAAATTTGTTTTTAAACACCAATATACATGGCAACAAAAATCTTTATTAATTAAATGCCATTAATGAAGCGACAACAAATAAGCGATCAAGAAATTCATTCCAACAAACTTTTTCCAATAGTCTTATCTCCATTACAATCTCCTACAGGGAACTCAACATCTCGGAACTCTTGCTATTCCGTAACAGACTTTTCTAACTTTACTATACATACTCGAAGAAGCTCATTTATTCCTTTTATCCATGAAAGAGGTGACACAGGAAAACTATTATCATTAGATCCCGATCCTCCATGCTTAACATTATCTTCCCGTGCCAGCCCAGAACCAGTTTTACTTTCCCACAAAAAAAAGCCTCAGAAGAAAGTTGCATTTTTAAGCTCTTCAGTCAAAACCTTAGCAAGAACAAAGCGGAAGCGCGTTAATGTTCCTGAAGTAGGATATTATAATCCAAAGCCAGCATATGAAATCGGCAGCAAACACAAAATTTATTTACCAGATGTTCCAACCAAGAGAAATAACCTTGAATCTCGAAAAGGATTTTCTACTGATTATTTAGACATGGATGCAATACATGAGCACCTTCATGGACATCATGGAACTCTTAGTATGGACAAGCGATTACGATTAGATTAGATATTTAAAGTGGCAGTGCCCACTCTCAATAAGGATCAACTCGACTCTTGGCCTCGCAGGCCATTCTGTCACTTTAAATGGCGCACCATATGGGCAGACATTCCTTTATTTTGTTCATCGATTAGACCGTACTTCTCACCCTGCGTGCTGCCGTCTCTCTATAAGACCCAACTCTTATGCGTGCTCCACCTGAGAGGGTCACTCTCCTCAGGTGTGATGAGTGTAGAAACCTTACACCTCTTGAATGCACTGAGGAGCAGCTCCTCTAGGCTTATTTAACTAAAGTTGGACAGCTGTTGCTGTGCATAAATTCTTTACTCTCCCCCCCCCCCCTCCGTGAGCGAACAAAACCATTAGAAAAATCGCCATTTTTTTGACCCAAAAAACCCACCCTCCGTGAGTGAACAAAAATTTTTTAATAGAAAAAATTTTAATGGAAAAAAATTTTGATATATAAGTGATAATTAGTATAATGAAATCTAGAGCTAATTCTGTTTAATTTTAAACAAATTGCGTTTTTAAAACATAAATTTTGCAAATTAAATTAATATTTGCTTCCCAATTTTTGCAAATTAGGATTTTTTTAAATTTCGAAAAAAATATTTTTTATAAAATTTATATATAAATTTTTTTTTAAAAAAAAAAAAATTAACCCCCCTCCGTGAGCGAACAAAATTTTTTTTGTTCGCTCACGGAGGGGGGGGGGAGTTAGGTAAAACCAAACCCATAAATAAAATATCTTGAAAACTAATCTCTCTAAAAAAATACCATTTTTGTTTATCCTTTTTATGGACAAGCAACTTGCCAGGACTAAAACAAAAGAGGACTTTGACCTTGAAGAAAAACTGCTAACTCCCCCCCCCCCCTCCGTGAGCGAACAAAAAAAATTTTGTTCGCTCACGGAGGGGGGTTAATTTTTTTTTTTAAAAAAAAATTTATATATAAAATTTTATAAAAAATATTTTTTTCGAAATTTAAAAAAATCCTAATTTGCAAAAATTGGGAAGCAAATATTAATTTAATTAATTTGCAAAATTTATGTTTTAAAACGCAATTTGTTTAAAATTAAACAGAATTAGCTCTAGATTTCATTATACTAATTATCACTTATATATCAAAATTTTTTTCCATTAAAATTTTTTCTATTAAAAAAATTTTTGTTCACTCACGGAGGGTGGGTTTTTGGTCAAAAAATGGCGATTTTTCTAATGGTTTTGTTCGCTCACGGAGGGGGGGGGGGGGAGTAAGGAGCGCAAAATTAGAGCTTCCTGATCACTTAAAACAATTTAAAGGTCTTTATCATGTCGGCAAATTTTCTTCACAAAAAATCGATAATTTTCCGAAAAATTTTATGGACGTGGCGAAAGACTTAAATGAAAATATAGCGAAAAGGATGGAAGAGCTGAAAAATATCGGAAAACAAATGAAAGTTCGTGCTTATAGATAATTTTAAATTAATAATTAAGGGATTGAGTTTTTTTGAGTTTGGATTATAACTGTTTTTGATTCTAAATAATTCTGGAGCCCTTCTTCACCTAGTTCTCTGCCAATTCCAGACTCTTTATATCCACCAAAAGGAGTATTTTCAGTTGTAACTCCATAGCAGTTAACATAAACAGTTCCTGCTTTTAGCTCATTAGTGACTCTTAAAGCTTTATCAATATCACGTGTGAGAGCTCATCCAGCAAGCCCATAGCGGGTTTTATTGGCTCTTTCTAACACTTCTTCAATCGTTTTAAATTTCATAATACACATGACTGGGCCAAAAATTTCTTCTTTAGCAATTGAAAAATTTAATATTCAGCAAGAGATCTAATTATTAATTATTGTATATATCAAATTATTATTGGTATTAAAATTTTTTGCTCCTACGAAGTGGGTTAATTTCCATAAATAAGGATATTTCTAACGGTTTTGTTCACTCACCAATTGAGAGAAGTTAGCAATTTGTCATATAATCAGTTACATCAACAAACACAGTTGGTTGTATGAAATAGCCTGTCTTCCCAGCTCTCTTCCCTCCTGTTAAAATTGTTGCACCCTCTGTTTTTCCTTTTTCTATAAATGCTAGTACTTTATTAAATTGCACATCATCAACCATAGGTCCATGTTCTGTTTTTTCTTTTAATGGGTCCCCAATAATTCTCCTTTCTGCATTTTTAACTGATTTCTCGACGAGCTCATCATAAATTTTTTCTTGGACAAAGATTCGTGATGCAGCGTTACAACATTGGCCTTGATTAAAAAAAATCCATTGTGAGCAATTGCTACAGCATTATTTATATTGGCATCATCAAATATAATTTGAGGACTTTTGCCACCAAGTTCAAGAGAAACCCGCTTTAAGCCGGAATTTCTGATATTTTTTATACTTTTTGTCTATAAATTGTGTATAATATAAAATAAATTATCAAAGATTGAATATCTATTATATCTGAAAATTCACTTAAAAAGGCCATATTATTTTATGGCCAATTTCTGTTGATCCAGTAAACACAATTTTATCAACATCTGGATGCAATACAAGAGACTCTCCAGTTTCTCCAAATCCTGTCAATATATTTACTACACCTGGAGGAAAGCCTGCTTCAACTATTAATTCTCCTATTAGCAATGCAGTGAGTGGCGTTTGTTCTGCAGGCTTTAATATAACTGTGCAGCCAGCTGCCAATGCATGAGATAGTTTTCATGCTTGCATTAATATCGGGAAATTTCATGGTATTATTTGTGCAACAGCTCCTACCGGTTCTTTTCTCGTATAGCAGGCATAATTTCCATGAATTGGAATTGTATTGCCCTTTATATTGTTAGCAAGTCCAGCATAATATCTATATGTGTCAACAGATAAAGGGATATCAATATTCATCACATTATGGATAGGCTTGCCGTTATCAATAGTTTCTACGTGGGCCAAATCCTTGGCGTGCTTTTCAATTAGGTCTGCTAGCTTAATTAGCAGCTTTCCTCTATCTCTACCACTCATAAATCTTCAAGGACCTCTATCAAATGCCGATCTCGCAGCTGAAACTGCATCGGCAACATCATTGTCTCCAGCAAGCTGCACATCAGCTATTCGTTCCTCGGTTGTTGGATTGAATGCTGGAAAAGTTGCGCGATTGGTTGAATTTACAAATTTGTTATTTATGAGTAAGCTGGTTTGAAGGTGGAATGCGAAATTTCTGTGAAGTTTTCGTAGCATATTAAATGATTGGATTATATTTTGTATTAAAATGGTTTGGTCAGAAATAGAAATCTAATAGTGTCACATTAATAGCTAAGAATGCTTGAATTTTTATTGCTTAAAAATATATTAAATTCTATTGATTTTAGCAGCATGCGCTATATATTGAAAAGAAATAGGCTAAGCTTTAAAGTTTATTTATTTTATAATATTTAATCACTATCGAGGTTGAAAATGTGAATTTGATTGTAAAAGTATTGAAATTATGCTGAGCTGAACCTCTCTAAATAAATTCTAAAAATGAAGATATTAATGTTTAAACGAATTGAATTATAAATCTTCATTAAGATTAATAATTACGGGAGAGTATCATTTGAGGTCTTCACAATAACCGTCTTACTTTCCAAATAATTTTCGAGCCCTTGTTCTCCTAGTTCTCTTCCGACTCCGGAATTCTTATATCCTCCGAAAGGTGTATTCTCACGGAAAACATCATAGCAGTTTACATAAACGGTGCCAGTTCTTAATGAATTAGTGATTTTAAGCGCTTTTTCAATATCTCTTGTATGCACGCCTGCTCCAAGCCCATATTGAGAATTGTTTGCTCTTTGGATGAATTCTTCATATATAAATTAAATGATGTGCAGAGCCAGCGCTCTTAAGACCTTAGCCAGATAAGCCTCACCTTGTGAATGTGAGGACATCATTTGGAAATGTTTGTCCAGCAAGGCTTTACGGATTTGGTGGTATGCAAAGTTGGGATTTGGTGACCCTTGTTCATTTTCAGATCAGGCAAATACTTTGTGGGAGATGGCTCGTCAGAGTTGGAAAGGGACGCCGAGGTGATCACTTGCCAATTGGGCAATTTTTTCCGTGATACCAGGCGTTGCGTCCTAGGTTTGACTTCCATTTCGTTTGGCGTATAATATAGTAATCCAGATATATCTGGCTTTTGGGTAGTGATGCAAACCTTCCTCTTTGAGAATTAGCACAGCGAAAGGCCTTACTCATGGTGGCAAGCAAGGGTGGAGCTTTATGCGTAGGTGAATAGTGGCCAGCAGGCCTCAGGGAGTTTTTTATATAATCTTAACTTAACTATGACTTCATCAATAGTTTTGAATTTTAAGATGTTCATGACAGGTCCGAAAATTTCTTCTCTAGCAATAGTCATATTATCAGTGACATCAGCAAAAATAGTATTCTTTTATATGCTCATTATCAGTATTCATAATTGTTACTCCGACTCCGTGAGCTGGCCAAGTTCTTGCTAACAAAATTTATCGTTTAAAATTATTATTTTTGAATTTCAAAAAATCTGCATGCCTAAATATTTGAGAGTAAAGCTATAATAATATATTTATAAAACTTGTATTTTAGAATGACGAACTGTTTAAATTTTAATAGTTTTTTAATAATCACTTATCGATTATAAATCAAAATATTTGCTTGCTCAATGTGGGTTGCTAATTTCACAAAAAAGTTCTGCTCACTCAAGAAGGGGGATTAGTAAAAAACCTTATATTTTGTTATAAAATGGAATAGGCTCAATGAAATATCCTTTTAGGTGAAGTGAAAAAAAATTTGCCTAATCTGCAAATCTTTTTACGTAGAAATTTATTGATATGGTGAAAATTCAACAGTAAAATAAAATTGTTTAAGAAAAAAATTCATGATCAAAAATCATGTTACAAATAAAAAAATTTAAAATATAAGGCTAGAAATAAAATTTATATTTCAGTCTAAAAATTAAAATTTAAAATCATAATTAAATTCTGCAAAACACCTCAAAGAAGTTCTTTCCCCCTCACCCATCCTTTCTTTCCCCATCTGTTTCCTCCAAGTAATAATTTTGCACCTTCTTGCTTCCCTTTAGTAATATACCCAAGAATTTTTTTAAATTGAACATGATCGATCTGAGGACCTTGAGTAGTCTTCGGATCTAGTGGATCTCCAAGAACTCTTGTTTTGGCACTCTCAACAATTTTTTCAAGGAATTTCTCGTATATTGATTCTTGTACAAAAAGTCTTGACCCAGCAATGCAGCATTGCCCTTGATTTAAGAATAGTCCAATATGTGCTTGAGCAATAGCACAATCCATATCAGCATCATCAAGTACAATATTAGGGCTTTTCCCTCCTAATTCTAAGGTAACTCTTTTTAGATTGCCAGTTGAAGCATTCCTCATAATTTCAAGGCCTACTTCTGTTGACCCTGTAAAGGCAATTTTATCAATATCAGGGTGAACTACCATTGCTGCTCCAGCATCACCATAACCTGGCAAAATATTCACAACTCCTTCAGGGGTGGTGTATGATTGACTCCATTTTTTTATAATTTTTTTATAATTTATTTATTAGGAAAATTTAGTAATGTTTTTCCTCCAAAAAAAGTCTTACAATTAAAATTTTAGTCAAATTGCCACATATGTGTGTATTGATACTAAAGAATGCCGAGCGAAACAACATCTAACCCTTCAGGGAAACCTGCCTCGACAATTAACTCGCCAACTTTCAGGGCAGATAAAGGAGTCAGTTCGGCTGGCTTAAGAATAACAGTACAGCCTGCTGCTAGGGCAGGGCCTAATTTCCAAGATTGCATAAGCAGTGGGAAGTTCCACGGGATAATTTGTCCAGCCACACCTTTTGGTTCTTTTCTAGTATAACAGAGGTAAGGACCTGTAATCGGAATATTCGATCCTCGAATATTGTTAGCAGCTCCTGCATAATATTCGTAACATTGAATAGCTAACGGGACGTCAATATTTTTAGAATCGCTGATTGGCTTTCCATTGTCAATTGTTTCCAATTTTGCCAAGTCGTCCTGATGCTTAGTCATTAAGTGGGCGAGATTATGGAGGAGAGCGCCTCTTTCCCTTCCACTCATTCTGCGCCATGGTCCGTTGTCAAAAGCGTTTCTTGCTGCTTTGACAGCCTTGTTGACGTCTTCTTCATTGGATCTCTGGACTTCAGCAATCACTTCTTCGGTTGCAGGGTTGATCGTTTGGAAAGTGCTATGCGAGCTAGACTTAACCCACTGATTGTTTATGAGAAGATGGGTTTGATACCTCGATGAAAACCTTCTTGCAAGATTGTTGAGCATTTTATAGCAATGGTTATGGTCGATCAAAATATCGACAAAGAAATGGAGCTTTACATGTGGATAGCGAGGAAAAAATTTAATCAAAAAAAGTGATTGAAATTATGCAAATCAAACGTTTTACTTGATAATTTTGTTTAAAAAAATTTAACATTAACAATGGCAGCTGATATTGGAGAAAGCTTCATTTTTTAAAGGAAATTAAAAAAAATGATGATGAGTTACAAATTCTCTAACAATTAAAAAATTAAAAAATATTTAAACAATACAAATCTAAAGTATAGATAAAACAATCTGCATGCAATAGAGCATATCAATAAATTTATAAATATATACATACAATTTACTTTAATTTCAATTAAAAGTTGCAGCTAAATACTTCAGCACTTTCTAAAATATGCTTTGTGATTTGCTAAGACTTTTTCCAGCTTTTCCATTCATATAATATATAATGATTTTGTAACTAGCTATCACTTTTCAGGTCTTTCTTGGTCAAAACAATATATCTCAAATAATATATAGCTATAAAAATTTATGGAGAATTAGCTTAACAATTTTATGGACAAGCTAACTTCCCAATTTTACTTTAAAAATACTTTATGTACGACAAAAGAGATAGAGTTTACAATATCTTAGATTTTTTATTTTTAAAATATTTATTATTAGATATTTTACGGCTGCGGGCACAGCATTCCCCTTGCTTTTAATCCTAAAATTCCAAACAAAACAAAAAATTTTCCTATAATTATTCCATCAGCAATAATTTAACTAAATGGCAGATCCTAAAAAAGTTAATCCTGCTAATACATCCCTCATCTCCCATACATCAACAACCTCGAATCCTACAGAAAGTTTAGCTGACAACCCTTCCCAAAGCGCCAACAGAGTGCTACAAGAATTAAGAGAAAAGTTCAATATTTACCATGATATTGCCAATTCAGATAAAGAAATCATCTTGCAAAGCCTCGAAAAGCTCAGCAAAACTGAAAGCACTGGATCTGATTTCTATGCTTTAAAATACATAGAAATCGGCAAAGCCTGTGACTGAATCGAAACCAGAAAAGATGCTTTAGGAAAGGCGGAATTTGTAGAAAGCACAGTCATAAGCGAAGATAGAGAAACAACAAAAAAAATGCTTGGATTTATTAACAAAATGAATATTAGCAGTGAAATTATAAAACAGAGAGTTGAAAAACTAATCGCTCTATTTGGCCATAAAGACCAAGCCCTTCCAACTCCTTCAATTCCTTCTGAAGAAGAAAAAGGCAAAGCATTTATAATAAACCCTCATACAGAAATCGATTTCAATCGAGATCGCCCAATTTACTGTAACCGAATAGGTATGATTATTGATGAGATCATATGGAAAGGGAAAATTAAAAGCACTGGGGCTGAGGTTTCCATTAAAATTTATAGAAGTAAAAACGAAGAAGAAGTAAGGAAATATGAAAGGGAAGGCAAAATTATGCAATTTCTGCACAGAAGGCACCCAGTCTTCTTAGACTATTATGGGATGTTTTATGAAAGTATAATGGAAGGGATTGAGCAGTATCATCTTTTGTATCTAGTTACGGAGTATTGTGAATGCTCTCTCATGGATGATATGTCGCTCCGCACTCAATTTCAGCAATATTATATAAACGATGGCAGCTATTATACAATTGTTCTAAGCCTTTTAGAAGGTTTCATAATACTTGAAGAATTAAAAATTTATCATCAAAACATAAAGCCTCATAATATTTTTCTTGCTAAAACTGGGCAACTCAAAATCGCAGACTTCAGTAATTCAACATTTGACGAAGCCCCAGAATCTACATGTACGAATAAGCGTCTACATGCTATAAAAGGAACAAAAATTTATATGGCCCCAGAGCTTCAAACTGCAATGGATAGGATTATAACTGAACCTAAAGCTCCAAGGTACATAAAATATAAGCGTAGAAAAGCTGATGTTTATTCTTTAGGATTGACATTCCTGCAGCTTTACTTTTTCATGCCTGTCACAGATATTAATAGATGCACTGATCAAGATTATATGAATAACTACTTGTATCGGCTTCAACCTCCTCACGTTGCTATTATGCTAAAAGGGATGCTTGCCTTTGATCCGAAATTTAGGTTTAGCTTTAAAAATGCGATAGCTGCAGTTCCGACCTCTTATAGCAGCCAAGACTTTTCAGATGACGACTATCCCATCAGCAATTTCAGCTACAAACTCAGAAAAAACTCCACCAGCAATCTGAACACTAGTTAGAGAGCCAAAAAAAATTCCTAACTTACCAAAAAGAGGTAATTAAAACGTTTTAACCATAGCAATTGCTAGCTTAGTTATGTTTTATATTTTAATTGGGAAATAAAAAAGGTAGCAAAATTTTTTAGTCTTCCTAATATCTTTTGCAATAAATTTATGATATTCAGATATTTTTCTATTAGCTATGATATTTTATTTTATAGCTGTTTAAGACAAAAATTATTAAAATGTTTCCTCTTCTTCTAGGTAATAAAAAGATCGTTTGGCTTCAATCATTTCACTTTCTATAAGAATTGCCTCGATTCTATTTGTTTTCTTTTTAATGTTTTTGATAAGCTGGAATCCGCCGCCATAAACTCCAAAGGCAAGCATATATATAAACACCACAAAGCCTATAATTGCTTCTGAATCTTGAAATTCCATATGGTCTCGCAAATACCCAGATATTGGTGGACCTGCAGCTCTCCCAGATCACACACCTAAAGCTAAGAGAGCAGACAATTTATCTAATACATGTGATTTTTCTAAATATGGCGCCTTCATAAAAGCATCAGCAGCCATGTCAGGCAAAAAGCTAACCATTCCGAATAATAACCCTACCCCAATAAGGGCAAGTGATAATGATAAATTTGCAAAATTAGGAGGTATATGCAAAACTGATATCGGCCCTATTGCAAATAAAGAAAATGCTAAAATAAGTAAATTTAACAGTATGAGCACTTTGTACTTTAAAACTCCTTTAAATCGACTTAAGATCAAAATAGAAACTGTAAAGCATGATGTAGTAATACAGAAGAAAAACCCAACATTTGCATCGCTTACAGAGAAATTACTTGTGATAAAATTGCTCAATGTCGGATCAATTGAAGAGCTTGCAAAATAAGCAATAAATATACTAATGAAATCCATTAGCGTAGTCCTCATTTTTAAAATTGCATTTCATGATACAGGGATAGGTGGATTTTCATAGCCCAAGGAGAATCCTTTGGGACAGACTAAAATATCAGCGGTATCATCAATAATAAAAATACTGAATAAGTTAAAAAAATGCAGTAAATTCCCCAATTCGATATCGCGCAGACCTACGGACCCTGAAAGGCAATTTTATCAATATCGGGTTGAACTACCATTGCGGCTCCAGCATCACCATAGAGGAAAATTGAAAAGTGGGACTCCCCATTTATCTATATAGCTATAAAAATTTATGCAGAATTGGCTTAAAAATTTTCTGGACCAGCTAACTTCCCAATTTTACTTTAAAAATACTTTATGCGCAACACAAACAAAATAAAAAAATTTCCTTTAACTATTCCATCAGCAATAATTTAACTAAATGGCAGATCCTAAAAAAGTTAATCCTGCTAATACATCCCTCATCTCCCATACATCAACAACCTCGAATCCTACAGAAAGTTTAGCTGACAACCCTTCCCAAAGCGCCAGCAGAGTGCTACAAGAATTCAGAGAAAAGTTCAATATTTACCATGATATTGCCAATTCAGATAAAGAAGTAATCTTGCAAAGCCTCGAAAAGCTCAGCAAACTTGAAAGCACTGGATCTGATTTCTGTGCTTTAAAATACATAGTAATCGGCAAAGCCTGTGACTGGATCGAAACCAGAAACGATGCTTTAGGAAAGGCGGAATTTGTAGAAAGCACAGTCATAAGCGAAGATAGAGAAACGACAAAAATGATGCTTGGATTTATTAGCAAAATGAATATTAGCAGTGAAATTATAAAACAGAGAGTTGAAAATCTAATCCCTCTATTTGGCCATAAAGACCAAGCCCTTCCAACTCCTTCAATTCCTTCTGAAGAAGAAAAAGGCAAAGCATTTATAATAAACCCTCATACAGAAATCAATATCAATCGAGATTATCCAATTTACTGTAAGCAAAGAGGTATTATTAAAAAGATCATATGGAAAGGGAAAATTAAAAGCACTGGGGCTGAGGTTGCCATTAAAATTTATAGAAGTAAAAACGAAGAAGAAGTAAGGAAATATGAAAGGGAAGGCAAAATTATGCAATTTCTGCACAGAAGGCACCCAGTCTTCTTAGACTATTATGGGATGTTTTATGAAAGTATAATGGAAGACAGTGAGCAGTATCATCTTTTGTATCTAGTAATGGAGCTTTGTGAACGCTCTCTCATGGATAATATTTCACTCCGCATTGAATCTCAGCAATATTATATAAGCGACAACAGCTATGATACAATGGTTCAAAGCCTTTTAGAGGGCTTCATAATACTTGAAGAATTAAAAATTTATCATCAAAACATAAAGCCTGATAATATTTTTCTAGCTAAAACTGGGCAACTCAAAATCGCAGATTTCTGTGTTTCAGCATTTGTCGAAGTCCCAGAATCTGCATGTGCGAATAAGTGTCTACATGCTATAATAGGAACAGAAAGTTATATGGCTCCAGAGCTTCAAACTGCAATTGATAAGATGAGAATTGATCATACAGCTTCAAGGAACATACAATATAAGCGTGGAAAAGCTGATGCTTATTCTTTAGGATTGACATTCCTGCAGCTTTACTCTTTGCAGCCTGTCAGAGGTATTAATAGATGCCCTAATCAAGATTATATAAATAGCTACTTGGATCAGTTTCAACATCCTAAAGTTGCTAATATGCTAAAAGGGATGCTTACCATTGATCCAAAAAAGAGGTTTAGCTTTAAAAAGGCGATAGCTACTTTTCAGACCTCTTATGGCAGCCAAGACTTTACATGTGACTGCTAATTAGAGAGCCAAAAAAACCTAACTTACCAAAAAGAGGTAATTAAAACGTTTTACCATAGCAATACTAGCATTAATGTTTTATATTTTAATTGGGAAATAGAAAAGGTAGCAAAATCTTTTTTAGTTTTTTGCAATAAATTTATGATATTCAGATATTTTTCTATTAGCTATGATATGTTATTTTATAGCTGTTTAAGACAAAAATTATTAAAATGTTTCCTCTTCTTCTAGGTAATAAAAAGATCGTTTGGCTTCAATCATTTCACTTTCTATAAGAATTGCCTCGATTCTATTTGCTTTCTTTTTAATGTTTTTGATAAGCTGGAATCCTCCACCATAAATTCCAAATGCAAACATATATATAAACACCACAAAGCCTATAATTGCTTCTGAATCTTGAAATTCCATATGGTCTCGCAAATACCCAGATATTGGTGGACCTGCAGCTCTCCCAGATCATACACCTAAAGCTAAGAGAGCAGACAATTTATCTAATACATGTGATTTTTCTAAATATGGCGCCTTCATAAAAGCATCAGCAGCCATGTCAGGCAAAAAGCTAACCATTCCGAATGATAACCCTATCCCAATTAAAGCAAGTGATAATGATAGATTTGCAAAATTCGGAGGTATATGCAAAACTGATATCGGCCCTATTGCAAATAAAGAAAATGCTAAAATAAGTAAATTTAACAGTATGAGCACTTTGTACTTTAAAACTCCTTTAAATCGACTTAAGATCAAAATAGAAACTGTAAAGCATGATGTAGTAATACAGAAGAAAAACCCAACATTTGCATCGCTTATAGAGAAATTATTTGTGATAAAATTGCTCAATGTCGGATCAATTGAAGAGCTTGCAAAATAAGCAATAAATATACTAATGAAATCCATTAGCGTAGTCCTCATTTTTAAAATTGCATTTCATGATACAGGGATAGGTGGATTTTCATAAGGAGAATCCTTTGGGACAGACCAAAATATCAGCGGTATCATCAATAATAAAAATACTGAATAAGTTAGAAAAATAGCAGTAAATTCCCCAATTCGATATAGCACAGATCCAATTATCGGCCCAAGAATTAAACTAATTCCTATAACTGCTTGTTGCATGCCAATAACCTGAGAGATTTTGTCTTTATATGCATTTGTAAGGATTCCTAGTGACATAGCGCTTATCCCAGCTGATGAAAATCCTTCGATGCATCTAATGATTATTCCTATCACTATGAATGATGTCGTATCATATTCTGGCAAGGTTGAAAGAATTGCTATATTCAAAACCTATATTTTTTTTACTTCAAATCCAATACAAGTAAGGAGGATTTTCTTTCGGCCTATTTTCGCCATAAGAGTGCCATAGATGGGCAAGCAGAGACAGGCTGCTAAAGGAGTAGATGCAATAATTATTCCAGTATCTCAGCTTGAAAGACCTTTATGGCTAGCCAGTCTGGGAAGATAAGGTGCAATATTTGAATTCGACGAATTTATTACGAATTCTAAAGCTAAAACTCCTATAAGTGTTCATTCTGGCATTTTGCTATTATTTCTTTTGATTAATTTTTAGTTTATTGAAGTAAAATAGTAAGTAAAGAAATTTATAAAAAGCATTGGAATGCTCTTATGAAAAACCTCTACTCATTTAGATAATAATTGTCTCAGATTTGATAAAATGAAGAAGATTATATAATTGCATGAAATAGTAGAGGGCGATAACAGATTAAATTCAAAATTTCTAATATTCTGATTAGTGGTTTATATTTCTCTCTTAATTTCTCTATATCTTAATTAATATAGGTTTAGACATTTACTCATCGGAGGATTAAAGCAAGGAGAATTTGTGATTTCTCCTAGCAAAATTATATGATTTGCTATGCTTATCTCGAAACCTATAATAATTTTCCTGATACTCCTTATATTTTCGATTAAATATCATCAATAAGAGTCAACTCAGCATTTGTCTTTATATAATAAATTTCACTGTTATATAATACTCTTCATCTATGAAGAAAATCCTTAAATCTCACTCAATACATTATCATTTCTCTCCTCATCAAGACTTAATTGAGCCAGATTCCGAAGAAACTCCAAACTACCAAGAAGAACTTGACGAAGGCTGCTATGCCGATTCCGAATTATCTGATAGTGACATTATCAGCCCTCAAACTTCTTTTTTGCATAAAAACACTAGCTCAATCGGCAATGGGCTGTCCAAAAGCTTTCAAGATGACGTAGACATTCAAATTCACTTAATCCAAAGTCAGCACAAAAAGCGAGAAGATTATGATCGCAGACTGCGAGTCTTGCTGAAAAAATCGCTATTAGATTTATTTTTTAAATTCAAAGCACAAAAATGAACTCCAATGCCTGAAGTGATTGAAGAAAGAAGCAGCGAAGAACAAAGTCCAATCCGAGCTTTAGGTAAAGATGAGCCTGATCCAGCCTATTTAAGACTAGAGTTTTCGGAAGATAAAGCGAAAAGGCCAAATTTAAGAATCCATAGAAGGTCTTTGTCTACTCCTGAACCTATCACTGATGATGAAATCAGGCATTGCCAAGAAATTGCTGAAGAGGTTACGTAAGGGCTAAATAGGGAAATAGAGAAGTCGAGAATAATCCCTAGATTAAAAGAGAAGCTGTCTCCTGGAACACCTACATATGCAAAAGTGAATATCCTCAATTATTCAACATTAAACTAAACTGTAAATTTTTAATTTTTATATTCAAATATTCTGAGCAGAACGAAGTAAATTCTTCAACGTATAAGAATCAAGCTTCTTTAATATACAAAAATATAATAATTTTGGATTTAAAAAGGAGATATTAGGCTCATTTAGCAGTCTAAAACCCAACAGATCTTATAAGGCTATTTTTAATGCCAATAGCTTCTGATTCTCTTTATAAAGCACCTCAGAATTGTATCCACAATTTCATTGCTTTTATTTTTATAATTTCTTCCTATTAAATGTTGCATAAATTAAAAGCCGAAGATGGATTCCAGTGAAGAATTTGCAGGAACATTTTACAGCAACTTGCGCTCACTCATAACCCTCGTAGATCATTTGAGAGATGCTGGACTTCAAAAATACATTCGGCTTCCTAGAATAGTTACCTTGGGACTCCAGAGCAGTGGAAAGAGTTCAGTACTTGAGTCAATAGTAGGGCTCAATTTTTTGCCTAGAAATGAAGGAGTCTGTACTCGCAGACCATTGGAGCTTAGACTTGTCCATGAAGAAAACCAAACACAGCCATGGGCTATTTTTGAAGGCAACACGACTAGGTATACTGAATTTGAAAAAGTTAGAGAACAGATCGAAAGACTGACAGATGACCGTGCAGGAAAAAATAAAGGAATTGTTGATGATCCAATTATTCTGACAATCCACTCTTCCACTTGTCCTGATCTTACACTGATTGATCTTCCTGGGATTACTAGAATCCCTATTAAAAATAGTGATCAACCAGCTGACATTGAAAAGATTACTAAGGAAATGGCATATAGATATATCTCTGACCCAAGAACTATCATCTTATGTGTTATTGCTGCAAATACTGATATCAGCACCAGCGAATCGTTGCTGATGGCAAATAAAGTCGACAAGACTGGAATTAGGACTTTAGGGGTTATCACAAAAATCGATATTATGGACAGAGGAACCAATGCCAAAAAAGTCCTAATGGGGCAAGAAGTAGCGTTGAGACTTGGCTTCATCGGAGTCAAAAATAGATCTCAAGAAGACATCAATAACAATGTCAGAGTTGGAGCAGCTTTAAGAGAAGAACAAGAGTACTTCGCACAGCACCCCGTTTACTCCACAATGCCTCCTGGATATTTAGGCACAGATGTCCTTACCCAGCGTTTAACTCAAATTTTATTCAACCACATCAAGCACTTCCTTCCTGAAATTCTCAAAGAAACGATGTACAGGATCAAAGAATGTGACGAAAGACTAAAAGAGCTCGGACCAAGCACCCCAGTCGAGCCTAAACAAAGGACCCAGTTGCTTTGGAACATGATCACTGATTACTGTGAAACCTTCAAAAACACAATTAGAGGGAAATTTGAACGGAGAAGCAACTCAAGAATTGCAAAAGATCTAGCTGGAGGAGTCACTATTAAGCACTATTTCAATACCTTATTAGAAGACTATTCAGGAAACTACAACGCAACTCAAGATTATAGCAACGAAGATATCCAGAGAATCATGGCACAGCATGAAGGTGATAATATCCCTGGCTTCCCTTCTGTTGATGTGCTGCTTTTCTTGCTACAGCCACAGCTTGAAAGGCTTAAATCACCAGTTCTTGACTGCTTGATGGACGTTCACTCCTATTTAGATCAGCTTGCACACAAGATTGTAGAAAGAGTCTTTTATAGGTTCCCGACAATGGCTGGAGAAATTGGGGATATCTCTTCACATGTTTTGGTAAAAGAAAGAGAAGCATGCAAGTCAATCGTTGAGAATTTAATTGACGCTGAAGAAGGGTATATTTTCACTAATGATGTTGAATATCTAGCAAAGAGAACAGACTTGATACCAAAAAGTGACGCCAAAGTGGCAAGAAACCCAGAAAATGTATTTGTTGATGAAATTAGAAGCAGAATTGACACCTACTTCAGGATTGTGGTGAGAAATGTAAGAGATACCGTTCCTAAGATCATTGGATATTTCTTACTCCCCAGAGAAAGATCAGACTTTTCTATAAATTATACTCTATTTGTTATAGAGCAAAACATTTTTAATATGAATTTTTATATATAAATATCGATATGTAATTAAGATATACAAATGTTTTTGCGGAGGGAATTAGTAAGATCAGTCATGGATAAGCTGCAAATGGAGCTTTATGAAAGTATCAATAGGAGCGAAACTTAACTTAACTTAACTTAGTGTCTGGTATTTAAGGTGTCTAGTGCCGCACCCCATAAAAATGGAGTTATAGCGAAAAATTGATGACGTCGCCGGGCCATCTTGGAATCGCGATGGTTAGCCCACCGGCCAAGCCTTCACCTGCACTTCGCCCTTCTTCGCCGCACGTCTCACCCGGCGCGTTGCCGTCGCCCTTGCCCCGACTCAGCTCCTGCGCGTGTTCCGCCTAAGGGTCATCCTCCCGTGGGGATGTGCTGAGAGGTAAAACTCCGAAATCTTGAGCGCACTGAGGAGCTGTTCCTTTGGTTATCCCCAAAGTTAAATAGCTATTGCTGTGCAGAAGTTCTCGAGAGAAAACCCAACCCCATAAATAAAATTCCATGAGGGAGAGAAAATTAGCAAAGCTAATTTCTCTCGAACCGAATGCCATTTTATTTATCAATAGGAGCGAAACAATTTTAAACTTATTAAGCGAGCCAGCTCACATCACTACCGAAAGAGATAACATCAAGAAGCAACTTCAAACACTTAGAAAAGCTGAAAAAATACTTAAGCACGATCCGAATCTTGCTGCCCAAGCTAACTCAATCGAAGATGAAATACTCAAAGCAGCAAATGAACAAGCAACAAGCGAAGAACCAAAGAAAAAACTAGACGACTTAAAAGATGACACCACACCACCACCAGTGATTCAAAAAGTGGATAAGCAGCCTTCAGGAGGGAGCGGATTGTTTTCAGGAGGAAAGTCTAAAGGGTTATTTTAAGAAATTCTTTTATAAATGGACAATTTAATAATAAGTGGCTCATAATGGCTGAACCATCACTGGAGAAAGGAAAAGGAAAGGGAATTGAGAGTGAGGCAAAGCCACAGAAGATTCGCTTTACTTTGACATCCACAAAACTACAAGTACTCGAAAGCATGACAGCCATTAACATTAATTAGTAGATTAGGGCTCTTCCTCCTTTTAAGTCTTACCCGAGATGCTGCTAGCGAACCTCACTGGGTAAGCATTTCCACCAGAGATTATTCTCCTCCGGCTTTCGGCCTGATTCTTAATGCTGTCTCAGAATCTTGGAGTATGCAGGTTTGGGACTTGACAGCTGCTGCTTGAGTGATTAGAGTTCCAGCTAGGAATAACTCCATAACTAGTATCGGTGCCAACTATACCTTCGTCATCACTAGTGGTGTCTAAGGTAAAACACCTTTTTTCCTTAATGTCCATCGGGAAGATACAAAGTCTTCATTACATACGAAAGAGGCAAGCATAACCGGAACATAAATGCCCATACCCGTAGACTCCCATTTTCTGTTAGGTTTGGCTTCAGGGCGCAGCAAGGTCCCCAAAATTCGAAACAGGTCTGGGAGAGGACGGGCCGGCGACGTCGCCATTTTATTTGTGTGTGAAATCATGACAACCAAATTGATAACATCAGCGAAAAAGGAAAATCTGAAGACCTATGGACCTGTAAGACTCCCCACCAAGATATTGAGGATTACTGTCAGAAAAAGTCCTTGCGGGAATGGAACATCTACTTTTGATAGACTTGAAATGAGAATACATAAAAGAGTTGTGACATTAATCTGCCCGACTGATTTCATTAAGAAGGTCACTGATTTCAATATTGATCCTGGTGTAGAGGTCGAACTTCACTTTACAGAATTCTAACTCCTCACTCCATGAACGGTCAATACCATTGGAAAAATACTTCTTTTCAGAAAAAAAAACTATCCTTCACTAGAAGCCTTTTTTATTAATATTTTTGAAATATAAGTAACTGTGATTATAACGAGATCTATGGCTTATTGAATTAAATCTTAGCAGCTTGCATATTAAGATACTAATTTTATAGGCTTTTCTAGGTTTTACCTATTTAGAATTTTTTAAAAACCATAAAAAAGCTTACCAAACCTAAAAATTAGTGCATGCTCACCTAGAGGGTAGTAAGTTTATTTTAATTTCAATTAGAAAATTTGCCTACAACTTTATAATAATTATTGGAAATAATTTTGATAAAATAATCAGTTGTAATTTAGCTTTCATTGATGGAAGATTAATTTATAAAATATTAAAGGGCAGATTGTTTTTATTTATGCAGTTCATTTATCAAGTAGATAGAATTTTGAATCAAAGACCTACTAAAGCATATAGAATCATAATGTAAAGCAATTTAATGGCTGGCATAATTTCAAGCATATAATCAGAATATGCAATAATCATCAAGTTAAGGAAATCAATCATTAATCTAACTCTTCTAAACTCTGTAAATAATTTTTATACAAATAAAAATAGACATTTCAAAAATTAAGTTCTTGATTTTAATTTTTTTATAATATTTATAGCCCTCTACTTAATATTAAGAAGAAAGAATTATATTTACGCCCTACCCTAAAATATTTTCAGATTTCGTCTTCTTCAAACATATCATGAGCATGAGTCTTATCAACTATGGCTTTAAGAAGGTCTCCATTACTTAATATTAAGGCTAGCAATTCTTTTGGAAATTTTATTATTAGTGAGCGGGGCATAAGTAATAGGCTCTACCATATCCCACACAAGCTTATTGCTACTCTGGATATGCCATTTCATTATTAATGGATAAAGATTGTCTAAAATTAGATTTCTGATATCTCGCTTACATCAGATTAATGCCACATTTAATGATTAATATGGCGTTTTATTTTCAATATATTTAATATCAATTACACACATTTATTTTTAACTTTTGAGGTCAGAATTTGTTTGTAGCGCAAAAGATTTGCCAGTTGCTAAAGAAGCTTCTTCTAGCATTGAGCTTTCTTCTACAATAATAAACAAGAACTTTCCAGAGCGAGTTATTTGTGGTTTTACAGCCAAATCGAATGTGCTTGTGGATTTTGAGAGTTTTGGGATTTGAGAAATTCTGTTTAAAACTTCTATGTCTGCTGTTTTCTCGTTCTCTTTACTTTTGTTTGCTTTGCAAACACAGCCCATTTTTATTAATATGTCCTTTCATTGTTGATTTCTCTGGAAAGTTGAAAAATTTAATGGAGGACATAAAAATGGATCTAAATTTTGAAGATTTCTTAATGAGCTTTATTAGAAATTTAAACCTAATTGGGATTGATAAAAGTCGTAGCACGATAAATGTTTAGATTATATGAATTGTATCACCATTTAAATCATTTTATTTATGAAAATCATAGCTTTATATTATGATTTTCTTAAAAAGAGTTTATTTGTTTATGTAATTTATATTCATTAAATTCGTTTGTGCAAACTTTGAGATTAGCTAAAAGTACTTTACAATGTTTAAGCATTCAAAGATTTCTTTAAATCAGTTTTATCAAACTTTTACAGGATTGCCTTTATATTCTTTTATATTGCCAATCTATTCTAATTAAGAAACGTTCATTCTTTGAATCTGTATTAAATTACACTAAAAATAAGCAATGGCTACTAATTACTGAGCACACATATTCCAAAATTATAATATTAAGCAATAGAAATTTGTATCTAGATAAGATATTATGATAGATTTTCATTTCTATCATAAATATCCCAATTATTTAGGAAACATCAAAGGTATTATGAAGATTTCCCACTACGATTTGAACTCCAATTAATAGCAACAATAAATGGACAACACTTTTTTTAAACGTTTTGGGAAACACTCTCATAAAAGAAACCCTACAGATTTATTAGCACCATGCATTCCCATAAATAAATCTATCAAGCCTACCCAGATATATCAAGATCACGACCCAAATCCAAGTCCTTTTTTAGATAAAAAAACAGCACAATTACCGAAAATAATAAATCATAAATCCAACCTTTCAGAGTCCGTTTTGTCTGATTGGTATTTATCGCAAGATTCAAGAAATAGGTTTCCTTATGACAGCTTATCGCCAGTAAAAAATCGATACTCCGATCTCTCTTTATGCAACCAAGGGAACGAGAGTTTTGGAGCTCGCTCCCACAATTCAAATAAAAATAATCACGACTTCCGAAGTTTTTCACCAATTTACAATTCCAGAGAATCCAGCCAGAAATTATTTAAAGTTAGTAGAGTAGAATCGCCTCCTCCAAAAAGTTATACACCAACATGAGACAAGTCAATTAATTCGTCTGCCAAGATGTCCCAAGCATCTCGAAATGGCACAGCAGAGACCCCAGAAAAGAAATTCCAATATAAACCCTATGCATTTGATGGCTGCCTAAAGCTGAGGCCAGAAAAGTATTATTTAATAGGTGGATCGGGACCATGCAATGTTAGCATAGAAAACCAAAAATCGAAAATTGCGAGCAAAGAAAAAGCTGAAGGCTATTGTAGATTAAGCAGAGAATTCCGCAAAGGGCTTGCAATGTAAAGCATTTAATGTATGTAATAGTTGGCCTTCTAAATTTAATAAAAATAAATGACGATCCATTGAAATTGCAAAGGCATTTAGAATATTAAAGCTTCAAGCCAGCCACTCTGATAGACGACCTTTGTATTCTATCTTTGACGCTCGGCGAGAGAGAACAACATTAGATCACCTTCTGGGCTTTTCCAAAAGGTTTTTGCACGTGTTATACATCTAATTTGCAAATCATTAAATCTAAAACTAATAAGGAAACCAATCATCTCCACACTGAGAGTCATGGCAAGCTTATGCTTCTCATTTTAAGTAGCTTTATTATTTGATTGAAAAGTCAACTGCATAGAAAATTTTTTTGTCTAACTCACATCAATAATCGACTGATAGGCAGAGATAGAGGTCTGAAAGAAATATCTTATCTTATTTCAAGGCATAATGAAGAATCAAATGATAAATATTTATATGGTTTGCCTTTTATTTCTTAAATATGATAAAAAATGAGAATTACTAAAATTTCAATTTACCTAACCAGCATTAAACGAAATTAATTATTTATGATTATTACATTTAAATTTAATAAAAAAATTAAAAATGTAATTCACTTTGCTATTTTGTTGGCTTTTATTTTAAAATTAGATTTCCATATTATATTTCCGATCATGTTGCCAGTACTTCACTGGCCTTCCACAAGTAAAGGCTATCAACTAGAATACCCTATCGGCTATGGCACCTTTGGAGTTGTTTATTCTGCTGTCATCCTCACAGGTGCCCACATAAATGAAAGGGTAGCCATCAAAGTGGTAAATCTTGACCAATTTCCTGACGATAGTTTAGACGAAATCAAAAGGGAAATAAAAATCCCTCGTTTATGTTCCCATCCCAATGTAATTAGCTATCATACCTCTTTTATATCTGGAAAACAGCTTTGAATGGTAATGCCTCTTCTTGACGCTGGAAGTGTGGCAAATTTGCTTCATCATAAATTCCCATCAGGAATCAAAGATGAAGTTGCGTTGGCAAGTGCACTAAAAGAAGTATTAGAAGCCCTGGCTTATTTTCATGCTAATAATCAAATTCATAGAGATGTTAAGGGTGCAAATATTTTATTGAGTCGGGATGGCAAGGTTATGCTAGCTGACTATGGTGTAGTTGCCAAGCTGAGAGGAGGCATGCTTGCTAAAACATTTACTGGTAGCCCTTGCTGAATGGCTCCTGAAGTGATAGAATCTGAGTTTAGAGGGGGGTATGACTTTAAAGTAGATATTTGGAGCTTTGGAATCACTGCAATTGAGCTAGCGAAAGGGCTACCTCCTTATGCGAAGCATCCTGCAATGAAAGTTATGCTTTTGGTTCTTAATAATGATCCTCCATTTTTAGGCAGAGATGAGCCTTTTAGCAATTCATTTAAAGAAATGGTTAACTCATGTTTGCAAAAGGATCCTGAATTAAGGCCAACCGCTGAACAACTTTTAAGAACAAAGTTTTTCCATAAAGCAAAAGGCAAAAATTATATCCGAGATCATCTCCTGGAAAACTTTCCTTCTCTACAAGCTCAGTTTTCTTATCAAAAACTTCATCCTAAAATCGAAGAGTCATTTTCAACCTTTTTTCAAAGTTCAGATGCTTGGGATTTTAATGTATCTGGCGAGGCAAATAATTCGTCACAGAATGATGACCCTTTTTCTGCTATAGATACTGATGAATATGAAGGAGATCCTCTTGACACAATTAAAAAAGACGATACTTAATTGTAAATCTATAAAAATCAGTAATCTAAATTTAAAATATGTTTTTCTAACTTAAGTGTCATTTAAAAGCTTGGATTTATATTAAAATCAAATGACATAAAAATTTTGAAATTGCTTCTTTGCTTGTTTTTTACCATTTCTATTAAATACATTACTTCTGATATAAAATGAGCGATGATCTTAACTTAGAAAAAATCAAAGCTGAAACTGAGCAAAGTCTTAATTTCCCTCTTCATTGATTGAATGACCCACTTCATTCGATAAAGATGGCGATTAATAAAAAAATATAAAAAAAAGATATATAAAATTTGTAATATATTAATATTATTAAGTTCTGTCAAGAATTGAGGCTGATTTCCTAAATTTTGGGAAAATAAAAAGAATTTTTTATCAAGAATGGTGAGTTAGCAGAAACAAAAGAATTTTATCAGCTTTATTTATCCTTGGAATTTTTGCTTTCATTTGTTTTATCTACTTTGCTCCTGAATTTACATCTGCTGAGAAACAAATAATTTTCAAATTCCCAAGAAGCGCTCAGCAAATCTACGAATTAAGCAAAGTTATTTTAGGCTACACCCAGAACTCTTATTACTACGTTATTTCTTTATTTTGTTTTCTCTATGTCTTTTTGCAAAGCTTTGCAATTCCTGGACCATTAATATTAAGCATTTTAGGAGGTGCACTCTTTGGGTTCTGGAAAGCTATGCTTGTTGTAACTACTTGTGCAACTCTTGGTGCCACTTTATGCTATATTTTAAGTGAAACTTTAGGAAAAGGAATTATTATTAGGAAATTCCCAGGTCCTCTGATGAAAGCTAATAATTTGATCAACGAGCATAAACATCACTTATTTTTCTATTTACTATTTTTAAGGGTTACCCCTATAGTCCCGAATTGATTGATCAATATATCAAGCCCAATTTTAGGAATATCATTGAAGTATTTTATAACTGCAACCTTCTTACTCCCTCTCCTTACCTAATAAATAATTTTGTTCACTTACAAAGGAGGTTAATTTTTTTTGTAAAATTTAATATAATTTTTTTTTCAAAATCTAAAAAAATCCCAATTCGCAAATTGGAATTTTAATTTGTAAAATTTCAGTTTAAAATGCAAGCTCTTTAAACTAGCTAGAGATTTAATTATGCTAATTATCATTTATATATAAAAATATTTTTTTATTAAAAATTTTTTTGTTTACTCACAGAGGAAAAAAAAAAAAGGGATTTTTCCAATGGCTTGTTCGCTCATGGAGGGGATTTAGGACTAATTCCAGGAAATTGTATACACATTAATGCAGGCACAATGATCAGCTCAATGCAAGAAGTTGGGTTGAATTTGAACTCAATCCTGATTTTATTAGTTTTAGGAGTGCTTGCACTAATTCCAACACTAATATTCAAAAAGCCTAAGGTTAATTAGATTATTGTCCTTCTAAAACTTAAATTGGCTTAAATATGATAAAAAGCTCAATAGTTTTTAAAAAATTATAGTTCCATATGCCAAAATAATAGCCAAAAATGAAATAATACAGTTACACCCTTGATTTAATTTTTGCTAATTATAAAAATAAGCCCCATAATCTCTTAGCTTAAGAAGTCAATAAACAATACCCAAAATTTTTTTCTAAAATTCAACATAATTTGTATCCTCGATTCCTATAGAATTAAAAATGAAAGGTACTTTATATTTTTAAATAATTAAATCATAATAATTTTTTTTGTATTATTATATAATGATTTGGCATCATTTTTCGATTCAGAATTATGGTTCGCCAAATCTTAATAATACCATGACTTTTTCAATGATAATAAATAAATTTTAGCATGCTGGCCGACTCTCCATATTTACCAACAAGACATCCAAATCTTGACCATATGAAAAGATCAAGAAACAAAAGACAAACTGACGCAGGCTTCATAAGAAAACCTTCATCAAATTTCAATTATCCTCGCACAAATTCCCTTATTGAGAAACCAAATGCATCCCCAGTAATCATCCCTAAAATAATTAGAACTGTAAGCTGCTATTCTTGTGCCTCCACTGTAACTTCGCCTCCTCCTCTTGACTTAGATTCAGAACTCGATCCAAATTGAGTAAGACTAGCCCAAAAATATGAACAGAAAATTCGGGTTCCTAAAAATCCTGAAGATGGCTTGTATCTCAATAAAGCAATCGATTTCTTGACTACTATTGAGACGCAAACAAGTGAAGAGACACTAGAAAGACGACCTAGTGTAGAATCAAACCAAGACTCAGAATGCACACGCTGAGTGACTCATTCAGGAGCAATCAAAGAATCATTTAGAGGATGCCTTAACTTCTTTGATTGGGACCGATTTCCTGTTGTTGACCTCAGTGATGTGCCTGCTACTTACTAAACTATTGATACTGTTTAATATTCATTACTATATCACCTATACGGGCTTCGGCTTCTACTTAAGAATACCTTCCGGTTCCGAGTTGTGAACCACCTGATCTTGGTTTAAATGGTTTCGGGAGTTCGGATTTGACGGCGGCAAACCACCTTGCGTCAGTCAACGAGCTGAGGGCCCCAGTCTCCGTCGCTTAAATCAGTGGCATACTTCTAGAAAATTCAAATTTCTAAAGAGATGGGCGTCAGAGGTTGGTGTAAAACTCCATCATTCTGTTATGAATTTGCAGGGTGAAGACAAGCCTAATAAATCAAAATGGCCAATGAGAAATCCTGAACAGAAAATTCGAGCGATGCTATATTTTGGTCATAATATACCTGCTACAATCCCTAATTCTTTGCTTAAGGACAACCTTAACGAAGAATTCAAAGACAAACATCCATTTCTGGATCAAAGGATGACTTTGAGTAAGATAGTAAACTTAAGAGAAGATCTGATTTTTAAAATGTGTAGAAATATGGATATTGAGGTTTGCACTCTAGCTATAGCTTGAACATGCTATGTCAGGCTGCTTAGCAAGAATGTGATCACTAAACTAAATAGGAAATTATATGGAGCCATCTGCGTATTGATAGCTTACAAATTCAACGAAGAATCCCACCTAGAAGCGAACAGAGATCAGATAAAAATACTTATTAAACTCGCGTATTCTATGGATAAGCACAACTTACTTCAGCATAAAAGTCTCTCGAAAGTAGAATTTGAGGTATATGCGCATTTGAATTTTTCACTCTTGCTTAAGTATGAAGAATTCCAAGAAGAGTTTTCGTATATCTTGGGCAGGATGGATACAAGTTTCAACGTCTATATGGGCGACTTTATTCAAGATTTTTAATTCAAAATTAATAAATTGGTATTATTTAGACATCTTTTCTTTAAGTGATTGAATTTCTTGTTTTCGCTTCAGCTCGAATTCTTTGATGATATTTTTGATTTCTTGGTTAGCTTTTTCTTTTATTTCTGTTCTCCTAGCTTTTCTAATAGATCCAGCCTCTTCAAGAGTCTTGATCTGTATTTTGTAATTTATTTTAATTTCTGTCATTTTCATTGCTTGCTCACTACACAGTTTTTCCATAATTTGTTCTAGGCCTTTTTCAAACTCTTCAGCTTTGATGGAGTATTCAAAGTCTCCATCAAAAGCATTAGCAAAACTTGACCTCGTAGACTCTTCTCCTTTAAGCGAAGAAAATATTCCACTAGTGTCACTAGTTGAAACTCGGCTTAAAGTTGAAGAGTTAAGGGAAGCTGTAAGTTGACTTCTATGTAACATCAGCTTCTTGCGAGAAGCAAGGCGCTTTTGAAGGTCAGTGTCTTGCATTGAAAAATCGATTTTGGCTTTCTCAGAAACCTCTTTGGATCTTTCGTTAAATGTCACAATAATCCGATTTAAATTTTTGGAGCCTTTTTCTGATATACTTAGCAGTGAGCTGGCAAATTCACTTGATAAAGTTTCAACCATTGTAGATCTGAGTTTCGCCCGATTTTTTTGGAGATTTTTTGGTTTTTGTTTGGAGGGGGAATTTCTCCTATTTTTGGTTGAAGATGTGCTTGGCTGCATGAGGTCGATGACTTCGGACTTTACAAGCATTTTGTGGAGTTTATCTTCGAAATCGTAAAATTTTGGGTCGTTTTTGTGCTCATAGTATTCTATAGCTTGAGAATAAAGACTGACAAGTTCATGGACAACTTCGATAGATGGCGAATTTTCTAATTCTGACTCTTTGGATAATAGCTGAACTCCAAAATCTAATGATAAAATCGGCGCTATGGTACGACGGTCCAATTTTACGAGCGCAGGCTTTCTTTTATTCCTCCGCTCCGTGAGCGAACAACATTATTGGAATAATCCCTATTTTGCCTGAAAATCCTCCTCCGTGAGCGAACAAAATTTTTTTTAAATAAAAAATATGATATATAAGAAATAATTTATATAATTAAATCTCTAACTAAATCTGTTTAATTTTAAACAGCTTACATTTTAAAAAATAAATTTTACAAATTAAACTAATACTTGCTTTCCAATTTTTACGAATTAGGTTTTTTAAAATTTTTAAAAAAAAATTTATATAGTCCGTTCCGCTATATATTTAAAATTTAAAAAAAAATTAATCTCTCTCTATGAGCGAACAAAATTATTTGTTCACTCACAGAGAGGAGTTAGCTACAAATTGAGCAGAAGTTGCCTGCATATTCATCTTTTTATATCAATTTTTTAAGTTAAATTCTTATTCCACCTTTAGCTCGGAACAATATATAGGTAAAATTTCCATTTTTTTTTAAATTACCTTTATACTTGAACAAAATTTTATTTTTATAGGGAAAAATAATCATTTTATATATAAGCAGCTTTGATATTAATTAATATTGCAAAACATCAACAATTTATCTATAATTGTTCTATTTTAGTTAAAAAATATGTTAACAAAGTTAGAGTTGAATCAATAATTTTCATAAGAATTTTTTTTTAATGACAAGAATTTTTAATAAAAAATGGAGCATACATTAAAATGTAACAGAATTCATTCCAATTTAATAAGAGAGCCAGAATTCTCATTCCAATTTAATAAGAGAGTTAGTTTTTACAGCTAAAATTAATTTCTATATAGTAAATAATTGTTTAAAAATTTTAACAAGCTCAACCTCCCTTGATGGGCATAGTTATTATTCAACAGATCCACTTTTTAATTTTATTTTAAATTTAGATATTATCAAACATATCTTTCTATTTAATTAATGTCTTACATATTTTTAAAAGCTGTTTTAGTAATAAAGATAAATATAATTCTGCTAATAAATAATTATATCTATTCAGGATATTTATCTGACATGGACAAGCCTTTTTATATAGGTATAGCGTCTTCACCGCTATAGCGTGCCTTGACGTATGCATCTTTGCAGTAACTTGGAGCTCTTATGAGCTACCTAAAGGCGATAAATCAATTCCAACTTGACTCAAACACATCCTTTTGCAATGATTTGTCAACTTGGAGCTGACTTGTCGCCTTTAGATGACTCTCCAAAACTCCAAGTTGCTACAAAGATGCATGCGTCAAGACACGCCATCGCAGTGGAGACGCTGTAGTGCAATTGCTGCTACAGTCGGGACAGCATGGATTCTTTATCGCTTTTCCGATGACCGTACTCCCAATAATAACTTTTTAAGCCAAAAAGATGTAATCAGTATTTTGAGGGACCTTCATGAAGAACTCAACCAAGTTTACATCGCCATAGCAGCTTATTCAAAAAATATTCAAGAAAAAAGCAACTACCTAGTAAATGAAGGAAAAATAAAAGAAATCGTATTCCAGCATACATGCATACCTAAGCAAATAGAAAAGGCAGAAAGCAAAGTGTATAAAAAGTATTCTACTACAGAAGCACTATTTAAAAACGCTTGCAAAAATATTTACAATAATAATGAAGAAATTGCCAATATAATGAAAGGTATGCAAGAAATTTTTGAGAACTCATTCAAAGGAATTATGCCTGGAAAATTTGTCCCAGATTTTTTCAATGCTGAAGCCACATTAAACTTATTAGAAGAAAGTTATGAAGTTTCAATAAGAGAAATCTGCAATCAAATAGAAAGTTGACGAGAAAGTGGAATGCAGATCGAGGTGATTAAAAATATGTACAAAAATAATAAGAGTGAGATTAACAGAAGAATAGATGAAGCAAAAGAAACTATTTATAGAAAATTCAATATAGCAAAGTTTCATGAACCGCCTGAGAAGATTGTTCAAAATGCAATTAAGAAATATTGCTTCAATGATCTTCGATTTAAGCAAAGGATCGAAGAGATGGAAAGAAATTTCAAATCTGAAATGGCAACTTTAATTTAAACTTATGCTCTTTTTGGTATAGAATAAAATTTAGTATTAAAAAAGCTACAGTTAAGATCATTATCATGATTTTTGTACAATAAGCATTCAATAAATTTTATTATCTAAAGAATCGCTTACTCCCCCCCCATCCTTGATCGAACGATTGACTGTAAAAATTCCTAAAAATTGGGGAAATTAACCCCCATCCTTGATCGAACGATTTTCATATCATGCAAATTTTTATATATATATAAAATATATTAGTTATCAAAAGTTTGGAAAGATGCATATGTGCATGATTAAGTTGTTTTAGAGACTTTGAGACGACAGAAAGCTTCGAAATCAACCATCCGAAGTGATTTAGTCATCAGCCTAGGCTTGAAAACTCAATAATCAATAAAATAGAGATTCTTTAAAATTTTTAAAAAAAAAATCTAGTTTAATAAGGAACAAATTAGAATTTATACAGTTTAAAAGGGTGACTAATAAATCAAAATATTAAAAATTGGTATTTTTATGAAATTTATTTAATTTTTTGCTGTAAAACTAATTATTAAATACTCTTAACCCTCTTATTTAAAAGTAAATAAAAAAAATATATATATATATATTTTTTATTTTATATATATAAAATTTTTTTCCCCAAAAAATGTTTTTTTAACCCCCATCATTGATCGAACGATGGCGGGTCGTTCGATTAAGGATGGGGGGGGGAGTTAACAAAAATTATAATTTGTCTAATAAATAATGTCAAGCAACTCTCACAGATTATTAAGATCTAAAACTCCAGAAGTTTCTATTATGAAAGGCAAGTGGGATGAGAGATTTTATCTCGGAAAAATCCCAGTAATGCCTTTATCGAGATTCCCATTTAAAACAAGGAAATCTTTTCATGCCCCTCGTTACTCTAATTCATCATCGCAAGCAAACTCAGTTTCAGCATCAAGATTCCAGTCACGGCCCAGTACTTCATTTCGTACTTCTACTCCTCAGCGATCAACTTCCCAGCAGAGATTTACAAGAAACGATACATTCCGAGCAATTTCCCAAAAAAGATTTTCATATAACGACACATTTTTAACTGTGAAAAATAAGCTTGAAGAATTTTGAGATAGAAAATCCATTCCAGAGCCACTGAAGCAGGCATTTAGAGAATGTATTTTTAGTTTGCCATCAAATAAAAGTATTCCGATAATGTCCAAAGAAATTGAAGACCTTAAATCAAATAATGCACTAGTACAGATTGCAATAAAATCTGTAGAAGACCGCGAAAGGCTGTTAAACCAAGTTAAAGATTTGGTGAAAGCTTTTAATATGTCAAAAGAATACGAAACTATTAAAGACTTACAACTAGAAGCTGCAGAGACTTTGCAGACATACAGAAACATCAGCTTAAATGTCGTAGAAAATATAGCGAGGTGAAGAGAGCACTTGGCATATGCTCAGTTAATTGGAATATCTAAAGAAGCAATCCATCCAAGAATAGTCCAATTTATATGGGAAGGAGAAAATTATTTGATAAAAATGAGAAATGATATTTCTTTTGTGAATAAAACTGTTTTGGCAGCGTTCTTTAAATTCGATAATAACCCGGATACATTTTTAGTGGTGCCTTCTAGAGTAACAGGACAAAAAAAGCCAAGTGAACTAAAGAAAGAGGAGTATTATTTTAAAAAAAGTGGGGACTTGATTATTCCGCTGCCTTCAATATTGTTAAAAAGAATAAGAATTGCTGAGATGCTGATTATGGAAGAAATATTTAATGAGCATAGATTGAGTTCTGGTGTAACTAAGCCAGAAAATTCAGTGATAATTGAATATAGATCGGTTGACAATATTAAAAGAGAAGATCTGTCTCCAGATATAAGTGAAAATGAAAGTATTCTTGCTAAAGCTATTGAAAGAGAGCGAATGTCTTCAGATATTGTTGAAAAAGAAGCTAATCCTGTTGAAAAAGAAATTATTCCTGCAAAAGATGTTGAAGAAGAAATTTCACCTATTAAAAATAGTGACAAAGAAATTTTATTTGATGAAATGATCGAAGAAGATATAATATCTGACCATAATACCCTTACAAAGGCCATGCCCATTCAAATTGAAGACAAACCTTCTGATAATATTGAAAAAGAAATTAAATTTGAGGAAAGCCCGAAACAAAGAGCTTATAAATTTGAAATAAATATGAATTTATTTGATGCTTTGAATAAGAATATTATAAAATCGATTAAAGAAAACTCCACAAATGATATTCTTAGACTTAGATTAATTAATTCCGCTTCTAGTTTGGCCTCTTGGTGAGCAGGACTATAAAGCCGGTTTTAGCCGCTTCCCCTGATTTTATGTACGGCGCGCTGACAAAGGCCACTCCTTCTAACCTCCGTGAAGCCATTTAAAGTCCCAGAAGCCCCGGAAAAACTAGCAGCTTGGTGCATTCTTGCTCTATCCGACTTTCCTCTCTCGCCTATTCGGCCTAAGGATTCTGCCTTATCGGGCAGTGGAAAGAGCTAAAGCACAATGCTTGTAGGGTTCGAAGTAAGAACATCTTCATAATTGTTTCCCTATTAGACAGAAGTGCACGTGTAAAAAACCTAACCCCATAAAAATAAAAGTTGAATGAGGGAGAGGAACTTCAACGAGGGAATTCTCCTCTCATCCGAAGCCATTTTATTTTTATCCACAAATGATATTCAAAAATCAATTATATGAGATGAAATTTCTAATGAAATAATTTCAGAGCAAATTTCAAAATTTTCTTTTGAAATTTCTAATGATTTATATGAGCAAGCTAATTTAGCTGGGATAGTTTTTGGCGATTTACTTTATGAAGCAGCCGAAAAAATGTGTAAAAGTATTCTTAATAATGAAATTAAACTGGAAAGGGAAAACGAACATAGAAATCAAGCATTGATAAAAAAGATTGCAGATGATGAAAACATGAAAGTGGCTGATTTAATTTATACTAGCTTGATTATTAGCCTTGCTTCTGAGATTAGCCAACAAGAAATAATTGATGAAATAGAGTACATTAGAACTTTAAATGATGAAGAAATTGAAAACAATAAGCTCTCTTACTCATTATTTAGTGATTTAATATCGCATTTAGTAGAAAATCTCACAGATAAGTTTATATTGGACGAAATAGAAAGTTATGAAAAAGAAAAACTTTTGATCTCTGATATGATATTTATGGAATTTATGAATGATTTAACAATTGACATTGCAAATAAGGAAATATCTAAAGAAGAATTTCGATTGAAAAAGATTAAAGAAAAGAAAATAATTTCTGAGATAGCTGCAGGATTATTTCCTGAGTTCTTATATTCTCTGGCACAAGAAATAGTTTTAGAGCAAATAATAGTTGAAAGAAAGAGGCTTCAAGATATTGCAGAAATAAAAGAGATAGAAAATATAAGAATATGTGAGATGCTTATTAATGATTGAATAGCCAAATTAGTAGAAGAAATCTCGAAGAAAGAAATAAATGATCATAAACAAAACCTTATAAAAGTTGAGCAAAATGAAAAGATCATCAAATCTAAAATTGATAAAAAAGTTTCCAAAAGGATACTAGCAGGAATTATCAACGAATGTATAAAACAGAATTTTAATATCAGAAAATTATCTGAAGAGTGGCTTTTGGAGGAAATTGAATCAAGCAGTCAAGCATCGTCTGTGCAAGACATAGGATCAGATACATATAAGTCAGATGCAAAACTTAAAGAAGAACTGATGCTATCTTCAGCCGGGAGTTCAAAGTATAAAAATGATGACTATCCACCATTAAATTTTGCAACTGAAAATAATTTTCGAGGACTTCAAAATTTTGATATAGCTCGGATAAAAATTCCAGAAAATTTTTTGGAAACTTATATTCAAGATTATTATCGTTTTTTGCCTGAATTATTTAATTATTTTGTTCCCCCAGTAAACTTGCTATTATATGAAGAAATAATAAAAGGAATTGACCCTAATATTTTGTGAATTAATAAAGAAAGCACAATTCTTGGCTTGTTGGTCTGCTCATTTGATTCAGACTATTCTCGAAGTCGAAGACTAAACATATACCATATATCTTGTCTAAACGCCAATTATTTTAAAATTATTTTAGGTGGCGTTTTGGATTATTTATGGGAAGAGCATCCTTGCGATGAAATACGCTTACATGTATATAATGAGAGAAACCAAAAATTTGAAGGTATTCCTAAAGAGCTGAAGGACTGCTTGACATACTTTCAATTTAGATATAAAGCGCAAATTCCAAATTCTATTGGAAATGCGTCAGTTATGGGAAAATACCGACCTCCTGGTGTATCTTGTAAATTGATTAATTTAAAACAGACTGATAAAGGAGTAAAAAATGAGATTTTGATGGATTTCACAACAGAAAAAACAAATATCGATAAATTTGACAAATTAGCATTTCTTACTCCCCCCCCCCCCTCCGTGAGCGAACAAAAAAATTTTGTTCGCTCACGGAGGGGGGTTTAATTTTTTTTTTTAAAAAAAAATTTATATATAAATTTTATAAAAAATATTTTTTTCGAAATTTTAAAAAAATCCTAATTTTGCAAAAATTGGGAAGCAAATATTTAATTAATTTGCAAAATTTATGTTTTAAAACGCAATTTGTTTAAAATTAAACAGAATTAGCTCTAGATTTCATTATACTAATTATCACTTATATATCAAAATTTTTTTTCCATTAAAATTTTTTCTATTAAAAAAATTTTTGTTCACTCACGGAGGGTGGGTTTTTGGTCAAAAAATGGCGATTTTTCTAATGGTTTTGTTCGCTCACGGAGGGGGGGGGGGGAGTTAAAATATAAAGTTTTGATTATATATTAAATTTGCAGATTTTCCCATAAAACTTATTTATGGCTTCAGCAAACATAATTATTAATATTTAAACTGTAAAAAAAAATTAAAGAATAGTATTAGTCATTTCAAATTCCATTGGATATTTTATGAAAAGAAAAATAATTCAGTTTTCAAAAATGCAGAAAAAAACTTTTAAGCTGGAACTTATAAAATCTCAGTGAGTTCCTCGCCTCATAAGCAAATTTCTTTACTTATTATTCTCGTCTATTAAAATATTTTGCTGATGAAATTAATCGATAGCTATGCTACTTTATGTAATTAACTATGACAAGTACTTCAACGGATGACTTCCGCGCCTATGCTTATCCACTTTTTCTCTAGCTCCCGCTTCCGTGAGCGAACAAACAATTGGAAAAATCGCGATTTTTTGCCCAAAAAATCCACCCTCCTGAGTAAACAAAATTTTTTTAAAAAAAAGAAATTTGATATATAAGTAATAATTCTTTTATAGAAATTTCCAGCTTATTCAGCTTATTTTTAAACAGTTTGCATTTCAAAATATAAATTTTACAAATTAAATAAATATTTGCTTTCCAATTTTTTGCAAATTGTGGTTTTTAAATTTCGAAAAATGAATTTACTATAAAATTTATATATAAAAAAAATTAACCAAAACTAATTTTTTTGTTCGCTCACAGAGGAAAGGAGTAAGGTTCTTATATTGCGCATTAATCCAGTCTTCATCATTTTTGACTAAAACCGTTTGGTTTCTTGCCACCAATCTTCTTGCGTTTCAATAAGCTTCGTTTTGCTTTAATTGATTTATTATATTTTCTTCTATTTCTCTTGAATTTACAACATTATTCATTGCAATAAATAAAGGCAATGCAATATTTTTTATAAATCCAGACTGGGATTTCGCAATATCAGTTGTCTCTTTATCGCAATACATAGAAACAGGCAGGCCCAATGACTTCTCAAGATCTCCTTGAGAAAAAAACTCCTGAAGCACCAAAACACACAATTTTTCATGCAATTCAATTGATTTGGCAGAATGGCCAATATCAGCCATTTTAATAGTCATCTTATTGAGTTCTTGACGGGTTTCTACATTTTTAAAATCAACGGACATATTACCTTGGATAAATCTTGCTCTGAAGTGCTCGACTAAATCAAAGTGTTTTGACATATCTGTGGCTAAAATTAATTCTATTATAACTTTTCTAATTGCAAATCATTTATCAGACGCAAAATTTGATAAAATATTACAGTCATTTTTAGCCAAAACTTGGAACAGTATTGTAGCATGCATCATTTCTAATACACTATAATCATTATACTGAATTGCAATATCATTTTTTGTTACCATTAAAAATCGATTGGTTTTGGCTGGATGTCCTGCATCGTGAGCTAGCGTTGAGACAATCCCAGCCAATAGCTCTAATGAGCTAGTTTCATCAATAAGTGGGCAGCTATGAATAATATATAAATATGAGCACATCACATCAGCTGCATGGCAAGAATTATGATAAGGATTTGGCAAATACCTTCCTTCTAATTCTCTCAAAAATGTACTTAGACTTTTATCGCTTATAGAAAATAGCTCATTGAGCCCATAATTTCTAATTACATGCATTCCAACAACTTGAATGGGTGTTTGCCCTGAACAATCTCCAATAAAAATCGTATTGAAGTTCCATTCTTTTCCAATTTGCCTCAAAATTCCTGATAAATCTGATATCCCATAAATAAAGTTTAGTTTTTCTTTGAAATTCCCTTTGGAAGACAACGAGGATTGATCGATGTCAGGCTTTATTTCGAAAAACGCTTGAGAAACATAAATTTTATCTTGCTCATCCATATTCTTAGTCACTTGGTCGAAAGAAGTTTGGTATATATTAGTGTGAGTTAATGAATCGAGTGCGCCTTTTAAACTGGTTATCGTAGCAACGATTGTTTCTTTATTATCATATTCTGTGTGCTCAAAGGCATCTAAAAGCACACTAATAGTGTTTTTTATGGCAGTTATAATGGTTTCCATTCCGGTGGTAGATTTAGTTTGGTACTCGGGTATAGGGAGTGATTGCAAAATGGATTCTTGAACATAGTCTATCTCTCTCCCGATCTTACATTGTTTTATATTTAAAAAATATTTTCATTATTAAATTTTAGCTTATAAAAACTAGATTTTGAAGCAATTAATTTTGTGTTTAATTTAAAACAGAGAATTTAGAAAAATCTTTAAAATCAATAAGTCCATAAAAAGTTGCTAATCCCAGAAGCAAAACTTGAAAAGAAGATAATCCAAGACTTTGATTTCCGAAGCAGTTTACCCCAAACGAAACTATAGTCAAAAAAGCATTAATTCCTATGTAAACACTTTTTTTAGTTTCTAAAAATTTTGGCCCAATAACAAATAATAACAGCAAAGCCTGCATCCCTGGCAGATATGAAGAGTTCTTATCTTTTCTATAAAGAACAGGGAAAATATTAAGATCTGAAAGCACAAACGCTAACCCACTATAAATATACAGTATTGGCATCACCCATTTCTTCCCTTCATCTTGAAGGCTATATTTCTGCTTATATATAACAACAATAAAGTTGAGGATAAAGCTACTTACAAGAAAAATAAGACAAAGAAGAATTGTGGTTATATCGTTTTCATATATTGCATTGGAGGTCAAAATATTCGCAAGATAAATCATAAATAAAATAAAATAGTAAATATTTGCCTTAACTCTTTTTTTATGTTTACGGTCATCTGCACTTGGAATCTCAACTGGGGAAGGATTAAGGTAGTCGTTTGGATCTGAGAGACTATTAGAGGCATCTACAATATTAATAACTGTAGCTGGGTTTTCGGGAGGTCGATTTGATTCTATGGTTCTCATTTTATTTAAATAATTTTGTTACTTTATTACTGATGCTTTGAGCTTTATTATCATTTTAAAATTCAAATACAAATAATTTTGAAGAAAAATCGTAATTATTAGCCTCCCCATTTACTTTTCAAAACTTTGGAATAATAAAAAATAAAAAAGCCAAATGCTTGCAAAATTTACACAGTAATAGAGATGCAGAATTCAAGATCATAATTCTTCGCCAGTTCTAAGCCTTGCTTTATTCCGTCAGCATTTTTTAACCTCTGATGAGGATTTTTGGTTGAAATTTTGGAGCTTTGATTCAAATAGTCCTACACAAGAGTTCCAAACAGATCAAAAGATTGGGAAAATTCAATTTTCTATTCTTGGAAAGCATTTCTTTACAGGAAGTGAGCAAGGGAAAATTATTCATTGATCTTTAGAGCCAATTAAAATTATTAGAGAATATGAAGGACATGATAGATGCACAGCATTGGGCGTATGCAATGATAAAAACAGCCAAATAATTGCAAGTGGAGGGAATGATGGATATGTAAAGATTTGGGATATGAGAAGGAAAATAGCAGTTCAATCGGTAAAGGCGCACAGAGAGGGAGTTAATGCGATTTCATTTCACCTGTCAGAAATGAGCACTGGCGGGAAAGATGGAACTCTGAAACTGTGGGATTTAAGAAAATCAGAGCAATGTGAGATATGCACGTCCAATGATCACGTACTTGCCCTTTTGATATGTACATTTCACCGAAGTGTATATTTGATCGAAAACCAGTTTGAAAATTTTTGATAGTTAGACATTTGGCCAAAATCCTATCTGCATGATCATTTGGCATGGAGCCATGTGAGACAGTATCAAAGCATGAACAAATTAATGATATTGCAATAGACTCATCAAGAATTATCACAGTTTGCAATAAAACACTGCTCAGAGCATACAATAAAGAAACATTTGAAAGCCAATATGTTGTATCAGCAGAAAACGCAGAGAAATTGCTAATATATCCGAAATTTTCTCGATTATTCGTGATTTCCCCGACATCCATAAAAGTGTTTAATACATCCAATGGAGTTCTTCTCCAAGACGAAGAAATTCCTGAGAGCTTGCCTCTAGCAAGCTTTGTTGATAACAGCTCTTTGTGTTTCGGAGTCAAAACTTTTTCAGGATTCTCAATTTACAGTGGACAATTCAGTTCAGAAGAAGACAAAAATAGGCCATATGCATGAGAAAGCTTGGTATATTACTAATCAGGCTAATCTTGAGCACACCAAAGTTGTAAGAATGAAGCTTGAGTCACGAGCTTTATCGGAAAGAAGCTTCATTTCTTTAGGACAAGTCAGCTGCTCAGAGGTTGATTTAAATAATAACAACCCTCTATCTAAACTAAAGGCTAGAAAAGGGAAAATAGAAGATGTAATGAAAATATAGTTCACAAAAGGCCACTCACAATTCCTTACAATCATGAAAAAAAGGCAGATTTCTTTAAGCCAGCTAATTGATGTATGAGAGCAGTCTGGATTTGGCCCTGCTTTAGCGCTACTTCAAAGATCAGAGCTAGCAATCCAAGCCAATTTTTTTTCCAAACTGTTTACCACAAAGCCAAGACCGACTTTTATAAATATTCAAAATGCTGAAGCAATTTTAGAAGTAATTCTAAAGCTCGCCCAGTGTAGCAATAATATGATAGCAGAATGTGGCTCGAAATCTGCTGGGATCGTTTTAATGGAAATCGGGCAAATTATGAGCCAAAATGCGACATCGAAGTTGCAGATTGATTCTGAGTCAAAAGAATCTTCACATCGTATTATAACATTATTTCAAAAAATAATTCTGGCCCTTCACCAGCATAAAAGGGGGTTTCCTGAGCTCGATGATATGGAATTTTTCATAGAAAAAATTCAAAGTAAATAATAATTATAATAGACTAATCAATATGTACTTAATAAAGTTATCTGTTAGCATAAGACACAGCAAGTTTAGCCGCGTTTTCCATGTTGAACTCTGAGTGCAATTTCTCATCTCTTTCTTCTTCAATCATCCTTTGGGCTACGTCAGCATTATTTCCTTGAAGCCTCACAACTAAAGGACATGGGAACCCAAGCTGATTTTTAGCCTTTATCAGCATTTCTGCAATCAAATCGCACCTCACAATTCCTCCAAAAATATTGACGAAAATCGATTTTACGTGGCTGTGTGAGAATAGAATGTCAAAGGCTTTGAAGATCTGCTTCTCGTTAGCTCCACCGCCGACGTCTAAAAAGTTTGCTGGAGCTCCTCCATAGAGCTTAATGATATCCATAGTAGCCATTGCAAGCCCAGCACCGTTGACCATGCAGCCAATATTGCCAGTCATCCCAACATAATTCAGTCCAGATTTTTCAGCTTCTCTTTCAACTGAGTCTTCTTTGGAGAAAGTTTCTGCTTGTTCTCTGAAAGCAATGATATCTTTGTGTCTGAAAATTGCATTATCATCAATAGTTACCTTTGCGTCAACACAGTACATTTCTTCAGTAGGAGTTGTGGCCCAAGGATTAATTTCAAGCTGTAAAGCATCTTTTTGTTTGAAAAGCTCGTAAAGTCTTACTATATCTTTAGCTCCTTGAGCGGCTTCTTTATCAGACAGCTGAAGTTCTCTGGTAATTTCTAGTGCTTCTGCCTCTGAAAATCCTCTGTGGATGTCTATTGGCTTGACGTGTACGCTTGAAGGGTTGTTGTGAGCGACAGCTTCGATATCCATCCCTCCATCTTGAGAATAAATTACAGCTGGTCCTCCGATTTGACGATCAAGAACAAATGCTAAGTAGAGCTGCCGTTTTATATCTACCTCTTCTAAAATCATTAAACTCTTCACTGGCACTCCTTCTGCTGTAGTTTGCTTACTCATCCCATTTGATAATTGATAATTTTTTTATCGCTATTAATTCGGGCACAAAAAATTATTATATATAGGAATAATATGATTTTTTTCTTCAAATTTTATTCTCTCAAATGTTTTTGTTAGCAGATTAAATAAACAAAAATAAAAAATTATCGAATATATTAATTAAAAGCTCTCAAAAATATGACTAAGTATTGATTGATTAATAGCTTGTGTCTCTTTTAAATTTTGAAAAATTATTTTATAGAAATCTTATGGTTTATAAGCTTTACATAATTTAGGCTGTGAATTAGTGACTAGTTGATATCCTATCATTTGGCTTGCAACTTTTCCGACTTCTTGAGGAGTTTTGCAGAACTGGACTCCTCCTTTAAGACCACTTGATAGAGTTCCTAATCCACGGCCTCCAACTTGGACATTTGCTTTTACTATGTATGGTGATCTTAATGATGCAGCTGCCAATTCAGAATCGGTTGCTGTATCTGCTGTGGTTCCTCGCTGAACTTTGACACCAGAGTCATGCAATAGTTTTTTGGACTGGAATTCATGTAAGGAATACCTTCTAAAAGGTGCTTTGAAAAGTCCTCTGAAGGCCATGTTTTATTAATAAATTTTGACGGTGCGAAAATCAACATTAGAAAATCTATATCCTTTATAACTTTGAAATTAAATGAAAATAAAAATAATAAGCAAAACCAGCCTCTCAGCTTAAAGACGAGATTAAGAATATTAGAGATCAACCTTAACTGATGATTGAATTGAAATGTGAGATGATAAAAATGCTTTGAGTTCAGCTTTCTTCCTTTCACCAATATAAGGAATTGCTGTTTTATTTCTATTTATAGATTACTCTGCTTTATATAATCTAAGAGTAGGGAAACCTCTGACATTTTCATCAGACACATCATTTAGATCGCCGTTTATTTTGGCAAAAACTAAATTGGGAACATCCCTCAGCTCAAACGCAAGCTCATCAAAAATTGGCAAGGCTTCTTGTGAATAAGTACACCAAGGAGCGTAAAACAGCATGAACACATTTTTATTTCTATCAAAAATCAGCTCTTTGTAATTCTTTCCAACAACTGTCATCACTTTGTTTTCAAATGGGTTTTGAGGGATATTTTGTGAAAGTTTATAAGGAAGAACAGCGCCTTTTTGGCATTTTTCATAAAATCTGATAATCGAATCTGAAGTGATTTCATCTTGCATTTGGTATTGAGTAATGTTTAATGTGCCTCCTCTTGCGTCTACCAATCGAATCACAGGAATCAAATGCTTTGGAGCTTTAAGAATCTTCTGCAATTGGCTGCCCAAATCAGTAGACACATCTGCAACAAGTAAATAAGCTTTTCCTTTTAAACGATGGCCAACTCCTTTGACTTCACTCTCAACCCAGCGATTTTTCTTATCAGTAAGAGCTATAAGGGCTTTTCCACCTTTATTAAAAAGCATATCTAAATTTGGCTTATCAAGTGGCAAAAGTGCAGGAATCTTTTCTTTTTCTATCCAATCTGCTAAACTTTTAAAATTGAACTCACCTTCATATTTAATCCTTTTTTCATCAAAATCTTTATATAGCAAAGTTTCCTTTGAGTTACTTCTGTATATAATTTCTAGCCCATCTACCAATTTTCCAACTTCTTTTGCGACATCCATATCACCTATAATTAGAGCAAAAGTTTTATCAATATAAGGATCAGAAACATACCTAAGTTGCGTCTTATCTTCAGTTTCAATCTCTACTTGTGGATTTTTCCTTCTTGAGATCCATTCTCTTATCCCTTTTCAATTGCGCTCACCTGAGTACTTTACTGGAAATCCTTTATAGAAATATATGACTTGCGGGAATCCTTTCACACCAAAGGCTTCTGTGATTCTATAATGGTCGCTTCCTTCAATTCTATAAGCTGGAATGTCTTGAAAATCTTGGGTCGCTCTCTCATATTCAGGCAAAATTTGCTGTGAATAGCCACTGGATCTTTCTTACCATCAGCTTGCATAAAATAAAACGAGACTTTCTTGGTCTTTTTCCCATACGCTGTCAGTCACTTCTTGAGTTCCATATGCAGAGCATAAAAGGAACAAGAAATAAATCATTTTATTATCCAATTTCTTGCTTATTCCTTTTATGAGTAAAAGGAAGAATTATTAATGAATAATTATCTAATGGAATTATTCCTATGCTCATTGAGAGCTATAAGTAGATAGCTGCTATATAGTTAGACCTAAATTAATTAATTTCATTTTCTTTAGAAACGAGATTTTCAAAACCTATATTTTTAATAGCATCGCGGCAAGATCTGATAGCTGTGAGTTCTTGGCCTAGGCATTCATTTTCTTTATTAGATTCATCAGGATTAGCTATTTCAATTTTTTCACAGTTATGAAAACTAAAGCTATTTGATAACTTTGCACTTACTTTTGCAACGAGAAATGAAGATGAGTCAAAAGATTTGTCAGTTTTACTCTCACTTTGCTCAAATTCTCCATATATTTTAGCCCTTTTTGCTGTCTCAAAGTTAAATTCTTTAGGGACTGTTGTTTTGATTTCAGATTTTTTATACTGAAAATCAGGCTTTTCAAGTATTTTTTTGTTCAGCGGCAATGCTTTGAACTCTTGAATGTGTGCCATATCTTCTTTTTCAGCTGGCTTATGCCGGCCTGCTCTGGAATCTAAATGAAATCTCAAAGATACAGGCTGAGTCAAGGGCTTATCTGAGGAAATTTTAAGGATTTTGGGGTAATAAACAGATTTTGGAATTTTCCGAGCTTTGAATTTTGGCCTTAATGCTAAATTTTCTTCACTTTTGATGTCTGCTGCCTTTGTAGATAGCTTACTTCTCAGCTCAGTTCTGAAAACAAAAGGCACTGGAACTGTTGTGTTGCTAAGATTGAGCATATCTGAAAAGGCGGATGAGTTTGGCATCTCATTTTTGCTTGCTTTCTCTTTTTCATCCACAAATTTCACTTTTTTAGATCTCTTGGTATCTCCAAAATCACTCTCAGGCAAAGGGGAAAACTTTCTTTTGTGAAAAACAGCTGAGCTGAGTATTTGATCTTCCATATTTGGTGTTAGCATTTATAATCTCATATCTTGTTAGAAATTCAGAATAGAGCACTTTTTGGGATACTTTGTATATGCCACTTAACAAGTATCTCAATTGTTTAATAAATTTTTTATTTATGAATTCATGTTTTAAAGCTATGCGTCTTCCCAAATTCACTCTTGAGAGATCTATCTAATAACTAAAAATTAATTTGTATAGTGATTAGAAGATTAGTTTATTTTGCCTTCTTCTGTTGCTGCATTTTCTTTTTAATGACCTTGACTTCTTCTGTAAGAAAAGCTCTGATGATTCTGTCTTTTACAGTCTTGTGGGATAGGACTCCTCCGTATGCTCTTGAGACTGTTCTATCCTTTTTGTTAATTCTTGAGTATTCTTTTGGTCTCAAAGCTGGAATTCCTGCCAACCTTTCTCCTGTTTCTTTGCAGTGAGGTCCTTTGGCAATTTTCTTAACATAGTGAACAAGTAGACGTCCGCCTGGTGTTTTGACTTGTCTTATCTTGTGTGACTTGGTATGATATGGACATCTTTTCCTTAGAATCACTCGTTTCACCATTTATTAAAGTATATTGATTAGAGGAATTGCATAAATACCTCTAAAAAGAGCATCCTATATATTATTCGATGAGATTGAAATAATTCGCTGATTTTCTCTCTTAACTTTAACTATTTATTAATTAACTCAAAAAAATTGCTTCAATCTCCATGTCAGAGAGAACTTGTATGTTTTTCATCATAAATTTAGCATGCCGATAATTATTGTCTGCGAAAATAAGTAAATAATTATTATCTAACAGCATCATGCTACAATTTTGCCAGATGTGCATCATGACAATTTTTATTTTCTCAAGCTAAGACTCGAAAACCAGTAAAACTGCTCGACTTTGGCATCCAGCATAGATCCTTAATTGCTTTTATAAAGATTCTGTAATTTCTCAAGTAAATGCGTTGAAATCTTAAAAATAAATATAATTCCATTGCCTTTAAATATGACATAAAAATTACATGAAAGCCTCAGAAGTGACGTCAAATGAGAAAACTACAGAACAAAGACAACAAAGGCTAGAAATGAATAGAGCAGCAGCAATGAGGTCAAGGAATAAAAAGAAAATGGAAATGATGAGGTTCAAATCTCTTGTCGTCGAATTGAGCAACGAGAAGGCTCTTTTACTGCAAAAGATACAACAATACGAAATGCTTATACAAGCAAGTTACACAGAAAATAGCATGCTAAAGGTTGAAATGTCCCAACTTATTTTCGAAAATAGTATGCTGAAACAAACCTTGAAGTATTAATTTATAGCTTTTAAAATAATTTTTAATTCTTTGCATTAATCATACTTGTTTGACTTCTCTTAAAAAATGGCGAGGAAATTAATTCTCTAATTAAAAGATATTTTTAAAATTTATAAGTGACGTGCATAAAATAAAAACTATATAAAATGACTTAGTGTTTTTTCATGTTTTTGACATTTATTAATTTCTCCAATTTTTAAACTTAATTATTAAAGTACATTAGCTTTCTATGTTTGGCTTAAATTGCTAGCATAGTCAAGAATCATATTATAGTAATTCTCATAGCTATCTTATCTTTCTTAAGAAAAAAAATTTTAGAAAAAATGACAGTTTTACGATTTTTAAATATGAGAGTTAATTAAGTATTAAAGAATTAAATTTATTTCATCTCGAATGCAAATCATAAGTTAAAAACCCTTTAAAATAAAAAGCAATAAATTTAAATTTAATTTAGTAAAAAATAATATTTTTTTCCATAAATAATAAAAATTATCTCTCATGATCAATTATCTTTTCTCTTAGAAAATACTGAATTTTAATAAGGCCATGCTAATGTAAAAGGTTTTATGAAAATCAAATTAAATGAATACATGTTTTGAGATCACATTATGATATAAGCACTCATTGACCCAAAATTTTATGAAGCATTTCGGATATATATTAATCTGAAAATTCTATTGAAAATCTAGTAGCATTATAATTATTATAGCATTTAGACAAATGAATTGCAATCTAAAATATTAAAATTAAATATTTATTCATAAATAGATGTTTAGCAAGTTCACAGCAAGGTTTTCGAGTATAAATATAAAAAACCTGAATCTCGCAGCTTGCGGAATTATTACATTCCAATACTTGATGGACAAATATGCTCTCCATTATTATTTTTCAACCATCTTGACGAATGCCCCTCTCCCTGCAAATTCTCATCGATACAATGCATCATATGAACTCCGATACAAAGGCATCAACGTTGCTATGTACCCTAAGGGTGGCCCAGGAGCAGTTGCACAAGCTATGGATGATTATTTTGTATTAAGAACATTTTATCCCGGAGCACTTATCATGCAAGCATTCAGCTTGGCGATGATAAATCATTATAACTTAAGAAAAGGCAGATATCCATGAATTCCTTGCTGTCTATTATTGGGCGGAAACTTAGTATTGACTTTTACATCATATCTTAGTGGGGTAAGATTCTTAGTCTTAATGAAGTACATTGAGAACGGTGACTGAAAGGTTTACGAAAACTTTGCAGAGCTTAGAACAAGCCAAAAACTCGGCGAATACGACGGAATAGAAAAATACTTGATTCAATCATCTATCACTGCATGTGCATTAGGTAGTGTGTTAGCAAGTCCAATTTGGGGAAGTATAACAGTAGCATGCATAGGCGTCTTAGCATATTTAGGTCATTTATAATTTAAGTCTTTCCAAAAAGTTCATGAGAAAAACTGATAGAACAGAATAGTTTTAATGTTTAGTTACTTAAGTTAGTTAAACTAACCAAATTGAATGCTACTGTGGCCGCCAGGTGGAGCTCTTGCTCTAGGTTGAGGAGCAGCAGCTCTGCTTAGTTCTTCTTGTCTTCTCTTTTCTTCCTCTTCCTTTTTCTTTTTCTCTTCCTCTTCTTTCTTCTTTCTTTCTTCCTCAGTCATAGGCGGGGTCTTTTCTTCTTCACCCCAACCTAATGAGAATGAAGAATTCCCTCCTGGTCTTTGGTGAATTCTTACAGAGGTAAAGTCAGTCCCGTACTTTTGCTCAGCTCCACTCATATTATTATATCCAAGGCAAAGAGATAAAATGGATCGGAAATATGCAACTTTTTGAACTTCATTAAGATTATCATCATCGAAAACTCAATATTTAAGAAGAATTTATAAAAAATTAAGTTTCGTTGATTGAAGAAGTAGGCTAATTGGTCAAGCTATTTAATTAAGAAGTGTCTATTTGAAAAAAATAGATAATTGGTTTATTAAAAAACAACTTGCTTAAGGGATTTGCTATAGAAGTCTACTGATCATGAAATAAAGTAAAGAGGAATTTATCAGGAATGAATAATAAAAAAATTAAGTGATTTATGAAGAATGAATTTTAAAAAAATTTAAAAAGTCTTAATATGACATTTTTTCAGAATTAAGTCTTATAATTATTATGACTTAACAGTTTAATTATCAGAAAAAATTTAATCAATTAATAATTATAGACTTTTGCAAATAATAAGACTATTGCTTTAATAGTGTAATTAGCTAATCAATATACTGTTTAAATATCATATAATTTATACTTAAAATAAATCCATAATGGATATGGAAAGAAGAAACAAACTTCTAAGTGCCGGATTATTTATAAACAACGAATATATGATGCATGGAACTTACTTCGTAGAAGGTGAAAAAGTGAGACTCACTGCAGAGCTCATAACTGGTGAGCCCCAACAGCTTGATATAGCCGCAGTGCTATTAGGATCTCAAACAGTTTACCGTGGATTTATGACAGACGAAATGTGTGATGTTGAGACAGTCCTGGAGATGATGAAAACTCAGCAAGCAAGCCTCAAACTTGTAGAAGGTGGGCTATTGCTGAGGTGCTCTCCAATAAAAATTTTACTCACTCCAACTGATGAGGAATTAGATTTCAAAGATGTAAGAATCGGAATGCTTGAAGAAAACTTAGAAGAAACTAAAGAGCAAATTAAAGAGCTTCAGATGAGGCTTCAAATGCTTGAAGAAAGATACAGAGAAACCGGAAGAGAAGTCCAACCTCCAGAGCAACGAGGGGACAGCAGATCTGAATTATTGACTTATCATGTGTGGCCGAAATCCAGAATGCTACTTGCAATTGTTTCAAGAATGCTGAAAGAAGGGCTCTTGAATACCCAACAAAGGGGTAATTTGAAAAATTTAATTCTTGATGAAAATCCAAAACTATTGCAATGCTTACAACAATATGAAATGGATGGAGATAGAAGGCAGCTTTATTCCAGCTTTTTGAAATTGTCGTCTTGAGCAGCATAATTAATAAACAAATTTAACATAATTAAATCCTATTCTTTAAGAAAAAACTAGTAAAAACTTTTATTTTTTAATAATCTTGCAAAAATATTGATAAGCTGAAAAGAAAAACTGCCAAAAAGCGTCCAAAGTAAATAAAAATATTCATGCTTTCAATGCCCACCAGTGTAACTAACACTTCCTATAGATTTACATATTCAAAATGCACAATCGTAGGGATTTACAAGCAAAGGCTTAATTTCTCTCATCTTTATCATTTGAGTGTCAATACAAGAAGGCAAGACACTCATTACATCTAGCCTTCCTTTATTTTTGCTAGATAAATATTTTGCTTCTTCTGCAACAATCATGGAAAATGAATGCATAAAACCTTTACTGGCACAGTAAACAGAGCATTTTGGAAGTTTTACAAGCGCTAGAGACGAAGTTATATTAATAACTGCGCTTCGATTTTTACGTAAAGTCATATCCGGTAAATAAAGCTTTGTAAGGAAAACAGCGGGTCATAGATTTATAGCATTTGCTCATAGAACTCTTTCTTCAGCTAATGATGCAAAACAGTTAGCGCCAGCACCGGAGCCAACATTATTGACTAAAATGCTAACATCTAAATTTTTGGTTTGCTCCTTAATATCAAGAAAAAATGTTTGAGGGTTTGCTGAGGAAACTGAAAAATCTTTGACGATAATTTTAATTTGTATAGGATATTTTTCTTTGAGCTGGCCAGATACTTTAGTTAATTTTTCTTGATTCCTTCCAATAAGGATGATATTAAATCCCTGAGATGCTAAAAATTCAGAAATCGCTAAACCTAGGCCATCTGAAGCACCTGTGACTAAAGCTCAACTATTGTAACCATATTCTGAGAAATCTGTTTTTGCAAATAAAATCGTCAAGGAATGACAAAAATTAAGCAAAACTTTAATTATCATCCCGATTCCAATGATGAAGAATAGTCATTCCATGAAGCCAACCATTTTTTTAATAGTTCTAAATGCAGAATTTAAAATTCTGCTTATTTTTAAAAGTTTTATGGCATATTTATCAATTAATCAATAAAAATAGCATATAAATATATTGAAGAAATTATAGGACAATATCTACATAATTTTACTTCAGATATATTTTTGCTATATATAAATTGTAAAATTTATTAATATACTAGATAAAAAGACTTATAATTATTTATTAGTCTTTAGAGAAGACTCCAACATCTTTCTTGCTAGTTTTCCAAAGAATGGAGATAATAGAGGTTTAAAAGAGTTTCCAAATAAATAAAATAGCTGATGTTTCCAATGGCCACTTGTATAGTTTACAGCCCCAAGAGAGTTGCAAGCAGATTCGACACATTGGTCGACAGTTATAAGCAAAGGCTTTACTTTTATTTTTTGAGCTAATGGCGTATCAACATATCCAGGTCTCAAACTCAGCACATCAATCGAAGTATTATTGTTTTTTGCCAAATATTTTGCCTCTTCTGCAGTAATTAGCGAAAATAAGTGATCAAAGCTTTTCCCTCCACAATAAATTGCTGACCTTGGAAATGGCATCACAGAAATTATAGAGCTCAAATTAATAATTGCACTTCTTTGCTTTCTTGAAACCAAATCGGGCATGTAGAGTCTTGAGAGAAATGCAATTGGCCATAGATTTAATGCCATAGTGTTCAAAATTTCTCCAGAAGGCAAAAAGTTAAATACTTTAGGTCCAGGACCATATCCAATATTGTTAACTAGGATGCTAACATCTAAATCGCGTGTCTGATCTTTAATATCTTTAAAGAAATTCTGTGGATCTTTTGCTGAAAGTGAAAAGTCTTTGATAATGCATCTTGTTTTAATTGGGAATTTTTCTTCTATAGATTGAGCCAATTTCTTTAGTTTTTCTGGATTTCTTCCTATAAGAATGATATTAAATCCTTGAGAAGCTAAAAATTCAGAAAATCCAAGCCCAATTCCATCAGATGCCCCTGTAACTAAAGCCCAGCTGCCACGGCCATATAAAGAGAAATCAGTTTTTGCAAAGAAAGTTTTTAAAGTGTAGAAAAGATCAAGAATGATTTTGACTAGCGTCCAAACCCCAATGATAAAGCTGAGCCACTCTATAAAGTTTAACATTTTTATTATTAAAATGAATAGTTAAGATTGTATTCATCAAATAATTAAAAGTCAAAAAAATATTATAATGATGCAAGAAGATTTCAATAAATAAAATTAATGGCATCAAAGCAACACTAATTTTATCTTAAAAGTAATTCAATTAAATTTTGCTAATTTAGGGTATTTTTGATATTCTCATGACTATATGCTTTAACTAATTTTTTAAAAAAAGTCAAAAATGCAAGCCATAACTGTTAATCTGAAATTATTATTTATAAGAATGGATAATCACAAAGAAAACTCAGACTCAGACGCAAATCGACAAAGCAGTGATGCAGCATCAACTGATCGCTTATTATTAGAAGGATCTATAGCTACAAAAGAGCGCAAAAAATATGTGCATTGGCAAGTTCGAATAGGTGATTCGCCCGAACAAAAAGTGGTCATTGAGCTTGACTTTGCATCTTGCCCAAGGACCTGTGAGAATTTCTGGCAAATAGCAAATTCCTATAAAGATCTCAGTTATCGAGGCAGCTTATTTCACCGAATTGTACCGAACGGTTATATAGAGGGCGGATTTCTTAACTTATCCGACGGAACAAAGGCAAACTCGTCAATATACGGGACTTATTTTTCAGATGAAAACTACTCATACTTGCACGACAAGCCTGGAGTTATAGGAATGAGCAACAGTGGGAAGCACAAGAATGGCAGTGTTTTCTATATCACTTTAAGACCCATGGCACATCTAAATGGGGGGGTGAGGCGGAAAAAACCCCGCTGGTTTTTTTTCCGCCAACTTTTTTCACCGTTAAATTTATAGGAAAATTTTGAATTTCTCCAGATGGCGGAAAAAACCCCATAATAAAAAAAAAGTAGGGCGGAAAAAACCCCAGCGAAAACAAAAACCGTCAAAGTCAGAGGAAAAAACCCCAATATACAATATAATTTAAATGCTTAAAATGATAGGCAAATATTAGAGAAAATACAAATAAATATTTAGTTACAATAAATCAATTAAAGCAATATTAATATATGGATGTATAGATTTATTCTCAAAGTAACTATAAAGCTATGATTAACAAAAATAATAGAAAAATATAAAAATCAACTATAAAAAAAAATTTACAATCAAAACCTGGCGGAAAAAAACCCGAAACGGTGCAAAAACCAGAGGAAAAAACCCCGAGTATGGGGTGAAAATTGGCGGAATGTTTTTTTTTATAATAATTTTTTTTCAAATAATTATCAGCGAGGATAGATTTTTATATAACGATGACCCCCCCCAATCTTCATGTCTATTGCAACAAAAATGCAATTTTTTAATATAAAATGTTATATAGAAAAAATAATTTTCATATCTCTTGCAACAAATTTTCGATGCGCATCTAAAATTTTTCCTACTTTTTAGCAAGATAAGTTTAATAAAATGGCGAGCGATGACAATAGCCGTCCAAATCTCGATGAGAAGGTCATTGACATGCCTACAGCAGCGTTGTTTTATGATTTTTTTGAGAAACTCACCTAGAGAAAAATGCATTAAATCTTTTTTATAAAAATGTTGTGTTGAGTTGGCATAAATTTTTTTTTTCGAAAATTTTTGTTGCAATAGACATGAAGATTGAGGGAGGTCATCGTTATGTTTGTGGATTTTATAAATATTCAATACAATGAGTGAAGCTGATACAATTTAGCATATTTGCTCCAGTCTCATCAATCAGGTTAAGACTAAAATATATGCTTCCTTTATTATGTGTTTTTCAGGATATGTCGAGGATGAATAAAAGGTGAGCTAGTCTTATGCGTTGCAGGCGGATACACGTTTTGCTAGTACAGGATTTGTCGTAGTAGATACAAGGTGAACTAGCATAGCCCCTATATGATATTTTGATCCCTGTAGAACAATATCTAAATACCAAAAGTAGCTATCTAAACATTCTTCTAACAATGGCAAAGACCATTTGTATGGCCAGTTCATGTTTGGCTTGGCAAATACAATCTATAGAAAAAGTTTGCAAAGCCAAATCTGTACTTGCTATAAAAATAACAATTGTCATTGCCATTTTTACTTGTAAGATCGCTATTTTACCTCTTAAGGTATTCTTTCATAGCGATCTATATAGGATATATCGCAGTTGGATGCAGGATGATCTCTACAGGATGTGTCGCAGGCGAATACAAAATAAGCGAGCAGGATGTGCCACAAGCGGACGCAAGATGATCTAGTGCAGTTTGTGTCGCAGGTGAATACAAGATGAGCTAGTGCATGATGCATCGAAAGTAAATATATGGTTTAAGTATTGGATAGTATTAAAGTAAATTTTTCACCTTCTTGTTTATTATTCAAATAACTTTTTATAATTAGAACGCTGAATGATTTAGCAATATATATATTTCATGGATTGACAAACTAAAATGAAATAGCTTAATAATTAATTAATTAGCAGGTAATAAGCATTAAAAATCTATCCTCGCTGATAATTATTTGAAAAAAAATTATTATAAAAAAAAAAACATTCCGCCAATTTTCACCCCCATACTCGGGATTTTTTCCTCTGGTTTTTGCACCGTTTCGGGTTTTTTTTTCCGCCAGGTTTTGATTGTAAATTTTTTTTATAGTTGATTTTTATATTTTTCTATTATTTTTTGTTAATCATAGCTTTATAGTTACTTTGAGAATAAATCTATACATCTATATATTAATATTGCTTTAATTGATTTATTGTAACTAAATATTTATTTGTATTTTCTCTAATATTTGCCTATCATTTTAAGCATTTAATTATATTGTATATTGGGGTTTTTTTCCGCCCTAATTTTTTTTTTATTATGGGGTTTTTTCCGCCATCTGGAGAAAATTCAAAATTTTCCTATAAATTTAACGGTGAAAAAGTTGGCGGAAAAAAACCAGCGGGGTTTTTTTCCGCCTCACCCTAAATGGGAGACTAGTAGGTTTTGGAAGGGTTGTGGAAGGCTTTGATGTAATTAAAGCAATTTCACAAGTGCCTTGTAAAAATCAACGACCTTTGGTAGCATGCTCTATCCTATCAAGTGGGAATTACTTGAACTCTTTGCCAGACGAAAATAAAACGAGGCTTCACAAGGACCATTTTCAGAGCAAACTAGAAGCTGCTGATCTAAACACATTAATGAGCAGGAGAGAAGCAATTGTGAAAGAAATTGAAAGTACAAGGGAAGAATTAGAAGAACAGCGAAAATTCAGAGACGTCATTTCCAATTTAATAGCTGATATGATGGCCTATTAATAGTATAGCAAGTTAGGATGAACAGCACAGGGCTTTTTTGGCTTGCCGGCAAGCCGTGCTGTTCATCCTAACTCACTATAATAAAAATTAATCACAAATATTAGTATTTTCTTCATCAAAAAGACTTGTAGATCGAAACCTTGCATCTTTAGAACTCATTTTTGAATAATTTGTCATAGGCACTAATTCAACTGGTACATGCTTGCCTGAAGCGTCTAGTGTAGGATTAAACTCAAGCATTATTAGCTCTCTATGATCTTTTGGGTTCATAATATTGGATTTATATTGAGACAGGTTTGGAGAATTTAGATTTGTCGCCATCGGCATCAGACGGTTAGATCTCATGCTTGTTATTGATGATGGAGGTTTTGGCATAAATTTAGGGTCCCTTGTGCGTGGCTCACTTCTATATCTTGGTGCTGCTGCTATTTTCTGGATTTCAATTTGAGCGTTTGATGTATCACTCAGCATATTTTTCAGGATTTTTTTGCTCTCCCATCAATGTTTGGGGGAACTTAACCGTCTTTTAGGAGTGCTCTGGACATTTCTTCTGGAGGATCTTGAAATTGCATTCACATCAAAATTGAAGTTTTTCTTATTAATTGCATTTTTTATCAGCTGAAGATAAGGCTTTTGTTCTTCATTTGATGGAACTTCATCTAGCTGCTCTTGGGAACTTAGATCTGCACTTTCTTCTGTTTCTCCTTGCTTTTCTTCTGTCAACTCAGACTCTCTAATCATAGGTGTATTAGGAGCGATTAGAGGTAAAAAAGTTGTTAAAAATAAAATTTTTTCAAACTCTTTTGTAATTAATCAATCTTCAGCATTTTCTTTTAAGCTCATTGCTGTAAAATTAAATGCTGTTTGCCTCACATTCAAATCGATTTCATGCGATTTTGATAGAAACTTTAGCAACTTCTCTAATAAAGATCTGACAACTACTGTTTCCTCAAGCTGCTCAACACCATCTATGCAGAGCTGAATAGCTTGTGTGATATTATTTTCTGCAGCTGCTTTGAGCCCAGCGAGGCCCATTAAAATCAACCCATATAAGTTCTGAGTACTAAGGGTTGACATTTTCGATACCCTTTCTTTTCTTATGATAGAATTCAAAATTTGGCCTGCAGATTCTAAATATCCTGTAGCTTCTTTAAATCTTTTAATTTTTCATAAAGCAACAAAAGTCAGCATGTTAACAGAAATTCCGACATCTGGAAGCAAAATTCCTCCAGTTTCTTTTAATTTTATGATAGAATTTTGAGCTTGGAATAAAAGTTTGAGTGATTCCTGGTAATGTCCAACCCTCTATAGAAAAATTACTTATGGAAAAATAAAGCCAAAGCGGTATAAGTAATCAATGAGCCTTGCCAGCATTTGTCTGACTCTATTCCAAATCGTTGAAGGCCATTATCAGCGTCTGATGCTTTTCGAAGCATCTTTAGAGCATCAGATTGTAAGTTATATTGAAGAAAAATAATGCTTAAAGAGTTGCATAAGGTAATCAGCTTTTTATAGCCCTTGCCTATATCAATGCTGCGAAATCCAAGCAATTCAGGCAGCCTTTGTGTTTTATTTTCTAAATTGGTAACAATTTCCCAAACTTCAGATAAAGTGTGATACCTCTTCTTTGATTTTTTCATTTAAATTGAATTATCATTGACTTAAGGAATTTAAATTATATAAAATTTGATAAAAGAAAGTATTATAAGAATAATTTCAATAGTTATATTAGAATTAGTCATTAATAAATTGTAGACCAGGCTTTACAAATGATTTTTATGCCTAAAATTTGTTTATTTGAAGTCAAATTAATGACAATTCTCAGTTCGATAACGGATTTTATGTTAAAGTCTGACATTTATTTTAGTAAATTATTATAGTAGCCATAATATATGAATCCAACACAAGTTCTATCAGGGTGAATTATTGATTTATCAGAAGGCAGAACCTTAAAAAACTCAGCATGCAAAGAGCTAATAAATGAAGCTTTTGAGCCATTAAACAAAACTGGATATTTAGAAAAGCTTGACCAATTTTATAACACAATTCGAAATTTATCATATAAAAACAATGAGCCAGTTTACGACCTAAAGCTTCTTGAGCATTTGCTCTTGATTCTGGACTATTGCTTTATTGATTCATACAAAATCTGAGCAAGCCATTTTGAAGAATTTTTGCAAAAAGGGTCGTTGTCCACTGAGTCATATACACCAGACTGGAAAAACAATATTTTGAATAATGACTCAGAGAATTTTGAGAAAATTCCAGTAAAACAATCAATTCTAAAGCCTGGAGATCGATACTTGCTAGGAAAATCAACTCTAGTAATCACAGAAATAAAAGCAAATGGCAATCTATGCTTAGAGTGAAAATCTGTGCATCAAAGCAGCTTTCACAAAATAAACGATTATGATAAAATACTAATGATTGGAAGAGGCAGGAGTTGCTATTTTTAATTTAATATTCATTAAAATGGCAACACTGCCAGCTTGCCCTCTTGGTGTAGCATTCCAGACCTTATTGCTATGGCAACTTTACGTACTCCGAGCTGAGAATCAAGCGCAGCCTGCTTTCCTGTTGTTGGAAATGGAGGTGTCCAGAAATTTCATTTGGATCTGAGGATCATGACATTCCTCTATCGAGAAACTTGGGGGCCCATGCCATAGCGAAATAGTTTTTTTCCTGTAGCAGTTCGCCAGATAGACTCGAAGGAGTTGATCCTTGGAATTGAACTACTGCAATCGCCCATAGCAGAGCGCAGAAATTCATAAGCACTCAAGACTGAAGATGCAAGGGGAGACAAAAAGTGCCGGAAGTGGCATCCACAGCGGGAAAGACACCGGTTTTAGTCGAAAAGCTGTTTACCTCCCGTACGGGAAGTTTTTGGTGGCACGTCACCAATATGGCTAACCCCTAATCTCACCTGCTATTTTCAATTTAACACAGACTACCATATGTCAATGCATCATGCATGAATACACAAAAAGAATGGATTTTGAAAAATATCAGATAATGGCTCCAGAAATGGTGTTTGAAAATTGATTTAATTATTTTTAACCTCACTTTTTTCAATATTCAGAAAATTATCACGCTGGACATTTTTATCCAATAGCTTGAATCGAAATAAATTTGTCCATTTTTTATTAATAAAATTGTAAACCATTTTATAAAAATATAAAATCTTCAAATGATAGATCAAGAAATTTTATCAAATTGGCTTTTCAGCCTTTCAACCTCAGACCCGTTTATTCTTTCACACTCTCAAACACAAATTAAATGCACACTTGAGCAGCTTATCAATCAACCAATTTCTGCTCAAAATTCAGACTTCTTCAAGAGTATGCTTGAGCTGGCATGCCATAGTCTTGAAGAAACTTGCTACAAATTGAAGCTAATCGAGTGTATTTCACTATTACTTGATTACTTTTTTATCAACTCATTTAACAACCTGACTTTTCATTTTGAAGAATTTTTGAAGTTCGGCCCAAACATTGATAACAGATCAGTGTGTTCAAAAGACACTGCTTCTGATAGTGAAAGCGTACTCCTCCATATTTAAAACAATCATAAATTCAATATTTATATAATAATTAAAATATTATTGCATTTTCTATTGGAAAAGTTAGAAAACGAAGTTCAAATAAAAATTCAAAGTGAAGTTTTGGAAACTGGAAAAGTCTTCCAGATGGGCGATGCCACAATGAAAGTCATTGAAGCAAAAGTCGGAGAAGGAGTTATTTTGAACTGGGAGTTGCACAATAAGCAATTTCAATTCAGAGTTTTGGATAATGAAAATAAAGAATTCAAAATTGGAAGAAGCTCAGATTGTCATCTAAGATTCAAAGATGACTTCAAAATGTCTAAACATCACGCTTTAATTCGAAAAGAAAAAAGTTCGTGGGTTTTAAGAGATCAGGGATCAAAAAATGGCACTTGGAGGCTATTAGATCATGAAAAGAAATTTCAGCTACAAGTTGTGTAAATAGATGAACAAAGTAAAACTACAAAAATTAAAGCAAGATATTTTTTGCTTAATTTGATCTTATGAAATTTAATTTATTTTTACTAAAATAATTTTGTGCGAATATATATTTTTAAATAAAATAATTGATAAGTATAGCCCAGGACGAATTTTAGCTTGCTCTGGGCTACAAACTTAATTCCAACTCGTAGAGTTGCTCCAAACCAACTCTAATAGCTATCCAATGGAAACTATAGGTAAACATGTAGATTTGATTTGGAGCAACTCCACGAGTAGATCCAAAGTTTGCAGTCCAGTGCGAGCTGTAAGCAGTCTTGGGCTATAGGGAGTAAATACAAGTGTTGGAGTTTTGTTATAATTTAACCAACTGTAAATTCAAATAATTCTTGTGTTAAAAATTAAAAAAAAACTCTGCTAAATATATTCAGTATAGACGACATTTTGAAAGCTAAAATTAGAAAGCTGATAAATTACTTTTATCTTTCAATAAATCTTTAAACATAATATTTATTTTTTAATAAATAATTTTGTGAAAGAGAAAGTTTAAAGCAAAATTTATAAAGTCTATAAATTTTAATGATTCAATATTATCACAAGGCATGATAAAATATTTAAATTAACTAAATTCCATACATCCGTAAATTTAAAAATATCTGGAAAGGAAAAATTAATTTATTTTAAAAATTTTTTTAGATGTTAGCAATTTTAAAATTCAATAAAATTAGTTCGAGATTCTTTTATAATAACAATATAATTATTAATTATCTATCTAATTTTTTTATTTATTTTAAAAAAATTTTACTATCTCGAGAGTTTTTTCCCAAAGTATAGGAATTTTTTCAATGCTTTACTCACTCACGGGAAGAGTAATGCTTTATATTTTAGATTTTAATATTTTCCTGAATTTTTCTTGCTTTTTGACGATTTACAAGTGCTCTTATTGACTTTCTGATAAAGCGGTCCTCAACCACATGGAATATTGAGTCTTCAAATCCATCTTCGAATGTCAATCATTTTATCTCGCAATCTCCGCTATCATATCTATCAAGAATCTGCCAATATTTCCAATTTAAATGTCTGATAAGTTTTTTACAAGGATTTTCTGATGAAAATTTCCGATTAGTATAATTTATAATTTTGTTACGACCTTTTAATTGAGCTTTTCTTCTGTTGCAAATATATTCATTTTCAGCTTTTGGAACTGTATCCCATCAATTATAGTAATCTTCTCGTCCATCCCCTCAGGCTTCACAGCTCCTTTCTGTACTCTTTTTTGTCCTTTTATCACTATTTATCCCAGATAAGGGTCTTCTCATATTGTTTTTACTTTTCCCGGCTCAATGCTTTACATCTTTCGCATTTTTCTTTGGCTTTGAATAAGGCACAAAAATTTCATCCATTTTTAAATAAATATGATAAAATAATCAGATTTATTCCGATTAATTAAGCTTTGACAGTTTCATTTTTATGGATTTTTTTCATATTTCATGAACTGTTTTAGTTTTGGGTTTTCAATAAACAAAATCTTTATTTTCCAGGGCTTTATCCATTAGCAATTGCTTTCCATTATATTTACCTCTTGTAATCATCGAAATTTTTTCAATAATTTTTGGAATTTTTGGTGTTTTTAATGCTTCAATATATAGTTCCCAACTTTTAAGCCTAAAATACATGCTGCAGCATCACCAAGATTTCCGGTTTTTATAAAGATTTCAATTTTCTCTTTGATTCTTCTACAAGAATTGGCCGAGGTATTCCTGATGTAAAGCTTGAAATTTCAAGCTCAGGCTCTTTATAAATCCCTTTTAAAAATTCATTTAAATGGCACTCTTCAAATGGGCCAATAAGCAAATCAGACTGAAATGCGCTCAGCATCTTTGCTATAATAGAGAGCTTATATCAGGAATGCTAATTTTTGTTCTGGTTTAACTAGTTCAAAACCTTCAATAATTATTATATGATGGTGGACACCTTACTCCCCTCTCTCCGTGAGTGAACAAATAAATTTTGTTCACTCACGGAGGGGGGTTAATTTTTTTTTTAAAACAATTTATATAAATTTTATAGAAAAAATTTTTTTTCGAAATTTTAAAAAAAAATCCTAACTTGCAAAAATTGCGAAGCAAATATTAATTTAATTTATAAAATTTATGTTTTAAAGTGAAAGCTGTTTAAAATTAAACAGAATTAGTTCGAGATTTCATTTATAGTAATTATCACTTATATCAATTTTTTTTCATAAAAATTTTTTTCTATTAAAAAAATTTTTGTTCACTGACGGAATGTGGGCTTTTGGGCAAAAATAGGGATTTTTTTAATGGTTTTGTTCACTCACGGAGGGGGTGAGTTAAGAAATAAAACAGCTGAGATTTTGAGTAAACCAAACAATCGCGAATTAGAAATAGATTTCAGAACAACTTGCTCAGCAATTCAGACCAATTCTTTTGATCCACCACTAATGCAAGCTTACCAAGATTATCTTAATGCTTATCAACAAAAGACATCTCTTTATAATATTATAGGAAATAATAAAGACAACATAACCAGTTTAATTATTTATAACACTGAAACTGAAACAGAAGAAGTCAAAACTTTGCAGACTTCAGATTTACTAGGCACAAGTACTTGCATAACTCAACTTCCAAATGGCAAGCTGTTCTGTTTTGGGAATTATTATCGGCATTCTGGAATTACAATGCTAATTGATACAAATGGTGAAGTCGAAGTGCTGCCATCTGGAACTCCTTGCCAATTATCATCATGCATCTATTTCGACAACAGCGTCTATTGCTTTGGAGGATGTACTAATAAATGTATTTCAACTCTATCTAGTAGATTCGATTTGGATCTAAACCATTGAATTCATTTAACTCCAATGCAATATCCTGATTTTCGGTGCAGTAGTATAATATTTAATGGAAATATTTTGATTTCTAGAATGATAAAGAGAAAACTTTTGTTATACTCAATTGATATTGACTCTTTCTCGATAATTCCTCATAAGTTTAAATGAACTACTCAAAAGATCCTGATAAATGCAGAAAGACCATATTTGATTGAATGTCCTGGATTAATCTATGAAAGCGAAATTGGAAGTTACTTGAATTGGAGACAAATAGGAAAATCAGCAATCTAAACTTAACTTAATTATTCGGTGTTTAAGGTGTCTAGTGCCGCAGTCCCAAAATGGGAACTTTTAGCTAACTAGTGACGTCACAGAGCCATCTTGGAATCGCGGTGGTCAGCCCAACCGGCCAAGCCTTCTATCGACGCTTCGTCCCTAGCCGCCGCACATCTCACCCGCGCGTTGCCGTCGCTCTGCCTTGACTCAGCTCCTGCGCGTGTTCCGCCTAAGGGTCTTCTTCCCGTGGAGAAGTGCTGAGGGTTTAAAAATCCGAAATCTTGAATGTACTGAGGAGCTGTTCCTTTGGTTATCCCAAAGTTAAACAGCTATTGCTGTGCAGAAGTTCTCGAGAGAAAACCCAACCCCATAAATAAAATTCCATGAAGGAGAGAAAATTAGCAGAGCTAATTTCTCTCGAACCGAATGCCATTTTATTTATAGAAAATCAGCAATCAATCAAAATTTTCATCAAGTGGATCGTTCATATAATAAAGGAGGAATATGCATCTCATTTATATCTGGATCACTTAAAGAATATTATTGTTTTAATTTAAATCAAAAAACCTTTATTGATTTTGCTTACTATAATGAGCATGTTTCACTTAGAAAAGTAGGCAAAAAGATTGAAGCAATAGAATGAAATATTCAGAGTTTTAAGCTCGATCCTTATTTTCTGGATGAATGAGGTATAAAAGGCAATACTCTACACTGTTTAGGACAAAATCTAGAAAAAATCGAACTCTCTGACGAAAGAATCAAGTTCGATCCTTCCAACATTGATGCAATAATTTGTAAGGGCGAAGCTTTTCATGATTTAGAAAGATATCTAGAAGCAATCGACTGCTATGATGAAGGAATCAAAATCGATACATACGGCGATGCTTATTTGTACTATAGCAAAGGCAAAGCTTTAGATAAATTAAAAAGATATCTTGAAGCAATCGAATATTATGACAGAGCAATCAAAATCAATTCAAAGAATGCTGAATTTTACAATAATAAAGGCAACGCTCTTTTTGATTTAGAAAGATATCTTGAAGCAATCGAATGCTATGACAAAGCAATCAAGCTCAATCCAAAAAATGCTGATTTTTACTATAATAAAGGCAACGCTCTTTATGGTTTGCAAAAATACCTAGAAGCAATCGAATTTTATGATGAAGCAATTAAGCTCAATCAAAGCAATGCTGACTTTTACTATTATAAAGGCAAATCTTTTTATGGTTTGCAAAGATACCTAGAAGCAATCGAATGCTATGACGAAGCAAGCAAGTACCTTCCATCCAAAGCTGATATTTATAATCATAAAGGCACAGCTTTTTTTGATTTAGAAAGATATCTAGAAGCAGTCGAGTGCTTTGATAAAGCAATCAAACTCGATCCAAACAATGCTGATTTTTACTATAAGAAAGGATGCTCTTTATATAAATTAGGAAGTTATCCAGAAGCAGTAGAAAGGTATGATGAAGCAATCAAAATCAATCCAAATAAAGCCAAGTTTTATAGTGGTAGAGGCAATACTCTTTATATTTTAGAGAGATGTCAAGAAGCAATACAATGCTATGATGAGGCAAACAAACTTGAGCCCGATAATCCTTTGCATTTCTACTGCCGAGCTAAAGTATTTAATAATCTTAGACAAGAAGAAGCTGCTTTGCAGGACTTTAATAGGGCTTATCATTTGAAGCAAGAAAATCAAGAAGGTGGTGCTTTCAATAAGAATGAATGGAACCTTTCTGAAAAAGATATCAATTTTATTAATGACGTATTAGGCCGAGACCGTATTGAACTACTCCGAAAAATGCAGATTTAAATAAAATTTGATTATTAGATTATTATTAGTTCAAAATTTTCAATTCCAGGGTTTGTATCCAAAATATTTTAAATACCAGACAGTTTTCACATGCTTCCGCCGAGCTCAAAAGAAAAATTAATTAAATTCAATGCTAAGTGTGTAAAATCCCTTAGGGAAATACTCATTTTGAGCCTCAATATCAAATTCCAATTGTTTCTTCAGGTCAAGAATGTTTATTTTTATTAGCATCGCTATTTCTTAAATGCGTAACAAAAAATGGTCAGTGGCGAGCGTCCTGTCTTTTGTCTTTATGTATATCTGGATTTGGTTGTTTGGTGCAGAGAACTTCCCAAGGGTGGTTAACTTTGAAGAGAGATGCCCAGCACTATTTCTGCTGATTAGTAACTTCCATCAATAGCAAATTTGTGACATCGGCATGCAAATTTTTATCAATTTTGATCATGGAATCGTAGCCAATAATTTCTAGACAAAAATTCTAGAGCTTTATGAACAAATGGATATATTGCAATAAGTTACTAAATTTTCTGCAACGCCTTTTGCATCAGAAATAGGAGATCCATTCATTGAACAGCTTTTATCAATATCAAACAAAGAATAAACGGATTGATTGCTATTTATCCTTTCAGACTCAATATTTGGAATATGAAAACTTATCGAAGCATACTCTCAGCAAGATGGACAAGCTCAGCTTTTATTTTCCATTTTTATATTACTTATAATTATTCTATCGGAGAAGATTATATACTGGTACAATGTAAACGGTTATTAATTTAGTTAGGATACTTGTTATTTAAAAATTTTAATGAAAAAATTTAATTAATTTTTAAGCTATCTATCTTCTTGGGGCATTAAATCAAACAAATTAATGTTACGGCCTTTTAAAGATCTTAATATGGAAATCAATTATTCTAAGCACTGGGTTTTGCAATCATGAGATGGAAAATAAATCATGATAAAATTTAATTAATAAAATTAAAATAATTTATTTGCGATGATAAAGCGGTGTATGGTCCTAATATTAGTGGCTATCTCAATAAAGGCTTTAAATGATTTTGGCACAATCTATTTAACATACAATGAGTCAACCACTCTTAGACTTCACGATTATTTCTCACAAAATGAAATAGATTTCTATATATCAAATACGAATGCGACAGAAAAAGATATTATTTTAAAGCACAAATCAAGTCTGGACTTAATTTCATACATTTCCACTCCTCTAGGCTCATTCGAAGATAATTCTACTCAATTTAGCCAGCAGTTCCCATATTTTGAGCTTTCAGAAGGGATCATCTTCTTTAGGCATGATGATAATTATCTTTTTTCTTATAGGTTTTCCAAAAATAGCCAAAAAATAGAAAAATTATGATCAATGCAAGTTGTGAATGGCACAATTTCTCAAGTTATAGCTTTTTATATTCTTAGTACTCCATATTTGCTTATATCATCCAGATTTTGCACTAATAGCGCTTGAGATTTGTGAGAAAGTGAATTATACATTCTTGAGCTGATAGATTTTATTAATCCTGGATTTCTCGTCAAGCTTGATATTTGAGATATAAAATACTTGTCAGATTTTAAAATTTTTGCAGGTAAAGACAATTTAAATTGTTTTATTATCTCTGGAAAGTTTAATAGTGGAAAACAATCTTTGTTCTTTTATAAAGCTTTATTTTCGAATGAAATAAACTTTTATTTAGTTCAGTCATTTGATTATTATATAGGCTTAGCTGAGTTTGAAAGCAATGATTTAAATGCTATTCAAGGAATTCCTACAATAAATCAGTTTTTAATATTAGACTCAAAATTAGGCCTATTTATTTATGATTCTTTCCATAGAGCAGGTTTAAGCTTTAGAGGCTATCTTGATCTAAGAAAATATGGCAATTTATATAGCTTATCTTTTATACTAGACCTTCAGTTATACATAATTGGATCAGACGCTGGAGCAATTTTAATTTCCTCTAAGCTTTATCATAATGAATATTCTTTGATCACAATTTATGATGTGATTGGAAAACTTGTGCCAACAATTAATGCAGACAAGTATGGCAGTTTGTGTTTTCTCCAAATAGAGTTGGAAGAATCTCGCCATTTACTTGTTTTTGAATTGGCAGGCTCTGAATCAGCCCCTCCACAGTTTTTAGGGAATTTCAACTTAAAAAAGATAGTTGGGAATGATTTTAATAGGAAAGGAATGTGGATGCTATTACAAATAGAAGGCAAAACAGTTTACATTAGACATGATTTTGATGGAATTAGAATATTTGCTTTAAATTTGGAAGATTGAACTTTAAAATTATGAGGAAATAACTCTGTTTATGCTGAGATTATTGGGAAATCTAATAATTCTAAGAAAAAGATTGTTAAAAAATCACTTAACGTTATTTCAATTCCATTAGGATCATATGAAATTTACCCCTTAAACGCAGCTGTACACAATAGACCAATAGATTTATACTTGGGGGAGAGCAAATCATTCCTTTCGCTTGCTCAGCAAGTTTACCTCTCAGGACCCAACCTAACATATGAAATAAAGAGCACTGACTTTTCGGAACTTTTTAATGTCAGTCTAATAACACCCAAATCTGAGCAAACTGAAATACTATTCCCAGAAAATACTAAAAAAATCTCGTTATCTTATTCCAAGATTGCCTATTCTTCTCGAAATACCATTAAATTTAACGAACCATCCGATATCCAAGATTTGATTCTGCCAGATTCGTTAAATGTTCTAAATATCATATGAACTTTAAACTTCAATAACTATATCATACTTGAAGTTGAAGAAAACTTACATTACACAATCATGGTATATATAATAGATATATATGGGAATAAGCCTTTATTTTCAAAAATTCACTCGAATATTGATTGCTTATTTTTCAAATCTTATTCTGTTCATGGCATTGAAGTCTTTGCATGCGCTGATCATGAAAATATTGATGTATATTTAATTAATCTGACGATTGAGAAATGTTTATCATTGGACAGAGAACGTCTAAAGTTTGATGGAAAGTTTTGAATAACTGGATTAGAAATTTTTGCTCGTCAGATATTGCTACCCCAAAAAACATTTGATATCGAAATTTTAATATATGTTGCCTTTATCAATGAAATTTCTCTTATTAAAATTAGATTAGACAGATTTAAAGGATTTATAAACATTGATTATAAATTTGCTGACCTTCAAAATGAAATCATTGATCTTTCTATTACGTTTGACCATATTGCCTTACTTTTTGCTGACTGCAAAGTTGGTATATATGACAGGAACTTATCAATAGTAAAAACTCTTGGGCCTCATTATAAAGGAAAAGCCAAAGGAATTCTGGCTATAGACTTGATTATATTTATACAAGCTGATAATGAAATCCTTGTTTATGACTGAGGTTTCTTAGCTCATGATGCACTAAAATATTCATTTTTAATAGGCAGTTCTTGCAGGCTGGCTAATGAATTACAAAAAGAATTGTCATTTTCAAACACGGAAATTCCTATTCTTTGCAAAACAAGTGAAAAGTTTGCTTTAGAATGATATACACTTCAATGCTATAGTCAATATTTATCCTTGCATCGATGCTTTAATTTTGGTCTCATAGAATTAAAATCGATGCAAGAATTGACAAAGAATTTTGTAAAAGAAGGCAAAATATCAATTTTAGCCCAAAATTCTGTATATCACTCTACAATAGAAATAAAGGTAAATTTGCATATAAATGGAGATAAAATCTGAGTGGATGAAGCCAAATTCCCATCTAAATTGAATGTCCCATATAGCAGAGATAAAATGATTGATTTAAACAGCATTGTCCATGGGAACAATACCTATATATGTACGAAAATAAATGGTTTAATGTATGAAGACATAAACCTTGCCTATTCCCCAATTCTTCTCCATAGAAATTTTAATGAAATTCTATCATTGCCATTAGGAAAAAATAAATTCAGCTCTGGACACTTTTATGCGAAAGCTGCAAACAAACTACTTCTTTTAACAGAATTAAATTCAGAACTTATTATTTTAAATTTTAATTATGAAAACTCTACAATAGATGCACAGTTAGCCTTAAAGGAATTGATCAACAATACCAGTATAAGGTGTTTAAGCATTAATGCAATTGACTTTGATGATAATAATATTTTGATATTTATCATTTGCGTTTGTGGGAATGAGAATGAAGTGCTTTGGAATGAAAAAATAAATCGCTTCTACCAAAAAGATAGAGCGCTAATACTTATAGTTGAGTATGATTATCTGAGAAAGCAAGTTCTGAAATCAAAGTATGTCCCTCTGTTTTCATCAAATTACGATTTGAAATCTGTCAAACTAAGTAATCAGAGATTTGAAATCTTTCTATTTGAAAATTATAAAGCTGCTGCACAATCTTGAATTAATAAGCATATCATTAGATTTGAAGGTAGCAGGAGTAAAAGTACAATTGAGATTAGCAAGAAAGAGGAAATTAGTCTTTTATCACTTGGGCTTGACTCATTTTTAGTAGAATCAGCTGATATAGTATTATCAAGATTTGGCCAAATATTACTATATGCTATAGATTCAATGTATGGATTAAGAATCATTAGGATACAAGAAAATGGCCCAGCTGAAATTGTAGGTGGCATAGCTCATCAAAGTCCAAATTATTTCAAATATGCATGCTCTTCTAGAAACCTCCTCTATATTATAACTGAGAAAATGGAATTATTAGAATATATTATTGATGATTTCCAAACGCCAGCCCTTTCACGAGTATTTTATTCAGATTCAAATAGGGTGTGGGAGATTTTATCGATCAAATTAATTCCTTATCAAGTGAGCAGCTATATTATTGCTTTATTCAAAAAATATGGTAAAGGTATTAATTTAAGAATTTGAAATGAGTATGACTGATATGATTTACTAATTGAAGACGCCTTAGATGTATTTGCTTTTGAAAGCGATCTAGGCGAGAAGAATATGCTTTCTTTTATAAATATTCACACTTCAACGTTCAGGCTAATCTCTTTGGGTAAATGATATATTGATATTCCAATATATGGGCAAAAAAGAGGTGAAAAAATTGAGAAAATATGAGGCACAGATGAGTTTAGAATACAATTTTATGCAAATAATACTTATAGCAATGCTAGCTCTTCAGTAATGGTTCTGAAAAGAGGACATGCTCAATCAAATAACTCACCTCCTTGATGGTTGTGGATTTTCATGTTCGCTGCAGCTGCAATTATTTTATTCATAATTGGTCATTGTGTATGCTATATGAGAAATAGGAAAAATAAAAGAGACTATGAATTGATTAATGAAGGATTGATGCTAAAAGAAATTAATCAGGTATCTTAAAGCTTTCTATGTAGAAGATGAAGATGGTAAGCTAATCTAATAATGATTCATATCATCATTAATATTTATCACGCCTGAGGCGTCTTAATTTTTTTCTCTTTGTAATTTTCTTGATAAATTCCTCAGCATGAACATCAATTTCATCAATCTGACTCCTTGTCAATTCCAACTTGTTTTTTTCTTCTCCATATCTTCAAGAATCCAGCACAGCATCCACCAAATTCAAATCTTCAACAGCATCTATTTATGTCTCAGTAATTTCGTTCTTTCATTATTAAATTTTGGACAATCTTCTATTAAATGCTTTTCATCCTGTATTTATCAGTTGCAATGTTCACAGATCGTGTTTTTCGTCTAATGCCTTACAAATGTGCACAAGTTCGTGAGTTAAAACCTGCTCTTAACCTGAAAAGTTCTCTTGTGCCGTTCACATCTTTAGGATTAAGTTTTGTGAATTCAGCCATTTTTCAAGTAACAGCATTCATATCGCAAAATAATGTCGTGGTTTTTCAGGTTTTCTTCTCGCATCGGTTGAATGCACCATTCCCTATCAGCTCTTCATATAGCCATATGCATTCTTCTTCGCCATCGCTTCAGATTTTCCCCTCCTGGTAACATGCAATCATCCAGCCCGTATTTGTCCAATAATTCTCTACATCATTTTTCTCAACCCAGTTTTTCCTCATAATTGATTTTTACTAAATTTTTGAGTATGCTCCCTTCTTTTGCATTTGATACTTTCGCCCAGAAAAATAAAGCTCTTTTATCCAGCAAGGCTCTTGCAGACATCATCCCTAGGTCTATTAGATGAATTTCATTTGCTGTAGCTTGTAGTGAATTTCGGATAACTCTTAGCCCTCTACATTGAATCTTCTCCATCTCAGCAATTATCCTTTCAGTAATTTCCTCCCTTGAGGCTGCTTTTGTTGCGTACAGAGCTAAATAATGATTCATAAGTATGTCTGGAATGCCTATTAAATAAAAAGGATTATAAATAAATAAGAAATTTTACTTCATTCTAGTGAATATTGTTTTTCTTTTCAATCCTATTATTTTTTCTTATCTTACTTTATTTTTTTGATAGAAGGAGGGTTTAAAGATCTTTTGAACTTATTTTATTTTTTATATAATTTGTTTTAATTATCAGTTCCGATTAATGCCCATAAAATTTTAAAAAATATATCGGCTTATTTGAACAAAGAAGCATAAATTTTGAGTCTTAATGATTTGCTTTGATTTTTGTATTAAGAGATGGAAAATAAGTCATGATAAAATTTAATTTAAGTTTAAGTTTAATTGAATTACTCTTAAATGCAGTTTCCTTGCTTGAAGTCCAACTTGATTAACAGCTCTGAACAACGGTAGGGGTACCGGCCTAACGTCGAACCGTTAATGTTAACAAGTCCGTTAAGACTTTTCTAGTCAGTGTCAGACTCAGCACTGGCCTCTTCACATTCTCTCGAGACTCTCAAGAGGTTCGCCCTCCTTCACTAAGCTCGAGAACTGGGCCCGATCAGCAGAGCAGGGTTTAGGACCTATCTCTAATTGATATTTTTAATATTGTAAAATTTAATTAATAAAATTAAAATAATTTATTTGCGATGATAAAGCGGTGTATGGTCCTAATATTAGTGGCTATCTCAATAAAGGCTTTAAATGATTTTGGCACAATCTATTTAACATACAATGAGTCAACCACTCTTAGACTTCACGATTATTTCTCACAAAATGAAATAGATTTCTATATATCAAATACGAATGCGACAGAAAAAGATATTATTTTAAAGCACAAATCAAGTCTGGACTTAATTTCATACATTTCCACTCCTCTAGGCTCATTCGAAGATAATTCTACTCAATTTAGCCAGCAGTTCCCATATTTTGAGCTTTCAGAAGGGATCATCTTCTTTAGGCATGATGATAATTATCTTTTTTCTTATAGGTTTTCCAAAAATAGCCAAAAAATAGAAAAATTATGATCAATGCAAGTTGTGAATGGCACAATTTCTCAAGTTATAGCTTTTTATATTCTTAGTACTCCATATTTGCTTATATCATCCAGATTTTGCACTAATAGCGCTTGAGATTTGTGAGAAAGTGAATTATACATTCTTGAGCTGATAGATTTTATTAATCCTGGATTTCTCGTCAAGCTTGATATTTGAGATATAAAATACTTGTCAGATTTTAAAATTTTTGCAGGTAAAGACAATTTAAATTGTTTTATTATCTCTGGAAAGTTTAATAGTGGAAAACAATCTTTGTTCTTTTATAAAGCTTTATTTTCGAATGAAATAAACTTTTATTTAGTTCAGTCATTTGATTATTATATAGGCTTAGCTGAGTTTGAAAGCAATGATTTAAATGCTATTCAAGGAATTCCTACAATAAATCAGTTTTTAATATTAGACTCAAAATTAGGCCTATTTATTTATGATTCTTTCCATAGAGCAGGTTTAAGCTTTAGAGGCTATCTTGATCTAAGAAAATATGGCAATTTATATAGCTTATCTTTTATACTAGACCTTCAGTTATACATAATTGGATCAGACGCTGGAGCAATTTTAATTTCCTCTAACTCCCCCCCCCCCTCCGTGAGCGAACAAAAAAATTTTGTTCGCTCACGGAGGGGGGTTAATTTTTTTTTTTAAAAAAATTTATATATAAATTTTATAAAAAATATTTTTTTCGAAATTAAAAAAATCCTAATTTGCAAAAATTGGGAAGCAAATATTAATTTAATTTGCAAAATTTATGTTTTAAAACGCAATTTGTTTAAAATTAAACAGAATTAGCTCTAGATTTCATTATACTAATTATCACTTATATATCAAAATTTTTTTCCATTAAAATTTTTTCTATTAAAAAAATTTTTGTTCACTCACGGAGGGTGGGTTTTTTGGTCAAAAAATGGCGATTTTTCTAATGGTTTTGTTCGCTCACGGAGGGGGGGGGGGGAGTAAGCTTTATCATAATGAATATTCTTTGATCACAATTTATGATGTGATTGGAAAACTTGTGCCAACAATTAATGCAGACAAGTATGGCAGTTTGTGTTTTCTCCAAATAGAGTTGGAAGAATCTCGCCATTTACTTGTTTTTGAATTGGCAGGCTCTGAATCTTAATCTTAATTAATCTATGCATGCTTAACGCCTATCAGGCTGCTGGACCTCAGGGTTAAATTTCGCCCCATTTTTCCTGTGGCCGTCTCTGATTTTGATCACCAAAGGAGGACGTCAGTCTTGAAGTGTGGGCTATGATGAATCTTCTGAAAGCTCAAGCACTTACTCGGGTCAGATCAGCACCCTAAAGATCCCCATCTCAACCGCTCTGGAACCCAGAAAATTCGAGCAAAGACATATTTTAATTATAGGAACTCTAAATCAGCTCCTCCACAGTTTTTAGGAAATTTCAACTTGAAAAAGATAGTTGGGAATGATTTCAATAGGAAAGGAATGTGGATGCTATTACAAATAGAAAGCAAAACAGTTTACATTAGACATGATTTTGATGGAATTAGAATATTTGCTTTAAATTTGGAAGATTGAACTTTAAAATTATGAGGAAATAACTCTGTTTATGCTGAGATTATTGGAAAATCTAATAATTCAAAAAAAAAGATTGTTAAAAAATCACTTAACGTTATTTCTATTCCATTAGGATCACATGAAATTTATTCCTTAAATTCAGCAGAACACAATAAATCAATATAGTGTATTAAATATATTTTTTATCCCTCGATGTGCTAAAGCTGAATTTTAATATGTTGAAATAAAAATAATCATACTTTTGCATGCTTAATAGAAAGATAGAAGAAACTATTCGAAAGTATCATAGATTTATACTTGGGTTTGAACAACCAATACCTTTCGCTTATTCCTCAAGTTTACCTCTCAGGACCCAACCTAACATATGAAATAAAGAGCACTGACTTTTCGGAACTTTTTAATGCTTGTCTAATAACACCCAAATCTGAACAAACTGAAATACTATTACCAGAAAATACTGAAAAAATCTCGTTATCTTATTCCAAAATTGCCTGTTCTTCTCGAAATATCATTAAATTTAACAAACCAAACTTTATATTAGATTTGATTCTGCCAGACTCGTTAAATATTCTAAATATCATATGAACTTTAAACTTCAATAACTATCTAATAATTGAAGTTGAAGAAAACTTACATTACACAATCATGGTATATAGAATAGATATACATGGGAATAGCTATAGGATTTGCCCTAGGATGGCGCTATATGGCGCCATCCTAGGGCAAGCGAAAATTGGCTCCACACGGGAACCGTATTCCACGTGTGGAGCCATTTTTCCACGTGTGGAATCCACATTTTCCCACGTGGAAAAAATGGCTCCACACGTGGAACACAATTCCCGTGTGGAGCCGTGTCTCCAATTGCCCGAGGATGGCGCAATATAGCGCCATCCTCGGGCAATTTCTATATTTATTTTCAAAAATACACTCGAATATTGATTGCTTATTTTTCAAATCTTATAATGCTGATGGAATTGAAGTTTTTGCATGTGCTCATCATGTTAAAAATAAAATGGTGTCTCGACTTGGGCATTGTATTAATGCATCTCGGGCACTTATTTATATCTGGCAAGGCTTTGCCAACCCAGAATAGACAGCTATGCTAGTAAAGCAATTTTGCCTAGCATTAGTCCACTCACGATTGGTTTTTATCTTGAGGGAAAGGTAGGCTCAGAGGTGGGGTTCAGCAGCATCTACAGGTAGTACCTAGACTATTCGGACAACTCTCTAGCGTGAAACCGAGAATTAAGCCTCAGGCTGGATTTGAGTGAGGGTGAGTCATCTTACTCAAAGAAGCTCTTCCTGTCGATATTACATAAAGGCGTATCCCCTACGGGGATCCTTGGTAATTGTAATAACCAATAGGCGAGCAGCCAAGACCTTTAATAAGTTTAAGTTTAAGCATGCGCTGATCATGAAAATATTGATGTATATTTAATTAGTATGACGATTGAGAAATGGTTATCATTTGACAGAGAGTGTCTAAAGTTTGATGGAAATTTTTGAATAACTGGATTAGAATTTTTTGCTAGTCAGGTATTGCTACCCCACAAAATATTTGATATAGAGTCTGCATCGCTATTGATTTCCTTTTACACTCTTGTTCGTGGCAACATGGAGCTCTGTTAAGCCACTTAAAGACGAAAAGTTAACTTCAAGAGGACAAAAGCTCATTCTTTTGCAAGGATTTGCCAAAATAGAATGACTTGATAGCTTTAGGTGACTTGTCAGAGCCCCAAATTTCCTTTAAGATGCTGGCAAAAGACAAGTAATAGTGGTGCAAACTTTATATCGAAATTTTAATATATGTTGCCTTTTTCAATGAAATTTCTCTTATTAAAATTAGATTAGACAGATTTAAAGGATTTATAAACATTGATTATAAATTTGCTGACCTTCAAAATGAAATCATTGATCTTTCTATTACGTTTGACCATATTGCCTTACTTTTTGCTGACTGCAAAGTTGGTATATATGACAGGAACTTATCAATAGTAAAAACTTTGGTTCACGGGTTTTGATAGTGTGACATTTCCTATAAAATTAAATTTTTTTATCAATATCGCCTAAATTTCTCGAAGAATTGTTACACTATCAAAATGTTCCTATCAAATGGCATCCAGCCCAAAAACTCTTGGGCCTCATTATAAAGGAAAAGCCAAAGGAATTCTGGCTAGAGGCTTAATTATATTTATACAAGTTAATAATGAAATCCTTGTTTATGACTGAGGTTTCTTAGCTCATGACGCATTAAAATATTCATTTTTAATAGGCAGTTCTTGCAGGCTGGCTAATGAATTACAAAAAGAATTGTCATTTTCAAACATGGAAATTCCTATTCTTTGCAAAACAAGTGAAAAGTTTGCTTTAGAATGATATACACTTCAATGCTATAGTCAATATTTATACTTCAATCGATGCTATAATTTTGGTCTCATAGAATTAAAATCGATGCAAGAATTGACAAAGAATTTTGTAAAAGAAGGCAAAATATCAATTTTAGCCCAAAATTCTGTATATCACTCTACAATAGAAATAAAGGTAAATTTGCATATAAATGGAGATAAAATCTGAGTGGATGAAGCCAAATTCCCATCTAAATTGAATGTCCCATATAGCAGAGATAAAATGATTGATTTAAACAGCATTGTCCATGGGAACAATACCTATATATGTACGAAAATAAATGGTTTAATGTATGAAGACATAAACCTTGCCTATTCCCCAATTCTTCTCCACAGAAATTTTAATGAAAAACTATCATTGCCATTAGGAAAAAATAATTTAAGCCCTGGCCATTTTTATGTGAAAGCTGCAAACAAACTAATTCTTTTAACAGATTCAGATTCAGAACTTATTATTTTAAATTTTAATTATGAAAACTCTACAATAGATGCACAGTTGGCTTTAAAGTATTTAGTCAACAGTATCAATATAAGGTGTTTAAGCATCAATACAATTGACTTTGATGACAATACTATTTTGATATTTATCATTTGCGTTTGTGGGAATGAGAATGAAGTGCTTTGGAATGAAAAAATAAATCGCTTCTACCAAAAAGATAGAGCGCTAATACTTATAGTTGAGTATGATTATCTGAGAAAGCAAGTTCTGAAATCAAAGTATGTCCCTCTGTTTTTATCAAATTACGATTTGAAATCTGTCAAACTAAGTAATCAGAGATTTGAAATCTTTCTATTTGAACATTATAAAACTGCTGCACAATCTTGAATTAATAAGCATATCATTAGATTTGAAGGTAGCAGGAGTAAAAGTACAATTGAGATTAGCAAGAAAGAGGAAATTGATACTTTATCACTTGGGCTTGACTTATTTTTAGTAGAATCAGCTGATATAGTATTATCAAGATTTGGCCAAATATTTCTATATGTTATAGATTCAATGTATGGATTAAGAATCATTAGGATGCAAGAAAATGGCCCAGCTGAAATTGTAGGTGGCATAACTCATCAAAGTCCAAATTATTTCAAATATGCATACTCTTTTAGAAATCTCCTCTATATTATAACTGAGAAAATGGAATTATTAGAATATATTATTGATGATTTCCAAACGCCAGCCCTTTCACGAGTATTTTATTCAGATTCAAATAGGGTGTGGGAGATTTTATCGATTAGATTAATTTCTTATCCAGCGAGCAGTTATATTATTGCTTCATTCCAAAAATATGATAAAGGTATTAATTTAAGAATTTGAAATGAGTATGACTGATATGATTTACTAATTGAAGACGCCTTAGATGTATAGATTTTTACTATAGATGGCGCCATCAGCTCATGAACTGGTCGCTTACTCTATGTTTTGGTTCGGCCAATATTATTTTTTGGTCAGACTTGCTTAAAATTTGGTTCGACCAAAAATAGCCTTAACCAAACCAAAACATAAAGTAAGCGGCCAATTCATGAGCTAATAGTGCTATCTATAGTAAAAGCATATATTTGCTTTTGAAAGCGATCTAGGCGAGAAGAATATGCTTTCTTTTATAAATATTCACAATTCAACGTTCAATCTAATCTCTTTGGATAAATGATATATTAATGTTCCAATATATGGGCAAAAAAGAGGTGAAGAAATTGAGAAAATATGAGGCACAGATGAGTTTAGAATACAATTTTATGCAAATAATACTTATAGTAATGCTACCTCTTCAGTAATGGTTCTGAAAAGAGGACATGCTCAATCAAATAACTCACCTCCTTGATGGTTATGGATTTTCATGCTCGCTGCAGCTGCAATTATTTTATTCATAATTGGTCATTGTGTATGCTATATGAGAAATAAGAAAAATAAAAGAGACTATGAATTGATTAATGAAGGATTGATGCTAAAAGAAATTAATCAGGTATCTTAAAGCTTTCTATGTAGAAGATGAAGATGGTAAGCTAATCTAATAATGATTTATAAATATGTCAGGAATGCTTATTCAATAAAATGGCTAAGGAATAAATAAGAAATTCTACTTCATTTTAGTGAATCTTGTTTCTCTTTTCAATTTTGTTATTTTTTCTTATCTTGCTTAATATTTTTGATAGAAGGTACACACTTTTTATTTTGATTTATTAAGGTTTAAATACCTGAACTTATTTTTTATTTTTTATATAATTTGTTTTAATTATCAGTGCTGCATAATGTCCATAAATCTCTAAAAAATATCGGCTATATCTAAAGAAAAGCAACATAAATTTTGAGTCTTAATGATTTGCTTTCTTGATTTTTGTATTAAATATATTGTCTACAAAAGAATATTCATGCAAATCTTTGGCAATAATTAAATAATAATTATGCCCCTTAATATTTAATGATTTTCTTTCAATTAGATAATTATCAAAAATAGGTTTAATTGTATTTTAATATAAACTGAAAGCTGAAATGCAAAAAATCATAAATATAAAGCTGAAGTGATATACTATAAAAGTAGCTGTGGATTCATGCCAAATTTCAGTCTTAATAATTATTAAAAGATGTGCCTCTGCAATTGGCATTTATTCCAACACACATAAAACAATAACAATTATTCAGTGAGAGATGCAGCTTCATATAAATTTGCAATTATTAAATGAAACTTCCTAATAAGTTTTTCAAGTTTTATAATAATTTTTATTCGAATTATTCTTTTATTTTATTTCTTATTGCAAACTCTCATGCATGCGTTAACTACATTTTGCGGAACAGGTGTAAATAATTTTTCTAGCTCCAATGAGTAAGGTGCAGGGACATCTGCAGACGTAATTCTTTCAACAGGAGCGTCCAGATAATCAAAAGCTTCAGTTTCCATCATCAACGCACTGATTTCTGCTCCAACCCCAAACTGTGGCCAGCCATCCTCAACCGTTACGAGTCTATTAGTTTTCTTTACTGATTTCACAATACTTTCTACATCAAGTGGTCTGATAGTTCTTAAATTGATAACTTCAGCACTGTAATTAGTATATAAAAATGGCGAATCAGGGGAATTATACGAACGAAATTCCTTAGCTCATTTTATTATTATAAGGCTCAATCTACCCTGAGAATCCTTATCTAGCTATATCAGATAAACGAAGAGAGGTTTACAGCCCATGGCCTTATTTTCCAGGTACACAGAAGTCTAGAGTTTATTCGTCAGTGTACCCGATTACCTTTAGAGGACACGCCATGAACTGGACAACACGCAAAGCCAGGCATTAAGTGAGATTCGCAGCCAGGCTAGGGTGACTTACTTGGAATGTCTGCCAATATAGTCCATCATTTTAAGTGGCAGAATGGCCCGTTAACTCTCTAGTCCTTCATTTCGGAAGTGGCACTAGACACAATAAACAATAAACACTGAACAATTAATCATTAATCAATAGCTTCAGCACTAATTCCTTGTTTTTCCAACTCTTCCGCAGCTTTTAAAGACACTCCTACCATTCTTGAATGTGCCACAACAGTCACATCTTTTCCTTCCTTCATAATTTTGGCTTGTCCTATAGGGATTGTAAAATCTTTATCCAACACTTTTTCAGAGACATCAAAGGATTGTCCATACATAAGCTCGTTTTCTAAGACTACAACTGGATTTGGGTCCCTGACTGCTGCTTTTAAGAGTCCTCTAGCATCTTCAGTATCGTAAGGGCTTAGCACGATAAGTCCAGGAACTGAACCATACCACGCTGCAAAACATTGGGAATGTTGAGCGGCAACAGCGGCTGCTGGGCCATTAATGCCGCGAAAAACGATGCTCCCATGAAGTCTGCCACCTGACATGTACCTCATTTTAGCAGAAGAGTTTACTATATGGTCAATGGCTTGTAAGGCAAAATTCCAGGTCATGAATTCACATATAGGCTTGAGTCCTCCCAAGGCGGAGCCTACAGCCAGTCCAGTGAACCCTGCTTCTGTTATAGGGGTATCCCAAATTCTGGCATCGCCATGCTTATCCCATAGTCCTTTAGATACTTTATAAGCACCATTATATCTAGCGACTTCTTCACCTATCAAATAGACGTCAGGATCTCTTTGGATTTCTTCGTCCATTGCTGAGTTGATCCCATCACGCACAGTCATGCTGATCCGACGGTAAAGCAAAGTGGAAAGTTTGCGAGTTGTCAGCATATTTTTATATACAATAGTTGGCCATTTAAATATATAAATATTAGGATAATTGATGATTCTTTATTAAAATACAAAGGATTTAATTAATAAGGAAGGGTTATAATGATTTTCAATTATAGGTATATTAAAATTAATGGGAAATCTAACTTCCTGCTCCTGCATAAATCAGGAAAGACTTAAAGAAGACCAAATCATAACGGCTGCTGCCAAATCTGACTCTGCTATAGGAATTTCTTATCAAAAATATGAAAGCAATATGATCCCTGAAATCAAAGAAATCTATATAAAATACCTTAATGGAAAAGGAAATAGTATAAGGAATATTCAGATTATTGATAGAGGGCTGGGAGAAATTGGCTGCATGCTGTTAAGTTTGATAATACCTGAGCTTCCTAATTTAGAAGAATTAAACTTGGTGAGTAATCAAATAGGAACTTCAGGAGCAATTAAATTATCTAGTGAGCTTGCTAAATTAGATAACTTATGCATACTTATCATTGCTTATAATCATATTGGAGATGATGGAATAATGGCTATGTCTTCTGCTATTCCGTTTCTAAAAAACTTAAAATTAATTTCTTTTGAAGGGAACGAGATAACGAATGAAGGAGCTAAAAATATTACAAATAATTTGAAAGAGATGGAGCATTTAAAAATTTTTAATATCAAAAACAATGAAATAACGGGGAGAGGAATGAAGAAAATAGCAGAAGCACTTAGTGATATTAGCACACTTGAAGAGTTTTATTTTGATATAGATGAAATTAGGTCAAAAGACCTAGATATAATAGAAGAGATCTTATTAGGAGTATCATTAAACACCCATAAAGAAATTTAATAATTAATATGGTAAAGTTTTTCACTTTAGACTATTCCGACTTCGCTAAAGGTTTTGGCTTATTTTGCTTTATAGGCGGAAACGTCCTGACTGTCATTGTAACCTTTTGCTATTTTGATTCGATATACCCAATTATTTACAAAAACAAGGAAATTTATGGGTATTTTATGACAAGCATTGGATTATTTATTTTATTCAATATTTTTTATAATAATTTCAAGGCATCTTTTACAGACCCAGGCAACCCAAAAGACGCGTATAAATCATATGATAAATCGACAGCTTCTGTTTATTCTGGGACTTTTTGCAAGCTTTGTGATTATTATAAACCACCAAGAGCTCATCATTGCTCAATATGCAAAAAATGTGTGCTAAAGATGGATCATCATTGCCCATGAGTGAATAATTGCATAGGGCAAAACAATCAGAGGTTCTTTTATTTGTTTATTTTTTGGATGATTATGGGGACGTTTTTTATTACAATAGTGCTTTTACCAACATTTTGGAATATTTTCAAGAGAGATGAAGAAACACTTACCCTATCTCATTTAATATAGATCAAAGCGTAAAAACTTAGACAGATTCAAGATCTAATAATTTAGCTCTAGATTTGCTAAAAATCAGCTTTAATTTAATTTTAGTGATTTTAAGTCTAAATATCGAATATTATTGATTTAAAAAAACATAAAAACTCGAAATTTTTAAAATATTTATTTTCAATAATTGCTTATAATAAACTCTAGAGAAGCTAGAGAAATTGGAGAAGATCGAAAACTAATTGTTTTTTCTTTTGTTTTATGTTTTTGTGTATTTATAGCAGTAGGCTTATTATTTGGTTTCCACACATTTTTAGAAATAAAAGACTTAACTACCATTGAATACAAAGCGAAAACTCGCCAAGAGTACGGTTTAAAGCCTTCAAAACTTAAAGAAACATACGAAATAGTGAAAACGCTTTTAAAATTCATTTCTCCATTCACATCAACAGAATCTCCTTCCCTCCATGTCATTTAATTATCCTTTACCCCTTAAATACCCCTAATTTCCTCTTAAATTCAATATGTCTAAATTAATCCAACCCAGCATAACCTTACATCACAATTAAAAGAATGAAGAACTTATCTATATCTTCTAAGTGATAGAGTGTTTCTCCTCTTCCAGTTGGCGTGCTTGCTAACTCTTGCCTTGTTTGCCTTATGTCCCTTCTTTCTAAGTCCTCTATGTTTCCTTCCAATGCTTGTAAGTCCTCTCAATTCTCTGTGTTTCATCACAGGTTTGCAGATCCAGTTGATCTTAGGGTCTCCTCTAATAGCTTTGTGCATAGGATCTACCAATATGACCTCATAGAACTTATAGGTGGAGTCCTCAGCAACCCAGTAGCTATTTAAGACTCTTAAGCCACCACAGATTTTGCCAACTCTTTCTTCAGCGACACTTTTGAGGGATCTGTAGAATTTTCTCTGAAGAACACCTTGATTGGCTGGTTTTCCATAGATCTGTCCTTTGACACCGAGTTTTCGTCTGTTTCCTCTGCGGACGCGGACTCTCCAGATGACGTAGCCTTGTTTGGATCTGTATCCGACGCGACGAGCTTTGTCTGGGCGAGATGGTCTGGTAACTCTGTGGATGGCCTTGTGCTGTCTGTATTCCCATGAACGAACACGGAGGAGGAAACGCATAACGTCACTTTGCTTTTTCCTCCAGAGTTCTTCGAGGTACTTGTAAGCTCCCATTTTTATTATAAGCCACAGCTTGAACGAAATGAAATTTAGTAATAAAAAGTGAAGGAAAGTTAGGAGTGTAAATTTGGGTTGCATTCTATTTTCTATATATATAATAGTATGACGGCTGACCTGTATAAATGCTTTTATTCATTGCAACTAGATATATTATTTATTCCGAAAAATTAAATAAAATATTGATTTCATATGGAAGATAAGGCATTTGAGATTTATTCAGCGGTTGACATTTCCAATCCTCCAACCAAAGATCTTTATAAAACCTCTAGGCTCCTTCCACGCGTACGTTCAAGCAGTCCTAGAGCTCGAAATAACAAATACTATAAAGAGCTCCAAGAAGCAACTAAAAAGCGTTTGGTAGAAGAGATTTCAAGACCAAAAATATTAATTGAAAATTTTCACATAGAGAAACCTCGCCCAATAACCCACTTCATCAATAAAGCAAGAACAAATTTTATAATAAAACTTAAGCAAGCCAATGATCAAAGATCAGAAAGCACTGAGAGATCTAAAACTCGGACTCCAAATCATTTCAAAGAAGACCGCGGTTATGACTTCAGATACAGCACACCATTACCAAGATATTCTTCAGCTACTAATATAAATAACTCCAGTCCTGTTAAAAAAGAAATTGATATGAAAAATTACATCCCTGAGTGGCTTATATTAACTCCCCTCCCCCTCCATTTGTGAACAAAAAAATCTTATTCACTCACGGAAGGGGTTAATTTTTTTTTCGAAAATTTAAAAAAATCCTAATCCGCAAAAATTGGAAAGCAAATATTAATTTAATTTATAAAATTTATGTTTTAAAAAGCGCAATTGGGTTTAAAATTAAACAGAATTAGCTATAGATTTCGTTATACTAATTATCATTTATATATCAAATTATTTTAATAAAAAATTTTGTTCGTTTATGGAGGTTGGGTTTTTAGGCAAAAATAGAGATTTTTCTAGCTCACGGAGGGGGGAGTAAGAAATGACTTTCAACAGACATATAGAAAAATTAAAGAAGGAAATGACGATGATATAGCGAATATTGTCAATACCCCAGCTGCACAGCGGACTGAAGATGAGAAAAATCTGTTATATGTATGGATTAGCAATATAAAATTTTTTTCAAAAACCCCTAGAATCGTTGTTAAAGAAACTTGTGATAAATTATATAGAATGGATTTTAATCCTGGAGAATATCTAATTCAAAAAGGTGATATAGCTGACTGTATGTTCATCATTTTCAGCGGAAGAGTTGGGATATATTTATCACATGAATCTGAGAAAATAGGAATAAAAGAAAAAAAGGACGTTGTTGGAGAAAAAGCACTGGATACTGATATGCCAAGAAGTGCTGAAGTCAAAGCTGAAGAATACACTATCACTTTTGTTTTAAAGAAAATCGAATATCAAAGGGTGCTTATGAACATTAAAAAACTAGAAAAGCATGATACAACAAAATTTTTAATGAATATTCGTTATTTTGGAAGATGAAGCTTTCTTAAGGTTCAAAGATTGTCAAGTTTTATGATTGTAAAAAACTATCAAGCTGGAGAAGTCTTATTTAACAGAGGAGACACAAGTAATACCTTTTATGTAATAAAGCAAGGAAAAGTAGAAATCCAAGTCTATATTGATGTAGAAAGACAAAATAAATGGCCTACAGCTTCTCAGCAGTGAAAAATTATGCAAATAAACAGAAAGTATATTATTAATCTTCAAACGTTATTGCCAGGCGACTTTTTCGGAGAGGCTGATCTAATTGATGATTGCCCAAGGCAAACTAGAGCTATTTGCACAGAGCCAACAACCTGCTTAACTATAAACAAAAGTGAATTTTTTGAAGTTTTTTCAAACAAAGACATAGAATCCATAAAAAGCATGAAAAGTGTTATTATCCCTAGCAAGGAAGATCTCCAAAAGAAGCTTTTATTGGAAATAGAAGAAAGAAACACATCAGAAAAAGCTATTTTAGATGCTTTAAAAGTAGATTTTATTACAGTAATTGGAAGAGATAACGATGATAAAAGGACCAAAAAGTTAAAAGATTGGGTGAATAATTATAAAAAAAGAAAAACTGAAGCTTTGTCACTTTTCAATAAAAGGATTGTGAAGGAGATGAAAAAAACGGTAAATGTTGCAGCGAGCTCAACACAAAATTTGTTCCCTGATAAGTCAAATAAGTCAATTTTGGATTCGTTTAATTAATTGAGAGTTTATATATCAAAGATATGCTGAATGCTATCTATCAAGAATTAAGCTGAAATATAGATTTATTTATTTATTTAATTAGTTTATCAGCTGTTGTTCAACAGTTCACTTTTTCTCACAAATTCCTTTCTTTTTTATCAATTTGAGCCAGAAAAGTTTGATGGCAAGATTTTGAACCCTTCCATTATTTCTTCGAATTTTCTTATATTGAAAACTACTTCAATTCACCTTAAATTTTTATCATTCAACTCTATTAAATTCCTATTAGTACTTCTCTTTCTTACCTATATAGCTCCCATCTTCCATGAAATGATGTTCATCCTCTTTCCTACTTATCCATCTTATCTGAAGACATATGGATTAATTGTATTTAATAATACTTTAAGATTTAGGCTTTGTTTCTTGAATATTAAGTGCTGATGCTATTAAATCCTTAAGATCATCCTCGCTTGGAATATATCTGAAAACTGGAGGTGTTTTTTCACCATATTTCAGCTTATTTAGCTTGATGAAATGCATATAATTGCTCAGCTCATTTTTAAAATTTTTCTTTGCTTCGTAATAATGATCAAGTAATATTTTATCTCGCAGCTCCGTTGGGATGCCCATATATTTTCCAATCATAGCCTTCTTTTTTTTCCTTTTTGTTTTCGTTAAAACCTCGATTTTCCTTTTGACTTCTTTTGTCCAAAGATTTATCAATTCTTCTATGTCTCGCTTAATTTTTGCTTTATAAGCCCTGAAAGCTTCTTGGATGATAATAGCTATATAAAATATACCTTTTTTGCTATAGTCTTGGAATTTTGTCGGGAGTTTTAGATTTTTCGCATTTTCTTTCATTATAGTCAAAATCTGAATTTTTGATTTCGCCAGATATGGGGGCTTGCAGAAAATTTTGAAGAGCAATAGAGAGCATAATGCTCTATTCATGTTGTTCTCCTTCACTAAGTATGTATTTAATTTTTTTCTTGCATAATTCTGGATAAGTCTAGCTGCATTATTTCTGGTCTCGCTTCTTCTTATTTGATTTGTTTTTTCTCTTAGTCTTCATTCTAGCTCTATTGCGGATACAGAAAAATAAGTAAAAGTAAGCCAAATCTTTTCGAAAGTTTGTTTTCGAGAAAGCACAACACTGATTTCTTGTGCTTTGATTTCAGCTTGAGCTCTCATTTCTTTTCTATCTTTAATAAACAATTTTTTCTCATAATTTTCCTGCTGAATTATTTTTCTTTTTTCTAAAACTTTATTTATCCTCAAGTCATTGCTTTTTTTTCTCTCTAATACCATGCTGTGAGAATTATTCAGCTTTGAGACTCAAGTTTTATTCGCGTGAATAAAATCTTTGATTTTTCGTTCTGGGACTTTTAATTTTTCGTCGATTGAGTCCTCAAGGTCTTCTTCGTTATAAATTGTATCGATAAAATCATCATAATGCTTTCTAGTTTTATGGACCCTCATACCAGTTGGGCCAAATCTGATGGAAACTGAAAATTTTGATTCTTTTATAGCTGTGAAATTTATGCAAATAAAAGGATAAGAAAATAAAAGAGTTGTCTCAGAAATCCGAAAATAGTCTTTAGTGAATGATAAATCATGGACTGTTTTTGACGGATCTTTTATTTTTTTTGATACATAAATTTCAAGCTTACCAAAACTTCTATCTATATAGACATGCAATGGGGTGGGCTTTCTTCGAGTATTTATAGTAATTATTTGAGATTCATTAGCAAGTAGTTCAATATCTAAAGGTTCTGAAGGCTTTAAAAATAAGTTTTTTTGCCCATAGTTTATATTCCTAGAAATCCTGTCAAGCTTTTTAATCATGCTTGAAAAATCTTTGGGTTTTGATTCAGTTTGGATATGTTTTTCACTGAAAGAGTATTGTAATGTTTTAGATAGTTGGCTTTCTAGATGGTTAACATAATTAATTTTCCTCTTTAGATTCTCTTGTATTGTTAGACTACTGATTAAAGCTGTATTTGGCCTTATTGGAAAGTGTATGGGATTTTCTTTAGGCTCATTTTCATAAGCGACTCCAAAAGGTCCAGCTGTTCACGACATGTCGTTTTTCAGTGACAATCTTGACATAGATCTAATTGAGATGTTTTTAGTTTCAGAAGTTGGAGTTAAGTGCCTATATTTATTCATTCCATACTTTAATTTTCCAATTAAACTTATATATCAAAATAGCTTGCTGAAATATAAAGAGCAATTTTCATAAAACTCAAGAACTAATTGCGATTAAGAAGCTGCCAATTTCATGATGAAAAGTTTAACCGAACCTACAGAGAAGTGAGAGCAATGATTAAATTAAAGCATCCCAATATCGCTAATTAGCTCATTTCTTTCATTGAGGGAAAACCAAACTCCATATAATTTTGTGTCTCTCATATACTTATCCAAGCAATCTTTGCTGACTCTCATATTAATTTCTATACTTAATTTCTGATAAACTGCATTTAATTTTCATAAAATTTAGATATGGAAAGAATTCATGAGGGAGATTTCACGATCTTAAAAACTCTATATAAAACTGATCATGTAGAAGTATTCAAAGCAGCAATTACTAAAACTAACAAACTTATAGCTGTTAAAAAGCTACTTGTTTCATCTTTAGATGAACTAAATAACATCTACAAAGAAGCTATAGCAATGGCAAAATTAAAACACCCAAACATCGTCAATTTACGTAGCTGCATAATTGGAGGAAAAGGATTAGATCCAGAATATATCCTTTTTATCATGGATTACTATCCATGTGGTGACCTAAGTCGCGAAATTCATAAAAGAATACCCAATAACACTTTTTGAAGCGAGTTTGAGTTATTAGAACTCATGAAATCTCTGATAAATGCTTATAAATTTTTGCAAGAAAATGATGTTGCCCATAGAGATATTAAGCCAAATAACATTTTTGTGACTGAAGACAATACACTAAAAATAGCTGATTTAGGATCTGTTAGCAATAGAAAAGGACTAATTAAGCCAGTCTCTATGAATTTAACCATAACAGGAACAAAAAGTTATTTAAGTCCTATACTATGAACTGCTTATATACAAATCTGCAAAGGCATAATCGAGACAAGAAAGGTTAGACACAATCCTTTTAAGTCTGATGTTTATTCGCTTGGATTAACATTTCTTTATATGGCAAGCTTACAAAAAGTCATAAGATCTGAAGAAATTGTGAATAACATTGAAAAAAATATAGGAATTATGATTAATCAACTTAATTACAGCCAAAACTTAAAAAATATTTTATTTCAGATGCTCGCATATGAGGAAGAAAGTCGGCCAAATTTTATTGAGCTTGATAGAGCTTTTATGGATCTATTTTTTATACAGCCTGCTATTGAACAACAAATAAATAATAAGATCGAGGAAGAAAGAAAGGATTCAAGAATAAAAGTCAAAGATTTTAATGTTAGAAATTTGCTAAGCAATAGAAAAATAGTGTGCAAAGTATGTACTAGGAAAAAAGCTGTGAATTTAATATCCGCATCAATAAAGGCAATTATTGATTCTGATTCTTTTGGTTGTCTGGCAGAGAGACTTTATATTTTGAATGTGGTGCATTGTAAAATTACAATTGGAAAATTAAGCTATATTTGCGGAATTTGTAAAGGAAATAATTGCGAATATATTACGACTTGCTGCAGTATTCTAACACATCAAGCATGCTATATAGGTAGTTGTGAACGTACAAATAAGAGTCGAGCTGAAAATCGAGGTTTAAAGTGCTGCTTTTGTCAAAAATATAATCGCAGCGACAGAGAGAATTTTCATTCATTTGATTATACGAGATATATTTCAATAAATCCTCAATATGCTCCTTTATATCAAACCGCTAAAGCTCAGGAAGTAAGCATATCTGAAAATGATAATGAACAGAGCCAGGAAAAATTGAATTTTTCTGAGAAAAGACAAAATAGTTCTCCGAATTTAGAAATTCTGACATCATTATGCTTTATTTGCCGAAGAGGAAACGTCACTGTAGTGTCATTTTCGTGTGGACACAAGTTTTGCAAAGAATGTTTTTGTGCAAAAATTAATAAATGCCGCAAAGAAATTTGTTTTTCTTGTCCGAAAGAGTATAATTTTGAAGAATTGCTGATAATATTACAAAAATTGAAATGGAATGTAAATAGCTCTTAATTTATTTAATAATATAATTTTTGTTAATGTATGCACGAAGAATACTTTTTAAGCTTTGCGCTTCATCTTTTGATATGCATGATATGCTAGAAATCAGTTTCTCAGTTTTAATTCAAATTCTTAAAAGGAAATTTGAAGAAATTTATAGCCTAATTTATAATTTTTATTCAGTAGGCAATTTTAAATTCTGAAATTCTTATTTCTAAAGTTATATTTAAGCATTGTAAAATTATATTATAGTCTTTGTTTTTATTATTTTGCTATTCCTATTGATTTATTATAATAAATTAGCTTAAATGCACGATTTAAGTTATAAATCTTAAGCTTGGGAAACAGCAAATTAATTTTTCATATGCCCCGCCTGTAGATATTGGGCAACCAAAGCAGATATTTTCGCGCAATTTTTTATGATTTTCTAAGCATTTTTGGCAAAATTGGTGGTTACATGGAGAATAAATAAATACTGTTTTTTGTTTTTTGCATTGATAGCAAAAACCAAATGGTAAATCATTTTTAGCTTCAAATTCGCTATTTTCTTTTATTTCTGCTACTTGATCTTGTTGCTGGCAACTAATCTCTTCATTTTTGAAAACATTGGAAGTGGCACAACGCAAGCAAGTAAATTGTAAATCTATGCAAGCTTTATGAATAAAATATTGAATTCCACAATAGTTACATATAAAAAGATAATCAATATTTCCAGATTTACAGGCACAGCAGATATAGGATAGAGTTCCAATTTTAATGTAAAAGTTCAAAGATTTCGCACATGTCATAAGAAATCATACAAAAGAACTGGGTTCAGCATTATTGATAGCCTGTAAAATGCTTAATAAGTAGGTGTTTATATATGAAACTTTACAAAATGCTTTAATCGAATAGAAATTTAAAAGCACACGACAATCTGTTATCTGCTTAGCTTTTATTTTTCTGATCTTATATTTTGGCTGAACTTGCATATTTCCTTCAACAGAACTTGAAAAAACTTCTTCAAGTTTTATAAAACTAGGCCGCTTTGCTTCATCATATTCAAGCATATAGCTTAAAAAGTCTTTTAGCCTTTGAGAATATCTTAGCTCATTAATTCTTTGTGCTGTTTTGTATTTAAGAATTTTTAAATCTGTCAGATCAGTTACATCTATCAAGCTTGCCATATAAAGAAACGTCAATCCCAGTGAATACACATCAGATTTAAAGGGATCATGTTTGGAACTATTAGCATTCATTCCATAATGAAAACCCATATATGATTCTCTTAATTTAGGGCTTAAATAAAGTGGAGTCCCTGCAATTGTATGCTCCGATGCCATTGTCCTTTCCTGTTCTTCTCTTTGTAAAGCACATCCTAAGTCAGCCACTTTTAAAGTTCCATCATTTCCTACAAAAATATTTTGGGGTTTTATATCTCTATGAGCTATTCTTTGTTTTTGTAAATACGAATAAGCTTGGATGAGCGATTTAAACAAATTTCATAGATCTTCTTCAGTCCAATATTCATTACCAGCAGCTATCCTTCTTTTTATTTCTTTCGCTAAATCTCCTTGGGGAAAGTATTCCATAGCTAAAAGGATAAATCTCTCACGATCCTCTGACTCTTCTCTAAGGATACCATATAATTTTACAAAATTGGGATGCTTAAGTACTTCCATTGTTCAGGCTTCTTTATAAGTAGCATTTAATTCCTCAAGTGATAGAAATTTTAGCTTCTTTACAGCAATTTCTTGGCCTGTATTTTTTAAAACTGCTTTAAACACTTCTACTGAGTTTGTTTTATAGAGAGTTTCTTTTTTGATGAAATCACTAGAAGATACACTGTCCATTAGCTTCACTCTACAATTATTTGATATAAATTTCTAAAGAAATGCACAAAATCAAAATATATGAAGTTATACTCATAAAAATTTATCTTCAATATATATGATGATTACTTTAAATCATTATTAGACAATATATAAATAATGACAACAAATTCTGATTTATATTTGTGATTTATTTATGTGATATATGAAGGAGGATGCACTTTCTCCTAGCAAACCAATATATTAAATACGAATTAATTAAAGATGTGGGAGTCTAATACCTCCATCTATTCTAATCACACTGCCAGTCATATATTGATTTTCGATCAAAAACTTGACTGCGTGAGCAAATTCTTCAGGGTCTCCAAGTCTTTTTAATGGGGTAGCCCTAATTAAATTATCTGCTTCCTTTTGTGGCAATTTTTCTCCCATAGGAGTATTAAAAACGCCAGGTGCGATAGTCCCAACTCTGATTTTATAGAAAGCTAAATCACGAGCTAGTGGAAGTGCAAGACCTAAAATAGCCCCTTTGCTGCTTGCATAGGCTACTTGGCCTGTTTGCCCTTCATATCCAGCTACACTTGCAACGTTAATAATAACTCCTCTGTCTTCATTCTGAGCAGGTGCTGGCTGCAATGCCATTTGTTTAGCTACCAATCTTGCGACGTTGAAAGTTCCAATTACGTTAACTTTGATGACTTTTTCAAAGGCTTCTAATGAGTGAACTTTATCTTTGCTGACTTACCACCCTTTAAATTGGAGCAAAAACATCTGTTTCATTTGAAAGGGGTTAATTTTTTAGATTTTAAATAAAAATTTTGAATAATTTTATAAAAATTAATATAAAAATTAATACTAAATAGCGTTCTATTGCACTTCTCCATTAAATTAGCTCTAATTATTTATATAGAATTAGTATCTTTACCTAAAATATGTTACATTAAAAAAGCATTTAAAAATTTAAGGGTTAAGATATTAAAAAAAAATTATTGATATTTTCTTCCAATTTAAACAGGAGTAAGAGTACGCATCCCATATAAAATTCCTGCACAATTTACACATGCGCTGATTTTTCCAAATTTTTCGAGGGTGGATTTTATAGCTGCTTCCACACTTTCTGTATTAATTATATTTACCGAACAGAAAATCGCATTTTCACCTAATTCTTTCGCCAGGCTTTCTCCTAGCTTTGCATTTAAATCCCATATAGAAACTTTTGCTCCACTAGTAATCAGCATTTTTGAAGTTGCAGCCCCTAATCCAGATGCCCCTCCAGTAACCACACAAACTGCATTATCAAGTCTCATATTTATGATGTCACATAAATGTCTTTAAAGAATTTTGAATTCATCCAGAAGCTAGGAGAAGGCGCATTTTCACAAGTTTACAAAGTTAAGAGGGTAATTGACAGCCAAATTTATGCTTTAAAGCAGGTAAGATTTGGATCATTGAGGCCTAAAGAAAAAGAAAATGCTTTAAATGAAGTAAGGATTTTAGCTTCAGTTATACATCCTAACATAATTGGATACAAAGAAGCTTTTATAGACGAATCTTCAAATAGTTTATGGTAGTTTTTACTTACTCCCTCTGTGAGTAAGCCAAATAACTTTGCTAGCTTACGAATGGGGGGTATAATTTAACTAAAATGCATTTTTTTGGAAGATAAAGGAATTTCAATTCGCGAATATTGGAGTAAAAATAAAATTTAAGTTTTAGATGCAAGCTATTTAAATTCAACAGAATCGGCTAGAGATTCATTATAATAGTTATTGTTTATATATTAAAAAATTGCAGCTATGAGGGCGGCTTTGCTTTAACATGAAGGGTGGAGCTAGTATTGTGATGGAATTTGCAGATGGAGGTGATTTATTATCTAAAATAAATTCTCATAAGCAGAAAAATACTCATTTTCCAGAAAGAGAGCTTTGAAGCATTTTTATTCAAATGCTAAGCGGTGTAAAAGCGCTTCATGACCTCAAAATCCTTCATAGAGACTTAAAGTCCGCAAATGTTTTCGTTACCCGAGATGGGGTAGTGAAAATCGGGGATATGAATATTTCAAAAATCGCATATGGCGGCCTTGCTCATACCCAAGCAGGAACACCTTTTTATGCTAGCCCAGAAGTATGAAGAAACCAGCCTTATGATTCTAAAAGTGATATATGGTCCTTAGGGTGCATTTTATATGAGCTTACAATGCTAAATCCGCCTTTCAAGTCTGCGGATATGGAAGATTAAGATAAAATGACTTAAAGGTTTCCAGGTTTGATGCCTCCGCACGCTTAAGACTACCGAGACTTGCTTGTCAGAGGAATTTAGTTGCCTCAGCAGCGGTCTACTTCGGAACTTGGGGCTTGTGCCGATATCCTTGAGTCTCGACGGGATAGAAAGACTCCTCTTGCTCCACATCATTCAGCTACTATGAAGCCTGATTCCATGAGGGAGATAATTAAATATGGCGTCTTCGTCTGGGCATGGCCTTCCAGCCATGCAGCCTCGACTCATATTTAATTATATCCGGCAAGGTTTTGCCAGCTCAGAAATGGACGGCAATGCTAGGTAAGCAATTCTGGTTGTGTTCAGAGCCTAGCCCAAGTCTACTTTCAGGGTTGGTTTTTTCCTCATGGGAAACAAGGCATGTCAGTTGGAAAGGGGAAGCCCAGCAGAGTCCTTTGGACCAATCGGGCAACTCCCTAGCGTGAAACTGGGCGTTTACGTCCCAGGCTGCATGTTTTTCCTTTTTGCCGAGAGCTGACCAGAAAATCCATTTTTTGGATTTTCGGAAAAAGCAACCCATGCTTCAAGCAAGTAGCTCACTCATGAGTCGTCGAAGCCGGTGACGTTTGCCCTAGGCGCACCATGGTGATCGAAACGGGCTGGCCCAGCAGCCTGTGGGCCCGATGCGGCGAAAGGCAAGTGGCAAGGCCTGGGATAGTCTACCCCGTAGTGGACGTTAAGCGTCATAAGTAGTAAGTTAAGTTAAGATTCCTTGAGGGAGGGTGGCCCAGGGAAAAATAATCACGGCCCTCTGGAACTGGCAGGGAAAGAACCCGTGGCCAAAAACAATTCGGATTACTAATATCTAGACCGGATTTCCCTACCCTACTGGCTTCCAAGACTTACCTACCCCATATAGCAGCTCAAGGCAAGCTAAAAGTTCAAATCAAAGGCCTAAGCTTATTTAGGCTATAAAGCGATTTTGGCTCCCAAAGTGGTGCGTCGTCAAAGATATATTGTCGCCACAACCATATTAATTATTGCAGACATGGAAGGATTATTCCAAAAAATTGTAAGAGGTCATTATCCTCCAATTTCTATGGAATATTCCAATGATTTATCGAATTTAATTAGGACTCTTCTGCAAGTGAATTCTGGATTAAGACCAACTTGTGAGAAAATATTGGAAATGCCACTGATTAGTAGAAATATTGAAGTCCAGCAAATACGAGAAGTGGCTTCGACTGGAAATTTGTTAAGCACAATTAAAGTTAGTGGAAGCTTAAATGGGATCTCAATGGCTTTGCCTCCTTCAAATTATCATAATAGACTTGTGAGTGTTGGAGCTTTAGCAGTAAACGGAGAAATAAGAGGCAGCCCAAAGTCTTATGACCTTCTAGGCAAACATATTTCTCAAGAAGCCAGCAATTTCAGGTCAGATGATATTAAAGCTAAAGCTAATGAAAATAGGCTGAAACTAGCCTATCCTATGTCAAGAGGCGAAAAATATAGGAATAATCAAATTCCTTTAAACCAAAAAAGATAAAAGGTGGCATTGACTGAAATTGGACTCCTATGGAGCAGGTAGGACACATGCAGATGAAGCTGAAAGCAGGGCCTCTGTCCCTTTTTAAGTAGGCTTTTAGGCTTGGGGATCCTTGCCTAAGAGGAAAGTTTCGTTTCTCTCCCTAAAAGGTTTTCCTATCGATTCAAGAATGGCTAGACAGCTTTTGACTATCATATGGCCCCTTTGTCTGGACCATCTTGGCAGTGAGCTATCCCTTAGACAGGTGTTTCAAATCAGAAATCCAAAATTACCTTTCATTTCCCTCTTTTGACTCGTGGGATGATGGAGGGTGCTATTTTGGAGCCAAGACGAGGCAGATGCTAATGGGCTTGCCCGATTATGGTCAATTTAATAGTTTGAGTTTAAGTAAATTTAGACCAAAGGATTCAAATTTTAAAAGAAAAAAGTCGAGGAAACCAGCTTAGAATGATATGGTATCGCTAATATAAATTAAATAATTTAAAATGTCTTACAATCTTATAGAAGTCCAAGAATACATCCAGCATAAGTCTCTTGAAGAGCGAATGCAAAAGTCTTCACAAATGATGAACGATAATCAAGGGAAAATTCCTGCAATTTTATTAAAAGCAAAATCCTGCACATATAAGCTTCCTGTGCAAAAACTTTCAATAGATGGATCAATGACAATGGGAAGCTTGCTGTTTGCCCTCAGAAAATATTCAGAAGGCTAATAAATTTTTGATAGTCTTAGGCTGCAAATTTAATTAGTAAATGTGGCAAAAATAGTTTTTTTTATAGCAGAGGGCCTGCTTTGGATCGCATCTGCTACACCTTGCTGTATCAACCTGTGGGGCTAACTCGGGCAGCCTCATTGCCAAGTAAACCACACAAGTTTGCAAGTGTCACTATATTTTCACTTGCCAACCCCACAGGTAGTGGCAGCAAGGTGTAGCTCAGGACAATCTAAAGCAGGTTCTTGCTATATAGAAAATTAATATAAAGCAGCTTATATGTGGTTGACCCCGAGTCAAGGCCTATATGTTTATATAAATGATACTCTACCAATGCTAAATTCCAGACTTTCTGATTTATATGAGCGTTATAAAGAAGAAGATGGATTTTTGTATTTATTGTGTGCTCATCAAGAAGATAAAGGTTTTTATAACACTGAAATATTTTAAAATTTAGAAGTTTAATATAAATTTTAAATTAGAAATAAAATACTACTTATTATTGCTAAAACCTCTTATTTAATTTCATCAATAAACTAGCTAGAGCTCAAAAGTGAATGGTTTAAAGATCTTACTGAAATCGTTATTTTTGTAACTTGGAATGATAATGAATAAGCAAAAGGTAAATAAATGCTCAAAGATACAGCAATATATTCAAAAATTGCTTCAATTCATTCTATAGTAATATTTGCACTATTGTATCACAAACAAATGGTTATTAAAAGCATTGACAAGCATACTCCTAAAAAAATCAAGAGATAAAATGGTGACGTTGGACTCCGAGAGGCAGATTGCCTTTAATTATCTGGATGAAAGGAGAATCCTCATGAGCTAGCTTTAAGCTGGAGAGATAATCCTTAGATTAGGTCGGTAAGTCTGATAGAGAGACTATTGATCTATCCTCTTATGGTCTTATATAGCATTTACTTAGCTTAAATAAATCAAAAAATTTTGTAAAATCCTTGATTGCTTCAGCGAATAATTTTTCAATTTATACATACACTTGAGCGAAATCGTGACCCATATCATCCCAAGCATTATCATCCCTGCCACAATAACCAGATGGACTTGTTCCAAAGGGACATAAAATGACGAACCCGCTTCATCAATAATAAATGCAAAAGGAACAGCAAAGCTAATAATAATCCCCGTAAACAGCATTGTTATAAAATCATTATTATTATTTACTTAATTTCTAATCAGAATTCTGGTTGGTATACCAATTAATTCTGGTGAGTATACCGATCAGATCGACCAGATCCTAGGAAGTCACCTAGTGATGTCTCAAATACTTACGAATTGCTGTACGGTTTCCATCCTCCGGATTGCAGGGTCCTCCTCTCCGCTTGTTGCCGGTAGCGCATGGACGGCCCATATCTTTAGATTACGCAGGTTTGGGACTTACTCTATCTCAGCCTTTGCTGCTTCTTCCATTCGCTTTGCTTGACCTCAGGAGGATAAAATAGTCAGGTGGTGCGGCAGGAAAGCAGGCAAGTCCACATGCAAAGGGAGGCATTGCTATAGAGTCAATTTTGCTCAATGTCGCATCATAATTGGCAAAGGCTGCCGAAAAGAATAGCAGAAGCACAGGATTAAACGCTGAAAGAGTCAATACAAAAATCCTATCATACCCTTTAAAATAACCTATATACGAGATTGTAGGTAAAAAGTCTCAGCAATCAAATGTCATCATACAAGCAGAAATTACTGTAAAAGTAATCATTATATGTGTAAAAATTCCTGATAAAAGAAAAAGCTTGGCTGGGTAAATTATTAAGGAAATACTCGATTTGTGAGATCTCAGTTCCCAAGGTGGCCAAATAATCGAAACAGTTCTAAAATATGATGAGGCCATTTTTGTAATTATAACTAAAATTAATAAATTAATGACTAGCGAGCTTCAAAAGACTTTGGAACTTAGAGAACAAGAACTTTTGAATGCATACAGAGAGCTTGAAAAAGTGAGGAAAAAATATAAAAATCTTAAAGCTGAGGTTAAAGGAAATAAGCAGCCTGAAAATCTTGATAATTTTGTTAATAAAATCATCGATGCCATCCACACAAAATTTGAACCATCCCCAAGAAAAATCCAGAAAAGAGAAGAATCATCAGATATTGAAGAAGGAGAAATCAAACAAAATCAGATGAATAATAATGAAAAAATTAAATCATTATTTGAGCCAGATAAAAATGATAGACAAACTAAGCAAAATAAGCCAAAAAATCCTCAACAAAATGCATATGGAAATAATAAAATATGTTAAGTGAATAGCTTGTCTGCCTTAGAGGCCTATTTATAATTCGAATTAATTACTTGGCAGTTATAGTGCATACTGATAAGCTATTCATATATAAAACAATAATACTAAGCCTCAGTTTGGAAAGCAATTAGCTAACAAACAAATGCAAGAAAGAAATAGCCCCCAAATAAATCAAAAACCCTATCAATATCCAAATGATTTTGCAAACTCTTTTAAGCAGCAAGCAGATAGAAATAAAATTGCCAATAAGCCAGCTTATAATGAGCCTTATTTAATCCACAATTATCCTAAGCCTCAAATTCAAGAGCCTATGCTTCTACCAAATTTTCCATCATATTCCCCCCAATCTTTCCCAAAGCAGCCTGCAATGTCTCAGCCAATTCTCCAAGATCTTTTCAATTCAATCAAAAATTCATACTGGCCAACTCAGGCCTTTGATGTGTCAATTCTCTCTATTGATTTTTCATTTTTTAAAAAATTTGACACAGCCCTGATCTGTAATTCTCTTCTAGAAGAACTCAAAAAATGCCTTGAAATTTTTAGTTTTAATGACGCTTATTATATAATCAATATAATAATCAAAGGACTTTTAGGGGAAGAAACAAGAGACAAACAATTTTTCGGGAATCTAAAAAAAATCATAATTTCTCCAACAGCAAAAGGGTTCAATTTTGCAAGCGAAATTTGCAAAATTCAGCCTATAAGATACACAAATCAATGAAAATCGCTGCAAGAATTACTCCATGTCTGTTATATTTCAATCTGCAAAGAGTATGGATATTTCTTGCTAATCAGATCATTAGCTTCAAAGCAATTGAAAGTAAAAGAAATCAGACTATTCCGGTTGATTTTTGAGATCTGGGAATCAGATTTGGGTGAAAGCCAGCTTTTTTCTCTAAAAACATATAAAAAATTATATGAAAATATAGAAGACACAGAGTCTCTTTTTAAAGATATCGCTTTAGAAGCAGCCCGCTGCACTGAAGACACCCACAAAGATTTATATGTCACAGCAAAATCTTTAATTTCCTTCGTAGGAGGAAAAACTGCTTATAAATACTATGAGAATTATCTTTGGCAAACCTTATCATCTGCGTTTAAAGACTCTCTAACCAGAGTTATCATATTAGAAATGATCGGCCCTATAATTACTCAGCTTTCCAAGAATTCTGATTGCGCCACAGTTACTGAAGGACTTCAGCGCAGTATGGAAGAAATTTTAACTGACGAGAATTTTGAAAGTAATAAATATTTAGGCTTTAGTTTTAAAGAGCAAAAGGCAGCTGCAAAAACCTTGGAAAAATGTGGGTATACGTCACCAATTTCATTAAAATGGAGAACAAAATTTATTAAGCCTTAATACACAATTTTAGATTTTTTTTTATTAAATATTAATTTAAAGGATCATAATCTTATGATTATCTAGTCCCCCCTCGACAAGGGTGTCATGGACAAATCGATCAAATCCAGAAGGCCCACAGATCCAAGCAAGGTCTATTTCGTCATCTATAAGAGATTTGATTATAACTGGTGCTTGAGACTTCTCGGTGCTAGAGGTCTTGTAGAAAACTTTTAAGACTTTTTCTCCAACCAGCTCAGAGGTAGCTTTAAATAAGTCGTGAGCGAACGCTACTTCTTCATTTTTAAAAGCGATATAAATTTTTAATGAAAAATGATTCACTCTTTGTGTATTGGACGAAGCTGGAGCAAAATAGTCTTGATTTGTTATGGCGTCTTTTCATATATAATAAACTAAATCTAAAAACGGAATTATTCCAGTGCCCCCTGCAAATGCTAAATAGTGTCCTTTTAATTGAGATAAACATAATCCAGTGCCTAATGGCCCTTTTAATATAATTTGGCTACCTATGTTTTGACTATACATAAACTGGGACATTTTTCCTTTTTCATATAACTTTATTACAAACTGTATACTCCCAGGCTTTGTTTTTGGGTAGCTTTTTGTAGTAAACCCTTTTTCATTTGCTTCTTGAGCCCAGTCACTGAAGCTACAAAATATAGCACTATAATATTTAAATATTTCTTCTCCTTTATGTAGCCCTGTAACCCTAAAATGCTTTCCGATATTTGACAGAGATTGACAAACGGTATTCATTTTATAATAATCAGAACTAAGCTCTAATAAATACATTCCTTGTGAGACCAATTCTTTTTGAGTGACTGTCCATTTCATGTATTCTTGGCTTTCATTTTGTGAGGATTTTGAGGTTAGTAAGAAGTTTTGAGGGTATGGAATTTCAGCGATAGCAAGAGATCGGGCAATAGTAAGTGCATGTCTTGAGTGCTTGTATGGCATCATTCAGCCATCAAAGCTGGTGCAACCAGCTATAAACTTACCGGCATCTTGACCTATTGAAGCTGTTAATAAATAGGAACCAGCTGGATGGGAGGATTTAAATTTTTTTATATCAATGACAAATTCATCGATAAACATAAGTTCTTGCTTATCTTCTTTTATTAGTTTTATTGCTTCTTGATGTGTCATGACTGGAAGATTCCATTTCGGCTGCGCAAAAATCTTAAAATAATGGCTAAACTGGTATCTGAATTCAAACATAAGATATCCAAACACAATAACAGAAATCATTGCCCAGTAGGGAAATAGTATCATATCATCATAAAGCTCCCAGCCATAATGGCAATTGATAAGTCCTACCATAAGCATTGAATATCCAACGACCCTATGGACCCTTCTTGCTTGCCTTGTCATTCCAAAATTCTTAGTATAGTTTTGAAAAAATCTCAATAAAACCCCAGTCAAGCCTTGCACGACTACTAAAGAAGCTAATGAAAAGCCTAGCCTTGAGTGAAATCTGTTTATTTTATCATAAGTTGTAAAGGCTTGTTCATGGAATTTAAATGCTTCAGCTGATGCAATTAAGGTCGCGAATACTGTGCTTCCTGCTAATATTAAATGCACATAATACCACCACCAATATTGCTTACAGTATCGGGCTACTAAAACGGCTAAAGGTAGAGAAACGACCCAAAAAAAGGAAACTGTAAACCCATGATGTTCCATATTATGTGTTGTATGTGACAGCGGAGATTGTTTGAAGCCATCTTGGGCTACTGAAAATGTTAATTTCGTACATTCTATATAAAAAATACCAAAGTAATCAGGCTGAACATATTCGGAATCTTCAAATCGATAAGCAAAATTAGTTTCATATGTAATTCCTGGATATAAAACTGCATCAAATTTATCGCCTGTATTTTGTTTTCTTTTGAAAGTCACATCAATTATCCCGCTGGAACGGACAGACGTGTTATTTGTGGTAGGAATGAAACCTCCACTTACATAGACCAAGTCATTTTTACCTCCAAGGTCTTCATCATTAGGAGGAGTTAAGTGGGTTCCTGAATATTGATCTCATAGTTCAAGTGGATTTTGGTTGTCTGCTCGTATTATTATGTAATCACAGCCAAACATAGTTCTTGCAAAGCCTATCCCACACCAACCAGCTGCGCACTAAATAAAATTTACTTGAAAGTTCATATAAACTTCATCGTCAATGAATTCCCAGCTCATATTCATGTACTTGCTGAGCATCACGCTAACTGGTTTTGAATTCACAAAAGCCACAAGTAGAAAGAAAGCTAACCATAATTGCTTCATATTTATTGATTTATTCGACAAACTTAAAAAATTTGAAGCTGAATCTTCATTAATTTTTTATGCTGATTTCTCTAGAGAAAATTATAATATGTCTGTGTTTGTGACAGTTGGAACAACAAAATTTGAAGAATTAATTAAAGCAATTGATACTGATGAGGTGCTGGAGGCTCTTAGGGACCAAGGATTAACAAAGGTTTTATGCCAGATCGGGAATGGTGAGTTTACTCCTGAAAGTGAGTTCTTTAGATTTTCCCCATCTCTTGATGAATTCATGGAAAACGCTGATTTAATTATTAGCCATGCTGGCGCTGGGAGTATTTTGGAAGCTCTAAGAAAGAATAAAAAGCTAATTGTTGTGGTCAATCAAAAGCTAATGGATAATCACCAATTGGAAATAGCGAAAGAATTAAGTGACAGAAATCATTTGATTATGTGCGAAAATCCTGATGAGCTTAGCTCAGCTGTAAGAAAACTGGAAACAGCTGAAATTAAACCACTCCCGCCTTCGAACACTCAGGAACTTATGCAGGAAATTGTGGATTTATTAAATTAGCTTTATTGCAATAATTATTTAAGAAATTTCAATTTAATTTTCAATCAAGACTTATGGTCGGGAGCTATTAGAGTGTCAGCCCCATTTAGTAATTAGGCTTCCAAAAATATATTTCCTTTGTTTTGCAAGATATTGATTTTTTTCAATGCTTACATACTTTCAAGCTTCTTATACAGAAAAATTCTTACTCCACTGTGCTAGAACCGGGTTTCAGATTTATAGATATTTGGAAAAAAACTAATCTAATTTATGAAATTAATGGGTAAAAAGCTATTTAAATTTTAATAGAATTTGTTGGAGATCTCATCATTATCATCATAATTATATATCAAATCATTATTTTTATATAAAAAATTTGTTTCTTTAATGAAGGGTGTTAATTTCCCAACAACAAAAAATTAGGAATTTTCTTATTGTTTTGCTCGATAACCAAGGGGGAGTGATAAGCTGGCTGAAATAAATTATTTAGCTAGTAAGTAGTGCCTAATATGGAGCTTAGGATCTTTAGATAGGCAGAGTTTTCTGATCTTTATCCTTCAAAATTCAGGCCAGCATCATATTTATTATAAATTAATAAAAGGTATACATCTAAATTCTACTTATTTCTACTCTTTTCCAATTTTTTATAAACTTCAATTTATAATTGGCTTCTGCAGAATTGAGGTAATTTTATCGTGGATAATTGAATTTTAAAAGATAGAATCTTGTATAAAGATAACTAGATTATGCAAAATCTGATGGATGATTTTAAAAGAAAGAGTATTATGTTAAACTCTAAAATAAAAAAAAAAAACTCACCCCTGGAAACCCTTTCTTCAAAAAAGCCTTTCAATTTCAATAATCGACCAATTTTCTAAGAATAAAATTTTGGGTAATTAGCCCACCTTTAATATGGAACAAAATTTTAATTTAGCAAGTACAATTTTAATTTCGATTATTTACAGTATAGTTATTGCCCGAGGATGGCGCTATCTTGCGCTATCATCGGGGCATTCAAAAATGGCCCCACACCGGAAATCGAACCCACGTGTGGGGCCATTTTTGGTTCGTGGAGAACTTTGGCTTCCACGCACCAAAAATGGCCCCACACGTGGGTTTGATTCCCAGTATGGGGCCCATTTTTTTAAATTGCCCGAGGATGGCGCAAGATAGCGCCATCCTCGGGCAATAACTATATATAAAATATACAATCATTACACTTTTCTCAAATTGATAAATTTACTTTCTTTTTACATCACACCTTCACTCATCAAATATCTAAATTCATTGAAGCTGATTTTATCTTTTTGGTAACCTCTCATAGCATTGGCTTTCTTCATCAGCATTTCTACCCACATTTCTAGTTGAGATCTTGCTCTTCTATCAGCCATATCTAGCACCCTAAATAAACTATCTCTTCCTAATCCATTTCCTGCTTCATGCTCCACAAATCTAAAGTAAGCCTTTTTATACTATAAAATTCCAAAATTTACTATTAGATAATTTGTATAATGATAATTTATTCATATATAAAGATATAAACTAAATATTTCTTACATAGTAGTCTTTCAAATTTATAAGATTTTTTTTTTGCTTTATCATTCGGTCTTAACAAACTCAAATGAAAAAGCCCAAAAGCTGAAATTTTGTTAGCGCCTTCTATTGATTTTGTAAAGTCATCAAGAGTAATTCATTCTTTGGAGATGAGGGGATGAAGCAGCAAATTCATAAAAGTTTGGTCAGAGACACAACAATCTAAAAAGAACTGCTTAATTGCGGTTTTATGAATTTCTGGTCCATCGTCAGAAAGTTGAATTCATGAGGTGCCCATGTACTTTTCGACTAAAGAAGAGAAAACAGTGTCTATTGTATAATACTGATCTATAGAATAGACTGAAACTTTTGGACTTCTTTTGACTATTGATGAAGCTCGAGAGCGGCTAGGTCCAGAGTAGTGCTGTCTTGTCTCGTAAGGTTGAGAAATACGCTAAAATTAATTATATTTTTTTTATTAAATAATAATTAATTAACTATTTTTGACATAAAATAATATAAAATTACTGTAGAACCTTCTGAGTCTGTAGAGAGGCATTCAAGATTGGAGGAACTCGAGCTCTTGTTAAGCCTTTTTTCTTGATGTGGAATATATAATTCATTCGCCAGCAAATTCCTTTTTATGCTCGAATATTTGCTAATGAGAAAACTCAAAGCATTTAAAATCTCAGTATCTTCTTGAGCTAGATGCGAATCCAGGTTCATATTCAGGTTTATAATCTCTTGAGGACTAATTATTATATATAAGCATACCAGTCATGTTGGTGATTTTAGATTAATGGATGGGATATTTTTTAAATATTCAGAAAATTATTTGAATCTTAGCAATTGAGACAGAAGAGGTTTTGACATCAGATAATTATTGTTGGGGCTTCATAAGAATTTAATTTAGTTTTAGAAATGAAAATTAAATTATTATTAGAAACGGTAACTTATTAAGATATGAATATTGAATAAAATTATTTAGAGCTCTGAAATAAATGTCCTTATAAAAAATGAATAGAATAAAGATTTTGCTGTATTGCAACGCAATTATAATATTTTTATTATTATAAGACTATTTCTAAATTAAAATAAAGTATATGGAATATTTTCTCTATCAGATACACTATTTTTATGAAATTTTTATAGTAATATTAGTATAAATTCAAATTAATAAAATGCCTTTTCGTCCGTAGATAAATCTTTTGAATAGATATAATTGGAATTATTTGATTTTATTTTGTCTTAAACAATTTCTGAATGAGAAACATTGCTAAAGATTTCAAGTATAATATTTAAAAATTTTAATTATATACATAATCCATTGAACTAATTTTAAAATTAAAGCAAAAACTAAAACTTTGGAGACTATATCTTTTAGCCATTTTCATGGGTGTTTCATAAGTATTATTTTTTTAAAAAAGCATCTAGCTCCCCTCTGTAAGCGACGAGCAATTTAGAAAATTATTCCGTATCTCGGGAAAATATAAATTTTAACTACTCTCTGTCTATATTTAATATTCAAAATTGGGATTTAAGATATCAAAAAAAAAGAAATGAAAAAAAGTTTTATCCCTTGTAAAAATACTTATTATTGATTTCCCTAAGCATAGTAAGTAGATGTAATTTAGAAATAATTTTTTTTGCAATTTTTTTAATATTAAGCTTGTATTATCTAGCTCGATATTTTTAAAGTGTAGCTAAACAATTTTCAATTTATTAAGGCCTAAAAAACTTACTCCCCCCCTCCGTGAGTGAACAAAACCATTGGAAAAATCCATATTTTTTGCCCAAAAACCCACCCTCCGTGAGTGAACAAAGTTTTTTTAATAGAAAAAATTTTTTATGAAAAAAAAATTGATATATAAGTGATAATTATAATAAAATCTCGAGCTAATTCTGTTTAATTTTAAACAAATTGCGTTTTAAAACATAAATTTTATAAATTAAATTAATATTTGCTTTCCAATTTTTTGCAATTAGGCTTTTTTTAAAATTTAGAAAACAATTTTTTCTATAAAATTTATATTAATTTTTTAAAAAAAATTAACCCCCCTCCATGAGTGAACAAAATTTTTTTAGTTCGGGGGAGTTAGCAAAATATAATAAAATAACGTATACAATATAAGATGGAATGTTGCAATCCAGATTGCTCAAATTTATCTTCTGAAATCATTGTATGCCGGAATTGTTGTATGGCTAGATATTGCTCACTCCCCCCTGCGTGAGCAACAAAAAAATTTTGCTTGCTCAAGGAGGGGGGGTTAATTTTATTTTTTCGAAATTTAAAAAAATTCCGCTTCGCAATTTGGAAAGCAAATGCTTATTTAATTTGTAAAATTTATGCTTTAAAAATGCAATTTGTGCTAGATATTTCATTGTACTAGTAATCACTTATTTATCAAAATTTTTATATCAAAAGATTTTTGTTCGCTCATGCAGTGTCGGTGTTTGGGCGAAAAATAGGAATTTTTCCAATGGGTTTGGTCACCTTAGAGGGGAGTCAGAAGCTTGCTTAAAATTAGACTGAGAGCTAAACCACTCAAAACACTGCCGGCCTCACATTTATACTTTACTCCCCTTAATTAGCAGTAAGCATTTTTTTACTAATCGAATTAAATAAATTATTTTTATGATTTTTATATATTGGGAAGTGTTAAATGATCTTCAAATTGTGTCAAATCCAAACTCTTATAAGCTCGGTCGAGGGTCTTATGGAGAAGTCAGATTAATTACAACAATAAAGGGAGAAAAGCTTGCATTAAAATCAATTAGCAAAAGTTTAATTGAAACAAAAATTCCATTAAAAACTCTATACAGAGAAATATCAATTCACAGATCATTATGCCATAGAAATATCATTAAGCTGCATGATCATTTAGAAGATTCTTCCAATGTTTATTTAGTCCTTGAATATGCTGAGCAAGGGAACTTATTTACTTTTATAAAAAGAAAAAGGAAATTAACTGAAATCGAAGCCTGGAATTTTTTCACACAAGTTTGCCTCGGAATTAATTATTTACATGAGCAAAAAGTTATTCATCGAGATATAAAGCCTGAAAATATTTTATTAGGCAATCATGATATAATAAAAATTTGTGATTTTGGATGATGTGCGTTTGGAAGTGAAGAAAGATCAACTTTTTGTGGGACCCTTGACTATATGGCTCCAGAAGTCTTAAATTTAGACCATTATTCTTATGAAGTAGACATATGGGCATTAGGAGTTCTTCTATATGAAATGCTGCACGGCCATGAACCTTTTAGAGCAAAAAGTGACAGAGCTAAATGCAAGCTGATCCTAGATAAAACATTTAATTTTGGTAGTGGGATTTCAGATGAAGCTAAGTCGCTGATTAGAAGCTTGTTAACTGATGCATATCTTAGACCTAATATAAAAGAGATCCTAAAGCATGAATGAATAAGAAAATATGCCCAGAATCCTGATTTTGAAGAAGCATATGTAGTTTCACATCCAGATTATGGGAATGGAGTAATTACAAATATCAGTGGGCTTATATGTGAAGTGGAGTTTGGGGATACTCGACAAGAATTTATAATAAATGATTTAATTGAAAAATGCACTTTTAAGGAATTTAAAGATGAAGAAGACTATAGAAATTCTGCAAGTGGGATTGGTTTAGTCAAGCTTGATAGAGAAAGTGGTACATGATTTTTTTTATGTGACATTTCCTCACTCCCCCCCCCTTTAAAATAGAACTAAAAATTTTGTTCCAATTTAAAGGGGGGTTAAGAAAATTTTTTTAAAAAAACATAATTATAAAATTTTTTATAAAAAACAAAATTTTTATATAAAATTTTAAAAAACAAAAAAATTTCAAAAATTTATCGAATTAGATTAATAAAAATTGTTTAATAAAATGCTATTTACTCTTTATCCTTTAAAACAAAGCAAGATATAACTAAAATTTTATTATTAATTAATACGCCACTATTAATTGGTATCAAAACTATTTACACAAAAATTATTATTTTTTATTGATAAAAAAAAATTAAAAAAAAAAAATTTAGAAAATTTATTAATCAAAGTGCTAGTTTTGTTTAAATAAGATGTTATTTATACTCTATTCTTTAAAATAAAGCAAGAGATAAGTAAATTTTGAATTTTTGCAAAGAATTCGTATTGAATTTATATCAAAGCTATTTAAATAAAAAATATCATTTTTATCAAAAAAATTAAAATTTTTTAAAAATTTACAATTAAGGATAATAAATTTATTTAAATAAGATGTTCTTTATACTCTATTCTTTAAACAAGAGCAGGATATAACTAAATTTTTAATTTTAGTTAAGAAGAAACATTTAAATTATATCAAAACTTTTTACATAAAAATTATGATTTATATATATAAAATTTTTTATTATAAAATTAAATTTTGTTCCAATTTAAAGGGGGGTTAATTTTACCAAAAAAGTGGAAATTTTACCTATATTTTGTTCCAATTTAAAGGGGGGGGGAGTCAGGGATATTTAGTTAAAGTTTTTTTTACTCGTGAGACATTTGATCAAAATTTAACAGTTTTCCATGCAAATGTCTCACGAGGAAAATATTTTTATTTAGATTTGCTGAAAAATGTCATGCTAGAAAAAAAAGTCCTGACCAAATGACCTCTAGCTGAGAGAAAGCATTGAAAATATTGAAGAAAATAAAGCAGAATCTGAAGAAAAAAAGTATGATAATTTAGAAATTTCACAGTCAGCTTTGCAAGCAAAAATAAGAGAATTGAATCAGCTTAAAATAATTTTGGAATCACCTATGCAAAATCCAGCTAAAAAGAAAAACCCAGTAAAGAAGGAAAGTGCTTTTGATAGTTTGTTATCTAGTTTCAGCTGCGTGAAAAGATAAATGTAAAATAATTAAAATCTATTTTTGAGTGCAATAATTGATATGGAGATCAATAAATGAGTTCTGAAATTTATTTTCTAATGAAGTATAATAAATGAAAATTCCCATAATTCTGGGAGTTAAATTGCCTAAAAAATTAGCCTGCTTACTTTTAAGGCCTGAATTGTTATTATCTTTATAAAAGAATGCCAAATTTCTCGACATTATTAAGACGAATAAATTAAATCCCCCATATGTGAGAGAACAAAAAATTTTGTTTGCTCACGGAGGTAGGGAGTTAATTTTTTTTAATATAAATTTTATAGTAAAAATTTTTTGTTTTGAAATTGAAAAATATCCCAATTCGCAAAAATATATTAAATAATATATACAGTCTTAAACTAAATAAACTTAAAGGATTATTCAAGAAAATTTATTTTTTTATAAAATATAAAAATTTGTTTCTTTATGGAAAGTGATAAGTTGTATATGGGCTGTTCCTGTAGCAAAAACCAGCACGAAAGTAATATTGAAGCATTAAACCTAAGAATTAAAGAAGCCATTGAGCGTAACAACCCTCATTCACTTGAGCATCTAATTAAATCATCTGTAGATCAATCCAAGTCAATCACAGAATTCTCTCTTTTAAATGATCCAGTCACAACAGTTCAAGAAATAAAGCTAAACCCTCTAGGCTATGCCCTTTGACTTGGCCGTACCGAAGTTTTTAAATATTTGCATAAAAGACTAGGCGCTGATATAAATTTCATGGAAAAGCTTTTTAAGAACCATGGAATCACTTCAATTGACATAATTTGCCAACAAGGATATTTAGAAATTTTGATTTATTATTTGCCAATTTACTTGGCAAACCACAAAGAGGCTTCTCCTCAAATTAGCACTGGGGAGAGCTTAACTGTTGATTTTGAAAGGGCTGCTTTTTCCGATGTGCCTATAAAATCTTCAGTTACTGCGGTTTTGAGTGCTTGTGATAAAGGATATATTAATATAATTGACTATTTGAATACTTATTTTCGGAATGCTGGCTATGTGCCGTATTATTTGGATATTGATTACCAGGATGAACATCAAGGGGAAAATTGTGCAATGATTGCATGCAGAAATGGAAATTATGCCATATTTTTATGGATTTACTTCCAAATTTTCTGAATTATTTTAAATATTTTGCATTTTCTATTAAAAGTCTAATAATTCTAATAAAGAATATCCAATGATAAAATTTTTATATGAAACTTGCCATGCTAATTTTCAAGCGAAAAATAAAAGAAATGAAAGTGTCATACAAATAACTGCAGCTGGAAGCCGAAAAAATATGCACAGGGATTATCATGAAATTTTTGTTTATTTAATTGAAAAAGTAGGTTGCGATGCCACTTATAATTACGAAGAGACCTTACTTTTATTAGAAAGTAGAGCCACCATCAGGTATATAGAAAAAATTCTTGGTGATAAAGGTATTTATATTCAAAAGTCTGATTTAGAAATATCTAATAAAATCAGACGATCTCAATCCCGAAGGCTTAATGGTGAAGAACTAAAAGCTGAAGAAGCGCTAACCAAGGATTTTAATATTTCCAAAATGATAGAAGACGACAAAAATGACCCAAAAAGCATTTTAAGTTCGATAAGTCTTAATGATTCAAAGCTTGAGACCCCATTTGTAAGTGTAATTGACGGAGTGAGTTAGTCCGCATGATTAAATTACGTTTAATTTTATTCCAAAAAATATTTTTTCTAATTTAATTAAAGCTATTCACTCCTATGCCAATAGTAAGCGAAGGTTCCCATGGAAACTAAAACAGAGAGTCTGGCAATCCTCCATGGCAGTCTTCGCTTGAAGTAGTATCGTTTCCAAAACCAGTTCCTTCTTGTAGTCCTAAACATATTTATTATTAGATTTTTATTATATTTGATGAGGCTGAAGATTTTAATTTATAAAGAGGCGCTGATAATTATAGGCAAAATTCTAAGACCTTTAATTGATTAACTAAACTTATCATGGCTTAGCTTGGCCTCTATTATATCTCTGCTCCTGCTTTGAGTCTTTTGCCAAGTTGTTGCATTGCAACCCAAGAATGCTTTTTAAGTCATTCGTAGCAGAGATATCTGTAACTTTTTTAACTGCAGGTGCTTCTTGGACATTTCTTCCCCAGATAGGAGTTTGCAGCTTTTCAATTTCATCGATTGTTTTTGCTGTGGCTGGAACTTTTATTGGTGATTTAGGAGGGACTTTAGAACTGTATCTATTCATTGGCATAAAAGGATTATTATCACCTTGTGATACGCTATACAATTTATATTAGTCCCAATTTTTACTAGCAAAATGATGTTCTTTATAAATAATTTTATAAAAATACATCCAAATCAGTATATTTTTAAATCTTGAGGAAAACAGCCACGAGCTGCCCAATTAAACATCTCAACAGAGCTAAATGGGCCTTGCGTCCTGTTTTCTAGATCTTTATAATACCAAATTTTTTCAAAGGGCTTCGACATAGGCACACAATAAACATTTTTGTCTTCTCCAATTTTCGCAAACTCTTCTACGATTTTTGCAAAAGGATTTCCAGCTGTTAAGTGGTAATTTAGCGTAGCAGAGTCACATATAAGAAAAGGTTTTACGCCAGGCTTTGGCTCTTCTATTATTACAGCTGGAGCTTCTTCTTCAGGATCGTCCCATTCAGGCATTGTTTCGTCTTCAATTAGTTCATTTTTTAGCTTTTTTTCGACTTCAGAGTCGATTTTTGAAAAAATTTCTTCTTCGAGGTCGAGGTTTTCGATAGCTTTTTCGACAGATTTGGTATCATTGGAATTTGCTGATGGTTCAGGGTCTTCATTATACCACTCAGGAACTTGCTCGACTCTTTTTTCTCATGGGACAGGTTTTCGACTATTTGGGTCTTCTAAAATTGGATGATAAAAAGAAGTCTTGGCATCCTGCAAAGGCGGCAGACAAATGACTGAAAATAAAGGGATAAGCTCTTCTGTCAACGAAACAGAAAGAGTCTGGTCACTATAGCTTTGAAATATTTCTTCTCGGGTGTATTTATGTGTAGCAGGGTTTACACATTGCTTGCTTCTCCATGCACCTTCTTTGCTATAATTTGGTGCAAATTTACGATAACTTAGTTCTTCTGAAATTTTATTAAATATTGTTAATGAATTTGGAAGCAATTATATGTGGAAAATATGAAAGAAAAAGAAAATAAGCAAAATAAATTAAAATGTGACTGGAAATTAAGGAATAAATACAGAAAGTTTAAAGTAAATAGTTTTTCAATAGTCTGTTTTATTATTCTTAATTCACAATAATGGCCAGCGAAAAGAAATCAAGAATTTCCCCTTCCAAATTGTCTCAGGACAAGTTTAAAATAGAACTGCCTAGATTTATATCTGAAATGGAGTTGGAGGATATAATAGGCCAGCCTCCAAGCATGAAATCAGAAATGAATCACCAGCTGACACCTATAGCCTGAACCTCCTTTTAGCTTGGACTATCCCGACATCTCCCTAATTGGTAAAACTAATAACCCTTTAGATGAAAAATCCACTCCTTATTGGAGATTTGTCATCTAAGCGGCTAGTTTATTTTACCAACATATGTTGGAAAACTAGCTCCCGGTTGATGATGGGATAGCTCAAGCCTAAAGGAAGCTCGGACTATACTATCAGGAGCTCAAGCTTAGCTGAAATTTGTAGGAGATCTAAAACCCCTTCTTCAAGTAGTGAAAATAAAGGTGTTAGAAGCTTATTCAGAAGACGAGATATGCCAAAATATATCAATATCTTGCCGAATAGCATAAACCCAAGGAAAGGTAGTATGGATACCTCGGCGTCTCATCATGGAAAAGATTTGGCCACAAAATTTAGTCAAGCAAAACAAAAAAACGAAGAAATGGAAAGCTTGATAAGGCTGATGGAAACTAGGCATCGCTTTGAGATGGATAATGCCAAGAAAAGATATTCTAATGCATTCCAATAAAAAACAGAGAATAATTTTTGGTAAAATTTGTTTTAAATAGATTTATTTCAGATTTTCAGTTGATTTAATCTTTTTATTTAAGTATATGATAAATTAGCAATGGCTAATAAAAAATTAAGTGACGATAAAGACGAATTAGAAGCCAGACTAAATGAAGAAATTTTAAAATTAAGAAGGCAAAACGAAGAAAACCTTGAAAAACTCAACGAATTTTTTAAATGCAACAAGGATCTGATAGAGAGTTTAATGATAGAAAAAAATGAGAATGTCTTGTTTTTGAAAGATTCAAATTCTATCATTACTGATGAGATTTCAGAAGATATCCAAAAATATAACAAGAAAATTGAAGAAATTTGCAAAGTATATCCAAAAATTGGCAGGGAAAGCAATATAATCCATATAAAAAATTTTAGAAGAACACCATCAACAGGAGAAACTGATCATGCCCTAATAAAGACTATCACATTTAGAAAGGAAACAAGTGCTTTTAACTCCCCATCAGAAACTTTTGTGTCAAGCCAAGCCACGGCATTATTTAACTTCACAGCAAAAGAGCCAGATGAGCTTGGCTTCAATAAGCATGATCGCATTACAATAATTTCTCAAAACGATGACGGCTGATGGATCGGAAAAATTGGAGAAAACATTGGCAAATTCCCATGCAGTTTTGTATTATTAGATTCTTAAATTAATTCAACATATATTATGGTAAAAATAATATGGCAAGGCCAGCAGTAAATCTTCCAGAGAATCATTTCTTGTTTACATCTGAGAGTGTCAATGAAGGACACCCAGACAAACTTTGCGATTTAATTTCTGATTCTGTGGTTGACGCATGCTTGGCTCAAGATCCCAGCTCCAAAGTAGCCTGCGAGTCTACAGCAAAGACCAATCTTCTTATGATATTAGGTGAAATCACTACTGGTGCTACCATTAATTATGAACAAGTTATTCGTGATACTGCCAGAGAAGTCGGGTATACTTCAAACGAAATCGGTCTTGCTGCCGACACTTGCAATGTGATGGTCAATATTGAATGTCAAAGCCCAGACATCGCTCAAGCTGTCCACTTAAACAAAGCTCCCGAGGAAATCGGAGCAGGAGATCAAGGCCATATGTTCGGCTACGCCACAAATGAGACTCCAGAGTGCATGCCTCTTACCCACTTGCTAGCCACCAAATTAGGTCGAAGACTAGCTGAAGTCAGAAAAACTGGAGTCCTCAGATGGGCTAGGCCTGACGCAAAGACACAAGTTACTGTTGAATATAGAAAAGAAGGAGGGAAGGTCATTCCTATTAGAGTCCATACCATTGTGATCTCAACCCAGCACGATCCTGATGTTTCTAACGAACAAATTAGAGCTGATTTGATGGAGCATGTCATTAGAGTTGTCGTTCCAGCTGAGTATTTGGATGATAAAACCATTTACCACTTAAATCCTAGTGGAAGATTTATCATTGGAGGACCTCATGGTGATGCTGGCTTAACAGGCAGAAAAATCATTATTGATACCTATGGAGGCTGGGGTGCACACGGAGGTGGCGCATTTTCTGGAAAAGACCCTTCAAAAGTCGACAGGTCAGCTGCATATGCAATGAGGTGGGTTGCTAAAAGTTTAGTAAAGGCTGATCTCTGTGATAGATGCTTGGTTCAAGTTTCCTATGCAATTGGTGTTGCTCAACCATTATCAGTTTACGTTGATTCATATGGCACTGTCAAGAATGGAAGAACTGATAGAGATTTGTTGCACATCGTCCTTAGAAACTTTGACTTAAGACCAGGCTGCATCATCAGAGATCTTAACCTTCTAAGACCAATCTACAAAAAGACAGCAGCTTACGGGCACTTTGGAAGAGAAGATGACCCTGATTTTACTTGGGAAACATCTAAAGATCTCACACATGAGCTTAACTAATAGAAAACCTTCTCGATTTTATTCTTAGCCTAATAACTTTAGTTATTTTAAAATAAGCATTTAAATCAAATCTCGAATAAGATTACTTCTATATTGTTTCTTATATAAAAAACTAAAATTAATCAGCTAATATAAAATATGCATATATACGTGAGGTCCTTAGAGAGTCTCCGATGCTATGAGTTTTCGGAGGAAGCACGAGTAGAAGAAGTGATGGAGCAAAGCAACTGCGATAATTTACAATGGGGTGGCCGTGCTCTAAGACCTGAATTTACACTCGCAGATTATGGCATTATGAGTGAATGCACTTTAGAAGCCCTTTTAGCAATTGAAGGAGGCAAGAGGAAAAAGAAGAAAAAAGTTTACACGACCCCTAAGAAAAAAGCACACAAGAAAAAGAAAGTCAAACTTGCAGTTCTCAATATTTACAAAGTTGATAAAAGCGAAAAGGTTACAAGAACTAAACGTGCATGCGAAAAATGTGGAGCAGGAACTTTTATGGCGAAACACTTCAATAGACACTACTGTGGAACTTGCCACGCTACCCAACTTTTCTCACAAGCTTAATAAGATTATCCATTTACTCTAAGGTAATAAATTCTTAAATGGCTATTGAAATTTTTATTTCAAAAATTAAACTTTAAAGTTTTGGTAAATGTATATATATTTAAAATTGAAATTTTGCTACTTATAAGGGGAAAATAATTTGAATCAAGGAAAAACTAAAATTAGTTTAGATAATTAGCCTCAATAAGTATAAAGAGAGTATAGCTATTTAAAATCGAAATTCAAGGAATAAAGCTAATTATCTAAAGTTAGCGATAAATCAATGAAAATAAAATCTTGAGAAAATTGCTATAAAACTCCATAATATTGTCTGTAGAGTTTTAAAAAAATGTTTTTCTAAGCCTTAATGATGAAGAAATTGACCTTGAAATCAAATTTTCAATATTATTTAATAAATATGCTTTACAGTATTTTAAAGCAAATATAATGATATTGAATGAGTTCGTAGTCTAATCTTAAAAAAGAAGTAACAACAGCATATTATAATATTTCACCTATTTACCATATAATTTTTTCAAGCCTCTAATACAGAATAAAAATTAGCCAGTATATTTATATACTTATAAGTTGCTGTTCTTTAACAGTCTTCTTAAATTGATAGCACTTTCATTCCTTCGATGTAACCTCACACCCAGTGGAATCGCAATTTCCTTTAAAATCCCAAAAGTTGGGGTGGTTTGCTCAGAATTTCTTCTTTTAAACTTATGCTGCAAAGGTAAAAGTGGGGGCAATCGCTTTGAATTCGATGGAGCAAATCGAAAATCCTGAAGCTCATTCGTTCCCAGGCTTAGTGCAAACGGAGTTCTCTGTTTATGAGTTATCAGCCTTGTGTTTTGGCTGCATTTAGATGGCTTTATCTTGATTTTATCTTTAAGTCCTTCCTCAAGACTTGGCTTAGAATAAAATAATTGGGGCAAGCTTGAATGTCTGTGCATAATTTATTTATATAGAGATTGATTAAGGCAAATTTTAAGCAAATATAAAAAAGTGCAAAATGAGAGTGAAAGATAATTTACGGTTTAAAATATATAGATATAAATATTAGGTTTATAGGCATTTAATCATTTTAGAATTAGATTAATTATTATTTTAATGTTCATAGAGAAACCGTTTATTAAAGAATAGCTTTAATCATCTTTATATTGGCATTGTTTAATTGGTGATGGCAATTATCTCATGAGGAATGCATTGTTATCTTAACTATGATTTAATTGCCTTAATAATTTCTAATCATATAAAAATAGACTATTTAACAGAATTTTAAATATTCTAATATCTGGTAGGTGTAGAAGAATTTTATGAATTAATAAGTATTTCAACGTAGAAGTTCTTTACTAAAGATTGGTAAATTTAGCTGGATACCTTAATTATAAAATTTCACTATTGATATATTTAATGATTAATCTAAATTCCACAACGACTATCCAGCCAATGAATCTCAAAGAAGAAAGTTTTACAAATAAGCGCAATGACATGCAATCTCTTTGAAAATTTGTATCAGCTGAGACTAAAAAAATTTTAACGAGTCCTGTAACTGTAGCACTTTATCATTCAAAGTGGCACAAAAACGGGAAGATCCCTGCTTTATTTCCCGGAAATACAATGATTCCTGAGTGCTTACCAGAGTATTTATGCTGAACTTGGCCTCATGACCCTTCCAAAAATTTGATTTCATTAACAGATTTGCGATACAAGCATTCTCATGATGCTGGATTCTTCCAAGGATCGCATGCATTAGAAATCCTTTTAAAATACACATCACCTAGCTCTCCCATATCCCCATCACAGACTATTGCTTTTGTAGATGATTCTGATTACCTCTGCATTCTTTTTCATGATGAGCTTTCTTGCACTTCTTGGAAAAATTCACTTATTTCTTTAATAAATGCTTTAGAAACAAGTTTTACTGATACAGAAGAATTTAATTCAAATTCATTTACATTACCTTTATTCCAAAATTTCGAAGAAAATTACGGGACTGTCTTTGACATTTCTGAGCCAAGTAATCCAATTGATATGTGAAGAGAAATAAAAACAACTTTCATAAAAGCAGATTCTACCACGTCGACTGAAATATTAGTTTATGACAGAACACAAGCAGATTTATATGACTCAATTGAAGAAGTGCTAAAATGCATTTCTCCAAATGTCGATAGGATTAATTATGATGTTATTGAGTCATATTTATTAGACGTCACTAGGATGGAAAATTTCAATAAAATGAAGGAAAATGAAACCCTTAAAATTTTTTCTGAAAAAGTCTATAGTTTTTATGATTTTGATAGAGATTATAATAGAAATTTAAGAGAAAAATATGCTGAAATAAACATTGAACAGATAGAAAATGAAATTTTCAGGCAGAAAGAAGAGTATGAAAAAATGAAAAACAAGGATAGGCTAGGTGATGCATTGAATTTAATTTTTATGCAAAAACTTGCTTTAGGATATGGCACATGTGAAAATGGAATTTTATCAAAAGTTTGGGCTTTGATGAAAAATAATACTGAATTCAATAAAGTAAAAAGAGTTTCGATCCAGCAGCTTGAAACAAAGCCAAGAAGAGAGTCTGGAATTTTATACAGTTCAGAGCCAAATGGAGATAATTTCCCTCAACTTTCAGAAAGGAAATTACCTGGAAAAGATAAAACATGTAACGTCTGTGATTGCTGTATTATATAATAAATTTTTAAAATTATTTCAAAAATTTCTTATGTAAGAAAAACGTATATTTTAAAACCCTAATAATTCTATTTATAATCTTGGTGAAGCTTATAATATGGCATTATAATGGTGACTTTAAGAAGAGCACCTTTTTTACAAAAAAATAAAAGGTGCATTAAATTAGATGCCAGTATTCAATTGTAAACAATAGCATGCATTGCATAAATTCTCGGTCAAAAGTCTTTAATCAAAAAGCCTATTTTGATAAAATCGAAATTATATCCATTAAACAAGGTTTTGTCTGAAACCTTATAAAATTCATATAAGACTTTAAAACAAAAACGGAATCTAGCTATTGTAATAATTTTTTTCTTATTATGGCTAATAAATATGTCCATTTTTTTCAGTGATCAAGAAAAGCAACTGCTCCCGAAGCCTTTCCACCTGACTGCAGCCCAGCTATCACAAAATAACACTGAAGATAAATATCAATGCCAAGATTGCTGTCTGAAATTCAGTACAGTTTTAGAATTAAATCTCCACAAAAATTCAGAAAAAATTACCAAGGAGATGATGCGAGCGAACATGTCTTTTTTAAAAGAATATGAGATCAGCTTGCGCTATTATAATAGATCAAGCCAATTACTGATGAAATGGATGAAAACGGATAAAGTTGAAACCAAAGAGTTCAGCTGTACAATTTGTAGTAAAAAATTTACAACTTTTAAAGGACTTAAGCAGCATGTTGGGAAGATGCATGAAGGCTCCCCGAAAGAAATCAAATGTGATTGCTGCAGTCGAAGCTTCAAGCACAAGTATGCATTAAAATTCCATATGGACCAAGTTCACCAAAAGGTGACAAGGGTCTCTTGTGAGCATTGTGAGAAGGAATTTTACAATAAATACCGGCTAGAAACTCATCAGAGATATTGCTTGATGGAAAGAGTAAACTCAGAAAATTAAGCAAAATTCTAAGCCTTAAAGTAAAAATAATGAAAGCATAGCTTTAACACAAATTTCTATATAAAATGGAATCTTTTTAAACACCAAGTAATAATAAAAAATAAGTTAAAAAGTAGATTTTTTTTATTTTGCATCTATAAAATCAATTAAAAAAAGTTTTATAAAAATATAAGAAAATCAATTTTTCTCGATTTTCATAATTTACATAGGTCAAATGGACCGAACAGATGACCCTTGCACAACTCCTAGAGACGGGAATAACCCTAATATTTATTCCCAAGAACTTTCAACAGGCCCATATTCATTATTAACTGGCTCTCCTTATGATCAAGCAGCTCCTCCTCCCACATATCTATCAATTAATTATTTAAACAGAGTTCGTCCTACAGATAAAGAATCTCAACTTCAAGGTTACGAATTTATTCCTGAAGGAGGTTTAAAATGCATAGACGAAAGAGTTTTATCAAATCAACGAGGAATCATTCTTGATGTAATTGCTCAGGTTTCTGCTTGCTTGATTAAAGGAAAAGGAGTTGTCGGATTAAGCTTACCTATAAGGCTTTTTGAGCCTCGCTCAACACTTGAAAGGATGCTTGACCGCTGGAGTTTTATGCCTGCATTTTTCAATAATATAGCAGAACACAATCATTTAGAAAGGTTTAAAAGGGTCATCGCGATGGCTGTGGCTGGGCTTTATATCAGTCCATCCCAAGAAAAACCATTTAATCCTTTATTAGGAGAAACCTTACAAGCAGAATGACCAGATGGGACCAAAGCTTATTGCGAGCATACAGTCCATCACCCACCAGTGACGAATTTTTATATACTTGGAAGAGAGTTCAAGATGTATGGACATTTAGAGCTGACTGGAAAATTCAAAAAAAATTCATTAGTAGGAGGATTGCAGGGAAAAGTCAATGTAGAGTTCAATGATGGACAAATTGTGACTTTTACGTACCCTCAGTTTAAAGCTGGAGGAATTATTATGGGAACCAGAACTGTGAATTGGGAAGAAACCATGAGTTTTGAAGACAAACAAAATCAATTAAGTGCAAATTTAGTTTTTGGAGCGGCTAGGAAGAAAAGTTTATTTAAGAAAGCTATTGGTAAAGTGGATGATTTTAAAGGAGAATTGCAACAAAATGGAGGCAAATTGTGCGATATTGAAGGGAATTGACTTATCCCCTTGTAGGTACGAAAAAATTTTAATTGCTTTTAAATAAATTTTTGTTGCATTGCAAAAATTGGAGAGGAAAAATTAATTTAATTAATTGGATTTATATTTAAAATGGAAGCTATTTAATAATTCAAAAAAAATTATTAAATAGAGATTTTCATTATAAAAATTATAAAAAATGCTTTCTTTCGATGGGTGGGTTTTCGCCGATAGATATGAATTTTCCTATTATTTTACTCTCTAATGGGAGGGAGAGTTAGCAATTTAGTTATTGATGGGGTAGAATATTGAAATATTAATTTTCAACAGCCAGTATTTCATTATTTTTCAACTTATCCTTTGCCAAGTGATTGGAGATATAGGGAAGATTTAGTATGGCTTGCCAAAGGGAATTCAGAGATTTCACAGAAATGGAAGTTAAAAGTGGAAAATAAGCAAAGAGATGATAGGAAACTAAGAGGGCTTAAGCATTAAATATAATCACTTGCAGAAATCTTTAATTTTATTCTATTTTTAAAGAAAATAAAGTCTTAAATTAATAGCCTTTGCATTTTAATCAGTAATGGCATATTATTCATGTATTTATTGCTCACAAATTTACAAAGGAAAGAATCTAAAAATGAAATAATTAAGTTTATTCACAATAAACTAATTATTTTAAATTATCCTTCACAATCTCCACAAACTATTCCTTCTTTCCACCCTATGCATTCTTTATGAAACAGCCTTTTACATTTCATACACTTTTCATAGTCTCTATCAGGGTTATAAATCTGATTGCAATTACAAACTTTCTTTCATTTTTGTACTGGAGGTTTCAATTCTTTAGTTTTAATGTTCCATTTTGCTCGAGTAAAAAATATATTGTCCCCCTCGGTATGGGACAAGTATTCGTCTAAGCTGAGTACTTTGGCTTTCCCATAGATAGCAGTGACATCAATATTTTGTATAAAATTTGAGTCAAATAATTCATTTTGACTGAACATTTCAGTATTTGAGTATATATCCTTTGGCTTGAAAAACCACCTGATTCTGGCTTGCGGGATTTGATCTTTGTTTTTGTTTCAGAGTATTTTTAATATTGTTGCATAAGAAGAGGAGTCAGAATTTTCCAATATTTGAGCTACGTCTCCTTTAGAGTAAAGATGATTCCACAAACGTAAGTTCGAATATTCTTGAATTTTCTGGATTTTGGGGGACTTTGCCGAATTTTTCTTCTTTAGTCTTAGCTTCATATTTACTTAAAATTAAATCAGCTTAAACTAATCTTTCATTATAAAAGTATTCCTAAATAATTATGATACACATTCGAAGGCTTTTCAGCTCTGCAGTTTTACCATGAAAATTCAGTAATTCTAAAGCATATGAATTACCTTTAGCTAATGGCGAATTAAACGTTGAATTGCTTAAAGAAAAAGACTCTTTCCTATATGTTTATGATGAAATTTTAAAATCATATGAAAATCAAGATATTGGATGGCTGGAAGATGTAATGGAGCCAAATCTTTTTAAAAAATTGCAAAGTGGAATGCAGGAAATAAAGGCGAATGAGAAGAAAATACAAATTATAAATGAAAAAGAGAGCACTGATGTGACTTATCATAATGCAGTATGTTTGGTGGGGGTCAATATAGATAGATCGAAAAATAAGATTGAAACTAATCCAGTAGAGAATACATTCAATTATGGAAGAGTGCCAAACTTACTTTTATACGGCCCCGATGGCTCGATTATATTGAGAGTGAGTGCTCTTTATGCCTCTAAGAAAAAGTTAGCCCTTTTTGACAAAAGCAATAATTTGATTGAGGGCGATAATAATGATGATATAGAGTATCATAAGTTTCAATTTGAGAAAATGGTACAGTATAAATTTATGATTCGTGATTTTCTAAAATTTATCAATTGAAATATTCTTGAAGGGAAAGACCCATTCGAAGATTCAGAATGAATTATTACTGATATTGATGATTCTTTGGATGGGAATCCCATTCTAGTGAGTGCCAGGAAGAAGAGTTAACTTAGCCTTAAATTTATAGGAATTTTAAATTAGACTAAATAATGATAAAGAGCAACTACCTGCTAAGTGAAGAATAGCAGAATAATAGCTTCCTTAAAAAACTACTTTAAATAAAAATTGCTTACATAACAGATATTTTAAATATAATTAAATTCTAAATTACGAAATCCTAATCCGAGACTTGAATTTTGATCAAAAATAGCCTGCTTAAACCAAATTACTAAAAATCCTCCTCCTTTCTTTTTATAATGGAGAAATATGCCATATAAGTTCAAATTTAATTTAAATTAATTTCTCTCAAAAACAATCCTAAGTCTCATTCTACTGAAATTTATTAATTTCCTGAAACCTCTTTAGATATAAAATGGAAGATTTTGATAAGTTTGAAGAAAAACTTAAAAATCTGACGCTATTTCAGACACCCACAGAAGAAGAAATTAGAGACATTAGCAATAGAGCAAAGGAAATATTTCTGACAGAAGAAAATGTTCTTTCAGTCAAATGCCCAGTCACTATCTGTGGAGATATTCATGGCCAATTCATGGATCTTATACAGCTATTTGAAATCGGAGGAAACCCACCTGATATTAATTATTTATTTTTAGGTGATTTTGTGGATCGCGGGTATGACTCAGTGGAGACTTTTACTTATTTATTATGCTTAAAAATCAGATACCCTAAGCGTGTATTTTTAACTAGAGGGAACCATGAAAGTGAGCAAATAACCCTGACCTATGGGTTTTATGATGAATGCATGAGAAAATACGGGTCAGCAAAAGTATGAAATATACTTACTGATTTATTTAATTATATTCCATTAGCTGCTTTAGTAGATAATCAAATATTTTGTGTCCATGGAGGATTATCTCCAGACATAAAGCAAATTCAACAAATAAGAGAGTTAGACAGATTCAAAGATATCACACAAGATCAAGTCATGTCTGATTTGTTATGGTCAGATCCAGATGACAGACAAGGGTGAGGTGCTTCACCCAGAGGGCTTGGTCAAACCTTTGGACAGGATATTTCTTTACAGTTTAATCACACAAATAATTTATCACTCATTTCTAGAGCCCATCAATTAGTGATGGAAGGGTACAATTGATGCCATGACCATAATGTTGTCACAGTTTTTTCTGCGCCAAATTATTGTTATCGATGTGGAAATCAAGGGTCTATTATGGTCATAGACGAAAATCTAAAATATATCTTTTTGCAGTATAACCCTGCTCCTAGAAACTCATCCCCAATAGTCACAAGAAGAACTACAGACTATTTTTTGTAATTTTTTAGAATTAGATGAACAAATAGCAATAAAGGAGAATTAGATAATTTAAAGGACAATTGCTATAATTCCTTATTTAGTTTAACTTATAAAAATTCTAGCCACTTACTCAGTAAGCCTGCTGGGCAAAAATAACAATATGTCAAAAGATACAATAATGAATAAAAGGCAAAATTCTCAGCAGTCACTTATGATTTACACCAATAGATTTGACAGCAAAGCTACCTATTCAGAAATCCTTGGTGACCTCCAGCAGATGACTGACTCTGATATAAAATTCATCTTTTCCAAGAAGCCCCGAAGCTCTCCATTTTCACCTTCAGAGCCTCCAAAGCGCCAAAAACTCAAAAAAGGAGCGAAGATAAGCAATTTTGCTTCCAAAATCCCTGAAGACGCTTCAGCGATTCTTGGATTTGCTTCTTTTTTGACTGAGTCTGAAGCTCAATGCAAAGCAATATCTTTTGGCAAGCTTCCTCCCAACCCCCGCAGAAGCAGCTCAAGACTTCCATTATCAAGAAAAGTGTCTCAAAGAACAGTCCCTCCCCCTTCCCAGCAAAATGGGAAATGTAAATCACGTGTAACCCCTAAGCGTCTTGCAGTATCAAATTCAGAAAAATTCCCAAGATCAGCTTCTCACCTTGCTATGGCGTATTTCATTAACTCCTGCACCTCTGTAAGTGAAAAAAATTTTCTATACTCATGTAGGGTTAATTTTTTAAAAATTTATATAAATTTTTATAAAAAGTTGCTTTTAAATTTCACAGAATTCGCTATTAATTTCTTATAATAATTGTCACTTATATATCAAATATATTTTCATAGAAAATTTTTATGCTCTATCACGCAGAGTTTTTTTCCCAAAAAAAGGATTTTCCTATGGTTTTGTTTGCTCGCGAAGGGGGAATAAGGAGTTTGAGCAAACCGCTTAGGTTGTTAATATAACTAATTTTTTCAGTTTTTAAAATTTAGGAGAGTTTAAATATAATCAGCTTTTAATTGTTAGCTAATTGATATTTATTAGCTTATTAGTGGGATATTGGGTTTATTAAGAAATAAACAAGCTAATTATCTCGGGTCTACATAGATTTTACTTGAGCACAGATATGATTCAACTTCTGGGCATGCTCAATGTTGTGTGTTTGAGTTGTGCATTCTCTGCCATATCAACAATTTTTCTTTTGAAGTATCGAAACTGGCAGCCTATCTTTAGGAATCTTCTCTCTAAACCTATAAATTAACTCGCATCATACCAACTTTGAGCATTTTTTGCAAACAAGTGAATTTCTATTCAAAATAGTATTTTTTCCATCTATATAAATTTTACCTAGTTTCATATTTCATCTTTCAATTTCCATAGCTTGTATCATCTCATTTGCAATATCCACAAATTTAATTTGATAATTATTTATATAATCAGCCAAAATAGTTTGCTCTATTGGATTTTCCTTCATAGATTCTTTAGGAATTTTATTGAAAAACCTTACATTATTGATAATTTCATTTAATCCATCAATACACCCTAGCCCATTTTTTCAATATTTATTACAATAGTGTGTTCCACAAATAGCACAATCTTGATTCGTTCCAGCTCTTTGAGGCATATATCTATGACAATTCTTGCATTGTATATGATTTTGGTTCCTTGGGCATTGAAATCCATCAATTAGATTTTCACATTGCAAACAATCAGTTTTTTCATAATTATTTCTATTAACTTGTGCAGGTCTCCTTCTATTAGGCCCAATCCCTCTTTTAATTTCATAAGGATTTGGCAGTCTTTGAGGGGATTTTACTTCTTTTTCTTTTATGTCTCAGTCATCATCACTTTCTTCATCTATCACATAATCTCCTGGATTAAACATCATAAATTCTTCTCCATCCTCGATATCATTTTCATTTGCAAGTTTTATATCAACCCCTAATTTAACTGTATCTCTATTAAACTTGTTTCTTGATTTCAGATCTTTTAGTTCTTCTTCATCTCTTCTAGCATCTGGATTTTCCTTTAAATAGGTAGCAATTAACTCAGTCAAAAAATTATTTTTTCTTACCTCTTCTGATTTTACCCTGCAATTTGGGCATTTAAATGACTGAGTTGTCCAGCCTGATAAGCATCCTCCACAAAAGTTGTGTAAACATGGAAATAATGTGACTGGCTGATACATTATTCCCATACAAATTTGGCATTTAAACTGTTCTTCTAAAGATGTGCTTGTTTTTTTAGATTTATTTGAAAAATTCTCGTCATTTTCATGTGGGCGCTTTTCTGTTGGTTTTTGGAAAACAAATTCGATTTTTTTATCTGGGCCAACTTGTTTTTCTCGAAGAATTGTTAAAATATCACCAAATTGAGCAGTCGAAATTTTTCCTTTGCCGATCTAGGTAATTGTTACAGTGTTATTATTAATAAAAGTGCTATTTGATGAAAAATCTTCAACTAAAAATTCAATTTCATCTTTGGAATCTATAATTGTTATCATGCAATGTATTTTGCTGCATTTACTATCATTTAGTTTTATAGTTGAGTTTGGGCTTCTTCCAATTATTATTTGTTTTTCATCTTCTTTTATTTCATAATTTTCTGCAGTCTTTTCATTATTGCTCACTAGTATAGCTACAATTTTCCCACTTTTATTCTGAGAACTATTGTTTTCTGTATGATTTTCCATATATAAACTTTGACTTAATTTAGACCCATTTATAATTCTAGTTACTTATAAAAAATTTACTTAGGCTGTAATCGAGTCTAAATAGAGCTTACTGGTGGGCAAATATGATTTAGTTTTTGTGCGTGGACAATGTTATGTATTTGTGTCCTGCATTCTCTGCCATACCAGCAGTCTTGTCTTTGTCCTACTATTGCTGGCAGTTCATTGGGTGGGATTTTTTCTCTATATTTATATAATAATTCGTTCCAAACTGATAAAGCGCACTCAGGGCATACCAAGCTGTTTTTATGCAGCATGACTTGATTTCCATCTACATTAATCTTACTTAAATTCATGTTCCACTGGTTTTGTTCCATTGCTGTCAACATTTCATTTGCCACCCTTTGGAAATTTATTCTTTTAGCCCTTAAATAGTCTCCTAATACAGTTTGCTCAAACTTGTTCTCATTAATTGCTTTTGGAGGGATCGCTGTAAATGTTGTCGGTGTATAAGTCTCTATTGCTCCAAGTCCATTTCTGCATTTTGCTCCACTTTGCCAATATAAATTACAAAAGTATTTCTTGCAGACCTCACAGCTTTGTCTATTATTAGGCCTTAATGGCATATATTGATGACATGTGGAACATTGCACATGAGCTTGGTTGGCTTGGCATTGAAAATTATCGACCCGCCTTTGGCATTGTCTGCATATATTTTGGCGGATATTCTGTGCTTGGGCTACTGCAAGTGGTCTTGTTCCTCCTTGGATTCCTTTACCCCTACCTCTGCCTCTAGCAGGTGTTGTAGGAGTCTTTTTTTCTTCTTCTTCGCCGGATGAAGCACTTCCGTCTGAATTAAATCCGTCTTTAGCTAGTTTAACTCTATCAGCTTTAAACTCATTATGCTCATCTAGATCTTTTAATTCTTCTGCTGGCCGTTGTGCATCTGGATGCTCTTTTAAAAAAATATCGATCAAATTGACCAAAAAGTGATTTTTCTTGACTTCCTTAGCTTTGGTACGACAATTAGGGCACTCAAGAGACCGCTGCTTTCAGTCTGAAAAACAGCCACCACAGTAGTTGTGTAGACAAGGGAATAAAGTGACAGGCTGATACATTACTTCCATACATATTAAGCATTTTATTTCTTCTTCTAGCTTTGAGTCCATGTTTGATTTCTTGTTGGATTTGTCTTCTTCAGGCTCACGCGCTCTTTTCTGAGTTGGTTTCTGTATCACAAATTCGATTTTGTCGTCTGGACCTATTGCAATTTCCTGTGGATGGCGCTGTTTTGGCCTTGATTTTCCCACTGGGAAAATTTTTTGGTTTAGCCAGTACCATATGGTTTGGTCAAACTCAAAAATTTTCCCAGTGGGAAAATCAAAGGCCAAAATAGCGCCATCCATAGGAAAATCCCATACCTGTGCCTCTCTAAGAATAGTCAAAATGTCGCCAAAAGCAGCTTTTGAGGACTTTCCTCTGCCAATTAGATTTCCATTAATAAAAGTTCCGTTTGATGAAGTGTCCTCGATCAAAAATTCATATAGAAATTGCCCGAGGATGGCGCTATTTTGCGCCATCCTCGGGCAATTCAAAAAACCGGCCCCACACGGGAACTGAACCCACGTGTGGGGCCATTTTTGGTATGTGTAATACATAGACTTACACGTACCAAAAATGGCCCCACACGTGGATTAGATTCCCGTGTGGGGTCATTTTTTGAATTGCCCGAGGATGGCGCAAGATAGCGCCATCCTCGGGCAATTGCTATAGTCGTCATTTGCTTTTACAATAGTTATTGTGCAGTGTCTGCCACTACATTTAACATCTCGCAAAATAATGGTTGATCCTGGAGCTCTACCAAATGTAACACTTGTAGTTGATGGTCGAATATCATAGGTTTGAGCTGTTTTCTCATTGCTAGATACTAATTTTGCGACTATTTCTTCAGAGTCACCGTTTGCGGTATTAGGAGGAAGCTGGTTTGCCATATTCTAATCTTTTCTGAATTTGAACCATTTAAGTGCGATAAGAAATTTGGTATGTTTATATGGAATTTTAAGCTTTTTAGTGTGAAATATGAAACTTATATAGCATGGATAAATTTAATGATAAAATAAAATTATTTTCTTTCTTGATAAACTTCCTGGATAAAAAACAATTAATTTTTGACTTAAAATAGAGAAAATAGATGCCTTAATTATCTGAAATGGTAAAGTTTGTGTCATTAGTCGTGTAGAAAACTTAAATGAATTAGGATTGTTATTTATTATTGCAGGTTAATTAATATGTCAAATGTCGCTGATCTGCATCGTTACTTAAAAGAAACACGCGAAAACAGAAAACAGCTTATTGCGTTAGCTAAAAAATATATTAAATCCGAAGACAAAAAGCTAAAGAAAAACAGCCCAAAAAATCGTCAAATCAGCTGCAAAAATTGTCTTTTCCCACAACTTAACAGATTTAATAATCAAGAAATAAAACTCGTAGAATGCCCAATAATAGCTTTAGTTTCAAAGCCAATAGCTCCTTTAAGTCACAGAATTCGTAGAGAAAAATCATTTCTTACACCTAATTTGAAAGAAAAATATGAAGTAATGGATTATGTATATTCCAAAAGAATTAATCGACCCAGCCCTAGTCGCTCTTTTCAAATTCTCGAAAGCAGAAATAAAAATATTGGTGATCATAAAAGATTTGCTAGAAATAGATCAAGTGAACCTAATGTGAAAATATATCACAACTCCCGTTCACATAGATCTACAACCCCTGATTTTGATGATAACTTGAAAAATAAAAAATCAGATCCATTTCTGTGGATTCAAAGAAGAAGAATGCTTTTAAAAGAAAAACTTTTGATTAAATCACCAACAAGTTTATCCTGTATAAATTAAATTTTTGATATAATATGGCTTATTTCACAATATTCTGTTTTACACTTAAATTATCACCAAATGCGGAATATTCTTACCAAAATAATTCCCAGGCATTTGCTCTGCTTCTATCGAGCTAATTTCATACGGAAATCTAATAACAGTTGGATCGTCAGCTTCGCCAATGCTCGGCAAATGGTCTTTTTTCTCACAGATCCTCTCGATGATTGCCATGAGCCTTTTTCTCAACTTTTTGGCCAATCTTGAGTCTGATTTCCTTGGCTCAGGAATTGCCATCTGCTGGAGCTGTATAGGGATTTTCCATTCTTCCCAAATGACTTTGGTTTTTTCTTGTATGAACAAAAAGGTTTTCTTTTTAACTGTTTGGTAGAAAGAAAGAGTTAAAATTAGCATTGGCCTCTCCTGAAGCCTGTTTTCAAATAATGTCAGCTGCTCTTCTATATGTTTATCTGTATTGATATCATTGAGAGTCAAATAAAAAACCCCACAATCACTTTCTACTTGGCGAGGGGTTACAACTCCGAGTTCTCGCTGGAAAAGGATTGAATGGATTATTACTCGTAAAGCGTCCTTTACTTGTCGAGGCTCAAGGACTAGGCCTTTTATTACGTTCTGTTCATGATTCATATTTTTATATGTGAAATTCAAATAATTTTAGGTAGAAGTTAGTTTTTGAGTGCTGAAAACAGTTGATATATTTTATGGCAAGTTAAAAGTAATAATATTTAGATAAAATTATTTATAAGCCTTTTAAAGAATGAGAAAATGCGATATAGCAAGCAAATTCCAAAAATAATAGCAGATTAAGCAGGCTAGCAAGAGAGGTATAATTATAATATATATTTTTAAATTTCCATTATTAATTACAGACATTTAATGCCATTCCACATCGTCCAATATGAATAGATAAGCTTGAATTGCCTTTACCAACCTTTATATCTGTCTGGCCTTGACGTTTTCCTTCTTTATAGCGCATTTTAAATCCCTCTTGGAAGCATTCTTTGCTTAAATTCCAATTATCTCGATTTAATAAAAAGCTTGCTGAAAATCTATTTATTTTTACCAATCTCTTGCCAAAAATCAATTTTTCAGCAAAATCACCCATTTCTGATTTGTTTTTGGTCCCTGCTTGGTTGCAACTTTTAGGAGTGATTTCTAAATAGCTACTTTGATTTCTACGATATCTGTATATTAAGTGAGCTGATTCATGCAAAAGGATTATTAAGGTTGCTGCCTTACCAAGAGAATTGCAATTACTAAAGGAATCATTAACAAATACTATATCTCCTATCGTAGTAAGCCCATAAAGTTCAGGAGGGAAGACAGCATAATAAGAACAATCGCAGACTCTAATAAAGAGATCATCAAGAGAAACGTTTGAATCTATCATGCTGAATGCATCTGAAACTATGCTATTTGATGTAAGACTTCTATAAAAGTTCAAGCATTGCTGGTTCTCCGATTCTGTGATTCTTGCTGGGTAGTTTTTATCTCGATAAATTTTATCCATATGTAAAATGCATGAGCCAGAAACGTGGATATAGAAATATATTGCCAATGTTCTTTTTAACGATCTAGTTATTTCGTTTAATTCTAAATCGGTCATTGTCTCATAGAACTCTTGGCTGGAGAATAACTTGAGATTTATTTGAAAAGTTGGATAGCATGCTTCATTAGTAAGGATATCTAAACCGACGTTCTCAAGTAAATTTCATTGAGAGTTCAAAGCTAAGTATAAGAGTAGCTGAAAAGGGTTTCTACAAGATAAGATATCATCTTGCAAAATTTCTGATTGATCCATTTCTAAAAGATTAGAACATTCTTTTCTCAGCCTTTCGATATCTTGAGAGAAATTGAAATAGTTGTTATCTTTTTCGCTTTCTTGATTAATGGTTTCTGAGATAAAATCATTAACAATTTTATGATACTTGCGTAGAGCTTCGAAGTATTCGTATGCAGTTGACTCCATTTTTCGTTTATAATGGGGCTATAACGTATTTAAAATTAAAAGCACTTGTTTCCCCTTCGTAAGCGAACAAATCATTATTGATTAAATAGGATGCTTAATACAATAGAACTGACTGTAATTTCATATGGAAATCTAATAACAGTTGGATCGTTAGCTTCACCAATGCTCGGCAAATGGTCTTTTTTCTCGCAGATCCTCTCGATGATTGTCATGAGCCTTTTTCTCAACTTTTTGGCCAATCTTGAGTCAGATTTCCTTGATTCAGGAATTGCCATCTGCTGGAGCTGTATAGGGATTTTCCATTCTTCCCAAATGACTTTGGTTTTTTCTTGTATGAACAAAAATGTTTTCTTTTTAACTGTTTGGTAGAAAGAAAGAGTTAAAATTAGCATTGGCCTCTCCTGGAGCCTGTTTTCAAATAATGTCAGCTGCTCTTCTATATGTTTATCTGTATTGATATCATTGAGAGTCAAATAAAAAACCCCACAATCACTTTCTACTTGGCGAGGGGTTACAACTCCGAGTTCTCGCTGGAAAAGGATTGAATGGATTATTACTCGTAAAGCGTCCTTTACTTGTCGAGGCTCAAGGACTAGGCCTTTTATTACGTTCTGTTCATGATTCATATTTTTATATGTGAAATTCAAATAATTTTAGGTAGAAGTTAGTTTTTGAAAGCTGAAAACAGTTGATATATTTTATGGCAAGTTAAAAGTAATAATTTTAGGATAAAATTATTTATAAACCTTTTAAAAAATAAGAAAATGGGATATAACAAGCAAATTCCAAAAATAATAGCAGATTAAGAAGGCTAGCAAGAGAAGTATAATTATAATATATATTTTTAAATTTCCATTATTAATTACAGACACTTAATGCCATTCCACATCGTCCAATATGAATAGATAAGCTTGAATTGCCTTTACCAACCTTTATATCTGTCTGGCCTTGATTTTTTCCTTCTTTATAACTCATTTTAAATCCCTCTTGGAAGCATTCTTTGCTTAAGCTCCAATTATCTCGATCTAATAAAAAGTCTGCTGATGAGCTATTTATTTCTACCAATCTCTTGCCAAAGATCAATTTTTCAACAAAATCGCCCATTTCTGATTTATTTTTGATCCCTGCTTGGTTGCAACTTTTAGGAGTGATTTCTAAATAGCTACTTTGATTTCTACGATATCTGTGCATTAAGTGAGCTGATTCATGCAAAAGGATTATTAAGGTTGCTGCCATACCAAGATTATTGCCATTACTAAAGGATCTATTAACAAATACTAAATCTCCTATCGTAGTAAGCCCATAAAGTTCAGGAGGGAAGTCAGCATAATAAGAACAATCGCAAACTCTACTAAAGAGTTCATCAAGGGAAACGCTTGAATTTATCATACTGAATGCTTCTGAAACTATGCAATTTGATGTAAGACTTCTATAAAAATTCAAGCATTCCAGGTTTTCCGACTGTGAAATTCTTTTCGGGTTTTTTGCATCTTCATAAATGTAACCCATATGTAAAAGGCATGCACCAGAAACGCGGATATAGAAATAAATTGCCATAGTTCTTTTTAACGATCTATTAATTTCGCTTGATTCTAAATCGATCATCGTCTCATAGAACTCTTGGCTGGAGAATAACTTGAGATTATTTTGAAAAGTTGGATAGCATGCTCTATTAGTAAAGATGCTTAAATCGACGTTCTTAAGTAAATCTCATTGAGAGTTAAAAGCTAAGTGTAAGAGGAGCTGAAAAGGGTTTCTACAAGATAAGATATCATCTTGCAAAATTTCTGATTGATCCTTTTCTAAAAGATTAGAACATTCTGTTTTCAGCCTTTCGATATCTTGAGAGTGATTGATATAGCATTGATCTTTGGCGCTTTTTTGATTAACGGTTTCTGAGATAAAATGATTAACAATTTCATGATACTTGCATAGAGCTTCGAAGTATTCGTGTGCTGTTGACTCCATTTTTCGTTTATAATGGGGCTATGACGTATTTAAAATTAAAAGCACTTAAAGAAAATTATTTAAGTTTCATAAAAGAGGCGGAACTCTTGAATTCTTATCATTGCTTAAATCCCAGTTATCTCGATTTAATAAAAAGTCTGCTGATGAGCTATTTATTTAATTCCATTCTCTCGCCAAAAATCAATTTTTTCAACAAAATCACCCATTTCTGGATTATATTCTAACCCCTACTTGTTTAGGAGTGAGTGTTAAATAACTATTTTGACCTCTATTATATCTGAGTATCAACTGAGCTGATTCATGCAAAAGGATTATTAAGGTTGCTACCTTACCAAGAGAATTGCAATTACTAAAGGAATCATTAACAAAATACTATATCTCCTATCGTAGTAAGCCCATAAAGATCGAAAGGGAAGTAAGTATAATAAGAACAATCGTAGACTCTACTAAAGAGATCATCAAGGAAACGTTTGGATCTATCATGCTGAATGCATCTGAAACTAAACTGCTTGATGTAAAGACTTCTATAAAAATCCAAGCATTGCTCTCTATTCTTCGACTGTGCAATCTCTTTGGGCCGTTTTTATTTGGAAAAATGGCATCCATATACAAAATGCATGCATCTGGAACGCGAATATAGAAATGTATCGCAATGTTCTTATTAACGATCTATATTCTCTGTTTAATTCTAAATCGGTCATCATCTCATAGAACTCTTGGGCTGGAGAATAACTCGAGATTTGATTGAAAATTTCGATAGCATTCTCCTTGAATTAGTTCATCTGTATCTATGTTTTTAAGTAAATTTCATTGCGAGTTCAAAGCTAAATATAAGAGTAGCTTAAAAGGGATTTCTACAAGATAAGATATCATCTTGTAAAAGTTCTGATTGATCCATCCATTTCTAAAAGACTTGATAATTTATTTCTCAGCTCTCTGATATGCTCAGAGCAGCGGGAATAGTTGCTATCTTTTTCGTTTTCTTGATTGATGATTTCTAAGATAAAATTATTAACAATTTCATGGTACTCGCATAGATCTACGAAATTCTTGGTATATTGTTGACTCCATTTTTGGTTTAAAATAATGGGGCTATTATGTATTAAAAATTAAAACACTTAAAGAAAATTAGTTGAGTCTCGTAAAGAAATATTTGGCACCCTTCAATTCATATTATTGAAGGCTTCGGAAAATTGATTAAATAGGATGCTTAATACAATAGAACTGACTATATCTTTTTCAAATTTTCATTAATTGATTCTAGACTATATAATGCCATTCCACATCGTCCAAGATAAATAGTTGAGGAATTGCCTTTGCGAACCTTTGTAACTGGCTGGCGTTTACTTTTTCCTTCTTGATATTTCATTTTAAGTCCCATTTGGAATTCTTCTTTGCTTAAATCCCAATTATTTCTATTTAATAAAAATTTTGCTGATGAGAAATTTATTTTTACCATTTTTTCGCCAAAAATCAATTCTTCAACAAAATCACCCATTTCTGAATTATATTCGATCCCCGTTTGCTTGCTGCTTTTAGGAGTGAGCATTAAGTAACTACTTTGACCTCTACAATATCTTCACATCAAGTGAGCTGATTCTTTCAAAAGGATTATTAAGGTTGCTGCCCAACTAGTAGGATCTTTAAGATTAAAGGATTTATTAACAAATACTATATCTCCTATCGTAGTAAGCCCACAAAGCTCAGTAGGGAAGGCAGCATAATAAGAGCAATCAGAGACTCTACTGAAGAGATTATCAAGGGAAACATTTGGATCTATCCTACTGAATGCATCTGAAACTATGCTATTTGATGTAAGACTTCTATAAAAATCCAGGCATTGCTTGCTATTCTTCGACTGTGCAATTCTTTTTGGTTTGTTTTTATTACGAAAAATGCCGTCCATATTCAAAATTCATGCACTAGGAATGCGGATATAGAAATATATAGCCAATGTTCTTATTAACGATCTAATTTCTTCGTTTAATTCTAAATTGGTCATCATCTCATAAAACTTTTGGCTGGAGAATAACTCTAGATTTGTTTTAAATTTTCAATAGCATTCTTCATTAGTAAAATCATCTAGGTTCCCAAGTAAATTTCATTGAGAGTTCAAAGCTAAGTTAAAGAGTAGCTTAAAAGGATTTCTACAAGATAAGATATCATCTTGTAAGAGTTCTGATTGATCTATTTCTAAAAGACTAGAAAATTTGTTTCTCAGCTCTCTGATATGTTCAGAGCAACGGAAATAGTTGTTATCTTTTTCGCTTTCTTGATTGATGGTTTCTGAGATAAAGTTATTAACAAATTCATGATACTTGCATAGAGCTTTGAAATATTGGTATGCTGTTGACTCCATTTTTGGTTTAAAATAATGGGGCTATTATGCATTAAAAATGAAAATTAGTTAATAAATTAGTTAAGTCTCATTAAAGAAGTAATTGACACCCTTCAATTCATACGATTGAAGGCTTCGAAAAATTTATAAAATGAGATCTTAATACAGTAAAACTGATTATACTTAGATTTATCAAAATTTGGGGCAAAAATATGATCACAATTTTATTAAAAACATAAATTTTCATTAGATTCTTAATAAAATATAAAATAATTAATTGTTACCCATACTCCTGTGTGGGAATGCCAAAAAATTGAGAGAAATATTGCATATAGGTGTCTTAAATTTAGTGCTGAGCCTATAAAAAGGCTAATTTATGCTCTAAAGACAGAAGTTTAGAGAGATCTAGAATTTTTGTTTAGCTATGATGCGATTTTGAAAGGATAATGGACTCAATGCTCAAAAATATGCATGAACTATTTAATTCTAATCAATATTAAGTCTATAATCATAATAAATAATATAAAATCTTTAATAAAATTCTCAAATCATAAGATCTGACATAAAAATCTAACTTAAAAGTTTTTATTCATAATAAAAAATAAATAACATTAATACATAAATATATTAAATGGAGTAAAAAACCTAAAACTAACGTAAAATTTAACGTTAGAGCTGATAATATTTTTCTTAAAAATTTCACTTCAAATATTCTAAAAAAACAATCCGATTAATGGTATTGCTTAATTATTGATTAAAATTATCAATAAAAAATGAATCGAAGCAAAATGCTAGAGATGGTCAGTGATACAGCTTTTTTCAAATTTGCAAAATCATCATTATATAGCATAGCAGATAACGAGTCTTTGGAAAGTAAAAGGATTCCAATAAATCCAAATCTCCTTACTTTTAATGATAAATTTCTTGAGAAAAGATTCCACCAGCAGCACACATGCCAAAAAGGGGTCAATAAAGGCCCATCTTCAGAGTTCAAGAATAATATGCTAATATTTTTTATTTTCTTATTTTCCTACATAGCAATCACAATTAGTACAGCTATTTTACTTTATTCAAGCAGTAACCAATCTCAAAATCATTTAATCATAAGAGTGATATTTCTTACAATGATTCTAACTGTGAGTTTTTGTATTATATATGTGATCTTCAAGTCATCATACTTTTTAAACAGAAATAAACAACTATTTATCCTTTTAGGGTCTATTTTTATGACATACTTAATTATTTGTGATGAAAGGGTTTTATGTGGAATTACAAGTACTGATTATGAAAAAAATAGCCAAAATCATATGCTAGTTATAGCTTGCTTCATAGTCTTTTACAAACTCGTTATTTTTGATCACTTTGTATATGTTGCTCTTTTATCGCTGCTAACCCTTATCTTTCTTTTAATATTTATGCTAGCTTTTTCTCCTCTTTCTTATTTAGCTACTCTCAGTGATTATTTGGTTTTACTTGTATTTTTAATACTGCAAGTAATCGATTCCTGACAAATTGATTACAGAGCGAAACAACTGTTTTGGAGACGTGAGCAAGAGGAAGAAGCTCTAGATCCTTTAGCTAATGAAGAAAATGGTGACGTTTTTGCGCAGCAAATGTGAACGGAGATTGAGTTATTATTACATATGTGTGACAAAATCAAGGCAAATATTAAACAATCGTCAGCTGTAATTATGTTCAAAGATATAAAAAATAAGCTAAAATCTGCACAAAGTGATATAGAAAAAGTAAAACGAGGAATTGCTCATGGGCTAATTATGGCTGAAATCAAGGTCAATAGCGACGGTATGGACGAGCAAGATAGGGTGTTTTTATCAGAATATTGTATGGACCATTCTTTAGCCACAAAATTCAAAAGCTTGTCTAGAAGGCCATCTACTATGGATTTAAAAGAAAGAGACCTATCGTTTCCGTTTAGTTCTTATGGGGTTGCTGAATTAGAATCAGTTCTTTCAAGCATTGGGAAAAATTGAAATTTTGATATATGGTTTGTGTATAATGCCACTGGGCATAGCATTTTTATAGTCGCAAAATTTTTATTTGAAAAATGAAACTTGAGTACAACTTTTAGCATTAATGAAGAAACAATTGATAGGTTTTTTAAGACGCTAGAGAGAGTAATTACTATATAGAATTACCATCAAAATCCTTATCATAACTCATGCCATGCAGCTGATGTGCTGCACACAATGCTTTATTTTTTAACCACAAGTGAGATTGTGAAGCATCTGAATCCAATAGAAATCATTTCTCTTATGGTTGCCTGCTTAGGCCATGATGTAGGTCATCCAGCTTTGACAAGCCGATTTTTAATAAATAACCGTGATGAAATCGCTATGATATATAATGATAGCAGCGTCTTAGAAAACATGCACATCTCCAAAATTTATGGGATCATGGGGAATAAAGGCTGCAACATTTTTGAAAACATTGACTCAGATGACTGAGTAAAAGCTAGAAAATTAATTATTGAAATGATATTAGAAACTGACATGTCAAGGCACTTTGAAATTTTAGGAAGATTTAGGGCTAGAGCTAAGAATTTAGCTGATTTAGCCCTAGATGTCCATGATGATAAAATTTTGATTTTATCAATGGCATTAAAATGTGCTGATATCGGGCATTCAGCGAAAATTTCTGAACTTCATGAAAAATGGACTGCACTTGTGTGTGAAGAGTTTTTCAGGCAAGGAGATTTGGAGAAGCAGAGAAACCAGCAGGTTTCTATGTATTGTGATAGAGACACAACAGAAATTCCAAAATCTCAAGCTGGGTTTATTAAAAATATTTGTTTGCCTTTATTTGATGTGTGATGTGAATATTTGAATAATGATGCAATTAATAAGTATGTTTTGGAGCAGCTTAAGAAGAACCTTAATTATTGGGAAGAAAAAACGAGGGTTAGAAGAGCATCAATGCAAATTATAGATACAACTGCTAGAAGAGAGGCAGAAAAAAAGTTTTTAGGCTTAAGCCCTAAAGCTAAGCCTGATCGTTCAACTTAGTTTTAAAAAATAATTTCCTTTTTTAATGCATACTTTGAATATTTTTAGAATTTAGCTAAAAATTCGCCCTTTTAAACTGATTAGTTGTAAATTATGAATTTATTCGATACTGATCAATTATATTGTTTTTTTGTGTGTATTAATTATATTATTTAGTTTATAGTAAGAAAGAAATAACAACTATCAAGAAATTAGTTGTCTTTTCTTTAAAAATTATGTGTGGAGAGCATATTATATAATTATAAATTTCCACTAAGGTTTTATTAAATTACTAACTCCCCCCCCCCCCCCCCCTCCGTGAGCGAACAAAAAAATTTTGTTCGCTCACGGAGGGGGGTTAATTTTTTTTTTTAAAAACAATTTATATATAAATTTTATAAAAAATATTTTTTTCGAAATTTAAAAAAATCCTAAATTTGCAAAAATTGGGAAGCAAATATTAATTTAATTTGCAAAATTTATGTTTTAAAACGCAATTTGTTTAAAATTAAAACAGAATTAGCTCTAGATTTCATTATACTAATTATCACTTATATATCAAAATTTTTTTCCATTAAAATTTTTTCTATTAAAAAAAATTTTTGTTCACTCACGGAGGGTGGTTTTTTGGTCAAAAATGGCGATTTTTTCTAATGGTTTTGTTCGCTCACGGAGGGGGGGGGGGAGTAAGCACTGCTTCTATGAGTAAATTAAGTATACTCAGATTAGCTTTAATCATCTGCTCTTTAATGATAAATGATAGGTAACATATTTTCAAAGTTCTTTAATTTCTCATTTTTCTTAGACCTTTCATAAAGCTCTTGGTTTTGCAAAAATTCATTGATTCAAAATTATCAGCACTTTCCACAATATCATAAACTTTATGATGCTTATTGTAATTATATATATAAAACTATTTAATTAATTTTTATTAAATATTTACTTACAAAGTCACGATTAAATCAAGGAAATTAAAATTCTTTTTAAATGTAATTTTGACTTTAACCAAAATAGTTATAAGAAAAATCTCTCGATGTTCATTGTTCGTAATTGAAATGGAATTTTCTAGATAAATATGGAATTCTTTTTATTCAGAATCTTTGTCACTAGAGATCTCCGAACCTTCTAAGATCCATTAGAAATTGAAGACTCCCATAAAGCATAAAGCAGTTATTTAATCAAAAGGCAGATTTTTTGTTCAAATATTTTATAGCAACTCAGACCACAGGCAGATGGTTCGAGAATTAAAATGGATGAATATTTTTCTCATTTAAATCTCTTAGACTGTAATTCTTCTTATTTGATTCTGATAAGCTTAAAATAATTATTATCCTCATGCCTAGGATAACCAGCTCATGGTGAGATGATGATTTCACGAGCCAACTTGAAGATTTAAAATTTTCACATATCATAAGCTCTGCTTTATCAGGGCTTCTAGTGCTCTCCTTTGACTTTTTATTGCCCAGCCAGGTTTTCACCGCGATTTTTAAAGCTGTAACACTTTTTTTACTTATTATATGCTCAACAATTCTAATAAATCGGAATAACAACTCACGAACAATATTTCTCGTTATTTCGACAACTGAGTTCTGTAGCTTTTTGATGTGGTATTTTTCTAGAACTACACTTGATGAGCATAGAGCCATATTTATCATCGGTGCGACTTTTAACTTACTCCTTTTACAAATTCCATGCGTAAAATCCAGATTTTTCTGCTGCATTCTCATAGCTAAACATATATAGCCTCTGAAATATTTTAGATCATTATTGGCCATCCATTTTTAATTTCCAAAATTAATTTGTACTTGTCAGCTTTTTTGAAAAGTAAAACGAAATTGACAAATCTCCGTTTTATGGTTTTTAGGTGCCTAATCAGACTTATACTGTATAAGGCAGGTGCCCTGTACCATATATTTTTTCTGGTCGGTATTTTGTTGGGGTATAGAGATCTATTAAGGTGCATGGGCTATATATCAATGGTATATTTTTGATATTTTGAAAACTACCGAGAGTTATACTAGTAACCTTTCTCCATATATTGTGGTATCAAGCTGTTTAATCATCCAGTTTATGAATATTAGTACGACATTTAAAAGTGGATTATTAACATTTTCTCTTCATAGAAAAGCAGAAGAAACAGAAAGATGCCTGAATTTTTTATGTCAATCATTTTGTGATGGATTTTTGGTACTTTCAGATGACTTGAAAATTGAATATTTAAATTCAAATATTTTAGCGCTTTTTGAGTGTGAAGAAAATCAGTTACTTAACAATATTTCTTGTCAGACATATTGGGATGGAAAAAAGTTAAACCATCTCACATTTAAAAAGTCAGTTAGGAGTAGGACTTAGGTCCTACATCCAAACTCAGTGAGAGAAGCCCGAGAGTCTCAGCTCAAGAGAATGGGTTTGCACTGAGTCTGGTGTAGATCAAAGAGGTCCTAAGGGGCTTGGGGACAGAAGCATGTTGACGATTAGGCCAACCTGTCTACCATTTTTCAGAGTTGTGGTCCAAGCTGAATTCAGGAAGAACGGGACTTAAAGAATTATCTTAATTTAAACCATCTAACAAATTCATCATTTATAATAGATGATATTAAAGCAGCCTTTGCTTTACCTATAAATGGAGAAGCCCTAATAGGGATAGGAAAAATAAAATGGTGACGATGAGGGAAATTGGATTCCTAGGTTCACTCCCTGTGGAGCAGGTAGAAATCATCCGATAAAACTGAAAGCAGAACTTCTCCCTTTTTGGGTAGGCCTTCAGGTTGGGGATGTCTTGCTGAAGAGTGAAGCTTTGTTTTTTCCCCTGAAGTTTTTCCTGTCACTGTCAGATGGGCTAGGCAGGTTCTGCCTACCGCGTGGTCTATCCTTGTCAGGATCATCGTGGCACTCTACATACGGTAGCTCTGCCCTAGACAGTCTAATTGTTTAATTTAATAGGGATATCGAAGTTAAGAAGCAACCTTTTGGAATGAAAAATTAAAAAAATGCATTGAAAAAGTAAACCATCTTTAGTAATTTTTTCAAGAAATGTCAATCATTTAATAGAACTCGAATCCCTATCTTCTGAATGCAGGGCGAAAACTGACCTATTGAACTTTGTATCACATGAACTAAGGGCTCCAGCGAATTCAATAATTCTGTTTCAAGAACAAATAATTGAAGAGGAAGGGTCGAGACTAAAAACTACAACTGTTGATAAGCTGCAGACAATAAATGTGCTTTCTCATCTTCTTCTTTCCTTTGTAAATGACTTGTTAGATCACTCAAGAATCATGGCAGGTGCATTTAATTTAAATAAATCAAACTTTGATATCAGAGATGTCATCAAAGACTCATGCAAGCTCTTTGAAATTCAAGCTAAGCTTAAGCACATTGATTTAAGAATACGTTTAGACCCGACCTTGCCTCATTCAATATATTCTGATCCAATGAGAATTGGACAAATTTTGGTAAATCTTATAGGAAATAGCTTAAAAGTATTACTTTTTTGAATTTTAATAGATTTACTCTTAATTAAATTCTTGTTTTTCTTTGAAGCCTGTAATAAGATAGGATCGGTGGATCGACCGTTAGAGCCTAACTGCCTCAGCCCAAGCAAGAGTTCTCTTTCCAGCACACCATGTGGAGTGTCACAACTCCAGGAAGCTGTCTCTTCGTCTTTATAAGACTATCTAGGAATCTAAGTCCCTTTTTCATGGAACGTTAGAAGAGTTTCAACCTCTAACGTTCCGCATTTTTAAAAAATTGTGAAGTATTACTTATTGTAGGTTCACCACAACTGGCTCAATTGAGGTATGTGTATTTACTAGTCATTTTAATAGAATTGAGTTTTCAGTCACAGATACAGGTGCTGGGATCTTACAATCTCGCCTTGCATCACTTTTCACGGCATTTTCTACATCTAACTCAGGTAATTACAACCCTCAAGGTGTTGGATTAGGTTTATACATTTCGGGAATCTTAGCCAAAGCTTTAAACGGTACATCTATCCAAGTGGAGTCTCATGAAGGAAAAGGATCAAAATTCACATTTTACTTGCTCCCCCCCTTCCGTGAGCGAACAAAAAAATTCTTATTCACTCACGAGGGGGGGTTAATTTATTTTTAAAAAAATCTATGGAATTTTAAAGAAATATTTTTTTCGAAATTTTAAAAAAATCCTAATTCGCAAAAATTGGAAAGCAAATATTAATTTAATTTATAAAATTTATGTTTTAAAAACGCAAATTTTTTAAAATTAAACAGAATTAGCTATAGATTTAAACGAAAAATTGGAATTTGCTTTAACTGAGTCTGATATGGGGCTAGTTGACGAAGGGCTGACATCCCCAATTGTAATGAAAGCAAGAAGAGAGTCATGCCATAGAAACTTTTCTAAAGACAAAGTGCTAATTGTGGATGACAATGACTTCAACAGAATCATTTTGGGAGCTATTTTGGACAAAAATCAAATAGGGTATATAGAAGCAGATAGTGGGACAAAAGCATTGCATATTGTACAGAAGCAAAATAATAAAGGGAGGTATATCAAGCTTATTATTATGGACTGCCACATGCCAGTTATTGATGGATGAGAAGCAACTAAAAAGATCCATGAAATGCATAAAACTCAACTTATCCGGCATATGCCTGCGGTTATTGGTTACACAGCAAGCTCTTCAGAAGAGGAAATTAAAAAGTGTTTTGAGTATGGAATGGTAACTTATTTACTGAAACCTGCCAGGCCAGAGCTGCTTATGGAATTGATAAATCAGTATCTTGGATTTGATGAAGAATCATCTAATGCAATTGCTGACTCCACCCCTCCATGAGCGAAAAAAGAATTTTTTTTTTAATTATATTTAAATTTTATAGTGGATTTACAAAAATGAATAGCTAAAATTAACTTAATTTGTAAATTTTATGCCTAAAATGCAAGTTGTTTAAAATTCAACAGAATTAGATAGATAGTTCATTATACTAAGAATCATTTATATATAATTTGTTTGTTCACTTATGGTGTCTGTTTTTTTATCTAAAAATAGGGATTTTTCCGAGTAAGTAAATTTAATTGTTGATATAAATAGGAAAAGTAATAGCTAAATATTTTATGGGATATAAGAGTGCAACGGTTCTTGGATCTATTGATGAAGAATTTGAGGAAGAAAGAGATGAGGAGATATATGATATTCATATTTTGCCTTCAGAAAGAGCCCCACTTCATATTAAAAATATAAGCTCAATCCAATGAGAAGAGTCTCAAGAAAACTTAAACTCAATAAGCACTCCTAGAATCCCTCGCAGAAGTACTAATGAAATTAATATACAAGGAAAGCTGGAATTTCCAATTCTAGTTAAAGGTTTGAGCATCGAAACTTTATATGAAACTATTAGGATTTCTTCAGAATTTTCTGAGCTTGAAGTTCCTCCTCAATCAAGAATCAGCTCAGTTCCAAGTCAGTCTTCAACTTTTAGATTCAACCCAAGTGAACTGGTCTCAGAGAGTGAAGATGGAACTGAACAAGAGAATACCTTACATAGCCAGGCTAGCCCTGAATTTAATATAGAGAATCTCAAAAGAGTTTACTGGGCTAATGAAGGGAATGCAGAAGACCTGCTATACTTAGCGATAAATGATGAAATTGTTGAAGGTAAAATATAGTCAGCGCCCGAGCCAAAAAAGCCTGGATTTTTGGAAAAAATCGGACTCAAAATGAACAGAGAAGCAAGGCTAATTAACGATGCAAACAAAGAGTGAAGTAAAGCAGACTTCTTAGAGAAAGAAAGAAAAATCAAAGTGTAAGTAAAAATCAGAAAGCAATTCACCCAAGAGCTGCAAGAGCTAGAAATGGAAAAGCAAAAATTATGTGAAGACTCATATACACTGAAATTAGCAATACAAAGCATGTATAATAATATGGGAGAAGAAAAATCGACTGGATACTCAAAACTGTTAGAAATTGATTTATTAATTAAAAATAAAACCAAAAATCAAGGATTTTTATTGCAGAACTTAGAAGCAATAAATAAATATTATAAAGAAGCTTTAGAAGAAAGAAGACAAGCTGAAGAGCAATTAAAAATGAAAATTGAGGACATGAGAATAAGAATTATTAAATATAATGAAGAAAAAATGCGAGGTATTAAGAAAGTAACTGCAATTTAGGCTGAAATTAATACAAGCCATTTAAAGAGATATAAAGAACTCAATATTTTGCAGGAGCAGCAAAACCAAAAAATTGAAAGTTGCACAAGACTGCTGCTAAAGCTTGCGCAATATTACAATAAATTAGAAAACTCAAAATTTGGGGATGATTTTTCATCTTTAATTGAAGCATTAACAAATACATGCAAAGAAAATATTGAGCAAGATGAATTGTTCCATTTGCAAGCAAATGAAGACCCAAGAAAAATTTTACCATATGGAAGATCATCTCAATCTGCCGTGAAAAAGCATAGGGAATCATCACCAAAAGTCCCTCGAAAAATATAATGTAAAATATTTTATAAATGTTGGTAATTGAAATTAACATTCTGGTGGTTGTCATTTGAATTTTTATCATTTTAAAAATGTGATTTTGAGATTTATTCCTTATTTAATTGAGGCTAATGATTATTTTAAAAATCAGTTCTTAAGACTTAATGTTAATTTTGATGTTTTAACCATTTAAAAATGCTAAAAAATCGGCCAATTCATGCTTAAAATTATTAAAATGGGATGCTGTTGCTCGTCTACAGATTTAGCAAGGCCAATTCCCCAACCGAAATCTCTTCAGTTGTTAGGCTCTCAATCACCTACAAGAAGAAGTGGCTTCATCAAAGTGACTTCGAGAAATATCCTAGATTATTATGAAATTGTCAAAGAAATCGGAGTAGGCGGATTTGGCACTGTTTTTGAAGTCCGCGATAAAAGGTCAGGTTTACGTCGAGCTATGAAGGAAATCCCAAAAGACAATTTAGATGAAGCAAAATTTCAAAAAATGATAGAAGAAGTCGAGTTAGTCAAAAACATGGTAAAATTCTATATAGGATCATCCAAATATAATGAGAATTTATGAGGTCATAGAAACCTCAAGATTCTACTATGTAATAACCGAACTCTTAGATGGAGGAGAACTCTTTGAAAAATTAACTAAACAGAGAAGGTTTACTGAAAAACAAGCTGCCAAATATTTAAGGGATATTATGTCTGCACTTAATTATTGCCATAAGCAAGGGATTGTACATAGAGATATTAAGCCTGAAAACTTGGTATTTGAATTTCCAGACGATAATTCGAATTTAAAAGTCATTGACTTCGCAATTTCTCACAAAATAAACCAAGAAGAAAAAATCACTGTTATAAATGGGACATTATGGTATATGGCGCCTGAGATTTTAATTGATCACACTTATGATGAAAAATGCGACATATGAAGCGCAGGGGTTATTCTTTTTATAATGCTCAGTAAGGGTTACTAATTACCCACCCCGTGAGCGAACAAAGCCGTTGGAAAACTGGTAAAAATTCACCCTTTTAAGCAACCAAAAAATTTTGAGGTGTAAGTAATAATTGTTATAATGAAATCTCTAGCTAATTCTGCTTAATTTTAAAAGCTTGCATTTTTAAAACATAACTTTTACAAATTAAATTAATAGTTCCTTTCTAGTTATTGCAATTTTTTTAATTTCGAATAAAAGATTTACTATAAAATTTATATAAACAATTAACCTACCTCCATGAGCGAAAAAAAATTTTTGTTCGCTCATGAAGAGGGGGAGAAGGTGGAAGCCCTCCTTTTATGGGTGAAACAGAAGCAGAAATAATTTCAAACATTAAAAATCATTACCCAAAATTGAACTCACAGATTTGGTTTTTTATGACTGAAGAGTGCAAAGATTTATTAAGAAGAATGCTTACAATTAACCCAAAAGAAAGGCTAACTGCTGAAGAAGTTTTGGCTCACCCATGAATCAATATGTGGGAAAGGCATGGAATTGCAGAAGTCCCAATTAGCAAAGATGTTTTGACTCACCTTAACCATTTTCATGTAATTTTCATATAGAGTCATTCCAAATTATCAAAATCCATCATGCTTTATATCAGTTACCAACTTTTTACAAAAAAAGAAGAACAGTCACTAACTGAAATTTTTAAATCAATTGATAAAAATGGAGATGGTCTATTAAGCAGGGAAGAACTTATCGAAGGATACAAGCATTTAGGGATGTCAGCACAAGTAGATGTTGATGAGATTATGAAAAACTGCGACTTGGATAACAGTGGAACCATTTCTTTTTCAGAGTTTTTAATTGCAGCTTCACAATGGAAAAGCATTTTTAAGAAAAATCAGTTAAGGCATGCTTTTGATGAGTATGATTCCAGCAAAGATGGAAAACTTTCACTAGATGAACTGAAAAAACAGTTCCCAGAGATACTGGATACAGAGTGGAAAAAGCTTTTTGAAGAAGCTGATGAAAACAGAGATGGCCAGATTTCTTTTGAAGAGCTTAAAAATTATTTATTATCAACAATTAAATAAAATTTGATAAATTAGTTATGAAGAATGGGAATGTAAAAAATAGCAAGTTCTGCATACAGGCTTGTATTTGTCAGGGCCACCTATAACTTTTATTGCCTGCTCTTGTGTCAGCCTTGCACTAAATGCTGCATCATCTTTGCAATAGTGGCAGATGCTGCTTAACTTAGTAACTCTTTCTGCTTTGGCAATTAATTGACAAATAGTCCCAAATGGTTCTCTTCTGAAATCAGAATCTAGACAAGCAATGATCACAATTTTACCTCTATTCGCCATATCTTCAACAAAACTGATGATGTCTGAGAAAAATTGCCCTTCATCTATCCCTATAACGTCATGAGAGTCAGCTACATTTTCAGCCTCATATAAAGTATCACATGCAAATGCTTCTAAGTAGTTTACCAAGTCATGAGTAACGACTTTATCTTCATCATTTTCATAGCGGGCATCTTTAGTTTTAAGCAAAATGCAGGAATCATTACGGACTTTGTACCTCCGGATTCTACGTATATATTCTTTAAAGACAATATTTAATTTTATAAATCGGATTTAAAATCTAGTTTTCAATATAAATAGGCTGCTAGGACTGCTTATTATTTAAGCTTTTAAAACCAAGAAAGATACGTTTTTAATGATTAATTTTTTTTAATTTTTATATTAATTTACATTATATAAAATATGGGCTGGGCAATAACTTAAAATAAAATGCTATAACAGCTCTGTAGACTTTCCAGAGAACATAGGACCAAAAATAACTTGTATTTCTCCTTTTTTTACCTTAGACGCCTTAAGCGGTAATTTTTCGGGCGTCTCATATGTTGGCGCGATTATCGATTCAGACATTTATTTAATATTTTTATTTGTAAAAGTTAAGGCGTCGCACTTATCTCCATTTATACATCCACAAAATCATCTAGTTAATTAAATTAAATTGGTATATTTTTTGAAACCATCGAGGATATTTCACCTCTGTGAGCTCATCAGTTCTAATAAGGAAGCTACAGACTCACACTAATTGCCTCGCCTTAGGCTATGTCGTATCTGACTTTCTCCTGGGGCATCCACTCACTTTAAGGCCTGAAGCATGGGGTGTAACTCCCCAGTTCATGCTAAGCACCTGTTGACTTCAGAGTCTCTAATTCAAGCAGAGGCGGAAATTAATCTCGAGACTGTGACCGTTTGTGCTATTTCAACTCCATGTCTAGAGGAAAATCCTATATCCAAGGCTGATTGACATTAACATTAGTTGCAATTATAAGAAAAGCTCCTAATAGGCCTGGAGGCACGTTCATCTTCGTATCGCTTCACCTCTTGCTTGCAGTTCGAGAATGCCTTTTACGGTGCTATTCCTCACAGATAAGTGCTTGAACTCTCTAGAGATGCTGGATCATCACACGACGTCTAAAAGGTCCAGCTTCCAGAAAATTTGAAACTCAAATCCCAGGGACTCAGCGCCTATTTCGCGTTGGAAGCTGTTCCTGATTGACTTCTCTTTTCCAAGATTGAATCCATTGAGGGAAGTCTTGATTATATTTAGCATGACATCAGCTATTCCGACATTCCGCTCCACAAAGCCAAGTAAAACCTTGTCGGATACACATTATGAGCGTCATTCTCCTTTCATAAAGTCTCTGGCCTCGGCCAACTACAGGTTTTAAGAGGGTCAGTTGCTTCTCCACTCTACTTTAATGTTAGCTATACTCTGTGGCATGATAAAAACCTTGGTCTGAATGCATTAAGGGTGCCGTGTCTGTTTTACGATTTGTTCTTCCTCCTGAGTAAATATCTGAACGTTTTGAGGAATAAGCTTCAAGAAGTCGAGTGGTCGCTCCACTATATTAATATATCACAGAATCATCTAAATATCTATTATGTTAATCACATTTATTGTAATATGATTATATAATGAAAATTTATGCTAATTATATTTAAAAAATTATAAGTCAGCTTAATAATATTCAACAATACCTTAAATTAGACTTCTAAAATACTTCTAAAATATGAAATCGTTTAACCAAAACGATTTTGATTATAAAACTTATTGTAGATACTTATAAATAGGATATAATTCTGAAGCTTAATTTATTGAAGATAAGGAATGAGGTATTGGTTAACCTGCTCATGAGTTAAATCGCAATGCCCAGCTTCTTAATCTTAATCTGGATTGGCAGATGGGCGTAGCCCCTTTGATTGCACAATTACCAAAAACTCTTGCGAGTTCATCCGATTTGCGACTCCCCTGCCGGACACTTGATCTGCTGAGATAATGCCTCTAGCACCACCTTGATTCTTTCGGACCATGGACAATTGAAGTAGCTTGATTCAGGGAGAAACATTGGAGTAAACGAGTACTAGGTGGTTCATAAAATGCTTAGCCAAGCCCAGGCTCCAACCCTTGGTATTGTGATGAAGTCCATCTTAAAGGGGTCCCATGAACTTTGACAGGTTGCCTCTTTCCAACTACAGGAACTATATCAAAACCTACCTATATATACATAATCCTTTTTCTAGCCTGAATCTCTACTTATTTCTCTCCCAATGGGCCTTAACCATAAGTTTGAGAAAAATATATCAAAAGGTCTGGTGAGTTAGATCGTCATTTTATGTATATATGCAGTGCCCAGCTTCAATTAAAGTTCTAATAATCTTTCCTTCAGCATCCATGTTTTGGGCGCCAAGATAGTTGTTTACATAGTCCAAAGTTTCGTTATAAGCTTGCATTATTTCAGAATTTTCTTTGAAGTAGCCAAACCATTCACTTTGCTTTGGAATAACAATGGTGTCTTGGGTGAAGAAAAATTGCACAAAATATCCCAAACTCAAGTAAAGGTCAATGTAATCTTGATTGATGCTTCTTTCGTTATTTAAATCAGCCAAAAAGCTGCTCTTCTTAAGGTAAGTCTGGTACTGATACTGATCTTTAACATATCCACCAGGCCCAAGAGCTTGAAAAGCGCTAGAATAAGCTCCTAATCTAGCAGCATTGTTATAAATGGAACATTTTATACCAAATTCGCAGCTTGGGAATTTATTAACGCCCATAACTGGTGACCCAATAGTAATTAAATTATTGACTTGAAGTCCAGAACAGTGCTGGAAAACTCCTCTAGCTACAATTCCACCTTGAGAAATACCAATTAAATTGAATGATCCTTGGTAATTAGGGTCGGCTTTTACTTTGGTGCAGGCTTCATTGACTTGATCAGTCATCGACATCAAGATGCTTGATTGAGCTCCATTGCCTATTTCGATGCAAGAGACATAAGTTCCAAGTTGCTCTCTTACTCCCCCCGTCCGTGAGCGAATAAAAAACATTGGAAAATTCCTATTTTTTTTTCCAAAAACACATTCTCCCTCCGTGGGCAAACAAAAATCATTTTTAATATAAAAATATTTATTCAAAAATTTTGATATATAAGTGACAATTATTAAAATGAAAAAATTAGCTAATCTGTTTAATTTTGAAAGTTTGCATTTTAAAATATAAATTTACAAATTAAATTAATTTTGCTTTCCAATTTTTGTGAAAATGGATTTTTTAAATTTCAAAAAAAAAAATTAATATAAAATTTACTAATTTTGAAACCTATAAAAATGAATGAAAATCTTCGAATTTTTTAAAATCGCATGAAAAACCAAAACACAAAAAATTGTCCTTTAAAGCCATGCTGTAAAACCACAGTCTACTTTTTGTTATTTTTGTATGAAAAAAACCCCTTCAAAAAAAATGATATTGTGAATTAATAGCATTAAAAGTTATCCAATCGTATAAAATAGATTTCAAATTAGTGAAATTTGCCCATCAGAATTTTTTCATGACTACCCCTCCTTGAGCGAACAAATCTTTTTCCACTCACTGAGGGGGAAGTTAGGTAATCCCCGAATTCTACGTAGTTTGAATCAGTGCAAGCTCCGTTAATTCCATGGAAAAATAAAATAGGCAATGCAGAACTGTCAGCTAGGGCTACTATTGAAGGAGACTCATATGAAAACTTAAAAGCACTTGGAGAAGCCATCCTCATGAATTCAGTAAGCCATGCACCAAGGATTTTTCCATACATGTTAATATCAGACAAAACTGGGAATTGACCTTTGGCTTTGGCGTCTTCGAACTTTTGTTGGGCTTTAGCCATCATTTTTTCAGAAGTTCTAAGATTGGTGATTGGTCTCAAAGCGTACTCAAACTTGCAATTGACGGTAATGTCAACGAGGTCAACAACAAACTTCTCCCAAGCGCTGGTGAATTTATTCTCCTGGTCATCGTCGCTTGGTGAATAATTGCAGGTAAGTGCGTCAACTTTTGAGATTAAGTCAGCACCCTCAAGAACTCCAGTTAGAAACTGGTTATTGAGAGTCTTCTCAGAAAGGACGAATGATAAAGCACATAAAAATAGAACGGCTTTCATTTTATTTCTACCAATATTAGTCACAAATATGAGGATTTTCAAGAGAGTCAATATTTATATGAATAATTTTAACATAAGGGGCTTATATTTTATAAAAAGCAATATCAGAATCCAGGATTGCATTACGCATATTTATATAAATAATATTAAATAGAGGCATTTATTTTAGCTTTTAATAATTTTAATTATTAATCTTGAAGATAAGGAAGCAGATAGCGTTTAACTTGCCTAGCAGTCAAGTCACAGTGTCCAGCTTCTATCAAAACTCTAATGATTTTTCCTTGCTCATCCATAGTCCTAAAGCCTAAGTAGTTGTTAATATAGTTTGAAGTTTCATTATAAGTCAGCACTACATCAGAATTTTCTTTGAAATAGCCAAACCATTCGCTTTGTTTAGGAATCACAACGCTATCTTCAGTGAAGTAAAACTGCACGAAATGCTCTAAGCTCAAGTAGGCATCAATATATTTTTTATTGATTTTTCTCTCATTATTTAGATCAGCCAAGAAACTACTCTTTTTAAGATAAGTTTTATACTGGTATGGGTCTTTTAGATAGCCACCAGGCCCAAGAGCTTGGAAAGTGCTTGAATAGACTCCTAATTTAGCAGCATTATCATACATAGCACATCTTACTCCAATTTCACATTCTGGGAATTTACTAACTCCCATTACTGGGGACCCAATAGTAATTAAATTACTGACTTGAAGTCCAGGACATTGCTGAAGAATTCCTCGAGCAATCATTCCACCTTGGGAAATCCCAATTAAATTGAATTTTCCTTGGTAATTAGGGTCAGCTTTTACTTTGGTGCAGGCTTCATTTACTTGTTCAGTCATTGGCATCAAATTGCTTGCCCAATATCCATCACCAATCTCAACGCAACTTACATAAGTCCCAAGCTGGAATCGTAGGTAATTCTCAAATACCTTATAATTTTCATCAGCGCAAGCTCCGTTAATGCCGTGGAAAAATGCAATAGGCAATGCAGAGCTGTCAGCGAAGGCGACTATTGACGAATCATCATTGTTAAACTTAAAAGCACTTGGAGAAGCCATTCTGATGTATTGGGTAAGCCATTTCCCAAGGATCTTTCCATACATATTCATGTCATGGAGGACAGGAAATTGCCCTTTAACTTTGGCGTCTTCGAATCTTTGTTGTGCTCTTAGCATCATTTCCTTAGAAGTTCTCAAGTTATTAAGTGGTCTTAAAGCGTGCTCAAACTGACAATTGACTGTAATATTAAGTAAATCGAAAATAAACTTTTCCCAAGCGTTGTCGAACAAATTCTTCTGAGCCTCTTCGCTCATTGAATATTCGCAATCTGCTGCATCAACGTTCGTGATCAAGTCAGCGCCTTCAAGAACACCAGTTAAAAACTGATTATGAATGTTTTTCTCAGAAAGAGCAAGAGTAGACAAAAAGAATAAGAAGAGAACAGCTTTCATTTTATTTTCTATGGCTATTAAGTATAAAATATGAGCATATATGTAAAGGTTTTAGAATAACACAAAGAGATGATATTTTTAGAGATTGTAGGATTTGAGTTTTTATAATTAGAATATACTAACTCCCCCCTCCGTGAGTGAACAAAAAAAATTTTGTTCACTCACGGAGGGGGGTCAATTTTTTTTTTAAATAAATTTATATATAAATTTTATAGAAATTTTTTTTTCGAAATTTTAAAAAAAAATCCTAATTTGCAAAAATTGGAAAGCAAATATTAATTTAATTTAAAAATTTATGTTTTAAAACGCAATTTTTTTAAAATTAAACAGAATTAGCTCGAGATTTCCTTATACTAATTATCACTTATATATCAAATTTTTTTTTCTATAAAAAAATTTTTCTATTAAAAAAATTTTTGTTCACTCACAGAGGGTGGGTTTTTGGCAAAAAATAGCGATTTTTCTAACTCCCCCCCCCCCCTCCGTGAGCGAACAAAACCATTAGAAAAATCGCCATTTTTTGACCAAAAACCCACCCTCCGTGAGTGAACAAAAATTTTTTTAATAGAAAAAATTTTAATGGAAAAAAATTTTGATATATAAGTGATAATTAGTATAATGAAATCTAGAGCTAATTCTGTTTAATTTTAAACAAATTGCGTTTTAAAACATAAATTTTGCAAATTAAATTAATATTTGCTTCCCAATTTTTGCAAATTAGGATTTTTTTAAATTTTCGAAAAAAATATTTTTTATAAAATTTATATATAAAATTTTTTTTTAAAAAAAAAAATTAACCCCCCTCCGTGAGCGAACAAAATTTTTTGTTCGCTCACGGAGGGGGGGGGGGAGTAATGGTTTTGTTCACCCACGGAGGGGGGAGTAAGAAATAAAGTTAACTAATATGTTTTTAAACTTAAATTTCATTCTCACTTTTTTAATTTTATTATTAGAAAATTCTAGAAGGGCGACGAGATTTATAAATAAACCTATTTTATGTTAAATATTCATCTAATAATGTTAAACATCGCTTCTCTATAACTGCTTTCTTGATCCTGCTCCCAAAGTCTTACTTAAATGTGAGCCTAAAGGTGAGCTAATTTTTTCATCTAAAGACATTCTTTTTCCGTCCTTTCTAAAAATGGACACTCTTGGTGCATTTGGACTTAATATTTTCTGAGTCTGATGCAGACTTGCTCTAGTTAAATTTGGTGACTTTACTCCATTACTCCCACTTTTTACAGTATAAGTGTTAGCTTTCTTCGTCGTCCTTTTTCCTTTTGTTTCTTCTTCAATAACTTTTGGCATTTCTCCTTCTTTTAAATCAGTTTCTGTATGAAGCAGTAGCTTATCTTTTAGCAAAGCATCTGGGCTATTAATGGTTTTTCAGTAGCCATCACTTGTAACAATTCCTTGCACCTTTTCAGCCATTTCCCTGATGATTAGTTCGTTATCATCATGCATTTCTTCTAGCACCAAATCTATATCATTAGAAGCTATAATATCATTTGAGGAAATTCTCTCACGTAAATTTGGGTACTCAATAAGAAATTTCAGCCTAATATCTTTAGCACTGTCTTTCGATAGCTGCAATAATGGCTGGAAATATAAGTTTTTAAATGCATTTCTTGAACAAAATTCTTTTGTGTGAATGCAAAAATCAATAAAAATTTTTCTGTCAGCTGCATGGGCTGATTGAGCAAAGTTTTGGATTATTTTATCAGATAGCAACTGTCGAAGTTCATATGGGCAAAGTTTAAGTATTTGAACGACAATTTTTGAGCTATGCTGCTTTATTGGTAAATTAGCATTGTGCATTAGCATTACAAGTTTTGGGTATAAAAGTGCTGAAACAATGCATAAAGGAATTTGGGGTAAAATAAGATTCATTTGCGATAATAAAGTATTAGTGTTTCTCCAGTTCGGTATAATATCTAATAATTGTATTAAATATTGATATAAATTCTCTTGCTCATTTAAATTTATATACTGTGAAATTAAATGTAAATTTGATATTATATTCCATTGTGTGACAGGGTCTTTTATCATTTCATTAAATAAAGGGACTAAAGATTGAACTTTTGGGTTCAAAATTTTTACAATCTCATGGAAACTTATAGAAATAATTTTTCTTATTTCTGATGAAGAGTCATGGCATAATGCTTCATATCCAATTTTTAGTCTGTCTTTAAAGCAAACAGCTCCAAGCGCTAGAATAATTCCTGGGAAATTAAAAGCAACATTTTTCCTTATATCTGCTCTATCATATGTAATTAGCCTATTCAGCAATATCAATAAATCAGTTTTAATCTCTGCTGTTTTTAGCTGTGGTTTTAACCCAAATAGAATTTTCCCTAGATTTTTTGATAATTCATCTATAATAGTCTGATTGCTTGCCTTGAACCATAATTTATAAATATTTGGCAGGAGTTTTTTATTAATATTTTCTGGAAGACTTTCTACAATTTCTGCAAAAGTTTTAATTGATGCCACCATAACTTCTGAGCTTTGGTCTTCTATCAAAGACAGAAGCAATACATATAGCTCATCTTCTTTATGAGGTAAATAATAATCAGAGATCTTTGGCAAATTTTCAGCCATTTTGACTCTTACTTTGATAAATGCATCCTGCATAAGCTTATATACAAGCTCATGCATTTTTGAATCAAAATCGTGCTTTGATAAATTTCCTATCAAAATGCATGCGTTGGCCCTTGTCATATAATACTGTACACATTCAGCTTGGGAAATAATAAATGGAATGAAGTGGATTTGGGTTAAAATTCTGTCACCTTTTTCACATAAAGTCCCAAAAAGTGTATTTCAGGCATCTACGATCTCAGAGGGTTCTGAAGTTCACATTCCAAGGACAGTGGCTGTGGCTTTAAATATTGCCTCAAAATCTTCATAATCTAGCTCAATTTTTTTTATCACTTTATTAAACCCAATTCCAGCTGCTAATTGAATAGTATCTTCCCAGGGGTGCAGGTCCAATGATAGTGCCTTTTTGATAGTGTCCATTTCACCGAAGTACTTTTGGTCGAAATTTATAAATAGTGTGCTCATTTAGTCGAAATTTAACGGTTTTTACGGTCAAATGTCTCACTATCAAAAAAATGATTCGAACAAATTTTCCCCTATGAGATGTCGCACTCTCAAATTTCCGCAGTCATTTGACATGGAGCCTCTTTCCCAGCGCTTAATATTTTCAATAATAATATCTAAGATATCATTCCAGTTTTTTTCTTCAGCATATATATTAAGGTTCGATAGAACAGCGATTTTTTGATCTTTGGTGCCATCTTCTAGTATGTAAATTGCTTTTTCTCCAGTTGTATAATCTTCGTTGGTGGTTACTCGTTGAATTTCTTCTTCAGATTTTTCGGTACCAATGAATGGGAGATCATCTATATTATAGTCGATATGTGATGAATTATTATCCATATTATAACTTATAAATTTTTTATAATTTTAGGCTTTCTAAAGCCATATTTCTTGATAATAGAAATCCAATTTGATATTTAAGCAGCCTAATATAACACATAGGCTTAATTATCTAAACGTTATAACTATTTCTTTACTCTTAGTTAGATTATAGAAAAGCTCTCTGTAGGGATTAGAAGATACTTATTCCTTTCCATAATGCTCCACTCGTCTCGTCGACAATCATATCAAGATCTTCAAAGTCTTGCTCCTACCAGACATGGGCCTGAGCATGCTCCCTTGCAGTCGGGCGGACTCTCTCTGAGCTCAAGGGGCTTGTCAGCGAGAAGGATCTGGATGCTATTGATAGGGAGACCAAGAGGGCCCTGATGGAATTTGATGATCTCCTGAGAGGGGGCAGGCCGGACAGCAAACACAGAAGATTGGAGAGGGAGGAGCAACTGGAAGACCTTGAAAAGGCAAGGATTACGGAGGAGATCATACAGGAAATCGAGTGGTGAATTGCTGAAAAGGAAAGGAAGGAACTCCTAGTGGAGGAAGAGGCCTGACGCACGACAGCGATGGTCATTGAGTCGTCCGGCTACTCAAGGGTCAGCTGGTCTCCTTACGTGGCGGCCAGCCGAAAGGTCACTGCGGGGAGGGTTGCTTCCGTAGGAAGGGCTTGCTGCCCAATGAAAACTTCTAGTGGTGGCTCTTTGGGGTTAGAGTTGCGGGAGCTGTGGGATCTGCGAGAGTTTTGGGGAGCTGTGGGATCTGCGAGAGTTTTGGGGAGTTGTGGGTTGCGGGAGTTTTGGGGAGTTGTGGGTCGCCTGGGAGTTGTGACTCCCAGATGTTTAAAAGGGACCTAAAACGAGACAAGCTTGCTTAAAAGGGCCTGAAAGCGAAGTTGGAAGCTACTCGGATTTGGAAGCAAGTAGGAGAATCAAAAATTAAGGTAGGGTAGGGTATAAGTAAAGGCTTTTCACTTGTAGTCGGAAAGTTTGGATCACCCTGCCGTATGCCAATGGGGTTTGGCTTCTAAGAAATTCGAAAAAGAAATTTTTCTTGTTATCTGTAGGCAAAGATGAAAATTTGTAGCCAAGACTCAACGCCTGGTATCGTGCTGGGAGCGTTCCCGATTGACAAGGAGGAACCTCAATGGCATCTGGGACACCTCTTTTCAACCCCAAACTCCATCATCCTTTGAGGTAAATCCTTGACCTGGATGTGAGCCTGCGATCCGCCACCCCGACATTGAGCTTTGCCAAGCCAAGTAAGCCTGGTCTGATGAATACCGAACGCCAAAACTCGCTTCCACAAGTTCCCTGAGTCTCCCCAGCTGTAGGTGTTAGGAGGTTCATTGGCACGCCATGCTATTTTTATGTTTATTTTATAACTATTTCCATTTTTATCATAATTTGAGGATGAGAAGCAAATCTTTTGATTTTTTTCAGTATATGAAGCCTATGATATCAAGTATTGGACACATCCAAGAAAAAAAGAATGAATTTTTAAAAAGATCGCTTATGGCGAGATCAACCAGGCAAAATTCAAAAATAACGAATTATTCAGATAAAATTTTAGTTGAGATCTCAGCCCAACGGACGCTTGAAAAATCTTTGCAAAGCACCTCAAAAGAAAAAATTACAGCAAGAAGAGGGACTTCTGCATTGCAAACAAAAGAAAGAGCTGAGCTTTCTATGAGACGAGATTCATCGTCAATGAACGGAAGATGCACTCCAAATCATGACTTTATTTTGCCAAAAACTGCATTTGGGAAGCCCAAGTTCCCATGAGAATTTGATTCTACTAGAAAAACTAGAGCCAATAGCTTCGACATTTCAGTGGAGTCCACTTATATATTTGATAACGAAAAAAAGAAAATTAAAGGGATTCCGTTTGAAAAACAATCAAGTAGAAAATCATTAATAAACTTCAGTCCTAAAGAAAATTTACAAATAAATAGGCAGCAAAGTAATTGCTTGCGTCCCTGCAACAGGATAAATAAAATACAACATAATATGATGAAAAATAAAGTTTTTGGGCATGGAGAAAACAGAATATAGCCCCTGAATTATTTTGAATAGTATTGGCCTTCAATTTTAATTTTTAAAATTAATCTGCACTTTTTAGTTTTTTGAAAAGAAAAAACAAAAATCACAAACCTCCGTTAACGTTTTAAGATGCCTTATCTAACTTAAGCTGTATAAGGCAAGTGTCCTGGACTATTTATTTTTAGTCGGCATTCTGCGAGGGCATAGCGATCTATTATGGTGCATGAATTATACAAAATCCTTTATGCTTGTCTGAGCATAAATCGAAAAGTGTTATAATGATATAAATTAGATGTAATAAATAGCATTTACTTAAATTTATATTTAATTGTAGGAGTTATTAAATCTTTTCCGTCAAGTGTTTTACCTTTGAGTTCGATTTCTAATGATTTTTTAAGTGAAATATCGACATTGCAGAGCTTTTCAATTAATTCTTGTACAGGAATTAGTTGATTTTCTTCGATGATTAAGTTGCTATTATAAAATTCAACTCCCTTATACAGTAGCTTAACAGGAAAAACATCGTGCTTCTCAATTAAAATTTTTATAAAATCTTCCAAATTAAGTACCCCTTCAATGTTAATATTATCCCATCTGTTGAATTTGTCGTTATATATGCAAACTGGGGAATTTGTATTTTCATCTAAAGGAACTGTTCCATATATTGTTGAAGGGAGAAATTGTAAAAATGATTCAAAAACCGCAAAAATGCAACAAAAAACAAATACTTTTTCGAAAAAAATTTTGCCAAAATTATATTTAATTTTAAGCAAAAAAACACTTGATTTTTGCATTTTTTGCAAGTTCTCCATTGTTGAAGGAGTCGGCTTAATTAGCCACATAATTGACGATGATAAGTTAGAAATTGAATCATAAGCACCTTCATATCCTAAACCTTGCACATATTTGATAAGTTCAATGCTAACAATTCCAGCAATCAATGAAGTTGACGTTATTATTGAAGCTTCGGTCCTCAATATCTTCATACGGGTTTCGATCTTATGGATCTTATTAATTTTAAACATTTTGGCTCTTATAGTTGACATTGAATGAATCAGATCAATATAGAGATTACAGCCTTCATTATTATCGATACTTGAAAAATTTAGGAGCTTTTGTTGAGGATCAGAAATATCATTTTCGATTGCTAGACTATCATAATTACATAAAATTTGTCTAGTATAGTTTTTGTCATGATTTTGGTCCAAGCCAACTGTAAATGCAAGCAAATTAGAAAAATTTATAATATATTCTATATGTTCTTCATCATCAATATTAAATTCGCATGGTGAAATCTTTCTTCTTAAGTGTAATTCTCTAAAGCCTTCAGAATCAGAAGGGTAAGCAGCCAATAATTCATTTATTTCTCCATTAATTATATCATGGAAATTTTTTCTGGCTTCTAAAACACATTCATCATATGTCGAAAATTTTGAAATTTTTTGCAAAAAGTCAAATTGCTTGCTCCGTGTCAAATGACCGTGAGTTTTTGATAATGAGGTATTTCCTAGGGGAAAATCATTTTTGATAGTGAGACATTTGACCGAAAAAGCTGTTAAATTTCGCAAATGGTACACTATTTAAAAATTTTCTTCGATGAAATGCACACTATTAAAAGTGCGCGATCATTGGCCTGCACCCAAATTGCTCTTGCTTTTGCTCATCGTATATTAAACTCGATTGCATTTCATTGAATTCTCTTGGCAAGTTAATGAAGAGATTAATAACTTTTAGTTTTGCCCATTCAATGCAGTTGTTTATACTATGAGGAGAATATTTAATAAGAAATTCGTTTGGAATAGATTCTTCTTTATGAGGATGATCATTATAGGGAATAGTAAGATAAGGTAAAATAGTCTTAGAGTATACTTCTATGCCGTGCACTCTATTCATTATCACTGGTCTTTTATACCACAAACATTTACTATCGACACTTAATCTTGATTCTGTGCTGTCAACGGCTGCAACAACGATATCTTGATTTTCCCAAAATTCATCATTAAAATATTCTTCTGTCTTCTCAGTAACCTTCCAATTTTTTAAATCCAATTTAATATCGGAATTTATCTCTTTTGTCTTGCGTTCAATAGTCGCTGCTTTCAATTTTCCTACATCAAACTCATTGAAAAGCGTATGGTTGCTTAAATTGGATTAGGAAAAAATATGGACATAGTCTGAGTAGCTTGACCGACCCTGAGCTTTTATTTAGATTAATTTTTCTACCCAGGTCAGTCGAGAAACTTTTCCTCATGCCAGACCCTACGATCGGGTCAACTGGTCTTGAGCTCCTGGGATAGGATGGATGGCGAATAGGACTAACATCAAAGCGCGTGGAAAGAAGATTAGGTTGTGCAAGCTACCCAAGTCTCTGAGCGATTCAAAGTCGCCAGAGAGGTGGAATCGTCTACGGCAAGATAGAAGCAAGTCTACAGTTCATCACATTCCAACGGAGGAGATGCAAGTTAATTGGGTTTAATCGCACCGAAAGACGGGGTTTTGGACAAGAAATGGCATGAAATGAGAAAAAATAAGCCGCCTTGATATCATTCGCGGTGGGAATAATGGCCTTAAGTCCTAGTATGGTGAGCTTTGACCCAGCAACAAAATGGTCTTGCCACCTCGAAATGTCAGCCTAAACCTAAACTTGCTTAAATTTGGATCATTCTATAGAATCATCATCACTAATAGTAATATGTCCATTATCCCCACAAGAAATACCTAATAGCGCACAATTTTTCAAAAATTCATTCCCTACTGATCCTGCTCCTACCAAAAAAAGATTTAAAGATGATAATTTTGTAGAAGTTTCTTTGCCTATCATATACTCAGTATCATGGTATCTTGAGAATGCAGGGTTTTCATGATCAGGTTTTAAAATATCTTAGACTTAGAGTTAGGCTAGATACTTAATTTAACTTGAGCTTTAGTTTGGCCGACCATAAGATCAATTTTTCCATCGATTTGGTTGCTAGCCCTGATTGTTCGTACGCCCTTTTAACTCCCTTAAAGCCATTTGAGAGCCCATGACACTAGTGGCTTGGCACGCTGCCTCGCTCTATCCGAATTTCCTCCAGCACCTAGGTCTAATGCTCCTACCTTTATAGGGCAGTGGAAGAGGTAAGACACGATGCACGAAGGATGCGAAGTAAGAAAAGCTTTGTCATTGCTTCCCTTTCATACAGAAGTGCACGTTTAAAAGCCTACTCCTATAATAATAAAAGTTGGGTGAGATATAGGAATAAACAAAGTGAATTCTCCTCATTTTAATTTTATAGGTTTTTAAACATCAAAAAAATCTATATGCCACCATTGATGAATAGGAGACCATTTACCAGTAAATTTAATAATCTCTTGTGCAGCAGTTCCTCCTAAAATAGAAACTATTGGACTTATAGAGCATCTAGCATATTTCGCAACTTTGCAAATAATGTCTTGATCAACATTTTCAAATGTGTATGTTGATAAATTTTTAAGTTCATATGCAAAAGCTAAGCACTCATTTATATGATTTTTATTGTTAATTTCTGGAAGTTCATTATGGATTTCTTGAAATTTTCTAATTGCGATATAAGCCAAGTTTAATTGCTGAGCTCTTTCTTCATCCCATCCCACTCTAGCGATATCTTCACAGTTGATGAAATCAATAGACTCACTTAAAGATTTGAATGACACTTCAGTTTCCACAGAAAATGGCTCCACAATTCCATATCCTTGATAAGCGGGATATTGGCTTGTATCTTCATCTATGGTAAAGGTTAAATATGACTGTTTTTTAATCTTCCTAGGCTTACCATCATTTAAATGATCCATTCCTTCAATATCTTTAAACACCACAAAATCCCCATTCCTCAAGGTGCTTTTCTTTACATTGCTACTCAATGTAATTTTGCATGGATTCGACCAAGAAATATTTGCTATAGAAAATGCATGCGATTTTTTCTCATATTTCTCCCTAACCAAAAAATTGTTCCCAAAATCTACAAAAATGTGACCAGAAGCTCCCCAAGCTTCTCCTGAGACAAAACCGACTTGTGGGGAAATTTCTCTGCATATATTATCGATATTTCGTAAGGTATTTAAATCGCTTTCACTAATAAAAACAATATCATGATTTCAAATAATTTCTTTGGTTAGATTTCCTTTATGGATAGCAAGTTTTGCTTGGGGATGATAATTAGAAAGTTTTGTGATTATTGCTTCTGCTCTGTTTCCTCCAATATCAGACTCTTTTATAAGAAAATTGGATGATAGATCATTTAGAGTGATTTTTGTGTCATCATGAAGAGTGATTGTAGAAACGCCTGTCATTAGTAAATTTTTGGCGACTTCTACTCCTAGACCTCTTAGTCCTGAGATAAGAACCTTCAAACCAAATATAATTTCTTAAATAAATATACGATTTTTATGAGCATATTAATAAAAAATTCAATTTCTTTAAAAGTATATATTTTCTGTTGAGTTTCAAGACCATGGGTAATGATTTGTCTTGAATATCTGTTCAAATCTGTATTCATTATAATTTATTTTTATGCAGCTAATTATATATTTTTTTGGGATTTTATACTATATTCATCTTAATTATTGTCTATTTCATTCAAAGCTTCATTTAAACAATTAGTTTCAATTTTTGATAACTCAGCCTCTTCTTCTGCTATTTTTTCTTTCAAATTTTCCATTTCAGCCATCAAAGATGTGCATCCGTTATTTAATCCTTCAAGCTGAGCATTAATTTTCTTTAAAGTTTCTGCATAACTGTTTTCTTTTATCCTATTATCTCTTGCAGATTTAATTAGTTCATATGATCCTCATACCAATAAAATGCTATACGCTACAATTTCTCCAAAAAAGTCTGCTCCTTGCTCTAAAGCTTTGTCATCTTTTAAAGGTTTCACATAATCGTCACTTTCCATTCCTATTAGTTTCCTTTGAATTTTTACATTAATCCTATGATAAGATTGCCCTAGGTACAATAAGAGGTTTCTAAAGACTGGGTGGTGATTTTGGTTGGTCTTTAATGAAATTTTCATTTGGTTTGTAATGGGTCTTGTAAAAAGTTTTAGAGTCAAAGAGAAGACTTTAATTAAGGGAAGCATTTTTATTATTGTTGAATTTTTGTAATAATAAAATCACTTGATTGGAAGATTTTGACGCCTAAACAATTTTTTTCTATAAGAGATTGAATATAATAAAATAATAGAATATAAAACAGATTGATTCCGGATATTTGACTGATTTAATAATCTAAGCAATCTTAAAAATTAAGTCATTGTCCAAGTAATAAATTTTATTAATAACTTTAATGCAAATTATTTAAAACCTAATTCACCCCTTAAATTAGAGTGAAATATTGGTAAAAATCTTCATTTTTTAGGTATATTAGCCCGCTTTAAATTGGAACAAAATTTTAACATTGGAATTGAAGTATTAATTTTTTATATAATTTAATGGAAGAAGTGCAAGTAGAATACTATTAAAAAACAGTTGATATACCGAACTGATTATTTTTTTAATTATTTTCATAAAAATAAATTAAAAAATTTTGAAATATTATATTATATTTTAATTTATTAAATTGTTTTATTCAAATTAATTTATCTCTCCTTAAAATTTAGAACACAAATTTTCGTTCCGATTTAGGAGGAGTAAGGAAAATGATAAGAAATAATAATTATAAATCCATGTCTCTATGGAAAATCTAACTTATTGTAAATTACAAATTTGGCTTGCCCAAAAACCTTACACACATTTTTTCTTTATAAAAATTGCATTTGACAAATTAAATAAACTTCTAACTGATTTTAAGTTGTCTAAATCAGACATTCTTAATGATAACCTGTTCAAAAGCCTGTTAGTTAATAAAAATAGAAATTTAATGGAGATTGACCTTCTGCACCCAGACTCAGAACAACAAAGAATATGCCACAAGAAGAAGAGATTGGTGCAAAGTCCCAATAGCTACTTCATGGACATCAAATGTTCAAGCTGTTATGCACTCACAACAGCTTTCAGCCATGCACAAAGCGTCATCACATGTGAAGGATGCCAACAAATACTTGCACAGCCATCTGGAGGAAAATGCAAACTTACAGTAGGTTGCTCAGTAAGGCGAAAGGCTGATTAATCTAAAGAGTCATTTTACAAATTTTTTTTCCTTAAATTTTAAGTCTCAGTTAAATTCATGACCCTTCTAGTTCACCCATAAGTTTTTGCATAATTTCTAGCTGATAAAGGAATTTTAAGTAAATAATTGAAGATGCATGAATTTTCGATATTTCTATTGGAATCACCATAAAAAATATTCATATTTTAGTGATAAAATATTTCATGGCATCTTGATTGCTGAGGAGAACTCTTGAAAAAGGTCTTGATTATTTTATTTGTTTATATTTTGATTATTTTTAAAGATTTTATTTAATCCATGTATTTTACGAATAGACTATTTTCTAGGGTCAAAGCCTTCTTTGATCAAGCACTGGATGTGAAAATCGATTTCATTTTTGCATTCCTCTTCTGATTTCAATAAAAGACATTGGTCTCTTGCTGCTTTTGTTTCTTTGCATACACAGCAAGGGCCTTTTATCACTTTTTCTGTCTTATTTCCTGTTTGTTTTTGCTCTTCCATATTAACTTATGCTTATTAAGAAAATTAAAGAATTTAATTTTAAATTAATTTTTCGATTTTAATAAATATATAAATCATTATTATAATTTAAATATTATTTAAAAATCCAAATGAGTATATAATTAAATAATTAAATTAAATTTGCTTATAGAGTAGTCCTCTGCAGGCCCGTAGACACTACTCGCCTCTGCATAGCATTACAACGATTGCTTGCCAGTCTGTGCATATCTTCCGCAATGTTGTGTCTCACAAACAAAGGCTTGCACTCAAATCAGAGATTGCTAGCTACCATGCTGCTCGTGCCAACAAGGGTTTCCTTGCTAGAAAATTTGAAAAGAGAATTTTTTGGTCAGATTGTCGGTCAAGATGGAGTAAAAGTCCAAACGCAATTCCTGGTATTACGCTGGGATTCTGCCTGATCGGAAGTGACATCCTACCCTTTTCCAACATTAAGCACCATCTCCCTATGAGATAAACCTTTGAGCTGGATGTGAGCATGCTATCGGCTAATCCGATGTTGCGCTCCGCCAAGCAAGTAAAACCGGGTTGGATACACATTTCCGAACGCTATCCTCCTTTCCACAAGGTCACCGGTTTTCCAATGAACCTACTTGTTTGGTGTTAAGAGGTCAGGTTGGCTATCAGCGCCATATTAACGTATATATATAATTAAATACATAAAATGGCTTCAATCCGGTGCTTTGATCTAAAATGTGATCGTGAAATTCAATATGCTTGCAAATGCTCATCTCCCCAAACTTATTCCTGCGAAATGCATTTCGGTATCCATCTTAAGTTGCCTAATAGAAATCATGTCTTTGATTCTCTTTTCATAGATCCTTGTGAGGGAACTAAAGAAGCAATTCTTGAATTTCTTACAAAAGAAAGGAGAGAAAGAGAGAAACTAAAGGAAAAGTTTTTGTCTTCCTATAGCCAATATCTTTGCAATTCTGAATCCAGCCTTAAAAAGAGCTTAAAAAATCTGAATTCTGATTTAGCGACAATAAGTGAATTATCTCAAAAGATTTTTTATACCCAAAAAATATTGAAGGATGAGCAAGATCACGTTATAAATTTATTGACTTTGCAACCTGATAAAGCTATGGAAGATATTAAAGCAATGATTCCATCCAATCCAGAATCGTATAGTAGTGTTAATTTGTTTTGTGGATTAAGTGAAGAAATTGAGAAGATGTTTGAATGCTTCATTGATGAGAAATTTGAACATTTTTTTAATAAAAGACTCTCAAATATAGAAAATAAGCTTGAAGAGCATGATAAAATAATCAAGAATGAGATTCCTGAAGTCTATAATTCAATTTTCAGCTTAGCTGAAGAAAATAAGAAGACTAAAACAAAATTTGAAGAGTGAAACCAAGAAATTCAACTAAAAACTCAAAAGCAGGTCAAGTCTCTAGCTTCTCAGCTTAGCTCAACTCTAGAAGAGCTCAATAAAAAATTAAATGAAATAAAAAACAACCAAGACCAGTTCAACAAAAAGGTTAGTGATCAATTATTAATTCCTCAAGAACTAAAATCGAAAAGGTCAGCAATTTTAAGCAAACCCAATGACCCAGAAACAGAGCAAGATTTCAGAAGAACTTGCTCATTATATGAGAATTCTTCTTGTGAAACAGCATTAATCCAAGCTTATCAGAAATATACCAATGCTTATCATCAGAAAACATCTCTTTATATCATTAAAAATGAAGACAACAACAGAACTGATTTAGTTGTGTATGACACTGAATATGAAAAAGAAGAATTAAAATTATTGGATTATTTAGAGCCATTAGGCAGTGATATCTGTATTACTCAACTTCCTAAAGGCGAGTTATTCTGTTTTGGTGACTATCCACCATCTGGGGTTACTTTCATAATTGATGAGAATTTGAGAATCCAACGATTGCCATCTGGAACGCCTTGCTTTTATTCATCAGCTATATATTTCAATAAGTCTGTGTATTGCTTTGGAGGAATTGACAATGAAAATGCTCTTTCAGCTCTGTCCTGCAGGTTTGATTTTAACAGAAATCAGTGAATTAGTTTAACCCCAATCCCAGAAGCTGACTATAAGTGTAGTAGCATAGTTTTCAAAGGAAATATTATAATTTCTGGATTTGAAAATGAAAATATTTGGCGATATTCAATTGATATACCTGTTTGCAAAGAATAGCCCACTAAGGAGTATTTTTTGGTTCGCCATTCTTAAATTTGGCTAGCCAGAAAATATGGCATGCCAATGAATTTTAGCAAGCCAGCTATTGTCTGCAAACCAAAAATGGGCTATTCTTGGTAAATAAGTATAGCAACTCTTTTGCCACAATTCCTTCGGAGTTTGGAAAAAGCAAAAGAAAGATACTGATAAATTCAGAGAGATTGTATTTGATTGAGTGTGAAGGATTTATTTACGAAAGTGAAGTTGGAGACGAGTATACTTGGAATCAAATCACAAGCTCAATAATTGATTATTATGCTCCTTCTCAAGTTTATTGTTCATATAATAAAGGAGGAGTGTACATTGGGATTAGCTGGTCAGATCTTTCAGAAAAATTTTCGCACTGCTGTAGCTACTATAAATTTGATTTCAGTACAAAAGCTATGTTAAGACTCTAGTAAAATAATATTTAAAATCTAAATATAATTAAATACAATTAAACAATTAATATTTCCAAATTTTCTTTTTATGGGCTTTCTTCGTTTTGATTATTGTAGAATTGCTTTTAACAGGCTGCTCACAAAGACTATCTATTAAAGGATTGACATCAAAAGGCTCATCTTTTAAGATAACTGTTGGAGATTTTACATGTGTAAGAGCATATTGCAAAATAGAAGTTTTCGACATAGGAGTTTTCGGCTGCGAGACAGCACTTGAAGGTCTTCGAATCTTAGGGCTTCTAGGTGAAAATTGTATATGAGCTGTATTAGGTCTTGACAGTTGATTTGATATAGGAGCTGTAACAGGCCTTGATTGCGGCATTATAGCTATAGAATTATCAGCCTGTTTTGAACTTATCCCTGAACTCGACCTTATTTTCCCCCTTGGAGTCCTCAAAGAATATTTTCTTGTAATCCCATTTTCAGCTGAAAATGGTCTAATAATTTGTTGAGATTTCTCAGGAAATAACATAAATGAAGGTATATACGAATTTATCTCTTTTCTGGTCAGACTTTTCAGGAAATTCCTCTGTTCATTCTCAGATGGCATTAAATGGGACAAGCTATTCGCAGACTGCGGCCTCTTTGAATTTAACGAACTCGAAAAAGGAATAAAAGAAAAAGAGCTTTGCTTGTGTTTTCTCACTGATGGTCTTCTATTTATAGAATCATCATAATCACCAAAAAGTTCCCCAATCAAATAATTAGAGCTCCTAAGAGAATTCGCTAAATTTAGTGTTTCTCTTACACTTTTTGTTAATTCTTGATCTTTTAGTAATGCAGCTAGTCCTTCTATCCCTTCTTTATTCTGTACATTTTTATTGAAAAGCTCTGGCCTTTTATCGGAATCTATAAAGAAAACATTGGTTGAATTGATATTAAAACCTAGCACTCTTTCTAATCTCTGATCTGGATCTGGGCTTGTAATAAGGCTTTCTAGTGCATAAGTTCCAGTTTTTGGATCTTTTTCTAAGCACCACGCAAACCTATTAGATAATTTTTCATTTATAAGTGTGTCTCTATCTAACGTACTTGCAGCTAAAAAGAAATATTCATTAGCACACAGCAAGTTCTCGTTGCGAAAGCTTTTTTTATTAAAATTTATCCACATCTCTATTAGTCTTCTTGGCAAAAACCGAGAAATGTTAATAAAGCTTTGAAATATAGCCTTGAGTTCTAATTTTATACCATTAGGATGGAAATCAGAATCTATCCTCATATAAGCTAAAAACACCTTTTTAAATATCTCGATTCTAATTGATAATTACGATAATTTCCTTTTGCAATATATATACAGTCCAGCTTTTATCATTCTGATGTTGCTTGTCGTATCATATCCATTCGCTAAATTCCTTATGTTTCTTCAAAATTCAGGATCATCAAGAACCCTGAAAATCATTTGTATATCAATATTATGTGTTTCGTGGGTAAGCAAAGCTAGCATTTCTAAAAGTTTTGGCAGAAAAACGGATAACTAAATAGATTTCACTTTAAGTGCATCTATTAAGCTTGTTAAATCTTCAATGTTTACAATTGCTTCCATGCGTGGAGGGTGGACTATACAGAATAAGTAAAATTTTTCTTCATCCATTTTAATTTTTTATTTTAAATTAGTTTTGTAAAAAATTCATAGTCTATAATATAAGATCTATGCATTTTCAATGATATTTAAGAGAAAATTTGGAAACTGGCTCATCTATTTTAGATTATAACGATGAATTCATATAAATAAATAGTCTATTTCTTTAAATATATTTAAGGAAAATGTTATTATCTAAGACCTTTCAAAAGAAAACAAAGATTTGGGGTAAATTCAACGTTGTTGATTATTGGCTCTTCTTTGTGTGTAATCCTGCTAGTTTTAGCACTAAAGCTACTATCAAAACTCACGTCTAAATTTCAGCTTTTATTTAAAATATTTTCTTTTGATAGAAGATTTTTATTATTCCGGTTTGGCGATTTTGCGATTTCTTTTCTTGGGGTAATGCTTCGGTTTTGTTGAGTTAAAACTGCAGGAGCTTCTTCTTTTTTACGTAAATCGTATAGTCTTTCATATATTGGCGTTGTGCTTCTATTTGCAGTCATTATTCTCGACTTTTTGGAAATCGCAGGCTTTTCTCTTCTATTGGCTTGGATTTCTTCTTCAACCTGCTTTGCAAGGTTCGCTTGATCTTTTAGTTTTTTCTTCTGCCAGTTATAAGCATGTTCTGCAAATTCTGCTGGATTTCTTCTTATTTTGTTTCCGGTATTCGGCTTAAAAGTGCACTCTGATTCCTCCATTTCTCTTTTCTTTTTGTCTTCAGCTAATTTTTTGGCTTTTAAGTCTTCTTCTTTTTTCTTAATAATATCATCAACCCTCTTATAGATTGGGATATAATTTTCTGCATACTCTTCAGACTTTTTATTTATTTTTGGCCTTGTTTGGATAGGACTTTTCTCTTCTATCTCTTTCCTTATTTGCGGTTTCTCAACAGCTGGTTTTGAACAGCTGTTGGGCTTATTTTTCGCTATTTTCATACTATAGTACCCCCCCCCCTCGTTTGTCGCATTTTCTAGTTTTTTTTTAAGGGGAAAAAAAAATTTACAGGACCTCGTTTGTCGCATTTTCTAGTGCAAATACATTTGTGCAATTTCTAGTTTTTTTAATTTTTTTTTGATGTCGCAAATCTTAGTTTTTTTAAAAAATAGTTTCTGATTAATTTAATTGAGTAATTATAGAGGAGTTTACCTTACATTTGCCTGCAGAGGGTTAGCAGGCCCGAGTCCTTCCCAGTCCTTCCAGTCCTTCCCAGTCCTTCCCAGTCCTTCCCAGTCCTTCCCAGTCCCTTCCCAGTCCTTCCCAGTCCTTCCCAGTCCTTCCCAGTCCTTCCCAGTCCTTCCCAGTCCTTCCCAGTCCTTCCCACTTTACTCTCCCCTTTTTAGAGAATAGATTAAATTTATTAACTCCATTCTCCTTGCGCTTCAATGACCTGCCTTGCTCTTTCATTTTTCACCTTAAGAATGGAATTTTGCACTTCCTCAAAAGAAATTTCGTCCCCATGACTCCTGAATGGCGGCAATTAGTCTGGCTTTGCTGTCAGGCCTTCTTTTATCCACTTTCCTCTTCAAATTGGCCCAGATCATCTCAATTGGATTGAGATCTGGGCTCTTCGGCGATTTGAGTCTTCACATCAATCCCGTTTTCTCTGCAATATTCCATAGTCTGCCTTGCAGTATGGGCTGTTGCCCCATCCTGAACGAAGGTGTAGTCTCCATCTAAAGGCTCAATATAGCCCTGGAGAATGTCTCTGATATAGACCTGGGCATTGATTGCATACTTCTCCTTCTTTATGAAGAGCATTTTGCCAAAAACGATAGAAATTCCTTCCCAGATCATAATTGAGGTTTTTCAATTCAATCGTTGCGTTTATCCCTTCTTTGCACAAATTAGAGTTACGAAAGAGATGCACATAGCACTCATCACTGAAGATCCATGAAGCGATATCTGAGTCAATCAAAGACCTAGCCCAGGACATTTCTCTGCTCTTTATGAGCTTCAGTTAGCTGTAGAACAACCCTCTTCTTCCTATAGACATATCCCCTCTTCTTCAGCTCTTTTCCTAGCTGTTCTTCGCTGATGTCAACTGTCTTTCTTTTGAATTGGGCCCTCAAACTTGCCTTGCTGACAAAGCCTGTATCCTTCTCACATTCCTTAATGACCTCAGCAAAGTCTTCATCAATGCTTTAGGGGAGATCTGGATAGTGCCTCTTCTCTTCCAGCCGCTTCGTCAGATTCACTCTCAGTATTCTCTGCAGCAATTCGCTCAATAGTCCGTTTAGAAGTCCCCAAGATTGTCGCAAGTTCTTCGTTTTTAAAGAAACCTACGTCAATGATCCTCTTGACTATGCTCTCTCCATCATTCCATTTTCTTAGGAGGAGGCGATAGTCCATGGTCCACAAGCTTCCGCCTGAGCTCTAAAGTGTGCTCTTCAGGATTGAACTTGTTGGTGTAGTGCCTGATCGTCGTCAGGCTCATGTCCTTGCCACAAGCAGCAAGACGCTCTTGGATTTGCTTTGCATTGAGCCTCTCTCCATAGGCCATGCTTTGAATCATTGCCGGGATTTTTATCGGCTGGTCCTCAATTTCGCGCAACTCCATTAATTAATATGGAAGACTAGAAATTAAGCTATCAAATAAGGAAATAGGCATGAAGATAGGGGAATAAGAATGGTGAATGGCAAGTGGTGAGGCTTAAGCAATGGGAGCAGGTAATGGGAAGCAAGCTGTGGGGATTGAGGAATGGGAGCAAGGATTTTGAAGGAAGAAATGATGAAATTTCACTAACTGATCCCTTGACGAATTTTAATTTTTAGGAATTTATAGAGAGAAAAAAAAAACTAGAAAATGCGACAAGCGAGGTCCTGAACCGATTTTTTTTTGGCTTAAAAAAAAACTAGAAAATGCGACAAATGAGGTCCTGAAAATTTGTTTTCTCTTATAAAAAAAAACTAGAAAATGCGACAAATGGCAAAAAACTAGAAAATGCGACAAACGAGGGGGGGGGGGTACTATAGTATTCTCATTTAGAGAATACTGTGACAGCATATTATGCATCGCGGAATCAATGACATCATCATCCGGTATCCCCAAGTTCTCTTTCAAAAGTTGAGTAAATCTTGTAAGATTGCTGAAATTGTCCATTTATACGATTGTTAATTTTACAGTTAATCATCTCTTCATGAAATCTAGTTAATTTATTAAACCGTTATGAAGACTTCAGCTCCTGCATGGAGTATTTTTGGACGAAAATCTTATAAGCACACAGAAGCTGTCCCTGGGCCTGGCGCATATAATCCTACATCATATGTACTTGATATGGGACCTAATTTTGGATTTGGAAGATCTGCAAGACCTGCGCTGGTAGGAAAACAAGGCTCGCCTGGGCCAGGCTCTTATATGCCTAGAGCTGTTACACCTAGTGCAAGACGACCAATGTAATTATTATGCAGATTTGGCAGGTCAAATAGGCTGCCTCTTAATGGGATGAGCGACACTCCAGGCCCAGGAAGCTATGAAGTCCGACCTAAAAGTGAAGGACCGTCTTACAGCTTATATGGAAGAGTTAGGAAAGAAAAACGTGATAATTCGCCAGGTCCTGGACATTATAATCCAAAGTTATCGACTGTCGACAATTTGCCAGCACCTAGGATGGGGACTGCCAAAAGAGGAGGGGAAATCACATATTCCACATTTCCTGGGCCAGGGTCCTATCCTATGAGAAGCACTTTAGAAGGCCCGAAATGGGGACTTGGCTCAGGCGGACGAAGTAATATGAAGCCACAAAACACACCAGGGCCTGGGTCATATGAGCTAAAATCGACGATTTCGAATCTCCCTTCGTATTCTCAGTCAAGCGTCCATAATTAATTTTGATATTTAACCATTAACTATCATTAAAGATATACATAAAAATGGCAGAGCAAGTTACCGACCTCCTGACCCTTTTCTTCAACACTAGCAGGCAGCGGTGCAGTGTTAAGGGAAAGGGCAGAAAGAGCTCGGTAACCTTTTACTTATCGGCTAGGAGCTAATCCTGGGACTTTGAGTTTTTGACCCAGAGACCATCATTGGAAAAGGGCAGGACCAGTAGAAGTCCTAGTGTATGCTAAATAGCAGAGCTCAAGAGGTGAAATCTGCCTAATGAGAAACTGGGAGCTTCGACCTAGGTGGTGGGCCCCATAGGCTCAAGGAGTCATCGATAACAAGATCAGTTGCGAATCCCTTGCTTGCTAATGCAAAGAATGGTATCTGCCAGGGTCCCTCGGGGACGATGAGCATTTAGGTGTGAAAATCCCCGGTCCTGATGAGGACGAAGAGCTTAGTTTAATTTTAATCTTACCTATCATTAAAGTTCAAATTCTTCATCTTCAGTTTCTGATGCAATGATCATTTCTGCAGAGGGCATTAATTTAGCTTTTTTACCTTTGTCTCTTGCTTGATTGTTTCCTTTTCTTTTACGAGCGCCGAATGGATTTTTGAAATCTGAAGAGTCACTAGTGGTTTCTGTGACTTCTTCAATCGTCTCTTTGCTTGCTTCTTTAGTAGGCTTAAGTTTAACAGGTTTTACTTTGCTTTCGTCGTCTGATTGTGTGATAATTTTAGTTGGAGGCTTGCTTACAGGCGGTTTATTTTCTTTATTAGCTGCTTTGGGGGCTCTTTTTGTAGTTTTTTTTCCTTTTCCTCTTGCAGCCGGGTTTTTATTTCTTTCCCTTTCTTCAGTTTCCCATTCTTCTTCAATAGCTTTCTTCAGCTCATCCAAGTCTTGGTTCCACATATCATAAATACTCGTATTTTTCAAGACTTCTAGCTCATGGATCTTATCTTGTTCCTCTCTTTTAAGCTGTTCTACCTTTTCATGTGTAAGTGACCATAGTGGCATTGATAATAAATAATCATACTCCTTTGCTTTGATTGCTCCTGCATCAGATTCTTCTTGATCATTTTCTTGGACTTCTTTATCTGATTGGTGTATTTGTGGGCTTGTAAACATTTTGTCTAATTCTGACTTTGTGGTAAAGCCTTTTCTCCTAAGCTCAGCTACAAGGACAGTTTTTTGTTTTTTATTGATGACTAGCTCATTGTTAATAACCATTAAAATAAATCTGACTTTATTAGAAATCATTGCGACTTCTACACTGAGCTTGTCTACTAAGAATGCTTTTCTTTTATTGTAGAAATATTCACGAATGAGGTAATGCTCTTCCATGATTTCATTTATCCCTTGGTATTTTTTTATTTTACGTTCACTATTAAATAGGACGAGGTTGCTTAAAGAGAGAGTGGTTTGGAGTTTAAAAGTTTTCATGATTTCGGAGTCTGTAAGGTTGTTAAGGGTAGGGACTTCTATGTGGAAATCAACACGATTTTCGGTATGATATTCTTTTATGTCAGTAACTATGGGGTTTTCAAGCTGTGCTAGATCTTCAAGGAATTTTTTGTAGTCTGTAGTCCATTTTTTGATGGGGAGCTCTGTGATTCTTAAAATGTTGCCATTAAGTCTTTCAAAGACACCTTTGACCTCATAGCCACCTCCTGATCTGTCCATCCATTCTAAAGTCCCTGTATATCCTTTAAACCAAGGAGCTAAGTCTATACTATCAAATGATTGTCCGTTGATTCTATCTCTATAAGCTTGGATCAGCTCTATAGGGTTATAAGGTGGGACATTAGTGCTCCAGCCAGTTCCAATCCCTTCTGCTCCATTTATTAATGCAAGTGGTATTACAGGCACGTACCAATGAGGCTCAATTCGTTGGCCTTCTTCTTCTTGATAATCCAATAAATAATCGTCTTCTAATATAAACATTTTTCTAGTTACTTGGGAAAGATTTGTAAAAATATATCTTGGGCTTGCCATATCTTTTCCTCCTAAAATTCTGGTTCCGAACTGACCGATAGGTAGCAATAAATTTATGTTATTTGAGCCTACGAAATTTTGGGCTAAGCCTACTATTGTGGTAGCTAAAGATTGCTCGCCATGGTGATATGCAGAGTGCTCTCCTACATATCCAGATAGCTGAGCGACCTTTATGTCTGCTTTTAGTTTTCGTTTAAAGCAGGAAAAAATAATTTTTCTTTGTCCAGGCTTTAATCCATCTACAATGCTAGGAATTGATCTAATATTATCATAGTTCGAGAACAAAATCAATTCTTTATTGATAAAATCAGATACTGTGATCTGAGGCTCGCTCATATCAAGAAAAGTATCAGGCTCCAAAGCTGCTAGCCACCTTTTTCGGTCATCTGCTCTTTTCTTATTGAAAGCCATATCAATAGAATCCCCATCATGCTCTTCATTATCATACAGAAACTCAATCCTATGCCTCTGAATATTTTCAAAATATTCACGGGCTTCTTTATTTGTCGATGTTCCCAAGCCTTTGTAGTATTTAATATTCCAAGCCTTCCTGTCTTCAGCTTTGCTCCAGGCTTCATATTCATGTAGCGTATAAAATGAGATACTTTGCTGGCCTTTTGTTGCTTTTACAATAGGAGTAATGAATTCTTTGACAAATCCTGTAGTTTTTAATAGGCCAGGCCAAAAGAAATGGATTAAATTGATGATAAGTCCTTTAATGTGAGAGCCATCAAGATCTTGATCAGCCATAATCATAATACACCCATATCGAAGCTCGCTTAAGTCAGCGTATTCTTTTTTCGGCTGTAGTCCTACAATTTTCATGATGTTTTGTATTTCTTCGTTAGCCATCAGTTGTTTGTGAGAAGCTTCTCTTACGTTTAAAAGCTTTCCTTTTAATGGGAAAGCTCCGAATTTATCTCTTCCTACAACTTCAATTCCTGCAATTGCCATAGTTTTGGCACTGTCTCCTTCTGTTAAGATCAATGTGCATTCTTTGCTGTTCCTGCTTCCTGCTAAGTTTGCGTCTTCTAGCTTATTTAAATAAATTTTTTCATTTTTCTTTGATTTTACCTTTTTGCCGAGCTGGGCTTCTGTTTTTGCTTTAGCAAAAGCTACGACATGATCAATAATACCACAGTTTACGACTTCTTTTATGAATTTTTCGCTTAACTCACATTTGGAACCGAATGCAGATGGCTTTAAAGTCATTGTTTCTTTTGTTTGGGAGTCAAAACAAGGGTTTTCAATTAAGCAATTCACAAAAATCCATAAATGCTGCTTGATTTGGTTATTTTTAACTTCAAGCTTCTTAAATTTTTTTTGAACAGCCCCTGAAATAGCATTTATAAGCTGGTCAGCCACATGAGTGACATGGGTTCCTCCTTTGGATGTGCAAATTGAGTTCACAAAGGAAACCTGTTGAAAAACGCCTTCACTTATAGAAACTCCGACTTCCCACCTTTCTCCAGGGATTTCAAAACTTTTTGGCATTGTTGAGTCTTTTATATAAAGGTCAATATAATCTTTGAAATTTTTTATTGGAATTTCTTTTTTATTTAAAAAGACTTTTACAGATTTTCCAGTCGAGCCAGCCATGTCATAAACTCTTTTAGTCATAAGGTCGAGGATGTCTTTATTTAGTGAAGCCATGCCAAATCTTTCTAAATCTGGGTAAAAAGTAATGCAGGTATAATCCTCAGATTTTTTGAGTTTTGTAATTACAGGCTCTGATTTTTTGCTCATATTGCAGGTTCATTCCATAGTGAATTTTTGCATTCTTTCCGAGTCAGCAGTTTCTACTATGAATTTTTTAGAAAAAACGTTTGCAAGCTTGGCGCCATACCCATTTCGTCCGCCTGTGGTTTTTTTCTTGGTGTCATCATAGTTACTTGACGTCAAAAGCTGACCAAAAATGAGTTCTGGGACGTAAATTCCGTATTCTTGGTGGATTGCGGTTGGAATTCCTCGGCCATTGTTTCATACAGAAATCATCCCTCTTTCAGGATCTAAGGTAACTTCAATTTTATTCATCCTTTTGTCGCGTTGATAGTTGTCTGCTGCATTCACCAATATTTCATCGAATATTTTATAGAGGCCTGGGACATATTGAATTTGTCGAAAGACCATGGTTTGTTGATCAGAATCCCAAACCCACAGCTTGTTGTCTTGCATTTCGATGGAGCCAACATATGTATCTGGACGAAGCAAAATGTGCTCTAGTGGCGTTTTCTTTTGATAGATCTGCTCAATTGTGCTATTTCCTGAATCGCTTTCGTTGCCCGCCATTTAAGATTTTAGTTTTAGAATAATTTGCATATTTATTTGTAAAACTCTTTTCAAAAATCGCAACACTATATTAATTATTTACTTTAAATTTATTATCCGCATCTAATGCTAAGCTTGATTCGCGCATTTTTCTTCTTCGTAGTCTTATAAGGAAAAATATTTGATTATGAAATTAAAAGTGTACATTTCATTTGAAGGAGATGAAATAACTGGGATAATTTTTGAGTTAAGCCTTTTATCTTTTTCAATAGAATCTTTTTTGCCTTCTTTGGGTTCTTCTTGCTCAAATTTTATTTCTTCTTTGATCTATTGTTTTTCTGTAGTAAGAGTAGCAATACTTAAAGCAATATAAATAATTTCAAATTTTCATTATATATGAGTAATTAAAGTTTATTAAAAAAAATTTAAACTAATGCAAGCTTTCTCCTGAGTAAATTAAAATAAATTATTCATATTCGTGAAGATTATTTTTAAATTTTGTACCTGAGCTAATAAAGGCCTAAATCACGGCAGTGAAATAGTTTGTTTCATTTTCCCAGGTCATATTAGCACCAAAACCATCGCAAAAAATAAAAGCTCTTTCTTGATGGGAAAAAAGGATTTTATATTTCATGTATAGTAGATCAAATATAGGTGAATGAGTGTTTCTTCTAATTGAATAAGAATATAGAGCACTTAACTCATATCCTGTAATCAGAATCTTGTTGCCAAAGATCTCTGCAGCCATATCTCCTGAAATATAGTTGAAGGGGGCTATCCTGGTCTATTTGTCAGACTGTAAGTCATATTTTCACACTCTTTATAAATTTTCTTGTGATTTAGAACACCTCCAAAAACATGGTTTAAGCATTCTTACTTTAATTGAATTCAAATCAATAATCACTATTTCTTTTCTTCCAAATGCTTTCCCATTGAGTCTTCCATATATAAAAAGTTGAGAATCTTCAACAATACAAGCCATTGCTCTTTCGTGCATACTGTAAACTAAATTTAGGAAAGTTAAAATTTTCGTAAAGGCTTATATTATATAGATTTATTATAATGAAAGTGTGACTAATTAAAAATAATTTATTTTATAATTAATATGTTAGGTAAAATTGTTTATCTATCTGGAGCTTTACTGTTTTTAGGTTGTGTGATCTATTTTCCCTGCCAATATCTTATTTATTATCCATATTTCAACTTGCCATGGGAAGAATCAGAATGCATTGTCAACTCAATAAGCAAGTCAACATTATTTTGATTTAAAGATAAATCTGGTAGCAAACATGAAATAGATTATACCTTAATTGATGTAAGTGTAAATGTTGATGGAAAATGGCTTCAAGGCTTTGGATGTGGGTGCTCAGAAGCATCAGCTTCCTCAGCGAAAGGATTGATTAATCAAGCTTATCCTTACCAATATACATATTGTCCAAAGTTTTCACAATGTGATGACATGATAATTATGCCAGCATGATATTGTTCGGATTGCAAAAGTTGTAAAGAATTTTTAAACGTAACACTGATAAATTGCAAATATTTTCTAAAAAAAGGAAATGATATAATAAATGATGTTGATGAAATAAGCGAAAGTTATAAGATAAAATATCCAACAGTAGACTCGACTTATATTCAAGTTACTTTCAGGGAGCATGAATTCTACATTGAAAATGACTATATTGCAATGCAAATCATTGGTTTAGGAGTAATGATTATTTTGCCGGCATCTATTTTGATTTTTATATTTTTAATTTTAGTTTGCAAGTATACAATTAGAAAATATAAAAACAGAAGAACCAAAGTGCAAGTTATTGTAAAGATGTAACCTTTGCTTAACTTCTCTCCTCATGATTGGAAAAATCCCTATTTTTCGGGTAAAAACCCTACCTCCATTATTAAAAAACTGTTTATGGAAAATATATTTCGAAATATAAGCGATAATTAATATAATGAAATTTAGCTAATTCTTGTAGATTTTAAACAAATTGCATTTTAAAACATAAATTTTGCAAATTAAATTAATTTTTACGAAAAATATTTACTATAAAATTTATATATAATTTTTAAAAAAAATTAGCCCTCTCTGTGAGCAGACAAAATTTTTTGTTCGCTCACGAAGGGGAGTAAGTGACATTTTATATCCTTCCTTATAATTTCTATTATTTCTATTATTAAAATGTCAAAAACTTAAATAAAACGTTGCTGCTTTTTAATTATAAAATAATTTTTGATAATTTTCTATTAATAAGCAGTTCTGGCATGTCTTAATGTTTAGGAATCTCTTGTCATTTTGTGCTAATTTTCCATACCATTTTGAGTCTATTAATTTTTCAAGTTTATGTATTGCATAATGGGATCTATACTTATCAATATGCGTAATTTCTCATGCAGCAGCATGATAATAATGCCTGCATCTTATTGCTCTGATTCCAAAAACTTTTAAGAATTTTTAAGCAAGGCGCATATAAAATAGAGATGTTTTTGAAAAAAAGGAAATAGCATCATAAATGATGGAAATGAAATAAGCGAACGCTATAATATAAAATATCCAGCGACTCAATTTATATTCAAGTATCTTTAGTGAGCATGATCTTAAAATTCAAATCGCTGCATTAAATGTTATAATAATCCTGCAAGCGTCTACTTTGGCATCTATGTGCTTATGCTTAGTTTTCAAATACTCGATTAGAAAATATAAAAATAGAAGAGCCTTAAAACAAGCTGGTATTTAGCGACACTAGTTTTAAATACGAAATTTTTATTTTCCTTACAATTTTTATTATTAAAAATGCCGATAACTTATACTAAATGTTTCTTATCTAAAGTCAAAATAATAATCTTTGACTAATTGAGACAAATTTTTAATATCTTTGCAAACGCTTCTAAAATATTTCATTTAATAATTTGTTAGTTAAAAATCAATCCTTCCAGATTCTATTATTCTAAATATTTCACAAAACGCTTGTAATTTTTTTTCAAAATCAATAACTTTGATAATTTTCTCGGGTCAAATGACATTGCCTTTTTGATAGTGTCCATTTCACCGAAAAATCTTGGCCGAAAATTGGTGGAAAATTTTTGATAGTGAGACATTTGACCAAAAAAACAGTTAATTTTTCGCCCAAATGCCGCACTATCAAAAATTTCCGACAATGAATTTCGATGAAATATACTGTCAAAAATTCACGGTCATTTGACATAGAGCCAATTTTCTCTACCGAAAAAATGTAATCTGAGCCTTTAAGATTTAAAATTATGAATTTAAAATATGAGTATTTATCTTAAAGATTAGCTAAATGGACAAATGATAATTATTTCTGAATCTATTCACTTTAAAAATTGAATTTAAATAAATTTATTGATTAGATATATCTAAGATTAGCAGTTAATATATAAATAATTTTTTCTAATGATATCTTTTCTACTCAATTTCTCCTTATTATAATAAAATGATTCATAATAAATAGCTCAAGTTAAAATTTCGAAACCGCAAGCTGATTTCCACTTTATAAAATTAACTGGACTGCAGCCTTCTCATAAGAAATGCTCAATTATCCATTTTTCATGCTATAAATATATATTTTATGGACATACCAAATTTAACACCTTATCCAAGCATTATAAATTCCATGTTTTAATTATATATTAGTAATTAATGTTTATTAAAGAAAATTTTAAATTAATGCAAGCTTTCTCCTAAGTAAATTAAAATAAAATTTATTTTATTTTATCTGAGCTAAAAAGGCCTAAATCCATTGCAGTGAAATATTTTGTTTTATTTTCCCAGATCTTATATTTTGCTTTCATTTTAGCACCAAAACCATCGCAAAAAATAAATGCTCTTCCTTGATGGGCAACAAGCATTTTATATTTCATGGATGGTTTATCAAATATAGGCGAATAAGTTTTCTTCCAATTGAATAAGAATATAAAACACTTAACTAATATCCTGTAGCCAGAATCTTGTTTCCAAAGATCTCTGCAGTTATATCTCCTGAAATATAGGTGAAGGGGGGTATTCTGGTCTATGTGTCAGATTGTAAGTCATATTTCCACACTCTTTATAAATTTTCTTGTGATTTAGAACTTCAAAAACATAAATTTGCCCACCAATTGAGATAAACCTCCTCCAGCACGCTTTCTTCTTGGTTTTAGCATTCTTACTTTAATTGAATTCAAATCAATAGTCACTGATTCTTTTCTTCTAAATGCTTTCCCATTGAGTGCTCCATATGTGAAAAGTTGAGTGCCTTCAACAATACAAGCCATTGCTCTTCCGTGCATGCTATAAACTGGAAATGGAAAGTGGAAATTTTTGTAAAGGCTTATATTGTATAGATTAATTATAATGAAAGGTGACTAATTAAAAATAATTTATTTTATAATTAATATGTTTGATAAAATTGCCTATGTATCAGGGGCTTTACTGTTTGTAGGCTGTTTGATCTATTTTCCTTGTCAATATCTTATTTATTATCCATATTTCAACTTGCCATGGGAAGAATCAGAATGCATTGTCAACTCAATAAGCACATCAAAAATATTTTGATATCAAGATAAATCTAGAGGCAGACATGACATAGATTATACCTTAATTGATGTAAGTGTAAATGTTGATGGAAAATGGCTTCAAGGCTTTGGATGTGGGTGCTCAAAAGCTTCAGCTTCCTCAGCGAAAGGATTGATTAATGAAGCTTATCCTTACCAATATACATATTGTCCAAAGTTTTCACAATGTGATGACATGATAATTACGCCAGCATGATATTGTTCGGATTGCAAAAGATGTAAAGAATTTTTAAATACAACACTGATAAATTGCAAATATTTTCTAAAAAAAGGAAATGACATAATAAATGATGTTGATGAAATAAGCGAAAGCTATAAGATAAAATATCCAACAGTAGACTCGACTTATATTCAAGTTACTTTCAGGGAGCATGAATTCTACATTGAAAATGTCTATATTGCAATGCAAATCATTGGTTTAGGAGTAATGATTATTTTGCCAGCATCTATTTTGATTTTTATATTTTTAATTTTAGTTTGCAAGTATACAATTAGAAAATATAAAAACAGAAGAACCAAAGTGCAAGTTATTGTAAAGATGTAACCTTTTCTTAAAGAATTTTTTATATTCTTCCTTATAATATCTATTATTAAAATGTCAATAACTTAAATAAAACGTTTGTTACTTTTTAATTATAAAAATAATTTTTGACAAATCAAATTTTGTTATATGGAATGGGACAGCATGATATTGGCCTGATTCCAAAAACTGTTAAGAATTTTCAAGCAAGGCGCATTAAATACAGATTTTTTTTGAAAAAATGAAATGGCATTATAAATGATGCAAATGAAATAAGCGAGGCTATAAGATAAAATGTCCAATAGCGACTCAACTTATATTCAGGTTACCTTTAGTGAGCATGAATTCTATATTGAACAGGATTATCTTACAATAGATATTATTATAATAATTTTGCAAGCGTCTATTTCGACATCTATGTGCTTATGCTTCGATAAGAAAATATAAAAATAGAAGAGCTACAAATCGATTTGATATGAGATGAGCAATGCTAGTTTTTAATATGAAATTTTAATTTTCCTTACAATTTCTATTATTAAAAATGCCGATAACTTATTCAAAATGTTTATTATCTAAAAAAGTGCAAAAAATAATCTTTGACTAATTGAGTCAAATTATTAATATCTTTTCAAATGCTTCTAAAATATTTTAGTTTAATAATCTGCTAGCTAAAAATCAATCCTTCCAGATTCTATTATTCTAAATAACTCACAAAACGCTTGGCATTTTTTTTTCAAAATCAATAACTTTGATAATTTTCCCTGCCGAAAAATCTTAATCTGAGCCTTTAAGATTCAAAATTATGAATTTAAAATATAAGTATTTATCTCTTAAAAATTCGCTGACTGAGCAAATGATAATTATTTCTGAATCTATTTAGTTTAAAAATTGAATTTAAATAAATTTATTGGCTATTAAAGTAATTAGATATATCTAAGATTAGCAATTAATAAATAAATGATTTTTTCTAATGATATCTTTTCTACTCAATTTCTCCTTATTATATATAAAATGATTCATAATAAATAGCTAATATTAAAATTTCGAAACTGTAAGCTGATTTCCATTTTTATAAAATTAACTGGACTGCAGCTTTCTAATAAGAAATACTCAATTATCCATTTTTCATGCTATAAATATATATTTTATGGACATACCAAATTTAACACCTTATCCAATAACAGAAGACGTATGGATGATTCCCTGCTTTGTGAATAGAGAAGAAAACTTCTATCAGCCCCTTTGCAAACCCTTCAGCTCAGACATCGATTGGGAGAAATTGCAAACAAGACAACCATGAACATTAGTAGAAGACGACTCTCTGCGAGCTATAATAGAACAGCGTGGGCCTAGGCACTGAAGCACTATCGCGAGAGAATTAAACTCCATTGTACATAAAAGCCTTCCTCTTAGACAAGGGAAACAATGCAGAGAAAGATGATATAATCATCTTGATCCAGGGCTTTTAAAAGGTAACTGGAAAGTTGAAGAAGATATTTATATATTAGAAAAGCAGCTAGAAATTGGTAACAAATGGAGTGAAATTGCCAAAAACCTTCATGGGAGAACTGAAAATCAAGTAAAAAATAGATGGAAAAGTATGTCAAAAAAAGCAGAAAAGTCTTGTCCAAAGGGTTCTGATCCAATTTCTTTTCTAATTTCAGAGAAAAAAAGCATGGAAAGCGAAGTCAAGATGGATAATTCACTGTCTGATATAAAACCACCACCTGTACAAATGAGTACTGGCAGTCCAGGATTTGTGCCTTATACATTTAATGATCTTGGGTTTTCTTCTTTAGCTGATCAGATAAAGATGTGCTACAATATGGGAATGGGGTCTTCTGTGCCAACAGAAACAACTCCATCTCCATCGTCTTTATTATTTTTTCAGAGTCCAAACTTTAGATAATAATTTATAAATAAAGTTAATATTTTGAGTATTTTAATATAAAAATTCTTTTAAGCATTATATTAGAAAAATTATTTAAATAATTTTCATTGAATTGGAATGGAGTTATATTAACTCAAAATATATAATCAATGTGACCAAATCCTATAAAAATCGCTGAATCTCAGATTAGGAAGCTGAAAAGTCCTCCAAGGGTGCAAAAAAGGTCAAATTCAATTTCAAATGATAAAATGCGACAGCAAGATGATGGCGAAAGATATTTTACAAGCCATAAGGCAGAATTAGAGTATCTAAAAGAGTTCGCTAAACGAAAAAAAATTAAATTTAATTGAAAAGAAATCCAAAAGACAAAACCTAACCGTAATAGTTTGAACTATGAAGATTATCCAACAGAAAATTCTGAAGATAGCGATATTGATTTTATCAATTTCAATAGAAAAAGAAATAGCAAAGCATATGGCAAAGGAATGTATTGAAACAAAGAAGACTTTTGCAATTTTGATGGAGTTGATCAAAAGAGACTTACGACGGCTGACTTACTCCCAAGCCATTATTGAATTAAAATTGTTCAAAAAGTTAGATAAAAAATATTGTGATAAAAATTAATATTAATATTTCATTTCAATATTTTGAGGATTTTCATCATTTTACTTTTATTTAATAAAATAATAAATATATTTAATATATTTAAAATTGGCATATATATTTAAATAAAATTTGAACTTAATAATTGAACTTGCTGTTAAATGGAAGGGAGTCAGAAAGTTTAAAAGAAAAATATTTAAAACTGAGAAAATCTAAAAATGGTAACGTTTCTTTTGACAGCTGAATAGAAGAGTATACGAAATCAAATAATATAAAATTACCAAGCCACAGGAAAAATTACTCTGTTGATAATGAACTAGAAAATGCTGAGTCAAAGCATAGAAAACAACCTCAAAATAAGCTTCACTGGACATTAAGACTATCTAAAGCAAAATATCAAACAAAATTCAAAAGAAAAAATGCAGATTCACCGCCTGTTGCTCCGATCAGCTATGGAAGTGAAACCATGTTTGTCTACTTATTAGGGGATGATAACTCCAATTCAAACTCTATTGATGAAATCAATAAAGAAGAAACCCAACCTCTCACAGAAGGTCCTGAAATTATAAAATCGATCAAAAATCCCCAATATTCCCCATCAAAAGATTATTACAAGAAAATAAAACAAAATTTTTCCCCAAATTCGAGCTTCAACAAATTTCTATCAATCGAACGTGAAAAAGATTATTTTTCATACAAACAAATCCGAGATTTTCCAAAGGTCCGTCTCTCTAAATTAATAAAGAAATAACAATAACTATGAATAAAAACTAAGTTTTACCCGTATAAATGGAAGAATCGAAAAAGCCTGTAAGAAAGCTACGTATTGACACTTTCAAGCATCATTATCTCGGTTTGTGGGAAGAAATTAGAACTACTCCTCTTCCTCCTCGCCGCTGCTATCATTCAGCTGTATTAATTGGAGATAAACTTGTTATAGCTTTTTGCCTTGAGTGGCGCGGTACGGGCGCCACTTCGGCAAGCTCCTTCTTCCAGTTGGCCGAGCCAACTCAGGTTGGTTCGACCAACTGGAGAATTGACAAGTGAGGCCTTTTGGGGAGACTTGTCAATTCTAGTTGGCCGAACCAACCTGAGTTGGCTCGGCCAACTGGAAGAAGGAGCTTGCCGAAGTGGCGCCCGTACCGCGCCACTCAAGGCAAAAAGTATATTTACGGAGGCCAAGATATAAAAGAAGGAGTTTTAGGTGACCTTTGGGCCTTAACAATTTCTCCATTAATTCCTGAAGAAGAAGTCTGGACTGAGCTTTCTACAACTGGAGATAACCCAGGTCCTTTGTGCAGACATACTGCCGTTGTGAATGGCACCAGAATGTACGTATTTGGAGGAACTGATCATAGAAATGAAAATAGCTCGGTTTTTGTGTTATGCCAAATTGAATAATAATTTGATATTGATTTATTAGTAAAAAAAGAGTTTTTTAACGGTAAACAATTTATTAAACCTTTAAAATGGTATAGATTTTCAAACACTTGTGTGGACAAGAATTGGCTCGGCTCCTGGGATGCCTCCAGCAATCGATTCACATTCAGCAATTTTATATGAATCTTCCAATGGATTAACAATGTTGGTATTTGGAGGGTATATAAATGGTCAACACAGTAATGATATTTTTATGTTTAACCTAGAAACACTGCAATGAAATAGACCTGATATAAGGCCTGGCCCAGAACCAAGAGTGGACCACCGAGCTGTTTTATATCAAAATGCTATGTGGGTATATGGAGGATTAGGTGACCAAAGCAATAGACTCAGCGATTTTTGGAGGCTAAATTTAGATACTTATCAATGGGAAGAAATCCAAAACGTCGGAAATTCGCCTGGGACTGTATCAGGCCACTCTTTAACTGTATGTGGAGATGTCATGCTTCTTTTTGGAGGTATCCGAGACCTTATCAAAGAAACCAATTCAATGTATACCTATGATTTCAGCAGCAATCAATGAATTATGATACAAAATGAAACCTTAATTGAAGATCCAGTTACACCATCAGAAATTGACGAATATAGAAAACAAGCTAGACAAAGATCAACAATTCAACAAAAAAGCCCTGCAGCTGATGAAATTTCGCCATCAAAAAAACAAAAACCATTATACTCAGGCCCGTCTATTCCAAGTCAAGGCAGGGTCAGAGGAAAAGTCCCACATAGTCGTGATGGGCATTCAGCTGTTTTATTTGAGGGGTATTTATACGTGTTTGCAGGAGACAGACACCAAATGCCATTTAACGATACCTACAGCTACTCCATTCAAGAGCAAGTTATTAGAACACCTTTAATAAATAATTAGAAGTGGCACAATTAGTTTAAAATTTTTAATTAGAACTTCATTTTGTCGAAAAAAAAATAATATAAAGCTTACTGATTGTCCAAGTGAAAAGCAATTAAAATATTTGCCATCAGGTTTTTTTCAAATTGTCTATAGACAGTTTCGAAATCAATTAGCAGATTTTTGATAGATTTTATAATCTGAATTTGTGGCTTCTTTATGCAGAAGCAAAAAATATTGCTTTTAAATCTGAGTGTTTGATAGTCTATTGATTCTGCGTTAGGATTTGCCTCAATTCCTGTGTATTGCGTAATTTCAGGGGTTTTGGCTGCCGCGAGTGATGCGATGCTTTCAACTCTTTCAAAATCGCAGTTTTGATTGAGCGACAAAAAGTCGTTGACAAGTTGACATGCAATGTTAGCTAATAATGAGGCATACTGTGATACTTCGTCATCTACAACAGTGCGTAGTGGTTCTCTATCAGTCATCATTGAAAGTCATAGAGTTTCCATTGTAAAAAAATCACTATTAATTTCATGCAAATCCAGAAGTTTAATATTTAGTCCTCTACCTGTTATCCTGTATGCATAATTATCAATATTTATCACCCCTCATTTTATAGCTACTGCTGATATAAATTTGAGAGTTTCTGCGAATAACAAATATTCCTGATAAACTCCTAATCGAGAGTTCAAAAGTGAATCTAGGTCAAATTTCAAATTGCTCTTTTGCTCACAAGATAAAGTTTGCTCTATACTTTTCAGTCGATACACGTGATGGATGGTCGAAATGGAAACAGGTGACACCTTAAAACCAGATAACTGGGTATTATATTTCCTACAGAGGTCATATAACACTACTTCATAATAATCCATTGGAATTTTTTTAATTTCTTTAATTTTTGCTTCAATCGTATCGGTGATGCACTCAGAATCAAACCTTGGACGAATATTCAAAGATTTTCCATCTTCATTTCTAACATAAAAGTCTTTGATTTTTTTCGTTTTGTATTTGGTTTTGCTGTGACGTATAAGGGAAGTTGACCTTTCAGATTCGACTTCATCAGATTTGGGTGGTTCCAAACTTTCAGAGGAATAAGATGAGTTGTGACCTCCTTTTGTTGACTTTCCGGAAACCATATATTCAAATTACAAAAACGCCTATCGTCTAAATTGTTAAATATGAAAAATATCATAAGAAAATATTACATAAGTAGTTTTTTAATTATTACTCAACTGAGCATGAGTCACAAAATTGATCGGGATAGGATGGACGCTCTTGCTCTATTTCTTGTGGAGCGGATTTTCTGTGTTTATCTATATGACTAATCATTGAATGATACTTTTCTTCTGATATTTCTTCATATGGCATTTGGGGATATGGAATACTTTGAGTTTTTGGTAAAAAACTGATCCCTTTTAAGTGGTGCTGAAAATAGTCCAAGGCTTCAGGAATTAAATGCCCCTCATTTTCAGGATCAAACGATACTGTGCATGAAATTTGGTTATCAGCCCAATTTTTTTGCAAAAATGCTGCGAAACTTAATTGCTCCCACATGCTTACTTCATTAAGGACTTTTACCTTTGGATTTTCTTTGATTGGAATAGACACAACAGTCGCATTTGGGTCAATTACATCCGGCTCCATATGATATCCATCATCTTTCAGCTTATTCAGCATAATTTTATCAGTGTTAGGCACCCTCACTCTTCTTATATAATGATGAGCATGTGGAAAATGCATTCCAGGAGTTGAGCCAGCCAATAAAGATACAGTTCCACTTGGCTTTACAGAAGTAACTTTAATGCTTTCTGGCACCCCAAAAGTTTGCGATATTTCTTTATCATATGATTTTAAAAATCTATATCCTTCATTGCATCATTTTTTTAGAGTATCACTGCCATTTCGGCCTAAAAATTGAGAAAGTCCAGTTAAAGAGCAGCCAATTCTTCTATTCCGACCCATTACATTATTAGTTTCTTCCCAATGAGTCAGGCCTAATGTGACGGTTTTTGCGTACATAAAAGCATATTTCAGTGTTTCTAAAAACTCATCTAAGTTGTGATGGTTGTTTATAAAGACTTCAACTAAGCAGCATAGTTCATAAGACTCCAAAGTCTGCTCTAAACAAGGATTTCCACCTAGTGCCCTGTAATCTTTTCAATTAGGTGGATCACATAATCTTCCATATTTTTGCATATTTTCAAGCCAGGCTAGACCAGGCTCTCCATTTCTTCTTATGCAATCAGCAATTTTGCTATAGTCCATGCCGAGTTTTCCTAGCACGGAATTATTACTTGCCCATCCAAATTCTTGTCTTTCAGGGTATTTATCATAATTTTTCAATTCTAAAAATTGTTCATCCTCAATTTCTCCAAATGCAATTTCAGCAGATCTTCTAACATTTCCAGAGACTACACATTTCCCTATCATATTCATAATATCCACAATATCTCTTGTATCTATTTTCTGATTTATTTTTCTTGACAAAATCTTTTTGATATTTTCGTGCATTGATATAAGAGGGCCTGGCCCAGCTGCAATTCCACCAAAAGTACTTAAAATCCTGCCAGCTGGGCGTATTAAAGAATAATCAAAAATAGTTTCAGGTTTGTCTGGTATAAAAAATGAGTCCAATAGCAATTTAAGAGAATTTACCCACCCTTCTCTTGTATCAGGGATTTGATAAGTCGCACTCCCATTTGGCTTGCAAATTTCTAATTTTCCTGAACCTTTAGTGTCAAATCCTACACCTACCCCAAGCATAGAAGCATCCATGAGAAAAGTAAAAGGCTTGTATCCAGTTTCTTGTTCAAAATCTTTGGTTGATACAAAGGCGCAATTATTTAATGCGGCATAAAGAAATTTTTCCTCACTCCCCTCAGTGAGCGAGTAAAATATTTTACGTTTCTCACAAGGCTAATTGTTTTGACAAATTTTATGTTAATAATAAAGAATACAATTTCAAAAATAATGAATTTAATTATAAATTTATTTCTAGAGCCTAAGCTGCTTAAAAATGGATATAATATTTATGGTTAATTTCTAAAAAAATAATGAATTTTCTAGCTAACAAAAGGGGAAGCCAGTGATTTTTGTACCCATAGCCCAAAGACCCCTCCCAGGCGGCAAAAACTTAAAATTAAAGATTTTGTCATACATTATTTCTGCATGTCCTCTGATATTTTTTAAGTTTTCAGCTCGATTTAGCTGTAAAGAAAAAGTCCCATTTACAACTCTTTCTACTGTTTGGTGCCAAGTTTCATATGTGTGGTCTTCACGGAGACGTGAATAGGAGCGACGATAAACAATTTCACCAAGTCCATTGAAGCCAAAGTTTGGATTCCTTGATAAGTAAAAATAAAATGGTGATGTCGACGGAAATTGGACTCCGAGGCTCACCTCCTATGGAGCTGGTAGGACCCATTGCTGATGAAGCTGAAGATACAGGTCTCATTCCTGTCCTAAGTAGGCCTTCAGTTGTGAGGAAGCCGTGCAGAAGAGGAAGTTTTATTTCTTCTCCCCCGAAGGTTTTCCCTGTCCCTGCTAGACGGGCTAGACAGGTTTTTTCCTACCACACATGGTCTTCCTTCATCGGGACCATCGGGGCACTCAGACAGAAGTGGCTCTGCCCAAAGGAGCTGATCCTTTGGACAGGTGGTTTTGACCAGAAATCAAGATGGCGTCTGGCCTGGGAGTATGGCCACATCAGAACCCGACCGGGTGTCGTCTTTCGAGCTGAGGTGTTGAGGTCAGTGGCTCAGCCGCTTATGGCCTTACAAAACTAACTTAACTTGATAAGTAATTGTTCAGAAATGTTCGGTCAAGAGTGAAGACTTTTCTCATTTTATTATTAAAATGGCAGGTTTAAGAAATCATATTTAAACTATGCGATATTCCAAGAGGATAGAAATGCTTTAATAATAAAAATCTTAAACTGATTTAAATTTTATTTGTATATTAATGATAAAATTTGAAGGAAAAAAAACTTAATCAGGGAATTTGTTTATTTAAATCGATTATTGGCCTTCAGGAGGATCTGAAGCTTGAGGCTCTCCATCAACCGCTTTGCAGCATAAAATAAAGACTCCTATTGCGATACAATATGCAGCCATAATATATTGAAGCCTATATATGTTTTACACAAAACTCCCTTTGATGCACATGGTTCCAGAGCTCTGTAGTATTATTACAATATGTAAAACATTCCTTTTCCAAAGGTCTCACATAAAAATCTAAAGTACCTGATCAAAACGCCAGGTCTGAATTCAGATACAATCATTAAAACTCCAAATATCCTAAATTGATTATTACGCATAATAAAGAGGCAAGAAAACATCAATTGGCTCATCCACTTTATAGTCAGCAAAATCAAAAATGCTCAAAATAAACATTCCAATTCCACAAATCAAGCTTAAAACTCTCAAAAATACATCTTGTTTCGGCAGCGATTTTTTGATGAGATCAACGTCAATATCCATTTTATAATTATGCACCTACAACTTACTATGAATTTCATCTATTATTTGTCAGTTCTATTTAAAGAAACCTGTTTTAGAAGTTCTTTTCTCACTGTTCTATACCATTTAAGCAGTGAATTTGGCAAAGTTTCTTCTAGTGCTTTTGCTGGGATTTTACCACTCATATCAGCTTGGCTTACAAGTGTTACTAAAAGTGTGGGCTCCCCTGATATTTGTGATATCCTTTTTCTGAAAATTTGTCCACCAAATAATGTTCTTCCTCTTTCTGCTTTGCTTTTTGGGGGTTGGAAATCTTGAGCTGGGTATTCTCTATAGTAAACTTCTATATCACCGTTATCTCTTTTTCTGATAAATCTTCTTTCTATAAAATCTCTATCAGAAAAAGGCCAGGGAGCTTTATTTAGCATGTAGTATCCAACAACATCTTGAGTTTTATAAATTTCAATGAATTCTCCGACAGAAGATTTATCCCATAGCTTTCTGGTGTTTACATCATAGAGTAAAGAATATAAATCTATAGGATTCGCATTGATTTCCATATCAAAACAAGCTTTTACCATTGGCAATTCGGGATTTTCTTCAGTGCCCTAAATAATTCATACCTTTTGTAAGTAAATTCTTGCAAAGGTTTTGGTAACTTTTAGTTTCCATGATCTATCTGATTCTCATGATAATAATTGTTCAAAATGCTTTTCTTCTGATAAGACTTCAGAGCTGCAAGGCAAAATTATAGAAAAACCAGGGTTAAACATAGATTCAAAATCAGGCTTATTATTTGATGGAGTTTTATCTGGTAATTTTGACTCTTCATTGATTTCTTCTGGCTCAGTTGATATGTCCTGCAATTGGGTTTCTAAATCTTTCTGAACTTTTGATGCAGAAAGGCTCCCTTTTTCATAATGCTTGATTTGGTTTTCTTCATCAGGGTGTCTTTTGGAATCTACAAAGGTGTTTTGAAGAGATATATCAGATGAATTTATGTTATACAGGCTGACTGATAGATCAGGTTGATTGCGATATTTTTTTTTGAATAATCGAAGGCAGCAGCATGACATTTTTAATTTATTTATGTTAGGCAGTTTAAAATTGGCAGAACAGATAAGACTAGAATAGACTATAAGAAAATAATTATGAATAGATTCTGAGAGATTAATTATTAATAATTATTAGCTATATACTTATATCCTACCACATTCTGAAAACTATCCAACAAATAATCTTAAATCCATAATTTAATAGATCATTATTGGATTTGATAAAAAACATCAAAAAATATATGGAGAACGGTTCTATTTCGATGGTAAGCACTATTCAGATGGTTGAGCTTTTACAGTTAACATCAAAATTTTTCAACGATGCAGCAGAGTTGATAATTCAAAGAAGGGCAGACTCATCAATTTACTTAAAAAACAAAAAAAGAAGAAAAATAAAAACCAAGCGCCACAAGTCAGGCTACCAAGTCTTTCTTAAAGAGAAAATGAGCGAATTGAAGAAAATTCCTGAATATTCAAGTAAATCATAATCAGATTCAAAAATGAGTACTCTTTCGTCTTTAGTTTCCCAAGAATGAAGCAAAGTGGGAGAGCAAGAAAAAGAAATGTACAAACAAAGAGCTGAGAAACTTAAACAAGAGGCAGAAATGCAAGACCCAGGAGGATCAAAAATTGAGCATTCAACAAGTTTATTGCAGCTTTTGGAAGATAACGATACTATAGAAGAAAATTCGAGTGAAAATGAAAAGTTGGTAAAGATTGAAGCGAATAAAGACTCTTCTGAAAATGGGGACCAATTTATAAAGGAAGAGAGTGATTAAAAAAGAACTATCAATAATTTTTTTAATAACCAGTTTTCAGTAAAGCATTTTGAAAAAATTTAAATTTTTAGTTTACTGAAGATGCTTAAAGAGATCATTTGCTGCATTATTTTTAAAAATAGATTTAATTAAGACTAAATAGGTTAGAATATCCACGATCAGTTAAAATCAGTTTTTATTGAAAAATCATAGCTGCCTTCATAGCTTTCCCAATTCCTAAATATGAACTTTAGCAATATTTCACTATATCATTTTAGCCCAAATCTAAAAAATCCATTTATCTTTTATGCCCTTTAAAAACGCATAATAATAAATAATGTTATAAATTCCCAATTCTCTTCTCTCCATAACTCTGCTCTTTTTCTTCAATTTTTCCTGTATTTCCTCTATAATTTCCAATTTACCGATTAAAAAACGACATATTTTTTATCTTATCTAATAATTTCTTTGATACTCCGTTGACAAAAATTAAAATGCTGGGTTACATATTCCTATTATTAAGTCATGTAATTTCCCAAGAGATAGAACATGCGATTATATACGGGAGTACCGAAGGGTTAGGATATTATTACGTTGATATATGGGTAGGCACCCCTGCAGTCAAACAAACTGTTATTGTTGATACAGGAAGCAGGCTCACTGCGTTTCCTTGTGCAGGTTGCGAAAATTGTGGCCAACACATGGACTCTTATTTCGATTATTCAAAATCCAAGACCGCCTCTTTGGTTTCTTGTGAAGAAGCCGTGTGCTCTTCTTGCAATGACCAAAAATGCGGGTACTCTCTAAGTTATGCTGAGGGAAGCTCTATTTCTGGCTTCCTTATTGAAGATTTCGTGACCTTCGGCGACGACTTTGAGCATTCCAAAGCCGTTCCTTTGAAATTTGGCTGCCATAAAAGAGAAACCAATTTCTTTCGGACTCAAAAAGCTGATGGAATCATGGGTTTGGCCTTCCCCAAGAGTAAAACCCCATCTATCGTAGATATGCTATATCGAAGCCGCGATATTTCTGCTGATATTTTTGCTATTTGTTTTGGCAAGGAAGATGGATACATGACAATTGGAGGTTATAACGCTTCCTTGCATTTAACTCCTATAAAATGGGCTACTTTATATGATGACGCACTTTATTCAGTGTCATTGAGAGGGGTTATTGTAGGCGGGGTTGCAGTAAATTTGAACTCCAAAGAAAACTCCAAGCCAAATTCTATTGTGGATTCAGGGACAACTTACACAGTTTTTACAAGTTCTATTTATGATCAGTTGTGGAGTACAATAGAAGACATTTGTGAAGGAGAAGAATTTTGTGATGGCGAGGAAAAACACATTGCTGGGGAAGATAATGCTTGCTATGTGTATGATCATAAAAAATATCAGGATATTTATGATTTCTTTGAGACTTTTCCGATAATTACTCTGTTGATTGACAATATCAACGTAGACTGGATGCCTGAGTACTATTTGTCAGCGTGGCCTGACCATCCTAATGTATATTGTATAGGAATTTATAGTGGGGCTGAGAACATTTTAGGAAGCAATTTCATGAGGGGGCATGATATAGTGTTTGATAGGAAAACTGACCAAATTGGTTTTGCCGCATCTGATTGCAATCCAATTTATGTTCATGGGAATTCTAGGACTATCCATGAAAAATATCCAAGCTCAAGGGTGATTCAAACCTCTGAATTTGCCTATCAATTTTCAATATTAACTGGGATTTTCTCCAGTTTGTTTTTATTGCTAGGTTATTTTGGCTATCGAAAGATTGTGCAATGAAAAAATAGAATCAACAAAGAGGAGCGGTCTGAAGAAATGCCAGCATAATTAAAGTAATATAATTTAATTTAAATGGGAGGTAAATCATCTAAAAAAACTATTATCCCATTGAAGCAGCCTAAAAATTTTGAAAATACAGTAAACTTTATATAGAAATCATATGATGCTTTGGTCAGATCAAACTCAAAACGAAATTTAAAGCGAGTCCAAGATTTAGATGTTACTCCTCCACAGTCACCTAGAGAAACACATGGACAGCTGCATAGAGAGCTGAATATGATAGTAGAAAAGAAAAAAAAAGAAATGAGTTTTCAATGAAATTTCAAAACATTCACCAATAATACAGAAATTCAAAAAATTGATATTAATAAAGCACAGCATTATTTACGAAAACACAAAAGGGAGCCTCGAATTCCTATAAAAGTTGACCAGAAGTTTCCACCTAAAAAGAATTCTATGAATTATACTGACCCAAAAGCAAAAGAAATTAAAAAAGAAATTTTTGTAGGTGAAGATATAGACTCTAGTGAAATTTTTGAAATTTCGACAAATAGGGATAAGCATATGAAAAGCAATGCAACACTTAAAAAGTTGGCACACACTTATACGCTGCCTATTAATAGGAAGAGAGGTAAAAAGAAAAAAGAAGATTCAAGGAGTATTGAAAATGATGAAAGTGAAGCCCAAGCAAAATCAATTGTGCCTGTAGTCAAAAGGCAGCCTCCAGCATTAATACCGTTAAATATACAAGTTGAATCTGATATACTGCAAAATCAAAGATCACTGAAGTCTGCTTTGGCAAAAAATTGACTAAGATCAAATTCCCCTATGACATCTATGATTCAGTCAAAAGATCTGGCGAAGTCAATTTCGCCAGTCGTTGTAGCTTTAAGGAGCACAAAGTCAAAAACTAGGACAATTCCAGCCTTTATCATCAGACCTGACATATCAGTTTCCCCTAACATGCCCTCAACACCTGTGAAAAAGCAATCTCCGCCTCGATCTAAAGAAAGTTCTCCTACTCCTGCACAGAAGCATAACGGCCTCAACATTTCTTCTATCAATAAATCAGGCGCTTCGACCCCAATCCTTCCTAAAGGCTACAACAATAATCTGAGTCGGAAGTACAAATGGAAAGGATCCCATGGATATATTGTAGACTGAGAAATTATATTAATTAAATTAATAATATTTGAATAATGAATGTGTATCCTCTGATAAGATGCCGTAATTACTACCCATAAAACCTTTAGTTAGTATCATGGATTAATCTGTGATTTTTTCTTTAATTTGTGAATCTGGGGTTATACTGTCTGAATCAAAAATTGAGGCATTGATTTTATCTAAAAGAAGGTCTAGCAAATTATCCCTGTTTCCTATGTTTTTTAAGTCCTGCTTAGCTTTATTCATCAGCGATTTCACACGATTTTTGACAGCACTTTCAGTTCTATTTGGTATTGCTTTTACTATGAGGGTTCATTTATTGCCAAAAGTTTTGTAAGCGTCCAGAAGTGCTTTATCTTGGTGAAGAGTTCAAGGTCCACGGTCTATTTCTGGGTTCAAATGATTATTTCATCTTTCTTTTGCTTGCTTTCCTGTGCGTATTTTTAAATCCTGGTGAATTTCTTTATTCAATATATTTGCAATTTCACCCCATTTTTTCATTCCTGAAGCGATCAGAGACTCCAATTTTTCATCTTCCGCTTGAGACCATATTCCAGGTTTTAAGGTGCCACTCATCATAATTTCCCGCAACTTCATCATACATTTATAAGGATCCTGATTGATTTTTAATGAAATTTCTGTAAAATCAGATATATCGAGCTCGTTTAAGCTTTTCCCCATTTGGCTGCAGAGCTCGTTTGCTAGTGAGTAAAGGGTTTGGATTTTTCTCTTATCCCATACTCTGGAATATTTAAATTTCGGAGCATTTTCTTCAACGGTTTCAGGAGAAGCTATTAGAGGATAACTTAATGGGAGGAGAGAAGCCACCTGAGGCACTATAGGGTATGTGGCCTGAGGAAAGAAAAAGCGTTGCTCTTGATCTTCAGCCATTTAAAATTATGATCGATTATAACCATTAGAATTAATTTGAAATTAAGAGCTTATTGGTGACTTCCATAGAATTATTAGTAAATATAATATATTTTATTAAAAATAAGGGAAAAAACACAAATTGTGATCAATTATCATTAAGGGAAAGTCAGTAAATTTTCAATAGCGCATTTTTAAAAAGATCGTAACGTTTATATTAATATAAAGAGACATAAGTTTAAAATTCATTATAAATAGATCAGACTGAAGAAAAAAAATATCATAAAAATGGTCTATGGGAAGTGTTTTGAGGTGAATAAAATGAGTTTTTATAATTTTTTATTATCATATATCTAGAGATTCCGAACTAATGCATAATTGTAAATGAATTAATAAGCCATTATTTAATAAAAAAATTCAAATTTAATATTGAATTTGAGATGATAATCGATATTTGATATGCGCTTTTTCTAAAATTTTGTATTGATTTCAATGATTATTCGATTATTATTTGGTTCTGGAGAAAGCTTGTCCATTTTTTTTATTTTCATATTTCTGAGTTACTGAAAACAATTTAAAATTTAAGGGCATTGAAAGGGTTTTATTCTTATACTTCTATTGTTTTAAAATCAATGCATGGATTACTCATTAAAATCCTGGGCTTTGAAAAGAAATTTCAGTTATTTTATAAAAACTCGAAGTTTTTTATTACTTAGATAATTTTTTAAAAATTATAAGTCTTGTCGGATTATAAAACTATATGTTTAGTTTATATAAATATAAATAAATAATTCACATAACTAAATTAGCTAAAATGAATTTAATTTTAATTGCAATTAATTACTGTCAAATTTAATTTTGATATTTTGATATTTTGATATATTTATAATTATGTTAAGAAAACTCATACGATTGAAAATTATCCTGCAAAAATATTTGATCGCTATCATCTTCATGGAAATATTCAGAAATCAGACCTTTTGCAATTGTCTCAATAACTTTATTTTCATGATGTGATAGCCCATCAATAACATCTACTAAATTTGCTTTCTCAAATTCAAGTTTCATTGCCTCAAGTCTGCTTTCATCTGAAGCTAGCTTTAGTAGCTGAAAAGCAGACTCTAGCAGTAGCTTGATCAATTTCACATCACTATTTATTTCTATAGATTGGCCAAAGGCTAATAAAATTCCTTTATTCACTAGCTCAAAAATATCTTCAATTTCTCCTCTGAAAAAACAATTTGCTATAACATAGCCGCATTCATATTTTATGCCTTCATCATTTTCTGTAAGTCCTCTTATTGCAATATCTATAAGATCGCTATTTATAATCCTCTTGACTTGGGATGCTGATCCAGCTGTGATGTTGCTTAAAGCCCAGAACCCTTCTTTTCTTATGTGATAATCCAAAGACCTTACAGCTTTATGAATTTTCTCAATGGCGCCAAGATTTATGACGTATTCAGCTTGGCTCACATTGCCCCCTAATAAATTGCCTAGTGCTTTGTATGCCAATAAAGAAGCTGCTTGATTTGGCAAATCACATGAATCAATAATTATAGGTCCATATCCATTATCAATAATTGCTTGAAGCCATTTTTCTTTCCCATTTGTTATGCAATATAAAATCGTTAGCAAGTCTTCTATCTCTCTAGTGCTAGCTGCTTGAAAAAGTGGCTTAATTAAAGTCAGCAATTTTTTAACTAGTTCAATATTAGCATGTATGATTGATCTTGATATATTTTTCAATGCATATAATAGTGCATTTAAGGCTGGGCTCGGATGCTCATGCATATCTTTAAGTAAATTTACAAGAAATTCAAAAACATATGACTTGATCATGAGGACTCTATATTCTTTGTGATCGCCTGCTATGTTTCCAAGACATCATACTGCATTTTCAATAATATCTAGGCTTTCGCTATTTATTACACCAAGACATGCAGGTATTATACCTTTGCTTATGAGTATTTCTACTATTTCATGGGAACATGAAGCGAGATTGCATAATGCCCATGATGCCTCATATTGAACTTCTTTTGGATTATGGGGGTTTAAAAGGTCTATATAGCTTTGAATATAGCCAAGCTCTGCATATATTTGTGCTTTATCAAGGATAGCTTCTCCTCTTGTTAAAAAATGTCTGGTAATTCTTAATGCTTCTAGCTTGAGTTCTGATGAATATTCCCCAATTAAGATGTTTTTAAAGGTTTCTAAGGAATAGTGAATGTCATTAAGGTTTCTTATTAGATCTGGGAACGTAAGTCTAAATACTTTTGAAATTTTGCTCGCTGGCAAATCATCCTTTTTTGCGCGTCTTTCCATTTGTTGCTCACGACGTTTTTTTCTTCGGAGATTGACACTGAATTGTTCGTGCTGCTCTAGAACTACGCCTAAATTTGGTTGCTGGAAACAATTGTTACGTTCTGCCAATCTTTGCATTTGGGGTATATCTTATTATCATTTAATTAGAAATATGATTAAAAATCAGATATATTAGAAATTGAGTAAATATAAAATATAATAAAATAAGCTTCATTAAGTAAATCAATCAAAAATTACTCAGAGATGCTTTTGCTCTCTTAGCTATATTTTTCTCCTAGACTAAACATAATTCTAAATATTCTAATTGAGCACGATTATTATACCTTAACAAGATTGATATTTGCTTTCCTCATCAGTTAAAAATTAGCAGAAGGAGAAAAATTTTTGCCTATAACCTACGCTAAAATACAAAATCTTTCTAAGTCCAAATTTCATTTCTGTATGCTAAATAAGCTCCAGATAGATATTTCGTATCAATATAGAAATAAGGCTATTGGCAAACAAACTTGCTTTTGATCATCTTAATAATAGCAAGATTTTCCTCCCTGTTTCATTTTTACTAGAAACTTCTTCTCACACGTCAACCAATTTTAGGTGCATTAATACGACTAAAGAGTTTATTTATAGAGCCTCTACAACTTTTTGCATTTCTTTGCAGTCTTCTTTTCTCCAAAGAAAAACACAACAAGAATATGAAAATTTTGGATATCTCATAGATAAGCAAAAGATCCTCCTCTTTAACCTTAATTAAGGCAATTCATGACGATTTATAGTCTATTGGCTGTTTTATTAACCTTCTTTATATATTAAATCCGACTAAAGCAAAGTAAATACTTAATATTTATACTTTTTACTATTAAATTGTCTTAGAATGCCAATAGCCTTTAATAAAATTATTAAAGAAGCATATCTTAATTCGACTTAATCAACATTCCCAAAATTTTTTGCTCAACTAATTGGGGTTTTATAAGTAAAATAGAGATATTGCGTCATATTTCCCTATTAAATAAACTTTTGTTCAACATTTAAGCCCATCGAAAAGAGTGGCTTATAATAAATAAAATGGTAGAAGGAACAACTAGGACAGATATCAGCCTTCAAGTCGGAGAAGTCCCAACCCAGCCTGGCGTCCAAGCTTACATCCACTTAACAACTGGAGACAATCTTTCAGCTAAAGCCAAAGAAACTGTAGCTGCTGAAATTGGATCAGCCCCTCAAGACTTCAATGCTTACGTCGTCATCAACTGTTCCTCAGCTGAAGGAGCTGAAGAGGTCAAAGGTCTCTTACTCCTTAAAATAAAATAAAATTAGTTCTCAACATTTTATTAAGCTCTTTTATTGGATTTTTGATTTTTACTAATAATATAAATGATTTAACTAGGCAGATTAGCTAAAGTCTGGACTGGAATTTCCTCCGGATCTGCTGAAGATGATGTTTCAAAAGCTCTTAATGCCTTACTCGTTTCAGACGCCCCTCACTTCAACCCAGAAATCGCTGTTCACGGAACCAAGGTTGTTGTCCGCGGAGTCCCAAGCGAAGCTAAACAAGCTGAATTCTCAGGAATCCAAGAAATGGTCAGAGGAATGGCTGGACACGTCTTTGGACATGATCAGACAATTCATCTTGAATTCGATATTGGCCACGAAATCGGAGCAATCCTCTTAAGCGAGAACAAAATTGTTGACGCTTTGAACTCCTTGAGACTTAGCTTTGCCTTCCACGGTGCATCAACCCTTGCTTCTGATTTATTAGGAGTTGCTGAAGGTCTAAATGCAGACACCACCATCCTGAGAGCTCTTAGAGTCCTCACTGTCTACCAAAGTGCTGATCTCCAATTGAAATTCAGATCTGCAAGCCAATTACCTGACTCTGTCAAAGAGAAAGCACAAAGAGTTGCAGCAAAAGCTAACCTTGCTGAATTAAAGGGACAAGCTCCTCCTCAAGTAGTCAGCTTCCTTGGAAAACTCTCTGAGCACACCACTGGAGATTTACACGTCTTTGTTTCAGCTGGAAGACTTACTGCTGAATTCAAGCTCCACGCCCCTGGCCTCTTACGCGCTCTTTCAGCCTAATTAACTTAAAAAATGCTTAGTCAAAATAATTTTCTATATTAAATCTGCAATAAATTGGTATGATCTTTAGATAAAAAATTTCTGATTTCAATCCTTTATTATAATTTATAAATTTAACTATCCTGATATAAAAAGAAATTTTAATAAGGCCTTTCCGATTTCCAAGTATTTAATGAAATTATATTTTTTCTCCATAGAAACCGCTTAATTTTATACTATTTTAATAATTTAATAGAATAAGTTATATTTTATTGTCCTGAGTCTAGTGCTTTTGATGGTGAATTATTTACATTGTATCTTTGGTTCACAATATGCACATGGTCAGCAATTTGCATGTGTCCGTCTAGTTTTTCAATATAGCTAGCATGAAAATGGTGAAGCATATTTTCATTCCCAAGTGATACAAATGTAGCGTTAAACCTAAAATGTGATCCTTTCTGCAATGACCTCAGCGTGCTTATGTTTGATCCAAAATCATGGTCGTCCATTGTCAAAATTATATCTGCATGAATATTTGACTCAGTCGGGACCATTTTAGCCAATATCACAACTGCATGATCTCCCCTAAAGATATAGCCTCCTGGGTTTTGTGTGGCTCTTACTAAATACCCATCCCATTGGACCGTTTTTCCTTCATATAAAGTTTTGAATTTTTGTGATGCCCTTACTCCATTCACAAGGACAACTTCCATCCCACAGTCTTTTAAGTACTCTTCTCACGTAGCGTTACTATAAATAATTTCTTTTGGTGGTGGTATTGAAATATACCATCAATACATGATAAGTGCCGAGACAACTATGGTTATAGCTAATAAATAGGTTCTTGTCATCACAATTACACAGTCTCCTAGTTTGATAGTCAAAACTTCATCTTTTAGGCTGAAGAGACCAAATGGCTGCTTAGTTTCGAGCTTTGAGTTACATCTGGCGCATCTGATCACTATTGCTTTTGATAGTGGGATTGCAAATGGGAGGATGCAAAATGACCAAATTCCGAATATCATGATAACAATGCATGCAATCAGACCTGTGAAGTAAGTGGCTTCAGGCTTGGAAAAACATGCAACTTTGGAATCACAATGACGGCAGAGTGCGTCTGGTCTAGATAAAAATTACTCTCTTTGGATTTGGTCTTCCATATTGAAGTTTATAATAAAAATAATCAAAGCATGATTAATAAGCAGCTATTTTAGATTTTTTCTGGAAGGATTTGGCTTTTGTTATTGGATTATGAAATAAAGATTTGCTTGGAGAAAATTAATTATATCTTCAGGATTGTATATGAATAAGTGTTGGTTGAATACCTTATTTTTGAATAGTCTGATTGCTTATTTCATATTCTTATTAGCTATTTCTATCTTAGAATAATAATTCATAGAATTTTAGCTATGCATATCGAATGACTATTTAGAAAGCTTTTCTAAGCTCAAAAATATATGATCTAGAAATAATATTTGTTTGTATAAATCTACTCTTCGTATAATAAGCCGCTCATAAGGTTAATTTTCTAATTGCATAGAGAAATATATAGTAAAGTAAAATATATGAAAATGCTGAATTTGTCAAATATAAATTCATAATATTTATTCTATTTTAATATCAATTTCAATAGATTCAACTTAATAGAAAAAATTTTGAATATAACGCTAAGTATTATTTATCTCTTGAAATAATTATGGGCGATCAGACTCTTCTTCTTCCCAGTGCCACAAAAGACCAAGAGTGGTTCTCCTACTTTTTTATCTTCACAATAGAATTTGGTATTCTCTACTCAGAATATGCTTTAGAATCCGTTTTTGTTAATCCATATTTCAACCGACTAAACTGCTCAATTGTTTTCATATCAGTTCTGTGGTTGCTCCCATCCATTCTCAGTCTTGGCCTACAGCCTTTAATTCAAAAATATATCTATCAAGATTACTTGTTAATTACATCACACAAAAAAACATTAAGCTACATTTTTTGTTCACTTGCTCTATTTGGAATACTCATGTTCATATCAGCAGGGACGATATCTGAATGGTATTTTAAAGGCTCCATTTTATTTAACTCCAAGGCTCGGGACACTTCTCTTGTTTTAGGGGTTATTGGCTATCTTCTGATGGGAGTAAGTCACAATTCACTTTTTGATATGTTCTTAGGCTTGTCAGAAACAGAAAAACTCAAAACTTATATAACTTGGGGATGTGTAGGGAGGATGTGTGGCTTTTTGCTAGCATCTATAGACTGCTTTGAGATTTATTCGTTATATATGTATTACAATGTAGGAGATAACATGACTTTGACATATTTTTTTTCGGCAGTTCTTTATTTATTTTCTATGTGCTTCGCAATCCCAACTCTATATGCAGGAAGACGAGAATCGGACAACTCGTTTTTTGTGTTCCCTGGGTTCAAGTTCTTATTGTCTGTCCCTAAAAAGATGCTTTTATTGATGATGTGCTATTTCTTTACATTTGGGTGTAATATATTGATTTCTATATATGCCACATCTTGGGTGTCCAATGCACTCATAACGGAAAAACATAAAGCAAATGAAGATAGAAGACTTTTTGATATGGGAGTATCATGAGGCGCCTTTACTTTATTTTTATCAGGAATAGTCACACTATTAATAATCAGCCTTATCCCTTATGTGAGGAAACAAAATTACTTAAAGGATAGCTACATTCTTGCTGGCGCTCACTTGATTTCTGCAGCTGCATTATTATCAACTTATAATATTGAAAATTTCCAATGGGTATTCATAATAATACCGCTTTGTGGGCTTTCTATAGGAGCTAATTTTTTGCTTCCCCAATGCTTGCTACAAGAAATTCAATTTCAATATGGAAAAATTTGTGATAAATTGTCGTATCCTCATAGAGGGGATTATTGCTCGACGGCTTATAAAACAGGCTCCAAGCTAGAGTCACTTTTGAGATTTTTATTAGATATCCCAAGTGAAGAGGACAAAATCCACCATTCAATTGAACAAAGTAAAGAATGGAGCAAAATTCTTAATTTGACTGCAATTTTTGCTCAGACTGTCATGTTCGGCCTTGCCCCTTATGTAATTGTGTTTTGGCTTGAAGGGGAAACTGTAAAATGGGGCATGGTGACTGCAGGGCTTTCTGCTCTAATTGGGGGACTTCTAGCATTTTTGTTATAAGCTAATATATAAATTATAGTAAGATGGGAAACTCGTGTAGAAAGAAACTAAAGCCCAAGCCTACTGGTATTGAAGAAATGAAAAGCAAAGAAAACTCAGAAAAAGACGTAAATTTTAAATAGAACTTGCAGATTATTCTTTTCAATTTGAATCAAAATTCTTATCAGTCATTTTCTTTATCAGAAGCATTAAGCTTGAACTATTTAAAAGAAAGCGAAGATGAATCATGAATTATGCTCTTAAAAAACACAAATGATGATGATTTATTGAAAATTATCAAATCCTTTGAGCTGCATCCCATAATTAATTACGAGTTAGGATCAACATCGGTGAACCAAAATCAGTTTATATCATTTGATGACTATTTTCTATTAAGCATCAATGATTTTAGCACACAATTGTCGTCTCCTTCAACTGTTAAACTTTTGATTTGAAAAAAGTTCATGATGATTTTTTGTACTGAATTCGTATATGCTTTACAGGAAATTTTAAAAAATTATTTAAATTACACCCCGATTCAGCAAGCTGAAAGTGACAGTAGCTCAGCTAATGAAAGGCCAACTCTAGAGCTAGAAGAAGAATATCACTGCAGTGTAATCGAAGCAATTTATTATAAAATTTTTGAATTGACATTAAGACATCATGAATTTTTGGCACAGATGGTAGAAGAGGAAGCCAAAATGTGCTTGCAGTCTTCTAATGAAAGCAATTTAAGGAGGCGACTTGACTATGTCCCCAAGCTTTCAGTGGTAGAAAAGCAGTTGATTTTTATGAAAGATTTAATTAAGCCGAAAACTCCAGTATTATTGGATCTTTTGCATTCCAAAAAGCTTTCTCAAAGCATGTCATATTATTTCTGGAGCTTAAAATCTAGAATAAAAGACGTAAAAAGAAAAGCAAAATCTTGTGCTGAGTTACTAAAAAACGCTGAACACATTTATAATTCAATGGTCGAATTCGATATTTCCAAAAACAATAACAGCATCAGTGAGTCTATGAAATATTTTTCAGCTATATCAACGATGTTTTTACTGATTGCTTTTGTGGATGGGGCGTTCGGAATGAATATCAGTCTCCCTGGAGGAGATGAAGACAACTACTGGCCTCTAGCTACAATTTTCTTATTCTGTATAGCAGATGTAGTCATATTATTTGCATGGTTTAAGTTGAAAAAATGGATTTAAATCACAATTAAAGTATTTTAAGCTTCTAATATGTAACCACTATTCTACATGTGTAGAGTCATAATATTTGCGGCACAAATCTTTAGGCGAAAATCGCTTTTCATCATGAATTTCCCTTCCAATCCTATGGATTTTCTCTAATTCTGCCTGGCTGCTGAATTTTCTTTGTAGTTCTTCTATGCTTTCTTTTATTTCATTTAGCATATTCTTTAATTCATTCAAAGTTTTATTTGCCATTCGCAGCTTTTCTAAGTTAATCCCCACACATCTAATAGTAGTGGCAGCTCCAATTGCGTCTAATTCCAAATTATTCGCGATTTCTTTAGCTTGATCTGGATAAGATCTAGAAGTTTCATTAAATTCCAGAATTTGTTCAGAAATTTGATTTAGCTTTGAAGAAGTCTCTAAATAAGTTTCTATAAGAATATTTCACGTCGAAAAAATTTCTTTGTGCTCCATTTTAAGCAAAATTTGGTTTAGCTCGATATACGGATTTTCCGATTTCAGTTTTAAATTTATTTTGTTGAAGTTTCCGTTGCAGCTTGAAGAGTAGGCTATCAGCATAATTGTAATGGAGTCTGATAGCTTGAATAATTTGTGAGAAAATGTGCCTGTGGAGATTTGGAAGTTTTGGAATGCTGCATCTAAATTTTGGGAGAGGCTGTCAAGCATGTTTATTGGCTCGACAATATTAGCAAATAGTTGGTCTACTTCAGATATTCCGCTAACATTTATACGCATTGTGAGCAATACGCTAGCCTTCATTTTGCTGCTGCCACAACCCATTACTGATTTCCAAATTTATAATACCAATATTGTTTCCATAAAAAAGAAAAATTTTTTTGTGCATGGTTTTCTCCAAATTGCATTTATATTTGAATTTATAATATGAATTTATGTATTAAGCCCTTCAATAAAAATCTCCAACGAATAATATTTCAATAAGTAAGGCATCTATTATATTAACACATTTGTGCGAAATTCTAATATTGGAATAAGTAGATTTATCACTATTGTATCATATTCGAAATATATAATCCTATTATATAAATATGCAAAGCTCAAAGCCTCTTGACTTAATTCGAATGGGGTGCATATCTGACGAAGAATATGAAAGGGCAGCACCTCAACTCGCAGACATAATAAAAACAGCACAGATGGCGGTTTGTCGTGATGTTATTTCTCTAATCAAAAAAATCATTAAAGATAAGCATGCTGCTCCTCCAGCCAAGCTTCGGGCTTTAAAGCTATTTCATGCCTGTATGATGGTAGCCAATACACATTTTTTAATATTTGCCCAGAAAAAAGTAATGAGTAGGTTTACCATACTCGCAAAACACCGAAAACAAATTCATGAGGATAATCGAGGAGATGACATGTTTGGATCTGTAAGTGGGGCATCTGATGAAAACAGAGAAGCTTCTAGAGAATTCTTGATATGTCTGCTGCAATATATTCAAACTTGAGCACAGAGATTTGGAAAAGCACCTGACGGGAAATCAAGTGCATATTATAATGCTTACACGACACTGACCAAAGAAAATGTTACCTTCCCGAAAAGAAGCTCCAGGTCTAAAACAAGTTCAGAAAATCATCAAAGGCCGCTGTCGGCAACACCAAAACAGAATAACCATATGATGTATGAAGGAAACTCACCAGGAAGTCTGGGTTGCAAGCCTAAGTCTTAATCTTAATTTTAATCTTGCAGATAGGCAGGCTGGCAAGCCATATTGCCGATGCAGCCTCCAAGGATCATGAATGGTTGAAGTGATTTGATAGACAAATTTGCTCACATTACTTCTTCAGCCTCGGCGCTATTAAAAACACAAGTATCACTTGCTGTTCCTTTCATTGTAGTATACAGAATTGGGTAAGCAGACTATAAACTTCTACGGTTCTAAATGGGCCGAAGGACAGTACTTTACCTTAGAATCAAATAAATGCTGGGTGCATTTCCTAATAGCAACAGGAAAAAGACTTCATCTTATGGGTCAGGGTTAAGCCTTGGTTTCTTTGAGAGAATGACTTGGCGTCTGATGGATATCGAAAACACTCCATTTTTAACTATAGAAGCTAAACCAAAATCTACCCAGATAAACATAACCTCCAATCAGCACGGATCTCACCTAATTTCTCGCGTGATTTGCCTTGGCCATAGATTGAGATAATTATGTCAAGAGGTAGGGTGTGATTTTATACATATGTATAGTTTGCAAGCCATACAATAAAAAATACAGGAGGAAGCTTGCAGGTAAGAGCCGAGTCAACTATAAGCCTTTATAATGATTTGAAATCATCAGGAGGAGACAGAGAGATGATAAGTGAGTGCTTTTTACAGCTAAAGCAACTAAAAAAGGAAATTGAAAGAGAGCTGGAGAACTCTGATAATCCAGAAAATATTGGAAGCTTGCTTGACATAAATGACAGGCTGCAGATGATTACTGACACTGAGCAAAATTTTGCGCAAGATTACTCGATGGATAGGAAAAAATATGATTCCGCTCCCTCTATACAGCCACTTCAACCCATCCGAAAACAAGAGCCTAATAATATATGCTCTTTTGTTTGGACTGAATAATATTTCTAGATAAAATAGTTTTCATTTAAAAAATAGCACTGAACATTATAAGCATATTAGATCTGGATTTATTTGGAAGCCCTCCAACAATTCCATCATCTCAATCCCCCTCATTTTCCAGCATGAACTATGCAACCTACAATCCTCGTCTACAAATGATGCCATCTCCTGACCCTTACTCTCAGGACTATCCAGCTCTTTCGCCTACTCTTGCGAAAGCCACTGACTCAGATACTTTGAGATTACTCAAACAAGAAAACGAGACACTTAAAAAAAGAATTAACAGCAGACAAGATGATGACATAAACCAAGCCAACCAATTGAATTTGCTCATGACTGAAAATATGCAGTTAAAGCAGGCTTTCGAAGCTGTAAAGCAGCAAATGTTTATGCAAGAAGAAAATCTGAGAAATTTAACTGCAGCCGGAGCACAAATAAATGCATCTCTTATAGAAGCGAACCAAAGTATAGAGAAATTGACAAAATTGCTAGAAATTAAAGAAAATGAACTCCAAAGCTTGAGGCAAGGAGGTCAAAAGCAAAATGGTTATCAAGCAAGTATATCACAGCAGTCACTTCCAATGAATCCTAATTTATTAGATGTAAAAGTGCCTCCAAAGCGTGGGCCAGAATCCCAAAATTCGTCCCTGAATCCTTTTGATAGTGATTCTTCACTCACCCCCTTTAAATTGGAACAAATTAAGATAAATTTCCTTTAAAACCATTTTAAATTGGAACAAATTTCTTTTTAAATAGGAAAATTTAAAGGTGAAAAATACAATTTTTAATGGACTTACACTATCTAGAACGGGCTTTTTTGTTGGCACTATCAAAAAAAGCCACGCTCTAGATAGTGTAAGTCACTATATAAAGCTAGTTTTTGAACTAATTTAAATGGAAAAAGTGCAAGTAGAATATTATTAATTAACCATTTTCACACAGAATCGGTTAATTTTTATAAAAATAAATTAAAATTCAAAAACATTTCATTCATTCTATATTCATTTAACTTCTCAGAATTTTAATAATTTTTTTTAAAAAAAAATAAACCCCCTTAAATTGGAACAAGATGTTTGTTTCCAATTTAAAAGGAGGAAGTCAAATGATATTCCTGCTCAGCCCCACAATTTTCCAATTCAAAATGCTTTATTTTATCGAATCTGCAACACTATGGACAGAGGAATTCTTTATGACGATGAGTCATTTCAAGTAGGTATCCAAATTGTTCTAAATGAATCTGAAATTATGGGGATGATTTATATAGGAAACAAAACCCCAGTTCCTGTCACAGAAATAAACACAGAAGTAACCAGTTATGATAAAGAAGGACTTATTGTCCTCATAAGCCCAATTATTTCAACTGACACAATCACACAAGGCGCACAAGCCAATCGCATGCTTAAAGTTTCTCTCAAAGATTTCACAGGCAAAATTCCCAAAATAATCATAAAAATCAAGCAAGGCTCTGATAATAAAACTTTATTTTTAAATTTGCCTATCACAATAGCTAGATTTTTACAAGGAATTCAAAGGCCACCTGAAGAGTTTTGGTCTATATGAGAAAGACTTGCGTTTAAAGAGGAGAAATTTTCATGCCAAATGCAAGGGATTCGATCAATGCAAGAGCTAACGCAGCACTTATCGCTTGCTGGAGCATTCAAAATATACAGTTCACAAGAAATCCCTCAGCTTTCTCAAATCCAACTGTTCGGCGCAGGGCAAAAAGGAGCTGCTGTATTTTTCCTCTGTACAATAGACCCTCAAACAATGTCAGCCCAGCTCTCAGTTCGCAGTGAAAACTTAAAACTGCGTGAGTCCTTACTCGAAGTAATTTCAGCACAGATATCAGGTAAAGAATAATGTTAATCTTATTTTAAGAACTAAATAGTTATTTTCTTCCTCGCCAGCTCTGCAGTGTATTTTTCAGGGACTCCATCCTTTCTCAAAGCTTGAAGTTTTTCTTGTTTTATTCTTTCAAGCTTGTGCTTTTCGTCCTCAATTTCATTTCTGAGTTTTCTACCTTCTTCTAGATATTCACGCTGCTCTTGAGACCTCTTTTCGTCATTCGTAAGAATTTGGGCTTTAAGCTGCTCTGCGTGCTGTTTTCTGATTTGAGCTTTTTGTTCTTCCGTCATCCTTTCTCTATCAGCTGCTTCTTTTTGGGCCTGGATGATTCTTTCGAACTCGTCTCGCTCTTGTTTGGCTTGGATCAGCATACGAATTTCCCGCTCTCTTGCTTGATCTATTCTGGCTTCTTCAATTTCAGCGTTAATCTTGGCAAGTTTTTGGGCTTCTTGGAACTCTTTTTCTCTCTCTACTCTTTCTTGGGCTTCTTGGGCTCTTTTAGCTCTGAGTGCGTCGAGTTCTGACTGTCTGTCTTTGGCTCGCTCTTGTCTTTCTCTTAACCTTTGGACTTCTCGTTCTTTTTCAGCTTTAATCCTCAGTTGGTCTTCTATGAGTTCTTGTTCTCGTTTGGCTTTATCTAAGTTGTATTTCATAATTCTTTCATCTTCTTCTATTTCCTGCCTTTTTCTGGCTTCTTTAATAAGAATTGCTTTATTATTCGCCTGCTCAACTTCTGAAAGCAGCTTTTTTTGAGTCAGCATTTTTTCTTGGGCTTGTCTATTTTCTTCTTCCTGTAATGCTTCAATTTGTTTTAGCATCTGAGCCCTTTCTCTTTCTAGCAGCTCTTGCTCTTTCATTCTAATAAAATCGCGCTCTTTGATTTGTTCTTCTAAAACTCTTGCCCCTTGAATTCTATACCAATTTTAAAAAGTAATTGCTTTATATTACAATAAATTTTTTTTTATTTTTATTTAAAATAGGCCATCATTAATCCATTTAAAATAATTATTTATATTTTTAGGTATATCCTCTTTCCATTTCTGCTCTCTTTCATCATGATATTTAATGACTTTGAGCCTTTCAATTTCCATCATCAGATCCAGCTGTTCTTCTGTTTGCTTCTTTTCTTCTTCAATCACTTTTTTTTCTTTCAGCTGCTCGTCACGCACTGTTACGATTTTTGAATATAAAACCATTTGGTTCATGTGCTTGACGTCGTCATGCTCTCTATCAAGGAGGTCTCCGGCCTTTTCGCGGATTTTTTTCTTCTTTTCAGCATCTTCACGCTCAGCTTCAGTCATGGGGGCATTTCTTTGACGCTCTTTTTCCAGCTCTTGCATGCGCTCTTTTCTAGCCTTAGCAGCAGCTCGCTGCTGCTCTTTTTGCTCTTCAAGGACTGTTTGTTCTGCTATAAGCTGGTCTTTGGTTTTTAAAACTGCCGCAGCTTTCATTCGTTGAATTTCACTGAGTGGGATAACTGTGCTGTTTTCTGGGATGGTGCCAGCTTTTACCTGGGTTTTTATTTTATTTACTTCGCTTGAAGAGATCCTTGCTGATTGGCCAGCTTGGGAACCTGGCTTTGAGGATTGCTTTTTGGAGCCGAAGAGAGACTCGTCGACATGGGAATTATTTGAAACTTTTTTATAGCTGGCGCCTGATTTTTTTGATTGGACACTTCCTTGGGAGCTTGGCTGAGTAAAATGTTACCATTAGGAATACAAATTATGAGTTAAGAATAATTGAATTTTCATGTGAAGAAATGGCTAAAGAATTGAAAGCAGTTACATCAGATATAAAGAGTGCTTATTTTTTGCTTATTTATTAGGCTAGCTATTTGAGGTTTATAATTACAAGATTCTTTAATTTTTTGAGATTAATGAAGACTGAATTCCCTTTCAATATGCTCTTCAAAAAATATAATGGAAAATAAGTGGCTGGCTTAATGATATAATTGAGATTGCTATAATGTGAAAACTCTAAAAATCTTCATAAGAGGGTATAAATAGCTCTTATCCTCAAATAAAGTGGTATACTTTGAATCATTAAAGCATGATCTCTTCTAGTTTATTCTCACCAATCACAACATCCTTGATCATTATTGATATTTTGATATCTATACTGTATAAATAAATTTAGCATTTGCAGTCATTTAGCGATTTCAGAATTTTCAGGCTGATTATATGCATTGAATTTTCAGCTAGAGCTACTTATATCCTAAATATTTGGCTTGAAGTATGGTCTATCCATCTACATTGCAGCTACATCGAAACTCGTTAATTATAAAAATGCAATTAAAAACCAATTAGTTATTAAAAAGCTTCAGCGCTATTTAGCGGAGTTGGAATGTTTTGAGTCATGTTATATAAAGCAGCTATCTGAATCCCATTCTTAAGAGCGTAGTCACTCCCTGTATATCCCCAGAAATCCCAGCATCCTTCTGGATTTAACTCAAGATTTACAGCGACTTGTGGGTAAATCATAATAATATTGTTCGACTCTGCATACCCATTAAGCTCGTTTTCCGTTATAAATAAATCCCCAATGGTCTCATAATTTTGTCCACACCCATGTATTGACATATGGACATTACAATTGTTTATATTAGTACCCTGACATCCTGTAGGAATATACATATACCCAGTCGTAGCCATAATTGCAATTGTAGGGTTCATATACTGAGTCTGGTCAAATGACTTCAAATTCTGCGAAATTGCCTTTACTGGAGCTTTTATATTTCCATAAATTTGGTTCAGAATTAGCCCTGCTGCGTTTACATTGCAGTAATTAATAAATGGAGATCCCAAATAATTGCAAGGGTTTCCTGCACTATTTGTAACCCATGAATGCTCAGCGTAAGTATCGAAATTTGTGCTGATAATAGATGAACTAATGAAGTTTTGGTAGAAGCTCAATAATGACCTGACCACGTATTGGTTAACGACTGTATCCCAAAGACCAGAAAATATCCACACTCCTTTGGTGTTTGTTTTTAAATTGTTCAAATTGTCAATAGTCCCAGAATTTGATTGCTCTTGAGCATATTGAAGGCAAGCTTCTAGGTTAATTAAGTAAGGAGAAGTCATACAGGCAGTTGTTGCGTATACTTCAGAACCCTGCGAACAATAATATGGGCCACCTGCGATGATTCCGGCTCCGATACAGTCTGCTGAGTGAGCAATGTGCATTTGGACAGCCTGGAAGCCTCCAGAACTGATTCCTGAGACCGAAAAGTTGCGAGCTGAAGCAAAGGAGAGGATTAGAGCAATTAATAAAATCTTCACCATAATAATTAAGATTAATTCTAAAAATAAGAGGCGTAGTGGTGCATTTAATATTATGTGGAGGGAGAAAAATAATTTAGACCTTCTCAGAAAGAAGTATAATTTGACAATAAAGTTGGAGAATTTTAGAAAATCTATAATTTATAATTCTGATGGTTTTAATTATGATAATATCGGTTCATAAATTATAATCCATCAGAGAAATTTCAATTATATTTAGTGATTAAATTTTTATATATCAAATTTGTTTCTTCTTCATATAAAGAAGAAAACTGTTCAACTTTATGCACAATTATAATCAGTTAAACTTATTGCTTTATCATATAAAAGACGCTTTTTCAATTGCAATTAGATTGGTATGCTAAAAGCATTAATCGGTGATAAAGAATAGAAAATCATTTACTAGTAATTGCTGATTTTTCATTATTTAGATTATGCATTTTTAAGATAATAATTAAATATTTTACAATGAAAAATTATATCGAGCCTTTCCAATCAAAAAACATAAATCCAAACCTTCATCCTATTCCTAACTTGGACGATTCTCTAGAATCGCCTATACCAAAACAGATACCTCTCTCACTCCCCATATGTGAGCGAGCGAAAAACATAGTAAATTTAAATTGTAGGAAAAATTAATATCTCTTTATGAACGAACAAAAATTAATTTTTTTATATCGAAATCCCTTTATATTGCAGTTATAATTAATTAAATATAATCTTGTTCAATTTTTTAAAGCTGGCATTCTAAATTGGAAATTAATATCTAAAATTAAGTGATTTACTATCAAACTTATTACAAGGTAAATTTTCACAATCTTGCTCATTTAGAGATCGGCTAGTCAGCAGAAGTTCTTGCTGCTCATACTGCTAACTCTCAAGAACCTTGATCGAGCAGATTTCATTTGCTAATTAATGATGGGGTGTTAAATAATTTTTGAAAATTTTTTATTAAACCCGAAAATTTTCTCATATAAAATACTAGCTGCAAGAAACTGAATGCGTAATATATTAGCAAATATACTAGAATTAGTATTAAAAAACCCGATTATATGTAGTAATTAATAAATATAATTATTAACTTAGGTATGTATATAATAGAAAAATGTGTTTGGTATATGAAAATCGATCAATTCTAGCTGTGTTTAATCTTTACAGTACCATTCAACGAATAATGGGAGAGTAAGCAGCAAAAATCAGGAAAAGCATCATATATGCAAAAATTTTTACGCGAGCAGCGTCATGAGGCTGGCTATACTTCTGGTCAAGCACAGATCCCAACTTGACACCCCCACTCCCCCACTCCCCCACTCCCCCACTCCCCCACTCCCCCACTCCCCCACTCCCCCACTCCCCCACTCCCCCACTCCCCCACTCCCCCACTCCCCCACTCCCACACTCCCCCATGCATGGATCCCACCCTCATCCCCCTACTATGCATGGATCACACCCCCACCCCTATGTTAATAGATCCCACCCCCACCCCCACCCCCACCCCCACCCCCACCCCCACCCCCACCCCCACCCCCACCCCCACCCCCACCCCCACCCCCACCCCCACCCCCACCCCCACCCCCACCCCCACCCCCACCCCCTCCACCCCCCCTATCATATAGGTAAAAATATAAGTATCAAATCTTACAAATAAGACATATAAGAAAATTTTATTTAATTCCTAAATGGATTCATAAATAGATTCATAAATAAATATTAATGATCATAAGTATATTTAGCATAGACTGATATAACCAACATATTAGTAATACATTTAAAATAAAATAATTGCAAAAAACTTGTTACATAGAAAGGAATCAATAAATGACTCAAAAAATATTTTGATGTCTCTTATAAAGTTTTTACTCCCCCCCATTTACTAATGAACACTTTTTTTGTTCGTTATTAAATGGGTCTAACTTATAAATTTTTCGGAAAAAATATATAGAAAATTCCTGGGGATAGCGCGGAATACGCTATCCCCAGGAATTTAGTATATATAAAATTTATATTAAATATCTATGATTTTTATATATAAAAATTTCAATAAAGGGTTAATAATAAAAAATTCAAATGATAGTAACAGAAAGAGAAAGCGCCTAAATTTATGCGAAAAGATAACTATTGCTAACTCCCCCACTCTGTGAGCGAACAAAACCATTAAAAAAGGCCCTCACTCTTCGTGAGCAAAAAATAATTTTTTAATAGAAAAATTGTTTATGGAAAAATTTTTGATATATAAGTGATAATTATTATAATGAAATGCAGAGCTAATTCTGTTTAATTTTAAACAAATTGCGTTTTAAAACATAAATTTTGCAAATTCAATTAATATTTGCTTTCCAATTTTTGCGAATCAGGATTTTTTTTAAATTTCGTTAAGCAAATTTTCGATAATATATATATAATTTTTTTTACAAAAAAAAAATTAATCCCCTTAGTGAGCAAACGAGATTGTTTTGTTCGCTCACGGAGCGGGGAGTAAAGCATCACCTTAAGATTATGCCACTAGTGCTTATTAGCTCTTATCTATTATTCTTTGCTCGATTATGCTTGCTCTTATCTTACTCTAACTACTTAAAATTAGTAAACTGTAAAGACTAAATTAGCTTATATAAATGCTATAATAAATTTTGCTCGTTATTAAATGGGGCCTAAGCGGGGGGAGCTAGCCTGCATTCTTTGGAAAATTTTGACCTTTATATGATTTAAGCCACGAGGTATGTGCTTGAAGGTTCATTGAAAATATGCTTCCTCACTAGCACTCTGTATCTGATTTTTTTTTAATTTTTTATGTTTTGAACAATAATATGCTTTAATTATCTTTAATACAATTTACATTATATAGGGGGGTGGGGGTGGCATCTATTAATGGAAAAGGGGGTATGGGTGGGATCTATGGATACAAGGGGGGTGGGGGTGTGATGTATACATCCAAACTGTGGGGGTGGGGGTGGGGGTGGGGGTGGGGGTGGGGGTGGGGGTGGGGGTGGGGGTGGGGGTGGGGGTGGGGGTGGGGGTGGGGGTGGAGGTGGTGGGGGTGGAGGTGTCAGGTTGGGATCTGTGCTTGACCATACTTCTCCAGATGCTGATTACTTATCCCATGACGGAAACTCTTCTCCAAAGCTTGATATCGACGCTAAAACTGTCAAATCTGATTATATTGATTCCCCACAAGGACTTAGATCTCAAGAAAACGATCTCCAAAGATCAGTCAGTTTTTCAGACTTAAAACGTCTTGAAGAAAACAGAAAGAAAAAAATTTTTAAGCCTGTATCATCCATTTAGATTCAATTTAATATAATCATTGTTGGAGACTCAGGGGTTGGGAAAACATCTTTTATAAACACTTTTCTGTCAATGAAATTTAATCGATTTGTGCCTGAGGAATTAGGCAACAATATGATTCGGTCTACAACAGAAATTAGGCAAAATTCGGCTAAAAAAGTCGTTGGTGATTTAACTTATAAAGTTAACATGATTGATACCCCAGGATATGGAAAATCGAAGAATTTTTCTAAATGATTAGAGAGTATCATAGGCTGCATAATTGAATCTGCAACTTTATACAAGGAAGCTAAAAAATATGCTGAGGAACCAGAAGATACCAGAATCCATTTATGCTTGTACTTTATCGAAGGCCCAAGATGTAAGGAGAATGATCTTCGTGCTATGTTTCGGCTTCAAAAATATGTGCAAATTATCCCGATCTTAGCCAAAGCAGATGCATATTCATCAAAAGAGCAAATAGAAAGTGTAAAACGACATCTCCAGGATGAAATTTTTAATTTTGACATTAAAATATTCGATTGTCCAAGTGCACTAGGCAATGATATTGATATGCTGGCTAATGTAAAATATGCACCACTTCAGCCAGTTCCGCCTTTTGCAATCATTTCTGCCACGCAATTTATAGAAACTCACTCTAGAATGAAATATGGGAGAGCTTATGAATGGGGGTTCTGCGATGTAGATGATAAGAACACTTCAGATTTTTCTATATTAAGTAGACTTCTTATGGGACATTTTGTAGATTATGCAATTAATGTTTCAAAAAGAATGCATAAGAATAATTTAAGAGAGATTAAGAATAAAACGAGAAACCAAAAGCAAGCTAAACAAGAATTATTTGTGAATAGCAGTTATATTAAAGGACTTGCTATAGGAGTTATTGGGACGATAGGAATAGGAGGATTTCTTCTGATGAAAAAGAACTAATAGAATTGTAAGATTATATTTATGGTTAAATAGATAGATAGGTAATAACTCTATTAATATCTACTATAAATCAAGCCTCTACCTACTATATGTAATAATTTTATCATAAAAAATTATTCATTACTGACATATTTCGCAGGTAAAATACAATTAAATTAACGTTATACGCTTCTGTAACTATCTTGAATCAACTTATAATACTTTGCCATCCTTTCTTTTATTTCCGAAGCCTTTTTTCTTACTTACTTAGTTACATAGTTTTTAAGGTGTCTAGTGCCCACACCCCTTAATGAAAAAGGGTCAAAGCGACAACTAGTGACGTCACCAAGCCATCTTGGAATATGTGGTCAGCCCACACCCAAGCCTTCTATGAGGCTAGTCGCCAGATAAATCGCCGCACATCTCACCCGGCGCGTTGCCGTCGCTCGTCCAGACTCAGCTCCTGCGCGTGTTTCCGCCTAAGGGTCATCCTCCCGTGGGGACGTGCTGAGAGGTAAAACTCCGAAATCTTGAGTGCACTGAGGAGTCGTGCCTTTGGTTATCCCCAAAGTTAAACGACTATTGCTGTGCAGAAGTTCTCGAGAGAAAACCCAACCCCATAAATAAAATTCCATGAGGGAGAGAAAATTGGCAGAGCCAATTTCTCTCGAACCGAATGCCATTTTATTTATCCGGAAGCCTTTTTTCAATTCTCACTCCCAATATTCGGTCCAAGCCCTCCAAACATCATATATTTGTCTGTTTTTATTTTCACATAGTCTCTCATCGTATAAGGCCTATACCTTTTCACTGAGTCAACAGTCGAGTTTCTCGACGCATAAGTGAGTTTTTGCGAGTTAATAGGAATTGGAGAGCTGCTGTTAGGCGGTGTATGCAAGGCTTGATTATCATCTAAGCTCTTTTCTTGAAAAATATCTAAATCTTCTTTTCCTTTAAAATCAAGTGACTGGCTAACTTTCATGTCTCGCCTTGATTTTTTATGATAATTATTTTGGATATACACGGACTGCTGCCTTTGTTTATTTTTTATGGTTTTTACATCGGTAAATATTGCAGCCTTTTGTGAAGCGCTTGAAGTTATAGTGAGTTTCTCACTAGGCTTGATCTCTGGTAAAATTGGTGATTGCCCATGTAAGTTTTTTTGGTTTTTCGACAGTAAAGAGCCGGAGTTTTGATTGGTTTGCACTGAAACTTTCCCATAAATCTGCGAATCTTTTATTTTCTTGTCAATTGGAGCTGAAACAGGTATATCAAAATTTCCGTTGTGCTTGCTGAGCTTTATTTTGAAGCGCTTGAGGAAGGTGCTTTCCATTTAGTTATTAATATTTTGTTAAATATGAAATTACGTTGCATATGCGGCTGCTTTCCAGCCTTCAAGCACTAATTCAAGTCTTTTTAAAACATTTTCCATTTCTTCTGTTAAATTTACAACTTCTTTAGGCTTGCTTAAGCTTGCTTGCCTTTTTTTCTTCAAATGGCTTGTAGGCATGAAATAAGGGCTTGCCAAAGCATTTTTTAAAACCTGGACCTGTGAGGTTGTTCTGCTTAAGGTTGTAATTGGTCGGTTTTGCATAAATTCATCTAATAAAGATGATAATGATTCATCAATTGTGATCCTGGGAGTTCTACGACTTTTAGGGGTTTCTCTTGAGCTTTTTGCAGATGTAAGCCTATCAGTTAAGTTTAAATTCGGCTGAGAAGATGAACCTCTGATTTTTGGCTTTAAAGAGGTGGTAATATTATCTTTGTTTGACATAAATTTTTCTAGATCCTCTATTTGCTTGTCTTTTTCTTTTACAAGGGCTTTTAAGCTTTTTACATGATTAGTTAATTCACTGATTCTTTGCTGGAGTTTAGTTTTATCATCTTGGAGTTTTCTGATTTCAATGGACTTTTCAGTCAGAAGTTTTATCATTTCTTGGTTTTGGAGCTTTATTAAGCTTTGAGTCAGTTTGTTTAGACTCATTTGATTTATAATTTTAATAATAGAATGAAAATGGAAATTGGCAATCAGAATTGAAAAAGTATTATATGATTGTAGAAAGTCATTTATGCAAAGTTAATCTGTGAAAATAAGAGTTTGATTAAAGAAATTTTAGACAACAAATGAGCCACTTTTTTTAATATATGCTTTTGTATATTTAAATTAAGACCCGATTCAAATTTTGACCAATTTTCTGCAAAAACTATTTTAGGACTTAAAATTTAGACTGTCCATTTAAAGCAAAATTTCAAAATTTAATTTAACTGAAAATTAAATTTTAATATTAAAACAGCTAATTCTCAAATTGGGATAAAGTTTTGATATGGAGTTGATTAAAGAAAGGAATAAACCTTAAAAATTTAGAAAAATCAATTGGTTCAAGACCAATTAAAGATTCCAATATTTTGAACTCGTTTTTCTTTTTGAAAATATCTAAAATCTGACCTAAATCTTTTTGTGTTATGACATTATTATGTGAATAACACTTAAAGATTTCTTTTAGCTTCTCTAAATAGTCACTTAATTCACGCAAAACAGAAGAACTAAATAAATCAAGCTCTACTCGGTTTTCATTAAAATATTCAAAAACACTACATAAAGCCATAACATCTTTTCGAAAAATTTTAGTTTTTTTTGTAACAATCCCCAGCACTCCAAGTATTTCTTTTGCCTTATCCTTAATATTTTCATAATTAGCATCCTCAATATTCTGATTATTCACAAATGTTTTCAATATCACAAAATTCACCAAATCGTCTAAGTTAATGAACCCTTTTTGAGCTAAATCAATTTCATCGTAAACAGGTTTATAAGCATTTTCAATAAACTCTAAAAACGTTGTCAAATCATTTGCAAGCTGCATGACCCAGCAATGTTGATTATTTGGAGATACCAAATTTACTTGTCTTTTGGACAGCATAATTGGCTGATAACTTACAGTATAGTTGTTAGATCAATTTTTTGATATTGGAAGCGGTCCAAATCTGTTTAATAAAAGCTTTGTTCTCATTCTTGCAAGTCATGGAGTGAGTGGCCGTCTATTAGATTGAAGCTTATAAGGACTTTTTAATTTAAATTCAAGGCCTTTTAGAGCTGATCTAGGAGATGGGCTATCACGAGTTTGAACACATTTATCTGTAGGACTTGTTGCTGTTTTATTTGGGGTTGATTGATTGTTATCATTGCTTGATACTACAGATTGGAGCTCAACTTTTGGCATGTCGACAGTGATTTTCAAGGTTTTTTTAAAAGCTATTGATATGGCTTCTTTGTGCCTGGGAGAAATTTCTGGTAATAAAGAAATTTTTGGAGTGTCTTGCAATTTTTTTAGATTTGTGCGGATTTGGGAAAGGCCCAATGAATTGCTTATAGAGCGTCTATGAGGGATAGGCTGATATGATGTAAAAGAAAAGGAAGAATTGGCTTTTTCTTTTGGTCTAGAAGTATTTCTTGGAGTTAGTCTTAAAGTTTCTAATAAATTGCTCATTTAGATATTAATTTGATTATTCTTAGGAAATATTTCTAATGCAATTTTGGATTTTCTAAAGATCTAAATCATTTTTCAATATTTTCACACAATAACTATATATTAAGTTAGTTCAGAAAACAAAATATTAAACGACCTCTTGTTCCAAGTCTCCTCATTATGCTCTTCATAATAAGCTCCAGGTCCAGGAAACTCCGCTGGCTTTTTCTCCTCATTAAATCTGTCAGCCCTTGCAATGAAAACTTTATTCGGTATTGCATGTGCCCCCTTTCTCGGTTCCACCACATCATAAGTCCCAGGCCCCAGCGGATCTTTGATAGCTTCTTGATTTTGTCTGAACCTATCAGCCTGTGAATTAAACCCAACCGTCTTCTTAGAAACTTCATTAATATGAGTCAATAACGGATGAGTTGGAGATGTCGGGCTTCTTTTGGCCCCAATTGAAGAAGGAATTTCATAAGTCCCAGGAGCTGGGGTTTCTGTTGGTTTTAAGACTGCATCACGAGCAGCTTTACTAGTAAACACTGATGATGGCTTATGCAAGGCCGAATTGTGCAGTCCGACTCTATTGTGAGCATCAGGAGGGTAATACCCAGGCCCAGGCGTTTCTTGATTTTTCGCCGGGGCAAATCTTCTTTCAGTGCTTCCAAAAACTCCTTGTCTGCCCCATACTTTTTTCTGTAGCTTCTCCCCTATATCATCATTTTTATAGCTTCCAGGTCCTGGGTTTGGATCCACTGAATGCTGAAACCTCGTCTTTGTAGAGCTAAAAGGTGCTTTAGAATCCCCAGGCCTCTTTTGGGCAATAGGTTTCCTCAAATCTCCATAATACCCTGGCCCAAGTGAGCTTGGTGGTCCTTGTGATTTAAATCTAATACTTTTGCTTCCAAAATACTGCAGATTTCTTGGGACTTTTGCAGGTTTAAAGCTGCTTATATTTTCTTCATTATAATAATACCCAGGCCCTGGAATCCCTTCTTCACCTCCTTCGTCTTCACTTTCATCGTTATCGTCAGTTGACGTTTGTCGACCAGGCTCAGGTATATAACTTGTCCTTTTCGTTACGCTTGCAAAAGCTGCGCTTGGCTTAAATTTATACATCGGAGCAATATTTAGCTTGCTTTCTGAATAACTCCCAGGCCCAATTAAGGTTCCTGTGGGTGGAGCTGAGTACAAGTCTCTTTTAGACTGACTTTTGTGCCAAGCTGTTCCTTTGCTGACGAAAACTTCTCGTGGGTCTTTTGCGTTGTATTGTCCAGGGCCTACAGAGTCCTTTACAGTGCCTTCGTATACTTTTTCAGGGTTTTTTTGCATGATAAGTTCGCCATTAGAGGTTTCATCGTATCCGAAAGCTTGGTGTTGGGCTGGGATTGAAGGAGCTGAAGGAATTCGCATCCAATTAATTGCAGTCCATTCTTGTTTCTGTTGAATTCGCTTTTGAGATCCTCAGTCAGGTGCTAAGTTATAACTTCCAGGCCCAGGAGCTAAGTCTCCTTTTTTTGCTTTAAATCTTTCATTTTTGCTTGCAAACGGTCCAGAAGGTTTAGGCTGGCCTCATTGATCAGTTGATTGCTGAGTTTTGGATACTGACGTGGCTTGAAGCTCAGGATTTGAATAACTCCCAGGGCCTGGAGCATTATTTTGCCCAAAAACCTTATGAATGTCCCTTTCTGTGGTGCTTGAAAATGGAGCATAGCCTTTTGCCGACCTATATTGGGAATGGCCCATATATGCACCTGGGCCTACATTTGTGGCAGCGTTATTGGTGTAATCTAATTTTCTTTCAGCTCTGCTGACGAATGCCATTTTAATAATTTGAATTGAATAAGTTATACTTTATTACGTCTTGGCTCAATTATTCCGTGCCTTTGGTTAAGCAGGTCGTGGTACCGTTTATGTTTGGATTTTGGCTCACTGGGTTTCTTGGGAATTAGCTGAGGAGAAATTCTGGGGCTTGGTAAGGAGAATTGGGGCTCAGAAGGGCTAGGCTGGAGCTCAGGAGGGCTTTCAGTTTCTTCGAGAAGGGCCCATGCTTGTTGTTTGGCTTCTTCAAGATTTTTTAGGATTAATTCTGAAACGAGCTCTTTGGCGCTGGAATATTTCAGAAGTTTGCGAGATGAGCTGGGAGGTTCTATAGTGTTTAGCTTTTTAGGGCTTTCATGGGCAAGTGTGCTCAGAAGGGAAGGAGGCAAAAGAGGCTTTGGAAGACTCCTAACGATGTCTTGGTCTTGAGACCCCCACTTACTCAAGTAATAGGTAATTTCTTGTGGTGGCTTTTTGCACAAAATTTTTGATTCTAAAAATTATATCAATAAAATTGAAATTGCTTATTATTATGGGTGTTAAATACCCAAAAGTTGAATTTTGGACATTATCTGAAAACCTTTCGCAACAAGCCAATTTCTATCTATTCATATAAAAAATTTGAAAATTTTGTGTGAAACCCCCACGAATAAAAAAGACTTTTGATGGGGATTTAGGGGAATATAGCATTGATGCTGTCTCCTTTGGAGGAGATTGCTGCCTCGAAATACTGATATTTCCTAGTATTTTTTCAGACCCTGAAGACAGCATTTGTCTTCCAAGAGACTCTTCTTTGCACTGCTGGGCATACTGAATTTCTCTTAATTTTTTTTCTAGCATTTCTTCTTGACTTTTCAAGCTAGCAATTTCATTTTTTCTCGATTCTTTTACTTTTGACAGCAGAACGTTCAGCTGAGATCTCAGCCTTGCAACTTCAGCTTTCTCTTGTTCTAACAGCTGAGCTGAATTCTATATGAAAATTACTGCAGCTTGCTTAGACTGTGCTTCTTCAAATTCATCTGACAATTTTTTTTTCATTTTTTCCAATTTTTTCATATAATCAATATTTAGCTCTTTTTCTCTTCTCAAAAGTTTTTTTTCGACCTCTTCTAATACGATGTGGTTGTGGTTGACAGCGAATTCTTCTTCTAAATTTAATATTTTGTTCTGTATATCGGTTTTTAGCCTCACTACAGCTTGTTCATAGTCAAATTCTATTTCGTCTAATAGTTCTTGTCTAAACTGGTCTTCTTTTCTCAGCTTTACTTCCATTTCGATCCTCCCTTCTAGCTCATGTCTGATTTCTTTTTCCAATCTTTCTCTTAATTTAGCTGTAAGTGCTTCTTTTAAGCGAAAATCTTGTTCTTTTCTCAGCTCTTCTTGTGCTTCTACTTGTAAATTCTCAATATAATCAATTTCTCGCTGCTTTTCATCGTCGTCTATTTTTTTGATTCTCAATAAAACTACATTTTCTGACTCTTTTTTTACTTCTTCTATAAGCTCTTCCATCTCAAATTTTGCTTCTTCCCTCAATTTAATTTCTTCTTCATATAGACTGCTTTCTATGTCTAATTTTGCTTTATTTCTGCACTCATCAATCATTAATGGCATTAGTTCTCTTTTCCATAGTTCTTTTTCACTGTAAAGTTTTACTTCAAATTCGATTTCTAATTGCTCTTTAAATTTATCAATGTCTGACTGCTTTAGCTTACTTCTCTCCATAGAAGATTTTAATGAACTGTTTTATTTTAAATGTTTATAATTTTTAATTTTTATTATTAAATGAGAGATTTAGAAGATGTTCTTTTATGGGTTTGGCTGACTCTTTTTTTAAATAGATTGTCATATTTGGTCAAGCACAGGTAGCAACCCTACACCCCCACCCCCCCTAAAACTGGTACCCCCACCCCCCTAAAAAATGGTAACCCCACCCCCCTTAAAAATGGGCACACCCCCACCCCTCTTTCAAAGATGGCACCCCCACCCCCCTTAATATAGCATAAAATATATGACAAATGCCAACTTTGAGTGTTTTGTCAATTTCACGATGAAGCCTGTCCACTTCTTCTTCAATTTTATCCTTCAACTGCTGATCATAAAACTCTTGTATGCTTTCTTCATCAGCTGCTGGGTTGATAAAAAACTTGGACTCAGTCGCTTGAAGCTCTCTTTCAAGATCCTGCATCCTTTTTTTTCAAAACTGGTCTAATGCGTTTTTGGTGTCTTTAATCGCTCTCTCAGTTTGAGCTTGATACCTAGCAATCATATCATTTTTTTCTTGGAAAAACTCTTCTTCTATCTCTTCTCTCAGCTCAATTTCTGCTTCTTTTATCTTCGTTTTTAAGCTTTCTTCTTCCATTTTCAGCCTTTGTCCTCCGAAATCTTCATATTGATTCCGTCTTATAGGAGTCCTTTCAGACTCAAAAGGATCTGGAGCATAAATTGGTGACGGCCCAATTAATCTTAAATTTTCTATTCTCACCGATTTTTCTTCCAGTTCTTTTTCTTTCTCATAAAAAGATCTTTTTAATAGCTCAATTTCTCTTATACTCTGATCGCGCAATTCTTCGAGCTGCTCTTTTATCTTTTGGTCTTTGCTGGGGCTTTCTTGTTCTTTCTGCTTTTTAGCTTGCACTTTTTCAGCGTCTCGGCTTGGGATGATTGATTCTGTATGCTTATCAAACGACGAAAGATAAGAATAATAATCAACTGCCTCATCTGAAGATTGCCCATTAAAAGTAATAGACTTTTTCTCTGGAGAACTGAACTGTGGGGTAATTTCACTTGCAAATTCGTAAGGCTGCTCGGAATTTTCAGAAGAAGTCTCGTTTTTCATCATGAAATTTTATTTATTCAAATAAATGAACATATTAGATGACTGTGTAAGGTCGCTTCAAGCTAGGCCATCCCCACATGTACTGCGTTGTATTTTAAACTTTATTAAAGAAAAACGCCACACAGCTGAAGACGCACTTAAAGCTCTTGGTAGCTCTGGGATTTCTCAGCTGTTTGAATGACTGTATTCAGATGATGTTGAACTTAGAAAAGTTTCTGCGCTTTTTATATGTGAGCTTGCCTATGATAACCATCAAGCCCAAATAATGATTTGTCAAGCAATGAACTATACACCTTTGCAAGGGAAAGTTTGTATCAATAAACTTCCTAGCTCTGCCCCTTGATCGAGCCACACATTGAAATTTCCTAAAAATTGGAAAAAATTCCATCCTCATAGAACGACTTACATTTGTTAAAAACGAAAACCAGCTCCTCTTATTATTAGATATATTAAAGTATAATATCATTTACTCAACTCTAATATTAATATCTAATATATTTGTAATATATCGCATACTCAATCTCTTTAAGCTACATAAATATTTTATATTATAAAAACTAATAAAACATTTTTAATCCCCTTCATTGATCGAACTATAGCTCAGTCAAGAAAGAAGATTAAGCGAATTGAAACTTTGATTAAAGAAAGACCTGAGCTGCTAAAACTGCTTAAAAAAGTGGAAAGTGATAAGGTTAAATATTGGTCCTTTCCTCCTTTGGACCAAATGACATACAAATCATCGTTGGAAAATTTATTTTTCTTCCCAGACCCTATGGAGTATATGCTTGGTTTTTTAGCAGTTCCAGCACCAACAAGACCAAAGTTTTTAAATACAACAACGAGTTATTTTTCTGATGATTTTGAATCAACTGATAATTCTGAAGACATAAAAGATAGAAGCAATACAATGGTGAGGAAAAACTTAGAAGCGTTAAAAGAGCCTGCTTCCTATTCGCCAAAAATGTATAATTATGATAACCAAGAAATGATAGCAGGACCTGTAGAGGTAAATTCACCTAGAGCACCGATGTTTAAGCCTTTGACACCAAAAATGGCCAGTCATCAAAATAATTTCGATGGGATTGAAGCTAGCATAAATAGAATAAAAGGAGCGCTAAAAGAGCTGGCCCAGCCTACTTCAACTAGGGCATACTCGCCAAACAGAAACTATTTAAGCCCTACAAGAGCTTCAGCGTTGAAAACAAGAGACAGATCAAACCCAAAGCCGTCACAAAGCCCTGATATAGTATTGCTGTCAACGAAAAGGAAAGAACTGACTAGTAAGCTGGAGAAATTAATCAGGAGTCCTTTGCATTCTCCAAATCGAAGAATTCATTAATATATTTTATTTATATTGATAATTCATTGAATAATATTAATCTACGGTGAGCTTAAAATTTAGACTGTGGGTTTATTTTTTTATTATCGTTATTATCCTACATTTTTCTAGTGAATTTGCATCATCTGAAATTGGCTGCCAGTTTTCGAAAACTTGCTTTGATTGTTAATTAGATATTTTTCCATTTGGTTTATACTAACAGTCTTTGGCTGAGAAAGCTTGAAAGATCAGTCATGAAGTCTAGGCTTGATAGAAGATTTTCAATAATAATAAAATTGCTCAGTGCGGAATTAGTTCTCTCCGAGAACTATTCCTTCCTTCCTTCGCTTTTATTATTATAGGGTTCAGTTTTCCACGTGGACCTTTATCCGCAACGCCAATATGGAATACCGCATAGGGTATTTTTTTTGGTCCAGGATATTAGGAGACATATGGTTTTTCTGCTTGACACACCCGAGGAGGGTGACCCTTAGGCGGAACACGCGCAGGAGTCAAGTTCGGGCGAGGCAACGCGGCCAGTGCGGACCTTCTGGCCTGATGGGTGAAGTCTTCTGGAATGCCTACATATAGGGAGGATCGCTGCTGACGTCACCAGTTGGGAGTTAAAAGGATGGGCTTATGCATGCCTAAATCATCCTGCGGAAGAGGGAAGACACTTTAAAACACCTAAGCAAATAAGTAAGTAAGATAGAAGGTTTTCATGTTGACTTGATAACATGGGTCAGCTCTTCTGAAGAGTAGAGACTTAGCGGGTTTCTGTGGATGCTGATTGCTGGAAGAGTAAATTTGGAGACTGTGTTCTGTTTTGAGAGGCTTGTCTTTTTTGGGCTTGGAGTTGCGAATTTTTTGGAAAGAATTGAAGATGGCGTTGATGCTATAGTGTCTGATCGAGATTTTGTATGTCTTCTTATCGGAATTAGGCTGCTTTGAGAAAAGGATTTTGATAGATCAGCTTTCTTATCCCATAATTAAAATAATATTATTTATCTCTTAAATATATTAATAAATCTTCTTAGATTGGATAAATAACTTGTCAGAAAGTTAGATTTATTCATTTAAAATAATAAATAAAAAAAATTGATGATTCTATTTCTTACTGAAGCAAACTAGCATGTATCAGTATTTAAAATTTGGAAGTATCTATCCTCTATAATAATCAACCAAAAGAAAAATTTCAATAGAAATTTTCTCTGTAAATAAATTTTTTTATTTAAAATTGGTTTATTTTGAAATAAGAATTACTTTTAACTTTCAAATTCAATCTATTTTTATAAGCTATACATAATTTGCAGATCCTTTCTGATCCTCCTTTTTTTCTATTTGTGAAATTTTTAGCTCCACGTTGCAATTGAGCAAGAATGCATCAAATTTAGAAACTTTTAGAAAAATCATTGAAAATCTTTCTAATTTATAATAAATCTCTAAATTTATTTTAACTAAAAAATGTAACAACCAAATTATTATGATTCTACCAAATTTATTTTTATCAAAACTAAAAATATATGTGCGATAGTTCGCATTTTATTTATAAAATTAACTTGAGATTTATTTCTTAGGTCCTGTTGATCCAGTTGGCTTAAGTCCCCACCAAGTCTTCCAAGTATCATAAAGCCACCATTGAAAACCTGTAAGTGTTCCAATCATAACAATTCTCGGAGCAAGTCCCTTCCAAAGACCTCCAGCTGGCATTTCATGATATATCTTCTTAATTTCTTCCATAAATGCACCTTGAGTTTGCTTCTTATTATATGCTGTAAATAGTGTATCCGCAGGATGACTTACCAATGCACAAATAACACCAGCAATATAGCCAGACAAAAATGTAATTCCTAAATCTCCTCTTTAAGGCGAACAATATTTTTTTGCTCGCCCTTAAGACTTAACTTTTTTCAATGGTTTTTAGGTTTTAAAAATCACTATGGCATTATTTCAATAGAAAACTAATCTTATCTTTAAAATTATGTTTAGGAATGAGAGCTGCTTTAATTTCCTCAATAGGCATTAAAAAAATTTTGCTTATATTTAAATAGGGGATTAAGTTGAATTTTTTGCCATAGTCATCTCTAGTTGCATGCAAAATATTTTTGAAAATAAATTCTACAGTTCTCTCAAATACTACAAATTTCATGATAGTGTATGGAATTTGTCTACACCAAAGTGGAGTAATACCTTTATAAAAGCCTTTAAACCCTTCATTTGCTGAAATTTTGCTCCAAGCAGGGCCAAAAGTGGTCGGGAATGCTCCTTCTGGGCTTGTTTGGATTCTTACTTTTACTGCTTCGAATGGGCATAACAGAATATCAGCGAAAAATTCAGCAGAAGCAGATGAAAGGGCATAAAGCAAAGTTCTTAATGAATAAGCCTTTTCAGGTCCTAAAAACGATTCTGCAACTCCTCCATATAAATCTTTAAAAACTTCATAAAAACCGTATTTGGCCATACCTTGAAAAGAGTATCCAATAAATGTCGGGAGCCAGCCAAGGGTCATTCAAGACTTTCCATTTGCGTTGAGCGCTCTATAAGCGTCTCCCATACCTTTCAGTTTTGTGGGGTCAGCTTGTAGCCTGCATTTAACAATATCAATAGGGACAACCGCAGTATGTGTGAGACCACATGCAAATACCCCTCCGACCATGCATTTTAAATAGTAGCTAATATCATGAACTTCTCCATGGACTTCGGCTCCGTGTGATGGACCTGAACAATGAGCAGGATTTGATCCGAACAGTTTTGGAATCATTTAATTTTTATTATTAAAATTAATGGAAATAAATAGTTAAATATTAAAATTAAGTTTTAATATTTGATAATTACAGAATTAAATATGCTCGTTTTCTAGAGTTAAATTTTTAGGGATGCAAAGGGCAAGCATCCTGATAAGAGAAAATTTAAGCTATGTCTTATTATATAATGCTTCTCGAAAACATGAATTTTTGTATTCGGTTAGACTGAGAGCTAAAAGGCTAGAAGCAAAATATTGATAAAGTTTTTGAAATTGAAAGAATAGTGCTTTTTAGTGATGATTTCTATTTGATAAGCCGCTAATAAAGAAATCAACGAACAACAAGATTTGAAGTAAAATATAGCTGAATTTGCAAGACCTCAATAACTTAAACATTGATAATCCTTGTTGGCAATCTAACTCCCCCCCTCCGCGAGTGAACAAAAAAAATTTTGTTCACTCACGGAGGGATTAATTTATTTTTTTAAAAAATTTATATATAAATTTTATAGAAAATATTTTTTTCTATTAAAAAAATCCTAATTCGCTAAAAATTGGAAAGCAATAATTAATTTAATTTTAAAATTTATGTTTTAAAAAGCAATTCGTTTAAAATTAAACAGAATTAGCTTTAGATTTCATTATAATAATTATCATTTATATATCAAAATTTTTTTCCATAAACAATTTTTCTATTAAAAAATTTTTGTTCACTCACGGAGGGTAGGTTTTTGGGCAAAAAGTAGCGATTTTTCTAATGGTTTTGTTCACTCACGGAGGGGGGGAGTAAGCATTAATTTTTTTTATAGTTAAAGCCCAACCGAAAATTCTGATTTTTGTGTTTAAATATTTGCAAATAATATTTTATAAAACCATGGCACAATACGGCAAAGCTGAGTATTGGGAGGAACGTTATACAAGGGACGCAGAGCCATTTGACTGGTACCAGCGTTGGAGTGGCATTAAAGACGTGCTAACCCAATATGTATTCCCAACTCATCAAATTCTTCACTTAGGATGCGGAAACTCCCGGCTAAGTGAAGAAATGTACGATGAAGGCTTCATTAACTCTATCAACATTGACATCAGCCAAGTTGTCATCAAAGCAATGCAAGAAAAATACCGAGACAAGCAAACCATGAGGTTCCTTCATATGGATGGCAGGAATATGGAATTTGATGATGCTACCTTTGATGCTGTGATTGACAAAGGAACACTAGACGCCATCCTTTGTGGAGAAAATTCCACAGCTCACGCAAATAAGATGATATCAGAAGTTTACAGAGTTCTTTCGCCTACAGGAGTCTATGTCGTGATATCATATGGACAGCCTCCACATAGATATCCTTATTTAGACAAGCCAGAGCTTAATTGGGAAATAACAGTCCACCAAGTTCAAAAACCAACTATTGCAAGCACCGCTGCTTTGGCTACAGATGATAGAGACCAACCTAACGTTCATTATATTTATGTCTGCAAGAAACGTGGAGGAAGAGAAGCACCTAGACAAGAAGCTTAAATAGATAATTTAATTTATTAAAATCAATATTATTATTTCACAAACATAATATATATAATAAGCAAGAATAGCAAATATTTTTAATAGAAAACAATTAATTAGCCTTTTTTCATATAAAAATTCTTTTCTTAATATGAGCGAAAGTACTAGGAAGAAAGGATTTTTTAAAAATTCAGCCAGAAGTAACTTTTTTGCAACACATGTGCTCAAAAACGAAACAAAAAAGCCGCAGAAAATAACAAAACCAAAAAAAGAACTAACAGGACCTCAAGCGAAATTAAATGAAATTATAGCAGAAGCTACTGATTTTATCTTTAAAAGTGCTGAAACGACTGTATCGACTCCGTTTGAAATTAACTGTGTAGCTTTTTCTGAAGACAACCAAACGATTTTTTTTGGAAGCAGCAATGGAAATCTTACTCGATTTGACAAAAAGGATGGAAAAATCTGTGATGATGTCCCGCTAGGAAGGTATCCAATTTTTGGAATTTGCTTGGACGAAGCCAATTCTAAAGTATTTGTATGTGGGGCATCAAATAATGTGCAAATTGGCATGAATAAGTGTTAAAAAATATCATTGGTATATAGGAAGTAGATTAATCGAATCAAGTGATTATAGGATATATCTGTTCATAAGCTTCCTAGACTTGAACCTCTTCATGAGTTTCGAGGCCACAATGACCAAGTAAACCAAATGTCTCTATCATCAAACAAAGAATTTCTTTATTCAGCAAAAGAAATAAAATGGCAACGTCGATGGAACATGGACTCCGAGACACACTCCTTATGGAGGAGAGAGAACCCATCCCGATGAGCTGAAAATAGTGTCTCTGTCACTTTTTGAAGCAGGCAAAGGATTTGAGAATGCCTTCTGAAGAGAAAGTTATATTTTTCCCTGAAAGCTTTCCCTGTCCCTACCAAATGGGCTAGACAGATTTTGCCTCCACTTAGTCTTTTCTTATCGGGACTGGGCATCCGCAAGAGGTAGCTCTAATCTATAGAGTTAATTCTTAGGCTAGGTAGGCTTACGCAGATAGGCAGGCTAATGGTCTATCTGCTTATAGCCTTATAATACTTAACTTACCTTTATTCAGCAAGCGAAGATTTTACAGTTAGACAATGAAGCACCAAACTAAAGGGCAAAAGTGAAGTTATTTTGACCCATGAAGGTCCAGCAAGATGTTTATGTGTAACTCGTGATAATAAGTATGTTTTTAGTGGAGGCGACGATATGGCTATAAAAATCTACGACATTGAGTTCAAAGAAGAAATGCTGAGTTTGCAATCTCAAGCTAAAAGTATATGAAGTTTAGCTTGCAATTATTCTTCCACAATGCTTGCTTCTGGAACAGATGATGGTACAATTGTTATTTGGAATATCCTGGACTTTACCCCAATTACACTGTTTACTGACCACTTAGCAGGAATTAGGTCTCTTGTTTTTAGCCCTGATGACTGTTTTTTAGCTTCTGGCAGTGGAGATTCTAAAATTAAAGTCTGGGATCTCGATAAAGAAAGAAGAGAAGTCACTCTAACAGCTCACACAGGCTCGATTACTGAAATAGTCATATCCCCACAACAAGATATCATAATTTCAGCCTCAATTGACAAAAATATCAAAATCTGAGGGTTTCCTCGCTTTCTTGAAGAAGAAGGCTTCAAACTGTTAGGAAACGACTTTTCAAGCATCAGTTTTACCCCAAAATCAGACTGTGTCATTTCTTGTGGAACTGATAAAGGCATAAGATTTTGGGACCCGAAAAATGATGAAGCTACAATTTTGCATAAATCTTATGGGGCTGGGCTTTCAAGCGCAGTATCTTGGGACGAAAAATACGCAGCAGTTGGGGATAATTTTGGAAATTTATACATTTTTGATTTAAAGAAAAAATCATTAAAGCACCATATATTGCCTAAAGATGGCCACATGGGACCGATAAGAGACATGTGTTTTTCTTTTGATTCTGATTATTTGGTTACCGGTGGAGGAGACTCAAAAATTATGGTCTGGCATGTAAGAGAGATGGAAAATAATATACTGTGGGGGCATCAGCAAAGCATTTGGTGCGTTTGTATTAGTCATGATGGAGAAACGGTGGCTTCTGGAAGTGCTGATAAGACACTCAGAGTTTGAAATTTGAAAACGACTGACCAAAGATACTGCATTCAAGCGCAAGAAGCTATAACTGCTATAAAAATAGACAAAACTGACATGTTTCTTATAACTGGAGGGCTTACAGGGACTGTAAAAATATGAAACATCGCTGAAAGAAATCAAGAGTCAGTATTTGATAAACATACTGGGCCAGTGACAGGAATTCATATATTAAATGATAATGAGAATATACATAAAATGGCGTATGGTGACCGACCCGTCCTCTCAGTGATGGTAACCCATGTATATCCGGGCATGATTTTCAGAAGAAGCGACTTAGCCCAGCAATATCTGGACCCTGGTGGCGACCGGGGACAAACACAGACCCGCTGATCGTGTCCAGATCCTAGGGCAGTTAGGAGCATCTTCTTTTTCCAGCAGCGCCCAAGCCAGTGGGTGCCCGAAATGGAGCAGGGCGACTTATCTGCTCAAGCTGCTACTGTGGTCTACCCCGAATCGCGGAAGCGATCGAGGATTTTCTCAAGCGGATAAGCTGGGAAAAGGGGAGGCAGATCAGACGACCAAGGAGGCGGTCTCTCCAGTCAAAAGGGCCCCAAATTAAACGGGGCGATCTGGCCAACCGGAGGCAAAGACTGGCGTAATTCGGGGCGGAAGGCTGAGTTGGAAATGGTGGTGCCCGGTGACGGTCGGAGACGACCCAATAGGGCAACCCACTACCGAGAAACCAGGGGTTTCGGCCTGGGCTCAGAGAACCAGTGATGGAAGTCCATCCTTTTCGCTCGTGCCGGCACGGCTCCTTAAGGAGCGTGGAGGGAATGCCACGCATGGAAGCAGGGACCTTAAATACATATCGCTTAATTATTATTATAAATGATAATGAGACCTTCTTTAGTTCTTCTCAAGATTAGATTAGATTAGATTAAGCCGTTTGCCTTGCAGGGCTGGGGATTCTCACCCCTTCACGCTCATCGCCCCTGAGGAGCCTCGGCAGACACCCTCCTTGTTGCCTCAAACAAGGGATTCGCACCACCAGTCTTGACTTCCATGGCTTCTGGAGTCTAAGGGCCAACCACCTGGGTCGAAACTCCCAGTTTCTAGTTGGGCAAATACCGTCTTCAGGGTCTGAGGGTCATATTGCCCTCAAACATTGGCCGACCTTGCCCTTTCCAATGATTGTCCTGGAGGAAAAACTCCAAGTCCAAGAATTAGCTCCTCGGGCTCGAAGAAAACCCAGCCCGAACATACATAAAGTATTACCGGCCCCTTTCCGCCTAGATCTCCGACACTGGGCCGTTGCCTGCTGATGTTGAAGAAATAGGGTCGAGAGGTCGGGTGGTCTGTCGTCACCATTTTTATGTATATGTTCTCAAGATAAAACTATTTATATTTACTCATTGAAATACAGGATCCCGCTTACTTTCCTTACAAGGAAACAGCCAATTTTTTCAATTTCAGTGTCTACTGATGAAAAATATTTGATTACTGGGGAGCATGAAATTATTTATATGCAGGAAAATCCATTGAATTCTAAGGCTGCAAGAATATTAGGCCCTGAAGAAAATGTCCAGAAATTCCTGACCTATATGAAGTCGCTTCTTAGTGACCTTCATCCTAAGCACGACCCTTCTATGGACGATTTCATAATCCTGCCTCAGTTCTTAAACACTCTCCATTTTTATACAAGTGGGAACCACAAAGACCACTTAAAAATTTCTCTTTCTCAAAACACAGCTGCAATAATCCCATCAAGAGATGGCTTCCACCCTCTTTCTATATGTCTAATGAAAGAGCTTAAAACTGCTCGTGACGAAGTCGTAAATGCTTTTTGTGCAATTGGCAAAAAAAATCCTTTTATTTTACAAATGCTGGAAGATGACTTAATAGAAATGAATAAAAAAAGTTTCGGGAATTTAAATGAGCTTTATAATGTTTTATACCAAGAATCTTAATCTTAATCTTAATTATCTATAACGCTTAACGTCCACACTAAGGGGTAGCCAACTCCAGAGCTGCCACCATATTTATCCACGTGTCGGGCCCAGAAATCGCTGGATCGATCCCTTTTGATCGCCAAGGCACGGATAAATAAGGCGTTCCGGCTTCGACGGGCTTCGCTGCCACCACGGCTTTGTTTCGACTCAGCTCCTGCGCGTGTTCCGCCTGAGGGTCCATCTCCCTTGGGATGTGCTGAGGGTAAAAACTCCAGATCTTGAGCGCACTGAGGAGCAGTTTCCTTTGGTTTTCCCCAAAGTTAAACCGCTATTGCTGTGCAGAAGTTCTTGAGGTGAAAACCCAACCCCATAAATAAAATTGCTTGAGTGAGAGAAAGTTAGCGGAGCTAACTTCGCTTGAGCGAAAGCCATTTTATTTATTTTATACCAAGAATCAGCCAGAAGGACTTTGCCTAAATTCTGCGATAAAAGTGTGGATCTGCCAATTGTTCATATTTCTGACCATTGCAGAGTCAAGCCTGAAGATTTTTTAAATGAAACACAGCTGTCTTCTCAAGGGATGGGAATTTCTTGAAATGAAAGCTATGTTAGAATTCCGCTTATTATGGGAAGCGCTGACAGTATTGATTTTCTTGAATCTTTAGCTGACTGTACAAATTTAGATGTGCTTAGATGTGAATTTGTGCAAGAAATAATTAGATATAAATGGGAAACAGCGAAATATACAATGATGTATCAGGGATTAATGTTTAGCTCTTATATGATTTTGCTGTGTGTTTATACTGCGTATTATATGGAAAATGTGTATTTCCAGACAGGGATGTTTATAACAAACATTTGTTTGCTTTGTTATGAGTGCTATCAGCTGATGGTCAGTGGGGCAAGCTATTTTACAGACTATTGGAATTATGTGGACTGAGCAAGAGGCTCTATGATGTTTTCTTATATCATTATTGAATGGTTCGATGTGTGGGTAGACCTTAATGCTTCAGTTTTTGCAATGGTCACTATTCTAAGCTGGCTTCGTGGGATCACATATTTCCGCTTATTAACTACAACTCGTTACCTAATTAACTTGATTTTCCAAGTGGTTCATGATATTTCTGGTTTTCTCATAGTTCTAGCATACAGTACTCTTGCATTTACATTTATTTTCATTGTGCTTGAGCGAAAAATGGAAATCCCTGTCATGCTGGACTATTTAAGTTCGTCATATTTATTAGTGTTTGGGAATTTTGAAGGAGAAGACTACAATATAATTGAATGGACTTGCCTTACCATGGCGCTTATAATACAGCCAGTTATCATGCTAAACTTATTAATTGCGATCATCAGTGACACTTATGATAGAATTCAAAGCGACTGTGTTGCTGCTGACGCAAAAGAATTAATAGATTTAATTATAGAAGTAGAAGGACTGATGTTTACCAGACGAGAAGTTAAGGCAAAACATTATTTTCAAGTGTGCAAGGAGCATGAAAAAGAAACTGAAGACGGAGGCTGGGAAGGACAAATTAGGATGCTTCAAGCTTCAATTGATAAAATTAATGCAGCGACTCAGTCAAACGGAGAGCTAGCAATGAATAAATTAAGACAGCAAGATAAAAACTTGATTGATCAAAATATTAAGCTGGATCAAGTTTTAAAATCGATGAAGAAATCATAATTTAAATTGATAAAAAGTTATAGGCTGTTTAAGAATGAATTTACATATTTAAATTAATATAAAATAATATATTAAGTATGGTAGGGCATATAATCTTCTCTAAGAGCATCTCTGAGAACTCTTTATAGTCAATATACCCATTGAGGTCTTTGTCTGCTTCTGAAATAATAAAATCAATTTCGTCATTTGTCAACGGCTCTCCCATTGTTGTCATGATTTGCTTGAATTCCTTTGGGTCGATTCTCCCATCTCCGTTCCTATCAAACATCTGGAAATACCTTACAACGTCGTCTTTTGTGATAGGCTCTCTTATTTTTTCAGCGTACATATGCAAAAACTCATTGAATTCAATTCTTCCAGTGCCCCGAGTATCTGCTCTGCGGATCATGGCTTCAACTTCAGCGTTTGAAGGGTTTAAGTTCAGAGACCTCATGACTTTGCCCACTTCTTTTGCGGAAATGCTTCTGTCTTTATTGATGTCGAAAATATCGAAGAGCCTCCTGCATTGATCGATTTGGTCTGGAGTTAGTTTGTCAACCATTTTATTATTGAAAGCTAGATTTGGTTTAGTTATACGAAGGCTGCTTATAAAATATATGCTGTGTTTGGCTAAATTTGATGCTTTTTACACTTTAGAATTTAAAGCTAGTATATGAGTTATCGATGTGTATTTAAACAAAACTGCTTATTCTTCTATAAGAGAACTTTTAAAGGATTTTTCAACAGAAGGAATGTCTGCTTGCATTTTTAAATTAAAATTACTTTCTGATAATCTGAAGTTTAAAATTTTTTTTAATTCCCTAGCCAGAGTATTGTAATTGATTTGAATCTCCGTAACTCTTGCAATTTTTGCTGAATAGTTATGCTTTATTATTCCCTCTTACTCCTCTTTCGTGGAGTCTATAATTTTATTGATTATTGTTTAAAAAATTTCAATTTTAAATCCCTAGTCAGAATAATCCCAAAATTTTGGAAACCTTAAGATTTATTGTATGAATTTTGAGTCTTTAACGTATTCCAATATGCCAGAAAATTTTCACTTATGAGATCTCCTTACCTGTATGGCATCACATGGGGGAAATTTTCCTGGCATGCGGAGGATGACCCCAAAAATCAGAAAACTCTAAAGTTTTTCACGAGAGAGTAAATCAAAAATAAGAGGATTAATTTTTTCAAATGATCTTAAAGATATCATTTGCTAACTCACACAAGAGATGGAAGTTATTAAAAGATATTTATTAACTATCATATAATTTGTTATTATAATCAAACATAAAAATATTATAACTTTCTCCTTATTACATAATATCTATAATATATATTATTTTTTTCCACTTTTTTTCTTTTTCATTTTCCTTTCCTCAGCCAACTTTTGAATTTCAGTCACTGTGAATCCCAACATCTTCATAAGCATAGCTACAATTTTTTCAGGCTCAGTATCAAGTTCAGGAATATGCCTTATTAAATTATTAAACAGCGATTTTATATACCCAAAATCCAATGCTGAAGCAATTTTGATTTTTTCTTCTGCTTCTCTTAGTTGCTGTTTTAATAAGCTAATTTGCTCTTTATGCAGCTTTATAATTGACTTTTTCTCAGCCAATTTTTCTTCATTTTCTTCAAAAAACTTTTTAGAGTCCAAAGAATACCTCGAATACGAGCTTTCATTTGACCTATTTTCCAGTGTTTCAATATTCGGATACGGTGATTCTGATTTTCTACGTTCACTTAAAATTTCACTATCAATTACATGCAAAGAATTCCTAGATACCAATGAGTCTCTTCTTGATAAAGAAGTCTCAATCGGCAATTGAAATTCAGATGTGCTATGTTTATGCTCTCTAGAAGTATTGTCTGTGACAATGATATTTAAAGAATTTCGATATTCAGTATCTTTGAGTGAAGGAATCGATTTTGAATGGCTGATAACTGAAAGGTCTACTAATGTAGCTTTAAGCTCATCGAAATCGATAAGTTCATCTTTTCAGGATTTTGATATAGAAACCTCGTCACCAACTTTCCATTCGTATGATTTATCGTGATATTTTAGTAGCACCCAATTGACGTTATCGGCTTTTAAGCTTAAAAGCATAGTACAAGCTTCTGAAATTGGTGAACCAATTTGAGAAAATGCTTGCTGCCTTACAACGACCATTGAATTTGTGTCTGCTGCTTGAAGTTTTTGCTTCAGTGTGGCGATTTTTGACTTTTCTTTTCTGTAATTTGCCTCTGCTCTTTCTTTTTCTATTTTTAGATTAATTATTATTTGGGTTTTTTCATGGTTTTCAGCTGTAAGCTGGCCTAAAAGGTCTTTTAAAATTTTAGTGTTTTCTTTTGAATCTTCAGCTTCATTGAGAGAAAAAGCATGGTCTTCGTGGGTTGCTGGGCCTTTTTTTAATTGAGAAAGCTCTAAGTCAAGATTTGAGTTTTTTTCTCTGAGAGAGGAAATTTCTTCTTCTGTGACTTTGAGCAGGAGCTTATATCGCGTTAATTGATCTTGATTGATAGTAGCTGAATCTCCTGTGCTTCTATCAGATTTAGATCCATTTTCTAGAGTGTCTCTTAATGAATTTTCAAGCTCATGCATAAGTTCGTGGTTTTTCTTTTCAAGAACTTCTTTATCTTTTTCTAAATTTTGATATTTTTTTCTAAATTCTTCGCCATTGTTAATGGTTTATTATCATTTTTAATTAATAATGAAATAAGCAATATTTCTTTTTAAGATATATAGTTCCAGCCTCCATTTGGGTTGAGCTATCCCGATGTCTCCCGAAATCGGAATAGGGAATGGCTCTACCAAACATTTTTTGCAAGCCAACCCCCCAGATCGCAAGTCTATTTATTATTGGAAATTTTGTCATCTGGGAGTTGGTTTTACCAGCAAATGTTGGTAGAACTAATCCCCGATTGACGTCAGGAGACATCGGATAGCCCAAGCCAAAAGGATGCCGAGTTCTATATAAGAAAGAAATAATTAATTTTTTAAATTTTACTTTTAAACTATATAGACAAATCATTATTATATTTTATAATTTTGCAATATTTTAATAAACATAAATGAATAGACTAAGAAAATTTTTGATTTTCGGTCAAGTATTTTTAGACGAGCTATTTCATCTTCTAATAACATTTTATCTCCTTTAAGCCCTGTATTTTGTTGAAGGAGGTGCTCAACTAATTCCTCTTGTTTTTTATACTTATTATCAGGATTTACATAAAATGGTGATAAAGACAAGTAGCCTTCTAGCTCAGTTGACTTCTGAGATAGCTCTTGAGTAAGTTTCGATATCTTGTCAACTAAATCTTGATTATCAATTGTTTTTGGGACACTTAATTCTAGATTTTTCTCAATTGCCAATTTTAAATTCAATCTTTTATTATTCCCTCTGATTGTGCAGAGCTCTTTATATAAATTTTCACAAAATTGATTCCTTCGTGCTAACTCAGCCTTGACTCCTGAAATATCTTCTTGATATTTTGAATCTTTGATGAAAGTTCCTCGCTTCTCTATTGCAATCTCATTTTTTAAATTTAAAATTTCTCTTAGATAGGCCTCTTCTTTTGCTTTCACAAGCTGATTTTCTTTTTGTAAATTTCTAATCAAGTCTTTTAATACTAAAATTTCTTCATTATTTTTAATATTTTGCTCTTTATTTTCATTTTCTATGCATTTTATCTATTAAAAAATATTGAAAAGCCCACTGTAATCCCTGAAGGATTGCCTCTATTTATAAGGCTTCCCGCTTGCTCATCAATTTGTACATGATCTTACGTCAGTTGTTCCCACAGACGAGGTCTGCACTCACTACTCGCAAGCTATAAGAGTTGCACCACCAGCAAAGATTCCACCATGAAAAATACAAATGGTTTTATATTTGGTCGACTCTAGGCAAAAATGTAAATCCGAAGTTCAAGATGTAACTCCTGGTTTCAAACTGGAAAATCGTCCCAATTAACCAGGAAATATACCGCTGGCTCTGCTTCTAGAAGCCCCTTTAAATTTACAAACCATTCTCATTTAGAAAACCCTTGATTTGGAATAAAGCATTGGGTCGGCTAACCCGATAATGCGCTGCATCAAACTAGATAAAACCTGGCCATACACATTCCTGAACGCCATCCTCCCTTCTCGATTCTCGAGGTGCGAGCTATAAGATTTAAGAGTGTTAATTGGTTCTCCTCACCATTTTTAATGAATTATTTTCTATGTTTCATTTCGCTACTTCATTAATTATGAAATCCTCTCCTCGATTTGAATTACAATCGAAATTTTCAACAATCTCATCATTTTTATTTTCTAATTCAAGCTCAAACCTAGGAGAAGCCACAATTATCTCATTTAATTCTTTGATTTTTTTATTTATCTCATGGAGCTCAAAATTTATTTTTTTGATTTCTAAAGCAAGTTGTGAAGGCTGAGATGCAGAAATTGTCAAAAAAGAATTTAATAGCTCTAGCTCTGATTCAAATAAGTAGATTTTCTCTTCAATATTCACTTCTGGTTTTGCTTTGTTTATTTCAGTAATTTGATTGGTTTCAATTATTTCTGCTTGGTTTAAAGAAATATCCTGTTCAAGTTTTTGAATTCTTTTACTCATTTCAGCATTAATAATTTCTAATTTTTCAAGTTTTAAAGTTGATATTGCTAAGCTGTCACTAATTTTTTTATTTTCAAGTTTGAGACTTTCAATTTCAATTTTTTTTAGGGTTCTGTCTTGAAGTAGTAATTTACATTTTTTTTGGAGATTTTTTAAGTAGATTTTTAACGCTGGCATCTCTTCTAATTGCTCTTTTAGGTTCTTAGATTTTATACTTGATTCTGAAGTAGATGAATCAGGTGATTTATACGAATGAATTATGATTAATAATAATAAGTTTATATGTAAATATGTTATAAATTTATATGTAAATATGTTATAAATTTAGGTTTATATGGTATAGTGTTTCTTCCATTTTTCTTATTTATGCTTGATCACCAATATTTTTTTGATAGCATCCTACTCTGAGATGTTGATTCAATACAAGCAATTCATTATTGAATTCAAAGATTCAAAAATTGAAAATTGAAAATGATTTAATATACAAGAAAAAAATTGTTTTTAAATATTGTAAGACTCAAAATCTAATTTAATCTCCTCTTTAATGCTATCATAATAATTTCCGAAGAAATCAGCATAGCCAAGAATTCCAAAATCTCATACTAATATGGAACCAATAAATTGCCCAATTTGCTTTCATGAATTTAACACTCAATTTCTTGCTTATACCCCCTCCTCATTGAGCAAACAAAACTATTTGAAAAATTCCAATTTTTTGAGTAGCAAAACACCCCCATGAGAGCCAAAAAAATATTTTGATATATAAATGAATATTATTATAAAGAAATCTCTAAGAAGTTCTATTGAATTTTAAACAGTTTGCATTCTAAATAATAAATTTTTACAAATTAATTTTTGCATAGATGTTTTTAAAATATTTATGTATAAATTTTTTAAGAATATAATTAACTCCCCCCACTTGCTTAAGCAAATAATTTTGCACGCTCACGGAGGAGGGGGAGTTAGGTTTTAACGTTTTAGCTTCTTCAGCAGAATGATTTAGGCATGTATGGGCCCATCCTTCCAAGCCCCAACCAGAGACCCGGGCTCTCCTGACAACCAAAATGGTGTCGACATCACCAAAATGGCAAGGGCACTTCGAAATTTATACAACTTACAGGTCAGATATCACACACAAGCGCGTTGCCTTAATCTTGATTGACTCCTGCGCGTGTTCCACCTAAGGGCCACCCTCCTCCTCCTCCTCAGGTATGTCAAGGGGTAAAATTTCTATGCCTCTTATAATCCAAGGCCAATCTGCCCTGCTCTATGAAGTAAGCCATGCTTTGACATTCTAGATAAGAGCTCACCAGATAATCAGAACCCGATAATAATAATTATCGCGAAGTAGGAAGGGTTTTCGGAGAAAGCCACCTTCTAAGTAGCCATTTTATTATTATTCGCGAATTTATCACAGAATCCTGCATCCCCCTCGTTCTCTATTGTGGTCATTCATTTTGCCAAAAATGCACCTCAACAATTGACCGAAGAATGGGTGCTCTCTACTGTCCTCTCTGCAGAAGTAAGGACTACCGAGAAGTATCTCAAATAAATAAAAATTATGCATTATCTAAGCTTCAGCCAGACACCAAATATTATTGTTCTACACATCCAGACAGAGACGCTCTATATTTTTGTCTCACTGATGATTCAATTTTATGCTGTCGATGTGTGACTTTGCATAAAATGCATGATTTTTATGATATAAATGACCCAATAATTATTAATCAAGCTGATGAAAATTTTAAATTAATAAGAAAAAGAGCTGAAAATGAGCTTAACCAGGCCCAAACAGAAAGACAAGAATCAGTCAGGATTTTTGATGACTTAAAAAAGAAAAAAGATATTGCATTGGATGAAATCCATTATTATTTTGACACTATAGTAGACGCATTAAATCATAAAAAGCAGGATTTTGAAAAGAGTCTTAATGGCCCTTATAATAAGATTTTGAAAAGAATTCAGAAAAAAATAGAAGAGTGTGATGACATTGCAATTTCCTGTGGATGGCGCTGTTTTAGCCTTGATTTTCCCACTGGGAAGTTTGTGTGCTCGGCCAGTACCATATAGTTTGGTCACACCAAAAAATTTTCCCAGATGGAAAATCAAGGCCAAAATAGCGCCATCCATGGGAAAATCCCATATGATAAGTGCAAAATTTAATATTTTGAGAGATATTGAACAATTAAATAAAAAAAGAAAATATTGAAATGGGATTAAAATGTTAAATGAGACAAAAAATTTTAATTTAGATAATACTGAGCTTTCAGTGGTAGAAAATATTAAAAATATTGAAGAAGATTATGTGAAATTGAGCTATCAAACAGAAATTGATATAAATTGTATATTAGAGTCTATCAAAAATATAAATCCTAACGAAAAAGAGTCAGAAGAATTAATCAATTGATCTCCAGCACCAGTGAAGAAAATAGAAGAAGTAATCAGCAGTTCTGGACAAGCAAAATTAATTGATAAATTATCAGGTCAAGGCTTTATAAAAAGCAGCAAAGTAAAATCAATTTTAAAAGCAGTTGATAGAAAAGACTTTATCCCATCAGAAAATCCAGCTTATGATGACCATCCTCAGAAAATAGGTTTTAATACCACAATTTCAGCTCCGCATATTCATGCAATATCATTAGAGCTCCTTGAAAAATGGCTGATACCAGGGGCAAGTGTTCTAGATATAGGCTGCGGTAGTGGTTATTTGACTATATGCTTCGCAAAAATGATTGAAAAAGGGAAAGTATTTGGCATAGATCATATTGAAGAAATTTTAAATTAATCAATTAACATAATTTAACTAACTCATATTTGGCCCTTTGATGCGCAGCGCTGCGAGATGCTTTTTTTCATCTTGTCGCTACTTTCGAACTTATGTCGGGTCTCATTGTCTGGCTCACTCCACCTAGTCACCGTGAAGACATTTGAGAATCCAGAAGTGCGGGAATTCCAGCAGTTTGGTATTGCCTCGCTCAATCTGACTTTCTTCCTGCTCCTATTTGGCCTATTGCTCTGCCTTTTCTATCAGCAGAGGAAAGAGGCAAAACACGATGCACATGGAAGGCGCAGTATAAAATTCCTCGCCACTTTCTCCTCTTTGCAGAAGTCCGCATTTAAGACCTAACCCTATAATAAAAAAAATTTGGGTGAGCGAAAAGGAATTCATGGAGTGAAATATCCTCTTCATTTGAAGCCATTTTATTATCATAAGAAATTTTAAATCAAGCCGTTGAGAATTCTAATAAATCGAATTATTATTTAAATCAATCACCTGAGCTAGAGGTGAAATTTGCGAAAAGAGATGGAAAATCAGGCTTAATAGAGTTTGCGCCATATAACGTAATTCATATTGGGGCTGCTACAACTGAAATTCCTGAAGAATTAATTAGGCAGCTTGCTCCAGGAGGGGCTTTACTAGCTCCTGTTGGCCCATTAACCGGTGCTCAGCGTATTACTTTATTAACTTTCCTCCCTTAAAATTGGACTCCATTTTTTGGGTACTTTGACCTTCTTTTAAATTGGAAAATTTTAATAAAATTAAGTTTTGGCTAATTTAATTGAAAAGATGAAGTAGAATATTATTTTAAGAGTTTTCACAATAAATCGATTTATTTTTTGAATTAATTCTCATAAAATAAATTAAAAATTATTGGGTTCAATTGCTTTTTGAAGAAAAATTTAAAATAATTGCTTTTAAAAGAAAAAATTAACACCTTTAAATTGGAACAAAATTTTTTAAAATGGAGTAACTAAAAGCCTAGATTCAAGTTTAGACATCAAATCATTAACAACTGTGAATTACGCCCCGCTTACAGATCGAGAAAAGCAATGTCCACTTTAGCAGTTTAAAGTTAAAACTTGCTTCATTTACTTATAATTAATTTTAAAGACTAAGTTTTTAAAGTCAAGGCTTAAAATAATTTCTTTGGCTGTCTAGGAATTTTGTCAAGACTTTCCTTGATTTTTTGCATTCTTGCCGCAAACTCATAGTCCTTGAACGATTCATCAGTGACATGCATATCTGAAACTCTTCCTGCCTTGAAGAACAACTCTCTGAAGCACTCTTCGTCACTGATTTTATGTGAATATCCTCTTATAATTTCATTAATCGAATAAGGCTGTCTGCAGCTCTTAACCAAATCATAGTGAGCATGCGGAGGACCATCATAAATAATCTGAATATATCGGCCAATCTGATGTCTATACCTATATGAATATTTTATCAAAAAAATAATATCATTTATATAAAAAGCGCAATCAGTACAATAGGAATAGTTTCATTCTTTTTAAGAGTTTTCCCCATAATTCGATCACCTAAGTTTTGAACGTCACGAAACTTCATGTGAGGATACTTTTCAAGCATATTTTCTATGATGGTCTTGATTGCGACAACTGTATTTTGTGCTGGACCTGCTCTTGCTATTAAAATTGCCTGATAGATTGGCATTTTTATAATGTTAAAATTGTGATATTTATTCAGAGATTTTAATTATTCGCAAAAAAATCAAGAAATCCGAAGAAATTTCCTAAAAATAAATTATTACGAAATTAAATATACTAATTGCCCGAGAATGGCGCTATTTGCGCCATTCTCTGGCAATATGGAAAATCGGCTCCACACGGGAACGATTTTCCCACGTATGGAGCCATTTTTTCGCACGTGGGAAGTCAGGATTCTCACGTGTGAAAAAATGGCTCCACATGTGGGAAATCTTTCCCGTGTGGAGCCAATCCTCGGGCAATTTCTATATGCTGTGACGGATTTTGAGTAGATCGTTTAGCAAATTTGAAAAGTGAAAAAAAGCAGCTGATGCTGAATTGAAACTAAAAGACTCTTGAAAGAAATTTTTATGAAATACTAATGAAGGAATTGCAATACGTCCAGTTTATTTTGCTGAGGATGCCATCAAAATTCCAGATGTCCCAGGAGAATTTCCATTCATGCGAGGCCCATCTAGTACTATGTACACTCATAAGCCTTGAACAATTCGCCAGCCTTCAGTTTTTAATACAATAGAAGAAAGCAACGCATTTTACAAAGCAAGTATAGCTGCTGGCCAACAAGTTTTGAATGTTTACTTTGATTTAGCAACTAATAGAGGCTATGATTCAGATAATCCTATAGTAAAATATGACGTTGGGAGAAATGGTGTGCCTATTGACACAGTAGATGACATGAGAGAACTTTTCAATGGAATTCCTCTCGCTAATATTAATGTCAATATAGCCATTAATGGTGCTGCTCTCCCTATTATGGCAATGTTTATTGTGACTGCAGGAGAACAGTGCGCACTTTTAAAAAGACTTCAAGGTACCATAGAAAATGATATTCTTAAAGAATTTTTAGGAAAAAATAGCTTTATTTATCCACCTGGGTCTTCCATGAAAATTGTTTCTGATATTATTAGTTATATAGCTCAGCATTTATAGCCCGATCCCTGCTTTGGACCGGGCTTGGCTGGCATCGGGAGACGTCAGATTGGGACTTGGCTAGCAACATTTTCTGGCAAAGTCAAATCCCAGATGACAAATCTCCAATAACGAGAGGATTTGTTATCTAGGGAGCTGGCTTTGCCAGCAAAAGTTGCTAGCCAAGTCCCAATCTGACGTCTCCCGATGCCAGTCAAGCCCGATCTAAAGCAGGGATCGGGGTATACCTAAATATAACCCAATTTCTATATCCGGGTATCATATGAAAGAAGCAGGGGCTGGCAATAAATTGGAGCTAGCTTTTACATTAGCAAATGGCTTGGAATATATTAGGTATGCATGCAATGCAGGCCTGACTGTTGATCAAATAGCCCCTCGCTTAAATTTTTTCTTTGGAGTTGGTATGGACTTTTATATGGAAATTGCTAAACTTAGAGCAGCCAGATTTTTATGGGCGGAATTATTAAAAGAAAAATTTGACCCAAAAAATACAAAATCTCTAGCTTTAAGAGCCAATTGCCAGACTTCTATGTCGAGCATTACAGCGCATGATCCTTTAAATAATATTGTAAGAACTGCTATTGAAGCTACAGCATCAGTGCTTGGTGGCACACAATCATTATATACTCATGGATATGATGAAGCTGTTGGAGGTCCAACAGAAAATTCAGCAAGAATTGCGAAAAATACACAAAGTATTCTGCAGGAGGAAACTGGGATAACAAAAGTGGCTGACCCCTGGGGAGGATCTTATTTTATGGAAAATTTAACAAAGGAGTTAGCAGATGCTGCTTTAGGAGTGATTAATGAGATTGAAAGCTTAGGAGGCATGACAAAAGCTATTGAAAGCGGTATAGCAAGAAAAATGATTTTGGAAGATGCTGCAAGAAGAAGGGCAAAAATTGACTCTGGGGAAGAAACCATAGTAGGAGTTAACAAATATAAAGTCAAGGATGAAGAGAAAATGGAAGCTCAAAATATTGATTATACACATATAAGAGAAGAGCAAATACGTAAAATAAATCAATTGAAAGCTACTAGAGACAATTCTAAAGTGGCTGATGCTTTAGATAATCTGACTCCTCTATCAAAATGGTAAAGATTTTTTGTGCTTTTATAAAAAAATTATATTAAGATCTAATATAATGGGAGTATAATCTTAAAATTAATTAACAGATTGGGTTGGACCGGTAGTGGCTACGAGTCATCAAGGACACATAAGGATCTTTACGAAATTCCCTGTTGGGCACTTGGATGGTTAAGTTTACTTAGCTGGCAAATTACTTCAGACACCATCCTACTACTTATCCAAATCTTGATGCCAAAACGCCTCCTCCTTGTCTTTTAGGCTCAAGTGTTGTGCAGGCGGACTTTGTACTTCACCCTGAATCGGGCGATTGGTGGTAGCTTGATCCAAGGGGAAAGCCAGGAGTCTAAAGGGTTATGGGTGTCTGGGAATCAGCTGCTATATGAAAATATTTAAACCCTGAACCCAAGCTGCAATCCTTGGTATTGCTGTGAGCTCTAACTTCGGTCCCGAAGGACACTTAAAAGTTACTTCTTTCCAACTACATAAACTAAATCAAAACCCACCCGGGTATCATAATCGCATATCAGACCTGAATTTCGACTATTTTTTCGCCCAGTTAGCCTTGGTCATAATTCGAGGAAATTAAGTTCACTATTATGTTTATAGGAGTATAATCTAATGTATTATATTTTAGCCAAGCTTTTTTTATAAAAACATGTTTTTTAATAGAGAAGTAAGAATCGCAGCGAAGACAGGTCAAGGAAATTTATTAGAGCTTGCAATTGAAGCAGCTAGAGCTCGAGCTACCCTTGGAGAAGTATCAAAAGCTTTAGAAGATGTTTATGGAAGATATTCATTAGAATAGCACACACTCCCCCTCTGTAAGCGAGCCAAAAATTTTTGCTCGCTCATAAGAATTCTGGCATCCGTGTAATTTATGTGAGTTCGATTGCTCCTGAGCACTTAATTTCGATGCTAGATATTATTACTTATTTAAAATAAAAAAACACAAATTAAATTTTAACTGCACATAGGAAAAATTCCTTAAAAAACTATAAAACCGTAATAATGCTGAGGCACTTTATATTTTTAGTTAAGGATCATAGTATATACAATGCGAGTTATTGAAAAATAAATTATAATCTATATACTCATTTATTTATTACGCGTTAACTCAAACAATTGAAATTTCTCGTTCTTTAATCGATCATTTTCAAGTTTAAGCTCAATAACTTGTCGCTTTAAGATGCCTTCTGTTGCGCTATCAGTTTCATGTTTTCCTTGGATTAAATCAATGCTTTCTTTCATAATTCTGCACTGATTAGAAAGCTCTATGTTATCTTTATACGATTTTTGTTGAGTTTCCTTTAAAATGTGTTTTAAATGCGCCACTTCTAAGTCTCTCTGCTCGATTTCTTTTATTAACCCTGCTTCTTTGGATTCATGCTGCTCTATAATACTTTCTAGCTCTGTCAGAATATCTACATCTTCTTGTGGTAGTCCTTTTTTGCTTATATGGGCACAATCAGTATAAAATCCTATAGACGGTTTCGAGCTCCCAAATAAATTGAATTTATGATTAGCAGGGTCTTTCAGCTCTTTTATTGAATTTATGCCTTTTCTTAATAAATCTCATTGCTGCTCTGTTTTTAATGAATGCTCTTTCATCTGTGTTTTAGCGTAATCCAATTTTTCAATATATTCAAATACATAATTCACGGTTTCTGAATATTTGTCTTTTATTTTTGCAATGACTTCAGCTTTTGGGTTTAATTCTTCTCGGAATTTCGACTCAAGCTCTTCGAGAATTCCTCCAATTAATTCCAGTTTTGGGCGTAATAAGCATTCGACGATTTCTGTTTCATAATTTTTGAAAGCTTTTTCTATAGAAGTCTGCATGTTGCCTTCATATTTATTGTATGATTTTTCTTCAAGTGAGCTTAAATAGATTTGGATGTTTTCTATGCAGGCGTCTAGCCCAGGTTTTAATTCGTCAGAAAAGCTATCTTCTGTTTGTGTTGGATAAGACTCTTTTTTCTTGATATTTCCATATTTGTCTTGTGTAGTTTTTAGTTTGTGAAAAAATTCTTTAAGCACGGGGGATGCTTGTCGGGGTTTTAAAGTTTCTCTGGTTTCTTCAGCTGTGGGGAGAGATAATAAATTATAGCTAGGAAGTCTTTTAGATATCATGGGCTGGAAAAAATGCTGACAACTCCTTGGGTTGGTTCTTAAACTTCAAGTTGAATAGCCAACTTTGGGAGTTAATAAATAAGCCTGACTAGAGGACATTTGAAAATACCCTAGTTGGTTCGTCAACTTTAAGTTGGAGAACTCGGAGAGTTACTCAGCATTCTCCCTGCACAAGACCATCTAAGGAGCTCCTAGGCTATATCTTTTCTAGATGTCTTTGTAACTCTAGAAATGGTATTTTTCCTGAGTGTGCTTATTGTCTCATGAACTTCTCCTAACTCCCACATGGCTAGCGATCAGAACTATTAAAAAATTTACCACTTCTTTAGCTAGCTAAAAATATTTTTATAATATAATTCTTTTTATAACATATTTAATAATTTATGATGAGATCTCAGCAAATTATATTAAATATTTGATAGCTATCATTCTATACATAAATCTTCAATTATTTAAAATATGGATTCTTAAATCGGAAAGATTCTTTATATATAAAAAGTCTCTCTAGTGAGCATAAACAAACTTGCTCCTACTGAGAAGGGGTAAAGAGTTTTTTTCCATTTTCTGGTCATTGATTTTAAACATAGGATGGGAATACCCAGAAAATCTTTTAAAAAGTCTTTGTTTGCCTTGTTTAGGAGTTAAGCTATTCTTTGGAGAAGATTCATAAGATCCATAACTTGTATATGTTTTCAATGGGTCTCTCGAAATATCTTTAAGTCTCTTTTGTGAACTTGAATGTGAAGAGCAGCCTAATTCACTCCTGTTTCATTCAAGCTCAAAAACTGTATAAAGCGAGGGATGCTTAGACCAATTCGGAAAAATATTTGTCAGAAATTCTATACATTTTATTATGAATTTTTACTATTAATTGCTATGAAAATTATAATAGGATACATTAAAATGGCACGGCGAACCAATTCACCAAAAGCACCTGGAGCTGATAAACGCCAGGGATCTTGTGGAAGGGAGGATGGTGCTTGTTTGGCTAAGTGCATCGTTGGAATAGGCTCATTGTAGCTCATTTCAGGCTAAGGTTTTACCTCTGGGGAATATGATGCTCGGAGCTCGAAAGGGAAGATCTAGTAGAGTCCTCCAAACCAATGGGATAATTCTTGCAGGGATGCGGTAAATTGCTCCTTAGGCAGCAGACTCCATCTTGATCGACACTTCAGCAAGAGAATTCGTTTTTAGAATTTTCTGATAGGGCAGATCATGCGTATGGCACAATGACCTATCCGCTACCTTGAGCTAGTGTGAGAGCCAATTCTGATGGAGCATATCCGATCAGTAGGCAGTAGCGAAGCAAGGCATAGATAAATACTTTTTAAGGTATCATAGAGAGCTTTTCAATAATCTCGACTAAGAACTAAGGAAATTGTAATAGAGGATATTAACAATAAATGTATAAAAATTTTCTCATACAAATTATCCTAGGCATATTGCCAAGCTTTTTTCATTCTTCTTCTCATTTTCTCTTACTTGATGTATTATAACCTTGCAAATCAGGTAAAAGGACACCTGGGATCCAAGGACCATAAGTTGCCTGCATGTGAAAAGCTCCAAGGATCATTCTTTGAGTTTCATTAATTGATAGAGATTTTTCTTGAGATAAAAAAAATTGAGCTGCCATAAATTGTTTTGTGATATCCCAATTTCCAAATGTGGGAGAACTTGATATCATGGAAAGTAGCATTGAAATGGTAAAATTATAATTTAAAATGGTAAAGGGTCGATGATTTTCCACATCAAAAAAATTGATAATAATTTATATTTCAATAAAATAAATTAATAGGCCGAATGCACTTTATAAAATGAATTACATAAAAAATAACTTTGAGATCCACCATTGTTGAAAATTTATAAATAAGCTTTCTTCTCAGAAACCTTTCATTAAAGAGATCAGCTATTTCCTAAAAATCAAAAATTTATAGTGATAGAAGCAAAAAAAACTTTATTTAATAAATTGCCAACATTCTGAAAATTTAAATGCATTAATATTGCATTTACTTCATCTTACTCTCTAAAACGAGCAAGATATAGTAAAAACCAGAATTGTGTTTTAAGAAATTTCCAAATTTATTAACTTCCACCTCCATGAGCGATCAAAAAAATTTTGTTCACTCACAGAGGTGGGTTAAAATTTATATATAGATTTTATAGAAAATGGTTTTCGAAATTTAAAAAAATCTCATTTCGCAAAAATTGGAAAGCAAATATTTATTTAATTTGCAAAATGTATGCTTTAAATTGCAATTTGCTCAAAATTAAACAGAATTAGCTAGAGATTCCATGATATTACATAAAAAAAATTTTATTCACTCGGGGCAAAAATAGAGATTTTCCAATGGTTTGCTCGCTCACGAGGGTGTGGGGGAGAAAAGAGAATAGTTATTTTGAGATTATTTTCGTAGTAATAATTATTTAAATTGAATCACTTAACTTTATTAAATTTTAAAAAATGGATTTTTAAAGCACGAATTAACAATCCCCTCAAGCATATTAACCTCAATATCAAATATAGTCAGTGTCACTAACTATATTAAAATTAAAATCTTAATCCATCAAAAAGAGTTAGTTGTCACTTAAACATTTTACCTCAAAATTCATTACGATTCATAATTAATCATCCTTTTATCTTTTTAATCTTGACTATACGTTTTGCAAAACTTGTTATATAAATAATTTAAATGCCCACTGGCAAATCTACCAGCAAACCACCCAAGAAAGCAGACGATTCAACATATATTGATAGAGATAAAAACTATCGTTTAAGAACCCCTAACTCAGACCTCAGCATCGTCACAGTGCAAGCTGCTAATGATGATATTGAGAAAGATGAATTAAAACAAACTGTTCTCGAACTAAAAGAACAGGTCAGCCGTTTACAGCAAGAATGTCAAATATATAAAGCCAAAGCACAAGCTGCAAGGCCTGAATTAAAGAAGTTGAATATATATAAAACTGTTTGTGATTTCAAGACAGGATCTTTTTTGAGAATCAATAATGGGGAGAGAAACTCCAGAAGAACAAGGAGCACATGCACTTCTCCTAAGATGGTTTATACTTAATTTATGCAAGCAATTTAATTTAATTATATAGAAACCTTCTAAATTCAATGATAAAATTTATATTGAAACAGAATGGTGTTAGGCTGCATATTAAAAAAATGAGTTATGATAATTATTTATTGAGATTAAAAATGATTTAGAATGTAAAGAGTGTTTGGGATGCTTATTAGAATGAATTAATTATAAATATTCAGCAATAAATTGTGTAATATTTTATTTGCATTAAAATGATAACAAACTTAGCGATGAGTTTTGGGTTTGACAAGATTTTGATTTGTTTTCAATTTCGCAACTTGAACTGCTAGCTCTTTTTGTCTAAATCTTGGTATTCTTGAGATTTTAATCTGATTTTCGCTAACACAGCTGGAAGTAGAGCACATTGACCCTCTTCTGGAATTTGAAGTTCTAATAGATGGTTGCACAAATACATTTAATCCTATTGGAACATATGAAAACAGCTCTTTGGATTTTTCTATATTTCCTTTTTCGCTCAGCTTGAATTCGCTTTCTGTTTGGCAAGATACGCTAGCTTCATTTTTATTTTCTTTTAGATTTTCTATTTGTTGAAAAGCTGCTTTTAATTGTGATTTTAATTCATCAATTTCTTTTGCTCGTTTTTCGTTTCACTTTTTTAATAGTTCATAATGCACTAACTGGGATCTTGATATAAAATTTTGGAAATGAGAATTTGAGATTCCTGTTGAAATTTCACAGAGAAGCTTAAATAGCATTTCTCTTACATCGGCCAAAAAGAATAAATATTTTTGATAAAAGAGCATTAACAAGTAAATTATTGATTTAAATTTATATGATAATAAATATTGTTAGGGAAAAGAGAGTTAATTTGATTCTGTCTTCATTTACAAAATAAAGTAAATGAAGCATTTCATTGTAATCATCTACAAGCTTTTTGTCAGTCTCTAAAGAGAGCTTAACGTTTAATTTTGTGTCAGTGTTATTGTGTGGAATTAAAGGGCAAGGGATTAAATGAGAGAGTTCAGAAAAATTCTCTTCAATGGAGCAGTTGTTTAGCAGGCAGCCAAGACGTCTGACTATTGTTTCATCTATCTGCAGTGACTCTTTATAAATAATTTCCATCATTTTTTATGATAGATGCAATCAGAATGTTCTTGCCAGTAAAAAAAGAAGATTAGAAAAATTAATTTAATATATAAACATCAAAATATGACTTTTTAATTGCTTGCCAGCTGCTAATTTGAGTCCTAATTTCATCAATTAATTTTACTAGCTTTATTTAGAAAAATGCTTAAAATTCTTTAAATAAATAGCATTATAATAAATGTATTCTAATGAAGTTTTTACACTAAAAATACAGTAGATATAATAATAATTCATTGCAGCATTAGTCTTTTCGATTCATATTAGTCTCATTTTATATAATTTGCAATCAATACCGATTTTTTCAGTTTTACACAAATCAGCAGGATTTATTACTTTTAAGAAATAAGTTAGTTATAAGCAAGTTGATGTAAAGTCTAAACATCCAACAACCAAGAAAACTCTAGAATAAAGTTATTGCTGCACCAAGCAGCTCTCCTGAGCATGAGTCTTCATATTATAGCATATAAAATGTCAATATGTAAAAGGTATATAAAAAAAAATTATGGATAACTTAAGGTCTGATTTAATAAGAGAAATTTTAGAATATCTTGATCCCCATTCCATGATGCAGGTTGCTTGGACCTGCAGTAGACTACACCAAATGGTATGATTACAGACTCCAAAACCTTATCCCCGATGTCATTCAGGCCCCTATTACTTTTTCAATATTCCTGAACTTTGTGCAAAACTCTATACAAAAATGAATTTCGCTGGGAAAAGAAACCAATTTTATTCGGACTGTGTTCATGCTTTAAACAATTTGAGACCAATTATAAAGAAAGGTATAATTAGTTCAAGCCAAGGCCAAGACGACCAAGGAATTGAAAATACTTTGAATTACGAAGAAGACAGAAATATGCGCTTCTGAAGTTCAGCAGGATCAGAAACAACTGATGCTAATGAATTTTTAATTTATGAGCTTATAGACACCTCTATTGTAGCTTCAGTTCATTTTATGTTCAATTTTGAAGCATTACAATATTCGTTATATGATGAGGCTGTTCAATATCCGCCTCAAAAAATTCAGATAAAGATAGGAAATAGTGATAGTAATTATCATTATTCATCAGAAATATATGATGTAAAACCGAAATCTTCATATTTAACTGTGTTGGTTTTGCCTGAACTTGTAATTGGTAAATATATTAAGTTGGAGTTAATTGGAAAGGTAGGCTGTCTATTTAAAGCTCAAAAATATTTTACAGTGTTAAGCTATGTTCTATGTATTGGGTATCCCTTGAAGAGTTTTCCTGAGGAAAGCCCATTAAAAGCTTTAAGCACTACAAGTGAAGAAATAGCAGATATCAGCAAAATCGATTCTGAATATATAAGCACTTATGCAATGCGAAAGCCTGCAGATCCTTTTATTGCTTATAAGCTTATGGAAAAGAACTTACTTTATCAGTTTATTGATGAAGCAATAAAAGGAAGAATATTAAATACAGTTGAAAGCTACTTTTATGTTAAAAAAGCTATAGAAAATAAAGCAAAATTTGATATCGATAAAATAAACCCCAATACACTTACAGCATATTTATTAGATGAAAATGGCTTTTCTCAAGAAGCTTACTCTCTATGGTTCAAAATAATGTTGTGGTGCTATCCTTAATAAGACTTTAAGATTGTAAATTAGTTTTTAAAAAGAATTATTAACGTAGTTATTAATATTATAATCTTAAATAGCACTTTGAGTTATTTGGTGAATTAATTAAATAAAAATGTTCGAAGAGATATCTCCGAAAACTAATAAAAGCCTCCTGAAAAACTCTTTTATCGCCCTTTCAGTCATCGGCTCATTATGCTTTGCAGCTTATTTTATCTCATCTGCAAACAGCTCAGCAACTCCAGTAGATTTCCAATACAATCTCGAGCTTGAAGAATTCAGATCCTTTGTCTCAAGATACAACAAAAATTATAAGACTGAAGAGGAGTATTACCAAAGACTCAGAATTTTCAGAGATAATCTCAGCTACATTCGCGTTTTTAACTCTCAAGGCCAAACTTGGTATATGGGGATTAATCAATTTTCAGATTTGACTCATGAAGAATTCAGCACAGCCCATAAGAAAAAAGTGTCAGTACCAGAACGCTCAATGTCTAATGAAAAACCTGTTGCTGCCGCTTCAAATCTTCAAATTCCAAGTCAAGTAGATTGGACTACTAAAGGTTGTGTAACTCCAGTTCAAAATGAAGGAGATTGTGGAAGTCCATATGCATTTTCTGCTGTAGGTGCTATAGAAAGCGCTTGGTGTATTGCTGGACATCAGCTTGTCCAGTTGTCTGTGCAAGAAATTATCGACTGCTCAGGACCGTTTGGGAACGATGGCTGCAATGGAGGGTGGATGACAAATACTTACAATTTTGTGATAAAGAATGGAATCACTAGCCAACAAATTTATCCAACAACTGGAAATCAAGGAAAATGCAACACAGCAAAAGAAAAGCAAGTTGTCGCGACTATTTCAGGATATGCAAACGTAACTGCAAATAATGCTACAGCGTTAGAGACTGCTATTGCTATAGGTCCAGTTGCAGTGGCTGTTGATGCAATTGAAGCGGGTTGGAGGAATTACAAAGGAGGGATTATTAGCAGCAACTGTGGACATAGTATTGATCATGCAGTACTTGCTGTGGGATACAACTTGAATAATTCACCACCTTATTACAAGTGCAAAAATTCATGGGGTGCTGATTGGGGAGAAGCTGGATATGTTAGAATTTCGATTGCTGCTGGAGCTGGAACGTGTGGAATTCAAATAGATTCGTCATATCCAATAGTTTAATCTTTATCTAACGATTAACTTATTTAAATTGTCCTATTGATAAATTAAAATTAATAATCATTTTTTATTTGAATATTTAATATGTTCTCTTCAGAAGTAAATTAAGAAATCGATTATATGCAAACATATGTTTTATATTTTAGCTGTTTACAAAGCTTAAATCTTAAGAAATATGTCATGCATCTCAACATTATTAGAAGTGTAACATAAAATAATCTAGAATTGATAAATTTGTTAATTCGAGGAGTTTATTATAATAAATGGCTCAAGATTAACTAGAGTAGCAGACGCGATAAAAATTGAATACAGTTTTTTTATTATTGGCAATGTGCTATCTCTCTTCAGTAAATAAAAATTAACTGAAAATTAGAATTTTTCTATATATAAAAAAGTCATATAAATTTTATAATCGTAATGAGTAAAAATTTTTTTCACTCATAGAGAGGAAAGTAAGAATTATTTTCAGATTGAAACATAATAATTTTTCATTTACACATTAACTTATTTTATGCTTTAAAAAATAATATATAAATGATGGGCAAACGTCCAAGCTCTCATCATAAACAACAGCACAGGAATATTCAATATCTGTCCAGGCGGTGAGCATGTACCATAGCTCACTTCCCTTGCATAATCGTCCGTTCAAGAATAATCATCAAAGGATAGAACATAAAAAATTCTATATTAGAGAAATTTAAAGAAGAGGTCTATTTCAAAACTCTATATAAAATTTTTGAATATATTAGCCCATTTATGATTAAAGCTATAAAATTTGTTTGCTAATCTGATAAAGATCAAGAGATGCTTAAGATTGAAAATTAGCTTGATAAATAGCGTAATAATTCTTATTTAAGCAGCTTACTCATCTGGTGAATTAATTAAATAAAAATGTTCGAAGAGGTATCTCCGAAACCTAATAAAAACCTTCTGAAATCCTCTTTTATAGCATTATCAATTATCGGCTCTTTTTATTTTGCGGCTTACTTCATTTCTTCAGCCAACAGCTCACTAATTCCATTTGATTTTAAATACAACCTTGAGATTGAAGAATTTAGGTCTTTTATCTCAAGGTATAACAAAGACTATAAGACTGAAGAGGAGTTTTATCATAGACTAACTTACTTTCTTGATGAGCGAGCATTACTTTTATTTCCTTGCTAAATGGAATAATATTTTAGCATTTTAAAAAAATTTTATTAGAAAAATTTTAGAATTTCCATTTTTATATTAAAATTATTATTGCTAAATATACTATGCAGCACGAGGCTTTTTTGGCTCAAATTCCAGCCAAAAAAGCCCCGTGCTACATAGTGTATTTCACATAATTTAATGTTATTTTATAACCTAAATCTTAAATAAGCTGATTAAAATTTGGCAGAACTATCATTTAATTTTATTATAATAAGTTCTGCCTGTACATAAATATTATATATTTAAAATTTGCAGCATGCATTCTTTAATTTTTTTCTCTCTGCAAAATAAGGGGATTAAAAGTTTTCATTGATAATCTCAGCTACATTAGATTTTTTAACTCTCAAGGCCAAACTTGGTACATGGGAATTAACCAATTTTCAGATCTGACTCACGAAGAATTCAGCAGAGCTCATAAGAATAAAATTATAATTCCTGATCAATCGGTTTCAGATATCACTGAAGAGTTTGTTGCTCCAAATCTTCAAATCCCAAGAAGCTTTGATCAGCGTAGCTACGGCTGTGTATCTCCAATACGAAACGAAGGCTCTTGTTCGGCTCCTTGGGCATATGCAGCTGTTGGTACTATAGAAGGCACTTGGTGTGATGTCGGCCATGGTCTTACCGATTTGTCTGTGCAACAACTTATTGATTGTTCTGACTTATATGGCAATAAAGGCTGCAATGGAGGATCGATAATAAATGCTTATAATTATGTCATGAAAAAAGGAATTACCAGTGAGCAAATTTATCCAACAACTGGAACACAAGGAGTTTGCAACACAGCAAAAGAAAAACAAGTTCTTGTTAGTCTTGCATCATTTGCAAGAATTTTAGCAAATAACTCTTATGCTTTTGAAGTTGGCATTCTTAGCGCACCAGTAGCGGCTTATGTTGAAGCAATTGGAGCGGGCTGGCAAAATTATAAAGGAGGGATCATTAGCAGCAATTGTGGGACTGACCTTGATTGGGCTGTTCTTGCTGTGGGATATAACTTGGCTAATTCGCTGCCTTATTATACATGTCAAAATTCATGGGGCACTGACTGGGGAGAAGCGGGATATGTAAGAATTTCTATTGTAGATGGGGCAGGAACTTGCGGAATCCAAATGTCTGCATCATTCGGAGTATATTAATTCTTATTTAAAGGCTAGCTTATTTTAAATCTGTTTAGAGATAATAAAAAAAATTTGAAACATAATAATTTTAATATTAAGCATTTTACTTATATGGTGAATTAATTAAATAAAAATGTTCGAAGGTTTATCTCAAAGGACTAATAAAAATCATCTGAAAAACTCTATTATCACCTTCTTAGCCATTAGCTCTTTATGCTTTTTAGCTTATTTTGTTTCTTCAGATAATAGTTTTAAAACTCCGGTTGATTTCCAATACAATCTTGAACTTGAAGAATTCAGATCGTTTATTTCAAAATATAGCAAAGATTATAAGACTGAGGAAGAATTTTATCATAGATTAAGAATTTTCAGGGATAACCTCAGCTACATTCGAGTTTTTAACTCTCAAGGCCAAACTTGGTATATGGGAATCAACCAATTCTCAGACCTGACTCACGAAGAATTCAACTTAGCTCATAAGAATAAAATCATAGTCCCTGAACTGCCTATTTCAGATACCACTGAAAAACTGGCTCATCCAAATCTTAAAATGAAACGAAAATGGGATTGGCGCCAAGAAGGGTGTGTAACCCAAGTCCTAAACGAAGGCAATTGTGATGCTCCTTGGGCATATACAGCTGTAGATGCGATAGCAAGTCAGTATTGCGTTTCAGGTCATAACCTTGTCCAATTGTCTGTACAAGAAGTTATTGATTGCTCAGGGTCCTATGGAAATAATGGCTGCAATGGAGGAACAATAACAAATGTTTATAAATTTGCTATGAAAAATGGACTTACAACTGAAGAGATTTATCCAAATACTGGAAAACAAGGAGTATGCAAAACAGCAAAAGAAAAAGAAACTATTGCTACTATTTCAAAATATGCAAATGTAACTCCAAATAATGCTACAGCATTGGAATCTGTCATTCTTCAAACGCCAGTATCGGTGACTGTTGAAGCAATTGGAGCAGGCTGGCAAAATTATAAAGGAGGGGTTATTAGCAGCAATTGTGGAACTAGCCTGGATTGGGCTGTTCTTGCTATAGGATATAACTTAGATAACTCACCACCTTATTATATATGTAAGAATTCATGGGGTGATGACTGGGGAGAAGCGGGATATGTGAGAGTTTCTATTGTAGATGGGGCAGGAACGTGTGGAATTCAAATGTCGCCATCATACCCAATATTTTAATATTCAATTAATAATAGAATATTCTAAATATTGCTTAAAAATAACTGGATTAAATAAGTAGAATTTATTAGCTTGTCATCCACTTTTAAGAAGTAAGTTGGGTATAAACAATTTGATGTAAAGGCTAAACATCCAACAATCAAGAAAACTCTAGGCTAAGGCTATTGTTGCGCCAGGCAGCTCTCTTGAGCATGAGTCTTCATATTATAGCCTATAAAATAACCATAAGTAAAAGGTATATAAAATTATGGAGAGCTTAAGGTCTGATTTGATAAGAGAAATTTTAGAATATCTTGATTCCCATTCCATAATGCAGGTTGCTTGCACATGTAAGAGGCTAAATCAAATTGCATGAAATGACAATTTCTGAGCAGTCTACTTACAGATCCCAAAGCCTTATCCCCGATATCATTCAGGTCCCTATTACTTTTACAATATTTCTGAACTTCGTGCAAAATTCTACACAAAGATGAATTTGGCTGGGAAAAACAAGCAATTTTATTGGGACTGTGCTCATGCCTTAAACAATTTGAGGCCAATTATAAAGAAAGGAATAAGGAGTTCAAGCCAAGATTATGATCAAGGAATTGAAAATACTTTGAAGTACGAAGATAGCTTATATGGGCATTACTGAAGTTCAACAGGATCAGTAACAACTGATGCTAATGAATATTTGATTTATGAGCTTATAGACACCTCTATTGTGGCCTCAGTTCATTTTATGTGCTATAGAGCAGGCTTTCAAGGAGGTGTGATTTATCCACCTCAAAAAATTCAGATAAAGATAGGAAATAGTGATAATGATAGTGATTAAAAAATTTAAATTACTTCAACGCTTGGATTGATTAGCAAAGCCATTAGAAAATTTCTGTTTTTATAAAATTAGCTCCATTTTTAAAATGATTTACCTCCTTTATCACAAACCACAATGAGCAACTTCTTTGCCAATGCTGTAAGATTTTATAACAAAGGGCTCTCGTCTGGCATAATAGTCCTTTTTATTTATCTCCTGTGTGAATTCGCTTAAAGATCTCTCTCCTTGAGAGTGGCAAGTTGTGAAAACCAATCCTTGCTAAAGTCCAATGTCCAACCTCCTAGCCTATAAAGGAAGCATTTCTAGCATGGATAAAAACTACTGGGAAAACTGAGCTCGATAATTATAAAATTCTTACTTTCCCCCTACGTGAGCAAACAAAAACATTTTGTTCACTCACGGAGAGGGTTAATTTTTTTTTCAAAAATTTTAAAAACATCAAATTAGTAATTTTTAAAGCAAAAAATTAATTTGATTTGTAAAATTTATGTTTTAAAATGCAATTCGTTTAAAATTAAATAGAATTAGCTAGAGATTCCATTATAATAGTTCTCCCTTATACAGCAAAATTATTTTTTCACTAGTAGAGGGTGGGATTTTTGAACAAAAAATAGTTATTTTTCCATGGGTTTTGTTTGTCTAGAGAGTTAGAGAGAAGTTTTTCCACTATGACATTTTATATTATTATGATAGTAATTATCATTATTCATCAGAAATATATGATGTAGAAGTGAGAAATAAATATTTTACTGTGTTGGTTTTGCCTGAACTTGTAATTGGTAAATATATTAAGTTGAAGCTAATTGGAAAGGTAAGTCCTCAACCTGGAGATGAAAAATATTATACAGTATTAAGTTATGTGCAATGCATTGGATATCCCTTGAAGAGTTTTTATGAAGAAAGCCCATTGAAAGCTCTAAGCTCTACAAGTGAAGAAATAGAAGAAATCAGCAAAATCGATTCTGAATATATAAGCACTCAGGCAAAGCAAGAACCTGCAGATCCTTTTATTATTTATCAGCTTATGGCAAAAAATTTACTTAATGAGTTTATTGATGAAGCATTAAAAGGAAGAAGTTTAAATCCATTTGAAAGCTACTTTTATGTTGAAAGAGCTTTACAAAATGACACAGAAATTGATTTTGGTAAAGTATAGAATTAAACAATATTTGTTCAGGGAATATTAATATTAAAATATAAAGCCAAATTTATGCAAAAAAGTATAAGCTGCTATGAATTAATAGGAGATTTATTATTTGAAAAAGGCCGTTTTGATGAAGCTCTAGGGATATATCAAGATTCTAGAGATTTTTGAAAATGGACTATGGTACTAGTTAGGTTGGATAACTATCAGAGTGTAAGAAGAGTTGTTATGATGAACGACCCAAGATTGCCTAAAATAGCAGATGTCATCAAAATGGCTAAAGAATTAGGTGAAATCTATTATCAAAACGCTAAGAATTACTTTAAGATTGAAAATTAATTTTAAAAGAAATTATTATTGACCTACTTATTAATATTATAATCTTAATTTAGCTATTTTAAAAAGCTGGAACGCTGTTTAAAATGCTTTATTTAAAAATAATTTATATAAAATACAAATATTAGTTATAATGCTCTTCATATTTGCAGTAAAAATGGATATTTAATTTTAATTTAGAGTAATAAATGCTATTAGCAAAAATCTTTTCGACAATAACTAATTTATCATTTTTTTGAAGTTTCTTCATCTCTAATTTCTTCAAGTTTGCGGACTAATTACAGTTGTGTATTAAAATTTAAAAATTTAAATCCACAAGACTCAGAGGGAGAATTTTTAGCTTGCAAATAACAAGAAAAGCAAAAAAAATTGTAGAGCTTTGCATGAATGTAATCTCAGTCTTTTAGCCGTTTTTATAAAGGTTAGCTCGTGGATCCGAACTTGACAAGCGGAGCCATATGTGGAGCCTAATGTTTTCATATCTAAGGGTAATTTAAACCTCAAGCTCGATCCACGAATGAGCCCTTTTAAAAGGGCTAGTAGCTATAAAATCTTAAATTTCAGCATTATTTTCTTTAAAATTTTTGATGAAATATATGATAGTTTTTAAGAGATAAATTTTTTTAGAATTTGTCCAAAAGATAATCTTTATATTATGATTAAAATCATAACTTTATATATGAAATATTAATATTGTGAACAATTTCAATTAAATCAATACTTATATTAATATAATGCATCCAAACTTAAATATGGTAAATTGGATAAGAATCTAATGAAAATGTTATGGTTTTTAATAAAATTCTGGATAAGGGCAATCATACCTTTTATTTCTCCAAATTGATAAATCCAAGTATAGTTTTACTGCATTATCTCTTGTTGATTTTCCGAAGCCTTTAATAATATGAATTTAAGGGTGCCAAAATACTTCTTTTATGTAGCTTAACTAATTTTTCTTTAAGTGTTTTTTGAATGCATCAAAGCCCCATTTTAAACGAAAAATGGAGTCAACAATATACCAAGAATTTGTAGCTCTATGCCAATATCATGAAATTGTTAATAACTTTATCTCAGAAACCATCAAACAAGAAAGTGAAAAAGATTCCAACTATTCCCACTGCTGTGAAGATATCAGAGAGCTGAGAAATAGATTTTCAAGTCTTTTAGAAATGGATCAATCAGACCTCTTACAAAATGGCATTTTATCTTGTAGAAACCCTTTTCAGCTACTTTTATACTTAGCTTTGAATTCTCAATGAAATTTACTTGAGAACGTAAATACAGATGATCTTATTGATGGAGTTTTTCAATCAAATATCGAGTTCTTCTCCAGCCAAAAGTTCTATGAGATAATGACCAATTTAGAATTAAACGAAGAAATTAGATCGTTAATAAGAACATTAGCAATATATTTCTATATCCGCGTTCCTGATGCATGCATTTGGTATAAATTTTTAAAAAAACAAATTAAGCCCCTTTGCGAGCAAAATTTATCGTTCTCTCACAGGAGGAAGGAGAGTTAGTGTGGCAGCAACCTTAATAACCCTTTTGCATGAATCAGCTCACTTGATACGTAGATATAGAAGAGATCAAAATAGTTGCTTAATGCTCTCTCCTAAAAGCTGCAAACAAACAGGGATCGAGTATGATTCAGAAATGGATGATTTTGTTGAAAATTTGATTTTTGGCGAGAGAATGGAATTAATAAATATCTCATCAGCAGCTTTTCTATTAACTCGAAATAACTGGAATTTAAGCAAACAAGAATTCCATACGGGACTTAAACAACAATATCAAGAAGGAAAAAAGCAAGGCCAGGCAGATACAAAGGTTGGCAAAGGCAATTCAAGCTCATATATTCATCGTGGACGATGTGGAATGGCGGTATATGTTTAGAATAATTAATCAAAATTTAAAAATATATATTATACTTATACTTCTCTATTAAGCTTGCTAAATCTGCTCTTATTTTTGGAATTTGCTTGAGATGTTGGCATTTTCTTATTCTTTTTGAGTGCTGAAGAATTAAAAGATTTTGGAAAAAGAAAAAAGGCATTTATTATATGCTAATGCTAGATAATGAATAAGCTAACTCCAAAAACTTTAAAGAACTGCATAAATTTAAATTAAGCAGCACCGAATTCCAAAATATCGCACATATTTCTTTATACTTGATGAAGATTTTAAATTTGAAATGATGTAAAATATAAAAAAAAATTTGCAGGAATCTATTATCACTAGCATTATCCAATTTCAGGCTATAGTTTTTGCCTTTAAGTTATTTTAAGAGTAATATACTTTTAAGAAATTGTTTAAAATAGATTGATTTTGCTTATTTCAACTAAAATCTGCTTTTATGTGCCTTAGATTTGGCTTAACTAACTTAGTTTTTATACCGACCAACACGAAGGGGGTTAGTTTGTTTTTTAAAAAAAAAATTATTCATAAATTTTATAGTTAAATTATTTTTTTCGAAATTTAAAAAATCCCAATTCAAAAAAAATTGGAAAGCAAATATTTATTTAATATGTAAAATTTATGTTTTAGAATGCAATTGGTTCACAATTAAACAGAATTAGCTCAATATTTCATTATAATAATTATGATTTATAAATCAAATTTTCTCCTAAAAAATTGTTATATTAAAACATTTTTTGTTCGCTCATAGAGGGTCGGCTTTGGGCAAAAATAAGGATTTTTTTAAATGGGTTTCTTCGCTCACGGAGGGGGGAGTAAGTAAAAATTAGCTTATAAGTTCAAAATGTTGATTTATTCCTAATCTTGATAATTTTCTATAATCTCCGTCTCATAATTATCTTTCCAGCCTTCCACCACTCTTTCGCTCAATCCTAGTAGCAATGCAATAGGTCTTGGATGTCCTGCTTTTAAAACAAGCTTTACAATATCTTTCTTCAGTCCATAGTTTAATCCTCTTCCAGCACTTATATCTCCGCTTGAATCCATTCTTGATTTAATTTCTTCGCATTTATTTTGTATATCCACAGTCATCATATTTTTAATTTCACAGATATCCTCTGTGCCTTTGTATTTTTTCCTATTTGTTTTTCGTGATGTCACTTTACAAGAATTGAATTTTTCCAATGGTCCGATCTCGTTTATATTTACAGGAGCTTCTTTCAATTTTTTTTTCCTTAATTTTTGGCTTTCAACTGTTTCGTAACATCGAGGATTTTCTTTTCATTGCTTGTACCAGCATTTTATTTGAGTGTCTGATATATTGCAAACTCGCTTTAGAATTCCTTTACCGCCATGCTCATCAAAAAGACGGCAGACCTCTTCTTTGATGTAATCTGGGACTTCATTTGTTCTGAAAAGCTTTCCTTTATAGATGGGCCGAAGCTCGTCACGAAGAAATTTGAGTCGGACAGCAAGGTCTTTGACTCGCTCTTTGGGTCTTGTATAAAAGATCCCCCTATGCCACATACCCTATTCTCCTAATATTAAATTTAAAATCATAAATTAGTGAAATATATCAAAATGACAATTAATATCTTTGATAAAAAATTTAAAATCTTAAATTAGCATTATTATAGGTATTGGAATTAAGTTTCTTAATTGAGCTATTTGATTAATATAAAATAATAAAAGGATATTTATTAATTTTTATAAAAATGCTGGGGGAGAGGGGATAGGGAGGGGAGGGGGAAAAATTATACTGACCACTCTTCATCTGGTGTTTTCAACATTTTTATAAGCCCCCATAATTAATTAAAATTTAATACTCTGGTCATACTCTTTTGAGGTTTAAAAAAAATTAAAAAAAAAATTCATATTATAAAAAGATTTTTGAATTAATTGTTATATATTTTATTTATTAAATTAGTATAAGTTTGTAGGAAAGTCAAGGGTATTATTCATTCAATGGAATCTATTAAGGGCGCTATAGATGCACCAGAAACTAAATTATTCATAAGTATAATATATGAATAATAGATCAAAAAAAATCGACATTGAGAGAAGTTAGGCGAAAAGATATATTTTATAGAGCCAAAAATTATGATTAACTCTCTGCCCTCTAACTTGCAATAAAGTTTTATTTTTAATAATTTCTAGACAAATAGTTTTAATTCCAATTTAATACACAACAAAATCAAAAATTTACCTACAACTTGTTCTATTTTTAAGGGTAAGCCTCAAAGACTCTATTTAAGCAAAATTAGCATATTAATCGATAATAAATTATTTTATATTAAAAAAACCAAAATTACCCTCTTTAAACTGGGAAGTTTTTGTATTTCCAATTTAAAGGAAGGAATAGGTAATAAAAACACATAAAGTTAATTGATCTTAATATATTTTTGATCTATTATAAATTGAAGAGATTGGTCATTTATAACATAAATTTATTTTCATCTTCACAAAGAAGCATTAATATATTTAGAATCCTTAAACAAAAAAAGAAATTATAGAGACATATCTCAATATTTTAACATGATATCGAAATCTTGATTAATCAAAAAGTTAGACAAAATATTTTTCAATTAAATAAATTTTGATAAATTGATATAATGCCAACACATTATATCATACAAAAATAAATTCTCACTCCCCCCCCCCCCCCTCCGTGAGCGAACAAAAAAAATTTTGTTCGCTCACGGAGGGGGGTTAATTTTTTTTTTTTAAAAAAAATTTATATATAAATTTTATAAAAAATATTTTTTTCGAAATTTAAAAAAATCCTAATTTGCAAAAATTGGGAAGCAAATATTAATTTAATTTGCAAAATTTATGTTTTAAAACGCAATTTGTTTAAAATTAAACAGAATTAGCTCTAGATTTCATTATACTAATTATCACTTATATATCAAAATTTTTTTCCATTAAAATTTTTTCTATTAAAAAAATTTTTGTTCACTCACGGAGGGTGGGTTTTTGGTCAAAAAATGGCGATTTTTCTAATGGTTTTGTTCGCTCACGGAGGGGGGGGGGAGTCAAAAAAGACAGGATATATCTACAAAAAGCCTCAGAATCTAGATTTAAATTTGATTTTCGTAATTCAGATCCAACCGCAGACCAGACTGACAAAAATATATCCAACCAAGATTAAAATGTTTATTGCAAGCTAAGTATCTTGAGACTTGCTTGGATTAGATTGTATCGCCATTGATTTTTGCAATGTCATCCTTAAAACTCCTTTCTTTTGAACTTTTCTTGTTTCTTTTAGCAGGCAAGCAAACATTCCTGCTAAGAAGAAGCAGATTGCAAAAATTGTGACAGATATAGTATCACCATTAGAAGTATTCTAAAACTTAATAATTCAGTATGATTTTTGCCATCTTTTTTTTTATTTTGGAATGGTCTTTGATCATGGCAAGCATTTAATCATCAATTTAATTGGTTTTATCTAATAATCTTCCAATAATCATCGGAGATACAATCCCTCCCAGCCTACCAAAAGCAGTGTGCCAACCACTAGCACAGCTTCTTATCTCAGTATCATATGACTCTGCAGTAATAGTAGTCAAAGCTCCAACTGAAATCAAAATTAAAGCATTGATTATTGCAATACAACCGATTGTCTAAATTAATATTACGACTGCGTCGCCTACATCGATAAAGAATAATATGCATAAAGTTCCTGAAATTCCTAGACCCACAGCAAGTCTTTTGGTAAAAAATTTACCTAGAAATCTACCTGACCAAAATTTTTCCCATGAGATATTACTTTGCAAAACTAACGGTTTTGCCATGCAAATGTGGGATAAATTTCGACCAAATAACTCCAGAGAAATTTTCCTTATATAAACTATAGAGCCTTAGGCCCATCGCAAGAGTATTTCTTCTTCCAAATTTTGACCTCACAAGGAAAGATCCAAAAATATTTCCAGGAAGCGCGATTACTGTTTGCATAAGAATGATTAAGTAAATCTGTAGCTGTGAAAAATCGTTTAAAAAGGTGGGCATAAATATTAAGAGGCTTATATAGCCAGAAAATGTTAAAAAATTGACTAGCGTGATACAAATAGTCGTTTTTCTATTTTTTTTGGAAAATAAGGATTTTATGCGATCAAATCCTTCGAGTTTTTCTTTTTTGGAAGCTAGTTCTTCTCTGCGAACAATAGAAAGCATAGCTTGGTGATAAGTTAAATTAAGAGTCTTAACGTCTTCCAGATCTGTGCCTCCGCACACTTTTGACCAATGCTAACTTTTTTGCTGAGAGAAATTCGGCAGCTATTTGAAGCAGTAATCTTCTCTAGAAACAGGGCTTGTACCGTTATCCCCAAGAGTGTCGATGATTTACGAAAACCCCTGGTAATAAACCATTGTGTGCTATGAAGGTAAAAGCCAGTCAGATACCTTCTTGCCGGTCACCTTTGGGCAATGTGACATACAGGAAAAAGAGCTACACCCTCCGAAAATAGAAGGAAAAAAGCCGCGATCCAAAAATCCGGATATCAATACCTGGTCATGGAGTTATCGCCAGCTGACTCCTAGGGCTACCTACCCCGCAAAGTTCTTATTAGATGGACAATGGTTAGAGTTAAAGGATCCAAGCCCAGCTTGCCATAAAGTGACTTTTGCGACCAATGTAGTGCATCGCCATCAAGGACACATTTAGCCACATTAACTATGCTTGGTGATAGGATGTGAAGCTTTTAAATTGGCCATTTTCTTTCGCAATTCTTTTTAAAGTCTCTTCAGCATCAGATTCTTGCCCAATCATAATATATATCTTATAAAGGCTTATCCTTTTCCTTAACTCCAATAAAAAGCACGTTTTCTCTAACTCCCCCCCCCTTTAAATTGAAACAAAAAATTTTGTTTCAATTTAAAGGGGGGTTAAGAAAATTTTTTTATAAAAAAATTTATATATAAAAAAATTTTTTCAGAGATAAAATTTTATAGAAAATAAATTATATAAATTTAAAGAGACAATAAATTGAGTAAATTATATTTAATAACATTATAATTTTATGGCAATGCCTATGTTTGAAGCATATTAAATAGGGTATTAACGTATTTACATATAAAATAATGATTTTTTACTATAAAATTTTCTATTATAATAAAATTTTGTTTCAATTTAAAGGGGGGGTAATTTCCCAAAAAAGTAGGAATTTTACCTATATTTTGTTTCAATTTAAAGGGGGGGGGGAGTAAATAAAAATGATATACAATCTACATTTTAAAATCCATTCATTAAACTGCAGCACAATAAGCAGGTGTTTCATACAATTTTAATCTTCATAATGCAAGGCATAGCTCAATTATAAAAAATGCTCCAACAATATACCGCCAATCATGGTCTTCATCACCAATAACTCCATATACAAATAAGTTTATTCCTGAAGCTATCATTCCACCAATTGGGTAAAAGCATGACAATCCAGCTAAAAGCCATCTCTTTTCAGGTGGACAAAATTCGCTGAAGGTCGTCCCGGCAAGTGTTAAGTCTCCTCCAACTCCAATCCCAAGTAGTAAATAAAATAACATCATCATTGAGTAGTGAAATGAAAAAATTAGACAAAAGCAAGCCGCTACATTGACCCAGACACACTTCTTAAACGAATAAATCCTCCCATGCTTATCGCCTAAAGTTCCAAAGACTAAAGAGCCGATTAACATTCCTATCTGAAGACAACTCCCAATTAATCCTTTTATGGTTGAGCTTAAATCCCATAAATGCCCAGCGCCGATCAGAACAAAGCTCTGTGAAAGCATTCAAGCCTGAGCTGCAGAAAGAGCCTAAATAAATTTTACTAATCCACACTGAATGAAAACTAAAGATTGGCAATTTCCCCAGCCTAATTTATCTAACTTTGGCCACAATTTGGAAGTTTTTATTGGGATTTTTAAGCAAAAAAGAGCTGATATAAAATAGCTTGAAAAATAAAAATAAAAAAAGATATTTTTATTTTGAATTTTGTGTAAGTAAACTCCAACTAGAACCATGGCTTCATCCATTTTAAGATCTTAATTTATAGTAACTTTAAGATTATGAAATTTTCATAACAGTTCATGCTATAATTAAATAGTTTGGCGATTAGAGATCTGGAAGCTAAATCTCCTTATTATTGTTTACCATCAAACATCCCATATAAAAATAATAAATAGTATTATTGCTGCAATCAATTAAGAGCCGGTCAGAGTTTTGTTTCTTCAAGTAATCTCCTAATTCAAATAAATGCATTGACTTGCTCAAAATCTGGGCAAGGCGCTATAATTTATTTAAAAATTTGTATAGCCAAGGAATTAAAGAAAATATTAATTATAGCTAATTTTTAGCAATCAATAAATTAGTTCTCTTTTTCAAGTCCAAATAAAAATAATAATGATTTTCTTTTTTATTAGCTTCAATAAAAAAGCAAGAATTCTTCCCATAAACTCTATAAGCCTTATATAAGCAAGGCCATAGCAGTATCCCTATTTTATTCCATTTAAATTCATTTCCAATTTCGCTTTCCAACGCAACTCCATTATCAACAAATGCATAAACTGTCATATTCCAAGTAACCAACATTTTATGTAAAACTCTCCCTAAATCGATAGGCAGTTCTGAATAGCTTTCTAAATCAGTATTATATGCATAAATTTTCCTATGAAATCTTCCACTGATTAAAATATTTTCTTTAAATAGCACACATGAGCAGCAATCTGAAGCACTTGGCAATGGAATTAATTTTTTTCATTTTTTATCAATTAAATCGTATTTTTCTGCTAAAGGCATAATATAGTCGTTAAAACCTCCAAAAATATAAATGCTGTTTTTATAATAAATTGGTGATGCTGAGTAGCAGGGCGTTGATAAAGGAATTTTTTTTGAAGAAAAATCAATGGTGCTGATTATATATGAATTGCTTGAATAAGTAGCGCTCCCAAAGCAAAATAGTTCATTATTTGGGAGCGGCGCTATGCAGGTGCATCAGCTTAAAGTCTCAGAAGTTTCAATTGATACGATTTCTTGCTCCTTGGTTTCTGTATTAAAAATTAGCAGTGATGGCTTATTTTCGCTTCTATTAATGCTGTAAAGATAAGGAGAGTTATAAAATGAATATTCTTGTTTATTTTGGATAATGCTATGTATAGAGTTTTCATAAGCCTTCACAAAATTTTGATATGATGCTTTATAAAGATAATAGTGCTTATTTATAGAAGGATTTGAGTTATAAAGAAACTGGTATTTTCCATCCTTTTCATATAGGTTCGAAAATAATTCAAACTCATTTTTTAAATTTCTCTTTAAGTTTTCTAATTCTTCTATTAGTATTGGCTCATCTTCTGATATAGACATAGAGTTTGAGCATTTTCCTATATTTTCTATCTGATTTTTATAGCTAATTATCTCATTTGCTTTATGTTGCAATATCTTATATTGATCTTCTTCAAATTGTGGATACAGCGCTTTGTATTTTTTATTTAATTTTTCTTTGGATTTTAAAGGTAAAATTTCATAAGCTTGATTTAAATAGTTTTTACTTATCCAAAAAATAGCTTCTTCTTTACTTTTTTCCATAATTGAATGCAAAAAACTCTTTGAATTTCCATATGAATTAATTTCATTTATTAAAATTTGACAAATTTTGATTTGGTTGTTGATTTCTTGGAAAATTAAAGAGATATTGTTGAAGATTTCGTTGATTTCAGAGTATGCACGAATGAGCTCGGAGGATTTGTAGGAAAAGAGCTCAGAAAGAACTGATGCAATAAAATCGGCTGTTGTCAAATTTGTGGGGAAATCGATGGAAGATTTATTTTTAATATCGATAAGAGTTTGTTTTCCTGATAAATTAATGGGATTAGTTTCAGTTTTGAACCAAATATCGTTGCAGGCTGATAAATTGGAGGGTAAAAAGGTTGGAGGGAAGCTACTATTTGTTAAAAATGACATTTTATTATACTTTGCATTTGGGGGGTCATATAAACACATCTATTTATTGAAATGAGTCCTAAAGAATGGAGGATCTTTTGGTTATTAAATTATTCTTTGTTATTGAAAAACCTTAAATTATAGATAGCTATTAGTTAACAAATAAATTGAAAATTACAGCATGAAATAGCAATCAATGAATTCAAGAAATGCTTCTTTTGTCCCTTCATAAGGCTGCATAAAAATTGAGTCAAGATTATGAGCTCGGTTAGGCAAGTTTGCATGAGCATGCCCAACCTCATTCATACACCCTGGCTCGAAACAGTTCTTCGCCATCATATTAATAATTCCGGACTGGCAAGAAGCGATTCAATGATATGGAGATGAGTAGCCCTTGGGCTTATCAGGAGCTTTTCTTAAATTAATGCTAATGCTAATCAAGAGTCGGGCATTATGGTATGCAAGGTCACATCTTAGACCAAATCTCAAATAATGAAAAGATAGCATATGCTGGAAAGATAAAATAAGTATAGCCTCAAACTTTGTCTTGTTATAAGAATAATATATAGAAGAAGGTGGCATCGAAAGAGAGTGCGATTTTATAGAAGTCTTAGGAAATTGTACTTAATAGTAAAATGATAATTATTTTAATTTGCATTATGATTTTTTCATATCTTATGTAAGCGACATGCTTAGTTCGTTCCAATATCCTAAATTTTGCCATACTATATCTCAACATAATTTCCTTAAAAAATCAAGAAGGCAATTAAAAACTTAATTTAATACAATATAAAGAATATTGAAGAAAATATCTCTGTGAATCAAGCTCTTCAAGAAACGATATCCAAAATCAATCATAAAATTCAAATTGCAAATGCTGAAGCATATTTAATGGAAAATTTTCTGGAATCATTGCAAAATTCGATATCATACATTTCTAAAACAGATGATTTAGATGGCAAGTATTTAGATTTCAATCATAATTATTATTTTTATAGAAAAGTCAGTCCCACAACTGTTTTAACTCCCCTAAGCAAAGTCATTGGAAAATTTCTGAAAAGCCTCCGTGATTAAAGAAAAAATATTTTAACATGATATGATAACTTTTTTAACGAATATCTAACTGAATCTGTTAAATTTTAAACAGCCTGCATTCTAAAGCATAGGAATTTTTTTAATTAAAAAAATTGCAAAATATTTCTCATTGTGGAGGGGTATTAAGAAGAATGAATCCAAGCATAAAAGCTCAAAAACTTATAGAGTGCTTATATATTTTTATGAATAAAAATTATAAAGATTGAGATCATTTTTTAAATGACTATAATAGGAATTTGCTCTGGGATTTAACGAATAAGCTTAATGATATTGCTATGAAATTGAAAGATGAGCAGTTAATGAAAATTTCTCAAACTATTGAAGAACTGGATAAATGAAGCTCCAAAGCAAATTATGAGCTAACTTCCTCCCTCCAGAGCGCACTCACAGAGGGGGGTTAATTTTTTTTTTAAAAATAATATAAATTTTATAGTAAATTTTTTTTCGAAATTTAAAAAAACCCAACTTCTCAATAATTAGAAACCAAATATTAATTTAATGTATAAAATTTATGTTTTAAAACGCAATTTGTTTAAAATTAAACAGAATTAGTTAGAGGTTTCATGATAATAATTATTGCTTATATATCAATTTTTATTTTCATAAAAATTTTTATATTAAAAAATTTTTGTTCCCACGGAGGGTTGGTTTTTTGGCAAAAAATCGGGATTTTTTCAATGGTTTTGCTCACTCACGGAGAGGGGAGTAACGAATATTTATTTTTGAATCAAAAGGACTCACTTAAAAATTTTAAAATTCAAAGCTCAATCTCCAATAGAAAAGGCTATAGAAGAAATATCAAAACAACTAATTTTAAAGAAAGAAGAATTAGCGTGGCTAGATAGAGAGTTGCAAGATGCTATAAGTTTTCAATCTAAAATATAATAATTTTTAGCTTTTAGTTTAAAAATTACTATTCATTCAAATTTCTCTTTATAAACCTTTGTCCATATCTATATTATTTTAATTTGAATTGAGTTCACTTAATTATTTTAGCAGAGTCATTTCGGCTATTAATCGACCTTGGCTTCCCTCAGTCCAAGCACGGACGGTTTTAGTTGAGATTAATAAGAAAAATCAAATATTTTTCTTCAAATTCATAATAATGGAGTTGACATTTTAACCCTTACTTCATTTAAATTAATCGCTTTAGGAGGTTAATTTTTTTTTATAAAAAATTATTATAAATTTTATTTGAAAAAAATTCTAATTGAGAAGTAAAAATTATGCTAATTTGTAAAATTTATGTTTTAAAATGCAACTTATTTAAAATTAAACAGAATTAGCTAAAGATTTTTTTATAATAATCATCACTTATATATCAATTTATTTTTAGAAATATTTTTATAATAAAAAGATTTTTGTCTGCTCACAGTCGCTCATGGAGGAGAGGAGTTAGCAGGGTATATGCTTTATAAAAGAAAATTTTATTAAGTCAGCAAAAAAGAAGGTGAGAAACTGAATAATGGTTAACTGAGCATTTTCTGGGTATAGAATATACCAATTGCCCGAGGATGGTGCTATCTTGCGCCACCCTCGGGCAATTGAAAAATGGCCCCACACCGGGAATCGAACCCACGTGTGGGGCCATTTTTTGGTGTGTGGCCAACATCGACTTACACTCACCAAAAATGGCTCCACACGTGGGTTCGCTTCCCGGTGTGGGGCAATTCCTATAGTTGCAAATTGGTTTTGTAAAATGCATGAAGGTAATAGCTTCAAAACGAAACCCAATTAAAGAATGAAAAGACAGCATATACTGAAAATATAGAAATTTTTCACAAAGATAAAATTAGTGCAGCCTCAAACTTTCTTTTGCTATAAGAATAATATATAGAAGAATGTGGCTTCGAAAGCGATTGTGATATTACAGGGTCTTAGGAAACTGTATTTCATAGTAAAATGATGATTATTTTAATTTGCATTATGATTTATTCATACCTTATATAAGCGGCGAGTTTATTTAGTTCACATATCCTAAATTTTGCCATGCTATATCTCAACATAATTTCTTTAAAAAATCAAGCAGCTAATTGCAAACTTAATTTAACCCCAATATAAAGAATATTGAAGAAAATATCTCCACGAATCAAGCTCTTCAAGAAATAATATCCAAAATCAATCATAAAATTCAAATTGCAAATGCTGAAGTATATTCAATGCAAAATTTCCTGGAATTATTGCATAATTCGATATCATTCAATGAAGAAGATGACTTAGATGATAGGTATTTAAATTTCAATTATAGCTATTATTTTTATAGAAAAGTCAGTGATTCAATGGTTGTAACTGTCCCAAAAAAAGCCATTGGAAAAATTCTGAAAAACCTCTGATTGAAGAAAAAATATTTTATTTTTTATAAGAAAATTTTACTGTAATAATTGATAACTTTTTTTAACGAAATCTCTAACGAAATCTGTTAAATTTTAAACAGCCTGCATTCGAAAGCTTTCCAATTTTTATTTATTCAGAATTTTTTTAAATTAAAAAAAATTTATATTAGAATCTTTAAATAGAATTAAGTACATTATGAGTGAGCAAAATATTTTACTCACTCATACAGGGATATTAGGAGGAATAAATCCAAGCAAAAAAGTCATAAAACTTATAGAGTGCTTATATATTTTTATGAATAAAAACTATAAAGATTGAGCACATTTTGAAAATGACTATGATAGTTTGATCTGGGAATTAACGAATAAGCTTCATGATATTGCTATGAGAATGAAAGATGAGCAGCTTATGAAAATTTCTCAAATTATTGAAGAGCTAGATAATTGAAGCTCCAAACCACATAATAAGCTGAGGGATATTTATTTTTGAATTAAAAGGACTCACTTAAAAATTTTAAAATTCAAAGCTCAATTTCAAATAGAAAAGGCTATAATAGAAATACCAAAAAAAATAATTTTAAAGAAAGATGAATTAGTGTTGCTGCATAGAGAGTTACAAGATGCTATAAGTATCCAATCTAAAATATAGTTTATAGTTTCCAATCTAAAAATATTATTCATTCAAATTTTTCTTTATAAACCATTTCTACATATCTATATTATTTTGAATTGAATTCACTTAATTATTTTAGAATTTTTGGTGATTGCAAATTATATTGTTAATAACAGATATATAGAGTGAGCACGATTATGGATCGACCTTTGTTTCCCTCCCCATGCACAGACTGTTAAGTTTAAATGAAACAGGAAAAAGTATTTTTTCTTCAAATTCATAATAATGGAGTTGCCATTTTTTCCCCTTGTTTCATTTAAATGAAATCTTCAGGGATTGAAATAGGGCTACTCACGAAATATGGTTTATTCATAAATAGCACCATAATTTCATGATTTTACCCACTAGGTTATTTTTGGCCAGACCAAAAGTTATCACTTAGTCCGATCAAATTAAGCCCATTAGGTAAATCATGGGTTTATGGGAATGTTTGTGAGAAAATCTATATATTGAGAGAATTTATTTAAAAACTATGATATTTTAACATACTTTTTTTATAATTTCTATCTTATAATGCAGTAATCTACAGCAGAAACAATGGGAAAGATCTATTAGACTTAGAAACACAACCAACAAAGTGGGATGATGAGAGAGAGTAATATATATCAATTATAGTGGAACAAGCTATAATATAATGTCTAAAAACAAAACTAGTTCCAAATAACTCTAAGACAGCTATATGAAAAATTAAGAAAAACCATACTTCAAAAAGCTAAAGCAATAAAAACGATTGTTATACAATAAGATCCTAAATCCCCCTTCGTACAGGAAGTTAAATTTATTTTTACGAAATTTAAAATAAATCCCAATTGGAAAAAATTTTAAAGCAAATATTAATTTAATTTGGAAAATGTATAGTACCCCCCCCCCTCGTTTGTCGCATTTTCTAGTTTTTTGCCATTTGTCGCATTTTCTAGTTTTTTTTTATAAGAGAAAAAAAATTTTCAGGACCTCATTTGTCGCATTTTCTATTTTTTTTTTAAGCCAAAAAAAAAATCGGTTCAGGACCTCGCTTTTCGCATTTTCTAGTTTTTTTTTCTCTCTATAAATTCCTAAAAATTAAAATTCGTCAAGGGATCAGTCAGTGAAATTTCATCATTTCTTCCTTCAAAATCCTTGCTCCCATTCCTCAATCCCCACAGCTTGCTTCCCATTACCTGCTCCCATTGCTTAAGCCTCACCACTTGCCATTCACCATTCTTATTCCCCTATCTTCATGCCTATTTCCTTATTTGATAGCTTAATTTCTAGTCATATTAATTAATGGAGTTGCGCGAAATTGAGGACCAGCCGATAAAAATCCCGGCAATGATTCAAAGCATGGCCTATGGAGAGAGGCTCAATGCAAAGCAGATCCAAGAGCGTCTTGCTGCTTGTGGCAAGGACATGAGCCTGACGACGATCAGGCACTACACCAACAAGTTCAATCCTGAAGAGCACACTTTAGAGCTCAGGCGGAAGCTTGTGGACCATGGACTATCGCCTCCTCCTAAGAAAATCAAGTGGAATGATGGAGAGAGCATAGTCAAGAGGATCATTGACGTAGGTTTCTTTAAAAACGAAGAACTTGCGACAATCTTGGGGACTTCTAAACGGACTATTGAGCGAATTGCTGCAGAGAATACTGAGAGTGAATCTGACGAAGCGGCTGGAAGAGAAGAGGCACTATCCAGATCTCCCCTAAAGCATTGATGAAGACTTTGCTGAGGTCATTAAGGAATGTGAGAAGGATACAGGCTTTGTCAGCAAGTTTGAGGGCCCAATTCAAAAGAAAGACAGTTGACATCAGCGAAGAACAGCTAGGAAAAGAGCTGAAGAAGAGGGGATATGTCTATAGGAAGAAGAGGGTTGTTCTACAGCTAACTGAAGCTCATAAAGAGCAGAGAATGTCCTGGGCTAGGTCTTTGATTGACTCAGATATCGCTTCATGGATCTTCAGTGATGAGTGCTATGTGCATCTCTTTCGTAACTCTAATTTGTGCAAAGAAGGGATAAACGCAACGATTGAAGAGCCTATCAATTGAAAAACCTCAATTATGATCTTGGGAGGAATTTCTATCGTTTTTGGCAAAATGCTCTTCATAAAGAAGGAGATGCAATCAATGCCCAGGTCTATATCAGAGACATTCTCCAGGGCTATATTGAGCCTTTAGATGGAGACTACACCTTCGTTCAGGATGGGGCAACAGCCCATACTGCAAGGCAGACTATGGAATATTGCAGAGAAAACGGGATTGATGTGAAGACTCAATCGCCGAAGAGCCCAGATCTCAATCCATTGAGATGATCTGGGGCCAATTTGAAGAGGAAAGTGGAGAAAAGAAGGCCTGACAGCAAAGCCAGACTAATTGCTGCCATTCAGGAGTCATGGGACGAAATTTCTTTTGAGGAAGTGCAAAATTCCATTCTTAAGGTGAAAAATGAAAGAGCAAGCAGTCATTGAAGCGCAAGGAGAATGGAGTTAATAAGCTAATTTAATCTATTCTCTAAAAAAGGGGAGAGTAAAGTGGGAAGGACTGGGAAGGACTGGGAAGGACTGGGAAGGACTGGGAAGGACTGGAAGGACTGGGAAGGACTGGGAAGGACTGGGAAGGACTGGGAAGGACTGGGAAGGACTGGGAAGGACTGGGAAGGACTGGGAAGGACTGGGAAGGACTGGGAAGGACTGGGAAGGACTGGGAAGGACTGGGAAGGACTGGGAAGGACTGGGAAGGACTGGGAAGGACTGGGAAGGACTGGGAAGGACTGGGAAGGACTGGGAAGGACTGGGAAGGACTGGGAAGGACTGGGAAGGACTGGGAAGGACTGGGAAGGACTGGGAAGGACTGGGAAGGACTGGAAGGACTGGGAAGGACTGGGGAAGGACTGGGAAGGACTGGGAAGGACTGGGAAAGGACTGGGAAGGACTGGGAAGGACTGGGAAGGACTCGGGCCTGCTAACCCTCTGCAGGCAAATGTAAGGTAAACTCCTCTATAATTACTCAATTAAATTAATCAGAAACTATTTTTTAAAAAAACTAAGATTTGCGACATCAAAAAAAAATTAAAAAAACTAGAAATTGCGAAAAATGTATTTGCACTAGAAAATGCGACAAACGAGGTCCTGTAAATTTTTTTTTTTCCCTTAAAAAAAAACTAGAAAATGCGACAAACGAGGGGGGGGGTACTATATATTTTAAATGGGAACTGTTTAAAATAAAAATAGAATTAACTAGAGGTTTCATTATAATAATATCACTTATATATCAACATATTTTCATAAATTAAAAAATTTTTTATTCACTCACGATAGGGTTGTTTTTTGCTCAAAAAATAAGGATTTTTCCAATGTTTTGTACGCTCAAGGAGGGGAAGAGTAAGAAATTATATTTAATCTAAATTAAAATGCTTGGAAAATATGATTTATTCACATCTATTATGAGCTTTACAATACTTAATTTAAAAATACTACGAATTATTACAAAAAATATATCATTCATTTCTGAAAAGGCTTATGAATATTACAAGCTATACGATTTCAGCTTTAATAATTAATACACAAGTAATGGAAATAATATAGCAAGGCCTAGAGAACAATATTTATAGTTGAAAAATAATTATTTTGATCTATATTAAAGTGCTTGGAAAAATATGATCTATTCACATCTATTATAATCTCAAGACTTAGTTATAATATTTTAGATAAAAGTTGATTATGCAGTGTGAAAATGCTGACGAAAATCTCTCCACCAATCAAGGATTTCAACAATGCATACCCAAAATCAATCATAAAATCCAAATTATAAGCGCTGAAATACATTTAATACAAAATTTCCGTGGTTTACTGCAAAATTCTATATCATTCATTTCTGAAAGGTCTGATGAATATTACAAGGAATATAATTTCAGCTATCACTATTGATATTTTAGAAAATGCGATCCCACGACTACCCTAGACGGAATAAAATTTTGCCAAAACGACATAAAACTTATAGAATGCCTAAATAAGTTTTGCAATAGCCCATATAATAATGCAGATCATTTTTTGGCTTCTTATAATGTTACTGTGCTATGTATGCTGGATAGGAGATTCAATTATTTTGCTATGCTAATGACTGATGAGCAACTGATGAAAATTTCTGAAGTTATTGAAGAATTGGGTATTTGAAGCTCTGAAGCAAATTATGATATGAAGATTATTTATCAATGAATTAAAGGGACATACTTAAAGATTTTAGCATTCAGAGCAAAATCTCAATCTGAAAATACTATAGAAGAAATAGACAAAAAAATAGTTTTAAAACAAGAAGAAGAGGCACATCTGCAAAGAGAGTTGCAGAATGTTATAAACTTCAATTAAAAATATAATTTTTCTTCAATTTTATTTTAAAATTTATTATGGGTGTGCCTCCTAAACTTCCTGAAGAAGCGCGAATATTGACTTGAACTATTTTCTTTGAGTACAGCAAAATTAGGTAAAATCTAGAACGATGATACTACTAATATTGATGCTTGTTGGCCTATATAATCCACCAATTAACTCTTGGATTTCTTTGAAATTGTTTAGCTAGACGAAGTCACACGTATGCCCAGAGTATATTTCTTCTTTAAGTCGTTTTGATAAAAAGCATATCCACATTTATATTGTGCTGAATTGTATTAGATTTATTATTTTTTATATTTCCATCACGCAAATATAACTTAACCCTTCAGTCTGCTATGTAATAAATATAATTATATTCAGCATAATAACAAATCCAATAACTTTATATATGAAATCTGGCAAAAACAAAGACTTAAAAATTAACCATGAAACAGAAGCTCTCGATGACCCTAAAATTTTCACCCTAACGAACAGCACAGAATCAACTGGCAACAAAGACCTTGAAGAATCCCTCCCAAACACTTCCAAATTCTCAAAATGTGTCCAAAAAATTTCCGACTCTTATATTTGAATTACTATCAGTGGCCTAGCCTTATTTTACTCTCTAATTGGAGATGAAGTCAGAAGGGCTGCATATGATAAAGACAATGACGACACATTTTTTATTTTTGCATGCGTGATTTTATGCATTTTTGTATTAGAGTTGCCTATAAACTGAATAGCTCACCACAATTACAGATGGTCGTATTGGTGCTTTATTGATATATTAGGGGTAGTTTCCATAATTCCTGATATCGGGTATATATGAAACCCTATAGTCGGGTCATATTGTCTTAGTTATTCAGGAAAAGAAATAGAAACAGGCTACCCGAATTTGTCATTAAAATTCGTAAGGATCGCCAGGTTATTTAGGATTTTGAAGCTTTATAAGCTGATAATGCTGACGGTTTCCAAAAAGAAAAATAAGGCAGAAGATGTTTATGATGGCTCAAAGGTCGGAGTGATCCTTGCGGACTCTATGAATAAAAGTGTGATTACTTTAATTATATTTTTATTAGCGATTTTGCCTTTCTTTGAGTATGATTATTATGAAAATACCTCTGAAAGCTGAAATTATGGGCTGATACTTTTGACGAATTTTGCGAAGCAAAGAGATTTTGAAATGATGTATCAAAAATATTTATCTAATTTATAATGAATAGAAATATTTAATAATTTACTATGTGAAATAGGGTAAAAGATGGTTATATTTATTGCAAATAAGTATAGATGTGGATTATTTAGATTATTTTACAGTACTTTATATAGATTTTGAATATGAAGATGGCAATTTTAAAGTAAGCAGAAATTGGGCTAGGAAGGATTTTGATATGGACGAAATAAGAGAGTCTGAGATGATGTGCATAAATTATAAAAACAGCACAGTAATTTTAGATATGAGATACCATACACAGTTAGAAGCTTATTTAAGCTTGTCTAAGACACTAATTCCTCCTTTTAAATTGAAACAAAAGGTAAATTTTCACTATTGCTAGAGAAATTAATCCCACTTTTTAAATGGAACAAAATTTTATTTTTTATAATCTCTATGATAATCAATAAAAAAAATTCGAAAATAATTTGTTCTATTCAAAATAATGCAATTAGAATTCTATTTTAAATTTATAATTAATTTTTCATGTAAAAGCTTATAAATTTCTTTTTCTAAAAAAAATAGCTGGAACAATTTTTTTGTTGCAGCTTAATCGGAGTAACTATGTGCTTTATAATGATTATAAGTGCTATGTTTCTAAATAAAGACGTCAGAGATTTTGTGATAACTCCTGCTGAAAAAGCAATTTTATGAATTAAATCTATTTCAAATACCCCACTTAGCTTGCGAAACGCAAAATCAATGCCAAAATCAGAAACTGAAGATGAAACTTTGAATAAATGCTGCATAAAGGTAAAAATCGCCCCAAATTACGAAGTCCAAATACTAGAAAATACTCTATTAAAAATGAGCAAACTAACATCTCTATGTTTTGGTGAAGACGAAGCCAAAGTAATTGAAACAGGGATGAATGAAAAATGACGCCTCAGCCCATCAGCCAAAGGAAGAAAATTTTACGCAATTTTTGGGATTTGCAGTGTTGAAAGCATGGCTGAATTTCAGCCTGATTTATTTATTTTCATAAATAAAATTGCAAGTATTGTTCATCACGTTGCTGACCAATATATGTGTGATGCAATTTTAAACCTTGGCTGAAATTTTATACTTATATGGAAAATTGATGATAGTGAAATAAAAGAAAAAGAAGGAAAACTTAAATTTATGCCGTCCTCAGCTAAGTCGACATTTCTGGCAGATTTAGCCTTTATTAGTTTAATGAAAATTTCAGCAAAAATTATCACTGATAAAAATATTGAGAGATTTACTAAAGATAGCAGAGTTTTGAAAGGGAAAACGAAATATAATAGAAAGCTAGGATTTTCATTGCATGTAGGGTCAGGAATTGAAGGGTGTATTGGAAGTGATTATAAAATTGATACGGGGTATATATCAAATGATTTAAATGCGTGCTTAGAGTTAGCTAAATTTTCAAGACAAAATGAAAATAAAATAGTTGTTAGTGATTCTTTGTATGATATGCTGAGTCCTGAAGGAAAAGGGGTGCTGAAATTGATTGATACAGAAGAAAAGGACAATGAAGAATATATGAGAATTTATAAAGCAAATTTAAATTGTTCAGTGCCTCCTTTGAAGATGAAAAAAAGAGAGTTTGAAAAATGCTATCTTGATATAGGCATATTCTGCAAATAGCCGGTATGGGCTAGGGATAGAGGCCAAAACTTTCCAATTGATTCGGCCAAAATGGATTAGTCGAACCAAGTGGAAGGAGGCTTATTTGCTACTTTCAACTTGGTTCGATCAGCCATTTTGGTCGAACCAATTGGGAAGTTTTGGCCTCTATCCCTAGCCCATATCGGGCTATTTGCAGAATATGCCTATAAAAAATCAGAACTAATGCAAAAGCTTGATGGTGGGGAAGTTACAGGTAAATATTTATATGAGATGAGCAAATGTGTAAGACTTATGAAAAGGATTCCAGAACATATTTAATTAGTTGCTTTATATTACAGAAGTAGAAACTTTATTGAGTAATTTATTGTCAGCATTTATATAATAATTTTATAAAAATAAAGATGAGTTGCCTTAGATAACCTCTGCAAATATATTAAATAAACTTTTATATTAAAGCAAATATTAATTATAAAAATACTTTAGCAATGCAATAGAAAAGTCCAAAATTATCCCTCATCATTTTATCTTCATTTATTTTTTCTTCTTACTTTCTAAATCTTTAATATAACTCAAAATTCCTTCTAATATTTTATGGATAAATATGCAGACCTTTAATTCCTTATAAAAACAAATGGACATTCCAGTGCTTCTAGAGCATCTAAACGATTTCCAACAAAACGCGACTGACCTTCACGAAATCCATCACTTTACACAGAACTTAAAGACACTAATCGAAGAATCATCTACCAATCTCCGAATTGCAACCTCAGACAACACCATGATAAACCGTGTAAACAATCTGCTGCCTAAGTCAATGCAGCGCCAAGAAATTAAAATTTTTAATTTGATTGCAAAATATGCTGGCTTATCTAAAGTTTTTATAAGGATCCCAACAACTTTAATTAGACTAGAAAACAGCCTATATTTAATTCAAAATAGAAAAGAAGATAGCTTGATTACCTGCAAGGAATGCACAGAGATTGAATTTTTTAATTTGCCAAACGCAGCAAATGATCAAACTTCACCTGTATTTGTATACAAAAGTCAACCAAAAGGGGTTGTGGTACTGTTTTCTTATGAAAGTGCCTCGAGGCTTTGGAGCACGCTAGAAGTTAATGCAATGATACAGCAGTTTATACAAAGCAAAGCTGACCCAGCTACAATTACAAGAGTGCTGTGAAGAAGTGGCATGAAAAATAAATATTATACGATAACAAATAGAAAAAGTGCAGGCAGAAGGCTTACTCCCCTCTCGTAGCGAACAAAAAAATTTTGTGGGGGGTTTTGTCTTCTAAATTTAAAAAAAAATGTTTTTAAGCAAATATTTTAATTTGTAAAATTTATGTTTTTAAAATGCAAGCTGTTTAAAATCAAATAGAATTAGCTAGAGATTTCATTATACTAATTATCACGTATATATCAAAATTTTTTATATAAAACATTTTTGTTCGATCACAGAGGGTGGTTTTTTGGGTAAAATAGAGATTTTTCCAATAGCTTTGTTCGCTCACGAATGGGGAAGTTAGCAAATCATTGAGCCAAAATACAAGCATAACTGCAGCTTACAAAAGAACGAAATCTACTATAGGCTCTGATATTAAAGTTCGGCGGGCATCAGATTTTCGATATACACATTTAATGCTGCCAACATCTCAATCAATAAACAACCCATTTAGAATCAGCAACAACAGGACGCCCATTCCTCGCAAAACAAGCTCAATTGACGATATCCCCGATATTAATCGTATCCAAATGGAAGAAGAAAAAGGTTTCATACACAAATCTCCTACTATAATTTTAAGTAAAGCTGATTTTGATGTCCAAAGCTTCAAAAAAGAACTACCGAATTCAAGAGACAATAAAGAATATTTAGTAATGACAAAAGACGCTGACAGTTGCTATGCTAGCGAAACTTGTTCAAAAATCCCTGAAATTGAAAATATGGTCGACCAAATTGTGGAATTTTTAAATCTTCATGTTTTCAAAAAAAATGGGCTGAAAGGGATTGTGCTTGATTTTGTAAAGGATAAAAATAATGTTTGGTATTTATTAGAATGCAAAGAATTTAACGTAGATTTTGTAGTTCCGTTAGAAATAGAAAAAAATAGAAAACATAAAACAAGGATTGGTGATGAAATTGTAAAGCGAAGAAGCCAAAGCAGAGCAGATACACAAGCTGACACATTTGAACCTAAACTCCCTGAAATAAGCAAGGATATAATTGATGAAAATGAAGAATTTTTGTCTCTTGGCTGCCCATTCAAAATTCGGACAAAGCCTCAGAGATTTTGCCATACTCCTGTTAGCGAAGAAGAATTTTTAAACCGCCTTGACAGAGTTACTGAAAAAATTGATAAAATCAGCAATTCTCATATACCGTCATCTAAGCTGTTTCCTCAAGATAAAAATGAACAAGTCCAAGGATACTTAAATAGTCATGATTATTATAGTTCCCAATCAAATCTCCCAACTCATAGCTATACTTTATCTGATAGCTCAGGAAAAGGGAGCCTTGATGCAGAAAATGTTGGCAAAAATTATAGTGGTTTTCCCTCTATGGCCCGATAAGGGCCTTGGGTTCTCCGTGGAATCCCTCTGTTGGCCAAACCAGCAGAGGGATTCCACGGAGAACCTAAGGCCCTTATCGGGCCATATAGGGAAAACACCTATACCCAAAAAAAATCCTATCAGAAGGTGTCACAAGTTTAGATGACATGAACATGAAAATTAAAATTGCGAAACTAAGAAGCACAAATTTATTCGCAAAATACGGAGGAGAGTCTTTTTGGAGCAAGTTTATTTTGTCGTTTTATAATAAAGTCCTGTCCAATGAAATGCTATGCAAGTTTTTTAAAAATTCGAAGCTTCAGAGCTTTGAGTTTATTGTTGCAGGGTATTTTAAACTATTTAATGGAAGTTTGAATTTAGAATTGAGAAAAAGGCTTAAGGCTTCCCATTATTATAGAGGAATTACTGAAAGAGATTTTGATTGCTATATTGATTTATTCAGCCATACAATGGCTGAGTTTAATATAGAAGAAGAGGATAGGATTGGAATGATTTCAGAGTTAAGATCAGTAAAAAATATTATATGCAGAGAACTTATGTAGAATGGCAAATTAATAGTACTTTAGAAATAATTTTTTTTTAAAATAATGGATGAATATTAAACTAATACTTTACGACGGCTTTCTACATATAAGGCTCTTCATTAGTTTGACTTCTGACATAATTCCAGCTTTATCTTCTTCATCGACATTAAACTCAGTCAAAGTGAGCTCAAATAGGTCAGTATAGCAATTAAATTCTTCATATGTGATTCCTTTCACATGGTGGGACTGCTTTAATTTTCTTCTTAATTCCAAATTAATTTTAGCTGAAACTATCTTGAACATCCCTTCTACAATTTTTTCAAAACTTTCAATAGTGGATGATGCAAAGTGCCTATTTAGTAAAGGTGTAGCAAGAATTTTATTGTAAAGAGACACGATAAATTTGCTCCAAAAATCTTTTCCGCCGTATTTCTTTACAATATCTTGCTGCTTGATTTTAGAAATTTTTATATTCATGGCCATTTCGTCATAATTATCAACTCCAGCCATTACAACATTTCTGGTATAAATGAGATCTTTATCTTCGCTTGAAGAAGTATCTGGCTCGCTATTCCCAAAGTTCATTGGGCATTTTAGCTTACTCTCTTCTTTAAATTACAATTGTAGAGGGAGAAAAAAAAGTTATATTTAGATCTTTTTAAGAATAATCAATAAAAAGATTTAAAGTTCTACTTATATACCAAAATAGACAATATAGGTAATTTTTTTAATTTTATAAAAATTAGTCATTTAATAGGCTCAAAGCCTGTTAAAGATAAATGCCATTTCAACGATGATTTTTTATCAATTTTTTTTCAATTCAAAATAATAATTAATCAATATTTTATTCCAACCTAAAGGGGTGAAGAGTTAGGTGAATTAGCATTTGAGCCATTTAATTCAGTGAAAGTATAGTGAAAAGATTTGCAGTATTCTTTAATACTTTCTTCTTTGCTTACAGGCGTTATACACGTAGGTGTTTTCAGTTGATTAATTCTGTCTATTTTTTCATTGACTTTATTCAGTCTTTCTATAAACTGTTTTTCTGTGACAGCATTAAAGTCTATTTTTTTAGGTTTTGACCTAATTTTAAAAGGGCAGGCCGTAATTTCGCTCGTAGGGTCATAGTCTTCTACTTCTGCTTCTCCTTCTGACTCAGCTTTCACATCTTCAGTTGAAGGTGTAGGAAGATCTAGATCTTGCTGAGACAAACTCGGCGAGTCTACAATATCACTTGCAGTTGCAAGGGTTTTTTCTTTTTCTAATTTTCCTCTAATTTTCTTTGAAGTGTCGCATTCCAAGTTCATATGACACTCTGTGCAATAATCTTTGCAGTCTAACAAAAACCAGTTATTGCTTTTATCTTTGATAAAATCAAGCACAATCCCTTTAATTGCTCTATACTTAAAAGCTTCAGAATTTAAAAATTCTATCAGCTGCTCCACCATGTACTCGATTTCAAAAATCTTCATATAGCTTTCACTAGCATAGCAGCTCTCAATATCTTTGGTCAAAACCAAATAATCTTTATTCCTTTCTTTTGCATTGAATTCTGATGCCATTGTTAAAGGACTATCAATTTCATCTTTTACCTTAGGCAATAATGTGGTTGAATAAGTCTTGAAAATTTTATTTTCATCATCTTTGGGGTCTTCCTTTATGGTTGTTAATGTTTTTAACTTAGTCACCATTCGCCCTTTAAAAGGGTTATTTACAGATTGTGAAGTAGGTAGAATCATATTGGAATATTTAAAATCGGAGGAAATATTGGCACCATGCCAAGTGACCGTGGATTTTTGACAGTTTACATTTTATCGAAAGCCATTTGGTCGAAATTTTTGATACTGCGACATTTGGCCGAAAATTAACGTTTTTTTTTTCGGTCAAGTGTAAATTTTCGATCAATTTTCGGCCAAAAATTTTTCGGTGAAATGGACACTATCAAAAAAGGCAAAGTCATTTGGCCTGCACCCGGAAATATTATTCATCATTTTACACCTTTTGGCTGAAAGAGATGAAACAAGGGTGGAAGATTTTTTATTTGACCTCACAAAAGCTTTTTTTCGATTTGTGATGGTAAAATATTTAGTTTTCATGCCGAGCCTCCAGAGAACTCTTGTAATTGTAGCTGGATTTGTTTTGCTTTGTACGAAGTGCTGGATTTGGGCATCTTCTTCTGAGAGATTTCAAGTTTTGATAGCGCTATCTGTGGTAAATAAGACGAATTTATTTTTCTCTGGGACTTTGTAGATGAAGCTTGGGAATCCTGGATCATTTTTGGTGGTAGTCAGGTTGAAAAATTCATCTTTGGTGCATTCCCTGACTTGGACTGATTTTTTGTCTTTTTTATACTGAATAAAATATAAATTATGGTCAGTCCTCAGCATGGTTGTTGGGATATTCACATTTAGCTTGACTGAATTCATATTCTTTACAAGCATGCTGAATAGGTCCAGTTCTTGGTGGCATCCTTGTTTCTGAAGCAAATTATTGACTCTGCTGATCATGTTGTTTTCTGGGTTTATTGAATAGAAGCTTTTTGAGGATTCTGTGATTAAGCTCCTTAAATCTTCACCAAAATGTACAATTTCGTCACGCTCGTATTCGTTTTGGTGTATGTCATTAAGATGCTCCAAAATCTTTGGAATGTCGTCCATTAGTTTTTATAATTATATCTTATGGAGTCAGTAGAGTTTAAGTTAAGCATAAATGCAAGGAATGTTAAGATATGGAGGATTGATAGATTAACGCATTTATTTTATTAAGAGGGAAATGGCTGAATACGCTCTAAGGGTTTTAAGTTTGAATTTAGAGTTTGATAGAGGAAAGAAAAGAGTAAAAAAATTGTTAGAGAATGAAGAGAAGTGGCAATAATATAAAACACCGGTTGGTATAGTGATGGCAGATGTGAAAGCAATGAAAAATTGTCTTGGGTATCGAGGAAAATAGATATCAGCCTTGAAGGTTTACAACCTCTAATATCATCGATTTTAAGAAAATGAAATGGCTTCTGAGTCCCAATAAAGTTAGATAATTAATTATTTCTTTTAGGACCTAAAATTTTAATATAAACACTATTTTGGCACACTTCATGCTAAGAATTTACAATACGTAACCTTCCATATTATAAAATTTGCATTAGCTAATTACGTATTAAAATAAAAGCAATTATTACTTCTATTAGAAATGCAGAAAGTTTAATAATGTAATCACACTAGCGGCTATCTTTAAATAAAATTATATTTCATCTAATATAATTACATTCATAAAAACATACCTATTGGTAATCCCAATCCTAGTTTTATATATAAAATACGATAATGGCTACTCAGTATGAGCACCTTTGATAATTAATCATAATTAGGTATATCAACTCAATGCTTATCAATTACTTAAATTCAAAACCAAGCCCCTAGCATAGATTTTCTGTAAATGCATTTATTGTTGGAGCCACTTTTCCTTCCTTTTCCAAAAGCACCTTAAGTACATCCTTTTCCCTTACATACTTTCCAGCTACTTTTCTGCACTGCGCAACTAATCTAATAAAATAAGCAGGAATATCCCTCTCCATGCACTCCTGTCTCAGATCCCCACTGCTTTCAGATCTATTTTCTTCAATAGCCATATCAGATCTCGAATTTTCATCAGTTTGCTCTAATAGAATTACACTCCCATTGCTTGAATCTTGGGCAGGAGACGATTTTATCCTTTTTGAGTTTATTTGGAAAAAGATATCATCAAGCTTTCTTTTGAAGCATCCTTCTTGAGGCTTATCTGGGCTATTTTCTTGCATTTTTTCGTTATCAATTTTAGAGGCAGATAAATTAGCTTTTGTGGGGTTATTTTCTTTAGAAACATAACTTTTCCCTTTTACGTTATTTTGTAAAACCATTGTGTTTATTTTGGGTATTGGCTTAACTGGCTTTGTTGATATTGATTTTCAGTGAAATTTTAAGCTTTCAGCACTGTGGTCGACTTGCAGCCCATTTTTTAAGGCTTGCTCCCAATAGCTTCTGGCTTTGTCACAGCCGGGGTTGTTTTTTACATATAAAATCATCATATTGTCTTCTAATGAAGTATATGCTTTCCTTCCTTGTGATTTATTAGCAGTTGGTTGAGTGTTTTTACTTACTGATTGAATTAAATAGTCTTTTAAGTTCTGAATTTCTCCTAATGCGTCTGAATCAATAACAAATTTGTAAGAATAAATTGGATGATCTTTAGGAGATTTTAATTTCAGCTTAAAGTTTTGCTCATATGGGACAAGCTCAATAGCCCCTTCTTGGTATTCGTCAAGCATAATGCCACCGTTTGCTTCAACTAAGCTTGATACTTGGGATTTTTCGTGACAATTTTCGATAAAAAATTTCATGCTTTCGTTCCCGCTCATAAAGATCATGCTCATTTTAGTCTGAATTTCGTGATAAATATTATAAAGAGAACTGGAATATATGATTTATAATTTTAGGATTTGACTTTATAAATAAAGGAATTAAATTAAAGCATAATGAAATTGAAGTTCATTGAAGAATTTATATATTTGATTAATGGGCAGTATAATAATAAATTTTCATAAGCAATACAAATTAATAGCATTTAGAGAGTCCAGAACTAAAAAGTCTTATAAATAGAAGTCCTTTCTGGATCTGAATTAAGCATTAACCTTAATATATATCATTAATTCAATAATTTGGATGTTATAATTATTTCTTGTAGAGGAATTTGTATTTCAGTTTAACCTGAAAAAGGCACATTCTCATTTTTCAATTTTAAGATTTCAAATATCTGAGTCTAGAAAAAATAAGATTAAAAACCACAATGGTATATGAAATTCTTGAAAGTATAACACAAAGACATTTTTAGAATGGCAGCATCTAAAATATATTAAAAATATATACTTATAAGCAATAAATTCGGATAGTTATTTAAACTTGCCTTCTCGCATTTTCCTGAATTGCAATTTCCACTAAACAGTTTTCTGTTGAAAAATCTGTAAAAACCACATTTGCTCTAAGGAAAAGATCAGTTGAAAATCATTCTCTTATATTTTCATTTAGCTTCTCAGCTAGGTATTCACACCCATGAAACATCTTTCCTCATTTAAATTTCGGAGTCAGTTGGCACTGGAGCAGCCAAAGGTCATTAAAAGAAGCTTTTTCATTCAATCTTGCTTCTAAAAAATTTCTCAGCTCTGCAGGATCTCTTTCATTAGCCCATTCTTTATGTGCATTTATGCTTTCTTTAAACCTCCCATTCCCGAATATTTGTGGCTTACTAGTCAATATCATAATTCTTTTCCTTTCATTTATCAGCTGGCCAACAGTTTTTTCCGCATCTTCCTTTTCAATCACAAGCCCTTCTTTTAGTCAAGGCTCAAAATAAGCTGAAAAGTCAATCCAATCTTTAGGGTCATCACGATAATTTTTAAACTTTTTAAAGTGGCTTATATCTAGTATAATGATTTCTCTTTGGTGAGCATTAATAAAAGTATTGACGTTGTCTATTAATTCTTGGAGAGGAATCTCATTCATGCAGACGTCATGGGCAAAATAAAATCTGTCATCCTTAAACGGTAAATCTGGCCCACAGTTTATCCTGCAGTCTAAGTAGCGAATTCCTGCTTCTAATTGTTCGAGGAAATTTTTGTCTTGACATTGAATTCATGTTCTAGCTAGCCTGAATACTATGGCAGTTCTGTAAGTTCCTGAATCATGGGATCCAGGAATAAAAAGCTGACTGAGCTTTTTGGAAGAAATTGAGGTGAAAATTTCGCCCATTCAGTCAGAGTAATTTCGCCTTCTTGAAGCTCCTAATAACGGTTGTTCATTATCGCTAGTTGGCTCCATAATTATTCTTTAATTGAGAAATTATATATAAAATAGTCAAACATTAGAGAAATCAATGCTATTTATGCTTTAATATAAGAAAACTTACATTTGATTCATATGCAATAGGGCTTTCTGTATAATGTGAATGGAAAATCTTCTCTAAAATTTCATATTCTTTCAAGCTTTCTTTAAGTGTTTCGTATAGGCTTTCCCAGAGCACTATATGAGAGTAATTATTTTTCAGCATCTTATCAGCATAATATTTCGGATTTTTAAAGAATTCATCAACCTCTTTTATATCTGAAAAAGGTTCACAATGTAAGAAATCCATAGGAATATTTTGATGGATATGAGAGTAAAATGGGGTTCCGTGGCAGTTTATCCAAAATGCTACACTTTTTAGGTTTTCATTTCTCAAAGTATCAGTTGTTGCTAAAGGAGCTGATTGATGTCAAATGCTTAGATAAAACGCTATAGGGATTTGCAATAAAATAATAATTCATATTAAAAATTTGTACTTGATAAATTGCATTCCATATCCTGATATAATCAAAAAATACGGAAAATAAGGCAAAAGAAATCTAAATTCTTTGTGAGGGGATAACGATAAAAAGACCAAAGAAAATAATAGAGAAACAGCAAGAATAGGAAAATTTTTAGTCTGCAATGAATGAGATATATAGAAATATATTCCTAATAAAAATGGTAGCAGATAAGAAATCAAAACTGTAGGTATACCATTTGAAATATATCAGTGCCAAGGATGCACTCCGTAAAATGACGACTTTCCTTGCAATAAATTAAACTCTAAAAAATTATAAGCAGTAACAGTAAATTTTCCAAAATATAAAGAATCCAATAATATCTGAAAAGAAAAGCATGTGATCCTAAATATAGTTTACCCAATTCAAAAAGTCTGGAATAACTTTTTATATTCTTTCCTATAAAAATTAAATAAATATACAGGGATTCACGTCATTATTGAAGTTGGTCTACACATACAGCATAGTCCTACAATTATATTTCAATATATATCTTTTCCTATAGTCAAAAAATACAATCCTACAGCAGTAAGAGCCATTTCAAATGAATTATTATAAGTCCTAATCCCTCCATAAAATAAAAACCAACTAGCTATCTGCAAAACAAAAGTCCATTTCGCTGCATTTTTTCCAAAAATATGCTGAGCTATTTTATAGACGTATATATCACAAATATAGAGTAAAAATCCTTGAATAATTCTAGGTAAATATGCTACAATAATAGGATAGTCTAGACTTGTGATTTTTAGAAAAAATATATTATTTGTGTTAATTATGCATTTTAATTATTTCAAAAAATAATTATTCTATATGATGATATTATTAATATAATAAAAAATTGCAAAGATTCCTGGATGAATAATGGAGCGAAGTTCACTTGTTTTTCATTCCCATGTCAGTTCTCCATACCCAAATACAAGCTTATGAGCTACTTCTAAAGATTGCCAATATTCGTCAGGGCTGAAATAGCTTCTAACTATAAGACTGTCAAAAAGTCTGAAGAGCAAATGCAATATCATATATTTTAAATAAAATGAGAAAATTAGGGATTTATTATGAAGGCTGAATGGTTTCCTCTTTAGGGATCTGCTCATTGATTTGATTATGTATAGGAAGGGGCACGTTTTCAACTATGATATTTTCATCTTTAAAATCCTCTTTACTTTCTAATTCTTCTTTTGGTTCGTTTTGGCTATTATAACAGCTCCGATTCATTTGATCAGAACATTTTCCTCATATGACGTGGAAATTTTTTTCCCTCGTGTAAAATTTGACGGTTTTTGCAGAAATATTAATACCAAAACTCAGAGGAAATATCAACTAGGAAAAAATTCCTATCAAATGCTAGAAACGAATTATAACATTTTGCTCTTTTTCAAGATCAACACTTTCCCCTTTATCTCCCTTCATCTCACCAATTTCTTTACTAATCTCAACTTCTTTCCCAAAAGTAAAATCTTTCCTAATCACTTCTTTTTCTTCTTTTTTCCCCAAGCTAATTGTATCATTCAAATTCACAATTTTTTGCGAATGCGAAAAAGATTTTTCTTGCCTTTTATCTTCTTCTAAAGGCGGCAAATGCCCAATTCTCCCTTCAAATTTCGCGAATTTTTTTAACTTAAATAGCTTTTCTTTAGAAATCATTTTCTTTAACTGCATTATTTGGCTATATTCATCTACAGACTGTTTATAAGATATAAACGGGCTTTTTTCAGTGATTCTTTTTAGCAGCATTAAATTTTCAGCAAGTATTTTATCATTATTTTGCTTTTTCAGCTTATAATTCAGGCTTTTTAGATGTGGAGGACTAACAGTTTGTGTCCCAACTCGTTTTTTGTGAGAAATTTCTGCAAGTCTCTCATAGAGAATTTGATTTTGGCGAAGAATGTCGCGGTTTCTAGCAATTGCCATATATGGGACTGCTTTGGCTTTTGGGGAAGGTGATGAGGATTTTTGAATTACCATTGATAAGTTGTTGCTTTTTTGGATTTTTTTTAGGCGCTGCTGGTGTAAGCATAGAGAATGCTCCATATCCCATCTCAAGCTTTGAGGCTCATTTAAGTTGATGAACATATCTGCAAGCTAATTTATACAAAGCCATTAAATAATTCCTCTAATGCATATAGAAAATTTCTTATAATAACTTAAGACTTATTTAATAAGAAGACTTGGTTTTCTTAACTTGAGGAGACTGTATCGAAGAACTAATAATCTCAGCAGTCGCTGGCTCTTGGTTCTCATAATACCCCTTCTCAATCAGCAGCTCTTCAATGGTAAAATTCAAAGTTTCATACGTCACCCTTTCTTTATGAAGTATCGGGACCTCATCTTTCGAACAATTATGCAGCTTCCCCAGCTCTTCTTTCAAAGTATTTGCAAAGCTTGGCTCACTAAATAGCCAATGCTTAAAAGACTCCAACATAGACCTTCTAGGATCTCTCTGCAGCCCTGGAGGTAGCTGAGTTATATAAATTAACTTATGCAGAGTCTGAAACAAGGGCTGGACTGGGTCTTTTACTTTTTTTAAATTTGCTGACTTTATATGGACAACTGGGATGTCTGCTGATGACTTTGGCGCAGAATTTTTTATGGTTTCCCTCAGCTGCATTTCAGTGGTTTTAAGCTCATCTACTTGTAACATCAGGACTGGGCCGATAATTTGTGATATGTGTAAGATATCAGGACGCTGGTCAGGGTTTACAGTCATGCATTTTTTAATGACATTTATCAGAAGTGGGGATAGGTCTTTCGCTGTAATCGGGGTATAGTCTTCTTCTACTATTTTTCTAGCTATTGCTAATGGGTTTTCTCCTGAAAAAGGCTGACTCCCCCCCCCCTCCGTGAGTGAACAAAACCATTAGAAAAATCGCCATTTTTTGCCCCAAAAACCACCCTCCGTGAGTGAACAAAAATTTGTTTAATAGAAAAATTTTTTATGGAAAAAAAAATTTGATATATAAATGATAATTAGTAGAATGAAATCTAAAACTAATTCTGTTTAATTTTAAACGAATTGCTTTTTAAAACATAAATTTTATAAATTAAATTAACATTTGCTTTCCAATTTTTGCGAATTAGGATTTTTTTTAAATTTCGAAAAAAAATATTTTTTATAAAATTTATATATAAATTTTTTTAAAAAAAAAAAATTAACCCCCCTCCGTGAGTGAACAAAAAAATTTTGTTCACTCACGGAGGGGGGGGGAGTGAGATAACGTAGCAAGCTCATATAAAATGACTCCTAAAGACCAAATATCAGCCTTTTCTGTATATGGCTGCGACCTGACAATTTCAGGACATGAGTATTGGATTGTCCCAACAAAAGCATTCATATGGCCACTTGAATGTCCTCCCCTCTGTTTCGCAAGCCCAAAATCTGCAATTTTCACATGATTATCTCTTGTTATCATAATATTGGCTGGTGTAAAATCCCTATGAACCACTCTTTTATCTAAATGCAAATACCTGAGCCCTGCACACATTTCAATAAAAATCCTTCAAATTTGTCCTTCTACCAGCCTTTGTCCTTTTTCTTTTACACTTGTAATAAAATCTGACAAGGGCTGGCCTTCAATTAGTTCCATAACAATATACAAGTTTTCATTGGCTACAAAAGATGTGAAATATTGTATAATATTTGGATGGTTCAAGTTCTTATAAATTGCGACTTCTTTGCTGAGTTTTTCTGCAAGTTTATCGATGCTTTCTTCTTCAAAATCGTTTTCAAAGTCCTGGAGAGGGATTTCTTTGAGGGCATAGCGATTGCCGCCTTTGGTTGCTTCAAAAACGGTACCAAAAGCGCCTTTTCCGATTAATTCGCCTATGACATAGCCTCCGATTTCTCGCCCTTGGGCTGGGTCTTGGGTTTCTTTCATTTCTTGGATGCCTTTTTCAATGGTTTCTAGCTCACTTTGGGAGATTGAGTTTATGATTTTTAATGTCCCTTGATAGGCGGTGATGTCTTTTATATAATTCCCTACATCAATAAAGCTGGCAAAAATGTGAGGCGGGAAAATTCTTCTAAAATATTTGCGGTTTCTTTCAATTGAGTAGAGGAACCTTATGCATTGTAAAGCATTTAGCTGGATTTCGTATAAGCCAGGCTTGATTTCGTCAGATAGACCTTCAGGGTAATTAAGAGGATGATACTGTATTAAGCAGTAAGAAATCAAATGGGCGCCTTGTGTTCTGATATAGACCGCAGTTTCATCGTCAAGAGTCATTTCGGTGATTAATTTTAAGGCATTTATAACCTCTAAAGGGTGCTCACTCCCTCCTTTAAATTTGAAAAAAGGTAAAATTTGCATTTTTTTGGTTTTTTAACCCCCTTTAAATTGGAGCAAAAAATTATTTTTGGCTTAATTAAATGGAAAAAATGCAAGTGGAATATTATTTAAAGAGTTTTCACACAGAATCAATTAATTTTTTGCTTATAAAATAAATTAAGATCTAAAATTGATTGATATTTTTTAAACAAAAACTCTTAAATTGGAAAAGATTTTTTCCAATTTAAATAGGAGGGGGTCAGAGCTCCCTATAACTTTAAGCAGCAAACTTATAAGCCCAAGATTTTTATATTCTCTGACATTTTCAGTGTCCATACAAAGTGTTAAAATAACTCTTGATAAATACAGTTTTGATGCTAAATCTTTACTTTTTTGAAAAGCACTATATAACTGTTACTTCATCATTATTAGATTTCCTCGCTGCAAACGGACTTGGCGTGACATTTCTTCTTTATGGCACATAACATTAAGCAAATTGGAGGCTAATTGGATAAATTCTCCTTCGTATTCGCTGATTATTCTTAATAGGAGCTCGACGATTGAGGTTTTTTCTAAAACTTCTCGCATCTCTTGGCCTACTTAATTTTACTCTTTGGAAAGCGCAATTAAGGCTTCAAGTGTCCCTCTTGCTACAATTGCATGTGAGCTGCCTAGCATTAAAGTCAAAACTTCTGGGATTTCAAATTTTATTTTTTTATTATATTAATTGCTTTATAATTTTTTTAAAAATAAAAATGCTGCCTAAATAGATATGAATGTGTATTTATTTAAATATAGGATAATAACTGTTTGATTAATTGATCATTTTCGGCCATCCTTCTAATAATAGTGGCTAGTTCGACTAGCATTTCACTAATCTCACTTAACTAGTAAACAAAATTTTCTATAAGCTAAGGAGGTAAATTTTGTTTAAGTTAAAATTTGGAAAAAAATCAATAAAATTTATGTTTAAAGATGCAATAACAGTAGCATTAACTATATTATTAAGAGGCCCGTCGTAATACCCAGGGTTTCCCCGGTCTACCTTCATCCTTGACGCTTCAACCGGTTGCTCACCACCAATCGATCACGACCTTCAAGGTGTCGCTCCTACTAGACGAGGATGTGCACTCGCTATCCGTATTTGGATGAGTTACACCACCCAGAAGTACGTCAACATAGGTTGCCCATTCCGAAAATTCGAAAAACAAATTTTCTGGTATGACTGTCGGCCAAAATGAAAACCCCAAAGCCTGGGACGTAACGCCCAGTTTAACGCTAGGGAGTTGCCCGACGGACCAAGTATGCATCCTTGGTGCTGCTGAGCATCCCCTTTCCAACCTTGAAAATCATTTCCCCTGAGGCAAAAAGCCCTGGTATCAGAATGAGCTGCCGTCGACCTAATTCGACGTTGCGCTCTACTGTGCCAAGGAAAAAACCTAGCCGGATACACATACCGAGTGCCTATTTCCCTTCCACATGGTCTCCAGCGAACGCCGGCTGCGGGTGTTGAGAAAAAGAGCTGGTTTGCCGTCGCCATTTTAATGTATATTATGCTTAAAGATGCAAGCTATTTAAAATTTAATATAATTAGCTGGAGATCTCATTATTATAATTATTAATTATATATCAAATTATTAGTAAAAAAAAATTATATTAAAAAAAATGGTCTGCTCGCTAGCTAATGAGGTAATAAGATGCTTTGCGTGGAGGTTTGAAAAATGTTGAGTTGCGTAATTTTTCAGCATTCGGCCAAGAATTTCAGTCCCTTGTATTTCAAAAATGACTGGAAGGAGAGAAGGGTCTCGAGTTAGAATGCGGAGAGTCTGCAAAATTTTAAGCACATAGGAATAAAAATCATTATTTAGCACGAATTGCTCAATTGATAGCCGGGCTGTAAAAATTTTAGCTAATAGTCCAGCGTATACAGGAGGAAAGGTGTATTTATCAGTGTGAGTATTGATGAATGAGTCTAAAATATCTCTTTCTTCCATAGAAGGGTTGTCATCTAACGATGAAAGTAAAGGACTGATTAAATTGTCTTTCATATAGATATTTATAAGAAAATTTTCGAATAATTTTGCTTTAAATTTCTCTTAAAATTGATTAAAAAGACTATTATAAGCAGCCTGAGTAACTGCTAGGCTAATTCATAGAAAATTCGCCCATTTTATAGTATTTTCAATGCTTACATATGATAACCACAATAATTTTGTAGTCTAATAAATATGTTGAAAAGAGCATTTTCTTCACTTATTTTAGCTGAGCACAACAACACTAAGCTTGCAGGAAGTGTTTATAGTGCTGTAAATGCAGCTGATTATTTCAACGAAGAAACAACAGTTTTAGTTGCAGGTGAAAATTGTTCGTCAGCAGCTCAAGAGGCTTCGAAAATAAAAGGAGTCACAAAAGTGCTGCATTATGATAACCCAGTTTTAAAAGACCATATGGCAGATGTTATGACTCAGACTCTTCAAGCTGCCCAATCGCAATACAGATATAAACGAATTATAGGAGTTTCTCTTATTATTTCTATTTTTGGCGTTATTTCTGATCGGCTCCCACAAGCCAAAAATGGGTTTCCACGTGAAACTTCATGTGAAATTCATCTTTGGCTCGTGGCAGCCGATCAGAAATTTAAGCAATTGATTAGTTAGAAGGCTCTTCCCTCAATTTTGTAGGATAATAAGGCTTTTCCTAGCAAAAGCCTGCGTTATATTAACTCTCCCCTCCATTAGCGAACAAAAATCATTAGAAAAAATCCCTATTTTTTTTGGCCCAAAAACCCACCCTCCGTGAGCGAACAAAAATTTTTTATGAAAAAAAAATATTGATATAGTGAAATCTATAGCTAATTCTGTTTGATTTTAAACAAATTGAGCTTTAAAACATAAATTTTATAAATAAATTAATATTTGCTTTTCCGATTTTTGCGAATTAGGATTTTTTTAAAATTTCGTTTCTATAAAATTTATATATAAAATGTTTTAAAAAAAATTATCCACCTCCGTTAGCAAACAGATTTTTTTGTTCGCTCGTGGAGGGGATTAAGACATAATATTTATCTAAATTATCGGAGCCACTAGCCAATTTTCAAGAGACATCATTCCAAGGCTTGGAGGTGTTTTAAACGTCCAGCCCATCACTGATATCACCCGCATCATGAACGAAAAATGCTTCAAAAGGCCAGGATATGCTGGAAACGCTATTTATACTGTGACAACCCATCAGAATTTCAATCTTTTAACAATCAGAGCGACTTCATTTGATAGAAACCCATCAATAAAAAATCCTTGCACAATTGAAAGAATTGATTTAAATGTCCAATTCCGTCCTGTTATGACGTGGGTTTCTCAAAATTTAGAAGTTAATGAAAGACCTGAGCTTGGGACTGCCAAAATTATTGTGACAGGAGGAAGAGGCCTAAAAAGTAAAGAAAACTGGCATGTTGTAGAAGAATTGGCTGCAAAACTAGGAGCTGGGGTAGGAGCTTCAAGAGCTGCAGTTGACGCTGGGTTCTGTTCTAATGATTTGCAGATTGGGCAGACTGGAAAAATAGTCGCCCCTAGTCTTTATATACTTTTTTCCCATTAGTGCCTGTATGGAAAGCAATTTGGTCAGACCAGAAATTTTCTTGTCTGCTCAAAAAAGCTTTTTACAAGGCTATTTAAGCGGTCCCGTCATGATGATGCTGTTGATGGTGGAGATATTGACAATCATCAATTATTTAATAGGCCTAGCCTAATCCAGCTCTTATGTACCCAATCTGCAATCTTTAACTGTTTATTCTTCTGAATTGATTCTTTTCTCTCTGATTCTTCTAAATAGAACCATGTTGGAATTATTGGCAATCTGTAAAGAAAAGAGCAAGCAGAAAATAATACTAATCCTAATAGGGCTATTTATGGTAATCTAGTGTATCGCTTGTGGAGTTTCAGGAGCTATCCAACATATTGCAGGTATGAAAGATTCTAAAGTAATTGTGGCTATAAATACAGACCCAGAAGCTCCAATTTTCAGCGTTGCTGATTATGGGCTTGTTGGTGATTTATTCAAGGCAGTTCCTGAAATGATACAAAAACTTTAATAGTTTATAAGAATTTATATAGAAAAATTATTAATTATTCGTCCTCTTCAAGTGGTGGTGCAGATGGTGCATAAGCTTCTGCATAGGCATAAGAAAGTCTCTGCATGTCATAAGTCACTGGGTGCCATTCTGGAGGAGCTTCAGGAGCTGGCTTTGGGACTTCCATTATATGTGGACAGATTATTATTGGTATTTCGCAATATCCAATATTTTTTACACAGGCGTCATGGGAAGTGAAGTCAAGATTCAGCTTATAAATGCACTCAATTTTCCCTGTTTTTATAGTTGGGGCGTTATGTAAGGTTTTTTGGGTTTTTTCTAAATTTAAAAATGTGATTAAAGCTGACTCTTTTTCACAGATTTTTCCTTTTCCACATCCTTTGACCTTATGAGATGCAATGGGTTCGTTGAAAAATGTATGGTGCTTTTTATTGCTATGCAAAATTATAGTGTTCTTATATAAATTCTCCCTTTTCTTATCCAGGCTGCACCTTAATTGCATTAATAAATATTCTAATTGCCCGAGGATGGCGCAAGATAGCGCCATCCTCGGGCAATTTAAAAAATGACCCCACACCGGGAATCGAACCCACGTGTGGGGCCATTTTTGGTGCGTGGAAGTCGATGCTCTCCACTAACCAAAAATAGCCCCACACGTGGGTTCAATTCCCGGTGTGGGGCCCATTTTTGAATTGCCCGAGGATGGCGCAAGATAACGCCATCCTCGGGCAATTACTATATGAAATTTTTCTAAAAATATACTTATAAATTTATGCTATTTAATATATCTGCCTTGTCAAAGATAAAGTAATCCAATCCAAATTTGCACCAGACTCTGAATTGTTAATCTCCATAGAAACTTGTGGCTTTTCTAATGGAGAATATGCAGTTTTATCTAATTGTGCGTTTATCCTGAATCTTCTAGTAGAACAACAGTGCCCTACTGGAATATTGCTGGATATTGCGATTCCTTCTTTGGCTTGCACTGGGTTATAGATTTCGACAGTCACTGAATTTTTTATTTTTTTATGTTTTTCAGGCTCAATTTCAACTTTAAGTTTATAGGTGATGTCGGCTGAATAATGAGGATTTTCAAGATGGAAGGAGTTTAAAAGGTTTTCAGGTAAAGTGTAGGCATAAGGGATTTCATAGTCTCCACTCGGGATTTCTCCATTTTCCCATATCATCACGGCAGCTTTTAAGTTGATTAAATTTGTGAGCCCTTTTGCTTTTGCTGACATTGAGCCTGCACTCCAATTGGTGTCAGAAATTAATTGTTTTGAAAATAATTGAAGGGTTTAATTTTAAGAGAAAACAGTTAATTTAAAAATATTTTTAAAAAAAATAATAAATATAATCCAATATACGAGTTCTTTGCCTTTGAACTTCAATCAAAGGGTTGAAGCACGGACTGGCTTTTCGAACTTCATATAAATTTTCCCAGTAATGTTTGAGCCAGGAGCTGAAGAAGCTTGGTCTGCTGTAATTAAAATGCTCCTTACACTGTGTTTTCCTCCCATTTTATTAATACAAACCCTTTTCTCTTGCGTTATAAAATGATAAGAATTTGTCAAATACTCTAAATATTTTAAAACTTAAATTGTGCATTGCTCCTGATGTGATTACCTTATTATAAACAAATCTCATTCAATTTTTTTAAAAAAATACCTTTATTTATATAACCCTTATAAATCCATTAATAAAACCCCACAGTAATCATAATCCTTTACTGATTCAATATCCTTGTAATATCCTCTCTCACAAACTCAATAATATTTTTTACTTCCCAAACACTACTTTCCTTACATTTATCAGCCAAATGATGTATTTCATATTGAGTTCTTTCTTCCCTGACCCTATCAAACGAGTTTCTCAAGCTTACAGTCCAATCCCTTACATTCCTCAATATTTCATGAAATAAATCAGCAGCCTCTACCAAGACTCTTAAATTCTCACTGACACTTCCTTCTATTTTCCTAAAGTCCACAATTCGTCATTCCTCCCTTGTCGCCCTGCTTAATCTTTCATCAGTAAGTGCATAATATAAATTTCCACATTGAATTATTATAGTCTCTATTGCTCTTATTGTAGGCAATGATTGCTCTATTTCTAAGCTGAATTCGCACCACATTTGGTAAGCCTGCTGAAAATTCAGCATATGGTGAGTATGATGAGGAATTAATTCAAGGGCATCTTGGGAAAATAAAATTCCTGGGAGTTTGTTGGATAAATGCAAATTTATGCCTAAAAAGTCTTGGCATGAAAGAATGGATAGAGAAATTAGTAAGCCAATGTGAACTTGCTCAGGGCGAAGATTTTTGATAGATAAATGAGCTGATAAACGATCCCAAGAACACAGTAAATCGCGACGAAGAATGTTGAGTCGCTTTAAAGCTTCTTCACCTTTACTGCAAAGTTCGTCAAAATCAGGGCGAGTTCAAGTTAGCTTTTCAGGCAGCTCTTTTGTGTGAAGACTTTCGCTGCAGCCCATTTTAAATATATGAATTATTGATGTTCTTGATATTGGAATTATGTGGTTATAGCTATCTGTCATAGTGAGGAAAAATATGATTATGAAATTTTCTATAGAAAAATGATATTAACTCCCCCTTCGAGGGGGGTTAAGAAAAATTTTTTTAAAAACAATTATATAGAATTTTTTTATATAATTTAGTAGTTAAAAAAAAAAAATATTTATCATATTCTTCTGTATGGCTGAGAGGGTGTAAGGGTTAGAAAAAATAGTGCAAGATGGTTATGTAACGCTTTTTTAGAACTTGAATACAAAAATCGCAAGCTCACCCCCACATAGTTTAAATTTTTGAAAAATTGCTTATTTTCCTAGTAAATTTATATAGGTCTTGGTCGAACTTTGAGGGGGGTTAATTTTCCAAAAAAATAGGAATTTTCCCTATATCTTGGTCGAACTTCGAGGGGGGGGGAGTAAGTGGAAAATAATAAAACATTTAATTGTAAAAAAGTTTATTATTTGTTAACTATATTAACTTATAGAATTGTAGAATTGCTAAATAAATGATGGTGTAAATGTTGTGCTCAATAATAACTAGAATTATAAATTTTAACATAAATCTGATGTATAATATTATTCATTTCCTTTAAGCTGAATAGAAAAGTGTAAGCAAGCCTATTCAAAAGATTTCAAACCTAGATCATTTTTCAACTTACAATATGAATAAATGATCACTCATTAAATAAAATTTTGATATAATTTGATAGAATAGTTTATTACTAGTATAAATAAATTAATGATAGAAGAGCTGTGCTTACTTGCAGACTCAGCTAGAGACTACGCGCTTTTAGGCTTTTACCCAGAGTCTATAGCTTTATATGAACAAGCTATTGCTTCTATAAATTTAATATCAGAGACTTTAGCTGAAAATCTTCAAATTATAGAACGAGATATCATAAAATAGCGGTAAAATTTGGAAAGACAGCATTAATGAAGCAATCAAAAAACGTAATATGCCGGATGTCATGCAGAGACTGGAAGACGAAACTGAAAAAACGACTAGGCTTTGCAGGCTTTTATCAGAGGGAAAACAAATTACAAGAAACCTACATTTATAAAGATGAATGCACATAACGATGAGGTAATAGGTGAAATACCCAGACTTAGGATTAGTTTCAACTAATGCACAGATGAGAAATCTAGTGCAGGACGGACTATAGCACTGTGCAACCTATTAGAGACATAGAAACATGTACTAACAGAATGCTCAAGATATTGTCAGTTTAGAATAGGTCTACAGGAGCAGCTTGAAAATTGTACATAGACTGAAGAAGAATAGGTATGCTACAAGTTGTGCTATATAGTGAAAAATATGATGATTATGTGAAGATGATGTTGGAGAATGGAAGGGATGAAGTGGCATGTAGAGCAGATGAATAATTGAGTGGTATCACTGAGATTGCTCAAAGGAAAGAGCCAATAAATCTCGGGAGCATAAGGTGGTACAATTGAAGATAACGAACTGATTAATAAAAAGCACATAAGAGTTGCGTTAGGCTAGGCCTAATAAAGGTAGGAATGAGATATAGCAGTTGCCTGATGATGGCGCTCAATGCGCCATCATCGGGCAACACCAGACAAGGGTTCACAGTGGAAATGGATTCCACGTGTGGAGCCCTTTTTAACACGTGGAGAATCCTCATTTCCACGAGCCAAAAAGTGCTCCACACGTGGAACCTATTTCACGTGTGGACCCTTGCTTGGTGTTGCCCGATGATGACGCATTGAGCGCCATCATCGGGCAACTGCTATATCATAAAATATAATTTATTAAAAGAGTGCGATACAGTCAAGTGAGCTCAGCTATCACTACGAAGATTTAAACAATTAACCAAAGTCTCTGAACCCCAAGACTTCCCTATATTTGTAGATACTTTAGAGGCAAATCATTATGAGAAAAAAATGCTGAAAAAATACAAAGGAATTTAAATAAGCAAGAAGATCTAATCTTTAACAATTATTTGGATTCAATATTGCCACTCAAGAAAAGAATTTCCTATCGAGAAAGTATTCCTTATATTTCGAGCTCAGAAGAAAGATTAATTAGCCAAATAGAAGAATGCATAATTGATTCATCTCAAAATTTTTACTTAGAAGATATAGTAGGTCTCGATGATGCACAAGAATTTCTCTATGAAATAATAGTGCTCCCTTCACTTATGCCACAATTACGCACCTTAAGACCACATAAAGGAATTTTACTATATGGCCCACCTGGATGTGGAAAATCAATGCTTATTTCAGAAGCATCAAAAATGGGTGGTGGAACTTATTTTAACGTTCAATCATCAGTTTTAATATCTAAATGACAAGGAGAAAGCGAAAAACTTGTTAAATTATTGTTTGATATAGCTCGATTTTATGCTCCTTCTACAATATGCTTTGATAATTGTGATGATCTTATTGGACTAACAAATCTGAGATTCGAGCTTCATAAGCAGCTTCAAATGGCAATTTTAAAACAAATTTATGATGTTTTTGAATCGGAAAATTCTTCTAGAATAAATATAATTTTTATAACAAGCATCCCTTGAGAAATCAATTAACATTTTATTCGTCTAATTGAAAAAAAAATTATGTGCCTTTGCCTAATGAGGAAAATAGAAGGAAGCTTTTTGAGGTTTTTTTAAGAAATAGCCCGCTTGAAACGGATATTGATTGGGATTATTTGGTTTATCAAAGTCAAAATTTTTTAGCATCAGATATATCAGCTGTGTGTAGAGATGCAATTATGGTTTCTATAAGGAGACTAGGTAATGCATCTGAGAAAGAAGGAAAATCAATTGAGAAGATAAAAGAGATTGATTTAAGAATAAGCATGGAGGATTTTAGAATAGCATTTTCTGCATTTAGATATGCTGGAGAAAGCGAAATAGATATCAAAAAATACGAAAATTGGAATTCAATATAATTTATCGTCCTGTTTATTTTATTTTAGATTTAAATCAAATTTCTGAGAAAATTAATCATAAAGGTAATATTGTAATAAATCTAGTAAACATATTAGGAGCTAATTATATAGCATAGAGTTCTGTCCATTCTCTTGCTATGTAGTCATATTTAGATCTGTCTAATTTGTATTGATAAGCAATATCAGGGACAAGTGGAGAATCTACATCAAATTCAAGCATCAGATTTTGAATTGATAATCCTTTCTTTAAAGTAAAGCTATTAAAAAAAATAGTGATTAAATAATTTCTTGCATCAAAAAAAATCCCAAAGATTTGGTATTAATAATATTTATTTATATATAAAATTTTATAATAAAACTTTATCACAATTAAAAATGGGAAGTTGAAAGTAGGGCAAGTCCTTACAGCTAGACTTAGTGAAGGGAATCCTTGATCCTGGAGAGTTATAGCTAAAAGTGAAGATGCCTTGGCTGAGTCTGGTCGAGGCTGTGAGTCCTGATGGGTTAGGAAATTGGATGTCAAGTCTAAAGGTCGGCCCGTTTTCCCACCGTTACTCAGAGTTGGTCCAATTCGGGCGAAGACGATTCAAGAACAGGATTTAAGGAAGAGTTATCGTTAAACTTAAACTTAAAACTTTATGCATAGTTAGGGCAGGAGATCAATCACAGTTCAATATACCCAATGATATTCCTCCTTTAGAGCTGATACAAGGATGATAAATTTTAGTTGTGAATGCAATTTTTGGCGGCTTAAAAGGATAGTCTGCAGGATATTGAGCATTTAAGAAAAACATTCCATTTTCATAAACAGAGTTTATAGGACCCATGATCACTCCTCTGCAATTAAAAAGATCATTTGGATCATTTGGCCAAAAATTAACTTCAGGTTCATGATACAATAAACATTCATCATTAATTTCTCTTCTGATTCTTCTGATTGCCATTTATTTTTATCTATAATTCTTAATTAATTGATAAATTTAAATTTATTTAGTTAAAAAGACTTAGAAATTTTTTAATTCTTTACCCTAAGAAAACCTTAAATTGTTGATTAAAAATAAAGTAATAAGAAAAATGAGAAAAATGCAAATATAGCTATAAAAGTATTGATAAGTCTGAGAATAATGACTATAAAGAGGACAAAAGCAAAAATATGCCCCAAAGAAAACATATTTTTTTCTCAATTGCTTTATTTTAAAATAGAAAATGACTCTAACTACAGCTATAATTATTTTATTTTTTAATCAAATCTTTCATACAATTTATATTTTGAAAATTAAATGCTTCTATTGAAATTAATTCTAATTTATCATGCACCATTGACTCAGAATCCATTTAAAATAATTTGTATAATAATTATTCAAATTTATTTACATAGCAAAAAGCTCTGTTCATTCCTTTGCAATGCAATCATATTTTTTTCTATCTAATCTATATTGGCGTCCAATATCTGGAACAAGTGGCCAATCTGCTTCAAAGCCTGTCAATAAAAAATTTCTAATAACTAATAAAACTTTATGCGCTGTAAGAGCAGGACTTCATTGATCCTCCAATATATCTATAGCTATTCTCCCTTTGGAATTGATGCAAGGATGATAAATTTTCGTTATGAATGAAACCTTTGGAGGCTTAAAAGGATAGTCACTCGGAAATTTAACGTCTAAGAAAAACATTCCATTTTCATAAGGAGACTGCTTAGGACCTATAAACACTCCAGTGCAATTATAAAGATCACGTTCATCATTCGGCCAAAAGCGAACATCGTCTCCGTTAAAGTTCTTTTGCTCATCCTTAATTTCTTTTATGATCCTTCTAATTGACGCTGACATATTTATAATGAAGGATCTAATTAATTTGCAATAGAATTTAGTCTTTAAATAATTTTTTAAATAATTTCAAACCTTTATTAGCCAAGGCATTTTGATAATAGTTTTTTTTAAGCTTAATTATGATTAAAGCTTAAAATTTTTAAGAAAAGGAGCCTAAGAATCAAGCTTTATGACTCCAGAAATAGAAAGCTCGTCCTTCACCGTTGTAACAGTCGTTGGAGAAGACATCACTTCTTTTTCCATTGTAAGATCAATGGATTCTTCAGGGGATGCTCTACAGTCTTGTTTACATATATAACAAAGCTAAATAGAAATTACTTTGCTCGACTTGAGCCAATGCTTGATGCAGTCATCATGAAAAATGTGATCACAATTTAGCCTTCTGACAAGAGAATTTTCTTGAAATTCTTCCATGCAGATAGCACAGCTTTTATCTGAAAGTTTGCCTGAAACTTTAGAATAATGAACGACTGGGAATTTTCTATTGATTATAGCTAAAGACAGTCCATAAAATCGTCTTTTATGTCTTCAGTATCTATAATACATAACTCCCACTATTACACAAATTATAAATAATATCACTCCTAGCGTTGGCCATACATAAATTGCAATATCAGTATCTTCATTGCTCCCTCCAGCTAATTTCACATACAAATTAAAATTCTCACTTGTACAATTCAGATCATTATAAAGTGCTATATAAATCAGATCTGACATCTTTTTTACATCAAAATCAACTTTTAATTTATAGTCATAAGCTGGAAGTAAAATCTGATAAAAAAAGCTTCTAGGCGATGGCAATTCTGCAATGCCTCTTCCCTTATAGTCAAAAAATATCCTGCTTGAAGATTTATAACTTATTACATGAATTTTCACCTAAAAAATCAATAATTTTTTTATTTTTAAAAAAATATTATATATAAAACATAAGGCTTAGTTCAGCCAAAATTAAATTTTAATGCATCATTTGATACCTTCTGACGGTTAATATAAGCATAATTCACACCTTGGCAAGGAGCATTTAAGGAATACAAATTATTTTGAGTAATTTCTATAGCTTCACTTTCACAGCCAACTCCAATGTAGCCATTCTTGCAATCACATACCCCAAGTGATACACAAACACCTCTGGAATTGCAATCTTGAGGACAAATAATACCATCATCTTCATCTACGGAGACAACATATGTAATTTGTCCATTTAAATAATTGAAATTTCCGAATGCTATATACGTTTTGGGATAACTTGATATTGAGGAACTTTGGAATATTAAGGAATGATAGCCACATTGGGAAAATCATCCGTCATAATCCACCATTTGGGCAGTCACTGATGACCCGTCTGAGGAAAAAGAAGGGTCTTCTTGGCCCAAAGTTAAGACTGGCTGAGATTTATCAGGCTTTTGAAGAACTTGGACTGAAACTCGAATATATTGTTTGGATGGGGAATTCAAAACAAGCTGGAAACTGTTTCATTCTGTGGATTGTGCAATAGAAAGACTGTGACCAGGTTGTAAAATAGGAATTGAGTCGCCTAGAACTCGCGTAAGGGAAGGCAAAAAAAGTAAGGTTAGTCAAATATACATTATCAAGTATTTAATCTCCAATCAAAATAGATTTTTTAATGTTGGAAATTTATTAAAGATCGTTTGGTTAGGTTGCTATAGATAATTTATAATATTAAAAGAATTATTATTGTAGGCTTTCTTGATATAATTCTTATTATAGCTTGCAGGTGAATAAATTCCGCATACACTAAAAGTCTATTTTTACTTATTTAATAAATAAATTATATTAGAAATATCTTTTAATGGATTTTATAATATTGAAATAATTATAATTCGCATTCGAAAGACAATTAATTGAGCGAATTTTATTATTATAAATATCTTAATAATGATTTCTGCTAACGGTTTTATAGATATTAATTTCAATTATTTTTTACTTGCAGAAGTAAAATTTTCTCGCATATCGCTTATTCAGCTTCTATGTTTTCCTAAAATGCTATTAAAAGAATCGTTGCTCTTAAGTACATCATCTGAGCTTTCATATCTTCTATGCATGTTTCCTGTTTTTTTCGGCATATTTCAGCTATCTTTAAAGTTTAATTACTTTTAGAGAAGTCTCCAGCAAGTCTGCAGACCACTACTCAGGGCTTGCACTCACTATCAAGAGTCAGAGACGATGACTAACAACTTCTTTAGTCACCTGCCGGCCAAGATAAACCCGAATCCCAGGACGCAACGCCCTGGTATCGTGCAGGTATTTTGCCAGAATTGTCAAGTGACATCCTCTGGCCTTTCTGGGCCTTCCCTTTCCAGCTCCAGCGAACAATCTCCCTACGGTGTAAAACCTTGGCTTGGATCTGGTATGCGGTCAGCTAGCTCGACATTGTGCTCCACCAAATAAAGTAAAACCCAGTCGGATACATATTCGCAAACACTATCCTCCTGGCAAACAAGTTTCCAGGCTTTCCCGTTGAATCTACCAGTCACAGGTGTTATGAGGTAGGCTGGTTCACTGCACCATTTTAATATGCACACATATTTCAGCTGTCACATCTCTGATTAATTTTTCTTTGGCTTTCAACAATGCTTTCCTCATCTCTGTAAGTTGACAATTTACTGAGATTAGTCCTTATATCAGAACTAATCGGAGAAATTGACCGGCTAATTATTTTTAAATCCTCTATATCTTTTTCAAGCCTGCTAATTTTCTTTGGGCTTTCTGCTAAAAAACTTTGAATATCGTTTAATTTTATTTTGAAATTTTCTTTTAATTGACTGATTTGGGAGTTTACATAATTTTTGTTGGCTTTTGATTTTAATTCTTCTTTATAGTGATTAATTTCAGCTGTGATGTAAGAAATTTCACTATCTTTTAATGAAGATTTGTTATAGAGCTCTGAAATATCAGACTCAAGCTTGAGGATTTTTCCAAATATGGATTTGTTAGAGTAAGAATTAAGCACAGATTTTGTTTTTAAGCCATATTCTGATTCAAGCTTTTCTTTTTCAGTTAAAAGCTTCTGTTCATATTCGTCATCTAGTAGCTTAATATTCTTATTTAGCTCAATTTCATATCTTTTAGATAACTCATCAATAGCTCATAGCTTTTCCGTTTCAAGAATTGATGAATTTTCTTGAATCTCCAGATTTTTATTAAATTCATAATTTATTTCTTCGATTTTTTCGTTGTTTTCTGTCCGCAGTCTTTTTAGCTCTTTTTCTAAACTTGTTGCATATTTTTCTCTTAATTCATTAAGCTTTTCCATAAAAATATTCTGCTTTTCTTTTGAGTTTCTTAAACAGTCTATTTGGTATTCAAAGTCTTTTAGCTTTTCTGCTATTTTTTCACCATAAAGATTTTTCAAAATTTTTTGTGTCCGCTCAGCCTCTTCATTGCATTCCGCTTCCAAATCTTCCAAAATCTTTTTGTTTGTTTCATAAACAAATTTCTGATCTTCTAAAATTTTTTCCTTTTCTAATTTTAATTTTTCTGCTGCTTCTAGTTCATTTTCAATAATTATTGAAAATTTTGCTTCTTCTTCGTTACAAAATTGCTGCATCTCTTTTTGCCCTTGGATAATTAATTGTGATTTTTCTTCTTCAATTAATTTTTTATTTTTCTCTTTAGTTTCTCTAAAAATATTTTCAGAATGTTTATCATGAATCTCTTTATTTAAATTTTTCGTTCTTATTAATTCTTTTTGACGTTTTGTTGCATTGATTTCTGATTCATTTTCAAGCTCGAGCCTTAATTTTCAAATTTCTTCATTTTTATATTCCTGCAATTCTTGGGTTTGTTCTAATAGCCAATTTTTGTATTTTTCTTTGATATTTTTGATATCGTCCTTGTATCGATTTTCTATATTTTGCTCACTTGATAGTAAATCGAAATTCGTTGGCGTGATTGGCTCATGAATTTTTAATTTTTTTGATTTTTCTGAAAGAAAAAGCTCTTTGTAATGAAAATAAGCAGGGTTGTCTCAGGTGCTTTCATTGGTTTCTGGGTTAAAAAAATAAATTTGCTGATTTGGAGATTGGCATAATATTCATGGTTTTGGTGTGGGAGATTTCAATCCTTCTTTGGCAATGTAAATAAAATCAGAATCTTCTGGGAAAATCATGCCTAGCGATTTAGCATATTCGATTATTTCTTCTTCACTGGGCTCATAGTTGGGGTCTAAAACCTCTTCTAAAATTATGGGTAGGGACATTTAAATATCGAATTATCATTATCAAAAATTTGAATTAATTTTTATTTAACAGAAACTACTTGCTTACTTGGGTTTAGCACACTTTTAGACTTCAATTTTATTTAAGTATTTTCAAGCCAAATCTATTTCTTCAATTTTTTATTAAATTCTGTTATTCGTAAAACTTCAGTTAGCAGGAAGAATTCTTAAATACTAAAAAGTAGATTATTTTGGGACTTATTTAATATATATGAAGATGAAATGACCAAGGATTATGGCAATTAACAGATTAATAATTTCATTAAGGGAGAAAGTTAACATAACCAAAATATTTAATAGATTTGAAATTATGAAAAGAAATGAACGCAAATTTTTAAGGAAAATTCTTAAATGTGATTTTCATTTGATAATATAATTTCTATCAATATTGCCTAGCCCAATACTCAACTATAAATAATTTGGACTGGTTTATTTAATTTTTACTCATTTTCTCAAATTAAATATGCTTTTATTATATAATTAAACAGAGCAAAAATTTCTTATTCTTATAATAATTTTAAAATTTTTTCAGCCTGTTTTGCTGACAAAACCTAATTTTTCATAGTTTGCATAATAATTTTGCTATATTTAAAAGTATGAAAATCAGAGTAAATAAAGACCTAATTGCGTAACCTAAAAAAAAAATGAGGTTTTGGAAGAGTCTAAATTTTTAAATCAGTAAATATAAAATACCGCTTTTCATAATCTTATTTCAAAAAACGTGAATAATTATAAATCTTAAAAAATTACAAAAATTTTATTTAATCCCCCCCCGTAGGTGAACAAAAATATTTTGTTGGGGGCTAATTATTTTTTTAAAAAAATTTATATATAAATTATAAAGAAAATTTTTTTTTCGAAATTTTAAAAATTCCTAATTTGCAAAATTAGAAGCAAATATTAAATTTAATTTATAAAAATTTATGATTCAAAACGCAATTTGTTTAAAATTAAACAGAATTAGCTCGAGATATCATTATAATAAATTTATATATCAATTTTTTTTCATAAAAAATTTGTGTTCGCTCACGGGGAGTTAGTAGAAAAATAGAAAATTTGTGCTATCTCTAGCTCTAAATAACCAATTCTGTTTAATGCTAATTGAGTAAATAATTAAAAAAGGAAAAATATTTTAGTTCTAATGATCTAATTACTATTACTATGAAATTTGGCCATATTGACTTTTTTAATAGTCATTTTTTTATTTCTTACCGATTAAAGCAGACTTATTCACTAAATAAATATTAGACTAGAGTAATAATTCAAAAGATATAGATTTTTTATATATTCGACATTATTTATATTAATAAAGCCATAACCGCTAATAAAAAAATTTTAAACTGAATCTCAGTTTTCTTATAGTCTATAACTCCTTTCTAGCTTAAATCAATACCTAAACCTCTCTTCAATGTCAAAATTTATTCGTAATAATAATCTACTAATAAAGTCCTCATAGAAGTAAAATGATTTTTTTTTGTATACCAATTATAAATATGAAAACCTCCCAACCCACATCCGATCAATTAATCCTTTACTGCTGCATGGAAAACGACTGTGGAAAAACTTTCATTACTAAATTCAATCTCAAGAGACATTGTGCATCAGTTCACTTGAAGACGAAAAATTTCAAATGCAATTATTGTCATAAATTCTTTTCAAGTAAACAAAATCTGGATGAGCACATTTTCATCCATACAGGCGAGAGACCTTTCACGTGTGAAATTTGTCAGATTTCTTTCCGTCAAATAAGCCAACTTTCCTTGCACAAGCGAAACCATTCGAAAGTTTTCATCAAAAATAACGTCAAGAATGTTACTAATCCGATGGCTACAGTAGATAAAAATTCATTTAATATTCAAGAAGCATCAATGGAAATAGAGGAGCATAAAGCTGTTTCCACAATATCTAGCATAAATCTGCCTCTGTTAAATAGTAATAGAGTCAGTGGCGATGCTGTTTTGCCAGCTTTTTTAGAGATTATTGGAGAATATAAGTAATTATGCGATTTTTTAAAAATTTAATTATTTATAAATATAAAAACATCCTGAACAACTTGTTCTTGAAAAAAAAATCATGCTTTAGAATATAAAGATTTATTTTAACAGGATTTCATGAACTTTTGAGATAAGCAAATTTTCTGTTTAAATTTTTTAATCATTTTTATAAACCATTTCTATATATCTGGTTTTTTCTTATTTAATAATACCTAATATAGAGCATTTGAACTGAAAATAATATGACATACAGAAGCAGACATATCTAATATTAAAAAATGGTAGGAAATTGCAATTTGAAGGTTCTAATTTGGCTAAAATCATATATAAATGAGCAAATAATATTTTCGGCTTTGAATTTTCATTCACTAACTCCCCTATAAAAAAACCTGCCCAATATAAATGGGGCTAATATTTTTTCTTAAAAATAATTACTTTAAGAAATATGAATTAAGCACAATAGTTTGAATTTTAATTTATAAAAAGATTAATTGATTTAAATAATATTTTACTTGCATTTTATCATTAAACTAAGTTTATAATATTTATTTTTTCATCATTTTTTTTTCAATTTAAAGGGGGTTGTAGTACCTAAAATATGCAAATTTATCGATATTTTGTTTCAGTTTAAAGGGAGGAGTAAGTTATGGTATAATTTGCATTAAAAAATATGAATACAAAAGAATATTTGGTTTTATATAGGTGTGAATAACAATTTAATTAGCCAGCTAGAATCAATAATATAATCTCTAAAGCCATAGAAGATTCCCACCATTTTAACCATAGCTCTTATTGCTTTATTTCTAATTCAATAAAGTGATCTCACACTCTTAACAAATTTTATGATTTTTTAAACAATTATATCCATAAATAGATCGTTTCTATAATAATCAATATGATGTTTCTGCATCTCATAAAATATAGGAATTATTTTTAAGTTTTATTGAATTACTCTAGCACACTTGTGCCTTAAGTCTTCTTTACTTGAGGTCCAGTTACATTAACAGCTCTAAACAACGGTAGGCGGGACCTGCCTAACCGTCGAACCGTTAAAGTTAATAAGCCCTTCCAGACTTCTCTTGTCATTGCCAGCCTCAGCACCGACTTCTTCTCTTCAAGCCGATACTCTCAAGAAGCTTTGACTTCTCTCACTAAGCTCGGATTATAGGACCTACCTGTTTAAACAGTTGTTATGACCTATCCCTAGCTGGCACTTTTAATATTGTGATAGGAATTATTAATGAAAATAGAACTTATTTTAAATTCTTCAAAAAGATAAGCCAGTTGATAAATGCCATTCTACATTTTATAAAATGGATCTTAAAATTATGACAATTTTAAATTGCTAGTTTCAGTCATATAAGTAAAGATTAATATAGCTTTAAAATATCAATTTTTTCTATATAATTATATCATCAAAAAATAATAGAGCTATTCAAATAATATATAAAAATGTATTAGCTCTAAAACCCAAATATTGTGTGCCAATTTACCTTTATATGTTTTGTATAATTATATTACTTATTATTGCTTTTAATTGATTTTTTTTCTAAATTCTCTTGCCGTAAATTTAATTATTTCTCCTTAGGAAGCATCACGACCAATTATTCTGTTTAATTTTTCTTTTAAAACCTTTGTTTTAGTTCATCGATCATGATAATCGAATTCAAATACCATTGCCGTAGTATTATCATTTTTTGGCTCATAAAAATCCTTTAAATATTCATGCTTCAATAGTTTTTCAGCATCTCACCTTTTTAACGGATTAAAAACCAGCATTTTCTCTAAAAAATCTATTGCCAATGAGTCTGCTTCAGGAAAAATTACTTTAAAAGGCGTTTTATCTGGCTTTGCAGAAGTTTTGAAAAGTGATGATAAAGCCTCCTCATTATTAATAAATAATAAATCATCTTCTGCCGGAAATCCTAATAATTCAAACATAGAATTTATCTGTTTAAGACTATTTTCTGGATTAAAAAGAGGATTCTGTCTTTTTACTCCTCCCTCCGTGAGCGAACAAAATCATTTTGTTCTAATTTTTTTTTAAAATTTATATTTAAAATTTTATATTAAATTGTTTTTCGAAATTCAAAAAATCAAATATTTATTTTTATTTGTAAAATTTACGTTTTAAAATTCAATTTGTTCATTCATATATCAAAATTTTTTTTCGTAAAATATTATTATATTAAAAGAATTTTTTTCGCTTAAGGAGGGTGAGGTTTTGGGCATAAAATAAGGATTTTCCAATGGTTTTGTTCGCTTTCGGGAAGGGAGGAGTTAGAAAGTATGCCATTATGCATCCAACGCTTCATATATTATGCGTTGGCATGATTTTGGGAGGGTCTCCACCTTTTCTGTGCGTGAAACATAAATTTCACATATGGAGCAACTCAAGTGTGGAATGTCCTGATGTGTGGAGACCATCCCAAATTCATGCCAATTATAATATCAGATTTTGTAGTTATAAAGCGAGCTATATTTAAACATTCAGGAGCTAAAAATAATCGATCTACGTCATAAATATGATCTTCATATCAATAATTCTCATTATTAGCAAAGGCAAACCAAAAATCAGTTATTTTTACGTCGCAATTTGCATTAATCCCAACTACTTTAGGGCTCAGGTTTCCTAAAATCACTCCTGCTGAGTGTATATATACAAGTGCACGTAGAATTTGGTAAATAATGAATTTTATATGCAAATCAGTTAAATCTTGGGATGATCTGATCACAGCATCTAAACTTGTATCCATTGATTCAGTTATTAAATAAAGGGTTAATGAGTCATTATGCTCATAAAAGTCAATATCATATAGCTGAAGAATATTTTCATGTTGAAAATGTTTCATTAAGTTAATTTCATTTAAGGTTCCTTTAATTCTGCCATTTCAGTCTAATGCATTTTCAATTGCTAGGATTTTAACTTCTCGGTCAGATATATTGTCGTATGCAGTATAACTCTCTGAAATCCCTGTATAATAAGCATCCTTGAGATTGCTATAGCGCTTATTAATATAAATAGATTTTCCAGAAAAATTTACTAAGATCGAACGATTCACTGTAAAATTTATAAAAATTGGGAAAATTAGCCCCATCTTTGATCGAACTATTTTCATATCATGCAAATTTTTTATATACTTAAAAATATCTTTAAAATTTAAATTTTAAATTCAATAAGGAACAAATTAAAATTATACAGTTTAAAGGGGTAACTAAAAAATCAAAATATTAAAAATTGGTATTCTTATGAAATTAATTTAATTTTTTGCCGTAAAAATAATTATTAAATACTCATGATCTTCTTATTTAAAAGTATATAAAAATATATATATTTTATTTTATATATAAAAATTTTTTTCCCCAAAATTTTTTTTTAACTCCATCCTTGATCGAACGATATCGTGCCGTTTGATCGAGGATGGGGGGAGTAAGATTTTTTCGGGGTTCCTTCACACGACGACTATTTCATAACGACTATTTTTTTTTTGGCCTATTTTTTTTTGGCCTATTTTGTTTTGGCCTTTTTTTTTTTTCACCTATTTTTTTTTGGCCTATTTTTTTTTGGCCTATTTTGTTTTGGCCTATTTTTTTTTTGGCCTATTTTTTTTTTGGCCTATTTTTTTTTTGGCCTATTTTTTTTTGGCCTATTTTTTTTTGGCCTATTTTTTTTTTGGCCTATTTTTTTTTTTGGCCTATTTTTTTTTGGCCTATTTTTTTTTGGCCTATTTTTTTTTGTCTAGCCTCATTCATGAAGCTGCTGAGAGTACTAAAACCTTATTGAGAAACAGAGACTTTTCCTTACGCGATTAATATTGAGTAAATTAAGTTAAAAACTCCTAATTAAACCTAAAATTCTCGAAATTTTAAAAGCAATGAATTAGTATTCATTGAGTAAGAAATCTGTTAAGGGTGCATTTTTTGTTAGTTAAATCGTTTAAAACACATTACAAATTAGATTAAAACAATTAGTATGGAATTGTGCCCAAATATTAGTAAAAAATAGTTAAAAAATTGTCAAAAAAAAAGGCAAAAAACATAGCAAAAAAAATAGGCCAAAAACAAATAGGCCAAAAAAAAATAGGCCAAAAAAAAATAGGCCAAAAAAAAATAGGCCAAAAAAAAATAGGCAAAAAAAAATAGGCCAAAAAAAAATAGGCCAAAAAAAAATAGGCCAAAAAAAAATAGTCGTTATGAAATAGTCGTCGTGTGAAGATACGTTTTTTCGGTTTTGCTCGGATTCATTTTTTATTGATTTAATAAATAAATCATAATAGATACAGATCTAATAAAGTTCAAATTTTAATTTAAACATATTGATAAGTAAAATTTATGGCAGTTTTAGAGCAACTGGAGTTATTTTTAAAATTAAAAACAAAAAAATGAAGGTTTATCATATAATTTTTACTAAACAGTTCAATAAAATCTGTCTTCTTTTGTGCTCAGAATTTCATTTCAAAATATATTTTATAAATCCAAAAATTCACAGTATGGTCATCCACAAAATTAAAAACAAATATATATCATCATAAACTTAAACTCTAATAATTAAAAATCAGATAATCATTTCCTTCCAAATATTGCCTATAATTATAAATCCCTTCATACCCCGTCTTCCAGAATTATTATAAAATCCATTCTATCATTATCCGTTGACCTTAAACAATTTTCCTCATCTTCCCCTAAATCAAACTTAAATTTCCTTTTCTGTTCTCACACAGTGTAATCTGAATCTATTAGTTATTATTATTAGTGTCTTCAAATTATTACTCCATCCGCAGGTCAACGTCCGATCCATTTCCATCAAATCAGTCCCTAAATAAAAAATCCTTGCTCTTCACTTGTTTCTTGGTTCCTTGTCTTGGCAGTCCTTGTCTTTTCTTGGTCTTGAGTGTTTAATTCACTTTAGCTTAAGTCTTTAATTAAGGTATTTTTTAGTACCCTACAAAACAAAACCAAAGTTATTTGAACAAACAGTAACACAAAGAAGCGAGGTCTCATGGTCAAAAACAACAAGTAATTAGAAGTTAGAAGCAAATAGGATTCTGAGCCTTAATCTGTACCCTGCTGAGTAGATCTTGACTCTTGATCTTTCCTATTTAGGTCTTGGATTTCATAATAATTTTTTATTAATTTTGTAATTTCGGTCAGCTTAAATAGGGATTATTTGTGATAAAAACCCCCATGATTTTTAAAAATAAGCCATTTTAGGTGGGCTGGGGTGTCATGATTTGTAAATAGGAAATAAATGAAAATGGTGGGATAATAGGAAATCCAGGGGTAAATAAGGAAAATCATGGGGTAATTCTGGTATGAGGTATGAAGGAATGGACAGGGATAATTTAGGCACAGAGTTAGATAAATAAAGTAAATAAACAAACTAGATGTGAGGCGGTTTATTCAAAATTAGCATTGATTTTCAGTTAAGGGTTTCACCTAATTTAGACAATTTTTGTTTTACGAATTATTTGATAAGTTTATCTAATTCTTGCAATTTCTAGGGATTTCCGAGGATCTAGTTATTTAGGATATATGATAGCTAACTGTATCTGATTAGGGATTATTTTTAAGCTGCGAAAAGGGAAAGCTCTTCAGTTAGGATTTTTTCTTGCTTATACTTCAAGTATCGATCGCCAAGAATGACCTTATGAATATAAGGAATTTTTACTTGAGAGGAAGGAACAACTCCTACAATGGTCTTCGGTAACTAATTTGAGGGTTATAATCAAGGGGTAATTCATTATATGATCATCAGCAAATGGTCTCCACCTTTCTTAATGCGACTTTTAATCCATATTTATTACATCAAAAAGACCATCAAATTACAAAATTTGAAATTTTTGAGCCTTTTAGTGATTATTTTGATATAATCGTTTACAATTTTTGCGAGAAGTGCAAAATTTTCTGCATAATTTATTTTATATTAAATACAAAATCATAGTATATGGAGACTTACTGTATGGGACTCCCTTTTGCAAAAATTGCAAGGGATTATATTTATTTCTAATTTTAAAATAATTGAAATAAATATAAAATAAATTGTCTTCTATCAATACTTAAAATATAAAAAAATTCTATAATGTCTATAGCTGAACACCTATCAATTGTATAAATAATGAATTATGAGTATAAAGCATTAAAATTTCACAAATGTTAAATAAATATCTAAAAATTAGAAAAAATCAGCCAAAAAATGTGATCATAATAAATTATTGCATATAGGAATTCCATAAATTAATAATTATGTCTCTAAATCGCTTTAGAAAAATCCCTTCGGCTAACAAATGTGACAAACAAAGGAACTTCAAGCATTTCATCTACTTTACTGTGCATAATCCCAAATACAAAAGCTTCATTCAGTACCAAAACTCCAGGATCAGGACTAATAATAATTGATCCTTTAGGATGCAAAGGTGACAAAAACTTCAAATTCACAATTTCACTGCATGAAGATATGCTAAACTCTGATGATTTCGAGTTTATAACTTCTCCAATTTTATTTTCAAAAGCAAACTGTAAAAGAAGTTATAGGGAATTCTCTAGAATCGCCCCAGTAAGAACAAGTGGTTAGTTAATTTGCTAAGTTCTGAACATAAATGCTTAAATACAGACCATATGTCTCGTCTTACTCCATTGGGGTAAGTCTCCATCATACACTCAGTATGAAATGAGAAATAGTCTAGACGCTTCACCCTTTTAGATTTCTGCCCCCAGAACCACCAGCCCAAAGGATTAAAACCTAATGCAGAGCTACAGTCTAGTTAGTGCTGCGATGATCTCGATTAAGAAAAGATTAATTAGTGAAAACCTGTCTAACAGGAAAACCTTCAACAAATAAAAAACCTTCCTATATGCAAGGTTTCTCCAAGCCTTAGGACCTACTAATGATATGCACTCATCTTCAGTACCTCAGGATTTGTCTTATCTTCTCTGTCAACTTCACCATTTTATTTCTTCAACTGTAAAAGAAGGAATCCATATTTCTTCTTTTACATCTTGCACTTTTGTAATTTTTGTTAATACTTCTTTAGCATAATTAAAAGCCATGCCTCCATCTCTTTCCGAGCATGGTATAAAAAATGCACTAAAATTTGGGTCTTCAGTAGGGACAATATATATATTGATTTTCTATTATTTTTACTATAAAAAAAAATTAAATTTTTTAATTTTTAGTAAAATAAAGGCATTTATTTTTATAAAAAATACAATAATTGGCCTAAAAGAGCTTACTAATAGATTTTCTGATTTCATTATATTTATTTGTGTTTGGTATATGCGCGTGTATGAAATCCCATTAATAATTGATGTCATATATTTAGGCCAGGAAAGGCCTAATGCCGAGCATGATACTGAGGTCTCTGAGTCTTCTTTGAAATCAGTTAAATTTAGGCCTATAGACTTTATGTCATTTAAAGCACCTTCATATTTCTCTTTTCTAAATCTAAATGCAGGAGGCACCCATGTGGCTGGCATTTTTCCTATTAAATCTTGGACCTTGTGACCTAGCTCAGTTTCTGATGAAAATTGGCCAAGCGCACGAAGTGCGCAAGAAATCCCTATTAAGCTGAAATACGGGCTATGCGTAGGAATATTTCTTGAATTATTTGAAATTTGTGCAGCACATGCATAAGCAATTTCTATGCAGTCTCCGAATAGCTGCTTTGCTGGCAAATTTTCAGCACACACAATACTTTCAGGCCTTCTTAGTCCTAGCAACTGTAAAGGCGTTTTATCGCCTGTGTAAATCATCTGTTTCCATCTAAATCCTAACTTATCAAAATGCTCTTTAATTGACTTATCAGCCTCATATTTTCCTTGTTCATTAACTTTAGATATCATTCCACTTCTGATTTCGATGCATGGGTAATTTTCCCAAATATACTCTACTATCATATTCAAAATTTCTCCAAAAATTGGTAAAGATTAAAATGTTGCGTGGGCATAATTCCTACTAGCTGGAATACCTTGAGTCCAGGAAAAGTAGCCTACGCTGGATGCTTATACACCAGAGTGCAAATAATGCAAGCCAAACCAAAATTCAACCTCTTGAATTTTCTGGTAAAAATCACCTAACATAAGGATTAGCTCCCTAAGTTAGAGCTACTCTGTCGGGTGCCCCAATAGTCCCGATAGACCAAGGCTATGTGAGAAGCAAAGCCTGTCTAGTCCATCTGGCAGGGATAGGAAAGCCTTCGAGGAAACAAAACTTCCCTCTTCATCTTCAAGTCTGAAGGCCTACTTAAAAAAGGAAAAGAGACGCTTTTTTCAGCTTCATTAGTACGCTTCCTGCCTGCTCCATAGAATTGCACCTCAGAGACCAATTCTGTCAAGTCACCATTTTATTCCCCCTAAAAATTGGTAAGGATTCTGCTGAAATGTGTGAAATCATGAGCCTTTTTTGTACTGATTTTTGGTTTTCTAAATTTAAGCTATATTAAATTAATAATAAAAATAATAAAAGCATTATTATTTTATCAACAATTTAATATGAAGAGTTATAAAATGACGAAACCTTTAATGTTTTGATTCTGCTTTATCCAAAGATAAGCAGGGAATCTTAAACTTTGAGAATTTGTATACGCGTTTTCAGGATTTCCTAAGGCTTCTTTTAAGTTTTCTGGGACTTTAACTGAGTAGCTAGCTATCTGCTCTTCTATATTATTACCAGACAATGGGTCAATAATCAGCCTTTCAGTTAAAGCTTGCTGTGGCTCAATAATCAATGGTGTTTCAGCTTGCAAAACATGGATTTTTGACTCTTCAGGAGATGCATTTCCACTCTGATCCCTGGAAAATATAGATCTGTGAGATCTATTTCTACCTCGGGCAGAGCTTCTTCTTGAGCTTTTTGATATATCATTTTCTTTATCAGAGCTTACTATATGAGGCTCATTATTAAATATGCTTGACTTTTTCCTCAAATCAAATAAGGTTTCTCTTACAGGTGCAGCTGATACTCCTTCTTCTAATAAAATCATCTCGCATTTTCTGATTCTGCTTAATAAAGAATTTGCAATTGGCAGCTCGATTTTTTTCGGGGATTTCATTTTCCCCATAGAGATAGAGCTCGCATATACAAAAAAGGGGTCTGATTTATTTGAAATGTATTCCCTTATAAATAAATTAAATATTTATTTACCTTTGCAGGCTATTTATGCATTATTTTCTAAAATAGAATAAATTAAGTCTGCAATTATGGTATTTGCAAGATAAATGGTATCCGTCTTCATTTTGATCAAATAATTTTCATTATTGATCATAAATTGGATTTTCGCTGGCGAATAATTTTGGTTAAAATTCGCCAATTTTTCCCTTCAGTTTTGTATTAACTCTACCGCATTTAAAGAAAGTGTCCTCAAATTTGACAGTCTGTCAGCTACTTCTTGTCGGGAAATTGAATTTCTTTCTTTTTGACTAAAAATTTTGAGGTCATTTAAAGCTTGTTCTCTTGCATTGATGGTTTTTATGGCATGCACCAGGATGCTTTTATTGTTATTCGTGTCATCAATTTCTTTAGCCATTGCTCCTGCTTTTTGTTTTAGTGGCAGATCTTCAATTGCTGATAAAAATAGCTTTTGTTGGTGCTCAGGAATGCCTTTTTCTTCCCAGAGCTCTACTAGGTTATCTGTTAATTTTTTAAAGATTTGTCCTCTCAGCACTGGCGGCCTCCCTCCAGCAATTCCTTTATTTGAGCTGGATTTGATAATTCGATTTGGGATTTCTTTTGCTTTTTTTATTTTTCCAGGCGCCAGGATGATTTTTTTCCTATGGTTTGTGGCTATGTGGATTTGTATGTGCTTATCTCGGACTGCATCATAATCTGGAATTTTTTCGAGGTGGAATCTGTTGTCTCAGGATTGCTCTCTGACTTGAATTTCGTGCTTAGAAGATCGACGAAAAGGTCGAGCACCTGGAATTCGAAGAATACCATGTTCGAACATTTAAATTATAAAGAAAATTGATTTAATAGCTGATATATTGATTAAAATGGTAACTCCTATAGCTGGGAATTTGAAAGGGCCATAATTGAGGTGTCTAATATGATTATCCTTCTAGGTTTTCATGAGATGGGACAGAGATGAGAGTTGATTAGCCAAAGCTCAAACCTTTGGCTAGGTTTTCCTTATATGGGAATACATGGAGTACGAAAGAGTTCTTCCAGTAGGCCAATCGAGAACTTAACCTAACGCGATGCTAGGTATTGCACTCTGGCTTTGAATTTCAATTAATAGATAGCTTACTGGATATCCGATCTTTGAATTTTCCATAATCGCGACCCTGTTTACGTACAACCTTCTGATTTTTGCAGAACTTCGCCAGAAGGAGTAGCAAAATGCAAGACTGTGTGCGGACTAGAGATTAAGAGGTGGAGTCTTATGCAATGAAATAAGAACCTCGGCTATCTGGCAATTGACTTTTCTGTAATCTTAAATAACGATAATATTTAATAACTGATGAAGAGAAATTTCCATTTTAAGAAAGAATTGCTTTAGCTTAACACTTAAATATTTTCACATTACTAGTTTTTATTTATTTTTTCTAGTTATTAAATATCAATTAATAAGATATTTCGTTTTCTTCTTTTTTTCTTACAAGATATTACCTTTTCTACTTAAAAAATTTAATTGAATTTATTCAATATTTTATATTATTAAAATGGTTTTAGAATTTTAGATGCTTGCTAAAATTCACAATTGAAATATAATAAAGTCCATCTTTGTTTTTTCTAAAATTTCTTAAAATTATCTAGACATTCTAAATAGGGTTCACTATTTTCTATTAATTTCTTAAGTTCCTTCAAAAATTTCTGTATTTCTAACATTCTATATTAAAATTGGATTATTAAGCCTCAAAACTAATAAAAATTGAATAAAGTTTTTGGTAAATATTGTTTGATCAAATTATTTTTACTAGCAGATTATATTTTTTTAAGTTAAAGTTTATATGATTGGCCAAATATGGTAAGCTAAACATTGAATCATAAAATATAAAAACATTGAAAATCTGATCTTTTGGAAATTTAATTAGAAAAATAAAATATAAAAATATAACAGTTTAAAAATAAGAATTTTCCAAATTTGTTTCGCTTAGATACACGCAAGTATAATAATCATCTTATCTATGCTTTACACAAAAATACCTTTTTACAGTACTTAATTATCAGATCTAAATGGCTAATAACTATTTTCTGTTTCAGGTTTGTTACAAAAAATTATGACAAATTTCTCTACTCTTAGACAGCATATAAATACCTCTAAGCGTCAATAATTTTATAACAAATTTTTCTAGATTTTTTTTATTTTAAAGTTGTGGAAACCTAATAGCATTTAATACATAATATGACCAAAAATATGTTCTTTAAGGCTCAAATTATGTTATTTGCCCTCTTTGGCTTATGTCTGCCCCTCGAAGTAATACTATCTCGTTTCGATTTTCCTAAGAATGGCCAAAATTCTATTCAAGAGGCCTCGATTCAAGAAATTTATCAGTCATTTTCTTCAGTTGAATGGCATGAATGCAACTTTTCGACGATAAGAAATTGTGTTTCTGCTTATCCAAGTAGTTCAGTATTACTAGATCTTTCAGATTCTTCTGATGCCCAGTCTATTATTTCCCAAGTTTGTGCAGGCTACTCTATGATCCACCTCGTTTACCAAGATGGATTTTTATATCAGAACGGGTGGATTTATTCTGTTATCTCTTCGGAAACTGAGCAATTAAACGCTTTTTTAGCTGTCTTAAAGTATTCTGTTCTACAAATATATTAATACAATAATATATTCATAGAAATTTGGCTAAATTTTTCATATTTAATTATTTCAGAATTTTTCGAGCATTAAGAAGCATAGGATTGCTTATGATGTTGATTATATTTTGGCTGGAATCAAGGAATTGTTATTAGCAACCAATATAACTCAAATTGAAAAGAAAAAATTACTAAAAACTATTCAGGACTAGAAGTTTTTAACGTTCAGCTAGGTACAAATATTAAAGATTTCATAGATAAAATAGTTTTTCCACTAGGTGCAACGCTTTATTACATTTTTACTTGCCCTATTTTGTCATCACAAATTCAGGGTTATATGAAAACAAGGAAATTACTGGATAAAGGGCAAGGAATTATTTTGAATCAAGAAAGCGGGTATTGCGAAAATAATGATGGTGCTTTGATAATCGTAAAATCTGGCTATGAATTTGTGATTTCAAAGGAGGAATATTTCAAAAAAGCTACAATAGATGCTATTTATTTATTAGAAAAAAATGAAAATTTGAGGGATTACAAAGAGTTTCTAAACTCTAAATTACAAAGAAGCTATGAAAATCAATTTTCATTAGTTAATATCCAGGGTGGAAAAAGAGTTATTGTAGGCTCTATTATAAACGGAAACGTTTCCATATCAGGAAATTTAAATTTTCCTGGCCAAACAAGTCAAATCCCAAAGTCAACAAAAAAACTCTTGCAATTAAGCATAAATGCTGGTACCACAAATCCTGGGTCATCCCCAATTTATAATGCATTAGTTGGCGCTCGAGGGACTTTTGTAATTCAAAAAAAAATCAATGAAGGAAATGATATCCTATCAAATTTCCAGCTCGATTTTTTTACCTATGACTGTGGAGTCACTATCTTTAATTCCACTTTTGCCCAAGCTTGCTTCACCAAAAATATAGATAAGCTTGGCTTTGCTCACATTGCAGGCTTTTCTTCAATGATGGCTGTTGGGACAATCCAATTATTTGAGAAACTTAATATATCAGTTCCAATAATTGGCGCTGCAAATGCTGATGATTTATTGAACTCTACAGCATTATTCCCTATGTATTCAAGAGTCCAGCTATCACAGTCTTTTATTTGTTCAAAATATTTAGTTGTAATTAAAGGAATGGGCTGGAAAACTGCTGCAGTGTTATATCAGAGTGATATTTGAGGGGTCACTGTTTATTCTCTTGTAAAGCTATTTGCTGAAAAATATGGGATCGAGATTTTAAATCCAGAAGAATCAAGACTAATACCAGTCGGACTAGATAGAATTCACAAAAAAAACGTTACAAATCAGTTGAAAAAAGTCATAAATTCACAAGCAAGGCTCCTAGTTTTACTTGTACAGCATCCATTAGGAAATTATATATTAGAATGGCTTTACGACCTAGGAGCAAGAAAAGGAGACTATGTGGTCTGTGCTGGCTATCCAGATCTGCCCACATTTATTTCTATTGATGATGATTATTTATATAAGAGGCTGGAGACTGGAATCCCTATGTTTACAATTGCGGGCGAAACTTGATCAGAAGAATTTGGTAAAGATATTTATAAAAGAATCCTCACTACTTATAAGTCAGAGCCAAATACTTTTTCCTGTACATATGCTGATGCTACTTATATGATTGCTAGTGCTTTAGATTTTATGATAAATAGAGGATTAGACTATACTGATTCTAGAAAACTCATGACAACAATAAGAACCACCCAATTTCATGGCTGCACTGGACTTGTACAGCTCGAGAAAGGCAGCAATGATAGAATTGTTGATACATTGATAATTGCAGGTGTAAAATTAATTGACGGAACCCCTTCCCTTTACATTATTGGGGTTTTTCAACCTTTTAGCTCGAAATTAATATCTATAATAAACCCAATGATATACGCTGACGGATCTACCTTAAAACCATCAGAATCCCGTAGCTCTGACTATGATTGTCCATTTCCTGACCGAGAAATTCAATCTTTTGATAAAGGTAAAGGCCTTTTATTTGGAATTTGTTTTTCTGTAGCTTTAGTTATGATTATTATCACATTTTTTATATGGAAAAGATGGTGGAATGTCTCTATAGAGCCGCTTATCACAAAAGAAGAAATGTCGATCCAAGATTTAATTGTCGGACTTACTATTGGAATAGAATTTTTTCAATATGCTGCAATGGGACCAAGTTTTCAGGTTATTAATTCTTTTTTATCAGAGTTAAGCGGATTGCTTTCTATGAAGCTAGAAGATGTGATAAACCTGAAAAACGGGGTATTTTGGATTGTTGTGGATTTTGTGTTTGGAGGGATTGGAATATGGGTCATTCTTTGTGCTGTTGTAATATTGGAGCTTGATGACAGAATAAGGTTTCTTTCGATATTTAGGTTTCTAACTCACCTTAGTGAGCGAACAAAAAATTTTTATTCGCTTACGGAGGGGGTGTTAAGTTTTGTTTTAAAAAGAATTTATATATAAATTTTATAAAGATTTTTGTTTTTTCAATTGGTAAAAAATTGATAAGCAAAAATTAATTTAATTTGTAAAATTTATGTTTTAAAATGTAAGCTGTTAAAAAATTAAACAGAAATTAGCTAGAAATTTTATTATTATAGTTATCACTTATATATAAAAAATTTTTTCTATTAAAAATATTTTTGTTCGCTCACGGAAGTGGTTTTTTAGTCATAAATAGGATTTTTCTAATGATTTTGTTCTCTCACGGAGGGGGGAGTAAGGTGGCTTGCTGACTGCTTGATGCCTATTTTAGGAAATCTTTGTTTTATCCCATTTACCTCAATATGTCTTGATATATTCCAATGTGACGAATCAATAGGAGACAATTTTACTGATAGCTTTCTTGCTAAAGACTGCTATTATTTCTGCTGAAAAGGCAAGCATTTAATATACGCGATTATTTCGTTCTTTGCTCTGCTGTTTTATCAGCCATTAGCAGTCTATTGTCGTCCACTTTGGCAAGACCTGCAGCCTACATTGCATGTGTTTACTTCTCCTGTTTTTCTTATGGTAAAAACAGTTATTCAAACAACTTTGATAGTAATGAGTATAACATTGAAAAGATCATACGCAATCCCTCATGGGATCATCTTTATCCTTATTATGACAGCTTATACTGTATTTATTTTTAAATTTAAGCCGTATAATTATCCAAGATTTAGCTGATGGCAAGGTGTAAGTATGATTGGAGTAGTATGGCTTGCTTTATTGTCGATGATTGGGCGAAAAGCTGAAGGCAAAGATCTTTCTGTTGTGCTTTTAATTAGTTTGAATGTAGGGTGGATTATTATTATTGGAATTGGGTTTTATGTACAAAATATAAAATATCCGAGTTTGCTTTATAGGAAAAAAGGAATTGATACAACTCACTTGTTTAAGTTTGCATTCACTTTTGGAAAAAGTTCACAAGCTACACTGTCAAAGATATCGAAAAACTCAGAGACAAAATTTAGTAATTTATAAATATATTTTAGTGTTTATTTGAGTTTAAATTTTATTTCTTAAACTAGTAAGAAATTTAAAATTTTAATATATAAAGCAAATAAGAAATCAAAGTCCAGAAAGAAAATATGGATTCAAACTTCATTAAATTAAGCTGTGAATTATATTAAATAGGCAAGCTAAATACATAGAGATAAACTTTAATATAAATTCAGAATAAATTTATGAAAAAATAAAACTTATTTTAACATTTCTCAAACTATGAATTATCTAAAAACAAAATCGATTAATGCGCTGAAGTTTATTTACTTGTAGGAGTTTTGTATTTACTAAAATTTAATGCTTTAATGAACTGCTGAATAGCATTTGCTGAAACTTTTGTTTCATATCAAATTCATTAAATTAATTTAGGCAATTAAATCCTAATAAATTAGCAGAATGCGAAAACTCTTTGTTACAAACTGTATCTCATTCAATCCATCTATTTATTAGGTATCTTTGTTCAACCATAAAGTTTATTTTCAATTAAACAATAGAAACACCTATTATTTGACAAACTTTTATTAAAGGTCTACCCAAAACTTAATTTAAGTATTACTAGAATTTTATGTTCGATTTTACCTTAAATTTATCTCTCTTCGATATGCGCTGTATAATAATCATCTTCTCTATGCTTTACACAAAAATACCTTTTACATTACTTAATTATCATATCTAAATGACCGATAACTAGTTTTCTTTTTCAGCGCTATTCCAAATAATCTATCACAAATTTCTCTGCTCTTAAGCAACATATAAATGTCTCTAGCGTCAATAATTTTATAACAAATTTTTCTAGATTTTTTTTATTTTAAAGTTGTGGAAACCTAATAGCAATTAATACACAATATAACCAAAAATATGTTCTTTAAGGCATCATTTTCTCCTCAAATCATGTTATTTGCCCTCTTTGGCTTATGTCTGCCCCTCGAAGTAATACTATCTCGTTTCGATTTTCCTAAGAATGGCCAAAATTCTATTCAAGAGGCCTCGATTCAAGAAATTTACCAATCATTTTCTTCAGTTGAATGGCATGAATGCAACTTTTCGACTATAAGAAGTTGCGTTTCTGATTATCCAAGTAGTTCAGTATTACTAGATCTTTCGGATTCTTCTGATGCCCAGTCTATTATTTCCCAAGTTTGTGCAGGCTACTCTATGATCCACCTCGTTTACCAAGATGGATTTTTATATCAGAACGGGTGGACTTATTCTGTTATCTCGTCAGAAACTGAGCAATTAAACGCTTTTTTATCAGTCTTAAAGTATTTTGGCTGGAATCAAGGAATTGTTATTAGCAACCAATATAACTCAAATTGAAAAGAAAAAATTACTGAAAACTATTCAGGATTAGAAGTTTTTAACGTTCAGCTAGGTACAAATATTAAAGATTTCATTGATAAAATAGTTTTTCCACTAGGTGCAACGCTTTATTACGTTTTCACTTACCCTATCTTGTCGTCACAAATTCAGGGTTATATGAAAATAAGGAAATTACTGGATAAAGGGCAAGGAATTATTTTGAATCAAGAAAGCGGGTATTGCGAAAATAATGATGGTGCTTTAATAATAGTAAAATCTGGCTATGAATTTGTGATTTCAAAGGAGGAATATTTCAAAAAAGCTACAATAGATGCTATTTATTTATTAGAAAAAAATGAAAATTTGAAGGATTACAAAGAGTTTCTAAACTCTAAATTACAAAGAAGCTATGAAAATCAATTTTCATTAGTTAATATCCAGGATGGAAAAAGAGTTATTGTAGGTTCTATCATCAACGGCAACGTTTCCATATCAGGAAATTTAAATTTTCCTGGCCAAACAAGTCAAATCCCAAAGTCAACAAAAAAACTCTTGCAATTAAGCATAAATGCAGGCACCACAAATCCTGGGTCATCCCCAATTTATAATGCATTAGTTGGCGCTCGAGGGACTTTTGCAATTCAAAAAAAAATCAATGAAGGAAATGATATCCTATCAAACTTCCAACTCGATTTTTTCACCTATGACTGCGGAGTCACTATCTTTAATTCCACTTTTGCCCAAGCTTGCTTCACCAAAAATATAGACAAGGTTGGCTTTGCTCACATTGCAGGCTTTTCTTCAATGGTGGCTGTTGGGACAATCCAATTATTTGGAAAACTTAATATTTCAGTTCCTATAATTGGTGCTGCAAATGGTGATGATTTACTGAACTCTACAGCTTTATTCCCAATGTATTCAAGAGTCCAGCTATCACAGTCTTTTATTTGTTCAAAATATCTAGTTGTAATTAGAGGAATGGGCTGGAAAACTGCTGCAGTGTTATATCAGAAGGATCTTTGAGGGGCCACTGTTTATTCTCTTGTAAAGCTATTTGCTGAAAAATATGGGATCGAAATTTTAAATCCAGAAGAATCAAGATCAATACCAGTCGGATTAGATAGAACTCACATAAAAAACGCTACAAATCAGCTGAAAAAAGTCATAAATTCACAAGCAAGGCTTTTAGTTTTACTTGTACAACATCCGCTAGGAAATTATATATTAGAATGGCTTTATGACTTAGGGGCAAGAAAAGGAGACTTTGTAATCTGTGCTGGCTTTCCAGATCTGCCCTTATTTATTTCTATTCAGGATGATTATTTATATAAGAGGCTGGAGACTGGAATCCCTATGTTTACTATTTTAGGCGAAACTTGGTCAGAGGAATTTGGTAAAGATATTTATAAAAGAATCCTCACTAATTATAAGTCAGAGCCAAATACTTTTTCCTGCACATATGCTGATGCTACTTATATGATTGCTATTGCTTTAGATTTTATGATAAATAGAGGATTAGACTATACTGATTCTAGAAAACTCATGACAGCAATAAGAAGCACCCAATTTCATGGCTGCACTGGACTTGTACAGCTCGAGAAAGGCAGCAATGATAGAATTGTTGATACATTGATAATTGCAGGTGTAAAATTAATTGATGAAACCCCTTCCCTTTACTCCATTGGGGTTTTTCAACCTTTTAGCTCGAAATTAATATCTATTATAAATCCAATGATATACGCTGACGGGTCTACCTTAAAACCATCTGAATACCGCAGCTCTGACTATGATTGTCCATTTCCTGACCGAGAAATTAAATCCTTTGATAAAGGTAAAGGCCTTTTATTTGGAATTTGTTTTTCTGTAGCTTTAGTTATGATTATTATCACATTTTTTATATGGAAAAGATGGTGGAATGTCTCTATAGAGCCGCTTATCACAAAAGAAGAAATGTCGATCCAAGATTTAATTGTCGGACTTACTATTGGAATAGAATTTTTTCAATATGCAGCCATGGGACCAAGTTTTAAGGCTATTAATACTTTTTTATCAGATTTAAGTGGATTGCTTTCTATGAAGCTAGAAGATGTGATAAAACTGAAAAACGGGGTATTTTGGATTGTTGTGGATTTTGTGTTTGGAGGGATTGGAATATGGGTCATTCTTTGTGCTGTTGTAATATTGGAGCTTGATGACAGAATAAGGTTTCTTTCGATATTTAGGTATCTAAGGTGGCTTGCTGACTGCTTGATGCCTATTTTAGGAAATCTTTGTTTTATCCCATTTACCTCAATATGTCTTGATATATTCCAATGTGACGAATCAATAGGAGACAATTTTACTGATAGCTTTCTTGCTAAAGACTGCTATTATTTCTGCTGAAAAGGCAAGCATTTAATATACGCGATTATGTCGTTCTTTGCTCTGCTGTTTTATCAGCCATTAGCAGTCTATTGTCGTCCTCTTTGGCAAGACCTGCAGCCTACATTGCATGTGTTTACTTCTCCTGTTTTTCTTATGGTAAAAACAGTTATTCAAACAACTTTGATAGTAATGAGTATAACATTGAAAAGATCATACGCAATCCCTCATGGGATCATCTTTATCCTTATTATGACAGCTTATACTGTATTTATTTTTAAATTTAAGCCGTATAATTATCCAAGATTTAGCTGATGGCAAGGTGTAAGTATGATTGGAGTAGTATGGCTTGCTTTATTGTCGATGATTGGGCGAAAAGCTGAAGGCAAAGATCTTTCTGTTGTGCTTTTAATTAGTTTGAATGTAGGGTGGATTATTATTATTGGAATTGGGTTTTATGTACAAAATATAAAATATCCGAGTTTGCTTTATAGGAAAAAAGGAATTGATACAAGTCACTTCATAATAATAAAATGGCTACGCACGGAAGCTGTTCTCTTCGAAAGCCCTTTTTAATTACCGAATTTATTATTATAGGTTCGTTTTATCTGATTATATCTTTATTCACATGTCAAGCATGGCTTACCGTATAGAGAGTAGGACAGTATGTCCAAGGATTCTATGAGCATAAGAGTATACCATTTGGCACATTCGAGGAGGTTGATGCTCAAAGCGGAGCATCCACAGGGATTAAGCTCAGAGAGAGGCAGTGCACCCTGTGTGCGGCTGGGGTCGTAGAGATTTTCGAATGACCCCACCTTTTTGATGACTTAGGATTGCCCGAGAAATTATCAGTCGGGACTTAAGGGTCAGCCCAAGCAAGCCTAAATCATTCTTCTTAAGAATTTGGCACGTTAGGCACTAAATAATTAATTATTTAAAGATGCAAGTCACTTGTTTAAGTTTGCATTCACTTTTGGAAAAAGTTCACAAATTACACTGTCAAAGATATCGAAAAGCTCACTGATGAAATTGTAGTAATTTATAAATACATTTTAATATTTATTTGCAATTAAATTTTATTTCTTAAATTACTAGAAATTTAAAATTTTAATACATAAAACAAGCGTTTTACACATAAAAAATCATCAGAAAGAAAAATGGATTCAAAGTTTAATTAATTAAGCTGTGAATTATATTAATAGGCAAGCTGAAATTCATCGAGATAAACTCGAATATAAATTCAGAGCATATTTATAAAAAATAAAATTTATTTTAACATTTCTCAAATTATTTAAAACAAAATCAATTAATGTGCTGAAGTTTATTTACTTGTAGAAGTTCTGTATTTACTAAAATTCAATGCTTTTAATGAACTGCTGAATAGAATTTGCTAAAATTTTTATTTCATATCAAATTTATAAATTAATTTAGGCAATTAAATCCTAATAAATAAGTAGAATATGGAACCTTTTTTGTCACACACTGTATCTCATTCAATCCCATATCTATATTAGATATCTTTGTTCAATCATAAAGCATATTTTCAATTAAGAAATAGAAGCACCTATCATTTGACAAACTTTTATTAAAGGTCTCTCGAAAACTTAATTTAAGTATTACTAGAATTTTATGTTCGATTTTATCTTAAATTTATCTCTCTTAGCTTTTTCAACATATTTTATTCTTTTTTACTATTTTCTTATGGCTATCTATTGATGTTGCAACAATGAAAATTCTTTCCTAAGCGTTCCAAAGATTTTTAGATAGAAAATGAGCTTATAAAAATAAATGGCTTCAATTGAAGAAATTCTCGCTGACGACGCCAAACTCACAGAAGTAACCAAGGCAGTCTTTGACCAAGTAGATGCTGATCAATCAGGCACAATCGATAAAAGAGAGCTCAAGAATGCTATGCAGCAAGTTGCCCGTGAAGCTAATATTGAGCCACCAACTGACCACGCTGTTGACCAAGCTCTTCACGCTCTTGACGCTGATGGAAGTGGAACAATCGATGTCAATGAATTCAAGGTCCTCATCAGACAACTCTTGGAAGCCTTAAAATAAAACAATAGATTAACTCTTAACCTAAACATTTTAGAAAAAACTCGTAAGTAAGTGTAAGGAAACCAAGATTTTATTCGCTCACTTGAAGCAGCCTTAAACAGGTAAGAATATATAAGTTTGCATGCTGGAGACATAAAAGAACATTCTCGATTATTAAAGCTATATGTCATTTATTAAAGCTTTAGCTAGAAATATAATTTTGGCTGTAAACTCAACTTTAAGAAATTAATAGAAACTTTTTCTTTTCTATTTCCAATGCTATTAGACTAAATAAACAGATAGCTTTTCTTAATAAAAAATATATGGAACACTTATTTGGACCAACACTTATCGGGAAGCATGGACCTGTCCCAGTTGCATCTCTTGCGAACACTAAATACGTCTTAATTTATTTTTCAGCACATTGGTGTCCTCCTTGCAGAGCTTTTACTCCTAAACTTGCTTTGTTTTATGAATCAGTGAACTCAGCCCACAAGCAAGTGGAAATCATTTTCTCCAGCGCTGATAGGTCTCCTGACCAGTTTCAAGAATACTTTGAATCGATGCCTTGGCTAGCAATTCCATTTGCAGACGCGGCTCACAGAAATGGTGTTGCCCAAAGGTTTGGTATCTCAGGAATCCCAGCTTTGCTGCTGATTGATAGAGAAGGAAATGTAAAGAGATCACAATGCAGAGAAGACGTTATGGCAAAAGGACCTTTGGCTCTGGCAGATTGGGATAGCGCTTTACGCTAATTAATTAGTTCCTAATTAGGATTGAAGATAATTCGATTTCAATATTTTTCTGATATAAATGTTATGAAATAGGTATAATGATTTTAAAATGATTTGACTGAGAGAAAAGTGCTTTTTATTAATAAAATATTCATTGGTAAATGAGTCTTTATTAGACTTAATGACTTTGAAACGCTCTTTAGTGTAATATTTAAATTAGATTAGGCTTATAGATATATTTTGCAAAAGATAAAAATAATCAATATAAAAATTAATTATTTATTAATAAAATTGTATTTACTTAACAGAACACCCTTCTCCACAATTTTCTGCATAGACATCAGATATCAATTTTTTAAGTTCATCCATATCTGATTTTATATTTTTTGCCATTATTCTGCACTTTTCCCATTGGTTCCCTGTATCTAATTGCTTTCTTTCTGTTAATCCGAGTAAAAAAACTAAATCAACTTTGTGTTCTGTATACATAGCATTTGTGATTTTCAGTAGTTGAGAAAGTTCCATCATTATAATGTACAAATCGTTTCCCAATTCAGAAACCTTATTGTTTGGGATTTCTGAAGCTTTTTCACTAAGGCTTTGTATCTCTTCTTTCAACAGCTCATTTTCTTCAATGAGCAAGTTCAAGAAAACTTGATTTTCTTGCTGTTCAGTAATGATTGTTAAATGGGATCTCATTTCTTTTAGAATTCTATTTTCTCTTTGACAATTATATATAATTTTTGCCATTTCATTTACTTTACTTTGTAGCTTGGATTTTTCAGCGGTAACTTCATCAATTTTTTTCTTGTATTGTTCTTCTTTATTGCTTAAAAAATCCATCACTATTTGAGGCTCATAATTAGAATATACGTTTTTTGTGTTTTCCATATTTTCAGCACCATAATCTTCCATTTTTTTCGATTGTCCTTTCGAAAGCTGAGCCTCACAAAAGTTTTTATTTTTTAACATGTCATTTATTTGATTTTCAAGCTCAAAAATTTTAGAGTTTTTTTCATTTATCTCTTTCTGCATCCTTTCAATAGTTATGCCTTATCTTAAAATTATAGTATTAGGCCATTTAATTAGCATCCTATTTTACAATTAAATTTTGTGAGCATTATTTTCATACTAGCAAGCCTTTCATTCATATAAGCCATATACTTTTTTATATATATTTATAGTAAAAGACTATTATTTTTCCAAAATTTAAATTTATATAATTGAGAGTAAACTTTTTTTATTTAGTTCAATTTCTAAAGAACTTTTTTGCAAGCTTGTTTTAAGGTTGCTATTTCTCTCAATAATTGTTTCTAGTTCCTTAAAAATATGTTTTTCCTTCTTATTTGTGCGGGAGCATGCATCATTGAAACTAGAGGCTGCTTTTTTATTTGGGGAGTTGGCTTCACTTGTGCTAAAAGAAGAACTTGGGCTGCGATGCTTATCCAGAGAAATTCTAGGTTTTAGCCTAGGTGTTAGAAGATTGCCAAAAGTTACTTCTGAACGACAGTGATAATGTGGTAAAGCATCTTTATAAGAAATCGTTAATTCTGTGGCTCAAAAATTTTTTTATCAATAAATGATATAATTTTAGGAAAAAATTATTTTTTTTTATCAATAGAAAAGGATTGTGAGACTTTTCTTCTTTCTCTCTGACATTTATTTTTTCCGATATAAGTCCCGATAATTATTTAAAATGATTCAGTATAACATTGCTTCTATATCTACCAGATCCACAGGCTCAGGATTAAAAATTCATGATTTACAAATGGCATGTCGTTTAGGTGACTTAGATGCAATAAGAGAAGCTTATAGGGCAAACCCAGACTCTATTAATATAAAAGACGACAGTCTGGGATGGACTCCTTTATATAGGACAATAATATCAGGGAGCATCAACGCAGCCGAATTTTTATGCTTAAAAAGTAAAATTACTATAAAATTATGATAATTTATTTTCTATTTTTTATTACGAAATTGCGATTTATAGTAAAAAATAAAAGAAAAATTTATCATTAAGGTTATATTAAAACGCAATGCTAATCCTAATATCAAAAATAATTTAGGTGAAACTCCATTACACCAAACAGCTGATAATTCTCAATATGGACTTGCGGAGCTACTATTAAAATACAAAGCAGACCCAAATATCCAGCAAAATGATGGGGATACCCCGTTACACCATGCAGCTTATCGAGGAGATACCAAAATGGTCGAAATTTTATTAAAAAATGATTCAGATCCAAATATCCCAAATTTTATGTTTGGCCGAACACCGCTACATTATGCAGCTGACAATAACTATTTAGAAACTATGAAAACTTTATTAGAGTTTGGAGGAGATCTATATTATTCTGATAAACAAGGTAAAACACCGATTGATCTTATTGATGATAAAACCTCAGCCAATTTTTTAAAAAATATATGAATAAGAAATAGAAAAACGAATGAAGATATTCGGCCTGTCCTAAATAGTGATGTCGGGATTGAGCCTGAATGTGAGGTAAGCGAAATCAGAAAAGAAGAAAAACCCTTATATATTTGACTAGAAAAATATAATTTACAAGACATGTATGACAAACTCTGTGAAGCTGGGTTTGATGACCTAGAAAACATTGCTTCACAAATGCAATCTTCACTACCACTCAAAATCGATGACTTAAAAAGGATTGGAATCGCAAAAATCGGGTACATCTATAAGTTTTTGCTTAATATCAATCACGATTCTTCCTCAATAACTACACACAGTTCACTATTCAAATCAAGTACTCATTTTCACCCTTGTGGATGCTGCTCTACAAAGAAAAATACAGAAAAGAAGAAAAAAGTGCCGACACTGAAGGTTTGGCTTGAAAGTTTAAATTTGTCAGAGCTAAAGGACAAGTTTGAAGAAGCAGGATTTGAGGACTTTGAAACAATAATTAGGCTGATGAATTCAAAATATCCTGTTACTGATTCATTATTAGAAGAAATTGGGATTCAGAAGTTAGGGCATAGGATAAGGATTTTAGCGAATTTACAAGATGCTGAAAACACAAAAGAACTAAATAGTAGTTTTATTATTGATAGAACAAGCAATAAAACATCATGCGAAAAATGTATTTTAATGTAACACATAGCTAATATTAAAATAATGCTGCTGGAATTTATTATTTTTTTAATCTAAAATCAGAAATCTTTTCATCAGCAATTACAGAAGCTGATAGGTATTTATTTTTAAAATAAATCTTCGATGTAAGCAATTAAAAATCAATGAATAGCAGATTATTTTTAATTGATGCTAGAAGAACTGATCAGAAAATATTTTTGATTATTATTGACCAGAAATCAGTCAAATAAAAAATTAAAACGTTTTTAAGTTAAGCTATCAGAATCTGCTCAATAATGAATTATAGTGATATGTATTAATAGTAATTTATTTTAGGAATTTTTATAGTAAAATGATATATAATGGTAAAAGTATAATATACTTCAAATATGTCGTAACCCCAAAACCAATCAGTTCAATCCAAAATTAATCCAAAAACTTCGTAAGCTTTTCTTCTACCATTTCTGATGATATATTCAGGTAAACTCTTCAGAAATCTCTAACGCAAATCAAGCCAATTTCACCCCATCTTCTCATAGTTACTAAAAAACGCTTGCTCTTTCCCTATTAATCTTTTCACATAAATATCTTACCTACGTCATAAAATTAAGCTTAAATTTGTCCTTAATTCACATAAAAAATAATGCAAAATCCTAATCATAAATGCATAGATTCTGGTACGTTGTCTGGATATGTAAAAATGTCACATGGAGATCGGAAGGCCTGAAACCAAGGGGTGCAGGTTAAATGGCATTACCTTTTTGATAGTGCCATTTCACCGAAAAATTTTTGGTTAGAAAATTATTAATAGTGCGACATTTGACTGAAAAAAAAAAAACCATTAATTTTTCAGCCAAATGTCGCACTATAAAAATTTCGACCAAATGCATTTCTAATGGAGCCGAAACCAAGATGTAACCCTTATTTAGGAAGATGATGCCATCAAAGCTCTTGTCGAAGAATTCGGAGTCAAGCATTGGACACTCATTGCACAACTGCTTGTAGATAGATATGGGATTAAAGGCAGGTACATTTTATGCAGAACTGGCAAGCAGTGCAGAGAACGTTGGCACAATCACTTGGATCCACAAATAAAAAAAGACACATGGACTAAAGAAGAAGAAGACACAATCTTTGAATATCAGAAAACTTATGGAAACAGATGGTCAGAAATAGCAAAATTTCTTCCAGGCCGATCTGATAATGCAATAAAGAACCATTTCTATAGTACGATTCGCAAGAACTTAAGGAGATACAATAGAAAACGCCGCCCTGAAGAGAAAATCTCTGGGCCTATAAAGCAAATTCTTCAAGATCAAGACTTGATGGAAATCTTGATGGCATACCCAGAAAAAGTTTCTAATAAAAACAAGACACTCTCAAGTGAGCCTAACTCCCCCCCCCTCCGTGAGTGAACAAAACCATTAGAAAAATCCCTATTTTTTGCCCAAAAACCCACCCTCCGTGAGTGAACAAAAATTTTTTTAATAGAAAAATTTTTTATGGAAAAATATTTTGATATATAAATGATAATTAGTATAATGAAATCTAGAGCTAATTCTGTTTAATTTTAAACGAATTGCTTTTTAAAACATAAATTTTATAAATTAAATTAATTTTTGCTTTCCAATTTTTGCGAATTAGGATTTTTTTAAATTTCGAAAAAAAAATATTTTTTATAAAATTTATATATAAATATATTTAAAAAAAAAAAAATTAACCCCCCCTCCGTGAGTGAACAAAATTTTTTTGTTCACTCACGGAGGGGGGGGAGTAAGCAACTGTAAGTCATAATTAGGAGAAGGTCAAGCCGAATTATTGATAGGAAAGACACAAAACCACAAATTAGCATAGAAACTGATATAAACGATAACGAGGTCCCATCCATTTTATGTTCACTTTATGATACACCTAAGGAAAATGCTCACAAGAAGTTATTCTATATAATAATGTATAATTTATAAGGGAAAATTATAGGGAAATAATTATATTTTAAGGTATAGTTACACCATCGATGAATGGGGCTAGCTTCGAAAGCTCTAGGACTACTCCTAGCAGCATGATAACTCCGTCAAAGCTTATTAGGTTTCCTGATCAGGGCTGTTTTTTCAATTTTCAAGAGAAGAATCAAGAAGAAAACCAACCAGACACAAATGAAGACCCACCGGTTAGATCAGATTCTTCGCAAACAGTCACCCTGGAGCCAGCCAAAACTAAAGTTATCCCACAATTTTCGATCCCAAAACCTGAATATTTACCTTACACAGCAGAAGAGCATCAATAATTAATTAGAAATTGTATTAAATTTATACCAAATATACGACAATAATGCTCTCATTTTATAAGTAAATTCCTTTGCATTTTTGCTGCTAATTAATTTATGTCAGAATTAATTTAATAATCCTTACATATCGGAAAAAGATTCAATTTTTACATCATAAAGTGTTGCTGAGTCGCCGTCAATAACTAGCACTGTTTTCGGCATTTTTCCTGGCTTTGCACGCGGTATCAATCTGACATCTCCTGACACATTTAAATATTTCATAATATCCGCTATGTTTTTATCAGGAAACTCGTCTGTTGTTGTCGTGCTGGTCGGGCTTGACTCGTCTTCTTCATAAACCTCTTCAATTTTGCTTTGGGACTGATTTTCTTTTAAAAAAGAAGAATATACATTTCTTTGTTCTGGGGTTATTGATTTTGCCGCTTTTATAAGCGAAATCTTTTCACTGGCTTCTTCTGCCTCGATTTTGTTGTGAATTAGCTTTAGTTTCACTTGGGGAGCTGGAAAATTATTTTTGACTGTTTTTTCTATATGCAGCGGACTTTTAGAGATGTCCATAAGATTAATTTCAACTTTTGGAGGAGGAGTTTTGTTTATAGGGGATTTCAAAAGATTTTTAGGTTTTTCTGGAGACTTTATCGGGGTCGAGGAGCGCATAGGCTTTTTCTGCGCAATTGGGCTTTTACTATGAAATTTTGTTCTGCTAGAATATGCTTCTTTAGAGATCAATGACATATTTTTAAAGAAATTTATTTAGCTAAGCGAAACGGAGTATCCTCCTTCTAGATCACTTGCTTTATAGCCTTTTTCTTTAAGGTATTCTGCGACTGCAGGCTTTATTTTAGCAATTCCATGAGTGGAGTGCATCCCTTTCCCAGTGACCACTTCAACTCTTTTAAGCCCATCCTCTTGTGACTCATGCAAAAAAGCTTCCAGTAGCTCAATCGCTTCTTTTACCCTCAGTCCATGCAAATCAATAACGCCTGGCCTATTATTAATCCTTCTAAAAGTTTCCATATAAGTTTCATTATAAACTTTTTCAAAGGCGTCTTGGTATTTTTTCCCTTCACTGCTGAGCCTTTTTGCTTCATTCCAGTTTCCAACAGACGCTGCTTTTCCTGCTCCTTGAAAATATGCTTCTTGTAGCTTCCTATATCTATTCGGTGCAGGTCCAATGATAATGTTTTTTTGATAGTGTATTTTAAAGTACTTTTGGTCTAAAATTGGTTGAAACTTTTTGATAATGGGACATTTGACCGAAAAAACCGTTAAATTCGCCTTTATTTAAAAAATTTTCGACGATGAAATGCACTCTATCAAAAATCCACTGTCATTTGACATGGACCATCTATTCACAGCTTCGATTTTTTCATTATATTCTTCGTCTCTCATTCTTTCTCCATATACAATCCTGACATTTTCAGTATCGCCACGGCTAATTCTGCTTGGAGATGACTGCTGGGTTATCCTGATAACCCCAGTGTCAGGAGGAGGGTCTCTATAGTTATCAGGAAAAAGGATTTTTAGGGTGGCGACCGTTTCTTTGTAGTCATCTCCGCATTGAAAAAAAGTTTCTTTTATTAGTTCTTCATCAACAGCTGGGAAGCATTTGAGGACGAGATTTAGCTTCCGGACTGCATCAAGGTTGTTGCCATCTAAAAAATGGTTATTAGAGAACTGGGATCAAACACCCTGAGGGGTTTTGGATTTAGGAAGAGTGCATAGGCTTGGGAAGGCTTGGTCTTTAGGCTTAGCAGATTTAGATGAAGGCGAGTTTTTGCGTTCTTCAGGAATGTGGCTGTTTGGATAGGATTCATTTAAAATTCTTACAGTCTCATAAAAATTCCCATTGTTGCCATAAAAAGTTTTATTAATAACCTCACGAGCCATATTCGGGAAAATGCCATATATCATTTCAAGCCCTTCAGCGTCTAGTCTACGTCTCAATGCTTGACTATTAACATACCCAATCGCGCTATTTCCAAACTCGTTTTCTTCTTCAGGTGCCTCTTCTTCTTTATTCCCTTCAACTAGCATTTCTTTGTTAGCTTCAATAAGAAATGCTGTCGTTTTCTCGATGTTTTCTTCACAGGATTGGTAAACTTCTTGGATCATTTCAGCACTGTTCTGACCAAACATGCCTTGTAAAAAGTCCATTGCTTGCTCTTGAGGACTTTGAACTGTCTGTAGAATTTCTAAAGTTGACTCGAAATTACATATAATTAAATATGGCGTCTCAACTTGGGTCTGGCCTCTCGGCCAGACAGTTTCGAGCCCTATTTAATTATATCCGGCAAGGTTTTGCCTAGCTAGAGACGGACAGCAATATCAGGCAAGCAATTCTGGCAGTGTACAGAGCCTGATCCCAGTCCGTTCTCGGGTTAGGATTTTACCTCGAGGGAAGAGGAGGCTTGGAGTTGGAAAGGAGAAGCCCAGCAGCGCCTACAGGTAATCCCTAGGCCATTCGGGCAAATCTCTAGCGAGAAACCGGGAGTTTCGCTCCGGGCTACAAGTTTTCTCTTTTGCCGAAAGTCGGCCAGAAAATACCATTTTTTGGAATTTCCCAGCAGACAACCCTCGTTACAGAGAAAGTAGCTCAATCGTGAGCCGTCGAAGCCGGAACATCGCGCAGGAGCGCGCGCGTTGGAGATCAAAGCTAGTTGTCCCAGCAACTAGTGGGCCCCGAGCGACGAGAGCGTGGTGGTAGTCCTGGAAGAGCAACCCCGTAGGAGACGTTAAACGTGATGGTTAATAAGTTAAGACTCGAAATTACATTTTTGATCATTATAAGTAGATTCAATTTGTTCAATAGATAAATTTGAGAAGATTTCTCGAAGTTGTGAGAGTTCTCTTTTTTGCTTTGCTGAAGGCTTTTTTTGCTTTATGCAAGCCAAATCAATTTTTCCAGGCATCTTACCATAGTTACCGTATTTCATTTTATAGTAAAAAGATTGCGTATCTGGTACTTTGTAGAGATTTAAATAGAAATTTTTAAAGAAATGATAAAATTTATGTAGTTATAAATTATATATGATTAAATAAAAAAAAATTTTAAATTTATCCCTTTCAGCATTCAGATTTACAAAGCCTAGTTTTATTATAATTTTAAAGAAAGTGGAAATATAAATTAAAGTGGGTTTTGATATAAAATTGGTCTTGACAGAGCAGATTTGTCTAAAAATACGAAACCTTCCATATATGGAGTTTTTTATTCTATTTCTGGCATCGTCTTTAGTTTAAAAACTAATTGCCTTTTCACATCCCGACAGCTTCTTAAATGCGTTTAGAGTCCTTAACTGTGATCCTCCAAAACATTTCTTAGCTTATTCCTCATATTTATAATTCATTATCCCTTTGACCTACCCAATCTCCAAGATAACCAACAAAATTCAAAGATTTCCTTTCTCTCTTCATCCCATAATCAATGCATCCTTTTTCCCTCCATCAATCCACACAAGACTTGCAATTTTAAACCATAATTAATCCTAATTCTCAGGCATTCAGTAAATCCTTTTCTTTCTCTGCCTTCCTCCCACAATTCACATTAATATTTTTCTACTACTTTTTCGATCCCCATTCCCTATATTTTTTTTCCATTCCCACCCTATTTTTTTTAAAAATTACCTTTTATAACCCCTCCCTATTTTTTTCCTTATCCAATCCTCTATACTTATATACATTCATTTTAGCATGATCTTCTCTCATACTTTGAGTACTTAGAACCTTTATTCATTTCTGAGGCCTTTTGGCATAATTCCAATAGTGGCTAATAATAAATATGAAAGGCACCGAAGAAGAACTCCCTGACTACAACGAAAGTGATGCTGAACAAGAGGAAGCCAAAGGACCCAAAACTCGAGTGAAAAAGAGTGGGTTTTCAGGCATCCATTCAGCTGGCTTTTCAGAGTTCCTCCTCAAAGAAGAACTTATCAACGCCATTCACGAATGCGGCTTTGAACACCCTAGTGAAGTTCAGCAAGAAGCCCTACCACAAGCTATGAACGGCTGCGACATTATTTGCCAAGCCAAAAGTGGGATGGGAAAGACCGCGGTCTTTGTGTTGGCGGTCCTACATCAGCTGGAAACCCCTGTAGAGCCGGTCAGTGTGTTGGTACTTGCACATGTGCGTGAACTTGCTTTTCAGATTAAGCGCGAGTTTGACAGGTTTTCTATTTCCCCTCCAGGAATTTTTGAGTTTTTTTTAAAGATCTTGTATTTAAATTTCTATATATTTAAAAAAATATCCAATTAAAAATGTAATTTATTTATTATTTTAGAATCTAAAAAAAATTTTTAGAGATTTTATTATATTTATAATAATAGTTTTTTGCTCGTTAATAAGGGGGATCTTTTCCTCAAAAAATCATTTAAATGGCTTTGCTCAATCATGAAGGGGGAGTAAGAGACTTGATGGTGTCAGAACTGAAGTCTTCTATGGAGGTGTTCCACTGAGTGAGCAAGTTGCAGCTTTAAAAAACCCACCTGCCATTATTGTCGGCACTCCAGGGCGTATTTTAGCTCTTGCACGCAAGGGGACTTTGAAATTAGACAAAATTAGGTATATCTTTTCTATATAAATAAACCCAGATAACAGCCAATTCCCCAATTCATATATCTATGCTATATATTTTTTTCCTATAAATATAACATTTTTTACATTAAATAATCAAATTCCCAATATACCTGAAATTTATTATTTCATTATGGACGAGTGTGACAAAATGCTAGAAAAGCTTGACATGAGAAGCGACGTCCAGCACATCTTCCGCATGACTCCTCACGAAAAACAAGTCATGATGTTTAGCGCCACAATGAACAAAGAAATCCGCAACGTTTTCAGAAAATTCGCCCAAAACCAAGTCGAAATTTTCATTGACGACGAGACCAAGCTGACTTTACATGGCTTACAGCAGTATTATGTCAGACTCAGCGAAAACGAGAAAAACAGAAGGCTCATTGACTTGTTAGACGCACTTCAGTTCAACCAGGTCGTCATTTTTGTGAAAAGTGTCAGCAGAGCTATTGAGCTTAACAAGATTTTGGTAGAATCCAGCTTCCCAAGTACAGCTATACATGCAGGACTGAATCAAGAAGAAAGGTGAGTTTCTATTCTATTTTTTATGAATATTTTATTAAAAAAACAATATTTTTTATAGTTATTTAAATTTATATAGAAAAATATAGCTAGAATCAACCGTTTCAAGGCATTTAAAGACTTCAACAAGAGAGTTATGGTGGCTACAGACGTCTTTGGAAGAGGAATTGATATAGAAAGAGTCAACATTGTGGTCAACTATGACATGCCGCAGAGAGAAGAAAAGACTGATGCCAGAGAAAACAATGCGTCGAATACTTATTTGCATAGAGTAAATGTTATTGTAGGTCGGTAGAGCCGGCAGATTTGGTACTAAAGGATTGGCGATATCCTTTATTTCAAGCGATGAAGACACTCAAGTGCTAAACGAGATACAAGAGAGATTCGAGATTGCAATTAACGAGCTCCCAGCAACAATCAACATTTCTAGCTACAGTATTTTTAACTTCAGTGAACACTTAACAAGTAACCTAAAGACTACTTTCATGCAAATTTATGCTAGTTTAAGTAAATTTGTGATTAAAATTAAGATAGATTGATTATAGGGGTATTTATTTTTTAGGGGATATTATCTTTTAAATAATGTAAAATTAATATTCAAACTTTTAATTATGCGGATATACCACATAGCTTGCTTTGTATTTCTGAAATTTTTTTATAAATGACATTTTTTAGCTAAAAAAGCAAATTTGGCCTTATTTATTTTTTTTAAAAAAAATTTTAAACTTTTTTTCTTTTCAGGGATATAAGTTTTTCCCAGAAAGCGTCATTTTGCCATGAAATCGCCACGATTGCTTTTTTGGTCCGACCAAGTATCTTGATCAGACCAAATTAAAATTTTTAATCAATTTTGATCTGACCAAGATTACTTGTTCTGACCAAAAAAGGAACCCCGTGGCCAATTCATTATCAAATGGCGCTATTCATGGGAAAAATTTATATTTTTCATAAGTATCCAAATGAGCGCTCACCTTATAATTGCTCACTAGTTTTCGAGCCTGGGGGAGTTATTCCTAGCCCTTGAGCAACTCTTGTGCCATACTCTGGATCACATCTGTAAAAGATTTCGCACTGCCTCTCAAGGATTTCTTTTTTTGTCACCATTTTCATATGAGCTACCAAATTACTGATTAAATCTTCTCTTTCCGCGTCATCCATTACTTTCCTAAATAATGTTGTAGCCTGTTCAAAATCATCATTTGGATGGTTAAACCCGAACCTCCCCGCTTTCCCACTTATTTCATATTCGTGCATTTTAGCGTTTGGGGCTTCTCTTGGGGTCCCTTCTATTGAATTCGGCTCATAAGCCGGCTCATTTCCATGGTTTCCGTCATATCGCATAGGGCCATCTCTATTTAAGGTTGCGACTTTGGTAGCATATGGGCAGTTTATAGGAATCTGCGTGAAATTTGGCCCAATTCTATGCCTTTGGGTATCTTGATAAGAAAAAAGTCTAGCTTGCAGCATTTTGTCATTTGAGGGCTCGATTCCTTCTACCATTGATGCAGGATTAAAGGCAGACTGTTCGACTTCTTGGAAATAGTTAATAGGATTTCTATTTAAAACTAGCTTCCCAACAGGAATTAATGGATAATCACTATGTGGCCATACTTTTGTGACATCAAAAATATCCCATTTATACCCTTCTCCCTCAGCAAAAGGCATTACTTGTATATAAAACGTCCATGAAGCTTCATTTCCTTTAGCAATATGATCATACAAGTCGTGTGTGGAATAGTCAGGGTTATCTTCAGCTAATTTACTTGCTGCAGGCCATTTAAGATTATGGATTCCAGCGTCAGATTTCACATGGAATTTTACATAAAAAACTTCATGATTGGAGTTCACCATTTTAAAAGTGTGAGAACCATAGCCATTCATATGCCGATACCCATCTGGGGTTCCTCTGCCGCCAAACATATAGGTTATTTGATGTATGGACTCTGGAGTTAGGCTTAAAAAATCCCAATACGCGTCATGGTCTTTTAAGTTTGTTTGGGGATTTCGCTTTTGAGAGTGAATAAAATCGAAAAATTTTTATATTTTTTTATAATAAATATAAAAATTATTGATTATTATATATAAGGGCTTATATTTATTATAAAAAAGTGTATATTTTTTTATATTAAATTTAGGATAATTTTTTTTATTTTAGGAATATACAAATATATTAAATGTAAGTATAATGGATCTCTGACGAAAAAAACAGGGGTATTGTTGCAGACTAAATCCCAGTTCCCTTCTTCTGTATAGAACTTAATAGCAAATCCTCTGGGATCTCTTCAGGTGTCTGGAGTCCCTCTTTCTCCAATGACAGTGGAAAATCTTACAAAAGCTGGAGTTCTTTTGCCGATTTTATTGAAAATTTTGGCTTTGCAGTATTTTGAGATGTCGTGAGTGACTTCAAAATATCCATGAGCACCAGCACCTTTGGCATGCACTACACGCTCTGGAGCACGCTCATGATCAAAAGCGGCCATTTTCTCTAATAGGTAGAAATCAGATAAAAGTATCGGACCTCTTTCTCCTGCAGTTAATGAGTTTTGGTTGCTGTCTATTCTGCGTCCTGTGCTTGTGGTTAAAACCTTTTTCTTTTCCTCCATTTAATTATGTGATTTCTGATTTATAAATGTCAGGCAAAATTAAAGCCATTTATTTTCATTTTGCATTAATATAGAAAATTAAAGAAATTATTAGATTGATTTTTTAAAAAAACAATACAGCAAAATTACTTAATAAAATCAATTTATTTTTAACGGACGATAAAAAGTTCGGTTAGCCTAAAATTCTCAGTATCAAATGAATATAAGTTGTCTATTCCCCAAGATATTAAATTTATGGTTGGAGGTGTGTTTGAAAAGAAATAAAGTTTATTTCCATAGTCCAACGGCTTGCAAGGTGTATATAAAACCAAGTCTACACCCATTGTTGTAACTAATGTTATCTTATTTTCAACTAAATCTATCTTATAAAGCTCATTTCTAATAAACATATAAACGTCTCCTTTATAGAGATACATGCTTGTCCTGCACGTTTTTTCAGGTAAAGCAATAGGAATAGTATGTTTTGCCTCAATAAATTTCTCCCTATATGCTATTTATATATACTAATTGACCAAGAATAGCCCACTATGGAGCCATTCTTGGTCTGCCAGAAAAAATTTTGACAAAAAGATCCTAATCTGCCATTACCACTGAGTTTTGGTGTTTCCAAATTTTTTTGACAAGCCAAATGCATCATCGCGAAAGAACAATTTTTTTTTATTGCATTTGGCTTGCCCAAAAAATTTGGAAACACCAAAACTCAGTGGTAATGGCAGATTAGGATCTTTTGTCAAAATTTTTTCTGGCAGACCAAGAATGGCTCCTTAGTGGGCTATTCTTGGTCAATTAGTATATACCCTAGAGCAATTTAGATTCAAAAAGTATATAAAATTGAAGCTCTTTTGGATCAAAAACCTCTATATGAGTAGAATTTCCGACTATATAGATTTTATCCCCAATTACTACAGCTGAAACATGGCAATGCGGCATATTCATATTAGGAAGCAGCTCCCATACTTTTGTGACCAAAGAATACCTTTCAGCTGTTTGAATTGGGCCTCTATGTTTTCCTCCAAATGCATAGACATAATTTTTATGATAACAAACCCCATGGAATTGTCTTGGAAACTGCATTTTTGCAATGGCGTCAATTATACACTAAAAAGGTGGCGAGCCAACATACCTTCTTAACTCTTGGAACTACACCCCCACAGAGTATTCAGGAAACTTGAGAAAGGGAGGATGGAGTTCGGTAAATGTGCATCAGCCAATTTTTTTTGGTTTGGTGAGAGCTAGCCGACCATATGCTTCTTCTAGATCCAGGTGATTGCCTTGGAGATAAAATGGAGCCGAGAGTTGGAAAGGGATTTCCCAGTAGAGTCAGTGGTTTTTTTTACTGACGATCGGAACTTCACAGCTTGAAACCATGGGCTACGTCCTAGGCTTTGAATTTCAATTGGCAAGAAAATTCAACATTTTTAATTTTCCATTGATGCTATCCTCTGATGACGTACCCTTACGTGACATAACTAATCCAACAAATGCGGACTCTTCTCCAGCAGCATCATCTTATTTAAGGTTGTCATCGATTTGGCGAACAAGAGAAGGGGATTACGGGTGGATGATCCTTCAGGAATCGCATTTGGCTCTTCTATAAGTAATATAACTATCATGATACAATGGCATCAATTTTTTGTGTGGCTGGGTTTATTAATGCCGCATCCCTCATCACGTTTCCACTTTTCCCTCCACATATCAACACACTGTCATCTGGCAGTGTACACAAGGCACTTCTATGATAAAAACTTGCCCCATTGATTTTTACCGACCTTAATTTGCCTTCATTTGGGTCATATTTTACCAGCCTATTTGTGTCTCCTTTCGGGAACCAAGTTTCCCCGAAACTGTTTTCAAATCCATCATAAAAGAGCATAGAAATTCTTTTCAAGCTCTCCATTGTATTTGTTATGTCAACTTTAAAGTATATTTTTCTAAGTCTGTTATACTCAGCATCATTTTCGCAGTTTTCCATCCTGAATATAAATTTGCTGACCCAGTTCTCGTTTTCTTTCATCCTTGCGTTCATCAAATTTGCCCTGGCTTTTAAAATTTCTTCTTCTACCCTTAAAACTTCATCAATTTTTTCTTTAATTATAATTTCTACTTGTTCATGAAGAGTTTCTTTAGCTTTTATTAGCTGTTCTTTATATATTTCTATTTGCCTTAGATTTCACAATATTTGTTCTTGAGTCTTGTCAATAATTTTTTTCCTCGTTGTGAATTTCGCCACATCATCTCCTGACTGTAACAAATCATAATTTTCTACAGGCTCAAAACAGTGAGATGTGCTTGGGTCTTTGTCAATATGCACTATTCTGCAGCTCCTACACAAAAACATGCTCCGTCCTTTACAAAGACAGATGAATTGGGGCTCCCCGTTGCAAATTTCACATGATGAGTTACCTTCATAGCCACTTTGAGGAATTGGTGTTTGGATGTGGACTGAGATAGGATTTTGAGCAAAATGAACTGGAAGACAAATAGTACAGAGCATCACAGAGCCATTATCGCAATGACAGAGAAGGGTAGCTTCATTTCCACATCCATTACAGATATGACCCGATTCCATTTTGAAATAATTATAAATAATATCTAATTTGGGGTTTCCTGCATCCTTAATCCTTTTTATATCAAATACCAAAAAAATATTATTTTTAGGTGAATTTAGAAAAATATAGGGATTTTAGTTAGAAAAATTCTATATAAAAGAATTTTCATAGCAGATTCATATAGTCAAAATGAGAAAGTATTAATAATTTTTGTATAACAGCCAATTATTAATTCACTGATAAGATCTAATCTTAATTAAAATTATCGAAAAGCTCTCTATAAGTATCTAAGGATGCTTTGTCTTGCCTTCTGCTTCTCAAAACCCAGATCATTATTTACATTTTATAAGATCTCATATTTTCATTTATTTTAAAAAATTAATACGATTTTCAGCTACCACTGCCTTATATATGAAATCCAAAATTCTGACGCAAAATCGTCTTCAAATATAGTTGTATAAATTTAGCAAATGAATTACAGCAGCACTGCTTTAAGAATCTGATTACTTACAATGCATTGCTACATTTTTTATAAGCTATTTACATTTCTGCTTCATTTTCTGCTTCTTTTTCTTTGATTTTCTGCTTTTTTCGCTCCTCAAACTCCGGGATTGCAGGGAAATCTACCCCAAGCCTCTTCTTGAAGTCGCTAGGCTCACTTAAGCCAGGTCTGGGGAGAATCTTGCTCTCAGGCCTGTGCTCTCTGACTATTCTATTCATTGTGATTCCTTGGCGATTTATAAGCTGCCCAGGACTGACTTCTTCTTCTAGTTTTCGTAAAAATCCTTCGCGACTATTCATTATTTATTTATGGTGGATAAATGGTATTCGGCAATAAAGTTACAGCGAAATGTAACAAAATAAAGAATGTGCCGTTGAAATAAGGCATGATTTAGCTGCGAAAACAATTTGGAAAAAATTGTTTAGGAAATTGAGCTCAGGATGAGTAAGTTAGAAAAATAAGAAAATTTTTTATATTGGGAAAATTAATGATTATGGGCCAGGGTGCCTAATATTTTGTGTATACTATTTAATGGCAATTTTTGATTGACAAATTATATAGTAAATAGGTTAATTAGGAAATTTCATTAGGTTTGGGAAGGTGTAATTATTGTAAAATGTGGGAATTTGAAGAAAAATTGTGAAATCTGTGCGTTGAAAAGTAAAGTATATAGTTTTTGGTAAATGGCAGGTATCGTAACAAAATTTTAAGACACAATAAAATGGAGTATTTTAGGCTTATTTATTCAGTTGAGCTTGGTAAATGATTGACCCCTAATAATTAGAAGATTCACATTTTTGATAGCAAAGATCACTATTTTTTGCTTATCATAGATAAAGGCGTATTTTTAAAGGCAATTTCTGAATGAATCGTATTCATTATAAATAATTAACCGAACCCTGCTAAATTTTATATTAAATGAACTGATTCAAGGCCACATTTAATATCCAAAGACCAATCTCTATTAGTTTTCTGCTTTAAACTCGATTCCTCCTTTCTATATTCTTATCATCGAATCAATATTTAATCTTATCTTTAATTGCTTCCATATAATTATTCTTTCCTTCAGCCTTCTTATTAATATAAAAATCTCCCTAATCTTTTTCAGCATATTTATCTAGTCTCTCTCTATATAAAAAACTGAAATGGAAGACCCAGCCAACAACTACGACCACAAAGAAAAAGCCATCATAGATGAAAGAATAAAAGAACTGACCCACAACCATGACGAATACATCCACAACCACCCAGAACTCCAGCAAATCCTCAATGATTTCGTAACTGAAGTTTTGCTTCACAAACCCCAGGACACAATTCTTTTTGCACGCGAATTTTTCTCAAAATTCAACCCTACCCCAGTCCTCAACAAGCCTCTTGCCATAATTGGTCCTTCAGGCGTCGGCAAATCTACCCTTATAAAAGCTTTGACTGAGCAATTTCCAGGGGTTTTTGAATTTTCTATATCCTTTACTACCAGAAACCCCCGAGGCCAAGAAAAGAACGGGGTTGAGTATTATTTTATTACAAAAGAAGAATTTATGTCAAAAATTGATGCTGGAGACTTCATTGAATGGGCTGAGGTCCATGACCACTTTTATGGGACTTCTAAAAGTGTTATAGACGATATTTATTCCAGAGGAAAAGTGTGTATTTTAGATATCGATGTACAAGGCGCTGTTAAGATTTTCCAATCAGGGCTGGAATTTAATAGAGTTTTTGTGATGCCGAAATCTATGAAGTCGTTAGAAGATAGGCTTAGAGGGAGAGGCACTGAAGATGACAATATTTTGAGAGTCAGACTGAGGAATGCTCAAACTGAAATAGAAACTGCAAGGGAAAACAGGTTATTTTTAAAAAATTTCCATAATTTTTTTTTCTATTAGGCTGTTAATTTTTTTAAATATCATAAGCAAGCCACCTCTTTTAACGTGAAAAATTATCCTTGGTCTAAAATAATAACCAGGGAAAACCCTAATATTTTCAAAGATTTTATCACAAATGACGTATTTGAGCAGGCTTATAAAGACTTTTTGCATTTGATTTATAGATATTATGAGCATTTGAGAAGCTAAATTATTTAAAATTTTAAATAGGCCGTTAATCTGTTAATTAAAAATTGGAACGAGATGAATTCTAAAGTTACTAATATATTAGAAGACAAGGAAAACCCGAATTTAAAAGACAAGCCACGAGCATCTTTTGGTAATTCTCGTTCATTTGGAACTGATATTACAAGAGTGGCTCTACATCCCATAGATCCTGATAAAGAGGATGAAATTGATCCACAGCGACTTGGGGACTATGCAAAAGAAATATAATATTATACACAAAACTGTCAATAATCAGTATATATATTATAATGACTAAATCAGCCCTACTCAGCATATTTTCTTACCTTTTTACTATTGAAGACCAATATCTCCCTCAATATGGCTACATGAAATCTCAAGCTGACATCAATGAAAAGATGAGAGGAGTCCTCATTGATTGGCTTGTTGGGGTCCATCTCAAATTCAAGCTGCTCCCAGAAACCTTGTTTTTATGTGTCAATGTCCTTGATAGGTACCTTGAAAAAGTTTCTGTACTCCGAGGCAAGCTTCAGCTTGTAGGGGTCACTGCAATGCTAATTGCCAGCAAATATGAAGAAATTTACCCACCAGAAGTAAAAGATTTTTCGTGGATTACTGATAATGCGTACACTAAAGAAGAAATTCTGGTGATGGAAAGAGAAATTTTAAGGAGTTTGAATTTCAATGTGACCGTTGTAAGCTCTTTGAAATTTTTAGATAGGTTTGCGAGGGTTTCTGAGATGAGCCAAAGGTGTTATCATATGGCGAGATATATAATGGAGCTTGCAATAGTTGAATATAAAATGATTATAGTGGAAATAAAAAATTAGAGGGGTTAAAAGTAAATTAAAAAATAAATTTTGGATAGGAAAAGAGGGATTATAAAAATAATAATTGGAAATTTTAGGGGAAAAAGAATAGGTATAAGCCTTCAATTGTTGCGGGATCTGCTGTGTATCTTGCAAATAAAATTATGAATAATGATTGCATTTGACCACAAGCGCTTATAAAAAATTCGCCGTATAGGGGAAATGAGCTGAAGCCATGCGCAAGAGAATTATGTGTGCTAGTACAAGGAGCTGAGAGATGCTCACTGCAAGCTGTGAGGAGGAAATTTTCAGCTCAAAATTACTCAGAAGTATCAAAAATTGATATTGTTATGGCAAGGCAAGAAAATAAAGAATAGGTTGTTTAATTTAAAACTGTTATTACCAATTAAACTATAGAAAAATTATTTTATGATAAATTAGACATTAGACTAGCTATTTTTTAAAATTATAATTAAATTTCCATTATATAGCATGCCTTATATGTCGCCTAATTCTTTTATAGATCTATGAAAAAGCTCTAAATGACAGCAATTTTTGACAGATTTTTAGGAAATTGGGTTACTCAGTACCCACAAGAAGCAGCAAAATGTAAGATTTCAAATGATGTTTTTTGATGAAGTTTTGGCGTGATCTAAAAAGCTTTAATTAGTATGCTGCAAGGATATTAAGGGACTAAATAGAATAAATAATAAATAAAATCATGAAATAATGAAATTATTTTAATGTTAAATTGATAAAATATGAAGCCAACTATTACAAAAGGTCTTTATAAATCTCTAACTCTCTAATACTTAGGAGTGAAAATTTTTTTTACTGTAAATAATTATACATTGGAAAGGATTCTGTATATTTAAAAGAAAAGCTTTTATTTTTAGCTTATGTCTAAGAATTCAAGTTGCTTAAAATAAAATAGATTTACCTAGATATTTAAAATAGCAAAGTATTATATCAATATCAAAATATTTTCATAAAAAATCCTTTCTTGGTTACTTTCCTAAAATTTCAAATCTGACTAGGAGAGGAAGAGAGCTTCCTCCTAATGAACTTGTAATGAATCTGATCGAAATTTCTAAGCAGCACAAAGCAGTCATGGGAGGCGGCATCAGAGAAAGCATTTTAAAAAGCTTTGAAGACCTCATCAACGAAAACAAGCTGAAAAACCTAGATTTCGCTCGCTTAGCCAATATCCCTAAACTATGTGATCGAATTGAGCTATATAACGTTCAATTCTACATGATTATTGCTAATGAGATCCAAAACAAGTTGCATCAATGCAATGATAAAGTTTTCTATTATCTTTCTGATATTGCTTATTATTACACCAATTTCAAGCACTTCATGAACCCATCCTTCTACCGCTCTTTAGAAAATCACGCATTATCTTTAATTGATAAAGCGGCACTTAACAATATTATATCAGTTTCAGTAAACTTAAACAAAAATATTGAGTTAAGTGATGACTGGATTGCTGCATTTGAAAAAAATTATATATAAAATAATTGCAATTAGAGAGATTTTTATTTAGGAATTAAAGGCTAGAAAAAATACCATAAGTAGGTATATAGGGTTTCCCCTAGATAGCCCTGCAAGGGCTGTGGATTAAGCGGAATCTTTCAGTTGGCCCGACCAACTCTCCAACCAAAGGATTCCGCCCAGAATCCACAGCCCTTGCAGGCTTATTTAGGGGAAACCCCTATATAAGCAAACACCAAACAGTTGGGGTAAAAGATTTAGGGCTCATTGGAACTTTTCTGACTAGCTGTCCGAGTGTTGGAAAAAATGAAAAATTCAATGAAGCATTCTTAGGAGATGTGAGAACTTTGAAAGATAACTTGTGGATGATAAATATAGCACAAGTGGTGGGAGGGATTGGAAAAAAAGGAATTAAATGTGATGAACTTATTGAGGATCTGCATAAAAAAGCGATTGAGATGATACCAAAATCGCAACCTACAGTTGTGAAGGAGGTGGGGAGAGCTTTTGAAGCGTTTGATAGGCAATTGGAGGTACCGTTTTACACACATGTGAGACATGCACATCAGAAGACTGAAAGTAACACAATTAAGAGAAATATTAGGTTCTTGGAAGAACAATATGATTACGGGGCGTATTCATCTGGGAGTGAGGATAGATAAATATTTATAATTTATTTTATAGATCATTTTTGCAAATAAATATTCTAAATATCTATTTTAATCTGCTGAATCTTATAAAAAATCAAATTATTCAATTAAACCTGCCCAGAAGGCTTCTCTAACAACGCGACAATATCCTGCTCAAAGCTCAATGGGTTTGTCCTCGGGCCATAATAATTCACAATATTCCCTTCTTTATCTATCAAAAATTTACCGAAATTCCACCCAATTCTTTTTCCTTTAAGCTTGCTTTTCTGCCTTAAAAACTTATACATTTCACAAGCTTTTTTACCATTGACCTCCACTTTGGAGAATAAATCGAATTTTGCGTTAAGGAAATTTCTCACATGGTCTTTTATTTCTTCATGGCTGCCTGATTCCTGCCAAAAGAATTGATTACAAGGGAAGCCTAAAATGCATAACGCTTTTTCTGCATAGCGCGAATATAAATCGTTAAGTTGGGCATAATTTTTAGTAGTTAGTCCACACCCACAAGCTACGTTTACAATTATCATGACTTTTCCTCTGTATTGGGCAAGGCTGACTGGATTGCCATCTATGTCATTCATAGTGAATTCATATATTGAGCTTTGCTGAACTGGTTCGCTGCTAGTGCACCCCATTTTATTTATACAAGAATGATATTATGCCACTTTATTAGAGAAAATAAAAAGACTTCTAGAATAGGCATTTAATTTTTTGAATTATTTATTAAGAAAATTTTTATTATAAAAGACTAAATAAAATCAATAATAATTTAGGTAGCAATATTTGAGGATTCAGTGCGATCAAATAAAAAATATTTAGAAATTCTTTAAAATATTTAATTGAGTCTATTATCTAAATTCTTAAGGTTTTTCTAGCAAAGTAGCAAGTTCTGCCTCGAAATCGAGAGGGTTTGTTTTTGGGCCATGATAACTGATTATATTCCCCTCCTTATCAATTACGAATTTTCCAAAATTCCACCCAATCTTTCCTCCTTTAAGGGAGCTTCTTTGCCTTAGAAATCTGAATAAGTCACAAGCTCTTTTTCCATTGACTTCTACTTTGGAGAATAAATCGAATTTTGCTCCTAGGAAGCCTCTGACGTGTTCTTTTATTTCTGGCTCTGTCCCTGATTCTTGTCCGAAGAATTGGTTGCAAGGAAAACCTAGAATGCGTAAACCTTTTTCTTCATAGCGTTTATAGAGCTCATTGAATTGAGCATAATGTTTAGAAGTCAATCCACACCCACAAGCGACGTTAGCAATTATCAGGACGTGTCCTCTATAGCTTGCAAGGCTGACGGGGTTCCCGTCAATGTCGTTCATTGTGAAATCATAGATTGAGTTCTGTTGAAGAGGTGTGCTATCGGTACTTCCCATTTATTTAATGATTAAAGATTGTGATGTCACTTGATAATACGAATATAAGAATTTTAATCAGGCTAAAATTAATCTTTTTGTAAAATCTATTTATTTAGAACTTTCTAAGAACTTCTGAAATTATTATTTTCAGAATTCAGCAAAATTTTTATCTCTTAGTTTTTACTTTAGAAATTTAGAATTGGTTCTACACCTAATTACTTTAAAAAATCAGCATTTTATAGTAAGTTAATTTGAATTTATTTCCAAGCCTAAAAAGCTTAATATGCTATTTCCTAGTGCTTTCTTTTTAACTTGAAGTTATAAAAATATGCAAGTCAATTTTCAATTCGCAAGAGCTTTACCTTTAAATTTTTGCACCTTCATGTCTTTATTATACTCTTATTAGCTCTGTTTAAACATCTTTAATAAAAATTTTTATATTAACTACTGCTTTAAAGTATATTGTAAGATCATAAGATATATATATAATCAGCACATATTCCCAGAACTGTTATATCTGTTTGCCAAGAATAGCCCACTAAGGAGCATTTTTTGGCTCGCCATTCTTAAATTTGGTTAGCCAGAAAATATGGCAGGCCAACGAATTTGGCAAGCCAGCTATTGCTCGGCCAACCAAAAAATGCTCCTTATTGGGCTATTCTTGGTAAATAAGTATAAATAATTTTTGAATTTAAATTATGTCCTGACAATAATTTATATTTATATCTATTCTCGGGAATATTTATTTAATTTTTTTTTACGCTTTTAAATACGCATTAATTTCGTGCATGAAGTTTTTCGATAGGGTAAAATCGTATACAAAGATGAATTATGATTGTATATAGTGTTACTTTAAACATTTTTAAATTGTTGATTAGCTATTTGTGCCATTAAAGTCCAGTTGTTTATTTAATAATCAATAAAATGGAAATTTACACTTTCCTAATTATTGGATTGATATTGTGCCTAATTTATTTCGTAAAATCGAAAAAAGCAGCCCCAATCGTAGTATCTGATATCATTATCTATCCTATTAAGGGATGTGGCTCAATCCATCTAAAAGAAGGAAAAATCGTAGAAAACGGGCTTGTTGAAGACAGGCAATGGTTTATCGCAAATGACAAGCTAGAAAATATCACCCACTCCACTGAAAACTAATATAATTATTTTATATTTTCCAAATTATTTATATAAAAAAATCACCAATTACACTTTATTTACCAACATTATTTATTTAAAAATTTTTTGATATCATTTTTGTAGCAGAGTTAGCGACAAAACCCAAAAATCCTTGGAATTCAACCAAGATTAATTTATAATGGCGAAGGCCAACTTACCAATATGATTTTAAGCCACGAAGGTATGCCAGATTTCAGCCTTGAAATAAAAGACTTAAGCGACAAAGAAACTGTAAACGTTGGAGTATGAAAGTGCACAGTTCCTCTTCCAAGCAAAGATGAAGGAGAAGCAGTTGGTGCCTGGATAACTGAAGCCCTCAAAGCTCCTGAAAACTACCATTTATTTAGATTTGTCGCCGACTGGCCAATAAATCACCGTAAAGAATATCAAAGCACAGTTTCTGACGAGTTTAAAACTATGGCAACTGATATTGCCCAATTTTTAGTAATTTCTGAAGAAACCTATGCAGAATGTATTAGAAAACTTCCAGAGTATAAAAGAGACCATATCGATATCATAGCTTTTAGGCCAAATATCATGGTAAAAGGAGCTCCAAGGGCTTTTGATGAGGACTGGTGGGAGAATTTTAAGATAAATGATGTGAATTTTCAAGGGATAGGAAGATGCTCAAGGTGCAGGGTTACTACAATTAGTCAAAAAACATTGGAATTTGACGCTAATGGGGAGCCTGTGTCGACGCTGAGGAAAATTAATGGAAATGGAACAAAAGGATATTTGGGAATGCATTGTGTCAAGACTTGCTGCGGAACTGTTAGAGTTGGAGACCAAGTTCAGGTGGTTTCGAGACGTAAGTTCCCTGATATTTACTCCCCTCCTCTGTGAGCGAACAAAAATATTGAAAAAAATACTATTTTTTTGCCTTCCGTGAGCGAACAAAAACATTTTTAATGAAAAAATTTTGACATGTAAGTGATAATTATTATTATGAAATCTCTAGCTAATTCTGTATAATTTTAAACAACTTGTATTTTAAAAATAAATTTTAAATATTAAATTAATTTTTTACGAATTGGAGTGTTTTTAAATTTTGAAAAAACTTACTATAGAATTTATATAAAAAAATAATTAAATCCCTTTGTGAGCGAACAAAATTAGTTTGTTCGCTCACGGAAGGGGGAGTTAGTAAATAAGTCTCGATTAAATATTTAATTATAATGCCTACCTCTATGATATCTTATACTACATTGCATCAAAATATGATTTATAAAGGAATTAATAATCTATTTTCTTGAAGCTTTTTATTTTATATGAGCCTTAAAGTTCTTTATATGGAAGGTTCTAAGTTTCTTCTATTTTAAATACCTCCCCACACTTCCGAATAACGCCAATTTGTTTAAGGTGGATATTCAGCTGCTATTTGGAAAAGTAGTCCTCTCTAGGAGCGGGGGTTCAATATGGTGCCCAAGAGTCTTTGACGTACTAGGAAGATTCCTCCGTTAGTACGTTATTGGGTGCTATGAGGTAAATGCTAACCCTATACCTTCTATCAGCCATGTTGAGGCGAGGTAACACCCAGGAAAATAGAACCACGTCAGAGCCAATAGGGAAAAGACCGTGGCCAGAAAATCATCCTGATAACTAAATCTAATCATGAAGTCAGCACCAGCTAACTCCTAAGGTTTACCCATCCACTTTCCGACGCCGCACACTTTGGCTTAGGCGAATGAGATAATGATCGCTAGTGAGAGTGTTCTGAAACCACCCCTCTTCTCCTCTAGAATCTGCCTAACGCTAGAGCAGAATGAGTGGCTCTCGCTCAATTCTCTTTGACCATAAGGGTTAAGAAAATGGCGTCAAGAGGTCAGTTTCGTTTTATTTATTATTTAGTTGCAAACCATGTTAATTATTTTAAATACCAAACTCCCACCTCAGTGACCAAACAAAACCATTGGAAAATCCCTATTTTTTGCCCAAAAACCCACCTCTGTGAGCGAACATAAAATTTTTTTAATAGAATTTCTTATGAAAAAATATTTGATACATAAGTGATAATTAGTATAATAAAATTCTAGCTAATTCTGTTTAATTTTGAACATTTTTGCTTTTTAAAACATTTATTTTACAAATTAAATAAATATTTGCTTTGAATTTTTAAGAATTGGGATTTTTTAAATTTCGAAAAAAAACATTTTCTATAAAAATTTATATATAAATTTTTTAAACCCCATATTTGAGCGAACAAAATTTTTTGTTCGCTCACGGAGGGGGGAGTAAGGAAATAAACAAATCTATTTTAATATATAAATGCAATTTATCTTTTCTAGCGCTTGAATTAAGTACCGATTCAGGCTTTTATGATTAATAATAAATATATATTGCCAATATCTCCTATTTTCTCATTTATATTCTCATTTTTCTGTCTCAAACATAAAGCTACTTGAGAATTTAAATACCAATTTCTAATATATTTGCATCTTTTCTTTCTTTTTTCTATCTTTCCTTAACCGATGAACAATTCGCGCCAAAACTTTTTAAATTTTCTTTCCATATAATCCCTCTCACTTTCATAATTCTTTCTTTCTAAATATTAAAAAATTGCTTTAATTTGCATGAATTCAACTGCAGCCACCCAAAGTTTTTCGCACTTCGATGCTCTTGAGAACGTTCACATCTTGACATACGATTTGCAATTTTTGTTTGACTCTGCAATATCCTCCCCAAACACCCCGCTATTACCTAAGCTCTTCGAAATGAAAGAAAAATTCCAAAACATAACAGAAGCTTGGGAATCACTTACCAATGAGCTTTATAGCAAAATTGAAGAAGAAAAAATTATTCTTTAACAAAATAAATAATTTATATATATGAATTTTAGGGAAAAAATAATGAAAATTAATTAAATTTATTATAAATCTAAGAAATTCATTGAAACTCGATGCGGTTTGTATGAAAAAAATCAAAAAATTTCTGAAAAAATCCTTTTGTCACAAACACGAATTTTAAAAGAAAAAAACGAAGAATTAGAAGATTCTTTATACAGACTTAAAAACATGTGAAGGAAAAACATAGAAGATATGGAAATTTCTGCTACAAAACATATGGTATCAAGAGGGCAGATAATGTCGAATTATCTAATTGAACTTGAACAAATTGATAAAGAAATCAACGAAGTCTTAAGTTCTTCCTTCATAAAACAGCCAAAACAAGACCCCTCATTCAGCTCAGAAATTTCTTCTCCTCCTGTCAGCTTAATTTCTTCAAAACCCTATGAAATCACCATCGACAAAGCAAGTTCCATAACTTCTTTCGAATTCAAAAAAGCCATGGAAGGAATCAGCTTTAATTCTTTCGTAAATAACTCAAAAATCTCAATAGAAAAAAACGAAGGAGAATGAAACCCAGATTTTGATAGTGAAAAAGAAGACTCTTACTCTGTCGATGAAATTAAGCGTGCAATAGAAATTTTAAACAAAGCCCAGCTGCTAAATAAGCACGAAACTGTAGAAAAATTAAATGAGATGGTAAACAAAAGTGGGTCGACGAATATGGACTTTATTCTTGACCTTATGAGCATTAGCAAAGATATTTCTAATAGGAAAATGCCTAAAAAGAAGTTGGAAATTGACAGTTTTCAAGATGTGAGCGGTCTTGAGATCACAACTCCTAGAAGCTCGTTTTTCGTTCAGGGGAATGTTTTAAGCACAATACAGTCTCCAGGGCATAAAGCACCAATTAATTATTCAGGAGAAGTTTTGCATGATGTAAAGTATGATGAAATAATGAATGCACCAACACTGCTAGAAGTCCTTGGGCTTAAAGATGCTAATGAAGAGTTTTCTGTACTGATGTCCCCTAATATACAAATTTATATAAATTCATCAAAATTATTAATAAATCAAAATAATAGGGAATTATTTGTTATAGTATAATAAAAATCATCAATAATTGGTGAGTTTGTAAGTAAAAATTCAATTAAATTAAATTTTTATAAAAATAAATGGACGAGCATAGGGAAGAAGAGGAAGAATCTATGAAGGAAATTTTGGTTTCAAGAATAATCAAGCCTCTTACAAGGGGAACTTTCTTTGGACTAGGAACATGGGTTAGTTTGAAATTCCTTGGCCCTTTAGTAGCAAAAAAGTTATCTATTAATTTGCAAAAACTATGATTTGGCTAGATAATTATTATGCATTAATCAGAAATTAGTAATGATATCTATCCTTATAATTAATGATGAATTGATAAATATTAACTAAGCTGGTGGAATTAAATTTTGGCTTGAAAGTGCTATCCCATTCATATTATTCAGCCCAACTACATGAGAATCTATATAAGGAACTAGGGGTGATTTGAATTTTGGATCGATGGCTTTAGCCCTTGCAGCCAATGCATCCCATTTTGCTTCAACAGTAGCTCTTGCAGGCAAATTATGCATGGTACTTAAAGAGTTTGATCTTGCCAAGTCTCTTGATCCAGTTTGAAGAGCTCTATCGAACGCTACAGGGTCTATTTCTTTCAAAATTACTTTTAATGCATTTAACGATTCTTGCAAAATTTTATGCCAGTGAGTTTCTGCTAGTTCTACAATGACTGGAACAACCATAGGAAAAGTGACTTGTTTAAAGGTACGTAAAATACCTAATTCTCCCATTAGATAAAAAAAATGAATAATAATAAATAATTTCCCTTGCCTTTATAAAGCATCATTTAATAAGAGGACTAAGAAATAATCATTTTCAAAGAAACACATAGCACGATCTGCAACTTGAAGCTGAGGTCCTGAAATACACCTAACAAGCCTTTTAAACAGTTTCGGAATAAGCGGTTCAAGCTTTGCCAACTCACATACTTCTAAAACTTCTTGAAGCTCAGTCAAATATAAAGTTTCTTTAACAGAGTTCCCAAATGGCCAATATCTTAATAGCCCTTCTACTAGTGGGATTGCTAAAGCATGATCCTTGCTTAAGAAAAGCATCGAACATCTGAGAAGCTGCTCATGGAAAATATGGGAAGTCTGGACTTTATGCAGAGGAATCATGATCACTTTAAAGAAAACTACATGCTCTTCTCTCAGAGGGACTGCAAAACCGCTGATAATTGATGCTAAAATATCCAAAAGTTCGCTGGCTCCATTGAATCTTTGAGTTTCATGTATCATAGTTAAAAATGAGTCATTTATAGCTTTTCTTATCATTTTCCTGCGTGGTACTAACTTTGCGTAGAGCCTATGTAAAATATTTTTTAAATAATCTCTTTCTCTAGGCTCTTCACTATCAAAAAGCTGCAGAAAATCTTGAATAAAGCTGGGGGTAATAAAGACTTTTAGGCTTTTCACATCAGTTGCCTCACAAATGATCAGTTCAAAAAAGAATTCGTAAACTCCTTGTAAGTGTGGTCATGCTGGATCAATCACTATATCTTCGTCGCCACCTTCAGCGCCAGCTTCACCTGGGCCTAGTTTATCTCCGCCTTTTTTGTCCATAGGGAGTGGTCTGAAAATATTTTTCTTGATCATGTCAATTACAAGATCCAAATGAGGGATTACATATTGAGCAACATTTTTTGAGTCATTTAAAAATTCTCTTAAGTCTTGCAAAGCTGCATTTCTCTCTGCTTTGGCTTTAACATCTTTATTGTCATCAGAATAATCATAAGTTATGCTGCACAGCTGAACTCGCTTTAAAAACATTTCTTTAGCATCTTTAGGGGTATGCTTTGTATCTGTTGCAGCTTTTCCTCTGACTGGAGGTGCAGGAGCTGCTTTTCCCACTTTTCCAACTTTGCCACGGGGTTGAGGGTTCGCCCCGGCTTTGTAAGCACCCGGCGTTGACATTTATAATCAATGAAGATAAAAATTTTTGAAAATATCGACAAAATCAAAATAATTTTATCTAAAAAACGCAGAAAAAAGGAAAAGAAATTGAGAATAAAGTTTTAAATAGATAGAGCTATATTAATAGCTGCCAGCAAAATATATATAAAATTCAGTATAAGACTCATAAAACTGCATTTTAACAGAGAATTAAGAGGAAAATTTTTGTTTAAAAAATTAATGAAAGAAAGAAAATTTTCTAGACAAAATTTATCCGATACATCAATTTTAAGCGTCGCAAAGTCCCTTATAGAAGAAATCCAAAACAATAAAAATTCTCCTCAAGCTCTATTGAAAGAGCAATATTTTATTCCTTTTATTAATGAACGAGATGGCTGTGGGAGGTTACGAAAATTCTTAGATCCTCCTCCAAAAAGGGAAAGGCCACCAATAAAGCCTATAATCTTTCTAAGATTTCATTAGCTTTCGTCCAGCCAATTATTCTCTTTTTTAATCTATATTTTATATACTTTCTTATAGTTATTTATCAGAAATTCTATACAAACACAAATCAATCTCAAATATTCAGCCGCAAAAAACTGATTTCAAAACACACAAAAATTTCTTCAGTCCCTCCAGTTGGGATTTACTATCAGCCAGAATCCTGAATTAAGCAGTCATTCTCTCACAAGCCTTTATTGCAAGTATCTCTTACATCTCCCAAGCTAAATCTGTTCAGTGCAACGATGGAAAATACTTCTATTGACTCAAACCTTAGACCTAGCAAAAGTTTTGCAGTATCAAAATCATTTCCAAATATCAAAAAGACTAAAAATACCCAAAAGCAGACCTTTCGAAGCCGCCCTGCAAGGAAAAAAGGTGTATGAGAATGCTTGCAGATACAAACACAAATAGACGATTTAAGAGACCAGCCAAATGAGCCTTCATATACTCTCCCTTATCATGAGCGAATTTTAAGTATATTACGAGATATGAGAAAAAATAGTTAATAGCATCTAATTTATTCAGTTTTTAAAATATAGGGTTTTTCCCTTATATAGCCTGCAAGGGCTGGGATTCTGACCGGAATCCTTTGGTTGGTGAACCAACAAGTGAGATGGTCCGACGAGTTGGTTCTACAGCCAAAGGATTCCGGACAGAATCCACAGCCTTACAGGGCTATATAGGGGAAAACCCTATATTTTTTTTGCAGTTTTTTAATATCCTCGTCTTCTGATGTGTCGCTTGATGATTCATAAGATTTTCCAAATAAATGGCTTATTAAGATATAAAATTAATTGTATTTTGGATAAGAATTGGGGGAATAATATAGAGAGATTATGCAAAGAGATATATATAATTTTTGGAACTGCTATTGTAGTATCTGAATTCCCACGAGAATTTGTTTTAGCTTTGGGGGGATTTTTAGGAAGATCCTGTGACGAGTCTGTAAAATATGAATTTCTTGCTGATGCTGCAGGGCTCGAAAAGAGGATTTTGGAGAAGTTTCTGAAGACTCAGACCCTTCAGTAGAAAATCTTAAATTAGGGACTCTTGGCATTCGGGGTGGTCTTTTAGGACGGTCTTTATGCATAAATGAAGTGTATCTTGTTATATTAATTCATTCTTTTCCATCTACAGCATAATAAATATATTTTTTTTAAAAATTTTCATCAAATTAATATAATAAATAATATTCGTCGAAGCCGATTGTTTTTCATGAAAAAGAGTTCTGCATGACGGCGATTTTTTATCAATTGTAGTATTTGTTGAGGAGTTCACCATTTTTGGAGAATTTCTTGCAAATTGATATTTTGGTTTTGGACTTTCAAGCTGAGTATAGCAGATTTGGCTTTGGAGTTCTTGGATTTGTTTTTCTAATCTCCTCAGCATTTGTGCTTGCTCTAGTATCAAATTTTCTGTTGAAGCCCCATTGCAGGTTTCTAAGCTTGACCTTGGTGACCTAATTGGCATATCTTTTATGCTTGAGTATCCATCACTTGAAATGCTAGGGCTCGTAGTCTTTCTAGGTTTCCTTATATCAGCTTTTGGTGATGTTAAAATGCCATAATTTAATGTATATACTTTTATTTAATTTTAAATATATATTTTATATAAAATATATATTAAGACAGCACAATAGAAATATTTTACGCATTTGAATCTTATTCAGCAGAATACCTTTCAAAAAAGTACATGTTTCTGATAAAAACGATCCATTTTCTGCCCTTAATTCAAATATGGAATTTGCTATGCACCAGGCGGGTTTTTCTTGGGTACTAACTTCGTAAAATGCTGGCTTTGAAGAAAAATTGGCAAAAAGAAAAGTATTTTGCTCAGGGTTTGGAGAGATTCGGCCCTGAATCAGCTTGCTTTCAATAAATCTTACACAAGCTGCCTAAACTAATGGATGAGCTAATGGATTTGTATGGTCTCCAGTAGCTCCAACAGATCAGACACCTACAAGGGGATATCTGAATGCTAGAGGGTCAGAGCATAATAACGGCAAAACCCTCTTTTTTTGGTCAAGAGTCAGATAGCCAGTTTGGAATTTTACTTTTTTATCAGTTTTCTGTGTCAATTGTATGCTCAATGGTGTCGATACTATTTTCAGCATAGAAATTTGCACAAACTGCAAATTCACGTAAGGAAACAGCATTTGGCAGTTTGCGAGCAGTCGTCCATCGTTTATTACAAAACTAAAAGCAGCTTTACAGAGATCAAGGGGTTCTAAGTACTCAAATTCTGCATAAGAATCTAGTTTAAACATCAAGCTTTGTATTCTTTTTATTTTTAATTCCTATATTTTTATTTTTAAAATAAAAATATGCTATGATTTTAAAATTATTTTTTAATTTTTAAATTAAATTATCATAAAATAAATTGAAACTCCCTTTTATCAGTTTCTAATATATCCCTTGAAAATAATCGAATTATATAATCTCCTGAAGACCTTGGCGTTCTTGCATTCTATTGTAGCTCATTAATCGTGACTGTTAAGTAATGAGATTGACTATATTTAGAGCCTATTAGCAATCCGCCAAATGCAGTTTGGGGAGATTCTTGTAGGCATTCTGTATATATAGATTCTAAAACTTCAGGGGTAAACTTGATTACAGGTAATATAGACGACGGCGAAAGAAGGCTTTTTTTGCCAGTAGGAGCCCTTAGTCATAATGAGGATTGTGAGGCCGATAAGTTTATTTTTTTGATAATAGAAAGTGTTCTCGTCTCAAAACTAAATGGTTCTTCTTGATAGTTATGCTATTTAATTAAAAAATTATTTATTTTATTAAATAAATTATAATCCTAAAATCATTATTAATTAATATATCCATTTTAAATTATTTTAACATGTTTTAAGTTTGCCAAGGATTGTAATTTTTGTTATTTAATAATGCACACAGACATTAGCCCTTTTAAAACACAAAAAGCAACAGTAAGCTCTTTATTGATGTCAATAAAGCTAAAAAACAGAAACAAAATCAAGCATAACAGAGAAACTTCATTAGAAGAGCCTTTGTTTGCAGTTTCACAAGGTGGAAAAAAATATTCAAAAAATTCTCCTTATAAGGCTGATTATTCGTTGATTTTCCAGCCTCCAAAGTATGACTTGGAGAAGGTTTTTAATTTTCATGACATGCAGCAGGATCTAGATTATTTGTTGATGCCAAAAAGAAGCTCTAGCTCAGCTACGTATACGAAAAAGACAAATATTAGAGCAAAAAGCCCTGATTGTAATATATTTAATCAGAAATCCAGTAAAGGATTTTCGCTAGAAGCAACTGTGAGACAGATTACTCCTGGTAGGAGAATTTGTGGAAATATATTTAAACCAAAAAATGAGTGATCAACAATAAAGATAAAACATATGAATAGGTTCCATATTGCAAGGATTCCGACGGTAAAACTGGATTCCGATTAAAAGTGATTGAATCGATTTATATTGTGAAATATTAAAGTATTGGAATGATCTATATAAATAATTAATGATTCTTATGGTTTTGATAGAAATTAGAATAATTTCGTATAGAAAATTCTAGATTGCTTTCATTTAAAAGAGCAGATTATTTGCTATTGAGGAGTTATAATGATTTTTTTAAAATTAAGTATTAATTTGATAATGGAAATTAAAAAATGCTGTGCGTTTTAAAAATAAAATCTTGAAAAATTTTACTATTAATTTAGAAAATTTAAATTGAGGGAAAATATGATAGCTTAGTTTGTTATTAAATAGATAGTGTAAGAAATTGAAAAATTAAATTTATTCGACTTTATTATAATATAAGTACTGGATGGAACTTATTGTTAAAGAACATAAGCTCGCTAAGTACAATTTCTTTTTCTGCCTCCGAAAAAAAAGAAAACCCAAAGAAGCCTCTTTCCCTAAGCAGAGATAAATTAATCACCTCTCATATTTATTATTATTATTTACTCCCCTTTAAATTGGAACAAAAATTCGGTAAAATTATTAGGGAATTTAGCCCACCTTTAAATTGGAACAAAATTTGTTTTCCAATAATAAAATTTTATGATGAAAATACTAATTTTATAAATTAGTTTTGACCTAATTTAATAGATAAAATGCAAATAGAATGATATTTAAACAGTTTTCACGCTGAACTTATTATTTTTTTTTTAATTCATTATAAAATAAATTAAGATTTATGGCATTGTGCTTAATTTATATGTTTTTAAATACAAATTTTTATAATATTAGTTTTGACATAATTTAATAGAAAAAGTGAAAGTAGAATTCTACTAAACATTTTTAACACTGATTCAATTAATTTTTTATTTATTTCTTCATAAAATAAAATTCAAGTTTTATACTCAAATCATATTTTTTTTAAAAACAAATTAACCCTTGGATTTTTTGTTCAAATTTAAAGGAGGGTAAGTTAGTAAATTAAATATCAATAAGATTATTTCATCTTTTCTATATACGATATTTATCCTAATCTAAGATTAATTCATACATAAAAAAAAATCTAAACTTCAAGGTCAACTAGCTGATGCTGTTCATCTACCACACAATCCCCTCCTTCTTCTTCATTAAAGCTGACTAAATAATAACTTCCTTCATCATTTATACACACAATTTTATTCCCTTCCTTTATAAAAGCGCACAATGTCCTTACATTTTTAACCCTAAACTGTGCAAAACTTCATTCTGAGTCAAAATACTTTGGTAATAGCCGCTTCATAAAGGAAAAATTCGATCTCGGGTTCTGAGGTCTTTGGGCTCCTATTGAAAATATGTGTATTGTGCCTTTATCACTGCTGCAAGCCAGCCAATTTGAGTCTGGATGGAAAGCTAAACAATAAATTTCAGCTCTGTCAATGCCTCTTCTCAGCTCCTGCCTAATATCCCCTGTTTCTACGTTAAAAACCCTTATAAGAGTTCCTTTATCTGAAGCAGTCGCTACTAGAGTCCCTTCAGGGTTTAAACTAATACAAGATATAGCGCTTTCATGAGCTTGTATAGCCAAGCTTCTTTCTTCATTATAAATATTGACTCTGATTTTACCTCTTTCTTTATCAGGGCATGCCAGTACAATTCTACTGCTATTATTAGATACACAGCAAAGTGCTTTAGGATTTGGCGCAGTGTCTATATGATCTTGCATTTTTAGGTCTTGAAGGTTATAAACGTAAATTTTTGTGTCTAAAATTACTATATTCTTTTTTAATTTAATTAAAAAAAATAAAAAATTAGGGATTTTTAGAGAAAATTAATGAAATAGAGAATAATTCGGTCCCGTCGCAATCTAACACCTTTGACTTCTTCTCTAAAACAAAGTTCTCCTGTCGGCCTCATTTGGTGGTCGTCCCAGATTATTACTTTTGTAATTGGGAAACGAGGGGAGTTCCCACCACCGACTAATGCTAAAATATTAGAGCGATATAAAAGCTCAACAAAGCCAATTCCTCCATAGAGATCTAAATAAAAATTCACCTCTTTTGAAACAGAATTTTATAGGGCAGCTGTTGAAGATTTTAAAGCCAGAGTTTGTGCCTTGAACAAAGCAGGTGGCGTCTTGGTTGAATCGGATACAAAGTTGGGAATTTACAGAGTCCATTTTATAACTTACACCCTTTAAATTGGAGCAAGATATTGGAAAAATTCATTTTGGGTAAATTAACCGATTTTAAGTTGGAACAAAATTTTAATTTTATAGGCAAAATAAAAAAATCTATATACAAATAGATGTGATTGCCAATTTATAGTCACAAAATAAAATTTACCTATAACTTGCTCTTTTTTTTAAATGGGGAATGCAAATAGGACAATATTTAAAGAATAAGAGAAAAAAATTAACATATCACAATATATAGTTGGGAAATACCCATTATAAAAGAAAATGATAACAAAAAGGGGTGCTTTTTGACTGTAAAAGAATGCATAAAACACAGGTTGCCCGATGATGGCGCTCAATGCGCCATCATTTAGCATTTTATTATACTTTTTTTAAAAGAATTAACGCCACTTTAAATGGAACAGATTTTTTGTACCAATAAAAAGAAGAAGAGTAAGAAAAATTCAGTTTTGGGTATAATTTTTATAGCGGAAGACCTATTAAGTCTAATTTAACAATGCTTTATAATTTTTAATAAAAATAAAGTTTGCATTCTAATGATTCTACTTTATCAATAATTATTTTATTTAATATCGCTTTTTATCACAAAATTTTGTTTTTAAACAATATTATTTATGCTTGTATATCATTTCTATATCATTCTTTCTTTATTTTCTATAATTTACTGATAATGACCAATTTAATATCTATCCATAATAATAAAGAAAATGAACCCTCATCAAGATTGGAATAGAGTTGTATTCACCGGACCAGTAGGAAAAGCTAAGAAAGGCGAACAAGCAATTCAAGATGCCCAAAGAAGAGGTGCAAATATTGAAACAGTAAGAAAAGCTCAAGGCGGGCATAACCAGCATGGCCCTCAGGTAAATATCAGGAAATTGGCTGAAGAAACTGATGTGGTTGACGTTCCTCAATTGTCCCATGAGTTCAGAATTGAAATGCAAAAGGCAAGAGTCGCTGCAGGACTAAGTCAAGCTGATTTAGCTAAAAGGATTAACGAAAAGCAGAGCGTTGTTAACGAATATGAAAGTGGAAGAGCTGTGCCTGATAATCAAGTTATCGTAAAAATTGAAAGAGCGCTGAATTGCAGACTTCCAAGGCCTCCAAAGCCTCCAAAAAGAAAGGCATCAGAAGAAGAGAAATTCTAAACTATTTTAACTTATCCTTTTTTAATTAAATAAAAATACTGATAAGTGTCTTTTCCTGGCTAATATTTTCCTTTACAGCCATTTTCTGGTATTATTTATTCGAAAATTTTTTCTAGAAAAATAACGGTTTTTGCCTAAACAATCTCTGAAGAGATCCTCGACCAAATAGTGCTTATAAAGAGGCTGAGATGGAAAAATTACGAATAAATGCCATTTATCTTTTTTCATAATATTTAGCAATCTTCCAGGAACTGATTATCATATAAATGTTTTTATTTTATTATACACATTAAATACTATAGGAAAGTTAGATCCCATAGGCTAGCAAGACATGGTCATTAAGAAAATTAATATTCAAACAGTCACGAAAAGGCAAATAAAATTAAACTTTTCTGCTAATAATTATCGCAAAATTTAAAACAAAAACACCCACAAACCAATTCCCAAATTCTACCCCAATTTTCCATTTTATACGGTCAAAACAATTTCTTTAAGTTTTTTAGCTTACTTAAGATCAACTGCAGTAGAACCTTTACTAGCACCAATACCTGGCCTTCCGTGCTTAACTGGCTTATAAGTAAGCGAGAACTCAGCTAAATAGTGTCCAATCATATCAGGCTTGATTTCAACTGGGACGAATGATTTTCCATTGTAAATTCCTACTACAGACCCTACTAACTCAGGAAGGATAATGGCATCTCTCAGATGAGTCTTCACAGGCTTTGGCTTTTCTCCAACTTGAGTGTCCTTTTTAGCAGCCACACATTTCTTGTAAAAGCGGATGTATTTGTGTGGGACTTCTCTGTTTAAAAGTCTTCTCCTTTGGCGGCAGCCAAGAAGCTTCAGGAAGTCTTCTTTTTCCATTTTCACAAGGTCGTCAAGGTCAACTCCTCTGTAAGTGTACTTACGAAATGCCCTTTTCTTTGGTTGTGATTCTGCCATTTATGGAAATTATATAGTGATGAATTAGGAATTTATTTAGAGGAAATTTATTGTTTATAGTGATTTATCATTGGAAAATTTAATTTTATGCTGAAATTAAAGGGATTTTACCCTGAAGTTTTAATAATTATTTATTCTTTACTATCTTGAAGCATTAAATCAAAGGGGTCAATTTCTTGGCAGTCTTCTAGGTTAACAGTTTCAGGGACTATTCTGACCATGTCTTCAATTTTCATCCTTTTTTCTATTTCAGGATCACTCTTAACACTTGACAGATTAATGGGGGCTTCTTCTTTTGTAGGCAATTTCTTTTCTTTTTTCTTAGCGTCATAGTAATCTGTCCATTTCCTGATTTTGTCTTCATCAACTTGTAAAGCCAGTGATATTTCTGAAGGAGATCGGCCTTTAACATGCATTTTTATTGCTCTTTTTTTGGTTTCTCTACCTTCATTATCGCCTAGTCTGCTTCTTTTGGCTGGAAACTCTAGCTCAATTTCGTCATTTCCGAACTCCTGCATCAAAATTTCAAGCGTTCGTCGTGGGCATTCAAATAACATGCAAGTACGCTCTGTGCCTATTTTTTTGGCTGTTTTAATAACAAGGTTTCTTATTTTAACGAAAAATGGGTCTCTGTCAAAGTCTAAATCGCGAATTCAGTTCTTGACTGTAGCTTTTTCAATACCATGGAGATTGGCTGTAAATTGTATGCCATTCAATAGGGCATAGAGGGCTATCTCTTTCATCTAATAATTATTTACATATTTTATTTTAATATTTATTTTTTTATTATTTGATGAAAAGGAGAATGAAGACTGGTTCAAGAATTTAAACTATTTTATTATTTTAATTTTTCAAAAAAATGGGAAAATTTTAAATTTTTTTATTCGAAAAAGAATTTTAATAATTTTTTTTAATAGAATGGAAAATTTTTGTGGAAAAATATGGGAAATTTTGACAGATTTAGTTAACTCCCCCTCTGTGGGGGCAACAAAATATTTTTTTCGTTAGGAGAGGGGGGGTAATTTTTTTTTTCCAAAAATCCAATTCGCAAAAACTGGAAAGTAAATATTTATTTAATTTGTAAAATCTATGTTTCAAAATGCAAAATGTTTAAAATTAAACAGAATTTGTTCGAGATTTCATTATAATAATGATCATTATATATCAAAATATTTTCTATAAAAAATTTTGGTTCGTCAACGTAGTGGTTTTTTCCAATGGTTTTGTTCGCCAAAGAGGGGAGTAAGGAATTTAAGGATTGATATTATGAATATTGGCATTTTAATGCAATTTGAATTTAATAAATTTATCACTTCTATCATATTGCTTATGAATATATAAATAGCAGATATACTTAATCCGCCTCAATTCATATCGTAACTAGGATTATTAATTTTTCTAATAATTTTCGATAGATTTCTTTTTAATTGCAAACTATAATTGAAGGTTTATAAATCAATTAATTAAAATTAGCTACATAAATATTAATATAGAATGTAAAAATATAAATATTTTTTTAATTTAAAAAACTTATATCTAGCTGATAATGGCAAAAAATCGTTTATTATTGTTAGAGAATTAGGATTATAACAGTTGAGAAATTATGTATGAACGCATTGAAGTGCATTTAATTTATATAGTAATTAGTCTCGCATTAATTAGTAGGGGGCTTCAATTTAATTAAATAATGAATAGCAGAATCAACAACTTTTATACCCAAAGTCTCCCATCTAGTGCTATAGCTCATTGCCCTGAAGAATATCCCAACTATTCTCATGAAAGCCAATATATGAACTTTAGAAGTAGTTTCCCAGAAAACCTCAATAAAGCACCCTCACCAACTGAAGATCTAATGAGTATCCGAAGCATCACAGTCTTTGCAAAGCGTTTTTTTGAGCTGCGTAACATAAAATTCCGGCAAGTCGTGATGAGAGAAAAAGACAAAATATCTGCAAAAGTGTATATTAATGATATCTTAGCAGGAGAGCAATCCCATCCAAATTCATTTAACAGATGCAGAGTAATATCAATTATAAGGGCATTTGATAAAGACGATGTTGAAATCTTAAAAGAATGAATGAAAGTGCACAAGGACGACCTTGAAAATTATCTGGTGCATAATAAGGGTGATAGTTAAGTTTAAGAGCAAAAGTTTAAATAAAAAAATAATCATTTTTTAGTTTAGACTCCATAATTAAAAAGATAAAATAGTTTTTCAGATAAGTAAAACGAGTATAGTGATTATTAGAATTAAATTATGATTTTTGATAATTTATATTTAATTAAGTATTACTTTGTGAATAACAAAGAATTAGCCTCATTTATATAAAATCTAGATAAATGAAGCTATTATAGCAATCAATCGAGCTAAAGGAGAGACTTCTGATAAAAATTCAATCGTGATATATAGAAGTTTCCTATGTTTGGCGCTGTAAGGCCGATAAATTCTGATCGGAATTTATCGGTTGGTTGCACCAAATCAATGCCTTGGTCGGACCAAAAAGCGATTTGGTCCGATGAACTTGGAAAGCTCCTGGGAAAATGTCTGCGCATCAGCGCTATATAGAGGAAACCTCTATAGATAGCTTAAGCCCTTAAATAATTTCCGAAAATTTTAATCGTTAAAAGTTCATAAAAAGTTTTATCTAAATCACTCTCCCTTCTGTGAGCGAACAAAATCTTCTTGTCCGCTCACTGAGGGGGGTTAATTTTTTTTCCTCCAAAATCTAAAAATCCCATTTCGCAGAAATTGAAGCAAATATTAATTTATGTTCGAAAACGCAATTTGTTTAAAATTAAACAGATATCAAATTTTTTTCCATAAAAAAATTTTTCTATTAAAAACATTTTTGTTCGCTCACGAAGGGGAGAGTAAGGACCTATATATATAATTTTTGTTTCTAAAACATAATCCATTAAAAAAACATAAATTTTGATTTAATAAAATCCCGTAAATTTCCATATCATTCTAGAGCTTAAATCATATAAGTTAACATGGAATGGTAATAATATTAAAATGGGCTGTGCTACAAGTGGCAATTATAAATCCGCTGTCAAGCAGATCCCGAAATTTATCTCCATATCGAAGCCAAGACGAAAGCCAGATAAAGAGGCTTTTGACAACTACTTGGCTTATATCAAAAAATTAGATTCGGTCTTGAACGCAAGTAACAGATCAAGGAAAATGAAAACTGAGATGAGCCTTCAGAGTGTAAAAATCAACTAAAACGAATTTTAAACTGTTTCTTCTAGGATTTATTTTTAAAACTTAATAACTTATATTAGGCGAAAGATATAAATATAGTAACATTCTTAAAAATATAATGTTTAGCTTATAAAAATTTAGAATAAAAAGCTCATTAAAATCACCTTCCTCCGCTATTAGGAAAAGTGTTTTTTGATTGAATAAAATATTCAAATTATTTTTAAGGAATATTTAAAATATTCTATTATAATTGAAGATTGAAATATCAGATATGACGGCAACATTTGAATTCCACACGTTTCTGCCCCAAGCATAATTGAAATTCTTATGAATCCTCCTTCTCCCCAAGCAGTGTCCCATGAATTCTTAAATCTATAATAATGATACTCTGCATAAAATGGTTTATGTAGAAGGATCTAAATAAGGACAGAATGAATGAAAGAATAAATTCTATAAAGACGAGTTAAATGATCCTTACTATTGCCGAGACCCTTAGTTAAATTAATGTGATTGGCACATGAAATCAGATTTTAATTGGAATAAGCAAAATCAATCTACCTTAAACAATTTCTTGAAAATACACTGTTGTTAAAATAGCTTAAGGGCTCCAAAACGAAAAAACTGCAACAGAAATCAAGCCTAAAACTGTATAATGCTGCAGATAATAGATTCCTACAAATTATTTTAAGATCTTGCATTAAGTATAAAACAAAGTATATAGGATTGGATATTTTGGAATTTGGTGCTACTTAATGTAAATTTATGCAGTTTTTAGAGCTAGCTTGTTGATTATCCAATATTAGCACATAATAAATGCCTTTTTTCTATTTCAAATACTGTTTAATTCTTCAGAGAAAATGCAAACATAGCAAGCAAATTCCAAAATATTAGCAAGCTTGCAAGAGAAGTACAAGTATAATATATATTTTTAAATTTTCATTAATTATTTAGACATTTATCGCCATTCCACATCGTCCACGATGAATGTATCCTGAATTTCCTTTACCAACCTTTGTATCTGCCTGGCCTTTATGTTTTCCTTCTTTATATTTTGATTTAAGTCTCGTTTGAAATTCTTCTGTGCTTAAATTTCAATTATTCCGATCTAATAAAAAGTCTGCTGACGAGATATTTATTAATTCCATTCTCTCGCCAAAAATCATTTTTTCAACAAAATCACCCATTTCTGAATTATATTCGGCCCCTGTTTGTTTGCAACTTTTAGGAGTGAGTACTAAGTAACTGCTTTGATCTCTCCTATATCTATGCATCAAGTGAGCTGATTCATGCAAGAGGGTTATTATTGTTGCTGCCATACCAAGACAATCTCCAATATTAAAGGAGTAAGTAGCAAATACTATATCTCCTATCGTAGTAAGCCCATAAAGCTCAGCAGGGAAGAAAGCATAATAAGAATAATTGGAGACTCGACTAAAGAGATCATCAAGTGTAACATTTTGATCTACCATACTAAATGCATCTGAAACAACACTGCTTGATGTAAGACTTCTATAAAAATCCAAGCATTCCGAGTTAACCGATTGTCCAATTCTTACTGGGGGCAATTTCTCTATATTTAGAAAAATGACTTCCATGCTCAACTTGCATGCACCAGGAACGCGGATATAGAAATAAATTGCTAATGTTCTTATTAATGATCTAATTTCTTCCTTTAATTCTAAATTGGTCATCATCTCATAGAAAATTTGGCTGGAGAATAACTTGAGATTTGATTGAAATTTTGGATAATTAGATGTATTAGTAAGATCATCTGTCCTTACGTTTTCAAGTAAAATTCATTGAGTATTCAAAGCTAAATATAAGAGTAGCTGAAAAGGGTTGCTGCAAGATAAGATATCATCTTGTAAGAGGACTGATTGATCCATTTCTGAAAGGCTTGGAATTCTATTTCTGAGATCTTCGATATCTTCAGAGCAGCGGACATAGTTGAAATCTTTTTCGCTTTGTTGTTTTTTGGTTTCTGAGAGAAAGTTAGCAACTATTTCATGATACCGGCATAGAGCTGGAAATCCTTGATATTGCTCTGATTCCATTTTTAGTTTATAATGGAGCGTTCATTAATTCAAAATTAAAAACAGTTAAAGAAAAATAGTTAAGTCCATGAAAGAAGGATTTTGGCACCCTTAAATTCATATTATTAAAGGCTTCGGGAAATTGATAAAATGAGATTTTAACACAGTAAAACTGACTATATTTGACTTTATCAAAATTAGGGTCATAAATGGTATGATTACAATTTTATTTAAAAAAAAATAGTTTCTTCATAGATAGGAGTAAATATACAACTAAACCCCCCTTTAAATTAGAACAAAATTTTGTTCAAATTTAAAGGGGGTTAAGAAAATTTTTTTATATAAAAAATTTATATAAAAAAATTTCAAAAATCTATAGAATTAGATTAATGAATTTGTTAAGTAAAATGCGATTTACTCTTTATCCTTTAAAAATTTATCAATCAAAGTGCTAATTTTGTTTAAATAATATGCTCTATTCTTTAACATAAATCAAGAAATAAGTAAATTTTCAATTTTTGTAAAGAATTCGCATTGAATTTATATCAAAAAATTTATTTAAATAAGATGATCTTTATCTCTTCTTTCAAAAAGAGCAAGATATAACTAAATTTTTAATTTTAGTTAAGAAGAATTATTTAACTTATATTAAAACTTTTACATATAAATTTTTTATTATAAAATTGAATTTTGTCCCAATTTAAAGGGGTTGATTTTAATAAAAAAATGGAAATTTTACCTATATTTTGTTCCAATTTAAAGAGGGGGGAGTAAGATTAATTGTCTAATTTTTATTTTCTAATTATAAACCATTACTTAATAATTTTTTATAGGTAATTAATTTGCTCTATTTTAACATACTTATACATCAGTAATGCCAATTTTCTTCTTGATCATGGGCAGTACTTACCTCCTTTACATTTCGTTGATCTGCATTTAATACATGCACTTTTCTTTTCAATAACCCTTCAGTTTCCAAACTCTACATCATATACATATCCACTTTTTTTCCCAATAAAATGCATATCTCCTTTGGTATAAACCCCAGAATCTTCAAAGCTATCCGCATAAGGGAAATTTTGCAATTCTTCAAATCTTTGATCTTTTATTCTCAATTTATTTACTACCTCCTTTTAAATTGGAACAAAATATCGATAAAATTTGCAATTTTTGAGTACTTTAACCCCCTTAAAGAACAATTTTTTTTCAATAGAAAAATTTTATTAATGAAAATAAAAAAATTTTATAAAATTAGTTTTGACTTAATTTAATATTATTTAAACAGTTTTCAATCTAAATCGATTAATTTTTTTAATAAAAATAAAAGTATTGTACTCAATTTTATATTTTTTTAAATACAATTAAAAATGAAAATACCAATTCTTATAAAATTATTTAATGAAAAAAGCACAAGTAGAATGCTATTTAAATATTTTTCGCACTGAATCAATTAATTTTTTTAATTATTTATATTAAAATTCACATCATAATTTTTTTTAAGATTTTATTACAAGTAATTTTTTTTTAAAAACTAAATTAGCCTCTCTTTAAATTGGAGCATGTTTTTTGTTCCTATTTAAAGGGAACAGTTAATTAAATTCTTACTAAACTAGAAAATAGGCTTTTAATTTTACCATTATTTATTTTTTCTTATATACATCAAATCTCCAAAATCTACTGCTATCCCCCAATTTCGACAGCACAAACCTGTACCCTCCCACAATATAAATCGAGTTATTAAAGCTACAAAGCCCAATTTCTCGAATTTTCAATGGAAGCGTGACAGGCAGGAGCATCCATCGCTTTCCATCATATTCTTCTATCCCATCATTTAAATCATCCCCAGCAAACACATAGATTTTATCATTACATGTGGTCGCTGAATGATGCTCTCTTGGCAGACACATAGGCTCGACCTCGATTCAATTATCCCCATCAAACATCTCCACACTTTTCAGTATCCCGCTAAGACATCCTCCAATTGCGTATATTTTATTTTTTAAATTTGCTAATGCATGGAAAAATCGGCCTTGATTGAGATCGTCGAGCTTTATTAAGCGCTGGTGAATTAAATCCACTTTATATGTATTCACAAATGGAAAACCTCCAGAGCCTACAATTAGAACCATGTTATTTTCGGTCTGAATAGCTTTCCCTGGGATTTTGGGGAGATAATCGATTGTGCAGAATGTTTCTTTGTCAGGATAATAAATCATTCCAGAAGACCCATCTATCATTATTGAAGATGTTGGAGCATTCGGGAGATCATCAAGATAAGATGATAAAGAATAAGCAGTGGAGAGCATATTTATGCTTTGCTTAACCCCTTGATAGAGAGCGAATCCGTTAGAAAATCATTTTTTGGGAAATTAAGCCCTTTTATCAGAAAGCAAAAACACTTTTAAATATTTATAATTTAATGTTTTAAAATCAAAAATTTTTTTTCAATATGATTTAAATAATTTTAAATAGAAAATCACGATGTTTATGAGAAAAAATTGTTGCTTGAAGGAGTTAGTATCTTGAGAACGCTTTTTGGGAGCTGCTGGCTCGCAGCAACAAAGTAAAGATCCCATTTAAATTATAATGTGCTGGGTTAAGCTTGTGATTGGAATTTTTATAATAAAGAGAAAAGCAAATTGGAGGTCTTGTGATTAAATTAAATTAATAAAATATAAATTAACAATGGCAGCTTAATTTTTATTTTAATTAATCTCCAGCGCGAGAAATCAAGGATTAATAAAAGGCTATTTTTTTCTCCTATTTGCTGGTTTCCAGTAATTGAGTCGGTGACATATTAGTTGTTTATTTTATTTAATTTTAGATCATGATCAGTTTAATTATTTCAACAGCCTTTTTATTATTAAGAATTCTGCGATTTGGCTAATCATATCAGTTATGGCAGTCTATAATCTTATTAGGGAATTTTCTAAACTGTCATATAGCTATAGAAGGGCAATTTTTTAGTTTAATCGATTTCTATAATAAATTAATATAGCTAATTCCAACCCAACAAATTGTAATTAGATACCTAAAAGATTTTTATCTTTCTGCTGGAATAAAAGCATAAAGAGATTTTCCTATCACTTTGGTTAAATAGGCCAAAAAGTATAATTAATTACACACTTTTTTTGATTAATTCTAAAGACTCATTCTAGGCAATTATTTAAAATAAAGCAAATTACTTAATATTTAGCTTATTTCAGATACCCTTAACCGGATCCACTATAGTCCCGCTTGATCCTTGAGATTTTGCTGTTTTAAGAAAAGCAATCTTTCATTTTGATTTATTTTTTGATTCTGCACAAACTAACTTTTTTTATTCTAAACTTATTGCCAAAGGAAATATAAAATTCGTTCTTTATAAAGAAAAAATTTGCTTTATAAAATAAATCTAACCTTTTTAAATTTGCCATTTTCCCATTTGAGCCGCTCTCAACAATTTACAAAATATTTAGCAATATTTCTTCTGATTTAAAAATCAATTAAATAAGTTCAAATAATAGGGCAAGCCCATGACAATTTATGATTTATGTTTTTATAAAATTTTCAGATTAATGCAAACGTATTCATACTAATATAATCTTAAGCTAATATTTATTATTTCTATTGAACTTTCGCGAAACATTTTGAGATTCATGATCTAATGATGTTATTAGCTTGTCTGTGCTTATAAGCAGTTTATTATAAGCATTTTCACTCTCCCTAATTGTTTCGTTAAATCTTTGCAAGTGGGCTTCTTTTTCGTCTAATTGAGATTTCGATCTTTGATATTCAGTTTGCAGGCGATAAAGCTCATTTTCTAAGTCTGCAAGTTTGGCTCTTTCTTGGAGGATTTGAGAGTTGCAATAATCTCTGTCTCTTTTCATAGAATCTAGCTTATCCTTGAGCAGTTTGAGTGGGTTACGACTCATTATTAAATATGCATTAAGAGATAAATTGAAATTTCTAATAAATATTAATAATTTATTTTTTATATAAAATGCGATATAGCGACCTCCCTTGAATAGCCTTTAAAGCATTAATAATTGAAAAATTGTTAGCGTAAAGGCTAGTTCTATACAAATTTTAGTGAAAATATTAAAAATGCATAGGCTAGAATAACCATTTATGATGAATTAGAAAATTCATTTTAATTCAGAAGCATTATGTGATAAAAATAACAGTTTTGAGTAAAAATCTATGCAAGCCATTGAAATATATAAGAATTTGCTTTTAATAATTGCTATTTATTCTTAATTTTAATTCTTTGGATTTGAGATCTTAGCTTAACTTAAAATGCAAGTAGATGCTCCTTATTTAACGCAATTGAATTTTAGATCAAATGGTTTGATTAAAAATAAATTTGCAAATTTTTTATAATTTATTATTATCATAATAAAATTCCTTCATTTCAGATTGAAATATTCATATTAAAATGAAAAATTAACGATAATAATGCGAATAATTACACTTTATGATTTTTCCCACTTCTCTTTCAATTTATCATACTTATTAGCCATTTCTTCTCTTTTCGCATCAGTTCTTGGTGTTTCATACTTAATATCTCTTTTTTCCAACAAATGTGCATTTTGTTTATAAAATTGAGCATTTCTTAAGCTGCCTCTATACCAGCAGCCAATGATAAAACAAATAAATACAATAATGCAGCCAGCCAGCATTGAATATCTAATAGCATTCGCATATTCTTCTCCTAGTATCGATTCATATACATATAAGCTAAAATCTCGACAAATAATTACTGTTATAAATCTCCAGGAAATACTAAAATATTTCTGCTTAATTATAATAGTTAAATATAATCCGAATAAAAAATAATTCCAATTGTAAACCCAATTTCGACACATAAGCAGGATAATAGTAAAAATAAATAAATTGTTATCCAAGGCATTGATTTTCTTGTTGTTCCTGATAAGATTACGAGTAGTGTTAAAATTCCTCCAAGAATGATATAGGCTCCATTATACCAGTTAAAAGAATCAGCTTTTTGCCAAACAGCGACACCTCCAGCAATGTTTCCAAGCCCAACACATAATAAAGAGATAGCTGAAGTCAAAAAATAAATAAAATGGTCACGTCACTAGGATATTGCTGAATTTTGGGGCATTGCTTAGGTTTGAAGCTAAGTAGGCCTAGGAAAGGATATATAGGTATTGCAAATTGCATTCCAATTGAGTTTCATATTCTAGTCTATTAGATGGAAACAGGTTTTGCCCCCTAAGTATCATTAGTAACGACAACTAAAGCATAATTGGTACTGGTACCAGCTTATCCCTAGGGGGAACTCTAGTATTAAGACGTGAGTCATGGAGACTAAGGAAGCTCGACCTAGGTTATAACAAGTTTATGCATAAAAGAATCAGTTACAATTTCATGAATCAAGATTGGCAAGGTGACTGAGGGCATCTAATTGAAGAAACCTCTGTTTACAAAGTGATGCTGGGGAACTATCAGATTACATTTAATAAATTAAGCTGAAGTCAAAAATATTCTCTATTAATATGAGCTCTTATTTTTTTATAAAAATATTTTAAATACCTTCCTAAACCTTATTCATAATAATAAATCATATATTTAAAAATAATAAATAGCTATTTTAGTTTTAGTTTTATTGAATTTCTTAGGTCCAGCTACAATAACAGCTCTGAACAACGGTAGGTTGACCGGCCTAACCGTCAAACCGTAAAGTTATTAAGCCCTTTCAGACTTCTCTAGTCCATGCCAGCCTCAGCACAGACCTCTTCTCTTCAAGCCGAGACTCTCAAGAAGCTTGAACTTCTCTCACAAATCTCGGAAAATAGGGCTAGCTGGTGAACAGGACTAGGACCCTATCCCTAACTGCCATCTTAAATATTGTGAAAAAGCTATAAAATTATGCTATAAAAATTTACTAATTATTTAACTAAATTAATTATAAGCAATAAATACAGTTGTTTCCAGTGGCTTGAGACTCAGGATCCATTTTAAAACTTCAAGTCTATTTAATAAGAGTTATTTAACTGGAAGTTAGATATTAGTTTATGGTAATGTAATTGTTTAGAATAGTAAGCATTTACAGCTTGTCTCAGCTTGTGAATAACTTTTATATGAAGGGTTTGCTTTTTGAGAAATTGATCTGGCTATTACTGCAGATTCATAGGTGTATTCAAGGAGAGAAGGAGTTTTTTGAGTCGTTTCGCATGATTCTATACCGTTATAGGATACAATGCTAATATTCTCGCTCTGCAGGCTTGTCAACGTTCTTTTTGAGTTCATAATGGGTGATTAGGATTAATTATGCAAAATTTTGATGTCATATTTAATTAAAAGAGGTTATTAGAAATTTTTTTTAAAAAATATAATAAAGCTTTTTCATAAATAGACTGAGTAATCCATTAAAAGTAGAATTCTTTTCCTTTTTAAGTAAAAACAATTAGAAAAAGCGCCTTTGAACTTCAATCAAAGGGTTGAAGCACGGACTGGCTTTTCGAACTTCATATAAATTTTGTCAGTAATGTTTGAGCCAGGAGTTGAGGAAGCTTGGTCTGCTGTAATTAAAATGCTCTTTACACTGTGCTTTCCTCCCATTTTATTAATACAAACCCTTTATCTCTTGCGTTATAAAATGATACGAATTTGTCAAATACTCTAAATATTTTAAAACTTAAATTGCACATAGATGCGATATTGCTCCTGAAATGATTACCTCATTATAAGCAAATCTCATTAAGAAATTTTAAATATTTCATATAAGCACTGGCTTGATAATTATAAATGTGGACAAAATAGGGCAGAATTATCATACCGCAGATAACAAAAAAATCGTAAATTAAGTTATAATAATTTAGATTTCAAAGAATTTTGGCATTTTCATAAAATATATAAAAAATTGCAAAAGGAGAGTAAGCGAAATCTTTTGTATTTTTCATAAAATTTTTGCTATTTTGAATTGAGATTGACTTAATTAATGGTTATGTGTATTCAAATTATAATATAGAAGCATAGAAAAATACACAAGAATTCAATATAATACAGTATATTATTCTTTAAGACTAAAGACCTAGCTAAAATCATTTATTCACCAGATTAAAAGATATCTAACTCCCCCCCCCCCCTCCGTGAGCGAACAAAAAAATTTTGTTCGCTCACGGAGGGGGGTTAATTTTTTTTTTTAAAAACAATTTATATATAAATTTTAGAAAAAATTTTTTTTCGAAATTTAAAAAAATCCTAATTTGCAAAAATTGGGAAGCAAATATTAATTTAATTTGCAAAAATTTATGTGTTTTAAAACGCAATTTGTTTAAAATTAAACAGAATTAGCTCTAGATTTCATTATACTAATTATCACTTATATATCAAAATTTTTTTCCATTAAAATTTTTTCTATTAAAAAAATTTTTGTTCACTCACGGAGGGTGGGTTTTTGGTCAAAAAAATGGCGATTTTTCTAATGGTTTTGTTCGCTCACGGAGGGGGGGGGGGGAGTAAGAAATAAAATGAGATTAACTCTCATTTTTACCCTTTCCTTAGCCTTTGCCCAGTCTTCCTTAAAAGAATGCCAAGCAGAGTGGGCAAAGATTTTTGAGGGAGCTGAGGACATTCTAAGCCAAAATCCCTCTGATTATACCAAGATGTTCTTGTACTCTGGGTTTATGATCAATAACCTTGGTCAATACGATCCATGTACAGACATCTCAAATGCCAAGTTTACCATTATCCAGTTTGGAATTTACCCAGTTCTTGTAGTTGCTTTATGTGGCCCGAAAGTGTGTACAGAGGAAGATTACTATCACCTTTTGACTAACATTACTTCACCAGTCCCTTTGTCAGGCATGATCAGAAAAAATAATCCGAAATTGGCACCTTATCTTAAAGATTTACTCCTTCAAAATTAGAAGATTAATTATATATTGCAAAATTATTTATCTAAAGAAAAAAATCTAATTTAATTTTAGTTTCAGAATAAAAACTCTCCAAAATTTAATAGAATTAGCTATAGATTTTCAAATAAAAACTTGTTGTATTAAAATCGTTTATAATATAAAAAAAAATTAGCAAAAACATGTTTATTTTGCAATGAAAGATTTAAAAAAGTTATCTCAAGTGTTTTAGATTTGAAAAAAATTGAATTAAATAATGAAGAATTATTTAACATTTTATATTGGATTATTTAAAAAGATTGAATTTTTTTAAAAAATTTACTCAATATAGCGATATCATTTTTACGTATTATAAATGAGAAGCAAGTGTTTTTTAACTAATTAAATTAAACTAATATAATTTTTTCTCTTATTCTCGCGGAGGGTTGTTTCTTATTTTTTATTTGCCTACAGGAAAGTTAGAAGAAATAAAAGCCCAGAGCTTTGCTCCTCCAGTCGTTTTTCCTAAAGAGTATTATGATGACAACTTTAAAGACTATAAAGCAGGCCCAATTTTGATGATAATTTTCATCTCAATAATATCAGCCATTTGCTTAATTGCTACTATTACAGACTATCTTATTTCTTCATCACCGCCGAGTTCGAGCTTATCAAAAGAAGACCCCAAGCCTCGAGAAAGTTCCCTATTTATTAAATATCTCCTCTGTTTCTCCATCATTACTAATTTAAAAAAGCTATTTATAAGCAGAAGCCAAGAAAGACTAGGCAAAAAAGATTCTCTTGACATACTAAACAGCTGCCGTGTGCTCTCTATAGGTTGGGTTGTCCTTGGCCACGTCCTTTTTATGCTGTGGTCAGAAGCAATAGTTTCGAACCCGGATCGGATTTTGACTCAAATTTCTGGCTCAGATATGATTCTTCCTATCAGCGGAGAAGTTTCTGTTGACACCTTTTTCTGACTTTCTGGGTTTTTGGTGGGGTATCTGCTAATAATAGAGATCAATTCTGCTAACTCCCCCTCTATGAGTGAGCAAAGTCAATGGAAAACCCCCTTTTTTTGGAAAATCACCTTGTGAAAACATCAAAAAATATTTTGATAAATAATTGATAATTATTATAATGAAGTCCCTAACTAAATCTATTTAATTTTAAAATAAATTTTATAATTTAAATTAATTCTTTTTGAAAAAGAAAAATTTAAATTTTTAAATTCAAAAAATTAATCCCTTCTTGATCCCGGGGAGTAAGAAAATGAACTGGATAATGGTTTACGCTCACAGATACTTAAGACTTACACCTTTGCTATTATTTGTAATCTTGTTCTTCTGGGCTCTTCAAAAGCACATAGGAAATGGCCCAATGTGGTATACAGGAGACATTATTAATTTTCAATGCAAAGATTATTGGTGGACCGATATTTTATATATAAACAATATCGTCCCTAATTATCACGGAAGTGTCTGTTTAGGCCAAACTTGGTATTTAGCTAACGACATGCAATTTTTCATATTCACCCCAATTCTTCTTTATATTTACAATAGATTCCACAAGTCAATTCTTTGGGTTTTAGTATTGTTTTTAAATCTATTATCCATTTTGACTTCAGGACTCATAGCAAACCACTATTCACTCAATGCGATGCCATCAGCGCTTCCTAATGGGACAAACTACTTCAGATACTATTATACAAAGCCATATAATAGATGTGGTCCATATGCTTTAGGAGTCTTATCTGGGCTTATTGTTTACTCATATAGGAAATTCCAAGATAAAAATATCGTTTATGACTCTTATGCAATCTGGGTCGGAAAAATGCTGGAAAATCGCTATGTGAGATATATCTTTTTATAATAGTAAAAACATTTTGTTTTTATAATAAAATTGATATTAATATTTATTATTAATAATAAGTATATACAATTGCATTTTTAGGGATGGCGCTAATAAACGTCAATTTATTTGTCCCTTATGATACTTATAAGCACCCAGGAGATACGATGAATTATCCACATTGGACTCATGATGAAAATGTAGCTTATATAGCTTTCAATAAAGTCACTTTTGGGCTAGGGCTTACCTTTGTGTTACTCCCAGCGTTATTAGGGCATTTTCCCTGGATGACCTGAATACTTTCGTGGGAGATCTGGACTCCATTGGCAAGAATGACTTACTGCGTTTATTTAATTCATTATAATATACTCGATATTGCGTACAGAAGCCAAAAAGTTGCGACTATCCTGGATGAATTTACTTTAATAAGAGATTCAATATTTTTCTTTGTTTTAGCTCACATTTTGGCACTACCTTTTATTCTCTTAATAGAGATGCCAGGATTAGCAATAGAAAAATTGGCTTTTTCAAAAGTTAGGGCAAAAGCTGCTATTAAAGAGCAAGAGAAGTCTATCATTCTCCAGCCTCTAACTAAAGAATAATCATTATTCTTAATTTTTGTCTTGATGATTAAAAGGAAATAAGGATTTAAATATAAATAATGGCTATATAGTGGAAATAGTAAAATTATTTAATAAATCATCATTATAGCCGGATCCTTTAAGGTAATGACAAATAATTTATAGAGATTTTTTGGTTATAATCTTCATATAAAGCAGATTATTTTTATAAACTTAACAGATTCATAAACTTATTTAAACAAATAAGAAATTAAATAAGCGATTTCTACTCTTTTGCTGATGAAATTTTAAAATAATATATGAAGTCGTATTTTTCATATTTATTCACCAAATATGGTACAATTTAGATAATGTTATTTTTGGTTTGCAGAGGCAAGCTATTTACAAAGCTATTTCTTTTCTTAATGTCTATTATCTTTATATTGATTATTTTTACATTAACAATATCAATTCTTTATTTAAACTAAAGGTGCTTTTAAGATTCAGACCTATAGCTTGCAATATGGACGTCAATAATTCAATTTGCTTAAAAGTTAGCGATATGAAACATATATCTAAGTTTTTTAAAAGATATTTTATAACTAAATTGCCATTTAAATTTATTCACCAGTGGAAATAAATGGCTTGTTTATAATCATTATGAAGTCATTTCTTATTCTTTTTATAATAGTTGAAGTGGTTATATCAACCCTCCAAGAGTGCGAATCTGAATGACTCAAAATAATGGACGCTGGCAAAGGTATCCTCGATCCAAATCCTTCAGATTACACCAAAATGTTCTTATATTCTGGCTTCACAATGAATAACCTCGGGCAATATGATTCTTGCACCGACATTTCTATAGCAAAATACACCCTTATAATGCTTTCTCCATCTCCAAATATACTATTTGCCTTATGTGGGCCTAAAATTTGTTCTGCCGAAGACTATCAACAAATGCTTTTTTCTCCACGAAATTCAAGCGTCATTTCAGAAATCATTGGAAAACAAGTTTTTAGCTTAAAATTATCCAAAAATTCAGCCCAGCCTATAGGTATTCCTGTTATTTTTCCAAAGGAATATGTTGATGATCATTTTAAAGATTATCAAGCTGGGACAATTCTTATGATAATTTTTATAGTGATTTTATCAGTTTTTGTACTATTTGCTACTTTTTTGGATTACAGACAAGCTTATAATACAGGATTAGAGAAAAATAACAGCAAGAATCCATTATGAATGGATTATCTTCTTTGTTTTTCTATAATCACTAATATTAAAAAACTATTTATTAGTAGAAGCCAAGAGAGATTAGGGAAAAAAGACTCTATGGAGTTGCTAAACGGTGTGAGAGTCCTTTCTATTGGCTGGGTCATTCTAGGCCACACATTTCAAGCACTTATGGGAGTCGCTGTAGTTTCTAACTTCGACCACTTTGACGATGAAACAAAAAAATCTTATGTAACTGTCCCAGGAGCTGGTGAGTTTTCTGTTGATACATTTTTTTGACTTGCTGGGTTCTTAGGCAGCTATTTGATACTTGTAGAACTAAATTCTTCAAAAAGATTTAACTGGGTTATGGTCTATGTCCATCGTTATTTGCGGCTTACTCCTCTTGTGCTGTTTATTATGCTATTTTTCTGGGCATTCCAAAAATATATAGGCAGCGGCCCGATGTGGTTTACTGGTGACGACCTAAACAGTCCATGCAAAAATTGATGGTATACCCCTTTACTTTATGTAAATAATTTCGTCCCTCATTATAAAGGAAGTGGCTGCTTAGGAGTTACCTGGTACTTAGCTAATGACATGCAGTTTTTTATTATAACTCCTCCTATTCTATATTTATACCACAAGTACCACAAATCAATAGGCTGGATTGCGATTGGGCTGCTTACTCTTCTATCAATTTTAAGCTCAGGGCTTATTGCCCATCATTTTTCTTTCAATGCAGTCCCTTCTGCCCAAGCAAATGGTGTTAATTATTATTACTATTATTATATAAAACCTTACACTAGATGTGGCCCATATATTATAGGTATTCTAACAGGCTTAATTGTGTACTCATATAGAAGATATCAAGACAAAAAAGAAGTTTATGACCCATTTGCGGTCTGGATTGGGAAAAAATTAGAAAATCAAAAAATTCGCTTTGCAGTTGGCTTCTTTGGCTTGGTCCTGATAAATTTGATGGTTTTTGTTCCTTATGATTCTATAAGACACCCAGGGAAGAATTTTGAATTTCCTCATTGGACTCAAGACGAAAACATTACTTTTATAGCTTTTAATAAGGCTGTCTTTGAATTTGGGCTCACACTTGTGCTGCTACCAGCTTTATTAGGCCATTTCCCTTGGATTTCTTGGATTCTTTCTTGGGATGTGTGGACTCCTTTGGCGAGAATGACCTTTGCTGTGTATTTAATACACCTTACTATTATGTTTATTTGTTATGAAAGCCAAAGAGTTGCGTATATTTTTGATGAATTTAATATGATAAGAGACGCAATTTTTTTCTTTGTGATTTCGTATGTGCTGGCTTTACCTTTTGTGGTAATGGTAGAAATGCCAGCTTTGGGGATTGAAAAATTGCTGTTTTCTTCGGTTAGAAAAAAGCAAATTGAGGCTAAGAGTCTTCAAGAAGAAGCTCTTATGCCTCTCAAGAAGTCGGTTGAATAACTTAATTGATTAGAAAATAAATATCCCCGTTATTAATAATTGATTACTTTTTTTCTTGATTTATTAATTAAAATTTGTTTTTCTATCAATATCAGATTGTAAATAAATTTATAAGACATTTATCAAAATAGTTTATAATCATGAAATTAACCACTAAATACCTTATAATATAATAAAACTAGTAAAATAAAATCAATCTTCTTTATATCAATATGATTATAATATTAATATAAATGTGATTGCTGCTCCCTTTCACATTCATTGCAATCTCTCAAGCATCTTATTTTGAATGTGAAAGCGAATGGGGAAAAATATTACAAGCCAGCCAAGACATTCTGAGCCCAAATCCTTCAGACTACACAAAGATGTTTTTGTACTCAGGATTCATGATAAATGATCTTGGCCAATACGACCCTTGCAATGATTTATCTATTTCTAAATATAGGCATATCCTTAAGATAGCCCGATATGGGTGAGGGAAATAGGCCAAAACTTCCCACTTGACTAGGCTAACTCAGGTTGGTCGAACTAAGTGGTAAATGGCGAATGAGCCTCCATCCACTTTGTTCGGCCAACCCGAGTTGGCCGGACAAGTGGGAAGTTTTTGCCTCTATCCCTCGCCCATATCAGGCTATCTTAGGGATATGCTTATACACTTTAATAGTGCTTTTCCCTTATCCAAGTATGCTAATTGCACTATGCGGGCCTAAAGTTTGCACAGCAGAGGATTATCAGCAGCTTCTGGCAAATCATACATTTTATCAGACCATATCAGAAAAAATACAATTTCATAACCCTTTATAGCCTGAGTGCTCATTTGTAGGGGTTATACTATATATATGGCCGACACTAAAAGTTGGTTTTACGTTGCTAGGCGATAAATTAACTCCCAAATTGAATTACCTATCTCATTCAAATCATAGGAAAAGAGAAATGGAAAATCAACCCCCCAATAACTTCATTATTGGGCATAGCTCAAATCAGATATAGTATAGGGCTATAATTGATTTAGAGCAGCTTAAAGCTGCTGAAACAGCATTGCCTGTGATTTTTCCTAAAGAGTATATTGATGATAATTTCGAAGATTTTAGTACCGGAGCAATTCTTATGATAACTTTTATTTGCATTGTTGGAGTGATAGGACTTTATGCAACATCTCTCGAATACTATTTATTGTCGAAAAAATCGAAAGAAATAGTGGCAGAAAAAGCAGAAATGATAGAGCCAAGAGCTGAGGATTCAACTTTGGTTAAGTTAGTCCTATGTTTTTCATTAATTTGAAACATTTATTAATTTTTTTATTTTTAGAATTTTATATAGCGAATTGCACTAATTAGGCTCCAAACTTGGCAAAATTCCACATGTGGAGACAAAACCCGCTTGTGAAGTTCCCAATCAGAATAGCTCCACATATGGATTTGCTCCACACTTGGAATGATTTCTCCAATGTAAAGCCCAATCTCTAATCAATGCAATTTACTATACTATTTCATTTTTGAATATTTTTAATTATCCATTAATTTCTAATACCAAAAAGCTTTTTGTCAGTAGAAGTCAAGAAAGGCTTGGAAAAAAAGACTCAATGGAATTATTAAATAGTGTAAGAGTGTTATCCATCAGCTGGGTTCTCAATGGTCACGTCCTTTTGATGCTTTATTATGTTACAGTCATATCCAACGCTGATACTTATATTAAAGAAGTTTCCAAATCTCAATATATAATCCCATTAGCTGGAGAGTTTGCTGTTGATACCTTTTTTTGAGTGTCAGGTTTTCTCGTCACATATTTGCTTATCCACGATATAAATAATTCAAAGAAAATGAACTGGCTTATGATTTACGTTCACAGGTATCTTCGTATAACACCTTTATATTTATTTTGTATTTTATTGTTTTGGGCTCTTCAAAAGCATATTGGGAATGGCCCAATATTTTTTACTGGAGATATTATATACTTTTTTTATTAATTCTTATAATATTATAGTAAAAATATTAAAGATGTCAAATTCAGTCTAAAATAATTTAAATAATGAATGCAAAAATCATTGGTGGACAAATATTTTGTATCTTAATAATTTTATTCCTAAAGGCAATGGAAGTGGATGCTTTACTACAAGCTGGTACTTAGCTAATGATATGCAGTTTTTTATTATCACTCCTCCAATTCTTTATATTTATCATAGGCTTAATAAAGTTGCGGCATGGGGTATTTCGGTGGCTCTTATTTTTGAGTCAATGCTAAGCTCAGGACTTATTGTAAATCACTATGGTTTAAATGCAGTTACCCAGTCTCTGAATAATACTGAATATTATTTCGATAAGTACTATAACAAGCCTTATTGTAGAATTGGAGTTTATTTCGTAGGGGTTTTGACAGGGATTATAGTATATTCTTATAGGAAATATCAAAATAAAAATGAAGTTTATGATAAAATTTCGGTTTGGGTTGGTAGACAGCTTGAAAATAAAGCTATAAGGTACGCTGTCGGACTTTTTGGGCTTACTCTTATCAATTTATAAGATCTATGTATAAATAGCTCGGCAATATGTAATTCTTTTATTAAAAATCTATAAATAATAATTTATTGATTTATAGTTATCATTAAATAATTTTACTGTAAAAAGTATATTGATTTTTGTCCAATATGATATATAATATTTAAATAAATATAGCATAGATGTACTAGAATTCATAATATCAATAAACAGTAATTTTATAAAAAGTGGCTTAAAGTAAAATATATTATTAGCCAAGTTTAAATCAGCTAAGCATACTCTTTTAAGCACCCAGGCAAGGACTTTAAATACGACCACTGAAATAATACTCAAAATGTTATTTTTCTTGCATTTGGCAGAGTTTCTTTTGGAATCGGACTCACTTGTTTATGTTTACCAGCATTTTTAGGTCATTTCACTTGGATGACTTGAATTTTGACTTGGGATCTGTGAACTCCTCTTGCAAGACTATCATTTTGTGTCTATTTAATTCACTATAATATTCTTGATATGACCTACAGAAGTATAAAAACTGCAACCGTGCTTAACGAGTTTACACTCATAAGGGATTCAGTTTTCTTTATTATTCTCGCATATATAATTTCGATCCCAATTGTACTTTTAATTGAGATGCCAGCTTTTGGAATTGAAAAAGTCATATTTTCTTCAACACATAGAAAATCACTAAAACAAGATAATAAGCAAGTTCAATTGGAGCCTTTGGTTGGGAATAAATAATTTAATATAGCGAAATAGCTTTTTAAGTATAAGCTTTAATTTTTTTTAAAAAATCAATAACTCTATCAATTTAATGCATATTGGTATAAAAGAATATAAGCATTTTTACTAGCTGCTGTTGCCTTATATTTATATACCAAATCAGAAAAGGGATACCACGTAGAAATCTTTTCATTGCAAATAGGTATATATAAAATTAATAATGGTTAAAATATAATAGACTTTTTTGGCATAGCTTGCTATTCAATGCGTCTCAAAAATTTTTTACTTATCATCTGTGGCAGGGATAAGGGTTTTACAAGTTTTTTTATATATAAAATTATGAATAAATTCCATTTTGAGTATATACATATCTTGGCGAGAAAAATGAAATTTAAATTAAATCGTCATAATTTGCGTTTCATATTATAGAAAAGCAAGTTATTTGATATCTATAGCATGAATAGTGCCCTTAATCAATCATTATACATGAAATTTAAACTATTGCACAATCATCCAAAAAATATTCTATTGATTTTAATTACTCATTCCAAAAATAGTTTTATCTATTTTAAATCATTAGTGTTCATAAAATTTTACGCTCTTGATAACCCAAAGCTTATCTCCCATAAATTTATGCTGGCTAAATTTGAAGTTCACCCTATCTATTTTTATCAACAATCCTATACTTGCGATATTTACGAAATCTCTTTTATTCTACATCTAGCCTTGAAGCTTTCTTTATAGATATCTTCATTAATATTCCTTCTCCTCATAAATCCTAAAAGATTTTTATCAATTTCTCTGATAAATATGTCACTGGTGAAGAAATAACAATAAAATGAAGGGCGTGATATTTATATCTCTTTTCATAGTCTTTTCTCAGTCAATTCTCTTGGAATGTGCTAAGGAATGGGATAAGATAATTAAAAGTGCCTCAGGGATCTACGATATTAATCGTTCAAACTACACCAAAATGTTTTTGTACTCTGGGTTTTCGCTCAATAACCTAGGACAATATGACGCTTGCAATGATATGGAAGGCACTAAGTACCTTCTAATTATGATTTATCCTTTTCCAGTAATGGGAATGGCACTATGCGGACCAGAAGTGTGCACAATTGAAGACTATGAAAAAATGCTGAATGGTCAATTTGCATTATCGTCAGTAATGCCAGACATTCATGCTTTACGTAGCAATCTCACAGCAAGCATCAATTTTCCTATGATTTTTCCGAAGGAGTATATAGATGACAATTTTGAAGACTATTCAGCTGGGGTTATACTTATGATTCTTTTTATTTCTATAGTAGCAACAGTGTGTATTATTGCGACCAGTGTTGACTTTTATATGAGCACTGTTACAAAAAATCAAGGAAAACAGCCAAATAGTGTCCCTATAGTTATTAAATATCTCTTGTGTTTCTCATTTATGACAAACTTCCAAAAGCTATTCACAAGCCGAAGCCAAGAAAAACTTGGAAAAAGAGACACTTTGGACATCCTTAATGGAGTAAGAGTTATGTCAATAGGCTGGGTTATTTATGGCCATGTCATTTTTTTCTCCTGGACCCAAGGAGTTCTAGTCAACGCATCAGATATAATCAATTTCTTAAAAGGGCCAACCACAGTGGTTCCTTTATCCGGAACTTATGCTGTTGACTCCTTTTTTTGGCTTTCCGGGCTATTAGTAGGCTATTTATTAATCCTCGAAATAAATAACTCCAAAAAAATGAACTGGCCAATGGTCTATATTCACCGTTACCTTAGTCCCCCTCCCTAGGTTATTTTTTTTTTTAAAAAAATTTATATATAAATTATAGAAAAAAATTTTCGAAATTTGAAAAAAATCCTATTTGAAAGCAAATATTAATTTAATTTCTAAAATATATGTTTTTAAATCGCAATTTGTTTTAAAATTAAATAAATTAATAGAGATTTCATTATAGTAAGTATTATATCAAAAATTTTTTCGCTCATGGAGGCGGATTTTGGGCAAAAAATAGGGATTTTTCTAATGTTTTTCTTTGCTAATGGAGGGGGGAGTCAGGATAATTCCTTTATATATGTTTGTATTGCTATTTTTTTGGGCTTTACAAAAACATATAGGAGGTGGTCCGCTTTGGTTTGAAGGCGACAACATTAATGCTGGTTGCAAAAATCATTGATGGACAAATCTATTATTTGTCAATAATGTTGTGCCAGATTGGAAAGGAAGCAGCTGCTTAAACCAAAGCTGGTACTTGGCCAATGATATGCAATTTTTTATTCTAACTCCGCCGATTCTTTATATATACCATAAGTACAATAAATATTTCGGCTGGGCTGTCCTGTGGGCTTTGACTGGGATTTCGATTTTGGTAACAGGACTAATAGCGCATCATTTTACACTGAATGCGATGCCTACTGCACAAATCAATGGGATTAACTATTTTCAATATTATTATAACAAGCCGTATTGTAGAGTAGCTCCTTATATCATGGGAATCATTACTGGGCTAGTGATTTATGCTTATAGAGCTTACAAAGATAAAAAAAATTATTATGACCCTGTTTCCATTTGGATTGGAAATAAACTTGAAGACCCACTCATTAGATATGTATTTGGCTTCATCGGGCTTAGCCTCATATCAATCCTAGTGTGGGTTCAATATGATACCTTGGAGTATCCAGGCACATTAATGGAATACTCTCATTGGTCCCATTCCCAAAATGAAGCATTTGTCACTCTTTGTAGGCCTCTCTTTGGCTTAGGACTGACCTTGTTATTGCTCCCATCCTTGCTTGGCCATTTTAATTTCATCACATGGGTTCTTTCCTGGGACATATGGACACCTCTTGCAAGACTGACCTTTGCAGTCTATTTAATCCATGTGAACGTCATTGTAATTTGTTATGGAAGCCAAAAAGCATCATACATGCTTGATGATTTTACTGTTGTAAAAGATACCATTTTTTACTTTGTGGTTTGCTATATCCTGGCATTGCCTTTTGTGCTTATGATTGAAATGCCAGCACTTGCGGTAGAGAAAATGGCGTTTTTAAGGGCAAGAGCGAAGCCAAATGTGGAGCAGGAAAATAAGTCAGTATTATTGCTGCCGGTAGAAGGAAAGAAAGAAGCTAATTAGGCTAATTATTCCTTTAGCAATTAATTTATAATAGATAAAATAAGATTTTTTTATGTTTAAGACATATTAGCTCTTCTATTAGCTGTAATCTTTGTATAGATATGCCCTCCTTTTCTCCTAAACAAATTGATTTCTGTTTTCAGCTCTGCTATCTTCTGCCTTTGCAATTCAATGATTTCTTTCAGCCTCTGTTGCTCTTGATTAATATCATCCTGCTTATTTTCTTCTTCTTCCTTGAAAATTTCTTTATTTCCTAAATCCAGCTGTTTATTTTTCTTCATAATGCTTTCAAGTCTATCATGCCTAAGCTGCAATAAATCTGTATTTCTCTTACTCCAATATAATTACTATATATTTTATTAAATTAAATCCTATTATATTGATTTTTCCTATAAAATAGGAAAGCTAGTAGCAAATCTTAAGCTTTCTCTTGCACTTGAAAGCTCTTCTTTAGCTTCTTCAATCCTTTTAGATGCATCTCTTTCTGCTTTATTAAAGTCTGACTTAAGCTTTGCTAGCTGCTCACTAGGTTCTGCATATTTTAAGTTATCAAGCTTGATGGCATGGCCAAATCTTAAAGCTTGAATTGCTTCATATTTTTTCTTGGCTTCTTCTTTTTTCTTTTCCCTTGTCTTGCATTTCTTTTCTAACTGTTTCATATCTTTTTGCAGGTCTTCTTTTCGGAGTATTTCGTCACTTTTTTCTCTGATAAGCTCTACGATTCTGTTCCTAAGCTTGTTAAATTCTTCGTTTGTGAATAAAACAGCATCTTCTGGGAATTTAGTTTTGAAAAAGATGGAGATTGAGGTAAGGTCTAGGGTGACTGGAGAGCTGATTCCTAGTGGATTCGATACTTTTAGGAAGCTAGAGGAAGATTTTATGTGATTGGGAATACGGAATCCATGACAGGATTTTTCCTGTCCAACAGACGAAAGATTGAAGGCGCAAAGTCATTCATACTACTGGGAAGCAATATATGCCTATTTGAGCAAGATAGTCTAGAAGGAGACATATGGCGCTTCCTTTGTACCCAAAACAATAATAGGCGTTAAGAGAGTCCTTTATTGTAGGATTTGACCCAAACATGGCCGGATTAGTTTCTTCAAGAGACTGCTGAAGTCATTATTTCTGGTGATGTCTTCATAAAAGGGCGTGATTTACAATAGGCAATTAGGACCTCTTAAGCCTGAAGCCGGCATTTGGACGAAGAGGAGTTGAAATAATCCTCAGAGACCTTTATAATTTATCTTAATCTAACCTAATCTGGGGAACTTATAAATTTTTATATAATAAAAAATATATACCTTAAAAAATAAAAACACATAAAATTCTCCCCATCTTCTAAATGTTTAGGCAGTGCTTCATCTTGAATGATCTGTATTTGGTCTTGTGAAAGAATAATTGACACCAGCAGCTGGTTTAATTTCTGCATTTTATCTCTTTGGAATTCTTGAATTTCAGTCTCAGTCTTATGTATTGCTTGAGAAATCTGCCTTTCTTTCTTTTCCACATCTTCTTGTTTTTTCTTCAATTCATTAATAATTTGTTTTTTTGCATTAGAACTTTCTACCAAATCAAGCCTTGATTCTCTTAGCTGGACGACCTCTTCGAATAAATTCATATCACAATCATTAGGGCACAAATCTAAATTTTGGTCTTCGTCTTCATCAGACTCGTCTGAACTTATGTCACTTATGGCTGGCTGTATTAAATTTAAAAAAAATATTTATATTTAATAAAAAATGAGGGTATAGGAATCAGGATAATTCTTCTTCTTCCTCTTCCTCCTCTTCTTCCTCTTCGCTTTCTTTTCGTTTTTTCTTCTTTTTTCGCTTGATATTTCGGTCGAGAACAGCTTGAAGTTCTTTGGCAAATGCACTGCCTTCTACCATGGAGTTAAAAGTTGCGTAAATTTCTTTGTGCTTTTGGGTAATTTCTTCTTGGTCTTTTTGATGGATTTCATATTGACGGTTGATTTCTGCGATTTCTGATAAAAGAGCTTGCTTGTCTTCGTTGAGTTTTTCTATTTTTGCGGAGAGTCTTTGGTCATCTGGTTCCATTTCATCGAGTAGGTTTAATTCTAAATAATAAGTAATCAGCTTCATATCAATTTGTTTTAAGTCACTTTCTATCTCTTTTATAGAAATATTTTTTAAAACAAATAAATTTTTTGTTATAAAAAAACATTTTTTGCAATAAAAATTGCATTTTTAATATTTTTTTATAGAAGAATTAAGTAATATTTTTGTTCTTGCTGCTGCTTTAGTGCTTCATTAAAATGGATAATTCTTTTTTTAATTTCTCCATCAAGCCTTTTTTTCTCATTCAGCAGCTTTAAGTCTTTATGAGCTTTAAACATTTTTTCAGCTTCAGTCAAGCCTTTATTTTTTTTCTTTCGTGAGTCACGAGGTGAAGTTAAAGCAGCGACTTCTTCAACTTTTTTAGGCGATGACAAAACTGGCTTTATAGTTTTGGATTTCGCAAATTCAGTTAGATCGTCACTCGAAATCAAATAATAATGCTCAGGCCATTCCTCATCTTTAAAAGTTGGCTCCACAAGCTCTTCTTCTATACCTAGCTCATGATTTATATCAGAAATCCTTTGGTACTGCTCTTTAATCCAGTCAATCAGCCTCACTTTATTTTCTCTCAGTGCCAAAAGTCTGCTATTTAGCTCCATTTTCAAGTTATGAGCACTTTCCATAAGTAAAAACATCTGCCTGCGCTTTTGTGATGCATTTACACACAGATTTTTGGGCACTACATAGTCAGGGCTTGTTTTTAGCTTAAAATCTCCCATCGTTGCTTTCGCTGTTTCTATATCTCTTTGGTCCATTGGGTCAATAGCTTTATCACTAGGCTCCTGCTTTCTTTTTGCGTCAATTTTAGTTTTTCTTTCCTCCCTGAGCTTTGTCCTTTTTTCTCTGTCTTCTTGTGCTTTAGACTTCTTTTTTCCTTCAATTTTCCCAGCTACTATTTGTGAAGAAATCCTGAACTCAGTTTTGGTCTCTTCTAGCCTCTCGCTTTGCTCTATAGGGTGCTGAGAAAATTTGCCTGGAGACATGGCGCTTTCTGCATCTGAAATGATGCTTCCTTGTTTATAGCGGCCTTCTTCTTCAAGAAATGCTTGGATTTGGGTAAGATTGGAGACTAAAAAGTCGGATGGCTTGTTGACGCGGAAAGAAGTGACGAATTCTTCAGAGTTTAAGGCTCGGACTTGGAATCTTTCAATTGATACGTTATCTAAGAAATATTGCTTGTATTTTTCGACTGAAAGCCTTGAATATTCGCTACCCCAGGCGTTTTCTTTTTGGACTTCGTCCAATAGTTCTTTATTTCTCCCATTCAGCATCTCATAGTACTCAGGATCTACCCTCAGCTCTTCTTCAGACAGCCGATATTTCTCCTCTAGTGCTGCGTTTTCTTTTTGCAATGATTCAAAAATTTCTCGAAGTGCTGCTATGTCTTGCCTTTTCCTGTCCTTTTTCATCTCAGCAAGGGTCCTTTTTTTGTCTTCGTCAGTTTTCAACTTGTCCATTTGCAAAGAATATATGATTATGATTACGATTAATTAGGCTATTAAAGTGATACCTTCTTCTACAGGGATGGGAGAGATTCCCTTTTAAAAACCCAGTTGGTAACCTTGATAGCCCTTGCTCCAGGCAAGCATTCCAGAGGACGACCCAAAAAGGTCCAGAAAGCTTACACTGGTTAGTTTACCTTACTGATAATTCAGCTTTAGCACATGCCCTGCCTAAGGGTCACCCTCCTCGAGTGTGTCAAGCAGAAAAGCAAACCTATAATAATAAAATCGGTAAAGGAAGAATAGCTCTCGGAGAAACTAATTCCATACGTAGCATTTTATTATTAAGCAAAGAATACACAGTCGGGTCCTCAATTTCATCAGAAATTTTTTGTAAATTTTGTGGCTGCTCTTCTAGCCTTAATGATCCAGCTCCCAGCTCATGTTTAGGCTCACTGCTAGGTGGCATAAATTGTCCATTTTTGGCAGCATCCAAAATTTCTTCAGGGTAAAGCTCAGATATAAACATAGTCCCATCTTCTGAAATTGTGGTCGCATAAGTTTCATTATGGTTTAATTGTACTTTTTTTACCTTGGATTTTATATCATGAGGACGGGTTGATAAGAAACGGTCAGTATTTTTTAAGCTGTGGAGCTCATAAGTACCATCTGCATAAGAAGAAGCGATAAAATGCTTGGAAAAGCTGATGCTTTGGTTTAAAGATGGGGAGGTAGGGATTGCAAAATTAGGACGATCTGAGCTGAATTCACAGACATAGAAGAAGCCGTTATATGGAGCATCTGCTGAGAGGATAAATTGGTCAGGGTTGAGTGGGAAGTATTTAGCAGACAAAATAGGGGCTGGTGGCCATTCATCGTCAACTTTTTGCTCGCCTGGTCTTTTTGGCGGCATTAAAAATTCTTCTTCTTCAGTTGGCTTTTTCTTTTGAAACTCCATCATTTTAATTTTCCAGCTTTTCCTTGGCAGCTCTACCTCATAAGAATGCAAAGTGTCCAGGGTTATTTTATCAGGTCTATTAATTTCAAAAATTTCTCCTGATTGCATCCCTAGCAAAATCCTATCAGACGACACATGCCAATCTATATCTTTTATTTGGCTTGGCAATGGGGTAATACAAACAGGGTCTAAATTCCCATTTTCCTGGACGTCAAAGAAAAAAATTGTATTATCTGCCCCCACAGTAACTAAATGGCTTCCGTCTGGGGAATATTTCATAAAAATAACAGCTGCGTCATGAGGTTTCCAAGCTCCTAATAAGCTAAACTTATCAGAATCCAAAAAGCTGAGCCTTATAATCCCATTATCAAAACCAGTTAAAATCATTTTCCCTTGATTAATAGGTGTATGTGGCGACCAAGCCAAAGACTGTCCTTTTCCAAGCCATTTTGAGCAAAATAATTCTTTTTGGTTCACAAAATCCCAAGCTCTTGTAGTGGAGTCCTCACCTATAGTAACTGCAATATTATGGTCTTCAGATATAGCTAAATCAGTGATTTTTCCTGCATGAAATTCCATAATGGTCTGCTGATCAATAAAATCATCAGAAATTTTTATAATTTTTCCTTTGCGGTCTACCACAAACCAGCAGTTGTCTCCTTTGATTAAATTCATGATTTGAGCGGCGTCTCCGATTAACACCTGATGTTTACTTGATATAGAAAACTCATAGCCTTCTTCAGGGTCAGCTGACATTACTTTGTTCAAGTCCCACCATTTTATATACCCATCAGTGCCTGCAGTCATAACTTCGTCACCTTCTATTATCACACATTCTATTGCGCCATTGTGGCAAGGCTTTTTATCGTTAAGCATAAAAAGAGCTTTAATGAGGGTACCTTCCCATAATATTAAATTTCCATATTCACTGCCAGATAAAACCTTGCCGTCAGGAAGCTCGACAAAACCATTGATATCGCTGAGCTCGACTTGGCCGAATTTTCCAAGGTCTCCTTGGAGCTTGAGACCGGTGAAGGTTTTGGCCATTTTCCAGAATCTGATGTGGGCAGTTCCGCTGGTGATGATTTCTTCTTCGTATTTGGGAGAAAAAGTGACTCTGTAAATTTCTTGACCAAAAGCTTTGCTTTTTAGGATGACTCGCTCTTGGAGCCAGTCCCAGACTGTTAGCATGTAGTCTGTGACACTTCCGACGCTTGCAAGCATTTTTCCACTTCCACTCCAGGCGAGGGAGCTATAAGCAGTTTCAGTGCCTTTTCGAAGGATTCTATAGAGCTTTAAAGAAGGGAATTCATATATACTATTTTATAAGAATTGTATATAAATTTATATAAAAAATTATTATTGCAAATTCATAAAAAATAATATATATACCATAAGGATTGATTTTTCTGAATAATGCCAAGGCTACGCCTTGGCTTGAATATAATTTTAAAAAAAAAATAAAAAATCATTTAATATAAATTTTGATATAAATATTTGGCCAATCTCCTTTTTCGCCAATAGCAAAATATTTCCTCTGAGGATGAACTGTGATGGCGCCAATTCCTCCTCCATCTTTGCTAAAGAAAATTTGTCTTTCCTGGGTCGCCACATTATAGATATGATAAGTTGTCCCAATCGCAAAAATTACTTCATTGGCTGACAGGATGTGGAAGTTGTTCCTTTTGTCAGCGTCAAAGCCAGCACACCAATGGAATTTGGAAAGCTTTGAGGATATTGAAGAGTCAGGAAGAATTTTTTCTGAATGGGTTGAAGAGTAGAAATAGTCAAGTGGGATTTTAGGGACCTCTTCTTGGGCTGACTCCTCTGCCTCGATTTCATTGGCAGGGGCTTGGTCTGCTTTGGGTAAGTTTTGGTTTTCTTCAGACGGTTTTTTGACTTCTTCCATAATTTTTATTTAAGAAATGTTTAAAGAAAGAGACGAAAACTGATTTTTAAGATTTTTAAGGCGCGGTTGGTGCTGATGGGCAATTAAAAGATAGATTTAATAAATTGGTAATAAATGGGAATTTACTTAGCTGTATACAATGTATTTCAGCTAATTGGCTGGCTTACTATTGTTTCGTTAGTAATTTTTTATGCTCCCTTTACACTTGAAGTGTATTCAGTGCCAATAATCAGGTTAACTGTGATTATTTTTCAAAATCTCATGGGTCTTGAAGTAAATTTTACTTACTCCTTCCTTACTCTGTAAATTTTTTGACTCAAGAAGATTATTTTTGATCCTTTTTTTAATTCCAATTAAAAGAAATAAAATATCAATATTAATTTTATTAAGCATACAGTAATCTAAAGGAATTTGAAAATAAATATATTGTTATATTAAACATCTCAGATAATTCCCAAAACTCAGATTTTCATTATATCTTTCAAAAGATTTAGATTTTGCACTCTTTACTTAGACTCACTCCATCACCTTTAGCCACAACCTTTATGCAAGTAGGTGGCAGGATATGCTTCGTCTGGGGCTGCATGGAACTTGAGCCAAAAGTAATTTTTACTTAGGCAGCTGCAGCCACACCTCTTTTACTTGCTTGGAGTTCTGCAGAAGTTATTAGATATTCCCACTACTTATTCGCCTCATTAGGGACCCCTACACCCAAGTTCATGCTCTGGCTAAGATATTCCGCATTTATCGTTCTTTGCCCAATGGGAATTTTTTCAGAAATCCTCTGATGGTACGCAGCTTTCCCTATTATTGAAAAATGCTGCCCAAGGGTGTATTCGATAGAAATGCCAAATGCCTATAATTTTGCATTTGATTATCTTATTATGCTCAAGATCTCTCTACCACTGACTTATATTATTGGTTTTCCTTATATTTATAAATACATGCTCACACAAAGGACACGCAAAATAAAGGAGGATTAAATAAAAAGGTTGTATGAATTAATGTAAATAAAATGGGGTTGTATTTAGCTGCATATAATGGGATCCAATTTTTAGGATGGTTTCTTATTCTATGTTTTGCTGTGGTAACCTCATTGGGTGGGCTTCAAGTTTATATGGACCCGAATTTGAGAATTTTGGTGCTTGTGTTTCAGAATTTGATGGCGATAGAGGCAATTTTTACGTAAAATTGATTAATTAATGCTATTTTTTATGTTAATGGTAAATAGGCTATTTTCTATAAAAATTGGGACTTGATGATATTTTTTATTACATTTTGGAGATATAATTAATGTAAAATAGCATAGATTTTGCATTCAGCGCTAAGAATATCATCATCTCCTTTATTCCCTACATTTATTCAAGTATTCAGCAGACTTGGAGTTGTTTGGGGAGCTTTGGAATTGGAGCCTGCTTTCTTAGTTACTACTTTAGATTTTTTAAGTGTGTTTCCTTTGTTAAGCAAGATGATTATGACATCAATAGACACCCTTTTAATTCCAGTAACTAGAAGTATCACAAGCCATCCGCTGTCTAACAAATGATTCAGCTAGGCCAGCCAAAAGTCTTCACGGGACGCGTCTCTTATTGTTGCCTCTCCTGCTTATTTTGCCTATGATCTCCCTTCAGCAACTAGATAAACCATATGCAAATAAATCCAATAATTGGGGTGGGATCCTAGCCTATGTACAAATACTTTCCCATATAGTTGGATAAAAGCTGCAGGATCCCATTGTCAAAAATTTATAGGAGAGACTATATTCTGATGATACCATTTTAATAATTATGGAACTGGAACCAACAGTAATTTTTATTACAGACCAAATGGACTGCTTCTCTTTTAATTGCTTGGGGTTGTGCTGAATCTATCAGATATTCTAACTATTTCTACGCATCTCTCGACCTAAAGCAGCCGAAATTCATGGTTTGGCTGAGATATTCAGGATTTATTGTCCTCTACCCTATTGGTGTATTTTCTGAACTTATGTGTTTATACTCAGCACTTCCAGTTATCGAAAAATGCTGCCCAAGAGTGTATTCAATCTCTATGCCGAATCCATATAATTTTAGCTTTGACTTCTTGATTTTTGTCAAGTATTTTGTCCCTCTGTTTTATGCGGCTGGTTTTCCTTTTCTTTATGGATATATGCTGACACAAAGAAAGAGAAAATTAAAAACAGAATAATTTATTGTCTGTTACTCTATCATAACAAATCTAGAAAAAAATTATACTAACTCACCCCACAGCTTTAAATCCTTTAAATTGGAACGAAACATAGGTAAAATTTGCATTTTTGGGTATTTTAACCCCCGTTTAAATTGATATAATTTTTTTACTCAATAGGAAAATTTCGGTAAAAATACTAATTTTTATAAAAAATTTCAACTAATTAAATGGAAATAGTGTTATTTAAACAGTGTGCACACTAAATCGATATTTTTTGAATTAATTCTATTAAAAAATTCAAAAAGACTTTATTTTTAAATGATTTTTTATTATTATAAAGAAAAATATTAAATTGAATAAGGATTTTTATTTAAATTTTAATGGAGGAGTAAAGATAAATATTATATATAGCTCATGCACCTTTATGGATCGACCTCATTGAAAATGTAACCGCTCTAATGGACTTCCTATCTTGTACATCTTAGAATAGACCCCTCACTATTTAGAGAAATATTTAGACTATTATAAAAAAATCCCTAGTTTTAAACTAGTTCCATATAGTTTTTATATTATTGTTTTTTTTAATAATTTGAAAAATGTTTTAAAAATCAGCATAAGATTTGGCCAAAGAAGCCAAATCATGTTTTACAATTAAAATAGTTATTATCTCTTGATATTTGAAAAATACGATTTTCGCGGTAAAATGTTTTTTGGCCCAAATATTGGAAATTAAAAATAGCGAGTCAAAAAAATTTTTGACAAGTGTGAACCATCTTGACAATTAAACGATCCATTTTAAAAATATCTTTTATTTTTAAAATTAATTTTTAATTTAAGATATGATTTTAAATAAAAAAATGGCAGATTTATAGTGACTATAGAAAAAAATGTTACCCCTCATGGAGCAAGCTCCTATGTAGAGTTAAGGTCAGGTTCAACTGCAAAGCTTAATCATTTAATATGAATTTTATTTTGCCCAATGAACTTTTTTTGCTTCGATTTAGTCTTGGAGATCTCGTGTTCGCGTTTGAATTTTTTTTATGGTATTTTTGACTTTAAAAAAAAATGGCAGAATCTTATAGTAAGTATCGGAAAAAATGTAACCCCTCATAGTGATGTTCCTATAAGGAATAATATGAAATAAATACAAAGCCTAATTGTTTAAGCTGAATTATTATTTTTTATAAAGAGCTTTTATTTTTCTCAATATCAACTAGGAGATGATGTGCTCATATTCAAATTTTTTATTAATATTCTTTAAATTTAAATATTATTTTTTTATTAATTAAATTAATTTTTAAGTTAAAATTTAAATGGACCAGCCATTTTTTTTTCAAAGTCATATCTTATTAAAAATTAATTTTAAAAAATAAAGATATTTTTAAAATGGATCGTTTAATTGTCAAGATGGTTCACACTTGTCAAAAATTTTTTTGACTCGCTATTTTTAATTTCCAATATTTGGGCCAAAACATTTTACCGCGAAAAATCGTATTTTTCAAATATCAAGAGATAATAACTATTTTAATTGTAAAACATGATTTGGCTTCTTTGGCCAAATCTTATGCTGATTTTTAAAACATTTTTCAAATTATTAAAAAAACAATAATATAAAAACTATATGGAACTAGTTTAAAACTAGGGATTTTTTTATAATAGTCTAAAATATTTCTCTAAATAGTGAGGGGTCTATTCTAAGATGTACAAGATAGGAAGTCCATTAGAGCGGTTACATTTTCAATGAGGTCGATCCATAAAGGTGCATGAGCTATAATAATAAATTAGGTAAGCTTGGAAAGAAGTTAGAGAGTTTATAAACATCAAGCTAATTATATAAATTTATTTACAAATTATTTAGGATATACTTATAATCTATTTAAATAAGAATAATTCTCTTATAATCGATTTAATTTAATTATTACTATAAATTGATAAAAAACAATAATAAAATTATAAGGAAAAGCAACAAATTTATGCCAAAAATTGATAAATAAATTTGAAAAGACTATGATTAATTAGAGTCAGAATCTGAGTCGCTTTCTTCTGTTTTTGGTGTTATCATTTTCGCTTTTACCAATCTTTTTACCAACGCTACTGTCTGAAACTCATCATTTATAGCAAATCCTTCATATCCTATAATTCTATCCCTTGAAATCCCATCCTCAAATAGCACAAGTGTCGGCAGCACTCTTATTCCAAGCCTTTCTATAAAAAACGGTGCCTTTTCCGCATTAATCGTAATAAATCTGGTTTCCACATGTTTTTGTGCAATAATTCTCAGATGGTGGTCAATAATCCTACATCTCGGGAAATCTTTGTGATAAAAATGACAGACTACTTTTTTGCTTCCAGTGACAGCAGGCAGAAACTCGTCCTGAGTGACTTCTACGTATTCTCCATGTCGTCTAACTGTGACGTTTTCTTGCATTTCTTTTCTTTTGGCTTCCATTTCGCTTATCCTTTTTCGCCTCCATTCAGCAATTTCGTCTTCTTCTTCCATTGAGCTGGCTTGATTCGTATCTTGTTGGGATGATGCAAAGGACTCGAGTTTGTCTCGTGTGGCGTCTCGAAGGGCGATGTCAGCCGCAAGCTCTGACATCAGCTTGTTAGCCTGTCCTCCCCCGGCAAGTCTATCCATTAGTAAATAAATTCAAAAAATGAAAATTATGCTTGATTATGGGGAATAAGGTTTTTTTTATAATTATTTGCTATATGCATTATTATAAGGGATAGGATTTTAATTACGCTTTTGGAGCCCAGAAATTTTTGATTTAATTTCGTGTAGCTCTTTTAAGATCTCTGTATCTTTTTCGTTGCTTTTATTATACTTTTTGGAGCCTTTAAGCTCATTTACTTCAAGCTTAAGTCTTCTGATTTCTTCTTCATAATAAAGTTTACTATGAGTACAGTACTCAAGAAGCTCATCATATTTTTGCCTTACTTCCTCACACTTAATTGAACATCCAGCAAAGTTTTTCAAGGATTGGGTTTAGATTTATTTTTTTTATTAGTTTATTATATGAAATATTTAATATATGAAAATCATTTGATTAAGGATGAGGAGTTAGGTGTAAATACCTATCCCTTTCATTTTCGATATGTGTTTGGCTTCTTTTTTCTTTTCTTTTTGAGTATCCGTCAATGCTTGATAAATTAAAGTGGTCAAGACTCTCCATTTCAGTTGAGCCTATTGAAGACTGACTTTGGCTTATGGGGATTAGGGTATCCTCAATTAAGATGGCAGAAAAATTGCTAGTGGCTAGACGCTATTGTAATTTAATATAAAAAAGGATAAAAAGAGACTGTTTCATGGTTTCTTTCCTTAGCAAAAGCGTATAGATTTTTGTTATTAGATTAAAGTTAGAATGGGTCTTCAGAGTTTGTTTCAACCCCTCTTCGCTAGGCTCCTCACCTTAAGCATCGGTTTGCACTTACGCCCTTTTTCTTCAAAGCCACAAAAGAATGGTGGCGTCACCATCTCTTGGGGAGATGAACTCGGTACTTCTTTGAACAACTCCTAACGGTCGCTATGATCTATCCGGGATGGAAACCTTCACATTCAGAAGTGTATAGTTGTCATATGGACTCTGTATTTCTTTTTTATGGTGCGGGGTAAAAATCCTGTCGTGATATCCCGACCAAGGAGGGAAAAAACACCCTGAACATAAATTCCAGACCCCGGCCCTATTAAACCTAAAAACCCTGAGGGTATGGGGGAAGGGCAAGTCGGATAATCATCATTTTATTTGTATAGATTTTTGTGAAGAAGACCTTTTGATTTTAAGGTTTGTAGGTGAAAATATTGCATTTTTTATTTTTTCAATCTCTGGAGGGTGATTTGGGAGTGGGGAGGCTTCTTGTAGAGATTCTTCAATTTTGGGGTCAGGCGAAAATAATTTCCTTTCTGAATAGAGGTGGCTTGGAATTATTAATTTTTTGTGTTTTGGGCTACCAATTCTCATGATAAGCTTGGCTGAAGGCTCAGCTTGACTAGTTATGATTCCTGGTTTCATAGTCTTAGCAAAATAAATCTTTTATGATGGCGAGATTTTTATTTGATTGGCAACCATTATGCTACAAATTGAATAAGCTATAAAAGGCCTTAAAAACAAAAATTAAAGAAATTTTCTATTAAATATTAAGGATAGTCATAGAAACTCAAAAAAAAATTATTCGAATTTGCATAAAAAAATATCTTTAGTCTGTGCATTCTATTCTAAATCATCAGGAATATAATAAATAAGAAATTTCCACCTTAAGAAAATAAAAGCTATATTTTTTTGATAATTTTTATGATTAAATTCATTTCTATCCTATAAAATATCATCTTAATAAATAAATTCAACAAGATGTCTGCTATTTACAAAGCTATGCTAGCTCCCCACCTTTAAATTTAAACAAAATATCGGTAAAATTTGCTTTTCAATAGGAAAATTTTATCTCATTAATTTATATATTTTTATAAAATAATTTTTTTCACATTTTTAAAATTTTTTTTTTTAATTTTTATAAAATGAGTTTAAGCCTAATTTAATGAAAAAATTCAATTAAAATGATATTTAAAGTGTTTTAAAAATGAATCGCTATTTTTCTTCATATTAAAATTAAATATCTGTGCTTTATTTATATTTTTTTAAAAATTTTAAATAATTTTTTTAAATTAGTTTTGAACTAAAGCGCAAGTAGAATGCTTTCACACTGATTTATTTTTTAATTATTTCTTCATAAAAAAATAAATTAAAATTCAAAGTATTGTGCTCATTTATATTTTTTTAAACTTTTAAAAAATTTTTTATGGAGAAAATTTATATGTAATTTTTATGAAAAAAAAAAAGTTTGAATTGGAATAGTAATTTTTGTTCCAATTTAAAGGGTGAATTAAGTAGATATTTCGAATTAATTTATCTTCTTGACTCTTGCTGAGCTATACCTGTAACTCTCATGCATTTTGCAAGCTCTACGACTTCAACTTGGCATTTTCTCCAGTCTTTATGCTTATTCAAGCACAATTCAAGAGTATCATGAGGACCAGCACAACCAGACTTCTCCACAATTGCCCTTGAATCGTTATACTTTTCATTCCCTTCTTGTATTTTATCACACATAAGTATAATTATATTTAAAAATGGAATTTCAATATTCTGCTTCAGAAATTGTTTATTAAGTATCTTAAGTTTAAATATATTAAATACCCTATTTTTTCCTTGTAGGGGACCTTGCTAAATTTTCAAAAACTCCCATCATTGCTCTTGCCTGCTTCGGAGACGCAGACTCTTGAGATTTTAGGCCAGCTATTTTTCCAATTGACATTATCCCGCTTTTCTGTGCAGCTATATCCTGTCTTTCTATCTCAATCGGGGTATAAATGTCCACAAATTCCTCAATTCCAGTAAATCCTCCTCCAATTCTGACAATTAGCCTATTATTTTCAATTTTCATATTGATTTTTCTAGTCCCAAACAAATAGCTACCAGGCTCCTGCCTCACAAACTGCACTGGTTAAGTTAGTTAATTAAAGAAAGGCGCTAGCTATAGCGGTGAAGCAGTCGCTAGAGACCTCTATTTGGGATGCTCATCCATTTTGTGGCAAAATGCCCAGTAGGTCTAGCTTTAATTTTACAGTTGTCTCCCCTTGGCTTGAGGCTTAAGTATTGAGTGGGTGACTTATGGATTCTGTGCCTATATGGCTCACGATTGGGATTTGTTTGGTTTAGGGATTAGCTACTTGGAGTCTATTGGGTCCCAAAGCACCTTCCTTCGGCAGCTGCAGGAAAAAGACTGTTCGCCTATGCCAGAGCTGAATCCCCTTTTCTCAATATGATGCCCTATGGTCCGGCCCAAAGGATACTAATGGGTGCCTCCATTATCAACCACAAAAAAGCAGCCAAAGCCTACCCAGATATATTTGCTGAGGCTGCACTTGTTTTCTCAGCTTGAAGAGTGCAGGTTACACCTGGCACTATTTTTAATTTATTAAAAACTGCACTGGTACTGGCACTTGCCTAGAATTTAAAAAGTCTGCCAGCGCTATATCAATATTATCATCTTTTCCAGGAACATAAGGTGGGTTTCTCTTCTTAATTTCTCCCATCTGCCCTTTCAGCCCATCTAATTCGCTATCTTTCGTATCCACTGCATCAATAAGCTGATCTAATTTTTCCGCTTGTTCATGGATTTTTTCGCCTTCTTTAACTAAATACCCAGCCCCAGCTTCTAAATCACGTAAAACGGCATCTCGGGACTCTAAATGCAAAGAATGCAGCCTTGACAAGTCTTCAATCATCTGAGAAAGGTCAGCTCGTACACAACAAACTTGTTCAAGGGTGATTTTCTTGCAGGAAGACTGGAAAAGCTGCCGTCTAAGCTCAATGATTTCTTGTTCTTTGGCTTCAATGGTGGATTCTATAGTAGAAAGAGACTGAGAAAGCTCTTGTTTTACAGAAAGCAAGCTTTCTTGTCGCGTTTTAAGCTCTTCTGACTGGTGTCGGAGCTGCTCTACTAGTAAGTTAAGCTTCTCTTGGATTTCGTTTCGTTTTTGGGACTCTAAATGGAAGCTTGTGAGTGCATTTTTATTGGTCTGCTCTAGCTCGTCATGGTTTTCTAGCTTCGCCTTAAGCGAATTTAGTTGGGTTTTTAGCTCATTATTTTTTTTAGAAATTTGGTCAAAATTGCCTGAAACTTCACCAAGTTTAGCCTTGATGAGGCTTTTTTCTTCTTTGAGATGCTCGATTTGGCTGAGATTCCTCTGGTGGGCTTCGTTCAATTCTTGATGGGCTTGGTCTACTTTTGCTTTAAGTTCAGCTTTTCTTTCTGCAGTCTGGTTAGCTAAAGCTTCAAATTCTTCTAATTCTTGTCTGACGTCTTCTCTGTACATTTTTTCAGCTTCTAGTCTTATACCTATTTAAATTAATATAAATATTAGCATTTTTTGTATGAAAATGGGAAGAATTGTTATAAATTGACATAAATTTTCTCGCTTTAAATCGCCGCTTTGGGCTTTTAGCCCGTCCAGCTCGTTTTCTAGCTTTCTTGCGTTTTCTTGTTTTTCTATTAAAATAGTGAAAAGTTCCTTTTTTTTCTTTTGTAGCTCATGAAGCTCTAATTCTTTAGAAGTCCATTGCTCTTTTTTGCCTTCTGTCTCATTTTGTGAGCTAATTTCTAGATTTCTTCGTTTTTCGATATTTTGGGTCAAGTTCTCGCGCATTGCAGGAAGCTGGGATGCTATTATACTGAGGTGTCTGGCTTCTTCACAGAGAGATTTTACAATTTGTTTGAGCTGGGAGCCACTGTAAGTTTGAAGCCTTTCTATAGTGATTTCGTCAAGCCTAGGGTTTGTGAACTCAGCTTCTCCTGCTTCAATTTTGGCAGGGGAGTCTGGTTCTAAGGAAATTCTTATTAAGTTAGACTGGTCTGTTTCTCCAGCAATTTTTCTGATTTTTCAGATCTCATCTAACGTATCTCGAGGTGCATCTTTGCTGTGGGAGAGCTTGTCGAGGTAAGGACATTTGGCTTCTTTATAAGCTTTGCTAGATCTCCTGGAGTGGGAGCTGGCTGGGGTGATTATTTTTGGGATCTTTTTGTCATTGCGGCCAAGCGTTGCTCCGATTTTTAGTTTTAAATTCGTGGTTTCTGTGTCTTTTTTAAGCCTGAACCATTTTTCAACTGTTCCAAGCAGTCCTTTTCCAAACAGAGTTCCTAGAGATACATTGGAGCTTCCTATCAATTTGTCGCCTTGGTGTAGAGACAATGAAAGTTTGGTCTCAATCGCAATGTCATCAAGCTTGGCCGTTATCAAACCTTTTCCTTCAATTTGTTCTTTGACATCTCCTAGTTCAATTTTTAACACTGTTTTGCCATTTGGTGCTCCAGTCACATCTTTCAATTCTAACCGTAACTCAAAAAGTTTCTTTTCTTCCATTTTTAACAATTATTTAATTAATAAGATTTATTAATATCGAGATTTTGGGATATTAAAGAAAGATGAAATCATTTTCTGCGTCTTCTGAGCTGCTTTCTCCTGAGCTTTCTTTGATAGCTTTCATAAATTTCATCATTTGGATTTGCTGTTCCTTTACTATCCATTTCAGTTTATCATTGCTCAAAGACAGCTTATCAACCGTAATTAAAGTCCCAAAAAATCCTTGGACTACTAAATTTGCAGTCTCCAAAGCTTCTTTTGGGATATTTTTGTCTATTAGTGACGAAATTAAATTCGAAATCACCCCAACAGTCATAGACTTTTTCAAATCTTTTATAATTTTGACTATTTTTCCACATTCTCCATCTTTTACAAGCCTCGAAAAAGCCAGTCCTAGAGATTCTTCGTCAGCTTCTATATCAAGACTTAATATTTGGTCAATAATTCTATATAAATCATATATTGAGCTAGAAGAATTCGCTGAAATTTTCTTTAAAAACATATTCCACCAGCGGTTTGCTGAGTTTTTATGAGCTTTTACTGATATTTCTAATGTCGTGTTGAAGGCTAAATCAACGACTCCACGTGAAATTGCTCTATCAAAAAATTCATCCCATAGCTGAACTGAGTCTAATGAAGGGTATCCTAGCATTTTAAAGCATTGGCTTGTATGGGTTAAAGCATCTTTTCTAAAAAAATATTTTATAACAGTTTCTCAAAATGAGTCAATAAAAGGGATATTACTATGGCTGAGCTTAAGGATCAAATTAAAAGCTTGGTCAAAACCTCCAACCTCTATCGCTGGCTTAATATAAGCAAGTGTAGTTTTTGCATCTTTTATGGTGCCGTTGTCAATGTAACTGATCATAACTTCAAGTCCTTGTTCAAGTGTCCCAATCCTTAGCAGGCCTTTGATGGCTGATTCGAAATCATCAGGATATAAGCAGACTGATAATTTTTCTATTGATTTTAAGATTTGGAGTGCAATTTCAGACTGTTTAGCTTCAAGAGATCTGAGTAGAGGTTACAATTGGACTAGAGAATAGATTAATGGGAGATCTGAATCAATAAGCTCATTTTTTCGTCTTTGCAGGGTAAGTGCAGCTTCTGCGTACTCGTTTAGGTCGATTAGCTCGTTAAGTCTAGATTTTAGGCTCATCAGATATTAATATAAGAAACTGACAGATAATAAAATCCATTTATGTTTAATTTAAAAAAGAGGTCTTAAGATATTGCTTGATAAGAAATATAATAAATAAAATAGTTTGTAAAACAAATACTAGTAAAATTCGAGAAGAATTTAGTAGTTTTTTGCAGTCATATTAAAAGCTGCATCTTGATATTTAATATTTAATTGCATTAAATAATAATTTTTTAGATAGGCATACTAGAAGTACTTCCTACTGGAGTGGCAGTTGTTATCGTTACTCCTTGAGTTAGGCCAGAGCCATATTCAATATAATTTTGAGCTGAATCTTGTGTAGCAGCAGCTGTGATACAGTTATAAGTGCCTGGTGAAGCTGGAGGGAGCACATGATAAATAATAATTTGGATAGATCTGGGTGAAATAGCAGCAAAGCTTGTGATGACTAAGCTAGTTGGCGAAATTGTACAAGAAATGGGATAATTAGTATCCATATCATTTATCCCGATAGCAGAGCACTTACTTAAATTATATCCCCAAGACGAATCTAACCAAAGAGTTATAATGCCATTTTTCGGGACTCTATTTAAAGTAGTCAGTGATATTGTCATTGTTGAATCCACAGAGTCTGGGCCAGATGCTGAGATTGAGGATACAAAGCAGTTGACGGACATATCTGTAATTGATCCTGTAGTAACTGTACCTGTAGCAGCAGTTGTTCCTGCAATTCTACAATCTCCCCCAACATCATAGGTAGGAACAGCAAAAATATTGAAATTAACAATATTAAACAGGTGATCTGCTCCAGCATATCCAGGTGCTCACTTCCCCTTGTCCAGAACCTGCAAAACGATTAGAAAAATCTACACTTTTAGAATTAGAGCCCTGTTACTGCGATTGATGCTCCTGCTGTTGGAATGACACAATTGTAATCAAGACTTCTACCCATTACAAATCCGCCAATCATATAATCATTACTATTTGAAGCATAATAAGTTGTAGACGCTGCTACGCCTCCAACTGTAATTGTAGGTGTAAAGGTGCTAAAGCCCTTGGGAAGTCCAACACCAATATAATGTTGTGGAGTGAGTGGCATTGCAATTGTTGCGTCATTAATAGCAAAAGTAGAAGCTGACGAAACTGCTCAAGAGCTTGATGCTGAGCCGGATGTCAACGGATTAGTTTCAATATTTGATACTAAAGCAACATTGGAAACAGTACTCTTATATAAATAATTTTTGAGATCTGGATAAGAATCTGTGATGTAGTAAAGATAAGTTGTATTCCATTGTTATATATATGTCTCGGATTGGGTATTAATCCCCATACTGGTTTTAGCAGCTTATTCATTATGAAACGTCGAAAATAAACAGATAAATTTATTTCTTCGAATAAGATGAAATTTTGACATAAAATTTTCCAATTTTTTGAAACGATATGCTAGCAGATTCACAGACAACTTTTGAAGAAATTCCAAAATTTGTATCAGGCACAATTTCAATAATATCTGATTTTCAAAGACTTTTACTAATAGTAAAATCAAAATAAAAACCATCAGTTGATCCTATTTTTGGGCTTGAGTTTCCATTAGCATTTGTAACAGTAAGCGACTGGCTATAAGGAGCGCTCTTAAGGGCTATATAACCAAAAATGTAATTAACATCATAAATTTTCCCAGTTGATGTAGATCTTGTCATAAGTGAAAAAGGCCCATAAACACCTCCAAAAGATACAGAAATAGAATTAGGGTAAACCAAGGTGATATCTTTATTACTATAAAAATCTGAATCAATATATCAAGGACCTCCACTAATGCCAGCCGGCAGATTTATTTGAAGAACTCCACCAATAAGCTTAGTGCTTACTCTAAAAGTAAACGTTAGCTTAATATTAGTGTCAGTGTTGCATTGGGAAGCTTGAATTGGACTGCTAACTCAAATGCCTGATGGTCATAAAATTCTACCAGGAGTTAGACTGTGAAATGCACTTCCTATTGAAATTCCAGCTGCTGATATACATAAAGCAATAAAGCCAATCAAGATTTCCATATTATAAGCCTGTAGAAGCTATATTATTTTTAAATATATAGAATAAATAAAATGACAATATTCACTATAAGAATTACTTATAGAAATTGCCCGAGGATGGCGCTATATTGCGCCATCCTCCTCGGGCAATTGGAGACACGGCTCCACACGGGAATTGTGTTCCACGTGTGGAGCCATTTTTCCACGTGGGAAAATGTGGATTCCACACGTGGAAAAATGGCTCCACACGTGGAATACGGTTCCCGTGTGGAGCCAATTTTCGCTTGCCCTAGGATGGCGCCATATAGCGCCATCCTAGGGCAAATCCTATATTTTTAAGCAGAAAGAAACTTCTGCCTTCGCTTTTAGGAGAAATCAGTGGAAGCTTACGCTCATCTGTAAAGCTGTCATCACTAATTCCAGTATCTTCTTCAGCTTTGCTAATCCCTAATGCATTTTTCTTTACATTAATTAAGCTGTTTTCTATCCTTTTCATTTCTTTTATCAAATCTTTTTTTCCTTCAATTTTTGGTAATATTGGTACTGTGGCGAAATTTAGCATTCTTGGCTTGTGCTGCTTAGATTTCATAAAAGCTCTTGGAGACTTTGTTTTAATAGCGCTTTCTTCATCAATTGTCTGCTGGTTTCTATATGTGCTTACCTCTGATGATGTTTTTTCAAAAGATTCTTCATCAGATTTACCGACTATACCAAGTCATATATTTATTTACTATAAAAATTTTATTTATATATAGCTTTGGAGTCTTTTTAACACCCTAACACCTTTTAGTCCTAACTTTCTTAATAAAGCCCATTGAAAGTATGCCAGATTGAGACTAAAATAATACCCATATAGGGTGCTAAAAAGCACTCCAAAGCTATATCTAAATTCACTCATACATTCTTTTATAAATCTTCAGTATTTTCCACACTATTAAACTTCACCTCATTTATCTGAAATCTCTGCACAAATGCATCATATTCTTCTTTCAGCGTCGCTTTCTGCTTTGGTATATTCTGAAACTTATGCAGCAGTATTAATTTTACCAAATCAGAAAAATTTTTAATATCAGCAATATTCGGCACTATCAAGCCTTTTTCATTTTCCCTCAATTTTGCTATTAAAAGGATTTGCTGCTCCATGGTCATACTTTTGGAGTCAATTATTGCAGAAATTTCTTTATCCGCAGCTGTAGTATTTATTAAAAGACCTGATAATGCTTCTAACGTAGTAGTCAGCTGCTTTTTTAAGTTTCGGTGAGCTAATACGGAAAGCTGGCTTAGATTTACGATAGCGGAAAGCTGCCCTGAGTATTGGTCTCTGCAGTCTCTAAGGTATTGATATATAGTTTCATTGTCTAAAAAGTACCTCATTATCGTATTTTCTAATATTCCTGATACAAAACTCTGGGCAATTGTAGGAAATCCTGGGAATATTCCTAGATATAGGTCTTGGAGGTCGGTTTTGTTGAGATTTTGGAATTTTATAGATGAGATTGTCTCTTCGGGCTTTAAGGAGAAGTCTCTGGTGATTGGGGAAGATGCGAAAGTGCTTTGTTTTCTTTTATTTGCATTAGCGGGGAGGATTATGACGGTGTTTCTTTTATCGTTTTTATTGGGTCTTGGGGTGGATTCAGTTTGGACATCTTTAAACATAGAAGGTATATGCAAAATGTAATCTTGGAGGACCTCAGGATGCCCATAGCACTGCTCTTTTATAAGCTCTAGCTGCTTTTTTACTCTTCAAGCCAGCTGATAAAAAAATTTCAAGGAAAAAACTATTATTTGCTCATATTTTCCAATTAATTCTTCTTTAGATACTGAATTTATTGTATCCTTTTTATAATGAATTATCAATTTTACTATTATATTATTACCAAAATGCATTTTATTTTAACAGGCATATCTAAAGAAACCAGAAGTCCTGTATAAGTTTCGACTTCAAAGGTCTCATTTTTTGTTAATTTTCTTGTCCTTGACCTAAGCTCTTGAATATTCCCACTAAGCCCTGGGTCTTCTTTCAGCTCAGACAGCTCCAATGCAGTTTCATCACAAATTTGTCTAAGCTGATACTGGTCTGCTGCAAGCCCAATAAACCGGATTTGAAGCCTAGATTCCATAGAAAGCATGTTTTCGAACGCTTTGAGAATATCTTTTGGAGAGAATTTATCCACTTTTTCTGGGCTAATTGATAAGCATTTGGATTCTTTAATTATTTTTTTTATTTTTTCAAAAATTTCAGTGTAATATTCCAGCTGATTTGCATAGCTTTGTTTATGCTGCTTTTCTTGGTCGAATTCAGTTAATAGTTTTCCGTACTCGGATTTAAGCATTTCGTTTTTCATTTCATTTTCTTCCAATCCTATTGCTGATTCAGGATGATTTTTATTAAATTATTTTTAAAAAATTAGGGCTTAAAATCATTTTAAAAAAAAATACCCATGATTCAGCGACTTTATGAACTAAAGCTTCTACCTCTTTTTTAAGATGTGCTCCTTTCGATCTGATTCCTTCAATTTTTTGCACCCTGCTGGAAGACTGTTTTTTAATTTCTGTCTTCAATTTCACTACATTATCATTTGCTTTAATCAGCTCATTTTTTGCCCTAGCTGTAGTGTCCTCAATCTGCCCAGTATATTTATCAATCCCTTTATTCATAGCTTTACAGTCAAGAAACCTTTCTCTCTGATAAATATAGTCCTCTTTTTCTTTCTTTTGCATACTTTCTAATTGTTCTGTTGTGCATCGCTCCTGAGTAATTTGTATACATTTCCCTATAAATTCTCAATTTTATTTATTATTTTTTTTATTTTTTAATTATTTTTGTATATAGAATAGTTCCACTTTATTAATTTCGTCCTTAAGCCTTTCTATCAATTCTTGCTGTTCAGAAATATAGACCTGGTTCTTTGAATACAGCGTACTTTGCATATCTTTTAAAGATCCTGATACAAAACTGAGACTTGGGTTCATCTCAGATGCGTCAGTTGCTTTCTTTTTAAGAAACTTCGCTGTCGTCTTAAGGTCATCTAGTATTTGCAGCTTTTTTTTGTTGTGATAGTGCACCTGGTTGTATAGTTTTTTCAGCTTGACGATCTCTTTGTCTTCGGTTTTCTGCTCAGATGTGTTTAATTTTAGTGACTTTTCGAACTCCTGCATTAGGCTTTCTTCTTCTTTTTTCAGTCGAGATTCTCTTTCTTTTTGAAGATAAGTTTTATTAGCGTTTTCAGTCTGAGAAAAGAGGATGTCAGGTCGAAATAAACCGATATTGCTCATGATTATAATGGTAAAAAAATTGAAAATTTAGATATGCTATAATATTTATGAGTAGATTTAATAAGCAAAAATACTATGCTGGATTTATTTTTAAAACTACAAGAACTTGATCATTTATATAAAATTTAGATAAATTTGTATAAAATTAAGTAGAATTTAGTGAACGGTAATTTTAAATTGATATTTTAATAATATTTTAAAAAATAAGCATTAATTGAAATCGAATTTAAATAAACATACAAAGCAGCCCATAAATCTTAACCCTAATAATTTTTCATAAATAAAGTTTTAATTATTGATAAATAGAATTGTATTAGCTATTTTTTCTTGCTTTCTAAAATATGACATCCTTATAAACCCTCATTATGGAGCTCATTAGAAAAAGAATTCACAGGCTCAAAAAACTTATCTTAGGTATTTTTTTTCTTGGAATTTCTCTTTATTGAATATTTGCTGTTTATATTGATTTATACAATTCAGAAGCTTCGACAATCGACAATCCTGAACAGTCAACACAATTTATGGAAGCCTTATTTTATGATACAACTACACAAGAAGAAGCATCCTATAAGAATAGCGATGCAAATATTGGAAATCATCAAATAGACGACATAAATTCTCCAAAAAATAACTTATCTAGCCATAATGAAGCAGCAGCAATTATCCAAAATTTAACTGAGTCTACATTACCTTGCCAAAACATTAGCATATCTAATCCATTACACGAAAAAATAATTTCTTTACCTTTACTTCCAAGCATAAATCTTAAAAATCCCAACATTACTTGTAATCCTCCCATATTTAGTTATAAACCTAGTCAAATTGCCTTAAAATTCCCATATGCAAAACGGAAATTCAGCTGTGGGGAAGAGGGTGATATTTTTATGATCCAAGAAAATAATATTACAATAAATTGTGAAGAAGGCGAAAATCCAGAAATAAGTTTAGGGACAGATCCTGAAGATGAGCTCCTTGAAAGCCCGCTTGCACCAAAATGGAAAGCTTATAAGGATGCTCAAGATATAGGCAGAACTGAATTTGGGTTTGCTAAATGTGGGAGCGATAAGAGACAAGGGTTTCTTCATAATAAATTTTCTAAATCTGCTTCTAAAAGAGCACAAGAAAGACGAAAAGCAACAGAGAAGAAGGCAAAAATGACGGAGCCTTCAAAGCCTTTGACTGTTTTAGTTATAGTTTTTGACTCTGTATCAAGACAGCATTTTTATAGAATGCTGGCTGAAACAGTTAGTTTTATGAATAACAGCATAGCATCTGGGGCATATGCTGAAAATTTTGCTCTATATGATTTTCAAATTGAGCACTCTATATATATAAACACAATGTCAAATATTATCCCTTTACTTCTTGGAAAACCAGAAGAAGATGCCAAAGCAAAAGTAAAAGGCTTAAAATTAGCGAATAATTATCAAGAAGATTTTGCTAAAAACCAAAAAGATGCGCTTTGGAAATATTATGAAAATTTTGGATTTGTGACTATGTTTGGCTGGGAAAACAGGTCAGGGTGGCTGTCAAAGATTATAGGGAGAAAAGTGCTAGCAGACCATGTTGTAAATAATTTATATAGTTCAGCAGGAAAATTATCCCATTTATATATAAATAAAGTTTTCAATGCTGAAGCTAGCTTGTTTTACCTTTAAAATAAGCTATAAATATTATCTAAAGTAATGCAAAATAATATAGTAGGCCTCTGCTTAGGATGTTTAAAAGAAATGTGCCTAGGCAATCATTATTCTCACCAATATTTATTCAACTACACAAAAGAATTTATAGAAAATTACAAAGGCCATCACAAATTTGCATATAATCACTATGATACTGGACATGAGGACACAGGATCAGTCATAAAAACAGCTGACAGCGACTTAGCGTCTCTTCTAAAAGATATTTTAGATTTTCACTCTAAAAATAATGAAGAATTAGCACTATTTTTAACCTCAGACCATGGCTTAGGCGTAGGTATTTGAAGTAGAAATGAAGAAGGTATAATGGAGCATTTGCTTCCCTTCAATTTTCTAATAGCAAGTAAAAGCCTAATAGAAAAACTCGGCCCAGACACTCATGAAAATCTCCTCCACAACACCCAGCATTTAACCAGCAAGCAAGATACCCATTTATCACTAAAACATCTAGCTTATGCTCCCTATAAAAAAATCACCAAAAAATCCCAAGAATATAAAAATTTAAAAAATGGCCAGACTGCTTTATCTTTATTTTTAGAAAAAATTAAAGATGATAGAAATTGCAAAGATATCGGAAGTGGCTTGGAATGGTGTGCTTGCTTGGATTATAAAGAGATTAGCCTTGAAGATTATAAGGATTTAGCTGAAAGAATTGCAGATCAAGGAGCGATAGAAATTAATAAAAAACACAAAAATGAAAGGGTCACTTATTATTGTGCTACTATTGAGGTTGGAGAAGTTATTGAGATTAAACGTGAAAATATAGAAAATGTGAAAGGAAAATACAGCGGAGTTTATAAAGTAACTTTTTCTGAAAAAAATCACCCAAATTATATGGTGACTGTAATAGCTATAGTGCTGCCTAGCGATGAAGCTGAAAATTATGAAGAAGAAGGATACTGATATACAGGATATGCGGCAATAAAATTAGATTTTAATGGAAAATTACTATCTGTCCGACCTATTCAATTGATAAGAGCTGATGAAGATGAAGATTATTGTTTGGAATGACTATCAAGTTTTCGCTGGTGGAAGCGGTTTTGTCTATGTACAAGCTCAAAAAACTATAATATTACGTCAACTCCTTCGCAAAAAGATAAGAATTTTTATGAAAAATTACTAAAAATTCCTTATATGGTAATAGGAGAAAGCGGAAAGTCTTGCAATGAAGCGTGCAATAAGGAAAGTAGATTCTGCCAAAAATGGGGACTGGAAGTAACAAATAATATTGAGCTTTTAAAAGAGCCATGGAAAAATCAAATAAATTCGTATAAGATACTTATGGATGGAGAATATAAGTGGCTTAAAGATTTAAAAATCAAGGATATAGAAGCTGGAGATGTGCCTGGCTTGAAATACCAGAACGGAACTTATAGATTTGTCCAAGGAAATTGAGACAACTTAAGCTGTAATTCTGAGCAAGAAGGCGTAAGACCAATTTGCGCATGCTCTGCACACAAAATAGAAGTCTCGTAATAAATTAAAATTTTATAAGCTTTAAATAATCCTTGAACGATAATTAGCAATCCCAATTTTAAAAATTATGATATTAAAATGTTTCTTTAGCGTTTCATTCTTTAAATATAGAAAATTTAATTTATATAGTTTTTAAAATCATAACATAATCTATTAATTTGATTATTTTGCTTGAATTAGCCTCATATACTTTGACTGTATCATCAGCTTCTTTGATTTATGTATACTCTTCTCCTATTAATTACCCATTAAACGCAGAGATTGGAGAAGCTGCTTGAGTCAACTCAGGCTTGTCAAAATTTCTAAATATAGGCCCATTTGCCAATTCTCCAGTTGGTTTGATTACTCTTTCTACGTGAAATTTTCTCTCTCCAATCTCCTGCCCTTACTAGGCAATTGATAGAAGAAAAGTATATATACTTATCAGCTGTAATTTCTCCATCCATAAACTGTTTCCTCAAGTCCTGCAGCTCCTGGTTCACCGCTGTCTCTTTTCTCTTCAAATCTTCAACAACCCCTTGCTGGTCCACTCTTACTGAAATCTGTTGACTTTCATTCACCAGTCTTCCAAACTGTTTTGTCAGCTCATCAATTTCGCTAATTTTGCTTCTATTTTCATTGACGATTTTATCTATTTCTGCCTTTTTTGATAAAATAAATTCTGTCTTCTCTATGACCTCATTTAAAAGCTTATCCCTTTCTTCTGTGAGATTGATAGCTTTTTGGACCCTTGTATATATGACATCTCTCATATCTTCTTCATCTTCTACAGGCATTGGATTTTTGCGTGTTCTTAATTAAAATAAATACAGGAATTTTTTGAATAAAATTAATTTTTATAAAAAAATATAAGGAAATGGTATAAAATTTCTGTGAAGTTTGGCAAGTCTTCTTGTTGAGGAGGCTTTATACGTGGAGGATCTTTCATAAATGCAGAATGGATATTTTGGATGACTGCTAGAAGAGGGGTTCTGGATGTCCAGATTTTTTCTTCTGGGTAATTAATTTTGAAATTTTCACCAATTAGGGCATGCTCGACTGGAGAGGCTACAAAAATAGAAGGAGGGGCGGAAGGAAATTGTTTTGGGAAATAAAGTGAAATATATAGTGCACCCATTTGGAGCTGTAATAAAATTTCGTAGCCTCCGTTGTGGCCTTGTCGGATTTCTGGGTAGCGCTGCCTGATTTGTGCCATGGCCTGATGCTCATTGCTGATAGTCCCTGGGTAAGCCATTTATTAACTCCCCCCCCCCTCCGTGAGTGAACAAAAAAATTTTGTTCACTCACGGAGGGGGGTTAATTTTTTTTTTTAAAAAAATTTATATATAAATTTTATAAAAAATATTTTTTTTCGAAATTTAAAAAATCCTAATTCGCAAAAATTGGAAAGCAAATATTAATTTAATTTATAAAATTTATGTTTTAAAAAGCAATTTGTTTAAAATTAAACAGAATTAGCTCTAGATTTTCATTATACTAATTAGCATTTATATATCTAAATTTTTTTCATTTTTGTTCACTCACGGAGGGTGGGTTTTTTTGGGCAAAAAATAGCGATTTTTCTAATGGTTTTGTTCACTCACGGAGGGGGGGGGAGTAAGCTAAATTTTATTTGCAAATCTAGTAGACTAAATATTCAGTTTTTATATTTTCTTAAAAATTGATAATGCAGCTCTCTATTATGATAGAAGCTCTTATAAGTATGATTTATACTAATTAAGATGCATTAATTAAAACATTCTGCAAGTTGTAGATGACTGCTGCATTTCGCTCTTCTTTGCCTGTTTACTCAAGCTTTTCAGCTTCCCCATAATCTTTTTCCTGTCTTTTACTCCCTCGATCCCTATTTCATCCTTCAGAAGTTTTTCATTTATAATAAACTTTGATTTCATCTGCTCAACTAAAAATTCCAATTCATCATATCCCGCTTCATAAAATTTTTCATATAAATTCCCCAGTCCTAACGACTCTAATATCTCTTTTAGCGTTAAATCATTATGCTCTATTTTTGGGAAAATACAGCATTTCCAGAACGTTGACTCAATAATAATGCTTTCGTTTACATATGAATTATTTAAAAATTCTTCTGGGGAATTTTTTGCTTTTTCAAGCATAAAAAGCAGCCTTTTCTGATGCCCTGGCTTAGAAATTCCAATATTTTTGAGCATTTCTGCAGTTAGTGGCAAAGGCGTGCTCATTTGGTTTATTAGGCTATCAAAATCGTCAAATCCTGCATTTACTAAATTTGAAAAATAAATGTCAAGCTTAATGTTTATCAGAAACTCGTAAAGTTTGTCGTTTTCTTTTACCAAAATAGAAATTTCTCGGCTTCCAGGCTGAGAAATTGATTTTTGGTTAGCCCCAAGAGTGGTGTCAGCTGTTCCACAAGATTTGAGGTATTTTGAAAAAGGCGTCGGAGGACTTGAATAAACCTTGTTTGTAGGGCTCATGGCTATAGAAGCTAAAGAGGACTGGCACTGTAAAGATGGTAAGCTTGAAATATGCTGATTTACCATAATTACCCTCAAAATGATAATTAATTAAATTATCAGATAATTCATAGGAATTATCATATCTTCTTCGCTAGACCTGGCTTCTCTTATAGCACAAAGCCCTGTATAGGTAAGCACACTAAAACTGTTCTCTTAGGCTTGCTCATTCTCAGCTACTAGGAGACATAGCTAATCACCTTCAGCTGAATAGTCAACTACAAATTAACAAATCAATATAAGGATCTGGTTTTGTCAAATGGAATTGACTTATTATCTGAAAGTGATGAACTAAATCTCCAAAATACTCAGCAACTGCAAGCACAAGGACACGAATGCGTGCCAACGCTATATTAGCATCATATTCCACATTTTCACTTCAATCATCTAAAATTTGTTGAATTTTTTGTATCTTAGCTAGGCTTGAAGGAGTATTCCCTTGCTTATCTTTTATATCAGGATTTGCACCATGAGAAAGCAAAAGCTTGATAATTTCTAAATGGCCGTTTTCTGCTGCAATGTGCAAAGGGGACTGGCCCAATTGAAAATTTAAAGAATTTGGGTCCGCATAATTTTGTAGTAAAATATTGACTGTTTTGGCATCTCCTCTATATGTCGCGTTGTGTAAAGGAGTTTCGCCTTCTAGATTCGCATTTTTGGGGTCTGCCCCGTGGCTTAGAAGAAGCTTGACGGTGTCATATTCAAAATTATCAGCTGCTATGTGTAATGGGGTTTCCCCTAGGTTGTTTGGAATATTTGGGTCGGCTCCTAAATGCAAGAGAAATTCTGTTTTTTTATAGTTATGCAGGCTTGCATTGTAAATTAATATATTAAACTTTATTTTAAAACAAATTAATTCATGGGAAATTTGTATATTTGACATTACTGAAGAAAAAAGCTGTGTAGAGCCTAAACGGCTATCCTGGCGGTTCAAATACTCTGGATCAGACTTAATTAGTTCTCTGATTTCCTCCCGTTTAAACTGTAACAAAAAATCTGTTCCAATTTAAAGGTCGATTTTTAAAAGCAATTATTCTAATATTTTTTAAAGCTAATGAATGTTTAAATTTTTGAATTTTAAATTAGTTTTATGAAGAATTAAATTTAAAAAATTATTGATTCAGTGTGAAAACTATTCAAATAATATCCTAATTCACCTTTACACTTAAATTAGTATTTTTACCTATAAAATTTTCCTATGAATTTTGTTCCAATTTAAAGGGGATTAAAAAGTACCCAAAAAAAGCAAACTTCACCGATGCTTTGTTCCAATTTTAAAGGGGGGAGTGAGAGAAGCAAATTCTTCAGAGGATGCATTTAGTGAACTGTTATCATTGTTTGTGGTTCCTTCATTTTCAATACTTTGCATTTTGTATTAAAATGATAAATAATGGAGTTATCAAGATAAAAAAGTTAGATTATTAGTAAATATAATAAGAAAACCAACAAAATTGTAGCTATGATTGAGGATTTATTAATTCCCCTTTGCTAGTTAATAAAATTCCTTGCTCGCAATACAAGGGTTAATTTTTTTAAAGCGATATTAATGTTTTTAAAATAATCCATAATTTAATTTATAAAAATTTATGTTTTCCATATATTTTGCTTTTATAATATTCAATTATATATTAAAATAAATTTTATTCCAAACTAAACATATTCAAGTAATTTTGCTTGCTAACCAAGGGTGATAAATTATCACCAAAAAAATTTTTATAATTGTTTTTTGCTAATTAAGGAGGACTAAGTATTTTAATGTCTTCTTCATAATTTTTGTGTTTTTTGGGGAGGGGGTTTGAATTTAAGTGCCTTGGGGAGCTTACAAATAGTTTGCGGTATGAATATAAAAACGGTTGGATTTTTATTTCTCGAGTGATTACAGATTTTTTTCTTAGTTTTTGCTCAGCTATTCCTATATTTTTTCTTATATTTTGTATATGAAATTCACAGTCTCCAATATCCTTTTTTATAATTGTAATATTTTCTTTTATTTTCAATTTATCGTCAGATATTTGTGAAAACTTAAGCTGAAGCTTCTTCATTTTTTCTGACTCCTGCTTATTTTTTGCTATAACGATGATATACTTATTGTGTAAAGCTGCATTTTGAGCTCTCAAAGATAGCAATTTTTCATTTGCTTGAAAAATATAAGCATTAGCATCTCTGAGTTTATAATTAAATAAAGCAAGCTTTTTGTCATATGATAAAGCATACTCCTTAATCCTATATCTTAACAAGTTTGTATTATCAAAATTTAATACTTGCTTTCCTCTTAATTTTTCAATTTTTTGTATGTTTTCCTTTATTTTTTTGGTTAACTTTCTGATTAGTGATCATTTTTTCAAATCGTTTCAATATTGAATGTGCCAATAAGAATAGTCCAATCTTTTTCTCATTAAAATTGTAATAGAAATACCTATTTTTCGGGCTCCAAATTCACGAATTTTTATGATTTCATTTACCTCTTTTCATCTCAAAAATGAAATTTTAATTGTTTTAAAAAAAGCAGAAAATACAATTCTAGCAGCTTTTAGCTCATCCTTAGAAACACAGGTTTTGGAGATTTTTGATAATTTTGTATATAAAATATTGTTTTTTCATTGCTTTAACACATTAGAAGCTACAGATTTTTCTAGCCTAAGCTGGCTTTGGCTTATTTTTCTAGCTCATATTTTATGTGATTGGGATTTTAATAGATTTTGTGTAGAAATTTCATTTTCTTCAGCCATTGAATTTAATTTTAATCTCAAAAATGCATGAACTATAAGACTGCTTTGATAATTTTTGAGAAAATTGATAATATTCAATAAATTGATAGCATACAATTTTTCATAATTACTCTTTTCATTCAATGAGTAATTTTTCAATCTATCAAAAGCTAGCTTTATCATTAAATTGCATTTTATATTTAATTTCTCTGCTCCATTTCTAACATTTTGTTTTTTAATTATTCCTTTCTCATTTTCTGTATAAAATGATTCTACTATTTCATTTGATTTCTGCATAGCATAAATTCTTATCAATAAAAACGACTCTGACTGATTTTTCCTCTCAATAATTTTTTGGATTTTTTGGACAACTTTTATGATTTTGCATATAAGTAGCTTTTTATTCTGAAAATATTCTTTTTCTTCTATTTTTTCTCACATAATTGTTGTTTTCAGCTTGCCAAAAGATATAGAAGTTTCCTATGTTTGGCGCTGTAAGGCCGATAAATTCTGATCGGAATTTATCGGTAGGTTGCACCAAATCAATGCCTTGTCGGACCAAAAAGCGATTTGGTCCGACGAACTTGGAAAGCTCCTGGGAAAATGTCTGCGCTTTTAGCGCTATATAGAGGAAACCTCTATATAAATTTATTTGATCATTTTTTAAGCGATTCTCATTTGCATATGAGCAAAATTCCATAATTAACTTTTGATAAAGCCTGATACTTAAATTCTCTGTTTTCATTCTTTTGAACATAAAAACTTCTATACACCTGGATATTTTGGTTATTTCTAAATTTTGCTTCAATTAAACTAGCCCCTAGCTTTATCCTCATCATCCTCATTTTTTTCAATTCCAATTTAAATGCTCATCAAATAAAATAATTCCTAGCCCTACAATTTTTGAAATAATTCCTCTCCTGATTTCTATCTTCTATCGTTTTATTTTTCGCCATAACCTGCAATGTTTTTAAAACCTCTTTCCTTTTAACTATCATCACCAAATATTTGAATGTAATTTCTCTATATTTCTCTGCTGAATTTCTGTATTTATCTACCTTTAAATTAGCTTTCTTTATTTTCCCCAGTCCTTTTTTTATCCTTTCATTCCTCCTATTTTCCAAAAATTCAGCAAATTTAATAACAGCTCGATTAAATTTCTGAGGACTTAAAACTTCTGCTTCTAGAGACTCATTTGAATTTAAGCTGCTTATCTCAAAAGTAGTTGTGTTGTCAGTAGAACTTTCAAAAGGAAATTCTTCTCTTTCTCCTAACATATTTCAAGTAATGACCCTAGTCACTCTTTTGATTTCTTCATTTTGGAAGATTTGGTATTTTTCTATATTTTCTTTTAAATATTCATTAAATCGATCACCGAAGTTAGGATTTAGCTCACTTCCCCCCTTTAAATTGGAACAAACAATTTTGTTCCAGTTTAAAAGGGCAGTTAAGAAAATTTTTTTATAAAAAAAAATTCAAAAATTTATCATAAATTTGTTTAATAAAATCCTATTTACTCTTTATCCTTTAAAAAAATAAAAAAAGCAAAATATAACTAAATTTTTATTATTAGTTAATACACCACTATTAATTGGTATCAAAACTATTTACACAAAATTATTATTTTTTTTTTGATAAGAAATAAATTAAAAAAAAAAATTAGAAAATTTATCATCAAAATACTAATTTTGTTTAAATAAAATATTATTTATACTCTATTCTTTAAAATAAAGCAAAAAAAGTAAATTTTAAATTTTTGTAAAGAATTCGAATTTAATTTTTATCAAAATTATTTAAATAAAAAATATTATTTTTATCCAAAAAAATAAAAAATTTAGCAATTAAAAGATAATAAATTTATTTAAATAAGATGCCTTTTATACTCTTTTCTTTAAACAAGCGCAAGATATAACTAAAATTTTTAATTTTAGTTAAGAAGAAAGTTATATCAAAACTTTTACATAAAAATTATGATTTTTATCTATAAAATTTTTTTATTATAAAATTGAATTTTATTCCAATTTAAAGGGGGTTAATTTAAAATTTTACCTATATTTTGTTCAAATTTAAAGGGGGGAGTCAGGGGATAGAGGGTTTTCTCCGTTTAATAAGCAATCAATGTATTTTGCGTAGTTGTCGGCGTCGAAGTCTTCTATTCTTTTATCATAAAATAGATCTTCGATGTAGTTTCTTATGGATTCTAGCAGGTGAGGAGAGTTTGTGAATAAATTTCGTAGAGAATCATCGAGCTGTTTTTTCTTGTTGATAAAAGTTTGAATGTCGCTGATTTCACTTTCAAGGACTTCATATAGCATTTCTTTAATTTCAGCTTCCATTTTATATAAAATTTGCAATTTTTTAGAGTTTTCCTCTCAACTAAACACAAAAATCCTAAAAATTCCTTAATTTATAGCAAAGATATGATGCTTTAATATAGGAAATATCCCTCTAATGGCACCCAAAGCACATTTTTGTTATTTTATTTATAAGTTTTACATTAGTTAAATATAAAAACCTAAAATCTTTTAAATGAGATATAAATGGACTACAGAAATAACCCAAACGAAAGATTGCTAGGGTCTTCTCCTTATCCTCTAGTAAACTGCGCTTACACATTAGGAACTCCAGAAGAAGCTCGATCAGAAACCTTTTGGCAGATGCTCACGAAGATTGCGTGTCCTTTTTTTGCAGCAAAGACCTTTATTTCCTTTATCACTATCTTTCAAATTACTTTATATGCTATTTTCACTAAAAATCCATATGTTTCTATAGTTTCTTTTTTAATTCCCAATCTATTAAATAAAGAATATATCATTTCAGTCGCTTACGACCCTAGTGAAGAATCATTATTTCGGCCTTCTTATGAAGCACTAAACGATCTAGGTGAAAGAAATGCTACAAAGTTGCAGAAATTCCAAATTTGGAGGTGGATTACACCAGTTTTACTTCATGCAAGTCTTTCCCACTTGATATTCAACATGATTATGCAATTAATTCTTGGCACAAGACTAGAACCAACAGTGGGGATGAAAAAAACTTTATATCTTTATTTCTTATGTGATTTCGGTGGAAATTTGTTAGGAGCGATACTAGACCCTAACGCAAGAGCTGTAGGGGCGTCTACTTCAATTTTTGGGATGATTTCTGCAATGATAGCATGGGTGCTTATGAATTGGCATAGTTTAGAAGGAAACGCATATAGAGTTATCACACTATTGGTATTATTGATTTTAATGATCATGAGCCTTATTACTGGAATTGTAAATCTTATGTAGGTTTCTACACAAACGGATAATTCAGGCCACTTTGGAGGAATGATTGTGGGATTTATTGCTGCTTATGCAATTTTCGACTATATTGGACAAGTTTCAGATAAAGACAGACTGTGGAAAACTTGTGCAAAGGCGGCGATTTTGGCGTATTTTGCAGTAGGGCTGATATATTTTTATGGGTTTATGGTAATTTAATGATTATTTGAATAGTAAAACTATTAAAAATTAGTCTAAGCTCATTAAGTTACCTAGAAAATTTCTCCATTGCTTGAGATATCCATTGGTTTATCATCGCTACCTCTCTGGAGCGTGCATAAAGCACAGACTGAGGGTCTCTTGGGTTTGGCGTTCTTAAATCTAAATGGTGAGCTCCTCCTTTGATTCCTATAACTGTTGTTTGGTCATTAATAGGCTCTTGAATGCACCCGCCTCCCCATGGATCTAAAGTTCCATAAGTAAACACAATATTTGAAGCTGAGGCCAAGGTAATATTTACGTCATTTGTCCCCATTCCATAGTTAATAGGCGCCCAATCAGGTCTTGGCGACACTCCAAAGAGGCCTTGACACATTTTGGCCCATTGTTGATAATTCCAAGGTCTTACTGGATACATGTCATTTGGCAGCCCATATTGTCCGATTGGGAAAATCAGCTCAGTGCAGGTCTGATAGGTCCATGGCTCAAGCCCACTTCCACCTCCATATAAATCATAGCATGTTAAATTTCCAGTCGAATTATAAAACAAGTTATTAATCTGGGCAAATCCCATGAGTGCTTGCCACATGTTTTCGTTTTGAGAGAACTGGGACATGATAGAGCAGGACACGTTAACAGGGAAACCTGGCAAAAGACTGTCTACGTTTGTAGGGTAAGGGTAGTCAAATTGTGCCATTCCCTGAAAAGCGTCTGCTATAAAATCTTCTAAAGCTAGAACGTCACCTTGTTCTTGTATTGACTGGCAAGGGTTAAAAATGTTTTCAAGGGCTGTATAAACTAAAGGTCTGTCAATAAAATTGTCTAGGATTAAGAAACCATTATGAATGTTTCCTTCGCAGTCTCTGTCCACATTAAAGTAATCATTTGTACTGATCCTTGCATATGAGGTCCCATTTACGTCTAATGGCATTAGGACTGGTGCTGAGCTTGCAATGGCGCCGTCTACGAATTGTGGGTATTTAATTCTAAAATAGGCAGCTAACATCCCACCGTAGGAGCCTCCAAATACAATAACAGGTGTGGAGTTGCTTGGCTTAAGCTGCTGGATAATGTCTGCAAAGTCCCATAAGACTTGGTCGGTGCTCAGATATTTCCAACTATGCTATTTAAAATTGAAATAACAAAAAAAATCTATTTTTTATAGGAAAACTTTTTAATTTAGCTTATAAATATAAGGATAAATGGACTTGGAATTGATTCCCCATAATATCTATGCTCAATAAATGCAACTGAAGCATTGTACTGTGGGCCTAAAGTTCCTACAAGCCACCCAGTCATTTGATAAAATTGAGTTATTGGGCCTTCATTACCTGTGTATACAAAGAGAGGAGCTGTTGGGCTGCCTTGACTATAGAGAACACGGATATTTATTGTGCCTGGATCCCTGTTTATATGGTCAAGGTCCTCTGTAAACCAAAGTGTTTGATAATTTGGGCCAATATCAAGTGGACCTTCATAGTTAAGTGGTGACAGGCGTTTTGATAAAACTCCTAACTTACCTTGTTTAAGTTTTTTTTTTCAGAAATTGCCTTTGTTTATTCAATTAAAAATTAATAATACACTGCTTACTCCCCCCCCCCCCTCCGTGAGCGAACAAAACCATTAGAAAAATCGCCATTTTTTTGACCAAAAACCCACCCTCCGTGAGTGAACAAAAATTTTTTTTAATAGAAAAAATTTTAATGGAAAAAAATTTTGATATATAAGTGATAATTAGTATAATGAAATCTAGAGCTAATTCTGTTTAATTTTAAACAAATTGCGTTTTAAAACATAAATTTTGCAAATTAAATTAATATTTGCTTCCCAATTTTTGCAAATTAGGATTTTTTTAAATTTCGAAAAAAATATTTTTTATAAAATTTATATATAAATTTTTTTTAAAAAAAAAATTAACCCCCCTCCGTGAGCGAACAAAATTTTTTTGTTCGCTCACGGAGGGGGGGGGGGGGGAGTTAGGTTTCGATGTTTCTTATAGTATATGGCCTCTATGAATTTCTCAAAAATTGAAAATTTTAAAATAAATACATATAAGGAAAAATTATTTTAAATTAAGAAAGGGATAAGAAAAGTAGGAAGATAAGTGGCACCATTTATTTCACCTAATGACTCAAAAGTGAAGAATCTAGAGTAGACAGGCAATTTAACAAATCAGCTGTAAATGATAATGTTATTGATAGATGCTATATTAAACCCACAAATTGAAATTATAACATATTTTATTTTATAAATTATGATGTATCTAAATTGAGCTAAATTTAATTTAAAAATTATTATTAATTGCGGAATTAATCTTATAAATAATAATTAATCTTCGCTTAATTAGCTTATTTAAACGATAGTTATATTACTCTTTTGATTTGAGCTCTTATATTTAAAGTAGATCTAGGTCTCAGTATTATTTTACTTCTTTTATGCATTTTTGAATAAAAATAAGATGCCATTGTTTATTATTTTTAACTTTAAGCCTCAATTATTTTAAAATTTTTTTAATTATTAAATTTAGAGCTTTACTCCTCCAATTTATATAAAAAATAATTTATAAGAAATTTCATGATAGTCTTTAAATATAATATCGATATATATCTATCAAATATAAAGCAAATTAGATATTTATTAATTACAACCTTTATTATGGAAACATCAAAAAGCCAAGGCTTGTTTATAATCATTGAAGGAGAAAAAATCAATCTTGATAGCTCAATTCTCAGTGAAATTAATGCAAAACTCCCAATCACACTACCTCACTATATAAATAAAACCCACTTTTCTCAGTTTCTCTATCTTTGCTCTTCCACCAAACCAAACCTCCAAGATCACGATGTATTATGTAAAGCCTTCGAAATTTTTACAATTCTTCAGCACTCAAATAGCGTCAAAATAGCTCAAAACTGTATAATTCAAAAACTCAACAAAAAATCCTCACTCATTTTCTTTGATGAAGCCGTTAATCAGCTAAAGAATGAAAATCAAGAAGCTTGAAAAGACATTTATGAAGCCTGTCTAGCAAAAATTGATGACTATATATTATCATATACGAAAAATGATTTTTCTAAGCTGTCAGCTGACTCTATAGAAGTCTTAATTGGTATTTATTATTCTCAGCCTATCGCTTCTTCATTAATTCTCGCATTAAAAAATAAACGAGAAGCCCTTGGAATTTTAGATTTATTAGTTAAAGAAGAATCTACTTCAGTTAGGCCTAATGATTCTTATGATATTGAATTCTGCTGAAATCTGTCTAAGGAAAAGTCAAATAATTACTTAGAAAGTGAACCATTTTTGCTTGATTTTTTGAAATTTTCGCTGATTTTAATCAGATTTCCTAACGAAAGCAAGTGTGAGCTCTACCTTCAGCTGTCAAGAAACAATGAAGAACAAAGGATAATATCCATAAGCTATAGCTTACAAATTTCAGATAAATCCAGTTTTGAAACGCTGAACTTGATATCAGGACCAAATTCCCAATTTTTGATCAGCTCCTTTGGCTGCGACTCAATCAATACTCTTCCAAGCAGCAAAATTGCTTTAAAAATAGAAAAAATCCCTTCAGCAATCCTCAATTGCATAGCTAAAAACCCTAGTGAAACTTTATTAATAGAAGACCTGACCCTGCTTCCTCGCACCAAGCTTAGCCTTCTATTAAGATTTAAACATTTAAAAATAACTAATGAAGACGATGCCTTGGAGCTTGTCGGAAGATTTATCCAAGAAAACCAAATTTCTGACGATTCTTTATCAGATTTATTATCTCCTTTAAAATGGGAATTTATTACCCTAAATTCTCTATTTAAAGCTGTTTTTGCGTATCCTGAGCTAAAGAAGTCTCAATATTTTATACAGAAATTCAAAGAAGAATTGCTAATAAAAGGATGTGGGGAAGCAAGGAAACATAAAGAAAAACCAAGGCTTAGTTATGAGAAAAGAATCAAGGAGGACTCAGAAATTTTCGATGAGTTGTGCAGCTGTATTTTTAAAAATGAGGAAGAGCCAGAAATAAGAGAAAGTGAAATTGTATATTTGAGCGACATGATTGGACAGAAAGAACAGGAACTACAAAATTTGAAAGGATCTTATCACTCTCATTCTTTTACTCTGGGAACGAGCACTCCAGACAGCCTACAAACGAAATTGCATGAAGAAATTTCCGATTTCCCTGAGTTTCCTCAGATTTCTCCGATCAGAAAGCCTCTAAAAGTATCATCCCCACTAAACCCTATCCCAGAATTTATTCCTCAAGTATATTTTTTTTCTATTAAATTCACCATTTTTTCCCTTTATTTCCCCTCAACTTTCCTATATTATCTCAGTATAAAGCCAGACACTACAGATACCGCAATTCTTTCTTTGCTCAATAAGCTTGAATTGCTCTAACCTCCTATAAATATTTTAATTCAGCTTGATTAAATCTATCCCCAACTCTCTAATTAATTTTACCTATTTTTTATAATAAATATCCGAATTTTCATCAATATAAGTATAAATATTTTTTAATGGAGACGCCAAAGATTTACATAATCGGTGGAGGTGCCCTCTTGCTTATCGGGATAATCCTCTTCGCTATGTCTTTCGACTCAATTGAGCCAACTGAATGGGGACTGTGCTATAACACCTGGACAAAAACAGTATACACGGACGAAATTTATGAAGGAGGCAGATATGTGATTGGCTTCCAAAACTCTTTTATAGCCTTCCCAAGGAATTTAAGGACTATTGAGTTCTCAGAGTCAAGTCATGCACAAGGAAGCTTACTTAAGACGAGGACTAAAGAAGGGCTTTCACTTGGTCTTGAGCTATCTTTTCAATATGAGTTAATCAGAGGAAAAATACCAAAGCTCTATGAAATTTCTAATGTGAATTTTGAGCAGACTTTTATTAGAATTGCGAGGGATACTATTTTGCAGGAAGCAGGGAATTATCAAGCCCCGGAGTATTGGAATAACAGGACTGAGATTGGAAAGAAAATGCAGGAAAAATTAGATGAAGCATTGGTAAGTGCTTATGCATATTTATGTAAAATTATGGCGGATTTTAAATTTTTATTTTATAATGATATAAGTTATGCACCCTTATAGACAGGTCTAGTAACCGTTTTTAGGACTGTAGGCTAAAGTTTGCAGTCGGAGTTGAAAGTTTGCCAAAATTGATATGGTTTGTGCCCCATTTAACGGTTATACTTTGTGTGGAAACCGACATTTTAGACCCAAAATCTATGGCTTAAGCCTGAGGGTAGCTATCTCTGGTGGAAATGTTGACATACCCAGGAAGATTCGTTAGCAGCTGAATAAGTCTTCTACAAAGACTCGTCTCAGGCGAGACGTAAAAAGAGGAAGAGCCCTAATCTATATTTTAAATGTTAAAATTATATTAAATATAGCGCTTTCCCGAGGATGGCGCGGAATGGCGCCATCCTCGGGAAAGTCAACTAAGCATCCACACGGGAACTGGGAGTTCCACGTGTGGATGCCATTTTTGACATGTGGGATCCAAACTTCCACATGTCAAAATGGCATCCACACGTGGAACTCCAGTTCCCGTGTGGATGCCTTCCTGCTTTCCCGAGGATGGCGCCATTCCGCGCCATCCTCGGGAAAGCGCTATATGCACATTGCAGAAATTTACAACTGATGAAAATTATTTTACCTGACAGCTACGAAGAAAGCATTGTGGAGACTCAAGTTGAGGTCCAAAAAACAACGATGAAAGGCTTTGAACAGCAAGCTGAAGTTGTCAGGCAAAAATCATTAGTCCTTCAGTCAGAATGTGACCAAAATATCACTATTATTGAGTCAAGCGCCAATGCTCAAGCTTATTTTCTAAAAGAACTTGCTAAATCAATCTCAAGCTCCAATACACTGTATATGCAGTCTTATGTCTACTCGCAAGCTATTGACTTATTGCAGCTATCCCAAGAAGAGCTGAGTGAGTATTTATTCTTGAGATCAGTCAAAGATAAACCAGACGCTACAATTGTTGTGGGAATTGATAGTGCAATGATCCAAGTGAAAGGCTAAATCTTAACTTATTAGAGTCTTAATAGAAATTCTGAAGTATCAGAAATAATTTCTGAAGGTAACCTTACTCATCCCTCTTTTTAAACAAAATTATTGAAAAAAATTTATTTTTGGATCCTCCTGTTAAGCAAAAAGATGTTTTTTATATAAAATTTTTGATATATAAGTAGTAATTATTATAAAGAGATTTCTATATTAGTCATATTTAAATTTTGTGAACTTGCATTAAACCTAAAAATTAAATACTTATAAAAATTTTGAAAAATTTATTTTGATGCAAATTTTAAAAAATTTTCAAAAAACCTCTCGTAATGGGTAAACAACTTTGATCTCTTATATATGAAAAAGGAAGTTAGAATATTTAGAGAATGCAAAATAATTATGTAGTCCGTAAATTATTTTAATTAAAATAAAATCGTCTTTATTCGGAATATGTGAAAAACTTTTAAAAATTCTTAACTATATCATCATGGATATAGCTTAATTTTCCGAAGCTATGCAAAGCTGACCTTGATTCAGATAAAGCAATTCTAGTACTTGAGGAAGTCTTTCTTGCAGCATTTCTCTTTTTTTTACTTTCAAAATCTCAATCAGCTCATCAGGCTTGATTTTCAGACTTTTAGTCTCCTGAGGATTTACAGCTACAATAAGGATTTCTTCTTTTCCGCCATAATCCAGCTCATAAATCTTGATAAAATAATAGCTATTTGATCTCAGCTTGCTTCTTCCTCTATAAAGAAGTCTCCTTCTCGCTTCTTCTCTTTCTTGTGCAGCCTTTAACACCACGAACCCATATTTTATCGTAACAAGCTCAATAAGCATTATTTGGTAAATTCCTACAAGCTCGTCAAGTTTCCACACAGAAAGCAGCTCACAAATTTCATTTTCTGAGTAGCAGCTGCATTTTGGCTTGGCAATGCCAGATACTAATGGAAAGGCATCTACAATTACATTGGATTTGGTGAACTTGCCACCTTGAAGTCCGCCTAGCTGCTTTAAAGCTTTTTGGTGGAAACCATCCTGTGTAACTGTCACGAAATGCAAAACGCCGTCAATTTCTTTTTTTCCAAAAGCAATATACTCTTTTAGAAGCTGATTTTGGATTTTTCGGCCCTTATATCGTTTGTATTCTTTATATCGCCGTATAGCACTCTGGATCACTAAAAGAGCTTTAGTTATGTCTCCGCATCTTGGGGAGGAATTTCTAGGTTTTACGTTTTCTTCAGTTTTTTGATGGTGAACTTTAGATTCTTGCAGGACTTCTGAGGTGTCAGCAGTGCGAATTTCTGCTATATTCATCTGATAAGTTGCCTTTGACTTCATCGGAGTCGTATTTTGCGGCCTTGCTATATTAGAAATTCCAACTTTTCTTTCTGAAATTCCTGTGCTTTCTCTTTCTAATGGAGACTGGCCATTGGAAATAAGATTGTGGATCGTAGCTTCTTTAGGGATTAATGGGTCTTTTGTAGGAGAAACTGACCGCGGAGGGTTTGAAAACTTTTTTGTGCTTTTTTTGGACTGTTGAAAACTAGGAGTTTCATCTCTTGGCTTTGGAGTGGAGGCTAATGTTTTTTTCCTGGAATTTTTCCGAATTTTTCATGGACTTTGAGGCTCAGATTTTTGCTTTGAAGATTTCGGGGAATTTTTGCCTTTTTGAGGCTTTTTGTCTATGAATCCTGAGTTGTCAGTGTGTAAGCTGGATTGAGGGCTGTTTTGAGGTACTTCTTTAGTGACTTCATGGTTAGTTTGTATAGAAATTTTGTGTATTAAACGTCTTGCTTTGAGAACTTCTTGACCATTTGGGAGATCAGTTATTTTTTCATTTTTATTAGAAACTTCTGGAGATGTATCTATATTATTTTTGCTTTGAGTCTCATTTTTTGAGCTTACAACTGCAGGGTGATTTTCATTTGTATCAAATTCCTGATTATTCAATAATTTTTCGATTTTTAATGTTCCAGACAATATTTCTTCTGGCTTTTCTATAGCTTTTGCTTCTTCTTTACTATAAATTTCAGTTTTATTGCCCTCTTCTTTTGCTTTTTCAAATTGAGTCATTATACTATGAGACGGTCTTGCTGATTTTAAGGTCTCTTCTTTTGAATGAGGTAATGGACTGATCGTCTCAATGCTATTTCTTCTTGCATGGTTAATTTTTGGATCATTTAAGTACTTTAAAGCTGGATTTCCTTCATTTTTTGGCTTTATTGCTACTCCATTGTCTATTGGCATCAATAAATTTTTCTGCTGCTTATCAAGCTTTAAATTTTTTCTTATAAATGGATTTTCTTGTGGGACAAAATTATCTCTTATTAGCTTTTCAGGAGAATTTTTTATCAAAATCTCAGTTTTATTTAAATTTGTAGGTTTCAGCCCAGGAAGTCTGACAGTTTTTAATGCATCCTTTTTTGCTTGTTTTTTTTTACTCCGAACTGATGATTTTTCTTCAGTTGTTCTTGTAGCAAGCTCTTCGTCAAATTGTGACTTAATAAAGGCTAAATATTGACAATTTGCTTCATTTATTTCATATTTCTCTTGCAGTTTTTTTATATAGTTATATCACTCTTCTGCTTGGTCTGTAATATTTTGATGTAAAAATATCACACATAAAATGCTGGCTCCGTCGACTAAATACTGGACAATTTTGTTTTTATTGTTAGTTTCAATATTTAGCAAATGCTCGGCGAGTGAAACTGATTTTTTAGCCTTTTTGATAGCTTTTTCGGTATTATCATTTTCAAGGTATAATGTGCATACTCTTAAATAAATTTCAGGGATTTTTACCCTGCAACTTGAGTTTTCCTTGGCAAGTGCTAAACTTGACCTATTTAAATGGATTCTTTGCATATAGAAGTTATTTTATTTAATTTATAGATAAAAATAGTAAAAATAAAAAATTGTTTGTTTATTTATTGAAAATATATTTTCCTATTATTATAGCTACTTTTAGAGAGTAAAGCCTCTTGGTAACATTTTTTCAATATTTCAAGCTTACCCTCACACTTAGCAACCTCCCCAATCAAAAGCTTTATTTCAATACTGATCTCTGGAGTCAATAAATTGTATTTTGTTAGAAATTCTATGAAATTTTCTGAAACTTTTGATGCTGCAGTAAGCTCAGAATTATCAATAAACGATTGAATAACCTCAATAACGCGAGATGTAAAGGCAGATATTTGACTTGAAGAACCGTAACTGATATACATAGAAACTTCGAGGGAGCCGAAATCTGTGGTAGAGTTCAGCTTTAAAAGCGTTTCTTCGATGTTTGCTTTGTCGATAGAGCCTGATAAGAGGTCAAGGATTGTTGATGAGATTTGAGAATCTGACATTACTGCTAAATTGATTAAATATATATGGAAAATACTGACTCCCTCGTGCTAATAATTGGACTATTTTTCAGGTCAGTGAGAAGTTTTATATATTAAATTTATTTATGATTATAAAAAATAAAAAATATTTGAATAGGGTAATTTTTAAAAACTTTAACTGTCTTAAATTAATATAGTGAACTACACTGACTGGCACGGGGTGCTTTTGGCTCAGTTTCAAGCCAAAAGCACTCCGTGCCGGTCAGTGTAGTTAACTATATAGGTAACTGAGATTCATCATATCCATAATTAATTTCATGCTAACTCCCCCCCCTCCGTGAGTGAACAAAAAAATTTTGTTCACTCACGAGTGGGGTTAATTTTTTTTTTTTAAAAAAAATTTATATATAAAATTTTCTAAAAAAATTTTTTTTTGAAATTTAAAAAAATCCTAATTTGCAAAAATTTGAAAGCAAATATTAATTTAATTTATAAAATTTATGTTTTAAAATGCAATTCATTTAAAATTAAACAGAATTAGCTCTAGATTTCATTATATTAATTATCATTTATATATCAAAATTTTTTTCCATAAAACATTTTTGTATTAAAAAAATTTTTGTTCACTCACGGAGGGTGGGTTTTTTGGGCAAAAAATGGCGATTTTTCTAATGGTTTTGTTCACTCACGGAGGGAGGGGGAGTAAGTATTATTTTTATAAAAATTTTTGATTGAGAAATTTGTTTTGCTAATAGAGGCATTAATTTTCCTAAAAATAGGTATTTTTCTGATAGTTTTTCTTATTAACTTACTCCCCCCCTCCCGTGAGTGAACAAAATCATTAGAAAAACTCTATTTTTTGCCCAAAGCCCCACCCTCCGTGATTGAACAAAAATTTTTTAAAAAAAAAATGATATAGCAGTTGCCCGACGATGGCGCATTGAGCGCCATCATCGAGCAACTGCTATATATAAGAGATAATTATTATAATGAAATCTCTAGCTAATTCTGTTTAATTTTAAACAAATTGCGCTTTAAAAAATAAATTTTATATAAATTAAATTAATATTTGCTTTTCCAATTTTTGCGAATTTGGATTTTTTTTAAATTTTGAAGAAAAAAAATTAACCCTTTCGTGAGCGATCAAAATTTTTTTGTTCGCTCCTCGCGGGGGGCGAGAGTTAGAGATTGAGGAATTATTTAATAGGTAGCTGAAAATGAGTTCATAGGCTAATTATGTGAATAAAAGATGAAAGTTATTATATTCTATATTAAAAAACGTCGAGGAAACTATTAGAATAAGCTACGGCAGTTATATTTTAAGAAAAAAATGTTGCAATGCTTCAATTTTAAAGATAAAAGAATTATAAATTTCACTAAAATTTCAAATCTCTCATATTTCATAGGGAATTTTATTATTTACTTTGATTCATAATACAAAACTAAATTTATTGTTGAAATAAAGCCGTTTTTTTAGAAGCAAATAAAGGAAATTGTAATTAGATGTTTATTGAAAATATATAATTTAGAAAAAGTAAAAATATCGATAAAAATCGGATTAGCTATTTTTTTTATTGAGAATCTATACTAATTATTCTAAAAATATGATAAGAAGTAAAATTATTTTTTCACCTTATAACTCCCTCAATTAAGTAAACAAAGATCTTTGCTTGCCAAAGTGGCTAAAATAGTATACAATTATTTTTAGATTTTAAAATATCAAAATTTAAATACAAATCTTTAAAATTAAAGCATTAGAATATAAGTTTTACAATTTTTTCATATTAATCATATACAGGATTATTTTTGTATAATTTTCAACATTAAAAATTTTGCTTTCTTAAGAAAAGGGTTAAATCTCAAAAATAGGATTTTTCTGATGTTTTCTAGCTGATTAATGGGGAATTTAGAAAACCTTCTAAAAGTATTGTAAACTTTCAATTAGATATCCATAATGTCCTGTGCAAAAATTATTCAAATAATCATTTGCAATTAAATTTTCTAATTATTTAAATAGCATAAGTTTAAAATGCATGAAGCAAACAAAAATGGTCTTTGCTAGAAATCATCTCTACCATATTAATTAAATTCTAATTCTAGATAGCTAATAATCAAGCATATAATAATATGTTCCAATAGGATTAATTTATTTTTTTCCCAGAAATTTATTGTTTAATTTTGACTAAATTTGTGTTAAGCTGTGAAAATAATTTCAGTATTGAAAATCATTTGGAATCATTAATAAAATGTCTCTTATTAAAGCTTTAGAAGAAACTTTAAGATGTTGTCAACTCTCATGGTGAAAATTGATCCTGTTAATTTGTCTCCAGAATTTTTGTTATTCTTTAGAAGCTATTGTGGCTTATGAAAAAAATAACCCAATCTGAAGGCTAGATTTACTTTTGGATATATCCTCAGATTGAGATTCTCTCATAGAATGACACAATTGTGAATTTTTACAAATATCGACTTGCTTTGATTTTTATGAAAATTCTACTGTAATACTAGATTTAACAGATAGCATTGAAACTCAATTTTTTATTTCTAAATTATGCAAAGAAAGAGAAATCTCTCATTTGGTGTTTGAAAATAAGCTGGCTTATGCTGATCAGCTAACTTTCTCAATAACACCATCCTACTTAGAACAAATTAATGTCTTCATATCTGTCCTTAACTATTTTAATTGAACTCAAGGTCTTATAGTTTATGATAGACTTGAAAATTCTCTAAACCTCGGTGAATAGTATTTTTTTTTAATAAATGAATTTTTCTAAACCTTTAAAAAAAAATATCAGTAATAAATTATTATTTTTTAATGTTGTTGATTCCAGTAATGCATCATTTTTTAGTAAAATTTTTGTTTTTGGAAAAATAGATAAACAAAATTTTATATCGGGTAGATTAAAAGAAAAATTCGAAAAATATTCAGAAAATTTGAATTATTTGATTATTGAATCTGAGGCAAATATTGATGAGCTGGTAAATAGGATTATAGCTCCTCTCGGTACTACTCTTTATTACATTTTTATGAATTACACTGATTCATATAAATTGCAAAATGCTTTACTATCAGCTAAACTTTTAACCAGCGGCAATGGAATTGTTTTAGATCAAAAAAGCGGGTATGAATGTAGTATTGATGGGGCCTTGATTATTACAGATAAAGGCCAAGAATTCGTCATTTCTGATGAAGATTATTTGAAATCATCAATAAAGAGCATAGTTTCTTATTTACTGAGTCACATAAGAACAGAAAGTAGCTCAGAAATATTTTTTCATCTAAATTCTCTCTTTAAAAGTCATTATGGCAATAGAAATTTTTCATTAATTAATACCCAAGAGGGGAAAAGAGAAATAATAGGAGAAATTATTGACGAAAAATTATTTTTATTCAAAAATATCACTTTTCCAGGCAATATATCAGAAATCCCGAAATCTCAGAAAAAAATTTTGCAGTTAAGCATTGAAGCTGGCTCCACAAATCCTACAGGCCCAGCTCTTCCTATAGGATTAATCGGCGGATACGGCTCATATGCCGCTCGTGACATTATTAATAACGGAGACTCTGATCTTCTCAATAATTTCCAAATTTCCCTTACAAATTTTGACTGTGGAGTATCAATTTATAATGCAACTTTTGCAAATACCTGTTATTCAAAAAACAAAGAAAATTTCGGCCTAGGACACATCTCAGCCTGAGGGTCAGTCATGGCAATTGGATCAATGTCATCTTTTAAGCAGCTTAATTTAACATTCCCTATCGTCAGTGCTACCAATGGTGACACCACCTTAAGTTCCACCACAAATTTCCCTATGTATATGCGAGTCCAACTTTCCTATTCCTATGCATACTCTTTAGTCCCAATTTTTATCCGAGCTTTAGGATGGGAAAAAGTTGCAGTCCTTTACCAAAATGACACATGAGGACTATCAGGGTATTATTTTCTAATCCAAAGCATAAAAAGCCATGATCTCTCTTTAATCAACCCAGAAAGCAGCAGAGCTTTTCCACCAAATCTTGACAGAGATGGACTAAAAAAATACTCATATATTCTTCAAGAAATTATTGACTGCCAAGCAAGGTTCTTAATTTTTATTTTTCAGTACCCATCAGCTTATTATATATTTGAAGAATTTTATGATTTAGGACTGAGAAAAGGAGACTTGGTGTTTTTTACGACACTTACAGATTTAGTTACCCTAGCGGGGTATGATAATGTGCATAAATACAAAGTTTATGAAATTGCGATACCAATTATAACGACCTATGGACAAAGCTGGGTTGGACCTTTAGGAACAAAAGCGTTAGCACATATTAATAAGGACTATGGAGGGATAATAAATTCATACAGCTGCTTTTATTTTGATGCTTTATTTTTGATGGTTTATGCTTTAGATTATATGATAAATAGAGGGCTGGATTATTCTAACCCTTTTAAACTTCAAGAGATAATGAGAAATCAGCAGTTTTATGGGTGCACTGGACAAGTGATTATAGAAAAAGGGTCAAATGATAGGATTGTCCAAGTTTTTGAAATAATTCTTAATAAATTGGACGAAAATGGAAATTTAGCTTATTATATTATGGGAGAGTTTCGGCCGCAAAGCACACAGCTTATAAAAATCCAAGAGCCTTTGCTATATGCAGATGGATCCACAGTAAAACCTACTGATTTAAGGAACAAAAATTATGAATGTCCTTTTCCTAACAGACTTGTAAAGACTTTTGCAAAAGGAAGAGCTTTGGTATTTGGGATTTGTTTTGGAATTGCAGGAATTTCGCTATTTATTACTATTTATATATGAAAAAGATGGTGGGAAATCTCTATAGAGCCTTTAGAAGCTAAAAAAGAAATCTCTTTACAAGACTTTATTGTCGGCGCAACTATGTTTATTGAATTTTTCCAGTTTTCCTCTATGGGCCCTGATTTTTCGCCAATAAATTCTGCACTGGCCAGCGTAAGTGATACTCTTTCCCTAAGTCTGGACCATATTATTAAGCTCAAGAATGGAGTATGCCTTTTTATTTATTACCAATAGACCTAAAAATCAAAAAAACAATATTTCTATAGGATTTTGCAATTAGGTTTATTTATTAATAATTAGTTATTTTAAAATGATTTATTTTGAATTGTGGTTAATGCTGTATTCGGGTCTATTGGCTTATGAGTAATCCTATGCTCTGTAATTCTTCTTCGGCTTGACGAAAAATTCCCACACAATTTTATGCTCACTCCCCCCCCTCCGTGAGTGAACAAAAAAATTTTGTTCACTCACGGAGGGGGATTAATTTATTTTTTTTTAAAAAAAATTTATATATATAAATTTTATAAAAAATATTGTTTTTCTAAATTTTAAAAAAATCCTAATTCGCAAAAATTGGAAGGCAAATATTAATTTAATTTATAAAATTTATGTTTTAAAGAGCAATTCGTTTAAAATTAAATAGAATTAGCTCTAGATCTTATTATACTAATTATCATTTATATATCAAAAATTTTTGTTCACTCACGGAGGGTGGGGTTTTGGGCAAAAAAATGGTGATTTTTCTAATGGTTTTGTTCACTCACGGAGGGGGGGGGAGTCAGAAATCTGAACACCTTGGCTGATTATTTTATGCCAATTTTAGGCGACCTATGCTTTATCCCATTTATTTCAGTCTGCCTTGACATTTTTTTATGTGACCAATCTATTGGAGATAATTTTACTGACAGTTTTCTTGCCCAAGACTGCTATTATTTTTGCTGGGAAGGTGAGCATTTAGCTTACGCAATTTTGTCGATTTTTGCTTTAATGGCTTATGAGCCTCTAGCTGTTTTTTGTAGACCTCTTTGACAAGAGCTTCAGCCTCTTTTGCATGTAAAAGCAGCTCCACTTTTTTTGATGGTAAAAACGATGGTTCAAATTACCTTAATTGTTATGAATAAGACAGTCAAAAGAGCACAAAGCGCTCTTCATGGAGCTCTATTTATAACAGTGATGGTTTTATATATCATTTTTCTATGTAAATTCAAGCCTTATAATTATGCAAGATACAGTTGATGGCAAACTTTGATTTTAATTGGAGTTGTATGACTTGCTTTTCTGTCGATAATTTCTCAGAATATTTGAGGCAATCCATTGACTCTAACATTAATTTTGGGGTCAGGTTTGGTAATTATTGGATTAATTGGTATTTATATACAATATAAAAAATACCCAAGTCTATTGTTCCGTAAAAAGGGTCAAGATACATCTACTTTATTTAAATTTGCTTTTGCTTTTGGAAAAAATTCAAAAATTGCACTATCAAAAATTCATCCAAATATTGTCTCGAAGTAGCTTGAAAAGTCTTTTATTGTTAATAATTTACTATCTTTATATATTATACATATATTCTGGCTTTCGAATTGCATTTCATTATTATAGTTATTCAAGAAATTAAGTAGTAATAAATTATTTATTTTGTGCTATATGAAATATTCTCATCTTCGTCCCTTAAACATTTTACTTCATTCTAAAAGATAGCATTAATGTGCAAATCTTCTCGACATACATAAGCATGTTTAAAGCTGCTTGGCCATATCATTTGCTTAATATCAAATAAATACTGACAAATTTTTATTAAATTTATTTTCTTTAATAGAGATTAATAAATGTTTAATTATTGTTGGATATCTGGTCAAGCACAGGTAGCAACCCTACACCCCCACCCCCCCTAAAAGTGGTACCCCCCACTTCCCCCACCCCCCTTTTTTAATGGTACCCCCACCCCCCCTAAAAAATGGCACCCCCACCCCCCCCTTAATATAGCTTAAATATATGACAAATGCCAATTTAGAGCAGACGTAATAAATAAATTATTATTTTTAAATATTCAAAATTACTGATTTATACAATATCCACATAGCGTAGCACACAATTGATTAAGGAGTAGGTGGAATGAGGTGAGAATTTCCTATAACTACTAAGCACACCACATATAAAAATTTGTTAGCGAGCATAATAATGATCTTTGGTATTAATTAGCAATATATCCTGCATATATTTATGAACTTTGTGGAATAATGGCTAAAAGTCGAATTAGAGATCCAAAAGTAAAACTGACAATAGCAAATACTATTTTTTATTACCACTATTGAATCTTGTTACCAATTCAGTCCTGCAATCCTTATACAATGGACATTAGATTAGCTTTAATGTATGAATCAATAAATTTAATGCAATTTATTGTGTTGTGCTTGGCTCATTTAATAATTAATGCCATTATCTATATCTTTGGAATTATATTTATAAATATAAAAAACAAATTTAATATATTTTCTAATTAATTGCTAATTAATTTAAATTTATTAATTAGTCATAAATATAAAGTAATTTGTGGACTTAATTTATCAATATAGTGTTTTAATTGGGTTATATTTAATTTATTTTGCTTGTTTCCTATCAATTACGTCTATGGAATAAACCCGAGAGGGGGGGTGCCATCTGTGAAAGGGGGGGTGGGGGTACCATTTTTAGGGGGGGTGGGGGGGGTGGGGGTGTAGGGTTGCTACCTGTGCTTGACCAGATACCAATAGCATGTTAGAAAGACCCTGAAACAGAAACAAACTTCTTGCCAGAATTTTATTTTGCTCGGCTATATTTGACCTATATTAGAATAAAATTTGCTAGTATTAGGAGGATTCAAAAATTGAGTATTACTTATTAACTAATACTTTAAATAAAAATTAGGTTTATATTTAAATATAGAATATAATATAAAAAGCTTTCTCTTTATATAACTAATATTATCGGGACTTAATAAAAAATGTCTCTCATTGAAAACTGTTCAATAAATTATCGGACCATATGAAAATTGATATTCTTTATTTGTTTGCTGGATCGTTGCAAATGCTTAATCCCCAAATTGGAAAAATCCCTAAAAGCCTGACCACTGTGAGCGGACAAAATTTTTTTATGAAAAATGTTTTTTTATATATAAGTGAAATTATTATAATGAAATCTCTAGCGAATTCTGTTTAGTTTTTAAACAGCTTGCATTTTAAACATAAAAATTTACAAATTAAATAAATACTTGCTTCCAATTTTTGCGAACTGAGATTATTTTAAATTTCGAAAAAAAATTTATTATATATATTTTTTTTATAAAAAGAATAAAATTTTTTTGTTCTCACGGAGGGAGTTAGAAATTATTGTGATTTATGAAAAAAGTAATATTGATTGAAATTCACAACTGCTTATGAGTTCTCTGCCAGAGCCAAATTCTGTTGTTGAATTGCACAATTGTGAATTTTCAAATATTTCAGCTTGCTTTAATTATTATGAAAACTCTATTTTAGCGGTAGATTTAACAGAAAGCAGTAAAAGCCAATTTATTATTTCTCAAATATGCACAGTAAGGGAAATTCCTCACTTGGTGTTTGAGAACAAACTCAGTTATTTTGATGAATGAACTTTCTCAGCTAAGCCTTCTTCACTAAGCCAGATTAATGCATTTATAGATGTTCTTATATATTTTGGATGGACTCAAGGCCTCGTGATTTATGATGGATTTAAAAATACTCTACTCCCCCCTCCGTAAACAACAAAACTAATGGAAAAATCCCTATTTTTTCCCAAAAACCCACCCTCCGTAAGAGAACAAAAATTTTTTTAAAAAAAACAATTGATATATAAGTGATAATTATTATAACGAAATCTCGAGCTAATTCTGTTTATTTTAAACAGCTTATTTTAAAACATATATAGAAATTGAATTAATATTGGCTTTCCAATTTTTTCGAATTGGAATTTTTTTGAATTCGAAAAATAAAAAATTTTCTAGAAATAAAGTAAGAGAAAACCTCGAAAAATATTCAGTAAATTTGAACTACTTGAATATTGAGCCTAAGGCAAACATTGAAGAAATAGTTAATAGAATTATAACCCCTCTTGGTGAGACTCTCTATTATATTTTTATGAATCCAACTGAGTCCTTAAAATTGCAAAATCTTTTGATGTCCACAAAACTTTTAACTTCTGGAAATGGAATTCTTTTGGACCAGAAAAGCGGATACCAGTGTATAGTTGAGGGTGCCTTAATTATTACTGAAAAACCTCAAGAACTCATCTCTTCAGAAGAAAATTATAGAATATCAGCAATCGGAAGTGTAATCTCTTCCTTGCTAAAGTCCATTAAATCAGAAAATGCTTACGAAATGCTATACCATCTAAACTTGCTGTCAAAAAACCATTATATTTTCAGAAATTTTTCCTTAATTAACATACAAAATGGTGAAAGAGTAATTGTTGGAGAAATCATTGATGGAAATTTATCCTTATTTAGCGATATAAATTTCTCAGGTAACTCTACAGATATCCCAAACTCAGCCCAAAAAATTTTGCATCTTAGCATTGAAGCTGGCTCTACAAATCCTACAGGCCCACCAATTACTGTTGGATTAGTTGGAGGATATGGCTCATATGCTGCAATAGACGTCATAAATGAAGGCAATATAGATCTCCTCAATAATTTTCAAGTCGAGATGTTTAATTTTGACTGTGGAACCTCAATTTATAACTCCGCATTTGCTAATTCCTGCTATTTAAAAGATAAAGATAAATTTGGCCTGGGACATGTATCAGCGTGGTCTTCAGTTATGGCAATTGGGTCAATGAAATCTTTTAAAGAGCTTAATTTAACATTTCCTATTGTAAGTGCTACAAATGGAGACATTACCTTAAATTCAACAGCAGATTATCCAATGTATATGAGAGTTCAGCCTTCTTTTTCTTTTGAATACTCTTTAATTTCAATTTTTATCCGCGCTTTAGGGTGAAAACAAATTGCAGTTCTTTATCAAAATGATTCTTGAGGACTATCAGGGTATCTTTATTTTTTAATCCCCATTTAATCATGAGGTTTTTTTATTATTAATTATTTTATTTTTATAAAAAATTTTCAAAAAAAAATATATTAAAATATGAATTTTTTATTTTAAAGTTCTATAAAATAAATAAAATCCATAATCTGGTTCATTATTAAAGGGGAATTAGAAGGAATTAAAAATCATGATATCTCTATAATAAACCCAGAAAATAAAAGAGTTATTGCACCAGATCTTGACCGTGATGAAGTAAAGGAGTATTCAGGAGTTCTCCAACAACTGATAGATTGCCAGGCGCGATTTTTGGTTTCTATTTTACATTTTCCTACCGCTTACTATATATTTGAAGAACTCTACGATTTAGGACTGAGAAAAGGTGACCTCGTCATTTTCACGACTGTAACTGATTTGGCTACTTTTGAAGCATATGATGATAAATATTTATACAAATTAAATGAAATTGCTGTACCTATGATTTCTATATATGGGCAAAGCTGAGTCGGATCATTAGGGAAAAAAGCCTTAGATAGAATTTCTGAAGCTTATGGAGGATCAATAAACTCGTATAGCTGCTTTTATTTTGATTCAGTATTTTTAATTGCTTATGCGCTGGATTTTATGATTAATAGAGGATTAGACTATACTGATCCTAATAAGCTACAAAAAATTATGAGAAATATCCAATTTTATGGGTGTACTGGAAAAGTTAATATAGAAAAAGGGTCAAATGATAGGATTTTGCAGATATTTGAGATTATAGTAAATAAGCTTGATGCAAGTGATAATATTACAACGTATATTATGGGCCAGTTTAAGCCTCAAAGTACACAATTGATAAATATCCAAGAACCATTATATGGCAAGCACAGTAATGAATTGCTTGGGTTTGTCCAGATAAAAAGCTGGTTTGTCAATTTGAGTGAAATTGTAGCTATTCAGTCGATAAATAGCAATAACCAAAAAAATTAATTGTTTGACAATTGGAATTAGCAGAGTCAACGCCCCAGTTGATAGAGAATTTTTAAACATTAGCCCAATATTATAATTCTTAGGGTATAGAATATTCTAATGGTTCAACTACAAAGCCATCAGATTTAAGGACTAGTAGTAGCCAATGCCCTTTTCCTGATAAGCTTATAAAAACATTTGCTAAAGGTAGAATCCTAGTGTTTGGGATCTGCTTTGCCGTTGCCTTGATATCCTTTGCTATTACATTTTATATATGGAAAAAATGATGGAAATTTTCAATTGAGCCATTAACAGTAAGAGAAGAAATCTGCTTGCAAGACATTATTGTAGCTGTGACCATTATTATTGAATTTTTTCAACTTTCTTCAATGGGCCACAAAAATAATATGGCGTGCTCTCTAGCCCGTCCTCTCCCATACCCTCAGCTATGCTGGTTTAAGATATCCGAAGTTTTAAGAATTTGTGTCTGGGTTAGGTTTTTTCCCCTGGCCAGGACTCCATGGTAGGGCTTTTACCTCTACATATGGCAAGTAGGCCAGAGTCGCAAAGATATCCCTACACTCCTGACAGCGAAGGTATTAATGGAGGTAGGAGGAGACTTCAGAACACCTGCAATCTATCACCTCTGGACGGATGAGCTAACCGATAGGGCTTGTCCAAGGAAATACCTGGTGCGTCGCCTGGAGAACAGTGATGTTGACAAAAATAGCGTAAGTGCTACCCATGCTTAGAGTGCGAGCCTGAAGTGGGAAAAGGCAGGTAGTGGGCTGAAATAATCCTGCGGTGACCTTTATAATCTAATCAATGGGACCAGATTTTTCACCTATTAACTCTACACTGGCTGGAATTAGTAATTTTTTTTCGCTGAGCTTAGACAATATATTGAAATTAAGAAATGGAGTATTTTGAATTATTGTCAATGCTGTTTTCGGATCAATTGGGTTATGGGTATTTCTGTGCTCAGTTGTGCTTCTTAGACTTGATGAAAAATTTCCTATGAGCTTTATTTTCAGAAATTTAGGTACTTTAGCAGAGTATTTGATGCCTGTTTTAGGCGATCTTTGTTTTATTCCCTTTATTTCAATTTGCCTTGATATTTTTTTATGTGATCAGTCGATTGGAGATAATTTTACTGACAGTTTTTTAGCAGCAGACTGCTATTATTTTTGTTGGAAAGATGAACATTTATTTTATGCAATTTTTTCTGTTATTGCTTTAATAGCTTATGAGCCCCTTGCAGTTTTTGGTAGGCCTCTTTGGCAAGAGCTGCAGCCCATTTTGCATGTAAAAGCAGTTCCACTATTTTTGATGGTAAAAACAATGATCCAAATTATATTAATTGTGATGAACAAGACAGTAAAAAGGGCCCAAAACCTCCTTCACGGAGCTCTTTTTATATTTGTGATGATCATATATATAGCTTTTCTTTATAAGTTCAAGCCTTTTAATTATCAAAGATACAGTTGATGGCAAACTTTAGTCTCAGTTGGAGTTGTGTGGCTTGCTTTGATTTCAGTAATTGAGCAAAGTTCTGGAGTTAATCCTATATTTTTACTATCAGTTTTATGCTTTGGATTCTTAATCATTGGACTGCTAGGAGTATATGTTCAAAGAAAAAAATACCCTAGCCTTCTTTTTAGGAAAAAGGGTCAAGATACATCTAATTTATTTAAATTTGCCTTTACTTTTGGTAGGCATTCAAAAGCAGCTTTATCAAAAATTGTACCGAGTAGTTTACCAACGTCAGCAAGAAAATCACTTTCAGCGAGAAAAATTGAAAATCCTAGCCCTTAAGCTATTTTAAAATTAAATATGCACGCTGGAATTTTTTAATGTAAATAATCGGCTCTTTTTGAGCAAAGAGATATCTGCTTTATATAATCACATTTAAATTTATTGATAGATGCTCATCATAATAAATATGTGCTCGAGGTTTAATCCATATAGAGCAGCGCTCTATAGCCCAGAATAAATTTTAAGCTTGTAATTAGAGTCTATTCACTTTTAAATAATAGTTGCTATTATACAAAATCATAACTTGCATGAATATGCCATGATTGTTTAAGATTTAATAGACTGCATCAAAACTCAGTTATTATCTGCTATGCAAGGGCACTTACAAAGTAAACTCATCATTCTGAGTAGTTTACCATTATCATTATTATTAGGATTAATAACGCTTTAAGTCCCTTACTGGGTGGGCACCACAGACCTTTCCGCCATCTCTTCCATGTGTCAGGCCGCAGGCCGCTGTGACAACCTTCTTAGATCTGCAGGGCACACGCTTGGAGTGGTATTGCCGGCTTCGATGGCAGTTTACCATTATCAGCTGAAAATTTTAAACTAAGTCCTTGCTCTTCAGCAAGCATAGCTCAGCATTTCTGAAAAAGCAAGCTTCATATAGAATAAGTCTGTATTAATTTTTGATAATTTTCTATCAGGATTCAATAAAAAGTATTAATTTGAAAATACAATTTACGGTAGTCATTTAATATAGAGCGAATATTACTATTAATAAATTTCAGAGCTGATAACTTTGCCTAATATTCTACTTTTAAATTTTAGAATTCAAATTCTTAGATTAAGCTTAAACTCCATAACATAATGAAAATTTTCCATATAGCATTGTCCCGGGCTTAGCAATGAATAATTTCATTAATTTCTTAAAAGAATAATATATTAAGAAGATAAATGCGTAAAATAAATTTATTCGCCTTCTAATATTAGTTTAAATATTTAATAGCGTCTCTTTTCAAATTATTAAATTTGCTTATTCCCCCTCCGTGAGTGACCAAAACCATTAGAAAAATCCCTATTTTTGTGAAATTTATATATAAGTGATAATGAAATCTCAAGCTAATTCTGTTGAATTTTAAACAAATTGCGTTTTTAAAAAAACACAAATTTATAAATTAAATTAATATTTGCTACCCAATTTTGCAAAATTAGGGTTTTTTTTAAAATTTCGAAAAAAAAATTAACCCAACTCAGGTGTGTGAACAAAATTTTTTTTGTTCACTCACGGAGGGGAGCGAGCTACAAGAAAAGTAATGAATGCTCACAATAAATTTATTCACCTTCTAATAAAACATAAAGTAATTTACCTCTATAATGATGTCTCTAATCAAAGATCTTGTGGAGAGATTGGTCTATCATAAATCCCTATGAAAATTCCTTTTATTTATCTGCTTGCTGAATGACTTAAACTGCTTACTCGTTTATTAAAAATACTACAAATAAAAAGACTACTTTAATTTTTAAATAAAAAATTAAACAAAATTTATTTATTATTAAATAAATGAGTTAGAAATTTGCTCCATGCCTTTTTTCGCACACTTTGGCATTCCTTGGAAAATTGCTATAAATTTTAGATTGCTAAAAAATTTTTTAAAAACCTTCGAAAAAATTTCCCCAAGAAGTACTACACTATTAAAGTTCAGGATTTTAATGTTTGCACCTCTAGAAATTATTTTGATATATGAAAAAAGCAACATCAGCATAAACAATATAGCGATTTCGAAGCTATTTGCTAAAACAAACTCCCTTATTGAATGGCATTTATGTGAATATTCTACTGCAGCAATATGCCTTAGTTCTTATGAAAATGCTATGCTAGTTTTAGATTTAACGAATCGCATCGAAACTCAGTTTTTTGTATCTGAGATATGTAAGATTAAGATTAATCAAAATGATCACTGGGGTTTATTTCAGCTCAGCTAGAGTTAAAAGCAATCCTAACTAGCTCCCCCCTCCGTGACCGAATAAAAAAATCTTGTCAAAAATTTATATTTTAATTTAAAAGAAAAAAATTGTTTTCAGAATTTAAAACAATCCCCACTTCTCGAAAATTGGAAAGCAAATATTAATTTAATTTGTAAAATTTATGTTTTAAAATGCAATTTGTTTAAAATTAAACAGAATTAGCTCGAGATTTCATGATATTAGTTATCACTTATATATCAAAAATTTTTCCCATCAAAAATTTTTCTCTAAAAAAAGTTTTCGTTCGCTCACGGAGGGTGGGCTATTGGGCAAAAAATAGGGATTTTTTTCTAATGGTTTTGCTTGCTCTCTCAAAGAGATGAGCTCAATTCTATATCAGTAAGCATTAAAAGTGACATGCCAATGGTGACAAGTGTGAAAAAGTTGACAAGTAAACGCGCTGATTTTAAAATTGGCTTTATTATTAAATTAATTTAAAATTTAAGATGCCCAATTAGACTGAGAGCGCCCAATTAGACTGAGAGCACCCAACCAAAGGGTACTAAGATAAGCTTAATCAAACACCAAATGTAGCATTTCGTTTTTTGGACATTTTGGAGAGAAATAATGATAATAAATATCTATGAAATTCATCCTCAGAAAAAAACTCTAAAGTGGAACTCTCCCGCTAAACCATCAAAGAGTCTCCAAGAGTTATTGCTTCGGTTGAGATATCTTTCAAAATCTCCAATAATTTTGAGACATATGCTCGATCCAAGTTCTCCAAGAGTTATTGCTTCAGTTGAGATATCTCTCAAAATTTCCAATAATTTTTGGACTTTTGCTTGATACAAGAGGGTGCCCAGTATAGAGAAGCTGAGAATGGCGTCTCGCTTTATTCATAAAATTTATATGTATCATATATTATTTATGTATTTATTATATCATTAATTTTATAAGACTTTTAAAAATTGAGCGTTTACTTGTCAAGTTTTTCACACTTGTCACCATTTTTTGACATATCACTTTTTATCACTTACTGATATAGAGATTGAGCTCATCTCTTTGAGAGAGTCTGTTTTGCTCGTTCAAGAGGCCAATATATTTTGCTCGATAAAGAAATCTATATAGGGGTATTGGATATAAACCATAACGGACCTAATTGGTCATTCTAATCTCTCTTAGATATGTAAAGAAAGAGAAATCCCACACTTGGTGTTTGAAAATAAGCTAAATTATTTTGATAAATGGACTTTTTCAGTAAAACCATCACCCTTAAAAGAAATAAACGCTTTTATTGCTGTGCTTCGCTATTTTGGATGAACCCAAGGTCTTGCCATTTACGATGGATTTACGAATATTCTAACTCTAACAATATTTAGTAAATAAAATTTTAATTGAATGAGAAATAAATTAATTATATTACAAATTAGCTAAATTAAAGATTTTTTATTAAATTTAAGGTAAAAGAAAATCTTGAAAAAAAAATTGAAAAACTAAATTTTTTAACAATTGAGCCCGATTCAAATCTGAATAAATTTGTTAACAGAATTATTACACCTCTTGGTGAAACTCTTTACTATATATTTTTAGATTCTGTTGAGTCATTAAAACTTCAGAGCATTTTAAAGACCACAAAACTTCTTGCTAGTGGAAATGGAATTATTTTTAATCAGAAAAGTGGATATGAATGCATTATTGATGGAGCCTTAATTGTTGTCGCCGAAGGACAAGAATTAATATCTTCTGATGAAGAATATATGGAATCAGTAATAGAAAATGCGATTTTTTACTTATTAAGCAATGTTAAAACAGAAAACAGTTTGGAAATTTTATTTTGGTTAAATACTCTATTAGATAGTCAGAGCATAAATGAATTTTCTTTATTCTTCTTTAAATTGAAGCCAAAAAATATTATGCTTATCTAAAATAATATTGAAATTTATTTATAAAATTTGCTTTGCAAATTTCGAATTTAATTAATATTATTCAAGATTATACTTTCTCCTTTAAATAGATCAAAATATGGATAAATTTCTGATTTTGCGATTAAATTTTGTGTCAAATCTCGTAAAATTTCAATTAGTTAATTTCAGAGATAAAATTGAATTTTTAAATTATTAAAGGCAAGTTAGTCAATATTCAAAACGGAAAAAGAATAATAATAGGAAAAATCATGAATGAAAACTTATTTTTATTTAGCAACATCACATTTCCAGGCAATTCAACAGAAATCCCAAAATCAACAAGAAAAGTGCTACAATTAAGCATCGAAGCTGGTTCTTCCAATCCATCAGGGCCACCTATCACTATAGGAGCAGTTGGAGGGTATGGCTCATACGCAGCTTGTGACATAATTAACGAACAATGCTCAGGATTGCTTGATAATTTTCAGATCGATCTATTTAATTTTGACTGTGGTGTAACAATTTATAACTCCACATTTGCTAATGCTTGCTATTTAAAAGACCAAGAAAAGTTTGGCTTAGGACACATTTCAGCTTGGTCTTCAGCAATGACAATTGGGTCAATGAAATCTTTTGCAAAGCTTAATTTAACGTTCCCCATTGTAAGTGCTTCAAATAAAGATGCCATTTTTAATTCAACCCCAAATTATCCAATGTACATGAGAATTCAGGCTTCATTGTCTTATATATATTCTTTAATCCCGATTTTTATCCGAGCATTAGGCTGAGAAAAAGTTGCTGTTCTGTACCATAAATAAAATGGCATTCGGCTCGAGAGAAATTAGCTTCGCTAATTTTCTCTCCCACATGGAATTTTATTTATGGGGTTAGGTTTTCTCTCGAGAACTTCTGCACAGCAACAGCCGTTTAATTCTGGGATAGCCAGAGGAATGGCTCCACAGTGCGATCAAGATCTCAGGGTTTTACCTCTCAGCAGATCTCCACGGGAAGATGACCCTTAGGCGAAACACGCGCAGGAGCTGAGTCAGGGCGAGGCATCGGCAACGCGCCGGGTGAGAAGCTCAGCTAGGCTGGAGGCGAAGCTTTGATAGAAGGCTTGGGCCTGGGCTGACCAGGTTAATCCAAGATGGCTCGGTGACGTCACTAGTTTGGCCAAAAGCCCTTTTTATAGGGGCTGCAGCACCGGACACCTTAAATACCGAATATTAAGTATAGAAATTGCCCGAGGATGGCGCAAAATAGCGCCATCCTCGGGCAATTTCTATAAGTAAGTAAAGCTGTTCTTTACCAAAATGATACGTGAGGGCAATCTGGGTATTATTTTTTTACCCAGAGCATTAAAAGTCATGATCTTTTGTTGGCCAACCCAGAAAGCAGCAGAGTTATCCCGCCGAATCTTGATAGAGATGGAGTAAAAGAATACTCATATTTACTTCAAGAAATAATAGACTCTCAAGCAAGATTTTTGGTGTCTATTTTACAATATCCGACTCCTTACTATATATTTGAAGAGCTTTATGATTTAGGGCTAAGAAAAGGAGATCTAGTTATTTTTACGACTGTTTCTGATATGACCACATTTTCACAATATGATGGCGAATTCAGAAATAAAATATATGAAATTGCTATTCCAATTATTATAGCGTTTGCACCGCAATTGATTGCCTATGTGAGGGTTTCCCGCAGCAACTTGGAGCTCTGACGAGCCATCTAAAGGTGACAAGTCAACTCCAAGTTGACAAATCCTTGCAAAAGGGCACGCTTTTGTCAACTTGGAGTTGACTTTTCACCTTTAGGTGGCTCGTCAGAGCTACAAGTTGCTGCGGGAAACCCTCACAAAGGCAATCAATTGCGGTGCAAACGCTATACTATATATGGACAAAGCTGAGTAGGGTCATTAGGAAAAAAAGCTTTATCAAGAATTTCAGAGGCATATGATGGTTTAATAAATTCTTACAGTTGTGTATATTTCGACTCAGTTCTTTTGATTTCTTATGCTTTGGATTTCATGATTAATAGGGGCTTAGATTACACAGATCCAGATAAATTGCAAAAAATAATGAGAAATCAGCAATTTTATGGGTGCACTGGACAAGTTAACATAGAAAAAGGGTCAAATGATAGGATTGTCCAAACATTTGAGATAGTGGCTAATAAGCTTGGCGAAAATGAAAATATTACATCTTATCTAATGGGATATTTTCGGCCTCAAAGTACACAATTAATTAGATTAGATTAACGCTAGGTATTTAAGGTCCCCACTACGTCCGAGGAAGCATTCTACTGTTTCCCGTATGGTGGCAGAGCGTTCACCAAGCCCGGGCCGAAACCCCGGTTTCTCGGTAGAGGCAGTGTCAAGGGCCGTCTCATACCAGCTTTGCTGACCGCCTCCATTTCCAACTTGGATCGTCGCCTAAGTTTACGCCAACACTGCCGCGTCGTCCGCCAGATCTACCCATTGAAGGGCACCTTTTAAACTGGAGAGACCCCCGTTTAGTTGTCTAACTCGCCTTCTCCTCTTTTCCGGTCATCCCGAGAAAGAACTCAACAGCTTTCGCCATTCGGGGCGAGCCACAAAAGCAGCTTAGGCAGGTAAGTCGCCCTGCCTCATTTCGGGCACTCACTGGGCTGAGCGCTGCTGGCAAAAAGAAGTCACGAGTAACTGCCCATGGGTCTGGTCACAAAAACAGCGGCTTTTGCGCTTAGGCCTCTCGCTTCGAGGTCCCAGACGTTGTTGGGCTAACTCCTGGCTCCAAAAATCATGCCCGGATATACATGGGTAACCACCACTGAGAGGGTGGGTCGGTCGCCGTCCACCATTTTATGTATATCCTCAAAGTGCACAATTAATAGCAATCCAAGAGCCTATGATATATGCTGACGGCTCAACCACAAAGCCATCAGATTTAAGGACTAGTAGTAGCCAATGCCCTTTTCCTGATAAGCTTATAAAAACATTTGCTAAAGGTAGAATCCTAGTATTTGGGATCTGCTTTACTGTTGCCTTGATATCCTTTGCTATTACATTTTATATATGGAAAAAATGATGGAAATTTTCAATTGAGCCATTAACAGTAAAAGAAGAAATTTGTTTGCAAGACATTATTGTAGCTGTGACCATTATTATTGAATTTTTTCAACTTTCTTCAATGGGGCCAGATTTTTCACCTATTAACTCTACATTGGCTGGAATTAGTAATTTTTTTTCGCTGAGCTTAGATAATATATTGAAATTAAGAAATGGAGTATTTTGAATTATTGTCAATGCTGTTTTCGGATCAATTGGGTTATGGGTAATTCTGTGCTCAGTTGTGCTTCTTAGACTTGATGAGAAATTTCCTATGAGCTTTATATTCAGAAATTTAGGTACTTTAGCAGAGTATCTGATGCCTGTTTTAGGAGATCTTTGTTTTATTCCCTTTATTTCAATTTGCCTTGATATTTTTTTATGTGATCAGTCGATTGGAGATAATTTTACTGACAGTTTTTTATCAGAAGATTGCTATTATTTTTGTTGGAAAGATGAACATTTATTTTATGCAATCTTTTCTATTATTGCTTTAATTGCTTATAATAATTAAAAATATTGGCGTCTTAGCAAGGTATGGCTGAGAGGCCATGTAGCTTCAAGCGCATATTTTAATTGCATCCGGCATTGTTTTGCCACCCAAAAAATTAGCAGCAATGCTAGGCAAGTTCTCATTTAGAAGGCAGAGCCTAACCCAAGCTCAAACTCTAGGATGAATTTTATCTTGTGGGGAAGGAAGGGTATGGTAGTTAGAATGGGGTAGCCCAGCAAAGCCTATTAATCCAATCCGGTAACTCCTTAATGAAACTTGGCGTTACTTCCTAGACTACATTTTTCCCTTTTTGCCGACAGTCGGCCAGAAAATCCATTTTTTGGGTTTTTTGTGCAGGCAACTCACGAAACGAAGGAAGTTGCTGACACATGAGCCTTCGAAGCCGACAACACCGCTCCCAAAGGCTTGTGGGCCCGATGCGTAAAAGAGTGGGTGGAAGATCTGGGCATGCGAACTCCGTAGTGGACCTTAAGCGTATAAATTTAAGTAAGTAAGCTTTAATTGCTTATGAGCCCCTTGCAGTTTTTTGTAGGCCTCTTTGGCAAGAGCTGCAGCCTATTTTACATGTAAAAGCAGTTCCACTCTTTTTGATGGTAAAAACAATTGTTCAAATTATATTAATTGTGATGAACAAGACAGTAAAAAGGGCTCAAAATCTCCTTCATGGGGCTCTTTTTATATTAGTGATGGGCCTTTATATTGGTTTTTTATTTAAATTCAAACCTTACAATTATCCAAGATTCAGTTGATGGCAAACTTTGGTTTCAATTGGAGTAGGCTGGCTTGCCTTAGTTTCAGTTGTTGAGCAAAGTATTGATGCTGGCCCTATTATTTTATTATCAGTTTTGTGCTTTGGTTTCTTAATCATTGGATTTCTAGGATTATACATCCAAAGAAAAAAATATCCAAGCCTTCTTTTTCGAAAAAAAGGTCAAGATACGTCCAATTTATTTAGGTTTGCTTTTTCTTTTGGCAAACATTCGAAAGAAGCTTTATCAAAAATTGTCCCTAGTAGTTTAGCAAATTCATCAAGAAAATTATTATAAGCTAGATTGTAAATATTTTTCATCACTGACCTATTCTTTGAAAACCAAAAATTTCTCTATGGTATTCTTCATTTGGTTAAATCGGGGACCTGAAGGAGACTCCGGGAGGCTACTTTTTCTCCCTCCCCGGAAAGGACGGCGCCGGGTCACTAGACCCCTGATCAAGGAGTACCTGGGTGAGCCTCCCTGTTGTCTGGCGACGTCACCATTTTTTGGTGACGTCGACAGAAAAATGGAGTGAGCTACAGAGCCAGTGCATAGGGCGCGAGCTTGAAGCTGGCAGCGCTGGGTAGAGGCTGAAATAAACCTCCGTGACCCGCTACAGTTAATTAATCTAATCTAATCATTTGGTTAAAAGAAATTTTTTCCTTGCAAGTTTTTTTTAAGCCTGAAAGTTTCTTTTGAGAAAGTTCTTTCGATTTTTGCTTGTGCTCAGCACATTATATGCGTTTTCTTTCGTTAAATTGATAATTATGTAATTATGAATGTTGTTTTTAGACTCTGTGAAAGTGTATAAATAAAGTAAACTCCAGCTATAGTCATAGCCCCATCCATTTTAAAACTGTTGATCTATAGTAAATTATAAGTTTATGAAATTTAATTTTATTTAGAATTTTCTAATTTTTCTATTGTATTGGTTCATCTTATAATACAGAATCGAATTTAAGAATTTACCCATCTTTTCTATTTGATTTTTATATAGATAATTATTTAATTTGCTTTGCATTTCAATATGCTATATTGATCCTCTTCAAATTCTGGATGCAAATCTTTATTTAATTTTTCTTTTGATCTGCCAAATAGGGGTGACTGAGGGAGTAAGATATATTGAAAATTACACAACAAAGCTATAATATAGCACCTTGGATAATTTGTAGTAGGTTTGATATTTAAGATAGCTATACTAATAATGAAGAAAAGCCACGAAATCAAGAAGCTGGCAGAAATGAAAAACGAATATTATATTACAGGAGTATAGAGAATTATATTTAATTTAAATTAAAATACTTGCTATATATAGAAAGCATTGACAAAAATATTTCTACAAGCCAAGCACTTCAAGAAATCATCCCCAAAATCAATCATAAAATCGAAATCATAAATGCTGAACTAAATTTAATGCGAACTTACAACGATTTATTAAAAAATTCAACATCATTCATTTCCCAAAAGGCTTTTGAATATTCTAGGCAATACGATTTCAGCTCTAATAATTGATATTTTAGAACACCTCCTTCTTCAGCTTCCCTTAAGCGTAAAAAGCCATGTGAAAACGCTATAAAGCTTATAGACTGTTTGCATATACTTATGAATTACAAAAATAATGATTATGATCGTTTTTATAAAACTTATGATCTAAGTGTCTTATGGAATTTGGATCATCAATGATGAAATTATGCGGTAAGATTGACTGATAAGCAGCTGATGAAAATATCTGAAGTTATTGAAGAACTGGATAGCTGAAGTTCTGGAGCAAATTGTCATTTGAAAGATATTTATTTATGAATTAAAGGGACGAGCATAAAACTTTTAGCAGTCAGAGCAAAATCTAGCTGTGAAAAGATTAGAGAAGAAGTAGAAAAAAAGAGAGAGTCAAAGAAAAAAGAGTTAAGATGTCTACAAAGAGAGCTGCTGGATGCTATAGATTTTAAATCTAAAATCTAATTTTTCTTTAAAATTACTAATTTTTTAGTAAATATTAAATTAATTATATTAAAGTTAATCTTAGCTTATGCTGCAATTAAAATTTTCGGATTTAAGCTTTATGTGCTTAGAAATAAATCGCAACATTAATTTTTAAATAATTTAAGTAATCAATCATATTTTGAATTAGAAGCTATAAATTAAACAATAAATTTATTCACCTATAATAATAGTTAAAGTATTTTACCTCTATAATAATGTCGATAACCAAAGATCTTGTGATAAATTTTGACTATCATAAATTCCTATGAAAATTGTTTTTATTCGTCTGTTTACTGGATAGTTTTAACTGCTTAGAAATTATTGTGATATATGAAAAAAGCAACTCCAGCATAAACAAACAATGCGTTTTGAGCTTTTTTGCTGAAGCAAGCTCCCTGGTTGAATGATATAATTGCGAATATTCTGAGGCAACAACTTGCCTTAGTTCTTATGAGAATGCTGTGCTCGTTTTAGATTTAACAGATCGCATCGAAACTCAGTATTTTTTATCAGAATTATGCAAGGAAAGAGAAATCCCACACTTGGTGTTTGAAAATAAGCTAAATTATTCTGATAAATGGACTTTTTCAGTAAAACCATCACCCTTAAAAGAAATAAACGCTTTTATTGCTGTGCTTCGTTATTTTGGATGAACCCAAGGTCTAGTCATTTATGATGGGTTTCAGGATTTTGTAAAAGAAAATCACGATAAATATTCAGAAAAACTAAATTTTTTAGCAATTGAACCTGAGGCAAGTATTAGTGAATTAGTAAATAGAATTATCACACCTCTTGGCGAAACTCTTTACTATATATTTTTGAAAACAGCTGAATCATTAAAACTGCAGAGTATTTTAACGACCACAAAGCTTTTAGCTAGTGGAAATGGAATTATTTTTGATCAAAAAAGCAGTTATCAATGTATTATTGATGGAGCTTTAATTATAACCGCCAAAGGCCAGGAGCTAATTTCTTCAGATGAAGAATATATAAAGTCGGCGATGGGAAATGTGATTTATTACTTATTAAGCCATATTAAAACAGAAAACAGTATGGAAGTCTATTTTTGATTAAATTCTCTGATGGAAAGTCAACGCAGTATAAATGAGTTTTCTTTAGTTAACATTCAAGATGGGCAAAGAGTAATAGTAGGAGAAATCATTAATGAAAGTTTATATTTGTTTAGCAATTTCATTTTCCCAGATAATTCAACAGAAATTCCAAGATCAGCTAAAAAAGTTTTAAAGCTTAGCATTGAAGTTGGCTCTTCAAATCCTTCAGGTCCGCCTATTGCTCTAGGAAAAGTTGGAGGATATGGCTCATATGCAGCTTGTGATATAATTAATGGCCAAAGCTCTGGGCTACTAAATAATTTTCAGGTCGAGATGTTTAATTTTGACTGCGGTACCTCAATTTATAACAACACATATGCTAATGCATGCTATTTAAAAGATAAAGATAAATTTGGCTTAGGGCATGTGGCAGCTTGATCTTCCGTTATGGTAATAGGGTCAATGAAATCTTTTAAACAGCTTAATTTAACATTCCCCATAGTAAGTGCTTCGAATTTAGATGCAAGTCTGAATTCCACCACAATTTTCCCGATGTATATGAGAGTTACAGCATCATTTTCTTATATGTACTCTCTGGTCCCAATTTTTATCCGAGCTTTAGGATGAGAAAAAGTTGCTGTTATTTACCAAAATGATACATGAGGGCTATCTGGATATCATTATTTAACTCAGGGAATCAAAAATCATCATATTTCTCTCGTTAACCCAGAAAATACTAGAGCAATTCCGCCAAGTCTTGATCGAAATGGTGTAAAAGAATATTCGAGCCTTCTCCAAGGAATAATAGACTCCCAAGCAAGATTTTTGATTTCAATTTTGCTTTACCCTACTGCCTACTATATTTTTGAAGAGTTCTATGATCTCGGGTTAAGACAAGGAGACCTTGTCATTTTTACAACAGTTTCTGATTTAACCACATTTTCAGCATATGATTATGCATTTAGTTATAAAATATTAGAAATTGCTGTCCCAATTATTACCATATATGGACAATGCTGAGTCGGACCATTAGGAGAAAAAGCATTGACACAAATTTCAAAATCCTATGGGGGATTAATAAATTCTTATAGCTGCTTTTATTTCGATTCAGTATATTTGATTGCTTATGCTTTAGATTTCATGATTAATAGAGGATTAGATTATACAGATCCTGATAAATTGCAAAAAACAATGAGAAATCAGCAATTTTATGGATGCACTGGACAAGTTAACATCGAAAAAGGGTCAAATGATCGCATTATTCAATCTTTTGAAATCGTCGCTAACAAGCTGGGCGACAATGGCAATATTACCACTTATATTATGGGATACTTTCGGCCTCAAAGCACACAATTAATAACAATCCAAGAGCCTATGATATATACTGATGGCTCAACTACTAAGCCAGCCGACCTAAGGAACAGCAATAATGAGTGTCCTTTTCCCAGCAGGCTTGCAAGAACTTTTGCAAAAGGAAGAGCATTGGCATTCGGAATTTGTTTTGCAGTAGCATTGATTTCTCTAATTATTACCATTTATATATGAAAAAAGTGATGGAAATTTTCGATAGAGCCTTTGACTATTAAAGAAGAAATTTGTGTCCAAGATGTTATTTTGGCAGGGACAATTATAATTGAATTTTTTCAGTTTTCTTCAATGGGGCCTGATTTTTCAGCAATTGATTCAACATATGCTGATATAAGTGACTCTTTTTCACTAAGTTTAGACCATATTTTGAGACTGAGAAATGGAGTCTTTTGAATTGTTGCTAATGCTGTTTTTGCATCTATTGGCTTGTGAGTGATTTTATGCTCAGTGGTTCTTTTTAGACTTGATGAAAAATTCCCTATGAGCTTTGTATTTACATCTTTATCTGGAGTAAACAAAGCCATTGGCAAGAATTAATTTTTTAGGCAAAAATAGTGTCTGAGAGTGAGCCAAGGTTTTTGATATATAAATGATAATTATTTATTCATTTTTTTTAATTCTTCAAAGGCTTAAAATTTAAAGTAATTTTCATTAAATTTGGAAACTAAAAAAATAAGCGAGTAAATAAATTGCTCTCTAATGAAGGATGAGCTAGGAATTTAGGAACTTTATCTGATTACCTGATGCCTATTTTAGGCGATCTTTGTTTTATTCCGTTTATTTCAGTTTGTCTTGATATCTTTTTATGTGATCAGTCTATTGGAGATAATTTTACGGATAGTTTTTTAGCAGCAGATTGCTATTATTTTTGTTGAAAAGACGAGCATTTAGTTTATGCAGTTTTTTCTATTATCGCTTTAATCGCTTATGAGCCACTAGCAGTATTTTGTAGGCCTCTTTGGCAGGAGTTGCAGCCTATTTTGCATGTAAAAGCAGTTCCACTCTTTTTGATGGTAAAAACAATGGTTCAAATTGCATTAATTGTGATGAATAAAACAGTAAAAAGGGCACAGAGTATTCTTCACGGAATTCTTTTTCTAATAGTGATGAGTTTTTATATTATTTTTTTATTTAAATTCAAGCCTTACAACTACGCAAGATTCAGCTGATGGCAAACTTTAATTTTAATTGCTGTTTTATGACTCTCTTTCCTTTCAGTAATCGAGCAAAGTATTGGCGGGAACCAAATTATTCTGATATCAATTTTATGCTTTGGATTTATAATTATTGGATTACTTGGTCTTTATGTTCAACATAAAAAGTATCCAAGTCTTCTATTTCGGAAAAAGGGGCAGGACACGTCAAGTTTGTTTGTATTTGCTTTTTCTTTTGGAAAGCATTCAAAATTGGCTTTGTCTAAAATTGTTTCAAGCTCCAAGATAGGCATGGGATCTTGAAAATAAATGACTTTATTATCATTAATTTTAAAAAATCTAATCTTAAAGAATAAAAAATTAAATTACATAGAGTCCTGATAGGAATATTAACAGAATCCTTTTTTATTATTTAATAACAGTGAATAATTAAATCATATATAGAATTAAATCAGCTATCTAAAATGCACATAGAAGAAGTAAAGCGCAGTAATTCGCTAATTAAAATGGATTGGAAATAAAAGTCTAAATTTTGCTCTTATTTAAAACAATAAATTTTGCCAATAAATGCCATAGTAAATTTTCTTCCTCTTCAATTAAGTAATAAAATTATATAATATTGATTAATAAATTATGTCTCTAGTAGATTATTTTGGTGAATTTTTTTGCAATCATCAATCTCTATGGAAATTGGCTTTATTTATTAGCTGGCTGAATCTTTTTAAAAGTTTAGAAATTATTTTGATTTATGAACAAGGCAATTCTATTTGAAATCAAAAAAATAAATTTGAAGGATTTTCAGAGTTTAACTCCCTTGCTGAATGGCACATTTGTGGTTACTCAGAAGCTTTAATCTGCTTAGATATGTATGAGAACGCTTTACTGCTTTTGGATTTGACAGAGCGAATTGAAACTCAATTTCTCTTATCTAAATTATGCGAGGAGAAAGAAATATCTCACCTTGTATTTGAAAATAAATTAAGTTATTCTGATCAATGAACCTTTTCAATAAAGCCATCATCTTTAGAGCAAGCCAATGCATTTCTTTCAGTTCTTCGTTATTTTGGATGAACTAAAGGTCTTACGATTTCTGACGGATTTAAGAATATTTTAAAAGAAAATTTGGAAGAATACTCAAAGACTTTAGCTTTTATGACGATTGAGCCTAATGCAAATATAGAGGAATTAGTTAATAGGATTATAACTCCACTTGGCGAAACTCTTTATTATATTTTTATGACTCCGACAGAGTCCTATAAACTGCAGAGCATCTTAGCGTCGACTAAACTTTTAAATATTGGAAATGGAATTGTTTTAGACCAAGAAAGTGGATATAATTACTCAATAAATGGGGCTTTAATAATTACAGTAAAGGGGCAAGAGTTTTCTTCTTCAGAAAATGAATATATGACCTCTTCAGTGAAAAGTATAATTAATTATATATTAGAAAATATTGAAACTGAGACTAAACAAGAAGTATTTTTTATATTGCAATCATTACTAAGAAGCAAGAATCATTTTTCGTTAGTAAATATAGGCATTTCGCCTATATTGCCCTATATGGGCCAAAAGTTGAGAGCACTTCCTCTTAAGTTGTTTGACCAACTTAGGCTGGCCAAACCAATCAGAGAGTTTAGGGAGTTTCCCCCTCCTGCTGGTTTGGCCAAACTAAGTTGGTCAAAAAGCTTGAGAGGAAGTGCTTTCAACTTTCGGCCCACATCGGGCAATATAGGCGAAATGCCTATACCCAAGATGGAGAAAGAGTCGTAGTTGGAAAAATCCTTAATGAAGAATTATTTTTATTTAGTGATATTATTTTCCCAGGAAACTCTAAAGAAATTCCAAAATCAATAAAAAAAGTTTTACAGCTTAGCATTGAAGCTGGCTCTTCTAATCCTACAGGCCCCCCTATTACTGTTGGGCTAGTTGGAGGATACGGCTCATATTCAGCTTGTGAAATAATAAATGAAGATAATTCAAGCTTACTAAATAATTTCCAAATTGAATTATTTAATTTCGACTGCGGGACATCAATTTATAACTCCACATTTGCTAATGCCTGCTATTTAAAAGATAAAGACAGCTTTGGCTTAGGCCATATATCAGCTTGATCTTCAGCAATGTCAATTGGGTCAATTAAATCTTTTAAGCAGCTTAATCTAACATTTCCTATTGTAAGTGCTTCTAATGGAGATGTCACGCTAAATTCTACGGCTAATTACCCAATGTACATGAGAGTCCAAGCTTCCCTTTCTCTTGGATATTCCTTAATCCCTATTTTTATCAGAGCTTTAGGTTGAAAACAAGTGGCAGTTCTTTACCAAAATGATTCATGAGGACTATCTGGGTATTATTATTTCAACCAAAGCGTTAAAAACCACGATCTCTCTTTAATCAACCCAGAAAGCAGCAGAACAATTCCAGCAAATCTTAACCGAGCTGAAATAAAAGAATATTTATATATCTTCCAAGAAATTATTGGCACCCAAGCACGATTTTTAATTTCAATTCTACAATACCCAATGGCTTATTATATATTTGAAGAGTTTTATGATTTAGGAATAAGAAAAGGAGATCTTGTTATTTTTACAAAACTTTCGGACCTTGCTACGTTTGCAGCTTATGATAATTTATATGCATATAAACTATATGAGACTGCTGTTCCTATAATTACTATGTATGGACAAAGCTGGGTTGGGCCATTAGGAGAAAAAGCATTATCTTATATTACAAAAAATTATGGAGGATTGGTAAATTCATATAGCTGCTTCTATGTAGATGCAGTTTTTTTAATTGCATATGCGCTGGATTTTATGATTAATAGAGGAATTGATTATACTGACCCTGATAAGCTGCAAAAAGCTATGAGAAATCAGCAATTTTATGGGTGTACTGGACAAGTTAATATAGAAAAAGGGTCAAATGATAGGATTATCCAAACTTTTGAAATTATTGTAAATAAAATAGACGAAAATGGAAATTTAACTACTTATGTGATGGGGCAGTTTCGGCCTCAAAGCACACAGCTAATAACAATCCAAGAGCCTTTGGTATATGCAGATGGCTCCACAACAAAGCCAGCAGACTTAAGAAGCACTGATTATAAATGCCCTTTCCCTGATAGGCTTGTAAGAACTTTTGCAAAAGGAAGGGCTTTGGTTTTTGGAATTTGCTTTTTTGTTGCTTTGGTTTCTCTAGTGATTACAATTTATATATGAAAAAAGTGATGGAAAATTTCAATTGAGCCATTAACTACAAAAGAAGAAATTTGTATGCAAGATGCTATTGTGGCAGGGACAATTATAATTGAATTTTTTCAGTTTTCTTCAATGGGGCCTGATTTTTCAGCAATTGATTCTACTTTGGCTGAAATAAGTGGTACCTTTTCGTTGAGCTTGGACCATATTTTGAAATTAAGAAATGGGATCTTTTGAATTATTGCTAATGCTGTTTTTGCGTGTATTGGCTTGTGAATAATTTTATGTTCAGTAGTCCTTCTCAGACTGGATGAGAAATTTCCTTTGAGCTTTGTGTTTAGGAATTTAAGCACTTTGGCTGATTATTTGATGCCTATTTTAGGTGATCTTTGCTTTATTCCGTTTATTTCAGTTTGCCTTGACATTTTTTTATGCGATCAGTCTATTGGAGATAATTTCACTAACTTCGTTATCTGAGGATAACCAAAGAAGAAGGGATGATTATTTATTAAAAATTCATAATAAATTTAATCAGATCAATTTTTTCAAATTTTTAATTTATCTTCTAAAATTCTTATTTTTATATATCATAATTTTGTATCTAACTCTCCCCTCAGTGAGTAAACAAAAATATTGTTGGCTTACAGAGGGAGGTTAATTTTTTTTAAAAAATTTATATAGATCGAGCACACTAATAACATGCCCTCAGAGCTCAGCAGAAGCCAAGGTTGCTAGTTTTCTGCTTCATTATGGCGAACCAAACTTGATTTGGCAAATAATGATTTTATTTCGCCAATAAAGTTTGGTTTGTCAGAAATGAGTAACGCCGACGAGCTTGGCTTCTGCTCCGAGCCAGCCCCAAGGGTGTGCTAATAGCAAAACTATGTATAAATTTTATAGTAATTTTTTTTACACAATTTAAAAAATCCCAATTCGAAATATTTTTGAATCAAATATTAATATAATTTGTAAAATTTATATTTAAATGGGAGCTGTTCAAATTTAAACAGAATAGCTAATAGATTCATTATAATAATTATACATTAAAAATGATTTTGTTCGCTCATGTAGGGTGGGTTTTTTTTACCCAAAAACATGAATTTTTCAATGGTTTGTTCGATCATGGAGGTGGGGAGTAAGAAGTTTTATTTTCCAAACAAATACTGTTAGCATATTTTTTGTCAAAGGAGAAGTGAAAGTTTTCTAGCTCAAGACTGCTATTATTTTTGCTGAAAAGATGAACATTTAGCTTATGCTATTTTTTCTATATTTGCACTAATAACATATGAACCTCTTGCGGTATTCTGTAGACCTCTTTGGCAAGAGCTTCAGCCTATTCTACATATAAAAGCAGTTCCGCTATTTTTGATGGTAAAAACTATCGTTCAAATAACTTTAATTGTAATGAATAAGACAGTAAAAAGGGCTCAAAGCCTCCTTCATGGGGCTCTTTTTATAGTAGTGATGAGTTTTTATGTTGCTTTTTTATTTAAATTCAAGCCTTTTAACTATGCAAGATTCAGCTGATGGCAAACTTTGATTTCAATTGGAGTAGTCTGATTAGCTTTAATTTCAGTAATTGAGCAAAGTATTGGCGGAGATTATCTTGTTTTAGTGTCAATTTTGTTCTTTGGATTTATAATGATTGCTTTATTAAATCATTAAAATATGGCGTCATTGAATTTTCTAGTCTTGGACTAAAAAATTTATCTCTTGCATATTTTAATTATAAAGTTTAAATTTTTCTGTTGAATTTATCTCGGCTAGACAAGGAAACAAGAGCACTAGGATTTACATGAGGGAATCCTATTTACCATGACTTAACTTTCAGATGTGTAATACTCACTTCAGGCGCAGAGGCTGGAATTTATAAGCCTGAGTCAACTGCTTGAACTCAAAAAAAAGCTGCCAACTCCAAATTCAAGACTGGTGCAATGACCATATAGTTGGGTTGATCAACACTTGCCGGTAGACGAAAAATGGCATTAAATGGTCTAGTTGTTAATGTGGCTATAGCATAACACTAGTTTAGATTGCTTTAATTGGAGTTTATGTTCAGTATAAAAAATACCCAAGTTTGCTTTTTCGTAAAAAAGGCCAAGACACATCAAATTTGTTTATTTTTGCATTTTCTTTTGGCAAGAATTCAAAACTGGCATTATCAAAAATTGTTCCAAGTGTGACGTCTATGTCGTCACCACGTAAAATTGGAGACCAAAGCCCTTAAGTCATAGTACTCTTAACGTTTTATAATAATTAATCAAATATAAATAGTGCTTTTATGTAAAATGAATAATTGAATATGAAAAAGTCAGATAAATTAAAAAAAATTACTAAATTTGGATTTTTTAAGATGATTTAAAAAGAAATTAATATAAATAAATATTTTATAAATAATTAATCGAAAATTATAGAATATAGATTTTTTGTTATTGCGAGATCCCATTTTTGATATTTGTTTTTCTTTTATAATAATTATATACATCTCGGTCTGGTCTCTCGGCTATGTAGTATCAAGCATATATTTAATTATGCCAGCCTATAAATGGACAGCAATATCAGGTAAGCAATTCTGTAGCGTGCAACGCCTGATCCAAGTCCCTTTTCAGGATTTGATTTTATCTCGTTAAAAAGAAAAGGTCTTGAGTTGGAAAGAAGATACCTAGCAGGGTCTTTTGACCCTTCGGTGATGCCAAGAGTTACGCCTTGGGCTCTAAGTTGGACCTTTTGCCTGAAATCCTTTTTTTGGAAAGTTTTGTGCAGGCAGCCTGCGTTTAAGCCTAAGAGATAAAAGGACGGCCTCCCCGAAGCCTTGGGACCGATCAGCAACGAATCCAGGCGGAACAATGTGATGGTGGAGCGAGGCAACTCGATGTAAGAACGGAAGCCCGTGCAGTATATCTGATAGTTGATGCTAAACGAAGGTTAAATCTAATTAATTTAATGTAATATTTTTTCTTTTATAATTGAATAAGTTATATAAAATTAATTAAATTTCAAATAAAAAGCACTTTTATTATCCTAACATGAGCGAGCATAAAATTTTAATTTTTTTTTCGAAATTTAAAAAATCCCAATTCGCAAAATTTAAAAGCAATTATTAATTTAATTTATAAAGCTTAGTTTTAAAATTTAACAGAGATTTCATTATACTAATTTTCACATATATATCAAAATTATTTTTGATAAAAAAATTAATATTAAAAAAACTTTTTTTTTCACTCAAGGAGAAAGGATTTTTGGAAAAAAATAGCGATTTTTCAATGGTTTTGTTCGCTCACGGAGGGGGGGAGTAAGTTAAGCACTCCATACCACAAATATTTATCTTTTTACATTTTTTTAATAATTTGGAATGCTAATCAATGTTTACCTTAATAAAAATCAATAATTTACTGAGAAATTTATGTTTTATACCAAAGATACCACACAAAATTTTGGTTATTATCTGCTCCTGTGAAAACTGCTTGTATCAATTTTTATATTGAATTTCTGCAATTGCTTATTTTCGACCCTTATAAATATTTTTTTTGGGAGTTGTGTTGCTTCTGTTTTAAGTTTTGAATTTAAATTTTAGATGTTAAACGAGAGAAGTTCGGAATCTTTCGCTTTACTACTATTAATAATATAATATAATTTTTTTTATATTTTACCAGCCACGAGAATTTTTCTTCTTTTGTAAAATATCAATACTTTATTTTTTACAGCAGAGAAGTCAGAAATAATTGTGATTTACAAAAAAAATAGTTCTATCTGAAGCGAAAACTTTATTTTTGAGTTATCATCTGATAATAATGCCTTTACTGGCTGGCATAACTGTGAATATTCAGAGATTTCAATTTGCCTTAATCTTTATGAAAATGCTGGTCTAGTTTTAGACTTAACAGAAAGCATTGAAACTCAGTTTTTTATTTCAGAAATGTGCAAAGAAAGAGAAATTTCCCATTTGGTGTTTGAAAATAAGTTAAATTATATTGATCATTGAACTTTCTCAATAATGCCTTCATCTTCGGACCAAATTAAATCTTTTATAGCTTACTCAAATATTTTGGTTGAGAAAGAGGCCTTATGATCTATAATGGGATAAAAAATTTTTTAAAAGAATATGCGGAAAAATACTCACTCCTAATTATTATAGTAATTTTTCGGGTTTTTATCTATATATTTTAATGATATCATAAAAAATATTTTATGGAGGAAAGTTAGAAAATTTTGACTATTTAACTATTGAGGAAGAAGCAAATACAGACGATTTAGTTAAGCGAATTATTACTCCACTTGGAGAAACTTTATATTATGTTTTTATGGAATCTTCTGAATCTTTAAAATTGCAGAGTGCTTTAATAGCTACAAATCTTTTAACAACTGGAAATGCAATTGTTTTTGATCAGAAAAGCGGATATGGCTGCGCAGTTGATGGAATTTTAATTGTTACTGTTAAAGGAGAAGAGCTCAGTTCTTCGAACGAGGACTATTTAAAATCGTCAATGCGGAGGATAATTTCTTATTTATTAGATCACATTAAAACTGAAAGCAGCCTTGAAATTCATTTTCAATTAAATTTATTTTCAAAAAATAATACAAGAGAATTTTCTTTATTAAATGTCCAAGATGGAAAAAGAGTAATAGTAGGCGAAATAAATAATGGGAAATTATTTATATTAAAAAAATTTCTTTTCCAGGCAATTCTAAAGAAATCCCTAAATCGCAAAAAAAAATATTACAGCTAAGCATTGAAGCTGGCTCTTCAAATCCAACTGGTCCACCTATATCTGTCGGACAAATTGGAGGATATGGCTCATATGCAGCCCGTGATATAATTAACGTCAGCTCTGGGCTTCTTGATAACTTTAAAATCAGCCTTTTCAATTTTGATTGTGGAGTCACTATTTATAACTCCACATTTGCTAATACTTGCTATTTAAAAGATAAAAACAGTTTTGGCCTAGCACATATATCAGCCTGAGCATCAGTTATGGCAATCGGGTCAATGAAATCTTTTAACCAGCTAAATTTATCCTTCCCTGTTATAAGTGCTTCGAATGGAGATGTCACGCTTAATTCGACAAAAAATTACCCAATGTATATGAGAATTCAGGCTTCTTTTTCTCATGAATATTCATTAATTCCTATTTTTATTCGTGCTTTAGGCTGGAGAAAGGTGGCAGTCCTTTATCAAAATGATACATGAGGCCTGTCTGGGTACGTTTATTTTAACCAAGGAAGTAAAGGCCATGATTTATCTTTAGTTAACCCAGAAAGTAGCAGAGCTTTTCCTGGGAATCTTAATAGAGAGGAAGTAAAAGAACATTCGCATATACTTCAAGAAATAGTAAACTCTGAGGCGAGATTTTTGATTTTAATAATGCAGTATCCGACTGCTTATTATATTTTTGAAGAATTTTATGATTTAGGATTAAGAAAAGGGGATCTAGTAATTTTTACATCACTTTCAGACCTGATTACATTTTCCGCATATGATAATGCTTATAAACATAAAGTATATGAAGTGGCTGTGCCTATTATGACTGGGCATGGGCAAAGCTGGGTTGGGCCATTAGGAGAAAAAGCACTTTCGCAAATAGAAAAATCATATGGCGGATTAATAAACTCGTATAGCTGCTTTTATTTTGATGCTATCTTTTTAATTACTTATGCGCTGGATTTTATGATTAATAGAGGGATGGACTATACTGATCCTGATAAACTACAAAAAGTTATGAGAAATCAGCAGTTCTATGGGTGTACTGGGCAAGTTAATATAGAAAAAGGGTCAAATGATAGGATTATCCAAACTTTTGAAATTTTTTTAAATAAAATAGACGAAAATGGAAATTTAACTACTTATGTGATGGGGCAGTTTCGGCCTCAAAGCACACAGCTAATAACAATCCAAGAGCCTTTGGTATATGCAGATGGCTCCACAACAAAGCCAGCAGACTTAAGAAGCACTGATTATAAATGCCCTTTCCCTGACAGACTTGTAAAAACCTTCCCAGATGGAAGAGCCTTAGTTTTCGGGATTTGTTTTGGCGTTGGATTAATCTACCTTGGCATCGTAATTTATATATGAAATCGATGATGAAAAATTTCTATTGAGCCGCTAAAGCGAAAAGAGAGAGAGAGAGAGAGATTAGTTAGAGAGGTTAAGCGGGGATTATTTCAGCCCCTAGCCAGTCGGACTTCAGCTTCGTGCTTCATGTGGCACTAAGCACTAAAGCCACCTAACGCCCTTTTTCTTCGGAGCCATCAAAAATGGTGACGTCCTCAGTCTGTCGGGGAGACTCACCCGACCCTGCTGGATCAGAAATTTCTATGCAAGACGTGATTGTGGGGATGACCATTTTTATTGAATTTTTTCAGTTTTCCTCAATGGGCCCAGATTTTACAGTTATAAATTCTACGTTGATTGAGATCAGTAATATGCTTTCCCTAAGCCTAAACGATATCCTTAAGCTCCAAAATGGGGTATTTTGAATAGTGGTTGACGTCGTTTTTGGGGCTATAGGCTTATGAGTAATTTTATGTTTTGTAATTCTTACTAGGCTTGATGAGAAATTTCCGACAATTGTTATGCTGAGACATTTAGACGCTTTAGCTGACTATCTTATGCCAATTTTAGGGAATCTTTGCTTTATTCCTTTTACTTCAGTGTGCCTTGACATCTTTTTGTGTGACCAATCAATTGGTGATAGCTTTACAGAAAGTTTTCTAGCTTGGGATTGCTATTATTTTTGCTGAAAAGGTGAGCATTTATATTATGCCGTTTTTTCAGTTTTGGCGCTGACTGCTTATGCTCCGCTTGCAATATTTTGTAGGCCTCTTTGACAAGAGCTGCAACCGCTTTTGCATGTAAAAGCAATCCCACTTTTTTTGATGGTAAAAACAATGGTTCAAATAATTTTAATTGTGATGAATAAGACAGTCAAAAGGGCTCAAAGCGCCCTTCATGGAGCTTTATTTTTGATAGTGATGCTTATTTATATTAGTTTTTTGCATAAATTCAAGCCTTATAACTACGCAAGATTCAGCTGATGGCAAACTTTGATTTTAATAGCAGTTGTATGGCTTGCTTTTCTTTCGATGGTTGCACAGAGTATTGGAGGGAATCCATTTATATTGTCAGCTATGCTATGCTCAGGTTGAGTAGTTATTATATTAGTTGGCATTTATGTGCAGCATAAAAAATACCCAAGTTTACTTTTTCGCAAAAGGGGCCAAGATACATCAACTTTGTTTAAATTTGCTTTTGCATTTGGCAGGCATTCAAAGCAAGCTTTACAAAAGATTGTTCCGAACACTAATGTAGAAAAGATTATTTTAAAGTAAGAGTCCTGAAAAATATTCGTATTTCTAATAATAAATATAGCATAATAATTAAATTATTGTTTTATTAATTTATGGATAAGATAATAAATAGAATTTTATGACGCTAATAAATTGGAATGATCATAGATAATTGAGTTTATATATTATAAAAATTGCTGATTGATATTTTAATTAAAAAAATACCCAAATTTACTGTATTGAAAAAGGCAATTACACTGCAAACTTGTTGAAATTAGAATACTTTGGAAAACCGTTAAAAATCGATTGTCTAAAATTATTTCAAGTTTATCAATTAAAAGTCCATTGCATGAGCTTGCAGATCTAGAAAAACACTAGTATATAAATGACATCAATAGGTTAAATCAATTTTTTTTATAATTTAATAATACCCAATTTGATTAGTTTTAATTTTAGATTTTTATAATATCAATCATTAGCTAATGTCCTATTTGAAAGACTATCCGAAAAATTCTAAAAGTTGTTGACCCTTGTGATGACAATTGATTTTATTTATTTGTTTGCTGGATATTAGTCGCTGCTTAGAAGTCATTGCGATCTATAATAAAAGCAGTGCAGTAAAATCTTATTTTAATTTTTCAGATGAGCTTAATTTGCTTGTGGAGTGGCATAATTGTGAATACCAAGAAGCATGAATTTGTTTTAATACATATATGAACTCTATGCTCATTTTAGACCTAACAGATAGCATTGAATCTCAGTATTATATTTCCAAATTATGCGAAGAGAGAAACATTCCTCACTTGGTGTTTGAAAATAAGCTAAATTACTTCGATCAGTTAACTTTTTCACTCCCCCTCAGTGAGTGAGGAAAAGCATGGAAAATTATTTGCTGGGAAGAAGCAAAATATGAAAACAATATTTTCAATATAAAAAAATTAAAATATTGCTATTATTAAAAAATCTCTAGCTAATTATTCTGTTGGGTCTAAAATATATTTTAATTTAAAATTATTAAAGAGGAGGTCAGTAACTCCATCTTCTTCAAACCAAATTAATGCGTTTATTACTACTCTTCATTATTTTAGGTGGACTCAAGGCCTTGCAGCAAATAATGGAATTACAAGCTCTTTAAAAGAAAACCTAAAAAATTACTCAGAAAGCTTTAACTATTTAACAATTGAGTCTGGAGCAAATATTGATGAACTAGTTAGGAGTAGGATCATTAAAAGTCAGGCGTTAGCCAAATTGATGATGCAGTGATCAAAGATATGCCCCACGAGAGGTTCTGCTACTTTTTGACTCCAGCCTAGAGGGTTATCCCTCATACGAGTGACTTCTGATGCCTTCTGTCTCCTTTTTGTGGATTCAGTCTCGAGTGGGCTTATGGATTTCTGTGGCCCTACTATGGGAGATTGGAGTAGCTTTATTCCATGGATCATTTCTTTGGAGTCTGTCGGGCGTCAAAGTGCCTTCCTTCGAAAGCTCCAGGAAAAAGACTAATCACCTGTGGCCTGGGCCGAAACCCCCAGTTCCTCGGTAGAGGAATGCTCATGGGTCCTCGGATCCAGAGGACTTTGTTGAGCACCTCCATTTCCAACCACAGGAAAACAGCCAAAAACTTACCCGGATGCATACCTCTTGAGTCTGCACTTGATTCAAGGCATGAGTCCGTCCAGTTTGCCATAGCCATAAATTCTGGACTGCTTCCCCAAGAGGGCACGCTGACACTTTTCGCCATTCTAATGTATATTAAACTAGTTAATAGGGTTATAACTCCTTTAGGTGCTACTTTGTATTATATTTTTACGAACTCTTCCGAATCCTATAAATTGCAAAAGGCTTTAATATCCACTAAACTCTTATCAAGCGGAAATGGGATTGTTTTAGACCAGAAAAGTGGATATAGCTGCATAGTTGATGGAGCTCTAATTGTTACTGCCAAAGGACAAGAATATAGTACCTCTGATGGAGATTATATGAAATCATCAATCGAAAGTGTAATTTCTGAACTGCTGAAAAATATTCAAACAGAAAGTAGTATTGAAATCCTTTCTTATCTGAATTTTATTTCAAAAAATCATTACAGAAGCCAAAACTTCTCTTTAGTTAATATTCAAAACGGTGAAAGGTTAATAGTAGGAGAAATTTTTGATGAAAAATTATCAATATTTGGAAATATAACATTTCCAGGGAATTCTTCAAAAATTCCGAAGTCAGAAAAGAAATTTTTGCAGCTGAGCATTGAAGCAGGCTCTACAAATCCAATAGGGCCTGCAATTCCTATTGGATTAGTCGGAGGGTATGGCTCATATGCAGCTACAGACGTTATCAACGAAGGTGACTCTGGCCTGCTCACAAATTTCCAAATCGAAATGTTTAATTTTGACTGTGGAGCCACAATTTATAATGCCACATTTGCTAATGCATGCTATTTAAAAGACAAGGAAAATTTCGGTCTTGGGCATGTGTCAGCATTAGGTTCTGCTATGGCAATTGGCTCAATGACTTCTTTTAAGCAGCTCAATTTGACATTTCCAATTGTGAGTGCTGCAAATGGAGACCCAAGTTTAAGTTCTACAGCTGCTTTTCCAATGTACATGAGAGTTCAGCTTTCAAATTCTTATGCATTCTCATTGCTCCCAGTTTTTATCAGAGCCTTGGGATGGCAGCAAGCCTCAGTTCTTTACCAAAATGATTCCTGGGGAATATCTGCTTACTATTATTTACAGCAAGGCGCTAAAAATAACCAAATTGAGCTAAAAAATCCAGAAAGCAGCAGAACTATCCCTCCAAATCTCGACAGGAATGGGGTAAAAAAATATTTATATGTTCTTCAAGAGATTATTGATACTCAGACAAGATTTTTCATTTCTCTTGTTCAGTATCCAGCTATTTATTTTATTTTTGAAGAATTTTATGATTTAGGACTAAGAAAAGGAGATCTAGTTATTTTAACAGCGCTCACAGATCTTGTTCCATTCTTAGGATACGACAATTTACATTTATATAAACTATATGAGACAGGAGTTCCAATTATAACTATGTATGGGCAAAGCTGAGTTGGGCCACTTGGAGCAAAGGCTTTATCAAGAATTTCAAATGCTTATGGAAACCAAAAGAACTCTTATAGCTGCTTTTATTTTGACTCGGTATTTTTAATTGCTTACGCTTTGGATTATATGATTAACAGAGGACTCGATTATACTAATGCTAATAAATTGAATGAAGTCATGAGAAATCAACAATTTTATGGGTGCTCTGGAGAGGTCATTATTGAAAAAGGGTCAAATGATCGAATTTTACAAACCTTAGAAATTTTTGCTAACAAATTAGATGAAAATGGAAACTTGACGACGTATATTGTGGGGCAGTTTAAGACTCAAAGCACACAGCTTATAAAAATTGAAGAACCTTTGGTATATGCAGATGGGTCAACTATAAAACCTACCGACTTGAGAAACACCAATTATGAATGCCCATTTCCTAATAGACTTATAAGAACATTTGCAAAAGGAAGAGCATTGGTTTTTGGGATCTGCTTCAGTGTTGCCTTGATTTCTCTGTTTATTACTATTTACATATGAAAACGATGGTGAAAGATAACTGTTGCACCTTTAACAGTAAAAGAAGAAATTTCTATGCAAGATTTTATTGTCGGAGCAACAATTGTTATTGAATTTTTCCAATTTTCATCTATGGGCCCTGATTTCTCGCCAATAAACTCTACATTAGCAGGAATAAGCAGTTTATTTTCTCTCAGTTTGGACAATATTTTGAAGCTGCGGAATGGGATTTTTTGAATAATCGTGAATGCTGTTTTTGGCTCAATAGGATTATGAGTAATCTTATGCTTGGTTGTGCTTCTACGATTAGATGAAAAATTCCCAACAAATTTTATTTTTAGGAATTTGGATGCTATTGCTGACTATTTTATGCCAATTTTAGGTGATTTGTGCTTTATTCCGTTTATTTCAATTTGTCTTGATATATTTCTCTGTGATCAGTCTATTGGAGATAATTTTACTGATAGTTTTCTTGCTCAAGACTGTTATTATTTTTGCTGAAAGGATGAACATTTAGCTTATGCGATTTTGTCTGTGTTTGCTTTAATAGCTTATGAGCCACTTGCTGTATTCTGTAGACCTCTTTGGCAAGAACTTCAGCCTCTTTTGCATGTAAAAGCAGTTCCACTATTTCTGATGGTAAAGACAATAGTTCAGATGACTTTAATTGTGATGAATAAGACAGTAAAAAGAGCACAAAATAATCTCCATGGAGCTCTATTTATAGCAGTGATGGGTTTCTATATTATTTTTTTATTTAAATTCAAGCCTTATAACTACCCAAGATTCAGCTGATGACAAACTTTAGTTTCAATTGCAGTTGTCTGACTAGCTTTTCTATCAATAATTGCTCAAAATGGCGGTGATGACCCACTTATTTTGACATCTATTTTGATACTCGGGTTTATAGTCATAGCAATAATTGGAGTTTATGTCCAGCATAAAAAGTATCCAAGTCTGCTATTCAGGAAAAAAGGCCAAGATGCATCTAATTTATTTAAATTTGCTTTTTCTTTTGGCAGGCATTCAAAACTAGCTTTATCAAAAATTGTTCCAAGCGGAACATCAATGTCATCTCCACGAAAAATTGAAGACCCGAGCCCATAATTTTTATATAAATAAACTTAGTCGAAAAACAGTTCTTAATATATTTTGGTTTATAAACTAAGACGTAATTTATTTACATTGAATGTCCGTTACCTATTTAAAGTTTCATAATCTCTTCATTTAAAACCTTTATTTTGAATGATGTCTAAATAATTTTGCGCAAGCTGCAAATAAATATTAAAAAAATGTGATAATGGCATATCAGCATAGCTTAGTGAACAGTGAGGTTTTATACCTCTAGAATATGGTCTAAAACTTCTACCTAAATCAAGATAAAACTGGAGCTTATTAAAACTGGAGCTTATTTGAAGAAATGACGTATATTGCAGAAATTAAAACAGCCATTGGTGAAAAACTTACAGAAGTTGAGCTGCCGACAAAAATATATTAAAGAAGGAGACCTATCATGAGGCCAAAAAAGGAAGCTTTCTTTTGCAATCGCCCTAATTGGGTACTAAAAAATAGCAATGCTTGGCGAGCCAGCTTCTGGATGGATTTTGCTGCCAGAAGAAGGATGTAAATGATAAAAAGACAGAATAATTATTTGACCACTAATTATATTGATTAGATTAGATTAAGATTAAAGGGTCACTGCGGGATTATTCCAGCCCACTATCCGCCTCCTCCCACTTCAGGCTCACGCCCTAAGCATGGGTAGCACTTACGCCATTTTGCCTATGTCGCCAAAAAATGGTGACGTCGACGCTCTCAGGGTGACTCACCCAGATACTTTATTGGACAATTCCTATCGGTCAGCCCGTCTGTCCGGAGGTGGAAACGGTAGGTGCTCTGAAGCCTCCCCCTGCCCTCCATCAATATCTTCGCTGCCAGAAGTGTGGGGTTGTCTTTACCACTCTGACGCCCCGGCCTACTTAAACCCACTTGGCCTGAGGCTGTGGGAGAAGGACGGGTCAGATAGTTCGCTATTTTATTTGTGCTTCATTATATTGAAGATGCTAATATTTTTGTTGATAGAATTGCCATCATAGTTGAAGGAAAAGTTCATTCTTAGAAATCCTTTGCTTCTAAAAAAAGTTTGAGTTTGGTTATTAATAGAAAAATTGATGCAAATGGAAAAGAATTATCCTAAAAAATAAAATTAGTATATTATCAGCAATTTTTAACTTATAGACGCAAATTTTTAATATATTTTAATATCAAGTTTTAATTCATTTATATTCCTTACGGTTTTGTAGATTGTATAATTTATGAAAAATATTTTTCTTTTTATCTAAGAGCATGCTTTAAATTATATTGGCAATAACATAAAAATGGCTGTCTTGAAAACACCTGTTAAACTGTTGAGTAATTGTTGGACCCTATGATGAAAATTGATTGTATTTAGTTGCTTGCTAGATATTAGCAACTGCTTAGAAGTTATTATGATTTATGAAAAAAGCAGTATCTTGAGTCCAATTTACCTTTTAGATTTTCTAAAAGAGATTAGTCCCCTTATCGAATGACACAACTGTGAATATCCAGAGGCATTAAATTGCTTTAACGCTTATGAGAATTCTATGCTTGTTTTAGACCTAACTGATCGCATTGAAAATCAGTTTTTTATTTCAGAATTATGTGAAGAAAGAGCAGTTCCTCATTTGCTGTTTGAAAATAAGCTGAATTATATTGATCAATTTACTTTTTCAGTTGCAACATCTCTTTTAGATCAAATCAATGCCTTTATTGCTGTTCTTCGCTATTTTGGATGAACTCAAGGCCTTGTTGCAAATAATGGGTTAACCAATTCGATAGGAGAAAATCTTAACAATTACTCAGAAAAATTCAATTATTTAGCCATTGAATCTGGAGCAAACATTGACGAATTAGTAAATAGAATTATTACTCCCTTAGGATCAACTTTATACTACATTTTCTTAGACTCTGAAAAATCCTATATAATTCAAAAAGCTTTAATATCCACTAAACTTTTAGATAGTGGAAATGGGATTGTTTTAGATCAGAAAAGTGGATACAAATGCATAATCAATGGAGCGTTAATTATTACAGTCAAAGGACAAGAATTAAGTGCTTCAGATGAAGATTACAAGAAATCATCAATAAAAAATCTAATTTCTGAGCTGTTAAATCGCATTCAAACAGAAAGCAAGCTTGAAATCTTTTCTCAGCTAAATTTCCTGCTCAAAAAGCACTCCATTAGTAGAAATTTTTCATTAATTAATATCCAAGGAGGCAAAAAAGTTATAGTCGGAGAAATTATTGATGAAAACTTATCAGTTTTTAGAAATATAACATTTCCAGGTAATTGCACTACAATTCCAAAATCAGAAAAAAAAATCTTGCAGCTGAGCATAGAGGCAGGCACTTCAAATCCTGTTGGGCCACCTATTCCCTTTGGATTAATTGGAGGATATGGCTCATATGCAGCTGCAGATGTTATCAATGAAGGCGACTCTGGCGTGCTCACAAATTTCCAAATCGAAATGTTTAATTTTGACTGTGGGACAACAATATATAATGCCACATTTGCTAATGCATGCTATTTAAAAGACAAAGAAAAATTTGGTCTAGGACATATATCAGCATTAGGATCAGTCATGACAATTGGCTCAATGATTTCTTTTAAGCAGCTCAATTTGACATTTCCAATTGTGAGTGCTGCAAATGGAGATGCAAGCCTGAGTTCTAAAGCTAATTTCCCAATGTACATGAGAGTTCAGCTTTCAATCTATTATGGATACTCACTACTCCCCGTTTTAATAAGAGCTTTTGGGTGGCAAAAAGTTTCTGTTCTTTACCAAAATGATTCATTAGGATTGGCTTCTTATTATTATTTAAGCCAAAGCGCTAAAAACAACAAGCTCTTTATAATTAATCCTGAAAGTAGTCGATCTATCCCTCCAAATCTTGACAGAAGTGGAGTAAAAAGGTATTCATATCTACTTCAAGAGATTATTGATTCTCAAGCAAGAGTATTTATTTCGCTTGTGCAAAATCCTGCAATTTATTACATATTGGAAGAATTCTATAATTTAGGACTCAGAAAAGGAGATCTCGTTGTTTTGACTTCGCTTTCAGAAATTGTTCCACTTGTAGGATATGATAATCTATACAAATATAAATTATATGAGACTGGAGTTCCAATTATAACTATGTACGGACAAAGCTGAGTTGGACCGCTTGGAGCAAAAGCCTTATTAAAAATTTCAAGTGCTTATGGAAACCAGAAGAATTCCTATAGCTGCTTTTATTTTGACTCAGTATTTTTGATAGCTTATGCTTTGGATTATATGATTAATAGAGGATTCGATTATACTAATCCTAATAAGCTAAATGAAGTCATGAGGAATCAACAATTTTATGGGTGCACTGGAGAGGTTATTATAGAGAAAGGATCAAATGATAGGATTCTGCAAGCATTTGAACTTTTTGCAAATAAATTAGATGAGGATAAAAATTTAAAGACTTATATTGTGGGGCAGTTTAAGCCTCAAAGCACAAGACTTTTAAAAATTGAAGAATCTATGGTATTTGCTGATGGGTCAACAATAAAACCATCTGACCTGAGAAACACCAATTATGAATGTCCTTTTCCGAATAGGCTAATAAAGACTTTTGCAAAAGGAAGGGCTTTAGTTTTTGGGGTCTGCTTCGGTGTTGCATTAATTTCCCTAATTATTACTATTTATATATGAAGAAGATGGTGAAAAATTTCCATTGAGCCATTGAAAACAAAAGAAGAGATTACATTGCAGGATTGTATAGTCGGAGGAACAATTATAATTGAATTTTTTCAATTTTTGGCAATGGGTCCTGACTTCTCAGCAATAAACTCTATTATAACTGGAATATTCGATACCTTTTCTCTAAATTTGGACAATATTTTGAAGCTGAGAAATGGCGTTTTTTGAATAATTGTTAATGTTGTTTTTGGATCAATTGGATTATGAGTAATTTTGTGTTTGGTTGTACTTCTAAGACTTGATGAAAAATTTCCAACAAATCTTATATTTAGATATTTGGATATCCTAGCTAACTATTTGATGCCAATTTTAGGTGATTTGTGCTTTATTCCCTTCATTTCTATTTGTTTGGATATTTTCCTATGTGATCAGACAATTGGAGATAATTTTACTGATAGCTTTCTTGCTCAAGACTGCTATTTTTTTTGCTGAACAGGCGAGCATTTAACTTATACAATTTTGTCTGTATTTGCTCTAATAGCTTATGAGCCGCTTGCCGTATTTTGCAGACCTCTCTGGCAAGAACTGCAGCCTTATTTGCATGTCAAAGCAGTTCCTCTCTTTTTGATGGTAAAGACAATGGTTCAAATAATATTGATTGCGATGAATAAGACTGTAAAAAGAGCACAAAGCATCCTCCATGGGATTCTCTTTATATTAGCAATGTTTTTCTATATTATTTTTTTATTTAAATTCAAACCATATTCTTAAGACTCTATTTTATCAGCGTCAATTAGATTTTTCAATAAATCAAGCCTTTTTAATTAATAATTTTTTTTATAATTGGTAGAAAAAGAATGCTTCGCCCATACAACTATCCAAGATTCAGCTGATGACAAGCTTTGGTTTCGACAGGAGTTGTCTGATTTGCCATAATTTCAATAGCAGCTCAATGTATTGGAGGAACTCCACTTATATTGGTATTTATTTTAATATTGGGACTTGCAATTATTGCTATAATCGGAGTTTATGTTCAGCAAAAAAAGTATCCAAGCCTCTTATTCCGTAATAAAGGTCAGGATACATCCAATTTATTTAAGTTTGCTTTTTCCTTTGGCAAGTCCTCAAAACTTGCCTTATCTAAAATTGTTCCAAATGGAACCTAGCATGAGGAATCAAAGATTCTCATAAGCATTTATTAATATAAATCAGCTATTTTTAGTATTTTTTTATATTATTAAACAAAAATTAATAAAATATAATTATTATCAATGTTATCATTTATTTTAATTTTATACTTAATATTTACATTAATATCAGTATAAGTATTTTTTAGTTAAAAAAGTGTCATGAGCATAATTTTTATATAGCTACTTATATATCCTTAAAATAAATAGGCAAATTTTTAGAGGTTAGATTATCGCAAGCCAAAAAAAATTTATCATTACACTACGATTATGGCGAAATTTTTGGGTCAAACTCTTTTCTTACCAACTTTTTCCTTCACACTTTCTCTAAGTAATTAAATTAAGAAGCTATTCAGTTTGGTTTAAGCATAATGAATTTTTTGGTTGTTTTTATCACTTCAAAATTAATAAATTTATATAATACACAATAATTTTTAATATTGTGTCCTAGATTTGGGTGACGCAGTCTGAATCTACAAGAAAATATTTATTTTCCTTAATATTATAATTTTTATAAGAAATTTGTTAATCAGACTGTATAAGAGCATAATAATAAATATTAATAACTAAAAAAGCATTAAATAATGTCTAGCATGAAAAAGTCTCCTAAAATCTGAAGTAATCGCTGGCTCTCGCTATGAAAATTTGTTGTTTATATTTGGCTGTTAGATATTGTTGGTTGCTTAGAAATTATTGTGATTTATGAAAAAAGCTCTGCATTTTGAAATATAGCATCCATTTGAGATATATCGGAAAAATTTAAAAACATTGTTGAGTGGCATAGCTGTGAATATTGAGAGGTATTAAATTGTTTTAATGCATATGAAAACTCTACATTAGTTTTAGACTTAACTGATCGAATTGAAACACAATTTTCTGTTTTGAAATTATGTGAAGAGAGAAAAATTCCTCATTTAGTGTTTGATGATAAGCTGAATTATACCGATAAATTAACTTTCTCAGTAATACCATCTGCTTCGCATCAAATCAATGCATTTATTTCTGTTTTTCGTTATTTTAGATGAACTCAAGGTCTTGTTGTAAACGATGAATTAAAGAATTCTCTCGAAGAAAATCTTAAAAATTACTTAGGAAACTTTTATTATTTGACACTTGAATCTGGTACAAATATCAACGAGTTCGTCAATAGAGTCATTACTCCTTTAGGTGTAACTTTATACTGTATTTTCTTGAGTCCCATTAAATCTTATAAAATTCAAAATGCTTTAAGATCTGCTAAACTTTTAGCAAGTGGAAACGGGATTGTTTTAGACCAGAAAAGTGGATATGAGTGTATAATTGATGGAGCCTTGATTATTACTGCCAAAGGGCAGGAATTTTGTTCCACAGAAGAAGATTATATGAAATTATCAATCGAAAGTGTAATTTCTGAATTGCTTGAGCGCATTGAAACAGAGAGCAGCCTTGAAATCCTTTCTCAGTTAAATTTTCTATTAGGCAAAGACTACAGCAGCAAAAATTTTTCATTAATTAATATTCAAGAAGGAAAAAGAATCGTAGTTGGAGAAATTGCTAGCGAAAAAGTATCAATATTTGGAAATATCATTTTTCCAGGCAATTCTACAATAATTCCGAAGTCTGAAAAGAAAGTTTTGCAATTGAGCATTGAAGCAGGCTCTACAAATCCAACAGGGCCTCCAACACCTTTTGGATTGATTTCAGGATATGGCTCATTTGCAGCTCGAGACGTGATTAACGAAGGAGATTCTGGCCTGCTCACAAATTTCCAAATCGAAATGTTTAATTTTGACTGTGGAGCATTAATTTATAATGCCACATTTGCCAATGCATGCTACTTGAAAGATAAAGATAAATTTGGCCTAGGACATATTTCAGCTTGGGGATCATCGATGACAATTGGCTCAATAACTTCTTTTAATCAGTTCAATTTCTCTTTTCCTATTGTAGGTGCTGCAAATGGAGATCCAAACCTGAGCTCAACAGCTAATTTTCCTACTTACATGAGAGTCCAGGTTTCAAATGTTTATGGATACTCTTTACTTCCAGTATTTATCAAAGCTTTTGGCTTCCAAAAAGCTTCAGTCATTTATCAAAATGATAGCTGGGGACGCACTTCTTATAGTTACTTGAACCAAAGTGCCAAAAATCATAATATGGATTTTATGAACTCAGAAAGCAGCAGACAAATTCCAGCAGACCTTGATCGAAATACCATCAAAAATTATATAAATACACTCCAAGAGATTATTGATTCTCAGACAAGAATTTTAATTTCACTTGTTGAATATCCATCAATTTACTATATATTGGAAAAATTTTACGATTTAGGACTTAGAAAAGGAGATCTGATTATTTTAACATCAGTTGCAGAAATTGTTCCGTTTACAGGATATGACAACTTATATAAATATAAATTATACGAAACTGGAGTTCCAATTGTAACAATGTTCGGGCAAAGCTGAGTTGGGCCACTTGGAGCAAAAGCTTTTACGAAGATTTCAAAAGTTTATGGAAGCCAAATGAGTTTCTACAGCTGTTTTTATTTTGACGCAGCTTTTTTGATCGCTTATGCTTTGGATTATATGATTAACAGAGGACTCGATTATACTAATTCAACTAAATTGAATGAAATCATGAGAAATCAACAATTTTATGGATGCACTGGAGAAGTTACCATAGAAAAAGGATCCAATGACAGAATTATACAAGCCTTTGAAATTTTTGCAAATAAACTCGATGACACTGGAAACTTGGTAACCTACTTTGTGGGGCAGCTTAGGCCTCAAAGTACTCAACTTATAAAAATAGATAAGCCATTAGTGTTTGGAGATGGGTCGATAACAAAGCCAGCTGATATAAGAACCAGAGATTATACGTGTCCTTTTCCTAATAGGCTTGTAAAGACATTTGCAAAAGGAAGAGCTTTAGTTTTTGGGATTTGCTTTACTGTTGCATTAATTTCCCTTGTAATTACTATTTATATATGAAAAAGATGGTGAAAAATCTCTGTTACTCCACTTACAGCAAAAGAAGAAATTTCTATGCAAGATTTCATAGTTGGTGCAACCATTGTTATTGAATTTTTCCAATTTTCTTCAATGGGTCCTGATTTCTCTCCAATTAACTCTACATTGACTGATATATGCATCATAATAAAATGGCTCTACTCCGTGATTATCTTTCCCCTGCCGAACCTTAAATATAGTGTTAGATTTTAGGGCTTGGACTTATGCACAGGGGAATTATGGTGAAGATTGATTACCTAGGATCCTTTGCGTATAATGCTTTACTACGTATTGCTACTGCCATAAAAGGCAAGACCCTTAGGTCGAACAGGTGCTAGAGGAAATTCTGATTAAGTGATATAAGGCGTTAGACACTGATGCTTCTCGAATTTCTGGATTTCTACTCCCCCCTCAGTGAGCGAACAAAAAACTTTGTTCGCTCACGATGGAGTTAGTTTTTTTTTAATATATACATTTTATACTAAAATTTTTTCTCGAAATTTAAAAAAATTGCAATTTGTAAAATTTAGAAGTGCAAGTTTTTTATAATTAGCTAGAGATTTTGTTATACTAATTGTCTTATATATCAAAGTTTTTTCATAAAAAATTTTTTGTTCGCTCACGGAGGTGGGTTTGGGCAAAAATAGGATTTTTCAATAGTTTTGCTCGCCTACGGAGGGGGAAGTAAAGGCTCCACGAGGATTAAGAGAAGTGAGCAGCACTGCGATATATGATATGCGTGTAAGATTAGTAATAAGAAGGAGAAATAAATCTTAAAATAGAAACTTCATATTAGAGGTCCTAAGTTAAATAAGCTACTTTATTATGTTGGCTAATATATCTAACTATTTTTCTCTTAGCTTGGACAGTATTTTTAAGCTGCGAAATGGGATTTTTTGAATCATTGCTAATGCTGTTTTTGGATCTATAGGGCTATGAGTGATCTTATGCTTGGTTGTACTTCTGCGGCTTGATGAAAAATTTCCTAATAATTTTATTTTCAGAAATTTAGATGCATTTGCTGACTATTTTATGCCAATTCTAGGCGATTTATGTTTCATTCCTTTTATTTCAATTTGTCTACACTCCCTCTCAGTTACAAGTAAAATTTTTTTCCTAGCTCATAAGGGGTTTCAATTTTCTAAAATTCTGATTGATTTATATATTTTTTTATAGTATTTTGTTAAAAATTAAAAATAAGTTTGATATTTTTTATTTATATTAAAATATTTATGCAGAGGAATTTCCCGAGGAATAATATTTTTTAAATGTTTTGCTTACTTATCTGGAAGAATTAGATATCTTCTTATGCGACCAATCAATTGGAGATAATTTTACTGATAGTTTTCTTGCCCAAGATTGCTATTATTTTTGCTGAAAAGATGAACATTTAGCTTATGCGATTTTGTCTGTGTTTGCTTTAATAGCTTATGAGCCACTTGCTGTATTCTGTAGACCTCTTTGGCAAGAACTGCAGACTCTTTTGCATGTAAAAGCAGTTCCTCTATTTCTAATGGTAAAGACAATAGTTCAAATAACTTTGGTCGTAATGAACAAAACAGTAAAAAGAGCAGAAAGCACTACTCATGGCGGTCTGTTTATAGCAGTGATGGTTTTGTATATTATTTTTTTATTTAAATTCAAGCCCTACAATTATCCAAGATTCAGCTGATGGCAGACTTTAATTTCAATTGCAGTTGTCTGGCTTGCTTTTCTATCAATAATTGCTCAAAATATTGGTGGAAGCCCACTTATTTTGACATCTATTTTAGTGTCTGGGTTGATAATAATAGCTCTAATAGGAGTATATGTCCAGCATAAAAAGTACCCAAGTCTACTATTCCGCAAAAAAGGCCAAGATGCATCCAATTTATTTAGATTTGCATTTTCTTTTGGCAAAAATTCAAAAATTGCCTTATCAAAAATTTTACCAAGTGGGACCTCTATGTCATCACCTCGAAAAGTTGAAGATCTCAGTCCTTAAACTATATATATTTGCAATTTAATTATAATTAACCTCTATTGATATATCTTTACTAATATTATAATATTAGTTATTTACAAAATTATTTACTTAGCGATTAAGACTTAAGAAATATTTTGGTCTATAAGATCTCTCAGCCGATATTAATAATGCAATAAATTGAGTTAGAAATCATATATGAAAAAAGCTGTGCATTCTGGATATATCATCCATACGAGATTTGCCTAAAAAATAAATCACCTTGCTAAGTGGCATAATTGTGAATGCTGGGAATTATTAAATTGTTTTATCGTCTAAGACATTTTTTTAAAATTAATTAGCATTTACGCAGCTAATTTATATACTTTTTTATTATTTTAATTTATTTATTAAAAATAAATCAGATATCATAGCTTTTATACTTTCCGATCTTTGCCTACAACTAACAATCATATTATTATGAAAATCCTTATGTTGAAGGCTAAAAGTACAAAAGCGCTTATTTTCGAGCTTGTAGATCTGAAAAGTAAATGATAAAAATATTTAAAAAGGTATTAACTTGTCAATGATAATTTTTATAGATTATCTTAATTTCTAGGCATAACTTATAAATCTCAATTAAAGACTTTATAGTTAATAAGGTCTGTGTAGCCTTAATTTTGAAAAATATTTATATTTTTAATTTTTTAATCTTACGTAGTTACTATTGTTAAAATCCGTATTACCAAATATTAATCACATAAAATAGCATTAAATAATGTCCTACTTGAAAACGCCTGCAACACTTTTGAGTAGTCACTGGCTCCCTTTATGAAAACTGGTCATACTCATTTGTTTGCTAGATATTTATGTCTGCTTAGAAGTTATTGTGATCTACGAAAAAAGCAATATCTTTAGCCCAAACTTCTTATTAGGCTTATCAGAAGAGCTTAACACCCTTTTTGAATGGCATGATTGCGAATATCCTGAAACTTTAAATTGCTTTAATTCATATGAGAACTCTATACTTATTTTAGACTTAACAGATCGTATTGAAACGCAGATTTTCGTTTTAAAGTTATGCGAAGAGAGAAAAATTCCTCATTTAGTGTTTGAAAATAAGTTGAACTATACTGACCAGTTAACTTTTTCGATATCACCATCTCCTTCAGATCAAATAAGTGCTTTCATTTCTGTTCTTCGCTATTTCGGGTGAACCCAAGGTTTGGTGATAAATGATAAATTTGCAAGTCCTTTAAAAGAAAATCTTAAAAATTACTCAGACTTATTTTTTCAGTATCCTACCGATTTCTGTCCACACATTACTAAGCACATTCTTTATTTTTTGTCTAAAATGCGAAAATGCTTCAATATTTAGAAAATTTTAATTTTTTAAAGATTGAATCTGGTGCAAATATCGATGAGCTAGTCAATAGAGTGATTACTCCTTTAGGCACAAATCTATACTACATTTTCTTGAGCACTTCTAAATCTTATAAAATACAAAAGGCTTTGATATCCACTAAACTTTTATCTAGTGGAAATGGGGTTGTTTTAGATCAGAAAAGTGGATATGAATGTATAATTGATGGAGCCTTGATAATTACTGTAAAAGGGCAAGAATTCAACACTTCAGACGAGGATTATATGAAAGCATTGATTGAAAGTGTATTTTCTGATATATTGAAGAGTGTTAAAAATGAAAGCAGCCTTGAAATCCTTTCTCAGTTAAAATTTCTTTTAAAAAAACATCACATCAACAGAGACTTTTCTTTAATCAATATTCAAGGCGGCGAAAGAGTTATAGTTGGAGAAATTTTTAATGAAAAATTATCAATTTTCAGAAATATCACTTTTCCTGGAAATTCTGATGAAATTCCCAGGTCTGAGAAGAAAATTTTACGCTTAAGTATTGAAGCTGGCTCTTCAAATCCAACAGGACCAGGGATTTTTATTGGTTTGGTTGGAGGATATGGCTCATACGCAGCTCAGGATATAATTAACGAAAGTGGTTCTGGCTTACTCACAAATTTTCAAATCGAATTATTTAACTTTGACTGTGGAGCAACAATTTATAATGCTACGTTTGCAAATGCATGCTACCTAAAAGATAAAGAAAATTTTGGCTAATTTTCCTCAATAATAATGAACATTTTTTAATCAATTGCTGCATTGATGAGATATATATATTTATTATTAATATTTAATTAATATAGAGAAAATAACAAAAAATTTATAACTCCTCCCTTGGTGAGTGAGCAAAATTTTTTTTGTTCGATCAATATTTTTTTCTGAAAGTTAAAAATTTCCCAATTCGAAATAATTGGAAAGCAAATATTAATTTAATTTGTAAAAATTTTTGTTTTAAAATGAAATCTGTTTAAAATTAAATAATTAGCTAGAGATTTCATTATAATAATTATTACTTATATATCAAAATATTTTTTCATAAAAAATTTTATATTAAAAATCTTTTGTTCGATCACAGAGATGGGTTTTTAAAAAAATTGGGATTTTTTCCCAATGTTTTGTTCGCTCATAGAAGGGGGATTAATTATTTAATTTTTTAAATTATATGAAAAATAATTTTTATGATCTGTGCTCCATGATAATTGTCGGCAGTGAGGTCACATCTCAGCTTGAGGATCAGTAATGACAGTTGGCTCAATGGTCTCTTTCAAAGAACTCAATTTGACTTTTCCAATTGTAAGTGCTTCAAATGGAGATGCAGGACTTAGCTCAAAGGCTAATTACCCTATGTATATGAGGGTCCAGCTTTCAAACTATTACGCATTCTCATTACTTCCAATTTTTATCAGAGCTTTGGGCTGGCATCAAGCTTCAGTTCTTTACCAAAATGATTCCTGAGGATTATCAGCCTATGATTATTTAACCCGAGGTGCGAATAATCAGCACATACAATTAATCAATTCAGAAGGCTGCAGAGCTATTCCACCAAATCTTGACAGAGATGGTGTTAAAAATTATTCACACCTCCTCCAAGACATCATTGATTCTCAGGCAAGGTTTTTTATTCCACTTGTGCAATTTCCAGCAATTTATTATAACTTTCTATATAAATTATTTGGTAAGCTAGAGGGTCTTTAAAAGAGTATTACATATCAAAGCCATTTTTCCAATAAGAGATATAAAATAATATTTGTATAGAGAATTATACATATTTGAAGAATTTTATGATTTAGGACTTAGAAAAGGAGATCTTGTTATTTCAGCACCGCTTGCAGATATTGTTCCACTTATAGGATATGACAACGCATATACATATAAATTATATGAAACAGGAGTTCCAATGGTAACTATATATGGCCAAAGTTGAGTTGGGCCACTTGGAGCCAAAGCATCGTCACAGATAGCAAAGGTTTATGATAATCAAAAGAACTCCTATAGCTGCTTTTATTTCGACTCAGTCTTTTTGATTGCTTATGCTTTGGATTTTATGATAAACAGAGGACTCGATTATACTAATTCTACTAAATTGCAAGAAACTATGAGAAATCAACAATTTTATGGATGCACTGGAGAGGTGATGATTGAAAAAGGGTCAAATGATCGAATTTTACAAACCTTAGAAATTTTTGCTAACAAATTAGATGAAAATGGAAACTTGACGACTTATATTGTTGGGCAGTTTAAACCTCAAAGCACACAGATTATAAAAATCCAAGAATCTTTGGTATATGCAGATGGATCGACAGCTAAGCCAACAGATCTAAGAAACACAGATTATAAATGCCCTTTTGCTACTAAGCTTGTAAGAACTTTTGCAAAAGGGAGGGCTTTAATTTTTGGAATCTGCTTTGTTCTTACCTTAATTTCTCTCTGCATTACCATTTATAAGGCAATACGAAAGTATCCCGAAACAAAACCATTGATATATAAGTGATATTATTATAATGAAATCTTATCTAATTCTGTTTTAATTTTAAGCAGCTTGCATTTTAAACATAAATTATAATATATTAACTTTCGATATTTGCCAATGCCCATTTATATATGAAAACGATGGTGAAAAATCTCAGTTGCTCCTTTAACTGTGAAAGAAGAAATTTCAATGCAAGATTTTATCATCGGAGCAACGATTGTGGTTGAGTTTTTTCAATTTTGCTCGATGGGACCAGATTTTTCTCCTATAAACTACACATTGGCTGATATAAGCAATACCTTTTCTTTGAGTGTAGACAAAGCTTTAAATCAGCGGAACGGAATTTTTTGAATAGTTGTTAATGCTGTTTTTGGATCAATAGGATTATGAGTAATTCTATGTCTAGTTGTACTTCTACGACTAGATGAAAAATTTCCTACGAATTTTATATTTCGGAATTTAGATGCCTTTGCTGATTACTTTATGCCTATTTTAGGCGATTTGTGCTTTATTCCTTTTATTTCAGTATGTCTTGATATCTTCATATGTGATCAATCAATTGGAAATAATTTTACTGATAGCTTTCTTGCTCAAGATTGCTATTATTTTTGCTGAAAAGATGAGCATTTAGCCTATGCAATTTGTTCTGTGCTCGCTTTAATAGCTTATGAGCCTCTTGCAGTATTCTGTAGACCTCTATGACAAGAATTGCAGCCTCTTTTGCATGTAAAAGCAACTCCACTCTTTTTGATGGTAAAGACAATGGCTCAAATAGCCTTAATTGCTATGAACAAGACAGTAAAAAGAGCACAAAGCACTCTTCATGGTGGTCTCTTTATAGCTGTGATGATTTTTTATATTATTTTTTTATTTAAATTCAAGTCCTACAATTACTCAAGATTCAGCTTGTGGCAAACTTTAGTTTCAATTGCAGTTGTCTGGCTTGCTTTTCTCTCAATACTAGCTCAGTGAACTGGAGGCAACCCAATAATAATGACATCTATTTTAATTTTAGGATTAGTAATTATAGCCTTGATTGGATTTATATAGTATATGCATGCTAACAATGCTTATCAATCCACAATATTCGAGATAAATCCGAATTAATTTGGCCAGCTATGTAAGTCGATTTACTCATCAAATGCCAATTAAATATTTGATTGGAAAATTTATAGTTGGCTTTGGCAATCCCAACAGCTTCTATGGTATCAATTAGTTATCATCTATTAGTGCTCTTTGCTATATATTCAGCATAAAAAGTATCCAAGCCTCCTATTCCGTAAAAAAGGTCAAGATGAATCAAATTTGTTCAAGTTTGCATTTACTTTTGGCAAGACTTCTAAACTTGCTTTATCAAAAATTGTTCCAAGCGGAACATCAATGTCATCTCCACGAAAAATTGAAGATCCAAGCCCTTAAAACGTTTACTGTTTAATATTTAAAATTTAATAAAGCCCAAGCATAAATGTTAAATGATGATATATATTATTATATACATTATAATATTTTTAACTCCCCTTTTAAATTGGAATAAAATATCAGCAAAATTATCCTATTTGAGTATATTAGTCCCACTATAAATTAGAACAAAATTTTCAATCAAAGATTTAATAGGTGAAAATGAATTTTATTGGAGGAAGTTTAGCATTGAATTAATCCTTTTGAATTAATTTTCATAAGAATGAATAATTTCCAAAAATATTTTTTCACTATATATATTAATTTTTTTTTAAAATAAAATTAACCCCCTTTTAAATTGGAATGCTGATACAGTCATTATTAGTTGTCAAATAATATTGTGACGTTTGAAGGAATTGGTCTTCAAGGCGCTCTCACTATGGAACAGATTGGACTCATCCTAATAAGCTGAAAAGGGCATTTGTCCCTTTATGAAGTAAGCATTCAGGTTTGGGACCAGACGGGTTAGACAAGTTTTGCTTTTACATAGTCTTCGTCCATTGGGGTCACCCTACCTGGGTTATCTTCAGGATAGGTAAGTTTAGCTAGAAAAATTCAAGATGTAGGAATTTTAGTTGGTCCTTTCACCATTTGCACTCAAGTGTATATACACCCAGCGTGGGCCACCTTTCCTGGAGTCAAGGTAGTCCAGCTAGTGGGGTTCCGCTTTATAGCCGTATAAATTTTAATCTTAATCTTACTATTTATCATAGTATTTTATTCAAACAAAATGCTGTCAAAAAATATCTTGCTCGCTAGCGAAGAGGCTAACAATCCCAAACAACTAGGATCTTTCCAGTGGTCCAATTTGCTGGCCAGGTGAGTAACGAAAAATTTTATAAAATATACCTTTAATTACAAAATGGCTATAATAAATTATTATGAAGAAGTGCTCTTCAAACTGCAATACTAGACCAAAGCTTATAAGAAATTTAAAAGAACTCGAAAATACTCTCCCAGTGAAATATTCAGTTTGGCCAATATCTAATGGCAGCATATATGATTGCATTGGCTCTATAGTTGGTCCTGAAAACACTCCTTATGAAAATGGGATTTTTTATGTAAGAATATCATTACCTACTCACAATCATGGGACTTTCGCTAATATTAAATTTCTCACAAAAATTTATCATCCTAACATAAGTGCTCAAGAAGGAAATGTATCTTCACTTAAGTTGAGAGAAGCTAGGAATGATATAATGCTAATAATAGAAACACTATATAGCATCCTGACGCATCCCGATCTAGAAAATTCTGAAAATATAGAAGCGAGAGATTGCTATATAGAGGATATAAAAGAATTTAATAAAGGTGCTGCAGAATGGACAAGACTTTATGCATCATAAGACGCAGTTTATAAAAATTAATAATAAATCAGAGATTTATTAATAGAAAAATATAAATCATTTTAGATAATAATGCAATATTCTTTCCAATTGATTAATTAAACTAATGCAGAGATTTAGTTTAAGTTAAAATTAATATTTAAGTAGATTAAGACACAACAAAAATTATTACAGTATCCTTGTTACTCTTGTTAAAAAAAAGTTAAAAATTAAATTCATGAGCTCAAGTTGCCCTTTAAAGAAATTCAGTCCCAGCAGATGGCTATTTTTTATTAAATTTTAGATATCTATCTCTTTTGTTTCTTTATTAATGTCTTGTATTGAAGATTTGACCAAAAATCTTTGTCTATCTCGATTTTATTGATGGAAATTAGGTCTATTTTCTTCTCTCTTATGTATTTGCAGCTCTCTAGAAATCATTGTAGTATATGAAGAAAGCAACTCATTTTGAAACTCAAATAAGTTTTTGAATTTGTCTGCAGATATAAATTCCCTTGTAGAATTGCATTATTGCGAATACTCAGAAGCAGATAAATGCATTGATTTTTACGAAAGTGCTCTGCTAGTTTTAGACTTAACAGACCTAATTGAAACTCAGTTTTTTATTTCAAAATTCTGCAATGAAAGGAAAATTCCTCATTTGGTTGTCGAGAATAAGCTCAATTATTTTGATCAGCTAACTTTTTCTACTACGCCATTGTATTTAGATAAGCTTAACGCCTTTTTGGCTGTCCTTCGATATTTTGGGTGACAAAAAGGACTTGTGATTGACGAAAAAATTGAACAGTCTCCAAAGGCTGAATTTCAAGCATATTCGGAAAGCTTCAATTATTTAACGATTGAATCTGGGTCAAACATTGATGAATTAGTCAATAGAATTATAACCCCTCTTGGAACAACCTTGTATTATGTATTTGTGAACTCTACTGAATCTTATAAGCTGCAGGAAGCATTAATGGATAACAATCTTTTGATTGAAGGAAATGGAATTGTTTTAGATCAAAATAGCGGATATAACTGCCTAATTGATGGCGCCTTAATTATTACAGTCCAAGGCCAAGAGTTTTCTTACTCAAAAGAAGATTATATTAATTCAACAATAGAATCTGTTTTTTCTTATTTGCTGAAAAACATTAAAACAGAAAGCAGTCTTGAAATTCTTTTTACTCCCCCCCCCCCTCCGTGAGCGAACAAAAAAAATTTTGTTCGCTCACGGAGGGGGGTTTAATTTTTTTTTTTTAAAAAAAAATTTATATATAAAATTTTATAAAAAATATTTTTTCGAAATTTAAAAAAATCCTAATTTGCAAAAATTGGGAAGCAAATATTAATTTAATTTGCAAAATTTATGTTTTTAAAACGCAATTTGTTTAAAATTAAACAGAATTAGCTCTAGATTTCATTATACTAATTATCACTTATATATCAAAATTTTTTTCCATTAAAATTTTTTCTATTAAAAAAAATTTTTGTTCACTCACGGAGGGTGGGTTTTTTTGGTCAAAAAATGGCGATTTTTCTAATGGTTTTGTTCGCTCACGAGGGGGGGGGGGGAGTTAGTAAATATCCAAAATGGGGAAAGGGTGGTAGCTGGAGAAATAATTAATGGAGAGTTATCCTTATTAAGCAAAATAACCTTTCCAGGCAACTCTCAAGAAATTCCAAAATCAGCCAAAAAAACGCTAAAAATAAATATAGAAGCTGGAGCTTCAAATCCGACAGGAGGGCTTATTACTGTAGGTAAAATTGGAGGATATGGCTCATTTGCTGCTTGTGACGTAATTAATGAAGCTGATTCAGGAATTCTCGACAATTTTCAGTTAGATTTATTCAACTTTGACTGCGGGACTACTATTTATAATGCAACTTTTGCAAATATTTGCTACTTAAAAGACATCAGGAAATTCGGTCTCGGACATGTGTCTGCCCTAGGATCAGTTATGGCAGTCGGATCAATGAAATCTTTTAAACAGCTTAACTTGACCTTTCCTATAGTAAGCGCTACAACCGCAGATATCAGTTTAAGCTCTACAGCCAATTTTCCAAATTTCATGAGAGTTCAGCTTTCGAATTCTTATGGATATTCCTTAATCCCAATTTTTATTCGAGCTTTGGGATGGGAAAAATGTGCTATTCTTTATCAAAACGATACTTGAGGGGCATCTGGGTATTATTATTTCAATCAGAGCATCCAAAACCACGATATCTCATTAATCAACTCTGAAAGCAGCAGAGCTATTCCTTCAAATCTTGATAGAGTAGGAGTCAAAGAAAATTCAAAAATACTTCAAGATATTATAGATTGCGAAGCAAGATTTTTGGTTCTAATTTTACAGTATCCAGCAGCTTATTATGTATTTGAAGAATTTTATGATTTGGGACTGAGAAAAGGAGATATGGTAATCCTAACCTCAATTAGTGATTTAATTTCTTTTTCAGCATATGATGGTGCATATAAGTACAAACTATACGAAATTGCTATTCCTGTCATAACTTTGTATGGACAAAGCTGAGTAGGGAAATTAGGAGAGAAGGCTTTATCACAGATTTCGAATGCTTATGGCAACCAGAAGAACGCTTATAGCTGTTTTTACTTCGATTCAGTCTTTTTGATTGCTTATGCTCTGGATTATATGATTAACAGAGGGCTTGATTATACTGATTCCGATAAGCTGAATAACATTATGAGAAATCAGCAATTTTATAGCTGCACTGGAGAAGTTATTATTGAAAAAGGGTCAAATGATAGAATTATGCAAGCCCTGGAAATAGCTTAAATAAGCTAGATGGCAATGGAAACTTAACCACGTATATAATGGGACAGTTCAAACCTTATAGTATTCAGCTCATTAGGATCCAAGAGCCTTTGGTATATACTGATGGCTCAGCAATAAAGCCACCAGATTTGAGAAACACTAATTATAAGTGTCCTTTCCCTAATAGACTAGTCAAAACTTTTACAAAAGGGAGGGCATTGGTTTTTGGGATTTGCTTTGGTGTTGCTTTGGTTTCTCTTTTTATTACTATCTATATATGAAAACGGTGATGGAAAATTCCTATTGAGCCATTAATAGTAAAGGGAGAAATTTCACTGCAAGATTTTATTGTTGGGATTGCTATTATTGTTGAATTTTTCCAATTTTGCTCTATGGGTCCTGATTTCGAGCCAATAAACTCTACCTTGGCAGAGATAAGTAGCACCTTTTCATTAAGTTTAGATAGTGTTTTAAAGCTACGAAACGGCGTATTTTGAGTTATCGTTGATGCTGTGTTTGGAGCAATCGGGCTATGGGTAATTCTTTGCTTAGTGATTCTTCTACGTCTTGATGAGCATTATCCTAGAATATCTATTTTTATGTACTTAGATGTCTTTGCTGACTATTTTATGCCTATTTTGGGTGATCTGTGCTTTATTCCGTTTATTTCTATTTGTTTAGATATCTTCTTATGTGATCAATCGATAGGAAATAATTTTACAGATAGTTTTCTTGCCCAAGATTGTTATTATTTTTGCTGAAAAGATGAGCATTTAGCTTATGCAATTTTGTCAATATTTGCTTTAATAGCTTACGAACCTCTTGCAGTATTTTGTAGACCTCTATGGCAAGAATTGCAGCCACTTTTGCATGTAAAAGCAATCCCACTCTTCTTGATGGTCAAGACAATGATTCAAATAACATTAGTTGTAATGAACAAGACAGTTAAAAGAGCGCAAAGCACTCTTCATGGAGTTCTATTTGTATTAGTTATGATTTTGTATATTATTTTCCTTTTCAAATTTAAGCCGTACAATTATCCAAGATTCAGCTGATGGCAAATTTTGGTTTTAATCGGAGTTCTCTGATTAGCTATTCTCTCAATAATAGCTCAAAGTTTCGGGGGAGACCCATTTATTTTGACATCTATTTTAATATTCGGACTGATAATCATTGCTTTAATTGGAGTTTATGTCCAGCACAAAAAATATCCAAGTCTTTTATTTCGCAGAAAAGGGCAAGATACAACAAATTTATTTAAGTTCGCGTTTACTTTTGGGAAACATTCAAAAATTGCTCTAACAAAAATCAGTCCGAGCAGCCTTTTAAAATCCTCCTCCCAAAAAGCTGAAAATCAGAGTTCTTAATTTATAATCTCATAATATTTATATATAAAAATGATTACATTTTGCAAAATATTAAATATTTAATATTTTGCCAATAGAAACCTCTTTATTTAATAAATCTGAATAAATATAGCAGCCCCTGAACAGCCGAAATGCAAGGGTGCTTAGAAGACGCATGAAAAATTGATACCAATGCGAAAACAAAGTCGAAATTTGAAGTTAAAGCAGAAATATGTAGTTAAAGCAGAAATAATAGGTAAAATTAAAAAATTATCAATCGAATTGCCAACAGAAGAATGTAGCGATGAGAGATATGAGCAACGACATAAGAATTTTTGCAAGAAATGCAATTGGATACTTAATAGATATTGAAATTCTATAATTCAGAAATGCCAGAAAAATTTAATTCAGATTAGCATTAAATTTTGACAGTCGGTAAATACCTCTTTTCTGTCAAGGATGTCCTTGAGCTCTTTTTAATTTTGTGAAAATTACATAAATGAATTCAGTGTAAACCTTTATCCTTTTTAAATTTGATCTATATGGTAAGCATAAAAGTTTAAAGATATCAATAAAATTAATTTCAAACTATAAAATATATATTAATTTTTTAGAAGTAGTGATCGACAGTTCTATGCTTAATTAAAAGTTTATTTTTCAACAAAATTCTTATCCAAATCCCCGATTTCAAGTCATTTAAATAGCATAAAACTGATAATTAAATGGCTGAGTTGGCAATTTGTAACTGGCTCCCAGTAATCTTTTCTAAGTTCGATAAGCATCAATGCAGACAAGCTTAAAATTTAGCATAGAGTATATTATTTTAGTCTAGCTTAGTTTTCGACTCCAAGGTGGCCTGGGACAATTATAAGACTATCAAAGCTTAGTTTTCGACAAAAATAGAGTAGAATTCACAATAATATTCAAATCAATATTATTGACCGTTTTGGGATAATAGAACTATGAGATTTAAATATACTAAGTTTAAGCTTTGCTTTATAAATACAATTTGATTACATAATTAGTTCACCAGTTAATATATAAATGCCTAATAGTTTTCTTAAATAATGTTTTTTATTGAATTTCATATAGCAGATTCAAGCTACGCTCAGCAACTTTGATGGAAGCTATTGCTTTTAATGTATCTGCTGCCTCTTTTCAGCTCTTTAGAACTCATTGTTGTTTATCAAAAAAGCAGTTCACTTTTAGACTCAAATAACTTCTTGAATTTATCAGGAGATATGCTCGGCTGAGCAGAATAAAGCATAATCCTTACGTAAAAAATGGATTTTATTTGGCAAGCCAATAATTTGACTGACATATTTTTGCTTGGCAGCATCTCTTCTAGGAAAATTGCCCATCTACTTAATGATAAATAAAATGGCGTCTCAGCCTGACATTGCCTCCTCTCAATGCTGCCTCAAGCCCGCTTTATTTATATCCGGTAAGATTTTTCCAACCCAGAAATGGACACCAATGTTAGGTGAGCAATTCTGGTAATGCACAGAGCCTAGTCTTAATCCACTTCCAGGATTTGATTTTACCTCAAGAAAAAAGATGGTTCAGAGTTGGAAAGGGAATGCGCAGCAGATACTAGAGGCAATGTCTAGACCATTAAGGCAACTTTCTAGCCTGAATTTGGATGCTACCCCAGACTTTGAATTTTCCTTTTTATCGATAGTTCCATTTTTTAGGATTTTTGTCGAAAAACTTTTGTTCAACCTAAGCAACGACCCGCAGAAGTCAATAGTCTTCTCACTCAACACTGGAGCTGGTAAGGCATGGAGGAGACAGATATACACTACTCTACTTGGCAGGTACCATGATGTCATCCGTTGATGAAGATTAAAGGAAGAATTCGAATCTTAACTCGCCGGGGAAATTGTCATCTAATTTAAGCAAGTTTTTCCTGTTAACGCTGCAAAGAGAGTGAATCTCTTCGGAGATCTATAATGATAGTGTTGCCAATAGGCAAGCAAGTCAAGACCTGTTTTTAATGTTTAAGTTTAATTTAATTTTAAGTCACCTACTTTATGCGTTCAGCTTATGTACTAGACCTGTATAAGATAGCTTACAAATTCCCTTCTAGAATTGCATTACTGCGATTATTCAGAGGCAGAAAATTGCATTTCATCTTACAAAAATGCCCTGCTGGTTTTAGATTTAACAGATCGTGTCGAGACACAGTTTTTAATTTTAGAATACTGCAAGGAATGGAATACTCCTCATCTGGTTCTAGAAAATAAACTCAACTATTTTGATGAGCTAACTTTTTCGGTTACGCCTTCATCTTCTGACAAAATTAAAGCTATTTTAGCTGTCCTTCGCTATTTTGGATGGCAAAAAGGACTTGTAATATATGAAGAAATTGAGGAGTCGCCAAAGGCTGAATTTGAAAATTACTCTGCAGGGTTCAACTATCTAACAATTGAATCTGGGTCAAGCATTGAAGAATTAGTCAATAGAATTATTACCCCTCTTGGCACAACTATGTATTATGTTTTTATGAGATCATCTGGGTCATATAAATTACAATTTGAATTATAGCGCCTTCCTATAGATAGCGGGCAATGCGCCATCACCGGGCCATGTCGGGAGAGGGTTCTCCACGAGGAATGGTTCCACGTGTGGAACCCTCTTTTTCCACGAGCCAAAAAGAGGGTTCCACACGTGGAACCATTCCTCGTGGAGAACCCTCTCCCGACATGGCCCAGTGATGGCGCACTGCGCGCCATCTAATAGAATTCACTATATCTGATAATAAACTTTTAGTTGAAGGAAATGGGATTGTTCTGGACCAAAATAGCGGATATCAGTGCATAATTAACGGTGCATTGATAGTTACAGTTAAAGGCCAAGAGCTCTCGACCTCTGAGGACGAATATTTTAATAATGTGCTAGAAAGCTTTATGCTTTATTTGCTGGAACATGTCAAAACTGAAAGTAAGAAGGAAATTCTTTTTCAACTAAATTCTTTATTAAGCACAAATTTCAATTTTTCAGTAGTAAACATCCAGGATGGAGAAAGGGTAGTAGTTGGAGAAATCATCGATCAAGAATTCTCTTTATTAACCAATATAGCATTCCCAGGAGATACCCAAGAAACTCCAAAATCTGCCAAAAAGATTTTGCTATTAAGCATTGAAGCTGGCTCTACAAATCCTACTGGCGCACCAGTTTATGTCGGCAAAATTGGAGGCTTAGGATCATATGCAGCTTGCGATGCAATTAATGAAGGCAGCTCTGGCTTACTTGACAATTTTCAACTCGAATTATTCAATTTTGACTGCGGAGCGACAATTTATAACGCCACATTTGCAAATCCTTGCTATTTAAAAGATTCTGGAAAATTTGGGATTGCCCATGTAGCAGCGGCCGGATCAGGCATGGCTATCGGATCGATGAAATCTTTTCAGCAGCTCAACTTAACCTTTCCTATCGTTAGTGCTTCAAATGGTGATGTCAGTTTAAGCTCAACAGCGAATTTCCCAATGTATATGAGGGTTTCAGTCTCAAATTCCTATACATTTACCTTAATCCCTATATTTGTAAGAGCTTTGGGATGGGAGAAATGCGCTATTTTATATCAAAATGATACTTGAGGAAAATCTGGGTATTATTATTTCAATCAGAGCACCTATAATCATGACTTGGCATTAATAAACCCAGAAAGCAGCAGAGCAATTCCTCCTAGCCTTGATAGAGATGGAGTGAAAAAGTATTCGTATATACTCCAAGAAATTATTAATTCCAAGGCAAGGTTTCTAGTTTTCATCGTACTTGAGCCGTCTGCTTATTATATACTTGAAGAATTTTATAACTTAGGACTAAGGTCAGGAGATCTCATACTTTTAACGGCAGCTAATGAGTTGCTTTCTTTTTCTGGATATGACAATGCTTTTAAATATGAATTGCTAGAAATTGCTGTTCCTTTTCTAGCAATATATGGACGGAGCTGAGTCGAACCAGTAGCTTCAAAAGTTAAATCACTGCTAGCAAAGAGTTATGACAACCAAATTAGCCCTTACAGCTGCTATTATTTTGATGCTATATATCTAATTGCACATGCATTAGACTATATGATTGATAGAGGATTGGATTATACAGACCCAGATAAACTGCAAAAAATCATGAGAAATCAGCAGTTTTATGGATGCACTGGAAAAGTTCTTATTGAAAAAAACACCAATGATAGAATTATGGAGTCCCTTAATATAGAAGTCAACAGTCAAAATAATGGAAATGTCACAACATTTTATATGGGTCTTTTTAAGCCTTATAGCACTCAGATTATTGAAATTACGAAGCCTTTGATTTATGCAGATGGTTCAACAATAAAGCCATCTGATCTGAGAGACACTAATTATAAATGTCCGTTCCCTAATAAATCAATAAAGACTTTTGAAAAAGGGAGGGCATTGGTTTTTGGAATTTGCTTCGGTGTTGCTCTGATTTCACTTATTATTACTGTTTATATATGAAAACGATGGTGGAAAATCTCTATTGAGCCATTAACTGCGAAAGAAGAAATTTCAACGCAAGATTTTATTGTGGGCGCAACCATTGTTATTGAATTTTTCCAATTTTCCTCAATGGGCCCTAATTTCTCTCCAATAAACTCTACCTTAGCAGAGGTAAGCTACGCCTTCTCATTAAGCTTAATTAGCATTTTGAAGCTAGAGAATGGAATATTTTGAATTGTTGTAGATTCTGTTTTTGGAGCAATTATATTATGAGTAATTCTCTGCCTAGTAGTACTTCTACGGCTTGATGAAAAATTTCAGACGGTTTCTATGTTTAGATATTTGGATATTCTTGCTGATTATCTTATGCCTATCTTAGGAAATCTCTGCTTTATTCCCTTCATTTCAATTTGCCTGGATATATTTTTATGTGATCAATCAATTGGAGACAATTTTACTGATAGTTTTCTAGCCCAAGACTGCTACTATTTTTGCTGGACAGGCGAGCATTTAGCTTATGCAATTTTGTCTGTATTTGCTTTAATAGCTTATGAGCCTCTTGCAGTATTTTGCAGACCTCTATGGCAAGAACTGCAGCCTCTTTTGCACGTAAAAGCAGTTCCGCTGTTTTTGATGGTGAAAACAATTGTTCAAATAACTTTAATTGTGATGAACAAGACAGTGAAGAGGGCGCAAAGCACTCTTCATGGAGTACTCTTTTTATTAGTGATGGTTTTGTATATTATTTTCCTTTTTAAATTCAAACCGTACAATTATCCAAGATTCAGCTTATGACAAGCTTTAGTTTTAATTGGAGTCGTCTGGCTTGCTTTACTCTCAATAATAACTCAAAGCCTTGGCGGTAATGAACTACTTTTGACGTTTATTTTAATATTGGGGCTAATAATCATTGCTCTGATCGGAATTTATGTCCAACGTAAAAAGTACCCAAGTCTATTATTCCGTAAAAAAGGACATGACACTTCGACCTTATTTAAATTTGCTTTTACTTTTGGTAAACTTTCACAGAAGGCCTTAACAAAAATTTCTCCAAGTGTGCTATCTAAATCCTCAGCTCAAAAGGTTGAAAGCCAAAGTTCTTAATTTATATAATGAAATATCAAAGGTGACAAAGCCTGGCAAATAAATTGCTTTGACTTCGATACATAGTTATCTATGGACACCATTTATGAATTTAAGAGAAGTATATTATCGATTTTTGAATTGCTTAGAACTATATATTGAAAAAATTTCTCGATTTGTTTGATATGAAGCAAAGAAGAATGAGCAATTATATGAGAACGATTATAAATAATAATTAAACTTTGGTGAAAATCAATAATTGATGATGCTTGCAAAAATAAAGAATGAAATTTAAAATAAAATAAGGGATTTGCTTTATAAATTAAATTAAATATATTTTTATTAAATAACGCTATGTATTAAAGGTCTGATAACAGACCTGAACTATAATCTGAGTTTTTGATGGGAATTCTTGCTCTTTTCTCATCTACTGTCTTTTTGCAGCTCTTTAGAAGCAATTGTGATATATCACAAAAGCAGTTCATTTTTAGACTCAAATAACTACTTGAATTTATCAGAAGATATCATCCGCACTAAAAATCATAATCTTTCTATAAGGTAAGCTAAAGATAAACTTGCAAAATAGATCTATTCTATTTTTTAAAAACAAAATAAGTATGACTTAGTGTATGTAGTTTATGTATGAGGAATCTTAAAGATGGTGTATCAATTCCATTCTAGAATTGCATTACTGCGAATATTCAGAGGAAGAAAATTGCATTTCATCTTACAAAAATGCTCTGCTCGTTTTAGACTTAACAGATCGTATCGAGACACAGTTTTTAATTTTAGAATATTGCAAAAACACTAATATTCCTCATCTGGTTCTAGAAAATAAACTCAAATATTTTGATGAGCTAACTTTTTCAGTTACCCCGTTATCTTCTGAAAAAATTAAAGCGTTTTTCGCTATTCTTCGCTATTTCGGATGACAAAAAGGACTTGTTATAGATGAAAAAAATTGAAAAGCCACCAAAGTCTGTATTTGAAAATTGCTCTCCAAGCTTTAACTATTTGATGATTGAGTCTAGGTCAAATATTGAATAGCTGGTCAATAGAATTACTAACCCTCTTGGCACAACTATATTATGTTTTTATGAGCTCATCTGGGTCATATAGCTCATGCACCTAAATAGATCTCTATACCCCAGCAGAATACCAACCAGAAAAATTATTGTACAGAGCATCTGTCTTATACAGTATAAGTCTGATTATGTACCTTAAAGCCATAAACGGAGACTTGTCATTTTCGTTTTTACTTTTCAAAAAAGCTAACAAGTACAAATTAATTTTGGAAGTTAAAATGGATGGCCGATAATGATCTAAACTATTTCAAGGGCTATATAAATTACAATTTGAATTATCTGAAAATAAACTTTTAGTTGAAGAAAATGGGATTGTTCTTGACCAAAATAGCGGATATCAGTGTATTATTGACGGTGCATTGGTAGATGCAGTTAAAGGCCAAGAGTTTTCAATCTCAATTAAGTTTATATCAATTCAACAGTAGAGGGATTACTTTCTTATTTGCTAAAACATATTGAAGCCGAAAACAAAATTGAAATACTAGATCAGTTAAATTCCTTGTTTAGCAAAAATTTTAATTTTTCACTATACTGCTTTTAAAGACTTCGCCGCCAATTTTTTAATTCATCAAGCCCTAGTAAACAATTGATGACTAATTTAAAATAAAAATTATTTATAGAGAAATCTGAAAATATATATAAATAGAATATAATGTTTTCAAATTGTAAGCTATATTTTTATTGATAATAATAAATCATATTCAAAATACGGACTGCTTTGTTGAGTCAATAATTTATGAACCTTAAATCTTCGAATTAAGTATAATAAGCATCCAAGACGGAAAGAGGTTTTTAGTTGGAGAAATCATCAATCAAGAATTATTTTTATTAACTCCTCTCTTCGTTTGCAATCAAATCAAATCATTGGAAATATCCTTATTTTCGATAAAATTTTTAAAATTAATCTTGAGTGAGAAATTATCTTTGCATATTCACGCATGAAAGGTAAGTAATATAACATTCCCAGATGATACCCAAGAAACTCCAAAATCTGCCAAAAAGACTTTGTTATTAAGCATTGAATCTGGCTCTACAAATCCTACTGGCACATTTGCTACTGTTGGCAAAATTGGAGGATACAGTTCATATGCTGCTTGCGACGTAATTAATCAAAATGACTCTGGCTTACTTGACAATTTTCAACTCGAATTAATCAGCTTTGACTGCGGAGCAACTGTTTATAACACAACATTTCCGAATGATTACTACTTAAAATATAAAGACAAGTTTAGGCTTGCTCATGTTGGAGCTGCAGGGTCAGGTATGGCTATCGGATCGATGAAATCTTTTCAGCAGCTCAACTTAACCTTTCCTATCGTTAGTGCTTCAAATGGTGATGTCAGTTTAAGTTCAACAGCGAATTTCCCAATATACATGAGAGTTTCAGTCTCAAATGCTTATGCATATACATTGATCCCAATTTTATAAGAGCTTTGGGATGGGAGAAATGCGCTATTTTATACCAAAACGATACTTGATGAAAATATGGATATTACTATTTTAATCAGAGCGCATATAGTCATGCACTAGAAATTATCAATCCAGAAAGTAGTAGAGCTATAGCTTGAAAATTATTTTAGCTTGGGCTAAGACTTTGATGCTTCTTAACTAGCCAGGAATCTGGCTTTGTTTCATTAGGTGATTAGTCAGCCCATGAATTGGTAATAAAGCTTGTGATCGATATTTATTAATTTGCAAAGTAGATACAACTCAAAAATCGCTAAAGCAATATATAGGGCTTTCCCTTGAATAGCCCGATACTAACTTACTACCATGATCTGCATATTTTCTACTCATAATTTTATTTTAATTTAAAAAAAATTAAATAAGTTTTGATACTTAATTATATAAATTAAAGTTTTAGAATGGAAGCAAATATAAGCATAATAGAGCCTTCTTGCAAAAACTATTATTATATTTCAAGATAATTTGGCAAGAACTGCAGCCTCTTTTGCTTGTAAGAGCAGCTCCACTATTTTTCATGGTAAAACAATTGTTCAAATAGTCTTGGTTGCTATGAACAAAACATCAAAAAGAGCTCAAAGCACCCTCCATGGAGCTCTTTTTGTATTAGTGATGATTTTGTATATTGTTTTCCTTTTCAAGTTCAAGCCGTACAATTATCCAAGATTTAGCTGGTGGCAAGTCTTGACTTCAGTTGGAGTTATCTGACTCGTTTTACTCCCAATAATAACTTAAAAAAAATTTGAAGGCACTCTTATATATACATCTTTACTGATATTGGGATTTATTGTCATTGCCCTAATTGGAGTTTATTTTCAACGTAAAAAATATCCAAGTCTACTATTCCGCAAGAATGGCCATGATGCATTCATTCTATTTCAGTTTGCTTTTGCTTTTGGCAATCATTCAAGAGCAGCTCTTTCAAAAGTTGCTCCAAGCGGATCATCATCTTTGCAACACCGAAAAATAGAAAGTCATAGTTCTTAATTTACCTCTGGGAAGCAATACTTGGAGTTAGAAAAGGCTGGATTAAAAAAATCTTTAGCATTAATCGGGTAAAATCCCCTAGCGCGATGCAAAGTGTTGAATCCTGGGTATTGAGCTCAGCTATGATTGGCCATTTAACTAGGAATTTTTTTGAAGGTTAACCAAGTCTGGATGCGGTAAAGTGGCTCAGTCATAAAGAACTTCATAAAAAACAATAAGAGCTTAATTGTAAATTTTGGCTTTTATATATTCTGTAAAAAGCCAAGCTATATCAACTTTGCTTTGACTGTTACTTTTGGAAAGGCTGGATTCAAAGAGGCTATTAGCAAAAATTACTCCAAGGATGCTGTCAAAATCTTCAGCTCTAGGCATTCAAGATCATATTTCTTAATTCTATACATTCTAGTACCCATTATTTATAAATAAGCTTCTAATAAGTAGCATTTCTATTCTAGAAATCATTAATTTATAAATAAGCTTTTTAATATGATGCAATCTATTTTAGAAATGATTAATCTTATAAAATATTGCCTTTGCTTAGCTGTGAAATTAAATCTACCTCTCTGAATAATAAAATTTACTTCATAACTTATGATAATCTTCACTATATTTTAATTCCATCAAAGCATGCGCTTTTACTAATCATGATAATCTTTCAATTAGAATTATTACAATATGGCAACCCCAAATACAGCACACAACCTGAAACAGTTAGCAATTGGCGTTCCAATTCAGTCAGTCATCAAAATTAAGCCTAATGCAGGCTATTTTCGAGAAGACTTAAAAGTAACAGGAACTAAGATCGGTGTTCTAGATGCAAATAATCGGGTTCGTGAAGAATTCGAATGCGGGGATATTTATGATGGCGGAGCTCCTCTCTACAAAATCTTCGAAAATTCTTGCCAAGCTTATTTAGGCGCAATTCTTGAAGGAGTCAATGTAGGAATTGTAAGCTTTGGGACAACAGGATCAGGCAAAACCTTCAATCTCGAAGGCGAAGGCTCAGATTCCGGCTTGATCCACTACTTTGTTCAGTCTCTATTCGAATCTCTAGACGAAAAAAAGTACAAACTCAACCAAGGGCGGCCTTCTTCAGGGAGCTCACAAGCTTATTCTTACTCAGTCAGAATTCGTTACTTGGAAATCGTCGATGAGGAAATCTCTGACTTATTGATCCAGTCAAATTCAAGAATCCTGGGAACTCTGCATATTGTGCAGAGCGAATGAGAAGGTCCAGCAGTAAAAAATGCAAGCTGACTCCAATGCAATAGTTCTCACGAGCTTATTGATATGTTTACATTGGCCAGAAGAAATAGAACCCAGGCGACAAATGAATTCGGGCCTCTAACTCCCCCTCCGTGAGCAAAAAAAACCATTGGAAAATTCCCTATTTTTTGCCCCTTCGTGAGCAAACACAAGTTTTTTTTAATAGAAAAATTTTTTATGAAAAAATAAAATTGATAAATAAATGATAATTATTATAATGAAAACTCTAGTTAATTCTATTTCATTTAAATAGCTTATATTTTAAAACATAAATTTTTTAAATTAAATTTATTTTTGTTTCTCAATATTGGAATTTTTTTCAATTTTGGAAATAAAATGTTTTATAAAATTTATATATATAAGTTATTTTTAAAAAAAAATTAACCCCCCCTCCAAAAGCGAACAAAATTTTTTGTTCCTTCACAGAGGGAAAGTGAGTAAGTGATAAAGCAACCACTTTTTTCACGGTTGAGATTTTGCAGATTGCGGTGGACCAGGTCACAAAGGAGACAAATGTATTGGTTTCTCGGCTGAACTTTGTAGACCTGCCTGGGATGGAAAAACTGAATGAAGACGCTGAGACCTTAAGAATTCGTGAAGGAAATACATTGAACAAAGCAGTTCTAGCTATAGGAGAGCTAATTCGAAATGTCAGTCAAGATAAAGAAGACTATATCAGATATGACGGGTCTAACGTGGCCCATCTGCTTAAAGACATCTTTGCAGGCAATTGCTTGTCAATGTGCTTGACTTGCTTGCAATATGGAGACAATATTGGGTCTTTGCTCGTGCTTAATTATATGAAAATGCTGAAGGCCACTATAAATTTCCCAGTAGTCAATGACAGCCGACAAATAGGACTACTAAGGAAATACAGAATTGAGATTATGAACCTGATGAACCAAATTAGCCTCCTCAGCGTCTCAGCTTTAGGCTCAGGGCAAATTACAGACTTAGAAAAGCAGCTTATTGATGGGAACTTGCACAAGCTGAGAATTGCTGACGAAAAATCACAGCTGATTCTGAGGATGAGAGATCTAAAAGCCGCGTATAACAAATTAATCAAAGAAAAAGCAGATCTGCAAGAAGAATTGATCAAATCAGAAGAGGCAAGGCTAGATATCGGAAAAGCCCTTATTGAGCTGCAGATGGAAAACGCAAAGCTGCAACATGAAATGGGGAAAGGAGATCTTGATGTGAACTCCAAGGTGCTTTATGCAGAGAATGAAGTCCTTGCTGCCAATATGAAGCAAGAAAAAGCGTTGCAGGCTATTAACGAAATGCAAGAAAAGCTAAAAAAAGTGCTGGAAGAAAAAAGAGACCTGGAGATAGAGTTTGTAGCCCTTAAAACAAATTATTTGAATTTATCGAATGAATTTAATGAAGAAAAGGTCAGAAACGAAAATCTGAGTTTAGAAATAATCAACTTAGCAAATGAAAATAAGGCCTTAAGAGCCGATTCTGATGCCTATGCAAAAATCAAAGGAAATATCTCATTAGAGCAAAATAAACTACTTTCAGAACTGGAAAAACTTGGAAAATTAAACAGAGAGCTCGAAGATTCTCTGCTGGATGCCAAAGCTGAAGTTGAGAGACTCAAGTCCGAGTTGATCAAGTACGATTTAAATGCTGAAATGCAGCAAGTTGACTTCGATAACCGCAAAGTTGAGCTGGAAAGAGGCTATATTGATGCTGACCGAAAGAGAGACAAGCAAATGAACAAGAAAATAAATGAAACTGAGAATAAAGTAGGCCAATTGGTCCAACAAAACGATATGAACTTTTCAGATATCGTTTCTGTCACCAGACAACTAAAAATAGCTCAACGAAAGGTGGCAGAGCTAGAAGAGCTCTTAAGTGACTACCAAAACCATGACAATTTGATGACCAGCGAGAATCAAAGGCTTCATCTGCAAATTGATGACATGAGAGCCAATTTCAGAGCAAAACTCATTAAGACTATGAAAGAAGGGGTTGATCCTTTGGACAACAGGGTGACCAATGCAAGAGAAGAAATGATAAGGTCTTATAACGAGCAAGAAGCAGAACTGAGAGAAAAACTTAATAAAGAATTGGCCGAAAGTGACCACAAAAACAAAATAATCAGAGGACTCAAAGCGTATGCGAGGAACTTGAAGAGCTTGGCTGAGGACTGGGCTCCTCTAGGCCAACCAATACCGCAAGTCTTGGTGGCTCCACCTCCAATTCTGTTGGAAGATGAAGACAGGCCTATTGCTCAAAGAGCACTAAATCAGGAACTAGAAAAGCTGACTCCCCCCCTTTAAATTGGAAACAAAATATAGGTAAAATTTCCACTTTTTTTGGTAAATTAACCCCCTTTAAATTAGAACTAAATTTAATTTTATAATAAAAAATTATATATAATTTTTATCTAAAAAGTTTTGATATAAGTTAAATGTTTCTTCTTAACTAAAATTCAAAATTTAGTTATATCTTGCTCTTTTTTAAAGAAGAGAGTATAAAGAGCATCTTATTTAAATAAATTTATTATCCTTAATTGCTAAATTTTAAAAAAAAAATTAAATTTATTATTTTTAAAAATTTTTTATTTTTTTGATAAAAATGATATTTTTATTTAAATAGTTTTGATATAAATTCAATAGGAATTCTTTATAAAATTTTTCATATTTACTTATTTTTTACTTTATTTTAAAGAATATAGAGTATAAATCACATCTTATTTAAACAAAATTAGCACTTTGATCGATAAATTTTCTAAAATTTTGTTTTTTAATTGTTTTTATCAATAAAAATAATAATTTTTGTGTAAATAATTTTGATACCAATTAATAGTGGCGTATTAACTAATAATGAAAATTTAGTTATATCTTGCTTTGTTTTAAAGGTTAAAGAGTAAATAGCATTTTATTAAGCAAATTTATTGATCTAATTCGATAAGTTTTTGAATTTTTTTTTTTTTTAAATTTTTATAAAAAAATTTTATATTGATATTTTTTTTTAAAAAAAAAAATTAACCCCCTTTAAATTGGAACAAAATTTTTGTTCCAATTTAAAGGGTGGGGAGTGAGAATTAGGAATGCAAGCCTTGACCAAGAAGTAAAAGTACTGCAAAATAAGCTCCTGGGCAGTAATGAGCAGTTTTCGAGGCTTGCAAATGGAAACCGAGGCACTGGAATTCAAGAAAGGCTGCTGAATGAAATCGAGTACTTGAAAGGAGCTCCTGTGAGTCAGTCTAGGCCTGGGAGTGGAAATTATGACATAGATGTCCTTCGGAAAGAAAGAAATCAGCTGAGAGAAGAAAATAGAAGACTCAATCAAGAGTTAAGGGAAAGCCGAGCTAGAGGCAGCAATCAAGGAGTCCCTTCAAACGACCAGTCTTTGTATGGAGAAATAGAAAGACTGAGGAAAAAACTGATGGAGTATGAGCAGGGATCGTCAAGCCCAGCGAATGGCTCGCAGCCCAAAAATCTTCAGATGAAAGTTTCCTATCTTGAAGACGTGCTCAGAAAGCTGGAAAAGGAAAGAAGCGAATTGAGTATCAGAGCTACTATGGCTGAAGAGCAGCTAAAGAATTTGAATGAGCATATGAACTCTTCAATACAGAACTACCAGAGAAAGATCGGAGAACTCAAAAATATCATCCAGCAAATGAAGGGTGGGAGAGCCAATGACTCGAGAATGGGGGAGCTTAATTTTTAATTAATTGTATTATCAAAATTCGCCTTATGGATACTAATAACATTGAAAATTTTTTTTACTTCTCCTCTTAATAAAGAACACTTTTTGCGCGAAGGTGGCGCGGCTATATACTATTAAAGAGATATTCTGGATTTATTAGAAGTATAGATGATTAAGGAATTGAAATATAAAAAATGAAATACACCAAGTTTATTATTTAAAGAAGTATAAAATAAAAGTTATTATAATTCATAAATGGGATATAACAATTACAATTTGGTCCGACCAAAATTATTAGTTTTGGTCAGACCAAATTGTGAACTCAGCGGGCAATTCTCCCATTGATAGGGCTATTAAAGGGAATTTTCTATATAACTTTCTATCTGCTCAGAATGCTCAAAATTTTGCTCTTTTAACTTTTGTTTTATTATATTCTGGATAAATACCCCTTTTGCACAAATAAATTCTCCAAAACTGCTAAAATGCATTAAGCTTGTCTGATTTAGAATGAATAATATATAAATCCGATCTTTTTAATAGGGAAGCTGATTTTGATAAACTAAGTAAATGAACTATTAATTTCTTATTGCAAATTTCAGAAATTGAAATTTTAGCACCGATCTATTCAGATATATCTAGCAGAAATGATCTGTTGACATATTAAAAAATGCTAGTTCTGATCGATGCAAATTTGCATTCATGTCATTCGACTGATAAAAAGATTCCAAAAATTTCTTCCTCATTGAGATTATTCTTAGTGCCCAATTTAGTAGCAAATGAATATTTATGTTCGTTATTAGCGGGCATATTTATGCTTATAATTGTAATAATTTTTTTATGATATGCTTTGGATGTGTGTGTTAATTTTATAATAAAATAAAATAATATAAAGCAATTTTTCAATTTAAAAAATAAAAAATAAAATTTTATTGGAATTGTAGCTTAAAAAAGCGAATTTTATCAAATATTATTTTAAAATTATAATACCTTGTTTTGATATTATTTATAAATTTTAAGCATATTTTTATGATTATTTGCGAACCTTTAATTAAATATTTTATTATTCAAAGCTAACTAAACTCAATTAGTGGGTAAAACATTGAAAAATCCTTCTTTTTAGAAATTTGCTTCAAATTATTTTTAAAAAATATTTTAAATATAACAAAAAATTCTCAGACAAAATATTGGCGAAAAATCAGCTGTTGAAGAGCAGGAAATATAAAAATATGTTTACGCTCATTCTAACTACATTTTGCATAGAAGATTCAGATCGAAAAACATTTTCCTTGATGAATATAAAAATGGAAAATTATTAAAATAATATTTGCTAATAGCCGGATATGAATGCTAATCTCTTTATGTATTAAATAGAAATGCTTATTCAAAGGAATTGAATGAGTGCTCAGGTATATTCTGAGATAAGGCCTGACTTTTCTTATCTCCAGAGTGGTTTAAGATTAAGGAAAATTAATGGTTCTTGGGTGCCCAAGAATCAAAACTAAACCGGCATCTTTAAGGGATTGTAGAAAATTTCTAAAAATCAAAGTTAAGCCCTTCATGAGCGAAGAACAAAATTGTTTGCTCGCACATCGATAGGGGTTGTTAGCAAAAAATAATCAAGGCATTGCTGTCATAAATATCATAATTTTTAATTTTGTATATACTAAGTTAAATAATGATATGTTTAATTGAATATTTAATAAAATAATTATTAATTTTTAGGGTGTTAGGGTGTTAGGGTGTTAGGGTGTTAGGGTGTTAGGGTGTTAGGGTGTTAGGGTGTTAGGGTGTTAGGGTGTTAGGGTGTTAGGGTGTTAGGGTGTTAGGGTGTTAGGGTGTTAGGGTGTTAGGGTGTTAGGGTGTTAGGGTGTTAGGGTGTTAGGGTGTTAGGGTGTTAGGGTGTTAGGGTGTTAGGGTGTTAGGGTGTTAGGGTGTTAGGGTGTTAGGGTGTTAGGGTGTTAGGGTGTTAGGGTGTTAGGGTGTTAGGGTGTTAGGGTGTTAGGGTGTTAGGGTGTTAGGGTGTTAGGGTGTTAGGGTGTTAGGGTGTTAGGGTGTTAGGGTGTTAGGGTGTTAGGGTGTTAGGGTGTTAGGGTGTTAGGGTGTTAGGGTGTTAGGGTGTTAGGGTGTTAGGGTGTTAGGGTGTTAGGGTGTTAGGGGTGTTAGGGTGTTAGGGTGTTAGGGTGTTAGGGTGTTAGGGTGTTAGGGTGTTAGGGTGTTAGGGTGTTAGGGTGTTAGGGTGTTAGGGTGTTAGGGTGTTAGGGTGTTAGGGTGTTAGGGTGTTAGGGTGTTAGGGTGTTAGGGTGTTAGGGTGTTAGGGTGTTAGGGTGTTAGGGTGTTAGGGTGTTAGGGTGTTAGGGTGTTAGGGTGTTAGGGTGTTAGGGTGTTAGGGTGTTAGGGTGTTAGGGTGTTAGGGTGTTAGGGTGTTAGGGTGTTAGGGTGTTAGGGTGTTAGGGTGTTAGGGTGTTAGGGTGTTAGGGTGTTAGGGTGTTAGGGTGTTAGGGTGTTAGGGTGTTAGGGTGTTAGGGTGTTAGGGTGTTAGGGTGTTAGGGTGTTAGGGTGTTAGGGTGTTAGGGTGTTAGGGTGTTAGGGTGTTAGGGTGTTAGGGTGTTAGGGTGTTAGGGTGTTAGGGTGTTAGGGTGTTAGGGTGTTAGGGTGTTAGGGTGTTAGGGTGTTAGGGTGTTAGGGTGTTAGGGTGTTAGGGTGTTAGGGTGTTAGGGTGTTAGGGTGTTAGGGTGTTAGGGTGTTAGGGTGTTAGGGTGTTAGGGTGTTAGGGTGTTAGGGTGTTAGGGTGTTAGGGTGTTAGGGTGTTAGGGTGTTAGGGTGTTAGGGTGTTAGGGTGTTAGGGTGTTAGGGTGTTAGGGTGTTAGGGTGTTAGGGTGTTAGGGTGTTAGGGTGTTAGGGTGTTAGGGTGTTAGGGTGTTAGGGTGTTAGGGTGTTAGGGTGTTAGGGTGTTAGGGTGTTAGGGTGTTAGGGTGTTAGGGTGTTAGGGTGTTAGGGTGTTAGGGTGTTAGGGTGTTAGGGTGTTAGGGTGTTAGGGTGTTAGGGTGTTAGGGTGTTAGGGTGTTAGGGTGTTAGGGTGTTAGGGTGTTAGGGTGTTAGGGTGTTAGGGTGTTAGGGTGTTAGGGTGTTAGGGTGTTAGGGTGTTAGGGTGTTAGGGTGTTAGGGTGTTAGGGTGTTAGGGTGTTAGGGTGTTAGGGTGTTAGGGTGTTAGGGTGTTAGGGTGTTAGGGTGTTAGGGTGTTAGGGTGTTAGGGTGTTAGGGTGTTATGGGTGTTAGGGTGTTAGGGTGTTAGGGTGTTAGGGTGTTAGGGTGTTAGGGTGTTAGG